CCAGAATGGAAACCCCATACTCGGATGGTTCAGCATGGTGTAGAGCCTCACATGGTCTTGACAGCACCTGTCAATGGCCACATCTCAAGAACTACTGCACCAATTGGGACAAATAAGGACTCGTTGGAAAGCTGGAGACGAGGAGGTTGCTGATGGGAGGATAGGCGGGCGCTGTGGCGAAGTGTTGCGGAGTTAACTTTCACAATTCCCATTTCGGATCCATTGTCATATTTTCCCCATTCATTCATATTTCTTTTATTGTTTCTTTGTTCCTAATTGGACATTCCTTATTTACGGTTGCCTAATGGCCTGTTTACATTCCCCCATTCCATTCATTCCATTTCCAACTCATATAAAATAGATAATAGCTTGTACATAACAAGTTAGTACTGAATAGACCCATGAAGGAGTAAGAAAGAGTTACATCCAAGTGGCAAAGATGCCATCCATGACACTAACACCCCCCCTGAGCTAGTTACCAACGTCTAAGACCCTTCTTATCATAATCCTCAGCCTTGACGTCCAAGAGAGATGTAGGTGAGTGTTTGTTTGAGGTTTTTGCAGACTCAGTAGCGCCCACGGACCAAAACCTGGCCCCACAAACCACACCCATGCACACTACAACCCTCCCCCTCTTCTCTGTCTCGAGTCAAGGTGATTGACCCATTACAGTGTTCATCATCTCCACCTCCACCTCTGCCTTCACTGGCCCCTCCCATTCCTACTTCCTTCCTGCCACTGTGCCCATGAATCCCTGTGGACTCTGTCCAAGTCTGTGCATCATCAAGTCTGCACACACTCTCGGTCTCCAAACACCTGTGCCAGTTTGGGCCATTCCAACTTGGGTTCTTTGAGAACACCTATGGGTTGCTCTAAGGGGAGAACCCTTAGGTTGTTGTAAGGGGAGAGTGTAAGGAATGGATAGAGGATGGATGATGCACACTTTGTGTGCTTTCCTATTATTCTTTATACTATAATAATCTTCGGACTAAACAATGTATAACAACTGTATATACATATATAGTGTCTGGGGTCAGGAATAGGGGTTTAGCCCTTCTCCTCCCCCCCTGTCGAATACTAGCCCCATACAGTCTAGATTATCGACAGCCTGAGGATTGAGGAGTTACCAAGGCTGGCACCCCAACCGGCCTTACACCCACATTACTGAGTATGCCAACCTTATTATTCCCTGAGTAGCAAATGAGAGAGGTAACTTTCTTCTCTCATTCCCCTTGCTGCTCAGTGTCATGGCCCTGCAAAAGGTGCCTGTCCACTATCACTCTCCTATGTCCCTACCACCTATCCTGCCCCATCAGCTTTCTCTGCAACCCACCACCCAGCAGTGCCACTAGTCTACCCCGCTTGCAGCCCCACAGTGTTGCCTCCTTTTCTGCTATCCCCAACCCTCCTGGCCACTCAGCTACACACTACTCATTTATTGCCAAACACCACACGCCTTCTCCTTGCTTAGCCCTCTCATTAATATTGCTGCTTATATATATTGACACTTGATCCATCACCATATTGGTGTCAGGTTGTCAGTCCCCTCAGTCTTTCTCTCTATGCCATCTTCCACATTAATTGTTTATCGCACTTCCATCTGTTCCTTAATAACCTGTCTTCCTGGTTCATGCCTCTCATTCAGTTCGCTGTGGTTACCACTCCACTCCCCATTCAGGTGCCAGACCAACCAGCCCCTCCTTTCGTATTTATACTTGTAGTTTACTGTCAATGTACCTCAGTTCGAATATCGACTAGAAATCCCCAAAGTCCTCTCATCTTTAAGTTTGCCTCTAAGTTTCATCTTCACCTGAGTAAACGTCACTGCAAGGTCCCTCCTGCTAACCTGAAATACAGGACAGCCTAGAACACATGGTGCAATGCTCCTGTTGAGTTGCTGAAGCTGAAGTCCCAAACTCCCAAGATGCCTTGCAACGGAGTTGCATACTAGCTAAGTGCCCACTTGCACTGCTGCATTCCACTCCACTTCCCACGATTACTTCGAATATTGTTTCTGACACTCAGCTGGAATCCCTATCGCAACTACTCTACCAGGTTCCCCCATACCCTGTCCCTCTCAGCCTCAGCTCCACCAAAAGCTCCAGATTCCATGACTTAGAGTCCAAGCAGCTCAGTACTCTGACAGCACTCCACCTGAGTCACTGAGGCCAAGGTCCTTCCTAATTGAGTCTCCAATTCCATTCCAGAACCATCTGAGACCATCCTCTAACAAATACCCAACTTGTGCATCAGCAAAGTCTGGTTACAGATCTTTGAAATGTGAATCAGATCTAATTCAATTTTAATTCAGTTTAGGGTACCCTGTGTTGGCAGATTCTCAAAGTTTTGGGTGGTAGGGATCTGTCAAAACCCTAGCAACCACAAACTATCTGCATGCAGGATTTGCTGATGTGGCCAGTTTGGGATTTACAGTGCTCCAAAAAACCGTTCCAATGTTTTTCACTTTTCACTTCATGAGCTTATAGTATCATGGCAGCACATTCTAAAATTCCCCAAAAATCTTTAAACATGCATTAGTATCCCCTTCACAGATCTGGAAATTATGTAAGCAATATAACCATTTTTAGCGAAGTTATTTAATTTACAAGGGACCCATGTCATTGGAACGGTTTTTTGGAGTCAATTTTTGGGAGAAGAAAATGGTATCAACTAATATTTGGTATAGCCATCCTTTGCCCTAAGCACTGCCTCAACCCTCCTAGGCATACTTTCAATCAAGTTCTGACAAACCCTTGGTTCTATATTATCCCACTCCTCCTGAAACTGCTCCCACAGTTCCAAGCTTCTTCTTCACATGATTCCACAAATGTTCAATTGGATTGAGGTCTGGGGACTGAGCAGGCCATTTCATGACCCTGATATCATGGTGTTTGAACCAATTTTGGGCCTTCTTGCTGGTATGCTTTGGGGTCATTGTCCTGCTGGAAGATGGTGTGGGCTGGGGATTTGTGGTAATAGGAGAGTGTTCCTTGGAATTCATCATCCAGAATCTGGCAGTAGAGGTCTGCATCCATTCTCCCATCAATCTTGCATGCCATGCCAACCCCATCCCATGTCATACATCCCCACACCATAACAGATCCACCACCAAACTTCTTTGTCCCTTGCACCAGGCAGTCACTGAGAGGCTCACCCACCCTCTTCCACACCCATTTCCTCCCATCTGAGCCCAGGCAATTGACCTTGGTCTCATCTGACCACACCACTCTCTTCCAATCCTCAAGAGTCCACTCCTTGTGACTGATTGCAAAGTCCATCCTCTCTCTCTTGTGTTTCTTGCCAAGCATAGGCCGCTTCTTCTTCACCATGGCTTTCCAACCAGCCTTCTTCAGTCCCAGGCAGACTGTCTCAGGTGAGATGCTCTTGTTGGTGATGTTTTGAAGCATTCAAGTCACTTGGGAGGCATTGTCAGCCTTGCCAGAGTTGATAAGGCAGTAGGCATGGCATATGTCAGTCTCTGAGAGCTTGGTTGGACGACCACCACTGGGCTTGGGAACATCAGGACGGTGTGCAGACCATAGCCAAGTGATAGTGGTGAGGCCACAGCCAGTAGCAGATGAGATCTGGCAAGCACTATGACCAGAATCAATGAGGGAAAGGACTTTGGCAATTTTTGAAGCAGACAAGGGACGCATTTTGGATTTTTGGGGCATTATGCTGCGGTATTTATGCTCCAGCAACGTTATTTTGTTTATTAGTGTGTACAGTAAACAATATCACATGACATGACATGTGATATTTTTATTTTTAGGATGTGCCAAAGGCACTCCAAAAAACTGTTCCAATGACATGGGTCCCTTGTGTCATATCCGTGCATACCCGACCCCGACCCGACTTCCGGACCTCCACCCTCTTCACCTCCGGAGTCATAACCTACCGCTGCCGTTCCGATACTCACCTTCGGTCCTGGCAACACACCTCCCCCTTACCTCTCCGACCCTATCTCCGTCCGCTCCAATACTCATCTTGGACCGAACATCGCCCCACTCGCCACCCTTCCTACTACTCCGCTCCCCCTTCACAACACCTCCACCCTCCCGTTATCCTCCTACGCTTCCCCCGTCCGCTCCGATACTCACCTTTGGACCTGACTACTCTCCTTTCCGCCACTCCCTCTTCCTTACCTTTCCCCTCTCTTCTCCCTCTGTTACTCCTCCACCACCCTTCCGCCAAGTTACAACCTTCCACCGCTGTTCCGTACTTCGCACTCGGACACCGCTCGTACCTTACTCCGAGCCTCCATCATAGTCCCTACCTCGGACTTTGACTCCACCTCAGCCTTAGTCCATTGCATTGGTGACCTCATACTACGTAAACACCATTGCCAATATTCCTCGGACTTCCAACCCTGCCTCCGTAACCTCCGTAAGCTCCGCAACCCCCGAGCTTCATGGACCGCCTTCGGCACTCTCGCCGCCTGTAATGTATTTCTCGCGTTTTCCCCTTCATCCCTATTTGGACTACTGCTTCTTTCTATTCTAGCCAGTTAGTCATCATCCCCACTTCCCCTCATCCTCCTGCCCCTCTGGGCCTCGCCCTCCCTACCTCCTTTCGGACGTATCACAGGTCTTGCCCTATGACCTTCGGTACCGCTCCGCTCCCTCTACCCTTTGTTCCCGTTCGGACGTCTTCGTTCCGATTCAGTCACCCTTTGTTCTCTTTGTGCTTTTGCCCCTTCCATTATATATATCAGCGCTTGTACATACTCATCTTGGTTTCAGTCCGAAATCGACCTGAAATGCCCCCAAGAGACTTCCTGCTCACCTACTGTGAAATTAAGGACCAAATGGACAAACAGCAATGGCACAGCGCTCCGCTTGAGTCACTGAGGCCAAGGTCCCTCCACGCTAAGTCTCCGATTCCACTCCGGAGTCGTCTGTTCCCGCCCCGTTCTAACACCTTGTAAATTAAATAGCTTTACCAAAAATAAATATATTGCTTACATAATTTGCAGGTCTGTGAAGGGGATACTAATGCATCTTAAATGATTTTTGGGGAATTTTAGAATCCACTGCCATGATACTATAAGCTCAAGAAGTGAAAAGTGAAAAACATTGGAACGGTTTTTTGGAGCACTGTATAGCCCTCTGAGTTGTCACCAAGCATACCTGCACATGACCAAGTCAGAATACCTTCATGACACATGGGGTGAGATGCAAGCAGCCATATTCAAGTGCCTGCACAAAGTTAAGCAATTTTCCTGGTTGCATGGATCACCTGGAATGGGGAAGACAATGAAATCTTCTGGAGAAACAAGCAGGGACTGTCACCGAGAAGCACTTCATAACCCTGGCAGATTAGATGGATTGGGGGACTATCTCCTCTCAAGAAACATGTACCCTTTCTTGCAGTCCTCAGGAGCACCGTAGCTGCGACAACATATGATTTAGCTGGCATCAGTGCTGGAACCCGAACAACTGTGTTCTAAATAACCCAAAATTGTTGAGAAGGACTGAGTCTAGCTTAGTCTATTGTGGAACTCCATATCATCACAGTTCCGTCACTAGAACCGCCCGCAACCATGGAATTGGTCAAACTCCCACGGTTCCAGGCGACACTTGTGAGGACCGAGCCTTGGCTCATATCCGCAGAAAATGAGGTTAATAGTTTAGCGGACTCGCGGGCCCAAATGGAAAAGTAACCCTCTATATGAATATGAAATGAAGTGTCTACTGAGGGTAATGTCGAAGTTGATGTATGACACTCCATACCTTCCGTTGCCGATACGACAATTTGATCTTCTATCCTGGAGGTGTCTGTTTTGAATGGTGAACCCGGCGCACCCATTTGTCCAACACCAGCACATTTTGCATCTCTCAAAGGATATTGATGCAATAGAGTCAAAAAGGCGGGATGGATGCCACAAAGTTGTAGAGCAGTCTAAGATGAACGTTCTTCGGCTAGTGTTGGAAGCAATATGATGAGCTCGAGCGTACCTCGTTGTTGTGTGTAAGGAGCAGCATTGTTCCAGAGGCGGATAGTGTCAAGCCACGAATACTGTTTAAGATTGGAATCTGGCTGTTTGTCAACAGGCAGTGGTTGAGCAGCGGTGAATGTCGTGGGATGATAACCCCACGCACTGGAGTATTGTCCGCCTTGTTAAGTCAAACACTGAGAAACAGTGAGGACGGATCACTCTAAGTACATCAATTTCACACACTGATGATGCGCTGCTCGGGTTGGGACTTGTATGATGGGTACAGGCCATCTGCTGATTTAGTCAGAGATCCGACGGCCAGCATTCTATATCCAAATAGAACATTATGAGAATAGGCCTGATCTTCCCATTGGTGGCGTGCCTTTCACCATCCGGTGTCACTACAGCGTCATGGATTTCCTTGTTGGAGAAATTAAATACGGCATTAGTACTTCCGTTCATTATATCCTGGATAAAGTAGATGGGTGATATTGTGTCGGATGAGCGAGGGGCGTAGAACAATTACCACTTGATACAAATTGGCGTCCTCAATGCGGAGAACGTGGGTCCCATTCGGCATCCACACCACGCAAAGTTGAACACTTCTAGGTTGTGGAAGCACGAATTGCTGAAGTACGTCTCCAGTCTAGTTTGTTTGAGCAAGATTTCACTTCTGTGGATGACCACTACGAAATTCACGAGCAACATACTGAGACAGCCCAAATCATATATCCACGGCGTGTCATCTTGGCCATCAAGAATTTCCCATCCGGTGACCATGCGAGTTGAGACGCTAATTGGGTGCCAAGATGGCAAGTATGGTGGAGTTGCAAACTTGGGTCCAGTTTCCAAATCTTTGTGGTCTGATCCCATGCACACGTGGCCACTATGGGATCATGTCCTTAATCCAAATCACCATAGAATCAAGAATCAGGGAGCGACACGTACAGAATTGTCCATCAGGGCTGAACTGAATATCTTTGACCGGGACCTTGTGAACTTTCTTTTTCCATAGCATATGCAGTGACTTCAGGGAGGATTCCAAGGACAATCTTTGCCCTCTAATCTCCTCCCGGTTCTGCTGGATCACTTTTTGGACAATGCGTTGGAATTTCGACTTCGCTGGAGACAATTCGGGGGCGTGTATCAAGACCGATGCATCGGATCGATAAGGGTCGTGCCTCCTCCGCAACTCTATTGGCCCCGGAGTCAACGCTGAGCTGTGCCAAGGTTGTAGGGAGCGGGCGAGTGAGTTGTCGGTTCGCAATGGGTGAGTGAGCACCTTATTGACCACCTCGGAGAGACGGAGGGTTGGACTCCGAATATGCCGGGTCTCCTCAAACCCTAGTGACCCTGGGTGCACCGCGGCGGACCCTCGAGCCACCTGACCTCGGACCTGAGGAACGGCTCCACTCTCCCTACCACTAGAAAGTATATTCGAAGCAACCCCATCGATAACAATGTTCGAGGCAAGGGTCTCCGAGGGGGCGGCCTTCTCTTCTTCTGCTCGAGAAGTGGGAGAAGTTGCTTCGCCATGGTCAGTTTGCTGCACCTGTCTGCTGGCAGTGAGACCTGAGCTGGAAGTCGGAAGGACAGCAACAGGGGTGCTACGCCGCGTCAACCATTGTGAAAATGATTGAAAAATATCCTCCAATTCCTCCACTAGCCACTGCGAAGAGTTCTGTTATTTTTTTGGTGCTGGTCATGGAGAGACCGGAATTCTCACCCTTGACCCTTTATTTTGCCTAAATGCATAGAAGTCCCCTGCAAACCAGAGACCTACTATTAGGAGCGCAATGACCGATATGGCAGCCGAGCTCGTCACACAAATTGGAATGAATCGTGCATGTGGAAAATTCGAAAATGTGAAACAAATAAGACCGAATGTAAAGCTAACGGGGAACATGCTCAGTGGTCACATTGTTGATACAGGATAGGATACTCGTACGAAAGGATGGAGAGAATGAGGAACACGAGAGGCGTTGTTGTGATCCATATAGATATCCACCAAGGAACGGCCGAAGGGGGGCTCGAATACGCAGCGAGAGTCCAGCTAGAAATCGTATCAGCAGTCGAAAAAAGGGACCCGGAGAACTAACCGATAGCCCAGCTGACTATTAACGGCGCTGGACATGGACCACACAAGAGAGAGCAGCCAAAATAAATTGACAACAGCCGAAGTCTTCGTGGCGCTATTAGAATAGCTGAATAGGAAGTGAATGGAAATGACTTGAGAAGTGCCTTTAAAAACCATGCACCTGAACTGTATGGTCGTAGCAGACACGGCAGAGAAGAAAGTAGCTATAGTGGACACATTTTGAAGGGCTTCTGCAGTGTGTTTTTGACTAAACTTTATCGTAGGCACGCCTTCCATTAAGAATTAGTGATGAATGCACCACAGCCTCACCAGCCTTACTTACCAACAGTGTTAAAAACCCTCAAATTATCCACAATTCCCTCCAAATGAGGTATCATCTTGTCGGCAAGGTCGACAATATAGCGCCGAATAGAATAAGTGTGAAAGGTTCCTGGATCATATCAATCAGATGTGCTCAAACTTCAGCCGAAGCGGTGGGATGATCCAGACCTCTGAAGTCGCTGAGGTTGTTGGCCCAGTATTCGAGATCTCCACGAAAAGCCTCGAATGATTGATCCAAATTGTCGGAGGTGTAATCTGGAACTTTCGCAAATCCGCGAAGTGATTTGAGAGCTGTTCTAAGCTCGTACAAGTCCTTCGCCAGAAAAACCAGTTCGTCCGGGAATGCCTCGCCCACAGCACCCTCCATTCCTGGGTACCTCGTCCTATCTCGTGTATTGCCCCTTAGTGGAGCATATAAAGGGAAAGTTCGGGCCCTTCTGGGCTTGGTGGAATGGTGAGATGAAGGCCCCTGTCTCGGACGCTGGACGCTTAATCGTGGGCGCATTGCTTGGACGATGTCTAGCACTGTGCGCAAGCGCGTCTGAAGACGAACAGCCGCTGAGGAGAAGCGCACACTAGAGGTAAGCTCTTGCGCGATATTTATTATTTGTCCAAGTGTTTCATCGAGGTTTTGCATGTTCCTGATTGCAGCATTGATGCGCGAAAGGTAAGTGCCAATCAAGAGGTTGGGTGGGACTTAGGGCTTCGCGCACCTTTTGAACCTGTCGAAACGCTCCTGCTCTTCTTGCACGAGTTCCTGTGTATCTATTTTTGATGGTATCTCAAAGCGATCATAGTTCTGGACCGCGGCTCACTCTGTGCCGGAACGTTGTCCCATCGTACCATACTTTCTATTGTATCCCAACGCTCTCTAGTGCGTGGGGGAGGGACGTTCAGGTGTTCGGAAACAATGGAGGAGCTCGGAAGGTTGGCTGGAAGCGGTGGTGGCTCCAACGTCATCCGTATTCCGGTGTTCAAATCATCCACAGACAATGATGGTAGGTACTGAACACCTTTTGGAGTCGTTGTCATCGTCGAGAACGTGGTTTGTGAGGGCAATGGGAACGATGTTGGTTCTGAAGATAATGATGCCAAAGCGTGCTGAATGCTTGGCCCGATAAGGCCGTACCCATGAGTGAATCATGCTTCTTCAGGCAACCCGAGCAGCAGGGCCGTGCCTGTGTGAATTAAGAAATTGGTTGGCACACAAGCGGTCATAATTCTCAATTGGCCTGCTGGCGCTATAGTCAGAAGGGACATTCGCACAAATGACACTTTCAGGAACAGGAAGCCAGAGGTTGCTTAAAATGTAGACCAGTTTCGTTCACGGTAACTAGATGGAGAGACGTACGAAAGACGTACTTTCACGGATAACTTGTCAGGCTTTGCCGTAGGACAGCCTCTATGACAAGGCCGGCGCCATTTTGGAAGTGGAAGCTCGGGTCCAAGTATACGTGATAGATTACATAATTCAATCCAATGTTTGAATTCCGCCATCTGGCACAATCACCAGACACGTCTATGTCGGTCGTCGCCTAGTGCATTGGGAGTTGTCAAATATCCCAAACCCTGGTCTTCTGCCATCTTTAATTCGGATTCCAATACCAACGCAACGTGGGATCGTCCAAGCAAGGGAAGTTGGGCTACGATGCACCGCGAGCTCACCTGGTGGAATCTGTTGCGCGCGCATCACAGCTTGAACTTCTGCAATAAATTCGGACGACTCCGCTACAATACAGCTAAGGTCGTAGCCGAACGGCTGGACCTCGTTGACTAATAAATGTTAGGATCGTCGTCGGAACCCACGATTGGACGTACCATCCCTTCCTTCTTTTCCGACTATTCCTACATCTCCCATGGTTAAACAAAATACTTAGTTCGTTCAACAGTGGTTTCCTGGCCCGAGGCATCCTTATCAAAATTGGAAATAGATTGGCGTGGAGCTCAACAACCAGTTGCAAGCCCGTACAAACTGGGCGACACGGACTTGCACTACTATATTGTAGTCGATGATCGGGCGCTAATGGGCCTAGGCCACTGCGGGGCACCCCGTTTGGAAAATAACGTGGAATCGAACACTGATTTTGTCTGACACGGTTTCCTCTCAAGGAAACCGAGTGCCAATTGAATGAGAAGCCTCAACCAGCATTTCTACACGCGAACCAGCCTCTATCGTGTATTTCCAATGAATCGCTGGACTTTGTCCTGGCCGTCTTCCCTCATCAGTACATTAGAGCCCCCACTTCACTCCATCAGCGCCATCTAACGGAACATTTACAACCTCCATCCAGCCCCTGAACTGCAGGAGTGTCGCTTCCTTGATGGCTAATCCACCCTCAGAACCATCACCCACGCAAGTCAACGTCGCGTCAGAGGCTGATAAGGATATTTTCCTGGCCTGCCTCAAGGAATTTAAGGAGCTCGGTCAGAAGCTGGACCGCATCATCACCTCCGATCTCACCCTCGCCTCAGCTGGACCAGTGAGCGATGTTCATGCACGTACGCATTCTTCAATCATAATCATTCCCCGCTGAGTGCACTATCTGTGCTTGTCAGCGTATTCCAGTCCTCGGAACGAGGATGAACAGTTTGAGGCATTTCAGCGGTAAGTTGTGATGAAGCCCATTGTCTAACTGGCTGCTGGATCACCTTGTAGTGGGATGAAGAATCTCAGCGGCGCCGTGCAAAGTATTGCCGACGGCGTCAAGGAACTCAAATCTGCGTATCGACTGGTTCGAGTGTCGGAGGCACTTCGCTCTCGCTTGACTCTCGTTTTCTATACCCTCGGTGCCATTGCTTTCCCCTCATCGAATGCCAAACTGAAGACGCAGTGGCCCAGCCAGCCATCACAGCATTGGACGCCAGCACAGATCATCGATGAAGGTGTTCTTCCTCTCGATGAGGCCATTACGTCTGACGCAGGAACTATCTCTGAGAGACTTCAGAAGCTTGGCCAATGCGTTGATGTCTTCAACGCTGCTTTGAAAGGCCTCCCTGGGTTTCACGATGTTCCAGGCTATAGCGCAAGTGGCATTGACACCTCACTGCGAAATTTCGCTCAAGATCTGAAATATTGGGGCCGTAACTTGAATAACTTTCAGGGTTAATTTCTTGTCTCATGTCTGACTGGTGACTAATCTTATGTTACAGGGCAAGTCCATCAGCACCACATCCGGGCGCACGTTGCTACCATACCGGGTAACATAGTACATCATCTAGGTGAGATCACAGACGCTCTCGGAATATTCATTCGGTTGGGTCAGTGTCCTTACGTCACACAATTTGCCACTACCAAACTGATAAGGTGTTTGGTAGGTTTGCCGATTGTGTTGCATTCTGAACGAGACCCAACATTTCAAAATCTGTCAACAGTGGCAACACTCTTTGCGAGTGTATCCGCATCGACCATTCAATTAAGGCAGGTTGTTTGAACTTGTGCCTTGAAACCCGTGACAGCTTCTTGTGATCTAGCTACACGCAACGGGATACGAGGGTCGACCAGGCGGTCAATGTCCTCTGGATCGTCTCGCTTGTTTTTGCCATCGCAAGTGCCATCAACAGTCAACTCACTTATCAGTGAGTGGAGTACGCCGATACAAGTCCACCTGATCATCTTCTTTAGATGGTCTTCAATTGTATTCATGACCCCACTCTCAGCTCTCCCATGGTGGAGATCCCTGTGGATCCGCCGAGCGCCTCTCGTCTTTCTTGTTCTATCCGTAATATCGTTAGCGAGCTTTCGTTATTATAATGATTGGCTTATCCACTGAGTGTGCTACTCCAGATTCTCCGCGGGCGTTGTCTTCTTCACATTCTCTCATTTTTCGAACCATCCAATCATCCCATTCTGCGTCACAGCTGCTTCAGCGGTCTCAGCAGCAGGACTTTTTTTCGTCGGGACCTGGTTCATTGCAGAGTATTTTTCATTTGGGAGCGGAACGAAGACAGGGGTACGCACAACAGCCTCTGAATCATCGAACTGTTTCTGACCATTTTTTCTGTCGCATGTAAGGACGAACATGATTATTTGTTCCATTCAGCATGGGATTTGGCGAGTGATTGGGTTCTGCAAGTCGTTCGACGGTGAGTACGGGTCTATATAATTCTAATTTCTCCACCCAATACGGATGAAATCGTAACGCAATTTGTCTTGTTTCAAGGGCTTATCGGTCAGCTGCACTATGGTGTTCTGAACATCGGGGATGGTTCCTCATACTCTTCGGGTATCTGCTCTCACTCATCTGCTTGACATCTGATCGGGCTAATTATGTCCAGCATTGCTGTCCTACCTATAACTTTAGTTATAATTTCTTGTCTTTTCCTTTGCTTTTGGTTTGAGATAGAGGTTGACGAAATATGGGAACAGGCTTGCGATTGGTTTCGGCGGACTAAGAATCGCATACAGAATTGGCGCCAACAACGCTTAACCACACGCAATTCCGTTCTCCCCACGACGTCCGATACCCGATTCCAGCGCAGTGTGATAGAGACGCGAGGAGATAAAGTTGGAGGTCAGCCCTGCTCATCCATCGTCCTGTACACAAATGACCCCACTCCCTGAATCCGATACACTCGCAGGTAATGATGCTGAGGCACATGCGATCTCTCAGTTCAAAATAGGTATCAGGGCGATCCACCAGAACTTGGAACTAAGCGAGGGTCCCTCAAATCCAACTACTCCCATCCAGAAATTTCGTAATGTTGCGATGAGGGTAATTAAGGAAAAACGTCATGCTAGGGCAAAACTCAGAAAGAAGATGGAGTCAATGGAACCGGCACTGAAGTCTCTGTCACCCGTTCAGTCATCACGGGAGCATACGACGATGATCCATGACATTAATTTTCATTACGATGGCCGTTACCGTAGGTCAAACATATCTCTTGTAGAACCACACCATTGCTGATGCTAGTAGTTGTTACTTTTTCGAGGGAAGATGACAATATATTATTCTGGGAATTAGACCAAATGGAAGTGATGGTTATTGACCGAGTGGATATGCGGCGGCACGGATCTAGCCCTGCCCAGGAGTTGATCGGAACCTTGTCCCGGTCTCGGGATCACATGAGAGCGTTGAGAGTGACATCACTGAGAGAGAATCGAGTATTGATCATTGGTGGACTGGTATGCCTTGCTGGCTAACTCCGATTCTCACGATCTCATTGTCTAGCAGGGGTGGCGGCTTTGGCGGCTTCGGCGTCTTCGGAAACTGGGTACTATAAAGCACATCAACTGGGTTCCCGAGGTCACCCCAAGCCCCTCACTCTTGATTTGGAATTTGGACTGAATCTTTTGCCTGTATCTCAGATCTCGAGACTCATTCCTTGGGTTGGTCTTGACTACGCACTAGAGGATGCGGTTCTCACCCCGGATGGAACGAAGTGAGCTTCTATTTATAGCACAAATGATGTCAAGGCGCTGAATTTTATCACTGCAAGGTTATTGGGAATAGCTACATTGGGTTCAACGGCCGACAAAAATCATCTTAAGCCATCAAGATCCCCTCCAGAATGTCGAATCATCAGTAAGTGCATTAATGATGATAATCCAGAAAGTGGTTAATATCATTCGAACAGTCTGCGATGCCTGGGAGGATGAGATTGATTTGTAAGTTTTATTAGGTGTTTATGGACAGACATGTCATATGTTTTGTAGCGAAATTCCGACTTTCGACCCCATACGGAGGATGAGCTTATCTTACTCAGGCAAGCGTTTGCTTGTTATGTCCGATGGCAGTGTACAGTATTCTATCTATATTTCCCACCTCACTTGTTACATGCTTTCATTCTAGACGCCACCTCGCCTGTTCCGAGTTTACCCTACCTGGCTTGTCCCATTGCACACATTTGACCTTCCAGATGCAGATGGGAAGTACCCTATCTATGGCCAGTTTGGGATTCGGAGCCCTGCCCCCGTGGCAGGTGAGTCCGAGGAAGATCAAATCATCATTTGCGCTAACAAACGTATGGCTCCAATCGGCGAGCGTTCCCTAGTGCTGATTCTTCTAATCTTAGGGGGGGAAATCTTCATATGGCACCGTGAATCCTATCGTCTCCTGTACTCGCTCGAAATTTCGATTCCCTGGGGCACTGAAGTCAGTGGGGTGACTTTCGGCTGTGAGCGCTTGGAGGACTACAGCTATCTGAAGGTGGCTGCTGCATGCACCGATGGAACTGTCATCATGTGGGGCTCGAAGTGGGATCACCCTAATCCTTCCGTTCTCACTGACGAATTACCGCGAGCGACCAGTGAAACTACTGGAGGAACCATCGAAGAAGTCATTGAAGGGGCGGATGGAGTTGTCGACGAAGATATTATTACGGAGGTTTAAATTGCATGCAAATCCCTCCGTTATGGCCTTCCGACACCTCATACTGTTCTTCGTTTTCGTAACTCCTGTGGTCCAGTTCCCCGATGGTAGGACCTATATATCTAATGGATGAAAGATTATCTCGGTAGTATAGCACCTGCATGTATTGCACCTCCCTGTGCCTCAGCTGGTTCGATTTACTTGTTGAATCATCGGAATCATTACATGTCGCCATTCTTCGTGAAGTACCCGATCGTCGTCGAAACCACTCACCGATCGGACGTACCTTACTTTTCATTTCCCATCTTCCTGCATCTTCCATGCATGGTTAAACAAAATACTTAGATATGATGTTGATTCAACGCCCAACGGTGTGGTCCCGGCCCGAGGCATCCTTACCAAAATTGGAAATGTATTCTCACAACCAGTTTGCGTACCAAGTATCGACTACCCTGTTTGGCAGAGAACGTAGAATCGACCACTGACAAGGTTTCCTCTCAAGGAAAAATGGGAATTGAATGAGAGGCCTCACCGACATTTCTATGGCACGCGGGTCAGCCTCTATCATGTATATGTATTTCCAATTAATCGCTGGCCTTTGTCCTACCGGCAGCATTGATATCTAGGAGCGGGGATTACGACTGTGAACTAGTGGACTGCCCTCACTCAAGTCTCTCCTCGTCAGCACATTTGAGTTCCCCCACTTCACTTCAGGAGAATTTCGTCACTACCATCCAACGGAACATTTACAACCTCCATCAAGCCCCTGAACTGCAGTGCAGGAGTGTCGCTTCCTTGATGGCTAATCCACCCTCAGAACCATTACCCACGCAAGTCAACATCGCAGCAGAGGATGATAGGGATGTTTTCCTAGCATGCCTCAAGGAATTTAAGGAGCTCGGTCAGAAGCTGGATCGCATCATCACCTCAGCTGAACGGAGTCAGAGGCCCGATCATCGCACCCTCGGCGCCTCAGCTGAACCAGTGGGCGATGTTCAATGCACGTATGCATTCTTCCCATCTTAACCGTTCCCTCGCTGAGTGCACCATCTGTTCTTGTCAGCGCATTCCAGTCCTGAAATTAACGAAGATGAACAGTTTGAGGCATTTCAGCGGTAAGTTGCGATTGAAACCGATCATCTAACTGGCGGCCGCTGAATCACCTTGTAGCGGGATGAAGGAACTCAGCAGCGTTGTGCAAAGCGTTGCCGATGGCGTCAAGGAACTCAAATCTGCGTATCGACTGGTTCGAGTATCGGAGGCACTTTGCTCCCGCTTGGCTCTCGTCTTCTATACCCTCGTTTCCATTGCTTTTCCATCATTGAATGCCAAACTGAAGACGCAATGGCCCAGCCAGCTATCACAGATCGATGAAAGTGTTTTGCTTCTCGATGAGGCCGCTACGACTGACGTAGGAACTATCGCTGAGAGGCTTCAGAAGCTTGGCCAATGTGTTGATGTCTTCAATACTACTTTGAAAGGCCTCCCCGGGTTTCACGATGTTCCGGGCTATAATGCAAGTGGCCTTGACGCCTCATTGCAAAATTTCGCTCAAGATCTGAATTATTGGGGTCGTAACTTGAGTAACTTCCGTGGTTAGTTTTTCTTGTCTCTCATGTCTGATCCTGGTAACTAGTGACTAGCCCTATGTTACAGGGCAAGTCCATCGGCACCACATCCTGGTGCACGTCGCCACCGTACCGGGTAAGATAATACATCATTTATGTGAGATCACTGACGCTCTCAAGATATTCATTCGGTTGGGTGAGTGTCCTTGCATCACATAAGTAATTTGGCACCACCAAAAACTGATAAGACGTTTGGCAGGTTTGCCGATTGTATTACATTCTGAACGAGACCCAACATTCCAAAATCTGTCAACAGTGGCAACACTCTTTGCGAGTGTATCCGCATCGACCATTCAACTGAGGCAAGTCGTCCGAGCTTGTGCCTTGAAAACCCGTGACAGCTTCGCTGCCGTGATCTAGCTATACGCAAACGGATACGAGGATCGATCAGGCGGTCAATATCCTTTGGATCGTCTCGCTTGTTTTTGCCATCGCGAGTGCCATCAACAGTCAACTCAGTTATCAGTTGAGTTTGAAGCCACGTCGATACAACTTGTTTACAAGTTGATCATCTTCTTTAGATGGTCCTCGATGATATTCATGACCCCCCTTTCAACTCTCCCTTGGCAGAGATCCCTGTGGACTCGCCGAGCGCCTCTCATCTTTCTTGTTCTATCCGTCATATCGTTAGCAAAACACTTTTCATTGTTAGGATGACTTGGCTTATACAATGAGTGTACTGCTCCAGGTTCTCCGCGGGCATTGTCTGCTTCACATTCTCTCATTTTGCTCACCACCCGATCATCCCGTTCTGCGTCACGGCTGCTTCAGCAGTCTCAGCAGCAGGACTGCTCTTCGTCGGGACCTGGTTCATTGCGGAGTATTTGTCATTTGCGAGCGGGACGAATACAGGAGTACGCATAACAGCTTCTGGGTATCATCGAGCTGTTTCTGACCAATTTTTCTGTCGCATGTAAAGGATTACTCGGCTCCTTCAGCATGGGATTTGGCGAGGGATGGAGTTCTGAATGGTTTTCGATGGTGAGTCCGGGTGAAGAGTAGATATCTAGTTCTAATTTCTCCATCCCGATGTGGATGAAATCGTGACCCGACCTGTCTCGTATCTCGTATCAAGGTCCTATCAGTCAGTTAAATCATGGTGCTCCAACTATCGAGTGTGGTTCCTCCTGACATTCGGGTACCTGCTCTTACTGATTTGTTTGACATATGATGGGGCTAATTGCGTCTAGCATTGCTGTCTTTCCTATAACTTTGATCGTCATTTGTTTTAATTTTTCTCTCGAAATGTCGGTCATACTTTCCGACTTAATAAGGGAAAACCTGGGGAAACTCGCACAACATCGGCGGCGCCAACGAGACTTAACCACACGCAATTCCATTCTCCCTATGACGTTCGATATCCCAATCCGACGCACTGCGATGGAGACGCGAGGAGATAATGACCAACCACCATCCAATGTTGGAGGTCAGCCTTGCTCATTTATCGCCCTGTACACGAATGACCCTACTCCCTGAATCTGACACACTCGCAGGGGATGATGCTGAGGCGCATGCGGTCACTCAGCTCAGACTGGATATCAGAACAATCCAACGGAGCCTGGAACTAGGCGATGGTCCCTCGAACTCAACCTCTCCCGCCCAGAAATTTCGTAGTGCAGTCATCAAAGTAATCATGGAAAGACGTCGTGCTAGGGCGGAGGCCAAACGGGGGATGGAATTGGCACTACAATTTTTGTCTCCAACTCCATCGACACGGGAGCACAACGCAATGATCCATGACATCAATTTTTCTCACGACGGCCGTCACTGTAGGTCAAACTCGTCTTGGTAGAAACAAGATCGCTGAATATCAACATGGGTATAGTTGTTACTTTTTCAGGGCACGAAGACAATGTATTCATCTGGGAAGCGAACCAAATGGGAATGAGGGTCATTGATCGAGTGGATTTGCGGTGGCGCGGATTTGATCTCCAGTTCGGAGATCGCATGAAAACAATTCAAGTAATGTTATTGAGAGAGAGTCGAGTGATAATAATTAAAGTATGTCTTACCAGCTAACCCCAAGCGTCAACTGCACGATCTCATGCTGTCTACCAGGGATCGTGGCTTCAGCAATTTCTACAGGGGTGGAGGCTACGGTGGTTCCTAGCACCTCTATGGTTTCAGAGGCCTCAAAAGTTTTTGCGGCTCTTTGCGTTTCTGTGGCTTCAGCGGCTTGGGAGACTTGAGCAGCTTCGGTGGCTTCGGTGGCTTGAGCAGCTCCAACAACTCCAGCGGTTTCAGCGGCTTGAGCGGCTTCGGTGGCGCGAGCAGTTCCAGCAACTCCAGCGACTTCAGGGGTTCCGGTGGCTTCGGTGGTTTGAGTGGATTCAGGGGTCTCAGCCAACTGACTTCGTTGGTCGGTTCCTGCGGTTTGTGGGATTTCTGGCGATTCTGGGGCGTCAAGAGTCTCAGTGGCTTCAGCCGGTGGGCGCTATAAAGCGGCTCAACTGGGTTTCCGATGTCGGTGGGAATTTTTCAGGGTGGGAAGAGCGCACATCCAAGGCCGCCCACTCTTAATTTGGGGATTTGGACTGAAGCTTTTACAGGGCACACGCCTCCCTTTTGGAGAGGATTTTGACTACGTACTCGAGGATGTTGTTCTCACCCGGGATGGAACCAAGTGAGCTTCTATCGCATATAACACATGATGTCACGGAGCTGGATTTCATTATGCAGGTTATTTGGGATAGCTACAGTGAATGTGACGGCGGACAGAGATTATCTGAAGCCATCAAAATCACCTTCAGAATGTCGAATAATTAGTAAGTGTATTGATGATGATGATGATAAGCGAGAAACTGATTAATATCATTGCAGTCTACAATGTCAAGACAAAGAAGACTGTTTTGTAAGTTTGTTGGGTGTTTGTGGACAGCCATGTCATATATGTTGTAGCGAAATTCCCACCTTCGACTCCATACGGAGGATGAGCTTATCTTACTCGGGCAAGCGTTTACTTGTTATGTCTGATGGCAGTGTACAGTGTCATGTTCTTCCTATAATCTTGCACCTTACTTATTACATGCTTTCATTCTAGATGCCACCACGCCTGTTCCTAGTTTACCCTACCTCGCTTGTCCCATTGCACACATTCTACCTTCCAGATGAGACGGAATACCCAATTGATGGCCAGTTTGGAATTCGGAGCTCTGCCCTCGTGGCAGATGGGTCCGAGGAAGATCAAATCATTATTTGCGCTAACAAACGTAAGGCCTCCGATCACTGAATATATATCCCCCAGTGCTGACACTTGATTCTAACCCCTTAATCTGTAGGAGGGAAAGTTTTCATATGGCACCGGGAGTCGTATCGCCTCCTGCACCCGTTCACAATCTCGATTCCTGGAAGCGCTGAAGTCAGTGGGGTGACTTAGGCTGTGAGCGCTTGGCGGACTACAGCTATCTCAGGATAGTAGCTGCATGCACCGATGGAACCGGCATTATGCGGAGCACGACATGGAATCATCTTAATCCTCCCATCCTCACTGACGAATTACCGCAAGCGACCAGTGCAGCTACTGGAGGATCAACTACCGAAGAAGTTATTGAAGGGGCGGATGGAGGTGTCAACGAACTTGAGATTGTTATGGAGGTTTGGGTCGCGTGCAAATCAATCCCTCCATCATGCATGGCGCCGGCCCTCCGACTTCTCATACTATTCGTTACTCTTGTGGTCCAGTACCCCGATCGTAGGACCTATATACCAAATGCTAAATGGAGGAAATATTATCTCGGTGGTATGGCACGATCGCTTCTTTGCATGTATTACACTTCCCTGGGCCTCAGTTAGATAGTCATTACATATCGACATTCTTTGTGAAGTTCCTGTTCTGACCTTACTGCAAATCCCCTGTTTCTTTTCCAACTGGCTACAGAAACAAAACACTTAAATATGATGTTCGGTCCCGGCCCGCGCGCGGTATCCTTGCCAAAATTGGAAATAGATTCTCACGACCAGTTTAATTGCAAGCGCATACAGACTGGGCGACAACGCACTTGCGCTACTAGATTGTAGTCGAAGATCGGGAACTGATGGGCCTTAGGCCAACTGCAGAGTAGGTTATCGACTACCCCGTTTGGCAGATATTGTAGAATCGACCACTCACTAGGGTTCCTCTCAAGGCAAAAGTGGACACAATTGAATGAGAGGCCTCAACTGGCATTTCTACACGCGCGCCATGTATTTCCAATGAATGGCTGATCTTTGTCCTAACCAGCAGCCTTCATATCTGTGAGTCGGGCTTGCCACTGTGAAGCAGCGGACTTACCTTCACCCAAGTCTCTCCTCGTCAGCACATTCGAGTTCCCCACTTCACTTTCAGGAGGATTTCACCAGCGCCATCTAACGGAACACTTACAATCTCCATCAAGCCCCGGAACTGCAGGAGTGTCTGGCTAATCCACCCTCAGAACCATCACCCACGCAAGTCAATATGGCGGCAGAGGATGATAGGGATGTTTTCCTGGCGTGCCTCAAGGAATTTAAGGAGCTCGGTCAGAAGCTGGACCGCATCATCACCTCAGCTGAACGTCAGAAGCCTGATCGCACCCTCGTCTCAGCTGAACTAGTGAGCGATGTTGCTCACCCATGTACGAATCCTTAACTATCCCTCTCTGAGTGCACCTTCGGATGACTTAATTCTATCATTGTTAGCACATTCTGGCCCGGGAAATGAGGAAATCGAGGATATCGAGTTTGAGGGATTTCAGCGGTAAGGAAACCCGGTCAACTTGTGACGAAACCCATCATCGAACTGGCCGCTGATCCCCCTTGTAGCGGGATGGCGAAGCTCAGCAGAGCCGTGACACACATCGCCGACACTGTCAAGAATCTCAAATCCGCGTATCATCTGATTCGAATATCGGAAGAATTTCGCTCTCGCTTGGCGTTCGTTTTCCGTATTCTGCCCCTCATTGCTTCTCCATCATCAAGTGCCAAACTGAAGAAGCAGTGGCTTGATCGGCCATTACCATCCTTACCCATGCAGTTTTGGACGCCAGCCCAAGTCATCCGCGAGAGTATTTATCTTGATGAGACTATCACTAGTACTCCCGATCGGAAAGCTCTCTCCACGGGACTTCAGAAGCTTGGGCAAGGAGTTGATGTCTTCAATGCTGCATTGAAAGGCCTTCCTGGGTTTCATGATATTCCAGGCTATAACGCAAAGGAGATTGACCTCTCATTGCAAAATTTCGCTCAAGACCTGAAATATTGGGGTCGTAACTTGGACAACTTCCGTGGCTAGTTTTCTTGTTCTCATATCATATCCGATATCCCGGTAACTAAATCGATCAACCCAATGTCACAGGGGAAACACTTTCGCACCACGTTCGGGCGCACGTCGCCACCATTCCGGAAAAAATAGCAAAACATCTAGTTGGGGTCACAGGCGCTCTTGATATATTCATTCACTTGGGTCAGTGTCCTTGCATTAATTTGTCACTACCACATTGATAAGGTGTATGACAGGTTTGCCGATTATATTACGTTCTGAACGGGATTCAACATTTCAAAATTTGTCAACAGTCGCAGCACTCTTTGCGAGTGTATCCGCAACGACGATTCAATTCAGGCGAGTTTGTTCGAACTTGTGCTTTAGGACGCGCCGCGACAACTCTGCTGCCATGATCTAGCTACACACAATCGGGTACGGGGATCGAACAGGCAGTCAACGTCCTCTGGATCGTCTCGCTTGTTTTTGCCATTGCGAGTGCCATCAACAGTCAACTGAGTTATCAGTAAGTTTGGAACATGCCGATCCGAGTTTACGCATTCATCTCCTTTAGATGGACCTCAGTTGTATTCTCGACTCCGATGTCGGCGCTCTCATGGTGGGGATCCCTGTGGATTCGCCGGATGCCTCTCATCTTTCTTATTCTATCCGTAATATCGTTAGTGAGCTTCCGTCGTCACAATGACAGGCCCATATCATGAGTTTTCCACTCTAGGTTCTCCGTGGGCATTGTGTGCTTCACATTCTCTAATTTTGCAAGTCACCCAATCATCCCAGTCTGTGTTACGGTTGCTTCAGTAATCTCGGCAGCAGCACTGTTCTACGTCGGACTCTGGTTCATTGTAGAGTATCTTGCATTTGGGAGCAGAAAGAAGACAGGGGTACGCCTATCAGCCTCTAAATATTAACAAGCCGTTAATTTTTCTGCCGCACGTAAGGACGAACTTGATTATTTGTCCGGTTCAGCATGGGATTTGGTGAGCAATTGGGTTCTGAAAGTTCTTCGAAGGTGAGTCCGGGTCAAGAGTAAATCTCTGTTTCTAATTTCTCCATTTTGATGCGGACGAAATTGTGACCCGACTTGTCTCGTATCTCATACCAAGGGCCTATCGCTCAGCTGCACTGTGGTACTCTATATATCAAGAGTGGTTCCTCCTGATCATCGGGTATCTGCTCTTACTGATTTGCGTGACATATGATGGGGCTAATTGTGTTCAGTATCGCTGTCTTGCCTATAACCTTAATCGTCATCTTCTGTCTTTTTCTTTACGCGAAATTCAGCATAGAGATCGACAAAATATGGGGAGATGTCTGTGATTGGTTTCGGCGGATTAAGAATCTCGCACAAAATTGGTGCCAACAACGCTTAACCACACGCCCTTCCATTCTCCCTACGACGTCCAATACCTCAGCCAGGCGAATTGCGATGGAGACGCGAGAAGATGATGACCAATCGCCGTCCAATGTTGGAGGTCAGCCCTGCTCACCTATCGTCCTGCACATGAATGACCCATCCGACACACTCGCAGGTAATGATGCCGATGCACATGCGGTCGCTCAGCTCAAACAGAATATCAGGACGATCCACCAGAGCTTGGAACTAGGCGAGGGTCCCTCAAACCCAACTTCTCCCATCCAGAAATTTCGTCGTGCAGTCATCAAAGTAATCATCGAAAAACGTCATACTAGGGCGGAGGTCAAAAAGAAGATGGATTCAATGGAACCGGCACTGGAGTTTTTATCTCCAACTTCGTTGCCACGGGAGCACAAGGCAATGATCCATGACATTCACTTTGATCGCGACGGCCGTTACTGTGGGTGAACCCGTCTTTGTAGATCGCTGAATATCAACATGGGCGTAGTTGTTACTTTTTCAGCGCATGAAAACGATGTATTCATCTGGGAAGCGAACCAACTGGAAGTGAAGGTCGTCAAGCGAGTGAATTTGCGGCGCGGATATGATCTCTGGTCTGGAGATCATATGGAAACAATTCAAGTAATGTTGTTGAGAGAGAGTCGTGTGGTAATAATTCGAGTATATCTGACCAGCTAACCCCAAGTGTCAACTGCACGATCTCATATTATCTATCAGGCATCGTGGCTTCAGCAACTTCAGCAACTTCAGCAGTTGTGGCGGCCGCGGTGGCTTCTGCGGCTCCTGGAGCTTCTCCCTCTTCCGCGGCGTCAGCAGCTTCTGGAGCCTCGCCGGTTTGAAGACCCGTTTCAGGCAATTCAACAGGCGTTGCGGGTTGTGGGGTTGGTGAGACTTCTGGTGATTCTGGGGTCTCAGGGGCTTCAGGGACTTCAGATAAAGTGCATCAACTGGGTTCCCAAGGTCGGTAGGAATTTTTCAGGGTGGGAAGAGCGCACATCCAAGGCTGCCCACTCTTGATTTAGGATTTGGACTGAACCCTTTACAGGGTATGCCTCTCCCTGTTGCAGGGAATCTTGACTATGCACTTGAGGATGCTGTTCTCACCCGGGACGGAACCAAGTGAGCTTCTATTCATATAGCAGAATATGATGTCAGTAAGCTGAATTTCGTTATGCAGGTTATTGGGAATAGCTATAGTGAGTGTAACAGCAGACAAAAATTATCCGAAGCCATCAAAATCCCCTTCAGAATGTCGAATCATTAGTAAGCGTATTGGTGATGATAAGAGAAAAACTCGTTAATATCATTGCAGTCTATGATGTCGGGACAAAGAAGACTATTTTGTAAGTTTGTTGGGTGTTTGTGGACCAGCCAACTCATATATGTTGTAGCGAAATTCCCACCTTCGACTCCATACAGAGGATGAGCTTATCTCACTCGGGCAAGCATTTGCTTGTTTTGTCTGATGGTAATGTACAGTGTCACGTTCTTTCTATAATCTTGCACCTTACTTATTACATGCTTTCATTCTAGACGCCACCGCGCTTGTTCCGAGTTTACCCTACCTGGCTTGTCCCATTGCACACATTTGACCTTCCAGATGCAGATGGGAAGTACCCTATCTATGGCCAGTTTGGGATTCGGAGCCCTGCCCCCGTGGCAGATGAGTCCGAGGAAGATCAAATCATTATTTGCGCTAACAAACGTAGGGCCCCGATCACTGAACGTTCCCTAGTATGTGCTCACACTTGATTCCAACCCCCTAATGTGCAGGAGGGGAAGTCTTCATATGGCACCGCAAATCGTATCGCCTCCTGCACTCGTTCACGATGATTCCTGGAAGCGCCGAAGTCAGTGGGGTGACTTTCGGCCGTGAGCGCTTGAAGGACTACAGCTATCTCAGGGTGGCAGCTGCATGGACCGATGGAACTGTCACCATGTGGAGCACGAAATGGGATCACCCCGATTCTCCTGTCCTCACGGACATATTTCCGGGAGCAAGCGAAGAAGCCACTGGAGGAACCATTGAAGAAGTTGCTGAAGGGGTTGGTGAAAGCGTCGCCGTTAGAGAAGTTTAAGTCGTTCACAAGTCCCTCCCCTTCGTTGTCACCTTTCCTATTATCACCCGATTCCGAGTATCATTATATCTCTGTAGCTCCTGTGATCCAGTTTCCTGAGGCCCAAGATCTATCTAAAGAAGGTACCTTTTCAAAAATCCCCCTCGGGAGTGCACTGCGATTACTCCCTTGCATGGAGTACACCGTCTTGTTCCTTGGTCACTTTCATCCGCATTGCGATGTGCTGACCCTTCAATGACGCCTTTGATCGCTCATTAAACCATTTGGCTAAGCTCTAGTGGCAGATCACGCGCTCCTTGAATTAGAGTATATAGTACATTCCACATGTTCTCATTGCATAAGCTAACCGTAAGCGTTCACCGTGCTGCCCTTGCTCCAAGCTAATTAGCCTCCACACGCGCAATCTCCTTACCTTATTCTCCTCGTTCCAGGCCGGTTGACCCTCAATGTCAACAAAGTGTAGCCTGGAACAAATGCGAAATTCTTACCAAGTTCAACGAGGAACAGTGGGTTTGGGGTGATTAATCAATCATGCACAAGGGGCAATACTTTCGGAGTGAAATCCTTACTCAGGATGAGGGAGTTCTTCTTTCGGGATGTCAGTCTAAAGTACTGAAGTGAAGCATCCAATCATCCTCTAAATGGACCCCGGCCTTTTGAGACATTCCGGGCTGCAACGAAAGAACTTCGATTGCCTGTGGTTCAACTGAGGTCAGTTTTTACTCGGGCGGTCAGCGATAAATCAGCCAAGACGATGTAAGAGCGCGTACTCAAGTTCTGCTGCATCATCGCTCGGGCGTCGGCAAGTATCCGACGTGACATGAATTATCAGGGGGGGCACTCAGGCTACTCGCCTCATCTTCCCTCCATGTTCTCCTCAGCTTGAGCTCGAAGTGCTGCTGGCATGCGGTACGGCAGGCCAGGTACAGCATCACCACTACAGATGAAAGTGGAAGGAAGTGGACTCAGCTTATGTCCAGCACCGTTGGTTTAGCAGATGCCATGGAGGATGCGTACCCTCGCAAGCGCATAGTCCTCAAATGACAATGCAAACACTTTCCGTTAAGGCACTGTCCACGACAAAATTAGCGTCAGTGGCCCTAGCTTCCACAAGCCGAGGTGCATTCCTTTTAGTTTCTGACTCCGGTCAACATGGGATGATCAGCGATCAACACCCCCATATTCTTAGCCGACCGCAATCTTTCTCTGAAGCACGGTGAGCCATGCGATTAAAACCTCTTCACACAAAAACTCATCGGCATCAACCACCTCCAAACCACAGCCTCCATTACTTCCACGTACATTCTGCCCTCCGCCAGTCCGCCACCCGAGGAATTGGCAAGCTCGACAGCTGGAAAAAATACCGCTGTCCGAATTGATCCTGTTAGATAACATGGCACATGTTTGTATGTACGCCCTCGCGAGGAGCTGCATGCACAAGCGCCGTTTAAGTTGAGCGCCGCAGTTGAGACTGGTCTTAAGATATGTCAACATGAAAGAATGCACATTGAGGAGGGAAACAGAAAGGGTTCCAATCATGCTCAGCAGCACAGACACACATTCAACTCGTCAGTGACGAGTGCCGTCCTTCAGGGTGATAAGAGTCTGGCTTCGAGTAGGACCTGTGCCTCTCCACTACTTGCTAGTCTAACACGTCGGCATCTCCAAATATGTGCAGAGAAGGTCCGGAGAGCCTGCAGACTCGCAACCGAACGCCATCCCACTGACTTGAGCGCCTCTCGAAATCCTGAATGAATGCAGGGATATAATCGCTCAGCAAGCACCTGGTACCAGGGCGATCCACTGGAAGGACAATGGAACCGGCGCTAAAGTCAACTTAGTCATCACGGAAACATATGACAGTTCATGACATTAATTCAGATGACAACGGCCGTTACAGTAGGTCAAACTCATCTCTTGTAGAACCCCCGGTTGTTACTTTTTCACGGAAAAGCTATGGTAATCTGGGAAGTACACGGTATGACGTACGTCAGCCATACGATCTCATGATGATCTAAAGCATCCAAAGCCGCACGCCCTTGATTTAGAATTTGGACTCAAGGTTTTGGTCCCGGCCCGGTATCCTGGAAATAAATTCTCACAATCAGTTTGCACAGACTGGGCGACACACACTTGCGCTACCAGATTGTAGTCGAAGATCAGGCATTGATAGTAAGTATCGACTACCCCGTTTGGCAGATAACGTAGAATCGACCACTCACTAGGTTTCCTCTCAAGGAAAAAGTGGAAACCGAGTAACAATTGAATGAGAGGCCTCAACCATACGCAAACCATGTATTCCCAATGAATGGCTGATCCTTGTCGACTCCTAACCGGTAGCCTTGACATCTGCGAGTCGGGCTTACCTCTGTGAAGTAGTGGACTTCCCTCACCCAAGTCTCTCTTCGTCAGCACATTAGAGTTCCCCAATTCACTTCAGGAGGATTTCACCAGCGCCATCTAACGGAACATTTACAACCTCCATCAAGCCCCTAAACTGCAGGAGTGTCGTTTCTTTGATGGCTAATCCACCCCCGGAACCATCACCCACGCAAGTCAACGTGGCGGCAGAGGATGATAGGGATATTTTCCTGGCCTGCCTCAAGGAATTTAAGGAGCTCGGTCAGAAGCTGGATCGCATCATCACCTCAGCTGAACGTCAGAAGCCTGATTGCACCCTCGCCTCAGCTGAACTAGTGGGCGATGTTGCTCATCCATGTACGAATCCTTAACTATCCCTCTCTGAGTGCACCCTCGGACGACTTAATCTTTGTCAGCACATTCTGGCCCGGGAAATGAGGAAATCGAGGATATCCAGTTTGAGTTTGAGGGATTTCAACGGTAAGGAACCCGGTCAACTTGTGACGAAACCCATCATCGAACTGGCCGCTGATCCCCCTTGTAGCGGGATGGCGAAGCTCAGCAGAGCCGTGACACACATCGCCGACACTGTCAAGAATCTCAAATCCGCGTATCATCTGATTCGAATATCGGAAGAATTTCGCTCTCGCTTGGCGTTGGTTTTCCGTATTCTGCCCCTCATTGCTTCTCCATCATCAAGTGCCAAACTGAAGAAGCAGTGGCTTGATCGGCCATTACCATCCTTACCCATGCAGTTTTGGACGCCAGCCCAAGTCATCCGCGAGAGTACTTATCTTGATGAGACTATCACTGGTACTCCAGATCGGAAAGCTCTCTCCACGGGACTTCAGAAGCTTGGCCAAGGAGTCGATGTCTTCAATGCTGCATTGAAAGGCCTTTCTGGGTTTCATGATATTCCAGGCTATAACGCAAAGGAGATTGACCTCTCATTGCAAAATTTCGCTCAAGATCTGAAATATTGGGGCCGTAACTTGAACAACTTCCATGGCTAGTTTCTTGTTCTCATATCGAATCCGATCCCGGTAACTAATCGACCAACCCAATGTCACAGGAGAAACACTTCCGCACCACGTTCGGGCACACGTCGCCATCATTCCGGGAAAAATAGCAGATCACCTAGTTGGGGTCACAGGCGCTCTTGAGACATTCATTCACTTGGGTCAGATCCTTGCATTGACTGTCACGACCATATTGATATAAGGTGTATGGCAGGTTTGCCGATTGTATTACGTTCTGAACGGGATTCGACATTTCAAAATTTGTCGACAGTCGCAGCCCTCTTTGCGAGTGTATCCGCAACGACCATTCAATTCAGGCAAGTTTGTTCGAACTATTGCTTTAGAACGCGCCGTGACAACTTTGCTTGCCATGATCCAGCTACACACAAGCGGGTACGGGGATCGAACAGGCAGTCAACGTCCTCTGGATCGTCTCGCTTGTTTTTGCCATTGCGAGTGCCATCAACAGTCAACTGAGTTATCAGTGAGTTTGGAGCATGCCGATCCGAGTTTACCCAATCATCTCCTTTAGATGGTCTTCAGTAGTATTCTCGACTCCGATGTCGGCCCTCTCATGGTGGGGATCCCTGTGGATTCGCCGAATGCCCCTCATCTTTCTTGTTCTCTCTGTAATATCGTTAGTGAGCTTCCGTCATCAGGATGACTGGCTTATACAATGAGTTTTCCACTCTAGGTTCTCCGCGGGCATTGTGTGCTTCACATTCTCTAATTTTGCGAGTCACCCGATCATCCCAGTCTGTGTCACGGCTGCTTCAGCAGTCTCGGCAGCAGCACTGTTCTACGTTGGACTCTGGTTCATTGTAGAGTATTTTGTATTTGGGAGCAGAAAGAAGACAGGGGTACGCTCAACAGCCTCTGAATATTGTCGACCTGTTTCTGACAAATGATTTTCCCGCCGCACGTAAGGATGAACTTGATTATTTGTCTGGTTCAGCATGGGATTTGGCGAGCGATTGGATTCTGAAAGTTCTTCGAAGGTGAGTCAGGGCCAAGAGTAGAGAACTGTTTTTCTAATTTCGTGGATGAAATCGTGACCCGACTTGTCTCGTATCTCGTACCAAGGGCCTATCGGCCAGCTGCACTGTGGTGCTCTTATAATCGAGATTGGTTCCTCCTGATATTCGGGTATCTGCTCTTACTGATTTGCTTGACATATGATGGGGCTAATTGTGTCTAGTATTGCCATCTTGCCTATGACTTTAGTCATCATTTTCTGTCTCTTTCTTAACGAAAAGTTTGGCATAGAGGTCGGCGAAGTATGGGGGCATGTTTGCGATTTCTTTCGGCAGCTTAAGGATCTTGCATGGAATTGGTGCCGGCGACGCTTAACCAGACGCAGTTCCATTCTTCCTACGACGTCCGATACTTCAAGCCAGCACAATGCGATGGAGACGCGAGAAGATAATGACCAACCGCGGTCCAATGTTGGAGGTCAGCCCTACGCATCTATCGTCCTGTACACGAATGACCCTACTCCCTGAATCCGACACACTCGCAGGTAATGATGCTGAGGCACATGCTGTCGCTCAGCTCAGACTGAATATCAGGATGATCCAACGGAGCCTGGAACTAGGCGATGGTCCCTCGAACCCAACTTCTCCCATCCAAAAATTTCGTAGTGCGGTCATCAAAGTAATCATGGAAAAACGTCATGCCAGGGCGGAGGCCAAACAGAAGATGACATCGGCACTACAGTCCTTATCTCCAACTCGGTTGCCACGGGAACACAAGACAATGATTTATGACATCAACTTTCACGACGACCATTACCGTAGGTCAAACCCGTCTTTGTAAAAACAAGATTAACATGGATATAGTTATTACTTTTTCAGGGCACGAAGACGATGTATTAATCTGGGAAGCGAACCAAATGGAAGCGAAGGTCGTTGAGCGAGTGAATTTTCTGCGGCACGGATCGTCTGAGGGTCACATGGAAACAATTCAAGTCATGTTTTTGAGAGAGAATTTAGTGTTCATAATTAGTGTATGTCTTACCAGCTAACCCCAAGCATCACCTGCACGGTTTCATATTGTCCACCAGGGGTCGTTTCTTCAGCAGTCGTCGCCACTGCAGCTGCAGTTCTGGCGGCTGCGGCGGCATCTCCTGGCGCTTCTGAGGCCTAAGGTATGACTCTCTGTCGTCTCTGCATATGATTCTTCTGGAGGTTTTGGGGTCTTTGGTGCTTCAGTGGCTTCAGTGGGATTCTATAGAGCGTGTCAGATGGGTTCCTGAGGTTGGTAGGGATTTTTCAGGGTGGGAAGAGCGCAATCCAATGCCACCCGGCGCCCACTCTTGATTTAGGATTTGGACTGAAGCCTTACAGGGTACACGTCTCCCCTTTTTAGGATTTGTTGACTACGCACTCGAGGATGCTGTTCTCACCCAGGATGGAACCAAGTGAGCTCATATTCATACAACACATGATGTCAGCAAGCTGGATTTTATTATGCAGGTTATTGGGGATAGCTACAGTGAGTGCCACGGCGGACAAAGATTATCTCAAGCCATCAAATTCCCCTTCAGAATGTCGAATCATTAGTAAGCGTATTGATGATGATGATAAGAGAGAAACTCGTTAATACCATTGCAGTCTATGATGTCGAGAAGAAGAAGACTATTTTGTAAGTTTGTTGGGTATTTGTGGACCAATCATGTCATATATGTTGTAGCGAAATTCCCACCTTTGACTCCATACGGAGGATGAGCCTATCTTACTCGGGCAAGCGTTTACTTGTTATGTCTGATGGCAATGTACAGTGTCACGTTCTTTCTATAATCTTGGACCTTACTTTTCATTCTAGACGCCACCACGCCTGTTCCTAGTTCACTCTACGTGGCTTGTCCCATTGCACACCTTCTACCTTCAAGATGAGACGGAATACCCAATTTATGGCCAGTTTGGAATTCGGAGCCCTGCCCTCGTGGCAGATGGGTCCGAGGAAGATCAAATCATTATTTGCGCTAACAAACGTAAGGCTCCGATCACTGGACGTCCCCTAGTGCTCACACTTAATCCCAACCCCCTTAATGTGTAGGAGGGAAAATCTTCATATGGCACCGCGAATCGTATCACCTCCTCCACTCGTTCGCAATTTCGATTCCCAGAGGCGCCGAAGTCAGTGGGGTGACTTTTGGCTGCGAGCGCTTGGTGGACTACAGCTATCTCAGGGTGGCAGCTGCATGCACCGATGGAACCGTCATCATGTGGAGCACGAAATGGGATCACCCCGATTCTTCTGTCCTCACTGATGTACTTCCGGGAGCAAGCGAAGAAGCCACTGGAGGAACTATTAAAGAAGTTACTGAAGGGGCTGGTGAAAGCGTCGCCGAAAAGACTGTTATAGAAGTTTAAGGTCGTTCACAAGTCCCTCCCCTTCGTTGCCACCTTTCCTATTATCACCCAATTCCGAGTGTCATTGTATTTCTGTGATCCAGTTTCCTGAAGCTCAAGATCTATCTAAAGAAGGTACCCCCAACAATCCCCGTCGGGAGTGCACTGTGATAACCCCCTTGCATGGAGTACACCGTTTTGTCCCTTAGCCACTTCGATCTGCATTGCGATGTGTTGACCCTTCAGGGATGTCTTTAATCACTCATTGAATCATTTGTGTACGCTGTTGAAATCTTGGTTTTTTTGGGAGTTATAGTGCGCGGTGGCCAACTCACAATGATGTTGAGCTAGCGGCGCTATATTTCCTTTCTTGGTATTCCTGCTACCAAAGTCAGTGCGCTGCGCCATTGAGGCGACTGCTTATAAAAGCAGTGAACAATTTTTCACTTTCGTCTCCCTCAGTTCAACAACGATTGACTGAGGTGAGACTGCGCTTTTACCACATGTTTGTCTTGTCACTCATGTATCCTCATGTGCCCTAGCGTAAATCGCTACTATCCTAATATACGCTCCAGTGACAGATCAGAAAATTGACGCACTCCTTGAATTAGAGTATGTTACATTCCATATATTCTCATTAAGCTAATCATGAAAGTTGCGCTTGCTTCAAGCTAATTACCCTCCGTTCCTGATTATCCTTGTTCCAGGCCGGTTGACCGTCAATGTAACCTGGGACAAATGCGAAATTCTTACCAAGCCCAACGTATAAGCGGAGGAACAGGGGGCTTGGGTGATTAACGTACACCAAGGGGCAATTATTCCGGAGTGAAATCCTTACTCAGGATGAGGGAGTTCTTTTTTCGGGGTGTCAGTCAAAAGTACTGAAGTGAAGTGGGCATCCTAAATGGATCTCGGCATTTTGAAACATTCCGGACTGCAACGAGAGAACTTCGATTACGTGTGGTTGCATGAATTGTTAGGGGGCCACTTTGGCTACTCACCTCCATGTTCTCCTCAGTGTGAGCTCAAAGTGCCGGCATGCGGTACGGCACTCTATACATGAAAGTGGAAAGATCAACTGAACTCAGCTGATGTCCAGCACCATTGACTTAGCAGAAGCCATGGGGGATGCGTACCCTCGCAAGCGCATAGCACAGCGAACCATGCGATTAAGGAGTAACTCCTTCATGCAAAAACTCATCGGCATCAATCACCTCCAAACCTCAGCCTCCATTACCTCCACGTACATTTCTTCCTCAGCCTTCGCCACCCAAGGAACTGGTAAGCTCGACGGCTGGTAATATAAAAAATACCACCGTCCGAACTCATCCTAACATTCTTGTAATTCAATATGAGATGGCACGAGGAGCTGCATGCACAAACGCTGTTTAAGTTGAGCGCCGCAGTTGAGACTGGTTTTGAAATATGTCAACATGAAAAAATGCACATTGAGCAGGGAAACAGAAAGAGTTCCAATCATGCTCGGCAGCACAGACACACATTCAACTTGTCAGTGACGAGTGCCGTCCTTCACGGTGATAAGAGTCTGGCTTCGAGTAGACCTGTGCCTCTCCACTACTCGCTAGTTTAACACATCAGCATCTCCCAACACGTGCAGAGAAGGTCCGGAGAGTCTGCAGACTCGCAACCGAACGCCATCCCACTGACTTGAGCGCCTCTCGAAATCCTGAATGGATGCAGGGATATAACCGCTCAGCAAGCACCTGGTACCAGGGCGATCCACTGGAAGAACAATGGAACCGGCGCTAAAGTCAACTTAGTCATCACGGACACATATGACAGTTCATGACATTAATTCAGATGACAACGGCCGTTACCGTAGGTCAAACTCATCTCTTGTAGAACCCCCGGTTGTTACTTTTTCACGGAAAAGCTATGGTAATCTGGGTACACGGTATGACGTACGTCAGCCATACGGTCTCATGATGATCTAAAGCATCCAAAGCCGCACGCCCTTGATTTAGAATTTGGACTCAAGGTTTTACTCAGATATGATGATTCAACGGTAGTCCCGGCCCGAGGCGTCCTTTGCTAAAATTAAAAATAGATTCTCACCACCAATTTGCAAGCCCGTACAGACTGGGCGACACGCACTTGCGCTACTAGATTGTAGTCAAAGATCGGGCACTGATAGGCCTTAGGCCATTGAGGAGTAAGTATCGACTACCCCGTTTGGCAGATAACATAGAATCGACCACTCACTAGGGTTCCTCTCAAGGAAAAAGTGAAAACCGAGTAACAATTGAATGAGAGGCCTCAACCGGCATTTCTACGCGCGGGCCAGCTTCTATCATAGATTTCCAATGAATCGCTGGTCTTTGTCCTACCGGCAGCCTTGATAGGGGCTTATCACTGCGAAGTAGTGGACTGCCCTCACCCAAGTCTCTCCTCGTCAGCACATCACTGTAGAGTCCCACTAGCTTCACTTCAGGACAATTTCATCAGCGCGCACCATCTAACGGAACATTTTTACAACATCCATCAGTAGGAGTGCCGCTTCCTTGATGGCTAATCCACCCCCAGAACCAACACTCACGCAACAAGCCAACGTCACAGCAGAAAATGATAGGGATATTTTCCTGGCCTGCCTCAAGGAATTTAAGGAGCTCGGTCAGAAGCTGGATCGCATTATCACCTCAGCTGAACGTCAGAGGCCCGATCCCATCCTCGCCTCAGCTGAACCAGTGAGCGATATTGCTCATCCATGTACGAATTATTAACTATTCATCTCTGAGTGCACCTTCGGATAACTGAATTCTGTTTTTGATAGCACATTCTGGCCCAGGAAATGTGGAAATCGAGGGTACCCAGTTTAAGGCATTTCAGGGGTAAGGGGGACCCGGTTGTCAACACTTCCCATCCTCGAACTGAACCCGCTGAACTTTCCACCTCTGTAGCGAGATGGCGAAACTCAGCAGTGCCGTGAAACGCATCGCCGACGCTGTCAAAGATCTCAAATCCGCGTATCATCTGATTCGAATATCGGAAGGATTTCGCTCTCGCTTGGCGTTGGTTTTCCGTATTCTGCCCCTCATCGCTTCCCCATCATCAAGTGCCAAACTGGAGAAGCATTGGCTCGATCCGCCATTACCATCTGTACCCATGGACCATTGGACGCCAGCGCAAGTCATCCGCCAGGGTACTCACCTTGATGAGACTATCACCAGCAATCCCGATCAAAAAATTCTCTCCATGGGGCTTCAGAAGTTTGGCCAAAGAGTTGATGTCTTCAATGATGCGTTGAAAGGCCTTCCTGGGTTTCATGATATTCCAGGCTATAACGCAAAGGAGATCGACCATTTATTGCGAAATTTCGCTCAAGATCTGGAATATTGGGGTCGCAACTTGGACAACTTCCATGGCTAGTTTCTTGTTCTTATATCGAATCCGATCCCAGTAACTAGTCGACTAATCCAATGTCACAGGGATCACACATTTGCACCACGTTAAGGCACACGTCGCCACCATTCCGGGGAAAATAGCAGGTCATCTAGTTGAGGTCACAGGCGCTCTTGAGACATTCATTAACTTGGGTCAGTGTCCTTGCATTGATTGTCACTACCATACTGATAAGGTGTATGGCAGGTTTGCCAATTGTATTGCGTTCTGAACGGGATTCAACATTTCAAAATTTGTCGACAGTCGCAGCCCTCTTTGCGAGTGTGTCCGCAACGACCATTCAATTCAGGCAAGTTTGTTCGAACTTGTGCTTTAGAACGCGTGACAACTTTGTTGCTGTGATCTAGCTACACCCAAGCAGGTACGGGGATTGAACAGGCAGTCAACGTCCTCTGGATCGTCTCGCTTGTATTTGCTATCGCGAGTGCCATCAACAGCCAACTGAGTTATCAGTGAGTTTGGAGCACGCCGATCCGAGTTTACCCAATCATCTCCTTTAGATGGTCCTCAGTAGTATTCACGACCCCGATGTCGGCTCTCTCATGGTGGGGATCCCTATGGATTCGCCGGATGCCTCTCATCTTTCTTGTTCTATCCGTAATATCGTTAGTGAGCTTCCTTCAACAGGATGACTGGCTTATACAATGAGTTTTCCACTCCAGGTTCTCTGCAGGCATTGTGTGCTTCACATTCTCTACGTTTGCGAACCAGCCGGTCATCCTAGTCTGTGTCACGGCTGCTTCAGCAGTCTCGGCAGCAGCACTGTTCTACGTTGGACTCTGGTTCATTGGAAAGTATTTTGTGTTTGGGAGCAGAAAAAAGACAGAGGTACGCCCAGCAGCCTCTGAATATCATTGAGCCGTTTCTGACAAATTTTCCTGTCACCGTTAGCACGAACTTGATTATTTGTCCAGTTCAGCATGGGATTTGGCAAAGGATCGGGTTCCGAAAGTTCTTCAAAGGTGAGTCCGGGCCAAGAGTCGATATCTGTTTCTAATTTCTCCATTTCGATGCGGATGAAATCGTGACCCGATATCTCATATCAAGGGCCTGTCGGCCAGCTGTACTGTGGTGCTCTAAATATCAAGAGTGGTTCCTCCTGATATTCGGGTATCTGTTCTTACTGATTTGCTTGACATATGAGGGGGCTAATTGTGTCCAGTATTCCTGTCTTGCCTATAACTTTAGTCATCATTTTCTGTCTCTTTCTTTACGAAAAGTTTGGCATAGAGGTCGGCGAAGTATGGGGCCATGTTTGCGATTTCTTTCAGCAGGTTAAGGATCTCGCACGGAATTGGCACCAACGACGCTTAACCAGACGCAGTTCCATTCTCCCTACGATGTCTGATGCTCCAAACCAGCGCAGTGCGATGGAGACGCGAGAAGATAATGACGCACCACCGTCCAATGTTGGAGGTTAGCCCTACACATCTATCGTCCTGTACACGAATGACCCTACTCCCTGAATCTGACGCACTCGCAGGTAATGATGCTGAGGCACATGCGGTTGCTCAGTTCAGACTGAATCTCAGGACGATCCAACGGAGCCTGGAACTAGGCGATGGTCCCTTGAACCCAACTTCTCCTGCCCAGAAATTTCGTAGTGCAGTCATCAAAGTAATCAAGGGAAAACGTCATGCTAGGGCAGAACTCAGAAGGAAGACGGCATTAGCACTACAGTCCTTATCTCCAATTCGGTTGCCACGGGAGCACAAGGCGATGATCCATGACATTAACTTTGATCACGATGGCCGTTACCGTAGGTGAAATCCGTCTTTGTAAAAACAAGATTGCTGAATATCAACATGGATATAGTTGTTACTTTTTCAGGGCACGAAAATTATGTATTCATCTGGGAAGCGAACCAAATGGAAGTGAAGGTCGTTGAGCGAGTGAATTTGCGGCGGCGCGGATCTGATCTCTGGTCTGGAGATCACATGAAAACAATTCAAGTAATGTTATTGAGAGAGAATCGAGTGGCGATTAGTGAAGTATGTCTTACCAGCTAATTACGTCAAGTGTCAATTGCACGATCTCATATTGTCTACCAGGGATGGTTTCTTCAGGACTTGTGGCGGCATCTTCCGCCATTGTGGCTGCGGCGGCGGCAATTCTGGTGGCTGCGGCGGCAGTTCTGGCGCCTGCAGCGGCATCTCCTGGCGCTTCTGAGGCCTGAGCCTAGCTGGTATGGCGTTCAGGAAACTCTGCGGCTTCTGGATGTGGGTCTTCTGGAGATCCTGGTGCTTCAGGGGCTTCAGCCAGGTGCTATAAAGTGTCTCAACTGGGTCCCTGAGGTCAGTAGGAATTTTTCAGGGTGGGAAGAGCGCACATCCAAAGCCGCCCGCCACCCACTTTTGATTTAGGAGTCGGACTGAAACTTTTACAGGGCACGCATCACCCTTTTGTAGGAACTCTTGATTATGCACTCGAGGATGCTGTTCTCAGCCGGGACGGAACCAAGTGAGCTTCTATTCATATAACACATGGTGTCACAGAGCTGAATTTCATTATACAGGTTATTGGGAATAGCTACAGTGAGTGCAACGGTAGGCAAACATTATCTTAAGCCATCGAAACCCCCTTCAGAATGTCGAATCATTAGTAAGCATATTGATCATGATCATAAGCGAGAAACTCGTTAATATCATGACAGTCTATGATGATAAGACACAGAAGACTGTTTTGTAAGTTTGTTGGGTATTTGTGGACAGCCATGTCATATAATATGTTGTAGCGAAATTCCCACCTTCGACTCCATACGGAGGCTGAGCTTATCTTACTCGGGCAAGCGTTTGCTTGTTATGTCTGATGGCAATGTACAGTGTCGCATTCTTTCTATAATCTTGCACCTTGCTTTTTACGTGCTTTTAGACGCCACCTCGCTTGTTCCGAGTTCATCCTACGTGGCTTGTCCCATTGCACACATTCTACATTCCAGATGAGACGGAATACCCTATTTATGGCCAGTTTGGAATTCGGAGCCCTGCCCTCGTGGCAGATGAGTCCGAGGAAGATCAAATCATTATTTGCGCTAACAAACGTAGGGCTCCGATCACTGGACGTCCCCTAGTGCTCACACTTAATTCCAACCCCCCTAATGTATAGGAGGGAAAATCTTCATATGGCACCGCGAATCGTATCACCTCCTGCACTCGTTCACAATTTCGATTCCCAGAGGCGCTGAAGTCAGTGGGGTGACTTTCGGCTGTGAGCGCTTGAAGGACCACAGTTATCTCAGGGTAGCAGCTGCATGCACCGATGGAACCGTCATCATGTGGAGCACGAAATGGGATCACCCCGATTCTCCTGTCCTCACCGACGTATTTCCGAGAGCAAGCGAAGAAGCCACTGGAGGAACCATTGAAGGGGCTGGTGAAAGCGTCGCCGAAAAGACTGTTAGAGAAGTTTGAGCCGTTCACAAGTCCCTCCTCTTCGTTGTCACCTTTCCTATCGTCACCCCATTCCAGGTACTATTATATTTCTGTAGCTCCTGTCGTCCAGTTTCCTGAAGCTCAAGACCTATCCAAAGAAGCTACCTTTCACTCGGGAGTGCACTGTGATTACTCCGTTGCATGGAGTACATCGTTTTGTTCCTTGACCACTTCGATTCGCATTGTGATGTGTTGATCTTTCAAGGATGCCATTGAACCGTTTGTCCATGTTCTAGTGACAGATCAGACAATCGACGCGCTTCTTGAATTAATACTACATTCCGTACCATATTCCCATTATACTAACCATGAAAGTTCTGCTTACTCCAAGCTAATTACCCTCCGCGCGCATCCTCTTTACCTTATTCTCCTCGTTCCAGGCCGGTTGACCATCAGTGCCGAAAACCTGGGACAAATGCGAAATTCTCACCAAATTCAACGTCTTAGCGGAGGAACGGGGTGATTAATTAATCATGCAAAAGGGGCAATGCTTTCGGGGTGAAATCCTTACTCGGGATGAGGGAGTTCTTTCGGGATGTCGGTCTAAAGTACTGAAGTGAAGCATTCAATCCTACTCCACATAAATGGATCCCGGCATTAATTGAGCTGCAATGGGAGCTCGAAAACTCCGATTGTCTGTGGTTCAACTTATAACATGAAATGATGGACTAGCGAGTTATCGCTCAGTCCCGTTGTACATGAACTAGATTAAATTGGAGAATAATCACCTAGCGAGTTTATCGCTGGTGTACAAATACTCAATACATGATTTATGCGAGGCAGAAACAAATCACCAACTCACCTCAGTACCGTCGTACGTGAACGTGAACTGAGGAAAGGTTGGGTTGTACACAAAATGGGTTTTTATAGTCAGGCGCTATGAATGCGCACTGACTTTGGCACGGATGTCTCCAAGAAAGGTAATAGGCAAAAATCTAAGACGCCACATCACCATGCAAACGTGAGTTGGTCATAGCGTACGCCATGGTACCAAGAATTCCAACACAGCTGAGGTCAGTTTCTACTCAGAGTGGTCAGCGATAGGTCCGCCGAGACGATGTAGAAGCGCGTACGCGTGGTCATATGGAATCGTTGATTGGGGCGAGACTTTTGTCCTTCCAGCCACATTGTTTGCGCGATTTTCTCCCATGCATAAGCTAGCCACCCTTCTCTTTCACCCGACTGATGTTTTTTTCTGAAACGTTCTGTTTATACAAAGGAAGTTTCAAATCTTTACAGCATTGGCGCAGCGCAACTAAGTACTTTCTTAAGCGTATCAGGTCATTCGGGCTACGTACTGCACGGTTGGACTTGTTGCGACATCATATACTGAACAAGCTAACACCCTTATCACCTTCACTCCACTGATGAATTAGATCGATGGGTGCCGTGGGTATCTTAAAGAGGGTTAATGGGCGATACTGCATATTGCATGCACCTTAGTACGAAGCTCGTGATTAAGGTGTCGAGCACATTTGAAATACTATATACCACAGGATAATTTATTCCTCATACTCCTCCCCATCTTCTTCATATTCTCCATCTTCCTCATCATATTCGTCTGGTTGCTCATCGATCTCGAAAACAGTTACCTGGGACAAATATGAAGACGCCGCCAAGTCCAGAATCCACACATCGTCGAAAACAGCTTCACCTTCAAATCCGCCAAACAGGAATAAGCGAGAGTCGAAGAGCGCACATTGGTGGTAACCCCGAGAGGAAGGTGGACGACCCCCAACAGCTTTGGCTTCCCATTTGAGAGTCACTGAGAACGTTGACACAGTAAAAATCCACGAACCGACATGCGCAAAAAAATTCATTACCGAGGTTGAGGAGCCTGACATCGTGGGTGTACTTGACGCCGTCAACGTGCCCACCGACAACGAAGAGATAAGATCCGATTTGGGTGGAAGAATGGGCCAGAATTTTCCCCACCTCGTCCGGCTCATAGGGGAAATGTTTCCATTTTAGGGCGTCTGCGGCGTGACATGGACAACAGGCAACCAGAAATACAGAATCATCCTTCCGTCTGCAGAAAGACGAGACGGACCAGTCACTTACGAAGATCTAGCAACCAAACGTCATTGTAAGAGTTCGAACCGTCGCTCCCACCAATCACGACCATCGTGTTGTTGACCAAGTTCGCAGTATGATACCCTCTCGGAGTGGGTCTAGGCCCTTCGGCATGATCCATATGGCCCTGATGCGAGTTATACTTTGCAATGAGGGCACTGCTCGGGCCACCATAGCCTTTGAGTGGCAATGGGTTGCTATAAAGGCAAACCCAGCACCACTCTTCCGCAGGCTGAGTAATATCCAGAGCCCAGAGGTCTCCGAGAGCCTGGGTACCTGTTCCACCGCCAAAGACGTAAAGCCAACCATTAAAGAGTATGCAGGTATGCGCTCGTCGGGGCGGTGGGAGTAGGCCATGACACGTGAACTTTGTCCAGTTAAGAGTTACTGGTTGAGGTAAGGATGAGTATAAGCGAATCGCAGGCAGAAATCCTCTGCCTACTGGTGTCGAGATGATACAAATGATTATAATACACATTTCCGTCCCCTCCTCCAAAGACGAGAATGGAGGAGTTGACAGGGGTAGCACTGTGTGCTCTGCATGGTGGTGGTTTGTCACCTTGCGTGTCGGGATGTGACCACTCAAGCGTCTCTAGTGAAATGAAGATATAATGCGACTGAGTTAAATAATTTAGCGAAAGACGTTACCTAAGTCAAACGAATAAATGTCATTCCACACTCCCGATTCATCCATCCCGCCGAATATCCAAGCTATGGAATCGATCACGGTGACCGTACTGGCGCGAAATCCTCGTGTAGGCATGTGCCCATGCACGGGGGCTTTCGACCAATACATGGTTGCGCAGCTTATAGGATCAGAATGGAAGTGAGGGAGATGTGGGGTTTTTCGGATTCTGATATGTCGCTCGGCCGTCTTTTCGTCCAAAGGGTTACGGCTTGTGTGCCGAGATATCGCGCGGGAATGGGGCGTTCTATCACCAGATCTTGAGTCGGCGTCTTTTGGGAACGATTTGGTAGGTTTCAGTTCGGACGGTGATATTATACCAGCGGTTGAGCTTGGCGGTTCTTCAGGTGGCGGAGGCGGAGGAAGAAATGCAGGTGGAGGTAATGGAGGTTGAGGCTTGGGGGCGGTGGATCCTGATGAGTTTTTGCGCGAAGGAGTCGGCATCGGGTGGGCTAATTGCATGGCTCGCCGTGCTTCAGAGAAAGATTGCGGTCGGCTGAGAATGTGGGAGCTTTGATCGTCCACCCGATGTTGACCGGAGTCAGAAATTGAAAGGCTAGACGAAGAATGCGCCTCGACTTGTGGGGCGACTAGTGACGCTGAATTCGTCGCGGACGGCACTGTCTTTGGGGTGGACTCGACGGAAAGTGCATGCATTGGCATTTGGGGAACCATGCGCTTACGAGGGTACGCATCCCCCATGGCATCCGCTAAGTCAATGGTGCCAGACAAAAGCTGAGTTCCACTCCCCCCCGCTTCATCATCTTCATTTATAGAAGGGTGACGTTGTACATGCCGTACTGCATGCGAGCCACTTCGAGCTCGAGCTGATGATGAAGACATGGAGGGAAGACGAGACGAGTTTGGAGAGCTAATGTGCCCCTAGGTGACCCCGTAGTGATTCACGTAGACCCACCGCCTGGGGTCAAGACGCGTCGGATACTTGCTGACGATGGAGTAGCGGAAACAGTGGGCGAAGGTTCCCACAGACCCGTGATGCCTCGCAACTTACATCTTCCGATGAGCTCTGGCTCCAACACTATTCGGTCGACGCTGCTTTAGCATCCGAGGACAGCATAAGGATCGGTTCGGCATCTACATCATTCTATTGCTTCAGCGTAGCTCGTTTTCATGGCAAGTTTTGAACGCGAGCTAGTGAAAGGACTATCTCCTCAGTTGAGAGTGACATCGAGGTACCTGCTCTTCAATATTGCATGGACCTTCCTTGCGGGGCACGTATGTACTTCTCTCCCCTGAACACGGGTGATGTGAGTAAGCCGGCGTTCTATTGCAGTTCACCGGAAATTGGTCACAAGTGGATCGCTTCTGGCCCCTTCTCCCGCCTTTCTACACCGTGAGTGTTGTCTTACGTGATATTTTAAGCTCATAGTAGAGTCGTGATGCTATTTCTCCATATACAGGCTATATACGCGTTGTTCCCCTTATTCGGAAATTCTGCGTTGAAACTTAAGATTCAAAATGTCCAGCCACGACCTTTGTTGATGATGTTTCTTCAGGTCAGATACCCGGCCTATACTTCTGTGACACCATATGCTCAAGCGATCTCCTCGCTATAGTTCATTTGGTCCATAAGATTGACATATTACGCGTTCCGCAGAGGATTGTTGTCATTAAATGAGGAAGATTACCGTTGGCCAGTATTCAGGAAGATGGTCCCGAACAAAGCTTTCCAGATCATCTTCAATTTTGGCTTCGTCGGTATGCATCGGACCCTTCAGTTGGACTCATCTATTCCAACCAACTCCTACAGCGTTCTTCCAAAACTGTCTGCTTTACAGTCTTTCGGTACGCACATGGAAGGAATCGGAGGTGGTGCATTGACTCTTTCACACCTCCTAGCTACCTGCATACGCGGCTGCCTCCAAAGTTTCCCCGCTCCAATGCGGGGACGCGTTGCTTGCCGTCCTCGTTCTACTTTCTATCGCAGGAGAATCTATTGCTGACAATCAACAATGGGGTAAGGACCAGCAGGACTTATCCCTTGGCGGAGTGCACTAACTCCGCTCTCCTAGTATTCCAAAAGTTTAAAAAAACGAAGCGGGTCAATTACGCCGAGGAATGGCCAGGTTCTCGCTTGGGATTGAATGCTGCTGACCGTGGACGTGGGTTTCTGACGAAAGGTCTGTGGGCGTATTCTCGACACCCAAACGTGGCATGTGAACGTAAGTAATTTTTTGGCCCGTCGCAATACAATGGCACCATCGGATCATACCTCTGCTGTAGAACTCATCTGGCTTTTCATGTCGTTATTTCCCATCCTCGAAAACAACAATGTTCATAACTTCATCGACTACTTTTTACTCATGCTTCCTTCGCTTTCCCTATGCCTCCTCATCTACAGTTCCACGCTCTTCACCGAGAAGATATCCTCCTCGAAATATCCCGCCTATAGGTTGTACCAGCAGCGTGTGGCAATGTTCTGGCCGGTTGAAACCTGGATCAAGACCCTTTATTTGAAGTACATAAAGGGCGAGAAGATCAGACAGAGCGTGGAGAACGGGATCTGGGGAGGTGATGCTGGGGAAGCTACGGTGATCCCCGATCAAGGCAAGAAGACTTTATTGAAGGAACATTCAGACTGAAGGCTTGGGAATGTCTCTATACTTTGTATAACAGCAAGTGTCTAGTTCGTGCACAACCCGAGGTCTGGTAGGCCCGCAGGGGTTTCTTGTACTTTGTAAACACTAAAGACGCAATGAGCCCTGAAAAAAATGGGACAACAGGACGTTTACACACACTGACCGTTCTAGAGATCAGATGGGGCCTCATCCTCGTAAATCTTGGGGATGGCACCCACGTCAATGCCGTGCGAAGATGAAGCCGCTGAGCCGAGAAAATGATAGCGGAACTACGGTTCAAAATCTTAGGCTGCTCTCTTCGACCTACTCCGTATATACCCGCGCCCAAAGTAGTACTATTGATCACTCTGACTCATCTAATTCCATAATCTTTAGCTTTTTAATTCCCAGAATAGCGTACCAATAGTCGCTGAGCTAAATGTGCCCTGCATTTGCGAGGCATTATGTGTCGAAGCGTATCTATAACCTCTGCAAGAACCCTTTGTTGATTATAAATCGTGATGCCTGGCTACCATCGTCGGAAAAGGATGGCTGGGACCGCTGCGCTTTCTTTATCTTTGCTGATAAGCCCCACAAGAATTACTTAAGACCTTCGGGGGCTTAGGGACGGTGCACGAAATCGCAGCGGTCACCCCAAACTTGTGGCGACATACGGAGTTGGGTTCACAATCTACCTTTTTTTCACTTATTCCTATCACCTGCTTCTGCTGTGGCGACCATGGACGAGGGCCTAGGAACGCGAGGCATGCTCCCCCACTGGTTACCAACCGACATATTCCCAACAGACCAGTGTGCTGTCCTCGACAGAGATTCATCAATTGGGCTGGAGGACATCTGTGGGTCGTTTTGGTAGAGCACGTAGGTGTTTATGAAACCCCCTGCAATCCCCAGAAATAGACTAATCGGCACCCAACGTCCAGCACACCCAGCGTAAGAATGTGCGCAGAAAATATCTTCCCGTTTGCTATGAAAAACACGATCCAATAGGGCCAAGAGTATTAGGGCCAAAAGTAACGCAGAAAAGACGGGATGAACGGACGAGTCTGCTATGCTCGCGCCATTCGACATCAGGATCTAGCTCTCTTTCGATGTTACGCAAAAGGTTACACAGTCAAAGATCTCTACTCCAGTCTATATGTGAGCCGACTATGCTATGCCGAAACACCGGGAATTCATGCATGCAGGTATCCACCTGAGCTCGCCCTTGCTGAGTTACGGCATGATGCTTCCCTGCTGCGAGCCTTGACAGGTGTGGATGACAGAGCAATATCCGCCAGGTGTTGCGGCGGAAGCCCAGCGCTCTATGAGGGAGTGTGCGAACCTTAGGATTGGTAAACGCCCATCATCTGACTTGTGGATAATAATTTGTTGCCTGCCTCCGAAAGGGACGGATTCGATTCGCTCCAGGCCAGTTAGTTGTTGAAAACTGGGCTGGAATCCCACATGGAAGGCTTCGAACGGGGTAACCCAATCATGAATCCACACTGTTGCATGTTTTGTAGCCCAGAATAGTGTGCTGCAATAAGTCGCGTTGGCATCGGAACCCAAGCAGAGATCAACCAAGCATGGCCCAGTAGCCACAACTAGACTCCGCACCAGATATTCATTCTTGACCCCGATCTTCATGAATCATCGCCAGACACCAAGTGAAGTTACGTGTAGCCTTACTATTAGAATCCAGCGAGAAAGCGAGTACGTGAGGTTAGTTTAATGTCAATGACTACCTAGCGTGAAAGTGCTGGGGCACATTAATCAACATGAAGGCGTTGAACAAGAAAGTGCCGTGAAACTATCTCACCTCAGTTCCGGCGTAGTACGTGAACTGAGGGAAGACGTAAACCAAGTATTTTCGCTTTATAAGCGAAATGCTTTGAATAGCGCACAAGCATGGCAGTCAAGATACCAAGAAAGGCAGCATGCACTCTTAATAGCGCTTGGCATGAGTAGTCACGGCGAAGGCAACGAGCTACGGCCTTGTCTCCGTTGGTTTAGACTGTATCTGCGAGTTCTGCGCGCGGCAGTCATCACAGCTTGTCGACCTCGATCACTTGTGAAAGTCGATCCTCTGAATGAGGGTCGATTCAATTTGACGGCACTTGGCGTGGACACTATACTCAGTTCCCCCGACGCTTCGTCATCGGCGTCCGCTCAGTTGGACGGAGCGACTCTCAGGACTGAGAAAGGATGGCTTCCTCAGAGCTTACAGTATGCATATTATTTACGTTTGCCTTTCGTCGCTCACACACCGCCATATCAGGTTCGAGCTGTATGTACAGGACTTGGTGTGGGATGTCTTCTCTGCTTCACCAACCTCTATTTTGGGCTTCAAACAGGTGAGATCGTCCTGGCTACATTGAATCTATATTCACTGTGTCCACTATATTGTGATAGGATGGATCAGTATGTAAGGACTGTTCAGACTAAAGGCAACACGTCCCTTCTCTAACCTTATGGGTTAATGTATGGCGGCAGGATGTCCCTACAGGCAGCTCTCCTTGGCTATCTGATTTCCCTTCTCATGTTTCGGACGCCTATGACACCCCAAGAGCACGTAATCTTACAAACCACTGCTGTGGCCACGGGAACCATGCCACTTGCTGCAGGGTTCGTCGGCATAATCCCGGCATTGTCGCTCCTCACTCGGTCTCAAGATGGTGTCGACCCCATAAATTTAGGATGGATGGCCAGCGTTTTCTGGTCTTTCGCTGTCGCTTTCTTTGGGTACTTCGGTGGCCCCATGGTATTTTTTCTCCGTTTCACTAATTGGCCTCACTCCTCAGGGTCTTTCTGGCAGCTCCGTTGCGAAAACAGGTGGTAAGTCGGGCCTATTAGTAATAGCGATGTAGATAGCTATACTCATCCTCAATAAACAGATAATCAAGGAGAAGCTTGTCTTTCCAAGTGGAACCGCTACTGCTCGATTGATCTCTGTGCTGCACGGGATCCCTCATGTAAAAATATCAGAGCCTGCATATGCCCAATCCGCGAGCGTTCGTAGAAGGGGCTACGAGCCTATCGCGGCAGAAGCCTATGAGGATAGTGAAGTGGACCAGACTGTCGCTGGTAGTTCAACCGAACTTTCGCCTTCATCCCGAGAAGCCATCGTCAAATCTGGATGGAAGGCTCTTGGGTGGAGTTTCCTGTCCTCTGGTTCATTGACGGTAAATTGACCAGCTGTGGTCATTTATGGGAAGTTTTGACACCATTCACAATCACCAGCTCTTTGCATACTTCTTTCCATTTGTACTCTCCATACCAATTTTCGGTACCCACCTAGCGACGAAATGGCTCTGGGTATTTTCCCCGAGTTTATCGTATGTTGGCCAAGGTGAGGGACCGACGTGCTCGTTTTTGGCCCAGCGAAGTTAATTCTGTGTTGTTTCAGGGATTATCATGGGGTTCCCCACGACCCTAAGCATGAACCTTGTAAGTACTGACGGCTACGAATTGCTCGGGTCAGCTTATAACATGCACTATAGGGTATGCTGGTAGGCTGGGGTATCCTATCTCCGCTGGCAAAATTAAATGGGTGGGCTCCTGGACCTGTTTGTGAGTCCGTTTCAACATGCAATAATTGCAGCTTTTTAATAACATCGTCGGAGTAGCTTCGATGACCGACGGCTCGCGTGGCTGGATCTTATGGGTTGCCCTGGCTATCATGACTGCAGATAGTCTTGTATCATTATTCCCTATGATGCGTGGAGCCTTTACACTCTTGTTTAAATACCCTTCTGGCTGGTATTCACTCCTGAGACCGAAATCGGGAGCCATCTCCGAGCCGACGTCCCACCCCTTCGCAAACGATGTGCCAGATGACCAGGACGATGTAGAAACGTCTGATCGGTTAGTTCCTTCAGTTGTTGTCGTTTGGGGTGTGGTAGGCAGCATTGCCCTTGGGACTATCATCGTGTGGATAGTGTTCGGATATAAGGGCATCCAACCATGGGCCACGCTTATTAGTTTCTTGCTTGGTGGTCTCTTCTCTTTACTTGGGTGAGTTCTGTTTGCCACGTGCGGGATGTTATACTCGATCTAGCAGCAGAGTGCGTGCCCTCGGCGAGACGGACCTTAACCCTGTGTCCGGCCTTGGTAAAATGAGTCAGTTGGTGTTCGCGGTGCTTCAGCCAGGGAACGTTATCGCCAACATTATTGCTGGGGGTGTCGCCGAAGCTGGGGCTCAACAAGCAGGAGATCTCATGCAAGATATCAAGGCAGGACATCTCCTCGGGGCATCGCCCCGAGCCCAATTTTACGGACAGATATTTGGCTCAACGCTAAGCATTTTCGTGACTGCCACTGCTTACTCTCTCTATACACGCGCATACCCGATACCAGGTCCCAATTTCCCCACACCAACGGCATTCGTATGGCTAAATCTGGCGCGTTTGCTACGCGACGGTAGCTTACCGCCTAAAAGTGGCACATTCATGCTTTTCGGTGCTGCATTTGCAGTTTGCGTCTCGCTCCTTAAATTACGGGCTCATTCTGGCCCTTCGGACTCCAAGCTAACCCGATACAGGAAGTGGATACCATCAGGTATCGCTTTCGCCATTGGATTTCTCAATACTCCGAGTTTTTCCCTTGCGCGCCTGATAGGTGGCATCATCGAGTACACTTATCATCAACACCTCTCGCGCATGGGGCGCTCACAAAGCGATTCGATTAAAATTATCATCGTCGCCAGCGGGCTTGTCCTGGGAGAAGGCGTAGTCAGTGTTGTGGGTCTAATTCTAAGGATGGTTGGTGTAGGTGCTGTAAGCTGCTGGGGATGTCTGCCTTCGGTTTGCTCGTGTCCTTGACCGGTTGGGCTGTGCCACTCGGCTACTGATCATTAGACCGAAGAACGGAGGATAGTGTGCATATACATGCTTCCTGGCGGAACCCCTACCGGAAAAATTAATCATCTTAACAACCCACTTTTTACTATCGAATTTGCGAATCATGTATCGGCTTTGGCGCCAAGGGGCCAAGAGGGGTACTAACACCTTTCACTTTTTGGTTTCCAGGCTTGTGAATGAGCTGTGATACATTCAGGTTAAATGGTGGTATGTCACCAGGGTTTGAATGAGTAGACTGTTCAACCATACACATTACAGCGTATCTCAAGACTAAAACCAATGCCAGAAGTCATTACAGCATATTACTCTAGATTTGAGCGGAAAGTGATGAAAGGAGACAAATCTGAATTCTAGGAATGCAGCCAAGGGGATTGGTGGCGTGTCATGGCCGCACAAGGTATAACCCAATCACGGTATAAAACAAAGTAAGAGGCGGGGTAAGCACGCAATATGCCCAAAAGAATGTTCGCCTGAGAAGAATTTCGGACGCCTCCCCCGATGCCACTTGTATCATTTGAACAAGCGCTAGAGCAGGCGGTGAGGACGTTATTAATATGATCGACAACACGAAGACAGGGCTACATAGTGGGCAAGTAAGGCGACTCGTATCAGTAAGCCCCGTATCGTTTAGCAGAAATTGTGAGGAACGCTCACTCTTCGAACAAAGCGTGGGCATTGTAGCTTGACAATGCAGCCATCACAGGCAGAAGGATCGAAGGTGTTATGACCATCCGTGCCAGGCATGACACGATGACTGAAGTTGACTCGCCGGGCTGTCTCTCTCTCCCTAGCGTTTCCCTCCCGATGCCCCCGAACCTCTGTCCCAAGGCATTCTTCCACAACCCTGTGGACCTAGTAGTAACGGCGGGCCCCCACCCAACCTGTGACAAAGATTCGCGTCCTTCGAGATATTCATCTTCCTCTGAGCGAAGCCACGAGCGGTCGCTTGATTCTGTGTGACTCTCGAATATTCGAGGTCCATCTCCAACTCGATCATCGCATGTCAACGTAGGGGAGGTCGACAGCTCGCCAGAAGATGGCAATTTCTTTAAGGGTGGCTCATCGTGGAAGTATGCACCAAGTGTCAGCAACGTGATAGGGATCGTGCATGCACCAGTACTGGTTAAAAATCCCTTCACGGGTGGAACTTCCTCTTTCAGCACATACTGCAGGGGTGGAATGAGCGCGACAATGAAAGCGGAAAGCGCGGCATACATGGGAACTGTCATGAACTTGTTGATCTTTGAAAGGGAGGTCCAAAGGGCGTGTGTTGCCCGGCGCATGCGGGAATGCCATTTGCTTGATGTCGGGGGTGTGACCACTCTTCGGTATGGTAGAGCAGAGTCTCCCCATTCGTCACTGGAGCTCGAAGGGGACACTGATAATGTATTGGGGAGTTGTCGGGGGACCACCCCCGCCGAATCCACCTGTTCTGCATCTCTGGCTGTGTGGGGCGGGTAGGTGTCGTCATCTACTTGGGACAACAAATGAATGCCATATGACCACCGTCCCTACGCACAGCAGGTATTTTGACATCGGGGAGAACCATCAATTTGATTTGATCAATCACGAACCATGTTTTCGAAGGTTGCGTAGAGGACCATATATCCGAATCCTCTCCCAATCATCGCTTCCGTGGTATCATCCGAAGTCCATTTGAGGTCACCGACTGTAATGACTAAGCTCTGCATGAGGGCTATTGGCAGTGAGTCTGTGCTGTTAAACATTGCTGCTGCCACGCAGAAATTCCGCTGCGACTTCGTGAGCCCAAGGGTAGTGGCCATGAACCACGAAACTGCCCCGGACACAATAGAGACAATGACAAACCAGAGAGGGATAATCCAAAGCTCCTTCAAGCTTTCGGGAGTAAGCGAGAAAGCCACGTTGGCGAAGAGAAGACAGGGAGTAAAAAGCCAGACATTGATTAAGTTTACCTTCTTTACAGTTGTTTTGTCAAGGGCATGCTTGCAAGATAACATCCTGCCGAACTCGAGGTATGAGGTCGGCCGCACCGTTATCAAGAGTGATCATGACACGCACCACCCCATAAAGCACATAATGAACACCTCGAAAATGGACTGCAATGATCGAATGTACTTGGGCCACACTGATGAGAGAGAAATTAACCGAAACTGCTCACCCCCAGGACGGTGCACATCAAGGACGCGTATGCGTGGTTGTCCGGCATAGCTTATCGCCTTGGGTAACAAGTGATCGGAAGTAACAAGGAATGGGCAGGACAGGGTGGGGTAGGCCATCAAACACCACACAAGTGAAGGGTATCGCTGACAACTAGAATGAATCAGTTGATTCAGTTGCACGCATCTGGTTTCTTTTCTTCGTGCGCCATCAATCGGCCTCCCACCTTGCACCAAAGAGCTGGATTCTGCCATTACTCTGATCTGCACAGAATCATACGCCTTATTTGCGCCATATGACGACGCTGAAAATTTGTCATCATTTGGTTTCTTTACATAAGTTTTCTTACGTTTCCTTTTTGCACTTACGTCATCCCTGGCGGAAGCCTAATCACTTCACTGCAAAAGCCTAAATTGCTTTTGTGTTATGTATTGTCTTTGTCTTCATTGATGAAAATGGACTCTGAAAGGCTCCGCTTCCTTTTTTTTTGATTGTATTGAGAAAAAGTTATGTAACTCCTGCAACATAACATGACTTGAAAACAAGGGCAGTCCAGCGAAAGCGCAAGCCCGAATAAGGCTGGAGCTTGACATATCTCGTGACCCGGATTTGCCCGAAAGTACCTCGCATCTGAATACGTGAAAAGAAGCACGAAAACGGACTACATCGCACTCGCAGTCTGCCCGGTTGAACCATGTATGATTATCCGACGCGGTCCATTCTCCGTCTCGTGTGCAGCTGTCGCTGACGATTGGGTAGTTTGAAAACTCGCACCTTCCACATATTATGTCTGTTTCTCGTGGGAATTTCCTAGTCTTCTACCAGGCAATCATAGTCCACTAAGACAACAAAGCTCACCCGAACTTACACGCTGGAGTTCTCGGCGCATCCCCTGACTGTCCTAGGACAGTTGCGTGCTGGGATTCTCGGGCTTGCAATCGGCACTCTGCTGAGTGCGTGCCCTCGGTGAGACGGACCTTAACCCTGTGTCTGGCCTTGGTAAGATGAGTCAGTTGGTGTTCGCGGTGCTTCAGCCAGAGAACGTTATCGCCAACATTGGGGTGTCGCTGAAGCTGGGGCTCAACAAGCAGGATATCTCCTCGGGGCATCGCCCCGAGCCCAATTTTACGGACAGATATTTGGCTCAACGCTAAGCATTTTCGTGACTGCCACCGCTTACTCTCTCTATACATGCGCATACCCGATACCAGGTCCCAATTTCCCCACACCAACGGCATTCGTATGGCTAAATCTGGCGCGTTTGCTACGCGACGGTAGCCTGCCGCGGCACATTCATGCCTTTCGGCGCTGCATTTGCAGTTTGCGTCTCATTCCTTAAATTACGGGCTCATTATGGCCCTTCGGACTCCAAGCTAACCCGATACAGGAAGTGAATACCATCAGGTATCGCTTTCGCCATTGGATTTCTCAATACTCCGAGTTTTTCCCTTGCACGCCTGATAGGTGGCATTATAGAGTACACTTATCATCAACACCTCTCGCGCACGGGGCGCTCACAAAGCGATTCGATTGAAATTATCATCATCGCCACGGGCTTGTCCTGGGAGAAGGCGTAGTGAGTGTTGTGGGCCTAATCCTAAGGATGGTTGGCGTAGGTGCTGCAAGCTGCTGGGGATGTTTGCGTTCGATTTACTCGTGTCCTTGACCGGTTGGGCTGTGCCGCACGGCTACTGATCATTAGACCGAAGAACTGAGAATAGTGCGCATATACATGCTTCCTGGTGGAACCCCTACCGGAAAAATTGATCATCTTTTACCATCAAATTTGCGGGTCGTGTATCGGCTTTGGCGCCAAGGGGCCAAGAGGGGTACTAACACCTTTCACTTTTTGGTTTCCAGGCTTGTGAATGAGCCGTGGTACATGTGGGTCAAATGACATGATGGTGGTATGTCACCAGGGTTTGAATGAGTAGACTGTTCAACCATACATATTACAGCGTATCTCAACGCTAAGACCAATGCCAGAAGTCATCACAGTACATACACAACTTAGTCTAGATTTGAGCGGAAGGAGACAAATCTAAATTCTAGAAATGCAGCCAAGGGGATTAGTGGCGTGTCATGGCCGCACAATGTATAATCCAATCACGGTATAAAACAAAGTAAGAGGCGGGGTAAGCACGCAATATGCCCAAAAGAATGTTTGCCTGAGAAGAATTTCGAATGCCTCCCCCGATGCCACCTGTATCATTTGAACAAGCGCTAGAGCAGGTGGTGAGGACGTTATCAATATGATCGACAACACGAAGACAGGGCTACATAGTGGGCAAGGCGACTCGGATCAGCAAGCCCTGTATCGTTTAGTAGAAGTTGTGAGGAACGCTCACTCTTCGAACAAAGCGTGCGCATTGTAGCTTGACAATGCAGCCATCGCAGGCAGAAGGATCGAAGGTGTTATGACCATCCGTGCCAAGCATGACACGATGACTGAAGTTGACTCGCCGGGCTGTCTCTCTCTCCCTAGCGTTTCCCTCCCGATGCCCCCGAACCTTTGTCCCAAGGCATTCTTCCACAACCCTGCGGACCTAGTAGCAATGGCGGGCCCCCACCCAACCTGTGACAAAGATTCGTGTCCTCCTTCGAGATATTCATCTTCCTGTGAGTGAAGCCACGAGCGGTCGCTTGATTCTGTATGGCTCTGGAATATTCGAGGTCCATCTGCAACTCGATCATCACATGTCAACGTAGGAGAGGTCGACAGCTCGCCAGAAGATGGCAATTTCTTTAAGGGTGGCTCATCGTGGAAGTATGCACCAAGTGTCAGCAACGTGATAGGGATCGTACATGCACCGGTACTGGTCAAAAATCCCCTCACGGGTGGAACTTCCTCTTTCAGCACATACTGCAGGGGTGGGATGAGCGCGACAATGAAAGCGGACAGCGCGGCATACATGGGAACTGTCATGAACTTGTTGATCTTTGAAAGGGAGGTCCAAAGGGCGTGTTTTGCCCGGCGCATGCGGGAATGCCATTTGCTTGATGTCGGGGGTGTGACCACTCTTCGGTATGGTAGAGTAGAGTCTCCCCATTCGTCACTGGAGCTCGAAGGGGACGCTGATAAGGTATTGGGAAGTTGTCGGGGGACCACCCCCGCCGAATTCACCTGTTCTGCATCTCTGGCTGTGTGGGGCGGGTAGGTGTCGTCATCTACTTGGGACAACAAATGAATGCCATATGACCACCGCCCTACGCATAGCGGATATTTTGACATCGGGGAGAACTATCAATTTGATTTGATCAATCACGAACCATGTTTTCGAAGGTTGCGTAGAGGACCATATATCCGAATCCTCTCCCAATCATCGCTTCCATGGTATCATCCGAAGTCCATTTGAGGTCACTGACTGTAAGAACTAAACTCTGCATGAGGGCTATCGGCAGTGAGTCTGTGCTGTTAAACATTGCTGCTGCCACGCAGAAATTGCGCTGCGACTTCGTGAGCCCAAGGGTAGTGGCCATGAACCACGAAACCGCCCCGGACACGATAGAGACAGTGACAAACCAGAGAGGGATAATCCAAAGCTCCTTCAAGCTTTCGGGAGTAAGCGAGAAAGCTACGTTGGCGAAGAGAAGACAGGGAGTAAAAGCCAGACATTGATCAAGTTCACTTTCTTTACAGTCGTTTTGTCAAGGACGTGCTTGCGAGATAACATCCTGCCGAACTCGAGGTATGAGGTCGGCCGCACCGTTATCAAGAGTGATCATTACACGCACCACCCCATAAAGCACATGAAGAACACCTCGAAAATGGACTGCAATGATCGAATGAACTTGGCCACACTGATGAGGGAGAAATGAACCGAAACTGCTCACCCCCAGGACGGTGCACATCAAGGACGCGTATGCATGGTTGCCCGGCATGGCTTCCTAGCTTATCGGCTTGGATGACAAAGAACGAGCCTCCGGTGGCAGTCTTGGGTGGGGAGAGAGGGGTTGGAGACCCCTAAACACCATGCAGGTGAAGGGTATCGCTAACAACTAGAATGAATCAGTTGATTCAGTTACACGTATCTGGCAACAGGCTCATTTCTTCGCTCGCCATCAATCGACGTCCCACCTTGCACTAAAGAGCTGGATTCTGCCATTCTTACAGCAAGAAACAAAAAAAATTGGCGCGTCTGATTTGGATGGGTGGTCGTTCACTATCCATTTTCTGCCATTTTTGAACAATCACATGACCGTCGAGGTCATTATTCATCCGAATCGGATGCGACGTTTTTTTTCTGTCTCTTGCTGTATGTAGGCAATCACAGGCTCACGACCGGAGCCGGGCACATATGTGGAGGATTCATGTGGAGGAGAATCAGATTTATTTCCCCCGCGGCTTCGTTGTCACGTGGCAGTGCGGCTACTTATCCCGTCCGGGTACTTAGTGGGTACATGAGGGGATCGTCATTACAAAAGAAGAGTATACGGTGTTTCATGTGGAGAGAATTACTAATTCCGTAGTAGATGGAACCGCTCCGCAACACATTCCACATTGTATATAAATACGCACACAAATTTTACTCTAGCTTACATCTGGTCTCACGAGTGTTGCCGCTGAGGTAGCGGATCGCCTTATACGGAATCCCTACATTATAAGAAACACAACAAGCTCACCGAACTTACACACTGGAGTCCTCGGCGCGTCCCTGACTGTCTTCCTTAGTTGCGTGCTGAAATTCTCGGGCTTGCAATCGGTGCTGAGCTTCACTAATCTCTACTTCGGCCTCCAACAGGTTGTTTTAGTTCCGATTAAATTTAAGTCTTCCTCCAACCTTCCGAGTTTCCAGGATGGGGTAGCAGGTTAGTCGTTGCACCTGCCCGCCTGAAGCCGGGGCGCCTCTCAAGCTACATATTCTGTACCCAAAGAAGACAATAGGGAATGATCAGGCAATGCTCGAAAACCACCCCAGATTGATGGGATCCATGCCATCCTGCGGGACTGATATTGCGAGACCAGGTACGAAATCTGCGCAACTGGCATAGATCCAGTCGCCGATGCGCTCGCTTAGATATTCACATTCTCTGTGGAAGCAAGCAGTGAGTGGCTAGAGCGCAGCCTTAGATCCGTTTCGTTTGAATACCAGGTTGTAGATTATTAGAGAGAAATTCATCTTTCCGTGGGGCAACACTGCGTAGAATTACTCTCTGCTCTGACAAGAGTCCTTATTCCGTCGGCTCAGCAATAGGCCACTGCGCAGTTACGAGCCTCTGGCCAATGAGGATGGAGGTGGGAACCATGGCCAAGGTTATGGGTATGCGTTTGCCGCCTCGTCGTCCCTAGCAGTAAGAATCGATGTTGTTGTGGTGCCACTGAGACAGAATGCTGAAGGTGCTCCATTGTTAGTCATTCGCGTATTTCTTCCCCTTCATCTCGCTCCCCCGTCTTTGGCTCCTACCGTGCGACTGAGTGGCTGTGGGTTCTTACTCCAAGTTTGTCATACATGGGGGTCCGATTCCGCATGACCACCCGTGGGAAATGGGCAACATCGGAACCAAAACTGGTGGCGCAGCGCCAAAAGCGCTGCAAGCTCATAACAAAAGCAGCCTGGTTGTTGTTGTTGTATTACCCCACGGCCGCGTTTGTACGTGGCAGTGCGGCTTTCCCGATGTGTTGCATCTGAGTGCACATGCGGGGTTCATCAACACATGGTCTAGCCGGTATGGTCGGGGTGACGGGGTCCTCTGGATCATGGTGTCAGGTTTTAGCCATGTCTGGAGTGTATGTGAAAGCCTGGTGCCTAAGTTACTCCGCGCTCTCCACGTTGTTCTCCTGGTCTGTTTCACGCTGCGTCGCGCTCCGGTTGCTCTTTTTGTCAAGAGCCTGCGCTTTTTTGAAGTCTGCTAGTCTGACGATACCTTTGGGCTTCCCCATAAGAGTTGCGAGCCTGTTCTGATAGCTACGGTCCAGTATGTGTCTGAACTTCTTAAACTGGGGGCATACCTGGAGAATGTACTCTCTTGTCTGGCAGGCTGTTCTGCATGTGCACTCTCTGCTCTCCGTGTATATTCCGAACCGGTGGTAGTACTCGCCTATGTGTACACGACCGGTGCAGAATTGGAGTAACCTTTTCTAGTCCCATGTTTTGAACCTCATGGTGGGCTTGGTCGATGGTGGGATCTGATTCGCTGCGTGTTGGAGTGTGTTTGCCCATCGTTCCTTCCATGGGTAAACACACCCACCCCCAAGTTCGTAGTACAGGGTATGCTTGTGAGCTGGGGCATTTTGTCCCCAATATCGAAGCTGGATGGTTGGGGCTCCAGGGCCAGTATGTAAGTTCTAGTCGTCAATTAAACAAGCCATCTTCCTCATCTTAGCCTAACTTCTATGACTGATGGCGCTCGCGGTTGGATACTCTGGGTTACTTTGGCCATAATGACTGTCAACAGCTTTATCTCGCTCTTCCCCATGGCGCGACATTTCCTCGTTCATTCTTTTGGTTATGGGTCTTTGAGAGCATGGGGGGTCGGGACGCGGCCCGAATATGCCCCTCAGGCCTTTTTGGCAGACAAAGAGGATGGCACGGATACCGAGACGGCTGACCGTCTAGTTCCCAACTGGATTATTCTTTGGGGACTCTGTAGCCTTGGGATCACGCTTGTGTAGATCGTATTGGACATGAAGGTATTAGGCCATGGGCAACTGTGATCCGTTTCTTTCTTGGAACACTTTAGTCATTACTTGGGTGAGCGGGTTTGTTACAGTTGTAATCCCGAGCTGAGCGGACTCAACGCAGCGCTCGGGCGTTAAGGGAAACTGATATTAACTCCGTCTCGGGCCTTGGCAAGCTCAGTCAACTTATCTCTGCTATCATCCAGCTAGGAAATATCGTTGCGAATCTCACCACAGGCGGTGTTGCAGAGGCCGCATCTCGTCGGAGTCTCGCCCCGAGCGCCCTTCTACGGCCAACCGCTCAGTCGCCCGTCCAGCACCTCCATCATGGCATCTTTATAGGCGAGCATGCACCATTCCTGGGCCCGCCTTTCCTGTGCCCACTACATTAGTGTGGCTCAACACAGCGCACCTCCTACGAGATGGTCGCCTCCCGCCAAAGAGCGACACTTCGCACTTGTTTTCGCTATTACCATTTCCTTGTTGAAGCTCCGCGCTCGATATAATCATCCAGACTCCTATCTAGCATCACAAAAAGTGATCCCTTCGGGCGTCGCCTTGCAACTGGGATTTTCAATGTCCTCAACCTCTATCGCTCGCCTTGTTGGAGGAACAATTGGGTTCATCCACGGCCGCATGAGACAAAGTCACCATGGCGGCTTGCAGGATGATGGGGTCCAAATTATCATGGTAGCAAGTGGATCCATTCTGGGTGGAGTAGTGAGCATGGCAGGCCCTGTCCCCGCACATGGGGCATAGGTGCAGCGAGCTGCTGGGGTTGTCTGTCTTCTGTATCTTTATTCATGTATTAAGAACTCGTTCCTTATTATATACATAACTACTATAGAACAAGAGAGTATTGGAGATGCACTGTTCTCACATGCAGCATGCAGGAAATTAACACAAACACTCAAGTGTTAGTGCGAGCCTTCTTCTCTGGGGTTGATATGGCTTCATCCCTCGGGAACCCAAACCCAGCCTTTTGCCTCGCGGCACTGGAATTGCAGATGCGAGGGATCGCATATGGGATCCGATGATGGGTTTCATCATGGTTGGATAGGTTGCATTCTGAACGACGGTTGTCACCCCAGGTATTGATGCTGCGATTGGGGGTGTTGGCATGTGTGATGGCTGGGGCTCAAGAACCACACCAGTTGGATCCACGGCAGCTACTGTAACAGGCGGGATACAGTCATTTGAGTCACAGCCGTTCGGTGAAGTTCGGGGGATAATGTTTGCTCGGTCAGGGCACTTGATTGCATAGTGCCATTCGGGGTGTCATTTGGTGAAGGAAAGTTGTCTTGTGAGTCTAATTCGACTGTGTTTGCATCGATAGATTGCGCCGCAGAGGAAAAGCACGAATCCACGATTGTATTTTTGGGAAGGAATGCCGTTCCAGGGGGTGGCAACGCTAGTCCGATTACATTGGCGGAAAACGACTTGGTTTGACTATCAGTTGGATGAAGGTTGGTCGCGGGCCTCACGAAGCTTGTAAGACTGTCGTCTCCCGTGTTCCAGGCTGGGGCTAGGAGAGAGCGGGAGATTTTCTCTGTGTTATGACTCTGAGAAGTTATGCTATCCTCTTCCTTTTCCTTCTGGGACGGGTCGCGTGGATTTTCTTGTGGCTAACGAGGGAACCTCAGATAATGCTAGCTCCCACTCAAACACACACGCACAACTCCTGGATCCGATCCCTTGAAGTAATAATATCAATCGGAGGACGCTTCAGGATTTTCGAAGTCAGAGCCATTTCATCCATTGTTAAGGGCGGTGTCTTGGGCGAGAAGGCAGTCTGTACAAATTTAATCTGTCAGCGAACCCCTGTGAGAAGCTGAGACTCAGGCACATTTGTAACATGTTTGGCACGATTAAGAAGCAAAAAAGGCGAAGGTCCAGACGATCGTGAAAGCCCTGAACATCTGCGGTGAATATTGCGATCAAGATGCTCAAACAGTGGCATGCTCACACTGGAGATCCCGATCGCGACAGTACGACACATAGAGAAATGCTTGGGCTCGAGTACAACCTACGTAAAGGAGTCGCCTAGGAACCTAAGGTTGGGATGTGCCTGCCGTCAGATCAAACTGAGATACCTTTCCTCATCCACATCTTCTGACTTGTAGAAGGGGAAAACCCAATTTTCGACTGTAGATGCGATTGGATAGACGCATAAATTGAAGTGGTTACACAGTACCTGCGGGCAAAAAAACCACTGGCCATTCCAGACCTTTGGCCGAATGACAAGTGGAGATTGTAACTTTCTGGATCAGGATCAGATCTGGCTCTTCACACATGCAGCAGCGACCTACGGGTACAGAATTTTTATCTTGGTCCTCCTGTTCTTGTCGCCCCTCCTCATCGGGGTCCGAAAGGAGCGAAGTGTCCTCCAAGAACTTCCGCAAAGGAGTGACGCTCCGGTTTCTACCCCGCTGTGCAGCGATTCGGTTAATGGACGAAAGTGGACGGCTTACTCTTCGATGACGTCTCCCTCTAAATGGCTGTTCGATTCGGAACGTCTGTGGGGACTAATGGTCTCAGCGTTCTGAATCAGAGAAGTCCGACGGTTGTCAGCCGTGACGGTGGGTTGGGGCTCTACTAGGAGTTATTTCAGTCAGTGGTGAGGGGCGCAAGAGACGATGGAACCTTGGGGCGACTCGCTACGCAATGATTCGCCGGCAAACTTAATCAGTTCTCTCACATTTTCCCATCGGGCTTCCCAATCAGCCGGCTGAGAGGTCTTGAGCCATTCCTCATAGCCAATCATCGCAACGAGCCTCAAGACCAACTCCTCGGCACTATATTCCTAGCGTTGGCTTAATACGATGCTTCATGGGCACATCTATAAGTGAAAGTTCACCTCATTCACGGCTAATCGAGAGAGTGTATCGATAACATCCACGAAAGGGGTAATTTTACGCTTGACGGCGGGCTTGATATCGGCAGCTTTACCGGAAACAATACGCTGACAAAGGTCCATAGGCGTTATTCCTATCGCAGAAGCTCTTTTTAGAATCTCTTGTACGCTCTAAAGGGCGAGGCGCGTCAGCTACATCTGGATATCATAGGAGCAAACCAACCTTATCACCCATTCCTCGCTTGGGAACGTTGACAGCACGCTCAAACGCAAACCAGTTGTGAGGATTATCCACCAGTTGCAGATAGGATATGAGATCTTTCACCTGTCGTTCACAGGACGTTGAACGGCAGTTCCATGATGCGGATGAGGCAAGGCATACCTCCATACGATCAAAAAATCTGTGTCCTCCCAAGATGCGAACAGGTATTCCTTCCCTTTGCAGTACCTGTTCAAGTATACGCGACAATGCATTGAACCTTACTTTATTGCGGCATCAGTGCACGAAATAGGGCGGAGGGACAATCATGACCTACGCAGAATAGCAAAATCATTGTAATCTAGCAGACCTCCGCTGTAGGCTATAAGTCTTTTGATCTCGTATGCGATGCATTCAGCCTCCATGTTCTCGCCTGCAACCTCCCGAAGCGTTGGCTTAGACCCATCCTGCTCTGCTGTGAATAAGGTTTTTTGGATACGGCTTTTGTCTGAACGACTTTCAGTGGTGTTTACAAGACCAAATTACAAGCGCTTACCGCCGGATATTATCACGCTGGCGGCGGCAAGGATTGAGCCAGTGGACCGGTAATTCTGCTCAAGGTATATTTGTTGCGTTTCGGGGAACACTTAGGAAAATATGAGCCTGTCTAGATAGACTGAATTGGCCAGACTTACAAGTTTGCATCTTGCTCAAATTTTCAATATCTTGGGAGAGCCATGAGCGAAATACTCGATCCCCATACATCACAGCATTTTACCTGCACTTCGCCAGCCGTATACTGGCGGTTCAAGGTCATCAGGTCGGCTGCTCTCACGAAAACAGTGGTTACGATATTCCTTACTTGACTGGTCCGGATCGCCTACAATGCTGACACCCTTGGTCGAGGCAAGTAAGGTCATTAATTGGAATTGAATGACATTTGTGTCCTGGCTAAGGGATGTATGGTCAGTGTCCACGACCAATGCTGCACGGGGAGCCCTTACAATTCGTCGACAAGTACGTGTCGTATCTTAAGCCCAATGTCACGGGCCTTCAAAAATAGCTTGACACCATACATCAAGAGGTCATCAAAGTCGAGACAGTTAGTCACTCTGAGCTCTTCAGAATAATCGCTGTAAATTTCGGCCACCACGCTCTCGAAATCAATATCCTTGTCATCCCCACTCTGGATTAAGCTCTTCACATCTTCGGGAGATTGGCCATTCGCTTTTGCTTTAGAAATAAACGAAGCTATAATGCGTGGTTCGGCATGAAGACGCTTATTAGCAATGACATCAGCGTGCTTGGGAAGCTTTAAAAGCTTTTTGATAATCTTTTTACTGCACCACCATAAGTGAGTCAGAAGGTGATCAGGGTAAATGATGAAGCTCACGTCTCGTCCGCGTCACAAATAGAGAAATTCTCCGGAAGGAAGATGCGCTTGCCATAGATGCGTAGATATCTTATATGTAGGAGTTATATGGCATCGTCGCGACATAAAAAACTAATTCACTTTGCGCAAAGAGCATGGAATGTTCCTGTTCATTTCAACGATGAGATTTTGTGGAGCTCGCAGTCGGTTGAAAACTTGAAACGCACCCATTCGAAGCATCGAAGTCTTCCCATCCCCGATAAGTTTCTTCAATCGCTCCCTCATCTCCTTCGCCGCTTTGTTGGTGAAGGTAACAGCAACAATGGCCTGAGGTGCGATTTTATGATGCCCAACTAAATGCGCAATGCGCGCCGTGAGGACTTTTGTCTTTCCTGAAACAACAGTGAGAGTGAATGAGCATTTGGAAGGAGCCTCCTTACCACTTCCCGGGCCAGCAAGTATCTGCAATGGTATTAATGGGTCATGCGTAACAGCTTCAGGCACAGTTAGGGAGGTTTGTACGTCGCATCATTGACCAACTTACCTTGGCGTTGGGCTTCGTTCATCCCTTCTAGGTAGGACATTTTTCATTGACTCGCTCGCCTCGAGGCCTTGAGTGCAGATATTCTGCCAAGAAACGCGTTCGCCAAGACGCGTTTTGCGGGTTGACGCGACACCAATTCCAAACACACAGAAACAAAAGTTCCACGTCACATGTCCAGAACAGTTGGTCAACAAGCGCCTTGGTCATGACGGATGTGCGTGCGCTGCTAAAGGCAAAACGGACCGAACGTGGCATCATTACAAAGCCTTCGACGTCTACTGGACGCGCCGCTAGGGAGAGACCCAATACTTTTTCACAGCCCAAAAGAAGGCTCGATAATGAACAAACAGAAGAGATTGCAATCGTGACGAGTGATGCCCACAACGGAAAACGACGCAAAGTCGAGAATGTCTCTCCCATACGCCAACCGGATCTTCCCACATTTCCCCCCGCCCCATCTGGCTTCCCGGCGGACTTCTTCTCAGATCCATCACGAGCACCCCAATTGGGTGGCGACTCAGATAACGACGACAACAACTCATCTCCGGTCCAAGGGACATCCTCGCATTCAAACACTCTCGTGACCTCCTACCCCCCATCCACATCCGCCCAGATAACCATAGATGCAGAACTCGAAGTCTTCGAGAAAGCTATAGCCTCAGCTTCCAAACCTGCACCACAACCCCCGGATCAAGCCATTTTTTCACGAGCTACAGTCTATGCCGAGCCTAAACTCGTCGAGGAAGTCCCCGAGGGTTTTCCGGAGTCGGTATTAGACCGAGAATCAAGAAATCATACTGGGCCCACCCCAGGCTCTAGCGCCGGGAGGGAGCAGGGTACTCCAGTGACCATAGAGGAATCGGTGGCCGAAAAACAAAAACGGAGGGAACAGGATGAACGCGAGCTCATTATGGATCGATTACTCGACGAGGAACGAGCACAGGAAGAGGCCGACGCAAGAGTTAACGCACTCAAAGCTCGAATGGAAGCTATAAGGCAAAAACGTGAAGCTATTCGAGCACAGAAGCAGAAGCAGAAACAAGCAGGGTAGAGATGTAATTGTAATATATCAGCATAACACTGCGTTGGAGACACTGGACGCCGCGTATTGAAACAAGTTCGAGGCATTCGAAAATCACTTTACATTACATCCAATAAACGAATCCAGGTGACTCGTCGCCCATCTCTTCGACTTCCTCATCCGTCTTTCCATCCAACTTCCTTCTCCGCGCGCCCGCGTCGCATTTGTTCTAGCATACGAATACTGTGCCCAATGCACTTGGTCAGTGCTTCAGAGCGTTTCTAATGTAACTTAAGTCCACATACCTAAAGGATGGCATATAATGTGCTCACCATGGCCAGTGAGTGGCGTACCGCTTGACAAATCTATACATATCCCAGCAAACAGCCCGACCCCGCACAAAGGTGATGCACCTTGGCCCGTGTGTATAAATAAACGGTACCATTACACCCTGCCAGCAAACAATGAAAGCGACCTGGGCAGATAGTAAGCTTTCCAGGCTATTGCACTCACCGAACTATTGCTCACAGTCGACTGCAGCCCATTTCCAGCAGCGCGCTCCCCGTATCTCGGCGAATTCGTGGGCACCCAACTGATGGGATATCGACGAGGACGTATAAACCCGCGGCCACGAGGGAGCAAGCAAAATATTTTGCACCAACGCTAGTGCTGACGGAGGAATATGATGTAGCTGATGACGGAGATGTAACCTAAGATTTTAATCAATCCTCTGGTAAATATCCGCAACACGCAACTCATAGAAAATACTCCACGTCTGATCGGAAAGATATGATATGTAACAGCGCCCTATCGCCAGTTGATTGAACTCAGCCATGAAGTCCGTCGTACTAGAAAGTAACATGGGAGAGTCAACTTCTCTAGCGGTTAGCTAGCTCATCCGAACAACGAAATAAATCACACCACAACAGGAGTGCTCCAGGTCCCAATCCTCGTAATTATCGTCGGCAAGAATATACTGTACTCGTAAAGCTGGATCCAATCACCATTAAGCTTTTCACAACGCCCTAAAATAGGCTCACCATAGTGTCACAGCCAAACTAGCCCAAGGCAAACATCAACACCCCCCGATCGGTTGCGTCTAGAGGCTAGCTTGCACATCATAGTAAGATATATCGACAGCCCAGTGCTAAGCGCAAGTGTTGCCGAACAGGCTAGTGTCCCAATAAACCCGCCTCAAAGAACACGACAAACTACTAATTGCCTAGATGTGCGTGCCAAACCAGTCAGATCATGCTGGCGACGACGGCCCATGTGATAGCAAGGGCTGCAACTGAAGGGATAGACCAGCCGAGAAAAAGGAGTCACGAACTGTAATGGGACGGCGTGGACTTCTTTAGCACCAAGTTCGAGGGAGTAACTCAAACAACTATGAAATAACAATCGCAAAACAGTCAATACCGATAAAATTGCGTAGGCGACGAAGAAAACAGACACAGAGACTTGGCATTTGTCCCCACTCAGATGAAGATCCTTCTCTAACTCATACAAGGTGCATTCCTAATCTTCGTTCAGCGATGATGATAGGAAAGCGTTGAGCTGTATTTACCCGATGTTCTCTCGTCCAGTAATGAGTACCACTGGCATCACCATAGGGAGAATGTGCATGTCTAATTTGCGAACCACTCCCTTCTCAAACCGCAACTTGGTAGGCACGTGCTGCTGCACCATCCTCAGACTCTCGGACACAATCCCTGGGGAGGAGGGTCCCGACAAGCTCATGATGCTAGGGGGATGCGTTTTACAATCCTTCGCCTATTTATCATGAGTTCGGGCATCTTCCGCTGCGACGAGGCCTCCGAGATGGAAAGATATAGTCCCTTCGTCTTCCTTGCCCAATACATCTCGTTGTTGTTGACCTGAGTATTTAACCTCCAGACGTTAGGATGCTCGTGAACCATCTTCACGTACGGGTTGTCGGATATCGAGTTGACGATGTCAAAAAATTGTTGACGTAGCAACCCGACGTGGCGCAGCGACAAGGATGGGCCACTAGGCACCTTATTGCCGACGTGGCGCACCGAGTCACACATACCCGCACTGGCGGCGGGATGGATCCTATTACTTATCTCTCTAACCTCACGTTGCGCGCCGCTTTGTTTATCTTGGTTGGCCACCCAAACATGTATATAATGTCCGCGACTTGGCCAGAACACGATATCTAACTATCGGATTGATATCGCGTTCAGACACCTGCCGGCTGATAACAAAAATGCCCAAGACATCTTGTCAGTTGACTGAATTGATTATGTAACCCACCCTTATGACGCACATTGCGGCTTGAGTGAGGCGTGCCCAGGATCTAAATTCACAGCTGCAATAATGGGTCCAGGCTTGTACCCAGCCCCACCTACCGGCACCGACAAGGGGCTGGGCGCGAGCCTGTAAGGGGTCTCACGGTTGCAGCTCAAATCCTAAATTGACGTAAAAACCGAAACGTCGTGGTCAGTGTCTACCCATCTGGGGCCCACATGCCCAAACAGCTTTCCAAACCCGGATCGATCATACTCCAAATCGCCCGGGTGCATCATGAACCCAAAAACACAGCGCTCATAGGATCAGACATATGAGCTGGACTTTGCACTGTTTGATTGGTACATCTCTATGCGGTGTTGACGCACTGCAACTGCTCACGCTGCGACCTGTTCATCCGTCGGACCCACCGCATGCAGGCAGCTTTTGTGTCTTTTGTGTCAGTCCCTTACATCTCCTATCAGGTCCACTTTCACCTCCCTCGCCTAAATACTCACACAAGATGTTCGTCTCCAAAATTTTCACTGAACATTTGTTTAGAAGGTTCCTTCCAGATTTCCCACGTTTCTGCTTCTCCGTCTCTACTGGGTCACACACTGTCCCGCATGCAACTGGCACTTGCCAAATGGGTGTTCCATAACGTTGCTAAACTGCAAGTGAGATGGTAGACTACGTACGATGTTGGCAAGTCACATAGGCTAAAGCACTTGATGCCCCGGACGGCACCAGTTCAAAGTGCTCAACTGTGAATACTTTCAATCTCTTAACTGCGGCTCGTAAATTTTGCTTCAAAACCCCGTCGTCCTCCGGTTTAGGTTCAGTTTAGTCCCTCCTATCACGTCCAATAAACGAACCTGGGTGATTCGTCACCCATCTCTTCGACTTCTTCGTCCGTCTTGCCATCCAACTTCCAATCCTCCTCTCCGCGTGCTCGTGTTGCATTTGCTCTAGTATATGAATACTGCGCCCAATGCACATCATCAATGCTTCAAAGCGTTTCTAATGTAACTTAAGTCTACATACCCAAAGGATGGCGTATAATGCGGTGCTCATGCTCACCATGGCCAGTGAGATGGTATGCCCCTTGACAAATCTAAGCAGATCTCAGCAAACAGTCTGGCCCCACATGGAGGGGTCACACCTTGGCCCGTGTGTATAAATGAACGGCACCACTACACCCTACCCATGCACAATCAGCAAACAGCGAAAGAGACCCAGGCTTTCCAGACTATCGCACTCGCCGAACTATTGCCAACAGTCAACTGGAGCCCACTCCCAGCAGCACGCTTTCCGTATCTCGGCGAATTGGTCGACAACCAACTGAGGGGGATACCGACCACGACGTATAAACCCGTGGCCACAAGGAAGCAAGCAATATATCTTGCACTAACGCTAGTGCTGGCGAGGAGAATGATGTAGCCGATGACCGAGATACTTCCAAAGGCAACCTAGGGTTTGATCATTTTTTTGGGGGAGAGCATCTGCCACCCGCAACTCACAGCAAATACTCCGCGTCTGTGAGTTTTATCGGAAAAATGTGCGGCAACGAGATATGTAACAGCGCCCTATCGCCAGTTACTCAGCCAAATAGCTTCATGACAGCATAAATTGGTCTTACTAGAAAGTAACATGGGATAGTTAACTTTTCTGGCGGTTAGTCAGCTTATCCACCGGCTCCAACAACGAAATAAACCGCACCGCTTGAACGGTCGGGGTGCTCCAGGACCCAATCTCCTTAATGATCGTCGGCAGGAATATACTATACCCATAAAGCTGGATCATACCACCATTAGACTTTCCACAACACTCCAAAATGAGCTCACCATAGTGTCACAGCCAAACTGGCCCAAGGCAAACATCAATACCCTCCAGCTGGTTAAACCTTTCCGCACATCACTCCAGTGGAATTTCTGTGCATTCTCACTTTCACCTTGCTCTCTCAGCCTCCTCAAACGGAGAAACTCTTTTTCTTCCGCAGTGAGATACCATGCTCGAGAGGGGTGATCCGCCAGAACGAAGAAGGCGAGAACGCCAGCAAAGAATGTGGGTAGACCCTCCATAATCATGATCCATCGCCATCTAGTAGTAGATAGGCAACACCGCCTTGATTTAAATAAGGATGAAAGCGTCACGTACCCTCTCATGCCGTTGATACCGTCCATAAACCCGATCCCATATGCAAGAAGTCCCTGTGTGCAGGGATCAGCTACAAGGGCAACAAATCACCACCGTGAACGACGCACTCCACATGCCCCAGCAAGTGCGGCGGAAACGGACAGAGATCCAATACGAAGCGCAAGCTGCTGCTTCGTGTAGACTACGAACAGTACTACGTAAAACCCTAAACAACAATGGGATGATGTCGAGAGGCTCACACATCATAAGATACACCAGCAGCCCAGGACTAAGCGCAAGTGTCACTGAACAGCTTTTAATGGTGCTGGGGTGAGGCACAGGGACTCACAATAGACCTGCCTCGAACATACCCAAAAGAACACGACAAGCTATCAATTGCCCATACGTATGCACCAAACCAGTCATGCTTGCGACGATGGACCATATGACAGCAAGGGCTGCGACTGAAGGGATAAATGAGGAATTTCAACTATGTAGTTTGCTGAGGATACAATGAGCCACGAACTGTAGCGAGATGGCGTGAACTTTTTCAGCACTAAGTTCGAGGGTATCTCGAATAACTATGAAATAGCAAATACGTCAACAGCAGAATCAGCCCGCAATACCAGTAGGATTGCGCACTAAATAAGTGACGAAGACCACAGAGACAGAGACCTGGAACTTATTCCCGTTCAAATGGAGATCCTTCTCTAATCCATACAAACGTGCATTCCTAATTTCCATTTAGCAGTGATGACGGGAAAACGTCGGGCTGCATTCACCCAATATTTACTCGGTCCAGGAATGCGAGCAAGTGCAGTATCGTCACCATTGGGATGATGTGCATATCCAATTTGCGAACAATTTCCTTTTCAAAGTCACCGCCGTGCAACCAGTCCGCAACTTCATAGGCAGCGTCAGAGCCTAACACCTGCAGCGGCGTCATCTTCGACTCTCCGGACAAATTATTCCCGATGGGAGGCTCGGAAGGCGTGGGCTCCCCTGACGACATCACTCCTGAAACACCTTCAATGTCAATAGGACTTCCTCTTCGCCCGTGGACTCAGAAGCAAGTCGTAGCGCTATATGTCCCCTGCCAGGAGGATGAAAGGGTAGTATATAAATGGTGTGGAAGAAATGAAGCCCAAGCAAGGCGCATCTCTCCGCATCTTTCCGTCCAGATAGGAAGAACGATTGGGCGGGGTCTGCAAAAATGAATCGTTGGATTGCGCTGCTATCCAAGGCATGCGGAAGACAAAATGGTTCTTGCATACTAAGAGGCTGATCAAGAAAACTTGCAAACGGGACAAATTTGCTTTGGGGAACTGTACGACTTGAGTCGAAAATCGCTCCTGGGGTTTACACAGGTGGAGTTAGACTCACAACAGGTCTTCATTGGTTGCGGATGCTCAGCGCGAACTTTGCGTTGAGAATTGAGTGATCATTCCGGAGGAACACGGGCGTGGGCTGCGCGCCTACAGGATGCGCTTTATAATCCTATGTTAATTGATAGTGACTGTTAAGTGACTGTGAGTATCTTCCGCCTTGTGGCTTTCGTGATGAGATGATATCACGCCTCCGTCTTCGGATGTGACTGAATTGATTATCTCTTATCGCTGCTTACACGGCAGTGAGGCTTTTTCCGCGCCCAACCTGGATCTGAATTCAATAATGGTCCGAGTCGGGAGCTGGCACACACCGGAAAGGCTTCCTTTCGGGATTGCTTTCGTGGTGTTGTCTGGTCGAACCACCAACGATCATCAATTTCTGCACTTGCAGATTAGCAAAGAAGCACCGTAAGTCTTCACTGTTCTTTAACAGCCCAGTATTGAACTCGAGCAGTCAGGACTCTGGAACCCCCTATATCGATTCTTTGTAACGCTGGCTGCACAAATAGGGGCAAAAGCTTCACCATCCATGTCGGAAACACTGTGGTATTCCCAATTCCCGACGCCTTCCTACGATGCACGTCGCGTCGAGCCCGAGTACTTAATCAGTCTTATGAGGGACACGAGCTTAACTCCTGGCGTAGACTACGTCGTTGTCGATACGAGAAGACAAGACTTTCAAGTGAGTGCGCCAGGAATCTCGCAGACAGGCACAAAGTTAGCTGATACTCCACTCTTTATCCGGCATGTGTCCCCCAGTCCTACGCGATCTTGAACGCTATTAATCTGCCAGCGCATTCATTCTATCCCACCCTTCAAACAACGACAACCGTTCTGTCTCGCATTCCGAAAGTTATATTCCACTGCAATTCGTGTGGCGCTATATCTCGTGGTTCCCGGGTTGCGGGATGGTACAAGGATGAGCTTAAGCGGCGGGACATATCGCCTGAAGTTAGCGAGGCATTAATCTTGGAAGGTGGAATCAAGGGGTTCGAAAATAAGTATGGCAAAGAAGGCCTACTCGTCAAGTTCGACTCATTGTAGTCACAATTGCCGCAGAATCCCTATATTTGACCAGTTGTTCGCAATCTCTCGTCAAGTCTATTTGTTCACGGCCTAATGAGGGGCTCAGAGGCGCCGGTTGACTCTAAAGATCATGTTCGACGTAAATACATGTAAATACATGCGTTGAGGTCGTTCCAACAATTTTCATGCCTGTTGTATAGGGACATCCGTCATGCGGGCTCGCCGCCATCCCCTCGCCCTTTGAACGATCTGTTGGAATGCAGGTCACGCTATCGATCCCACATCATGATCAAACACTTCCTGTTATTTAAATGGAAATCTACGTAAGGCAACTCCTAGGCTGCTGCACAGTTTGGCACATCCCCAGTCGTCCCGGCCATAATCGGGAAGGGGAAGACTCCCCATCCCCGTCTCTGAGTTCATGATACATGCCAAATGACACGCACGGTGAAATGAAAACATCATTATCTCCCAGGGAACATGTTGGGAATTTTTCTTTGCATGTGGGTATTTGGAATAACGCCGTCCATTTAGTATCCCACTCTGGGCCTCTACTGTTATAGGGGCTGGTCACCTGCCTAGGTTTGTGCACTGGATGTTCACACCAGAACGAAATCATCATGTTTCTGCTTGTACTTTCCAGTTTCTTCGCTTCTCTCATCGTTTGGTATGCTATATTCCATCTCAAGAGAGCAACAACGACGGACATCACCCGTCTCTCATATCCTGTCAGCTGACGTTCGCGCTTTCTGCTTGACCACCTGGTATCTCACACTGTTCGCTCCTTCAGTCTAAGGGCCATTGGCTTTGGGGCCACGAAAAGGAATTCCGCTTCGATGGAAATCATGGGGATGTGCTCGTGAGATGGGCCGACGAGATAGGAGGTGTTGTTAGAACGAGAGGGGCATTTTGGGCACGTCTCTCTTCTCGGTCTAACCTGCTCACGTTTTGAAATGTGTGTTGCATTATCCAGCACCCGGATATTGTAGGTTACATTATACCAGAAGAACCATGTAGTCACCGATCCTCCCTCTTCGACAGCTTATTATCTCGGACCCTCTTGCCCTCTCTCATGTGCTGGTCAAGAGGACATACATTTATACCAAATCGCCTGTGTTTCGCACCCTAATTGAACGCCTTGGGGGCAGGAGCATCATCTGGGCGGAAGGGGATGACCATCGGAAAATGAAACTCGCATTTGCACCTTGTTTTTCGTGCGTCTCCAGAGTCCCCCTCCTACTCGTCCTGTCTCAAAGAACTCATATCATAGCACGCAACGAGTCCGCAGAATGGAGAACATAGTCATGGAGACAGCTCATAAGGCAAGGCACTCGTTTATATATAGATGTATCGATCATTCCGGTTGTTGACTATGTTTCTAGCTGACAGGCGTGCTCCGTGATCATATAACTCCGGATCACGGTTCAGGTGGCGAGGCGTCTTGCCCGACTATACTAAATATCATAGATTGGAATACGAGAGCGACGTGCGTAGCAATAAGTTGATTACGGTTTAAATAAGGCTCCTCACACGTTCCTGAAGGTTGGACATCATAGGCCGTGTGGTATGTTTCCTGGTATTTGTGAGCTATGTGATCGTCTCGGCTCAGTTTGGCAGGCATTTAATTATGACTTCCGTCTCGGTGAATCCGATGCGGCCAAAAGGATTTGTCGCGCATGGACTCATCAAGTCATGCTCGGGACGACCCTGGGCGGCTTTGTTGTATGTCCCTTCTGCAGATTTACATGTTACACCGTTTTGAGTTACCTTCGCATCCAAGGCACCGTTGGTTCTTCGTGCGCTTCCTTTCATCTTATCGCTTCCATTTGGGTATACAAAGGCGCAGGGAGACGTAAAACTTTGCGTCCAGGAAATCGGAAAAGATATGGTAAAGAAGAGGATAGCGGACTTAGGGGACAGCACTGTAGATGATGTTTTATTTGGTTCCATCGGTACAGTACATACCCTAGCTGGGTATGGATGCATGTGCTGATACCGCATACGCTAGTTGTAGCATGCCGTGGCAAAGATGGACAAGTGTCAATAGATAGGGTCTTGGATCATGTTCGTCCAAATACTCTCTAGCCTGCACCTAGGATCTCATAAAACTTTTAGATCACAACCTTCATGTGAGCAACGGCCACACGTGGCTGTCACACTGCCCTCTAAGATGTCTTTGTTTGGTTTCTAGCTTGGCGGGACATGAAACAACAGCTCTAACACTGAGTCATACAATATATGCCCTGGCACAGCACCCAGCCGTGCAAAATGAGCTGCGTGCGGAATTGGAATCCTTTGGCCATGAGCCGACATTCGACGATTTTCATGACAACAAGCAGCTCAAAATGCTTGATGCGGTTATGAAGGAAGGGTGTGTCCATATGTCTTGTCATCCAGCCACGGCACTGATGGGAATGTATTATGTAGCATGCGATTGTTTCCACCTGCGCCCCTGGGTGACCAAATTGCTATGGAAGATGACATCATTCCTCTCGGTCGGCCAGTCCGTACCAAGGACGGTTCACATATCCACTCGATACACATACGTAAGGGACAGGTATGCATTGATTCATTTTATGCCGTCTATGTGGCCAACACGCTTGTTTTTAGATAATAGCCATCCCGCGCATCGCCATTAATATGCGTCGGAGCCTCTGGGGCCCAGATGGGACGGAGTTTATGCCTGCTCGATGGCTTAAGATGGCGAACGACGCGTATCCTAAGGCAATGATGTCTGGATGGAACAACCTCAGCACTTTCAGCGAAGGCGGACACATGTGCCTCGGGTACCGTCTTGCCGTCTTCGAATTCAAAGCGATCCTATATGCGCTCGTGAAGACGTTCAAGTTTGATCGCGTGGATGGGATCAAGATACAGAACAAAAGATCTACAGGATTGCATCCAACAGTTATCGAGAATTCAGGAGAAGCGAGTCACATTACCATGGACGAACCATGGTTGCCTGTCAAAGTCTCGTTGGTGACTCCGCACTAGCCGTTTTGTGGGACAACTTTACTGGCTGTTATGAGACAACAGCATCCCAATTGCCTGTGCGTACACACGGAATAGAGGACAACTTCACTGTATCCCTTTCTTGTAAATGTACATACTTGAGGCTTCTAAGCACTTTGTAGCAAATGAAATTCCTGGGTACAAGCTCGAGAATCACTGCCCAACACTTCAACTTCAGAGTCATCTGGTTGCGATATCATGTCATCGCGAGGCGGTATTTTTTAGTCCGCCTCTACAATTATATTACTATACAAATCGAGGCTGCAGCATAGTCTAAGGAGGGATGAGCACGTGTAGACCCAATTGGTGCCAGACGCCACTCCGGTATCCGAAGGGTGCGTGAATTCTCCTTCCATTAAATACCCCACAGCCTACGATTGTTTTTCACAGCACCTTACTCTGAACGAGTCGCCCTGGGAGACGATGTGATTCCTCCGACCCAGGCTGTTTCCGCAAAAGACGGGTCGCAACTTCGCTCTGTACGTGTACAGAAGGGACAGTCAACGCCGCATCGACCTGTTTCTGTGAGGCTCATATGTCCTGACGGGAATTTGTTCAAACCTTCTCGCTGGCTTGGGACCGCACAAGGCAATCTTCCGAATGTTAGGGTGGAACCATCTTGAGACTTTTAGTGGATGTGTCTCGGGGCAAGACTTGCCGTCTTCGGGATCTGTGAAGGCATTCAAATTCGAAGAAGTGGAAGGCACCCCATCATTGCAACCTATCGTTGTCGAGAATATCGGAGAGGCGAGCCATAATGTGACGGACGAGAAGCCACGGTTGCCTATCAAGGTTTCAATCAGCCGCCTAGGCTTGACCGCGCCGGGAAAGGCCGATTCCTACCTCTGTATCCCAATGTCTGCCATGATGTAGCAGCGAAACATGACCAGCTGCCAATGCCACATACTTGTGCTACGTTTGTGCCATTGTTCGTCCACTGAATTGAAATTTAACGAGGTAACTTGCTGATGTGGTTACGACGTTTAGATCCTGAAATACCTGGGAAGGACCCATTCTTTTGGGACTCGACGAGGGGTACACATCACCAGCCCAGCGTTCGAAGGGCCGCTAGAACGAGTGCGCGATGAAACCTGACGTGTCTGAACCTCGAGAAACTGCCGCGACCAACCTCGGATCCTTCACGCAGTGGCATGAAAGGCTTCAAGTGGAGCTCGTCTTTACATGGCCGAACGAATGAAATCGATTTAAGGAACCCTCAAGGAAATCCACACGGGACCAGGGTTTAATATACATACACATTCTGAACTTCACACCCCGTTGGGGGCAGGGTATTTCACATCCCTTCAAATAGTGTTTAGATCCTGCCTCGGTATTGAAAATATCGGTTTAAGATGGGATTGACAGGTGGCAATTTGCCTTTATGGATTGTCCTTTCTATCAGGTATTATGGGTCACGGCCGGAGCACTACATACATCTTGAGATTGCCGAAAAATCTTCAGCGAGCAGAACTGTCGAGAAGGCGACCTAAAAGAGTTCGTCCTCGTCTGCCCCGCGGGATGAAGTCGTGTCCGGGGCAAACGTAGAAACCTTAGAGCAATCCTCATTCGTCAAATCACTCCATCCTAGCACAGCCAGCACTTTCATATCCGCCTCCTTGCTCTCCAGTACAGCTTTTAATTTCGCCACCAATTCCTCTCGAGTGCCACTAGTGGGGATGGATGGATTACGCAGGGAGTAGACGGAGAGGTTGTATTTGAGCGCAGTATTTGAGAGATTCGAGCATTCAGCGGGGTCTTTAATTAATGGATAAGCCGTGTTCGCGGCCGTCAGTGCAGAGGTTTGTGGATGACTACGTCCTGGGTCAGAGAGACGAAGAGCATGCTCCTGAGACACGTCTTAAACAGCGTAGCGCGGGAAAACAATAACTCAGAGTCGACAGACTATCGCCGTTGAAGGTTAACAGCAGAAGAATACGCACTTTTCAAATAGTCGATGCATCCCCGAGGTAGCTCGATTCGCATCCGAATTGCGGGTCGGACACTTTCACAAAAGCGACGGAGTCCGATCATACTAATTCCGGTGCCATGAATGCTGAGCGTACGCAAAGAGTCGAGGTACGCAAGATTGATGCAACAGTCATCAGAAAGATTCGGATTGCAGGCGAGATTAAGGGACGCCAGAGTGCGCTTGAGAGGAACGATGTATGCGATGCTAGTATCACGACGCCCAATAGGAAGTTGCCACTTTCCACTGATCAGTGCACTCACGCTTCGTTCGTGATCCGTGTGTTGGGAAGAGAAAGGATTTCCAGCCTCGGCAAACTGCTGATGAAAGTGAGATCACAACTTTGAATGGGTATGCCGTCCAATATCAACTGAATCAAGTCTTGGAAACTGTTCGGTTTTTTCAACACTAGCTTGTCGTGATCAAGATTCGAGCAGCGAGCACAACTGTTAAAACTTGTGGGGACGCACCTGAAAGCACATCTTCCAGAAGTGAATCCGGGGCAACGAGAAGAGCTGGCCTCAGGGACGACCGAAGGTCGAGCCTTGTGATACCCTGAAGAGCACGAAATAACTCCAGAGTAACAGGCCATATATGACCCTGATCACTAAGATAGTCGAGCACAGTTTGGTACGAAACGTCGATCCCTCCACCAGTGGCGGCAGAAAACCCCCTCCTCAAACGGACGCCAGGCAAGAGGCTGTCAAGATCACTTAGAAGGATTGCAACAGAGTCCGTGTCACATGGGCCATAATCCGGTCCGTACAACTGATCTAAGTAATAGCTGTCTGAGCTGGGTTGTGGAAGGATTAGCGAGCTTATCATGCCTTCAAGCTCCTGAAGTGCCCGGGCATACTCTCCAAGCACGTTGCGAGTAGGTCGCAAACCACTGAGTGTTACCCCACTGCGATTAGTTATTGTTGTCCAACGAGTACTGTGCACGCGTTTGTAAGCCGGGGGTGAAGCGGTGGGGACCGGTTGCGACGAGGCTAAGGATTGTTCAAGGTTCAGAGCTTCTCCCCTGCTGATGTCGAAAGAAGACATTTGAGACGACTGGGACTCATTAATGGGAACTCTGACAGCTTTGGAGCGCAGAAGATCCGGATAACGATCAGCTACAGAAGTAAAATCGCCGGTACCCTGAGAAAAGGCGCGAGAGTCTGGATATTGGTTAGCAGTTGAGTACGTCCTCGAAGCCGTGGTGTGAGTAGGCGAAACATAGTAGTTTATCTGTTCTCGTGGGCCATGACGGGAAGATAAGTCGTGATCGTTTTCCTGGCATTTTATAGCTTCAACGAGCTTCACGGCGTAAAGCTTACGAAGGTGGGAGAAGTGATCCTCGCGAGAACGCGGATCCACGGAGTAGTCCTTGCGAATAAAACGCGTTCGGATAGGGAGTAATTCTTTAGACGCCTAACACACTTCGATCTCAAGCGTGTCCACTAGGGACTGCACAAACTCCGCTGCAGGTTGACGAGGAAGCCAAAATGGGTTTGAAGGTTCGTCCTACATGCAAAATGAGCATAGCAGCAAAGGCCTTAAAATGACTAGCCCACGGCAACAGGTGCTTCTGGAAGAGATCGAAAGTTGACCATAGGAATGCGCACGGAATTTCCGATGTAGAAGCGAAGTCACTCCAGAAGAGGTCTCTCACGCTCAGATACATTCAACAAGTTACCTTGGTGGGCCGTCATTCAAGCGCTTCTTGGCGCCTCATGAGGAACTAATCGCATCGAAGATGGCTTTCATCTTATCTGGCCACGTCGAGAAGGCAGGCTTTGGATTCTCGGGGCCCGATCAGGCCCAACATTCCTATTTTCCAGAATGCACTCTGCACTTTCGCCAACCTTGACACGGCATCTAGCACTACTCAACGTATTTCCCATCTTATCTTGAGTCAATCAGTGAATTTCTGCCGACCGCTTATCCAAGGTTATCACAAGTTTGTGCTTCAAAAGCTCTCCATTGCTGCTGGTCATCTCATGCAACAATATGCTAAAGATCTCTTGTCCATCGCGGAGATGGTGCACCCTTGCCTCAGGAACCATTAGAGTGCGAGGTTACGTCTCTCCTACTGGAATCCTGCTAGGCGTCCAGGAGGTCGTAACCTACAGGAGTGCTGTCGCAGCGAAGCATTATATCACCCGCCAAGACTGACTTTCAAAAAGCTCAATCGTTTGGATACTGTCTCGAGACTTGCCAATATCTCGCACGGAACTCCGGATCCCTTTCGACGCATATAATTAGTCTGGTGACTAGAAATACATCAAGTACAGAGAAGATTCAAATGAACGAGGTAGTACATCAACCCTCAAAACATAGAGTCCAAAGACCGTTGAGATTAAGAAGATGAGGGACATTGGAAAGCGAGTGGCGTAAATGGGAATTAAGAAAAGGATATCGCAGCAGAAATCATTGATTTCCTGGGATACCATAGAACGCAAACCAGATATTTCATGCCTGGCGGGGAGTTTCTGTGTCAAACTCCGTACCGTGCACCCGGACACGGTACAGGCAAGTGTACTCAGAATGACCCCAATTGCTCCGTATATCGAACAAAACAACGCCGAAGTCTATATCAAGGTTCTTGATCCGGTCTGGGACTTGGAAAGTCTGCACATTGTCTGGAGCGTTGATGTCGTATTCAAACTTGGCTAGACTGAGGAATTCGAGAGTCTTAGGCAATGCGGCATAAGGAGGTCGTGGCTCCTCCATCTCTTCAACCTCATCTTCGTTCAGTGTACCGGCCTCCTTCCGAATACTAAGCTCCTCCCGATGGGCGGAGAGCTTGGCTAGATTATCGGCTCCATCTACAATGCCCCAAACGCGGATGTGCTTCGGAGCAGGTGTGATATCGTAGACAACGTCCTTGCTGGCGTGATCGATGCTAAAGGAAGAGATGTGGATGTGTCGAGTGAGATAGACCCCGAGTGTTCCATTAGATCCACGGAGTGGCCAGCAATTCCCAACGTTGAGATCGGGAATGAGAGCGGTGACGGGCGGGCGAGCCAGGGGGCCAGACGATCCACCCACGAACGGGATCCAAGACTTCCTCACGGACAGTTCATAAGTCAGGGATGTCAACGAGGGAATGATCCGGCCGCCTCCGCCGTAAATCGCAAAATCTGCCAATCCAATACGATCCTTTAGAGCGCGCAGTAGCATTCGTTCAAAATACTGCGCGATGGCGGGGGTTACTTCCTTCGGGCCTTTGGTGGACCGACCCTTGCTCTCTGAGGCTTGCAAAGCAGCCACCTTCTTCTCCAGGTCACGTATCGACTGCGGCGTGACTTCTGCCGAAGTCTCGACTCGACGGATCCAATCATGCAACCGCTCGATGGTGGATTCGATTTTACTCAGGCCATCCGGTGGAGATGCTTGCTTCTCAAGGCGCTTGGAGACGCTCGACATGACATCTCGCACTTCCGTCATGAAATTCTGTAATTTCACATCCGAATCATCGGCGCGTCCTCGGATGAGCTGCAACTGGCGTTGGAGAGATTGAGTAACAGCGGAATTGTCCATTCGAGATAGTTGTTCCGAGAGGGAAGCGAGTTCGGCCTGCATTGTTCCAAATTGAGAACTAAGTTCCTCCCAATTCTCAGGAAGTGCCGGGGATGCCTTGTATGGTGCCTTCGGAGAATGACCGATAATTGAGCCCAGCCAACCGCCTCGCCTAATATATGGTGAATCATCCGTCTCCGGACGTTGAATCCATAACGCAATCCCAACGAGTAATGTGGTCAAAAGAAGGTTTCGAATGGAGAAATAATGTTGACTATTCCGTAGCCACGAGAGTGGTCGAGTAAGTGTGATTTCGTAAATCGATCCAAAGACGTCCATGAGGAGCCTGAGTATCGAGGCGATTAGGAGAAGAATGCTCCGTAATCCCAGCACTGTTCCACGGACAAGGATCCCCAGTGTGGCACCGATACCAACTTGTCTACTTGGCGCATCTGAATACGCGCCGTAGGCCCGTTCGGCAGGAGTCGGTGACGGAAGGCGATCTATCTCTTCGTGTGTTAGGTCAACTACTGACTTCTCGTCTTCGAAACTTTGATTCCCTCGGTTGGAGTCTGGTGGACGAACGGGCGACGGATCGCGGGATAGCTGTTCCATGCCGCTACCGCTATGATCCTCCAGCGCTTTCCGCGATCCAACACTCTTTCTGGTCTTCCCATGCCCTTTTCGACGCTTCTCGGCCGAAACCATGGGCAATTGGCCATCAAGCGATGCCTTTGCATGCAAGCCCTTCTTCTTACGGCGTCTAGTACCACCATCGCTAACGTCGTCGGCGGACTCCTCGTTCTCCGAAGCACTCGGTTTGTAGGCTTTGTTATCGTAGGTCATATGCTTCCGGTGTTTTTTTGCAGCCTTAGCAGCAGCACTGGCTTGTAACTCGGCAAACTCTCGCTCTTCTGTGTCATAATCTCGACTCTCCAGATTTGAGGATTCATCGATAGACTTGGACGCCCCAGCAGCATCAAAGTCTAATAAAACGTTCATTGATTGGAAGCCCGCCCCATTTGATTCCCGTAGTTGAAGGAAATACGGGGAGAGTGCTCTCTGCCGCTCGCCTAATGCTTCAACTGGGCTCAGACCACGTTTCCCTCGGTCGTTGTCGAATGAATCTGATGGCTTCAGCTTGTCGTTTTGTTTCTGTTCGCGGGAGTTGGGGGGCCGCTGGTAAGAAGGGAGTGAGCTCGTAGACTGAGAAGGATCAATCAGGGTGGAAGACGATGAATGAAGTGTGGATACAGATGGTATAGAGGTGGTGCCTTTGGCCTGAGCAAGCGCATTGGCTATACGTACAGAAGTATCTCTGGACGGAAGACCGGGCGCCTCTGTAGGGTTTGGGTCGACTAATTTGGAGGATGTGTTTGGTTTTCCCCTCGAGTTGATAAGAGTGCGGTTTGCACTGGACGAGTTCGATACTTCGGGTGGTGCACTATGATACAACCATCAGCAAAGCGGTATTCAAGACTCTGTTCGTTGCAGAACAAACCCATAGGCGAAAGATGGTGGTATTGCCGTGGTCGAAGGGCCAGCCCTTCTTCGAGGAGAGGGAGGTGATGGTTCCTGTCGGGATGACGATGGTAGTGTCCCGCGCATCAAATCTTCAGTGGGAGCCTAATGCGTCTATCATGGTCAGAAGCGGCTTGTACCCGAGTGGTCCGTAACTCGAAGAGCTCACAAAGGTGGTGGGCATTCAGCAGCCGAGATATGTGTAATGTCACGTCGAAGACTTCGAAAGAGCGAGTCAAATGATCCAAGGAACGAGTAGCAGTGCTTTCTGAGCTTTGATAGAATAATGGAGAACAAGTACAAGGTGAGAAACGAGGATGCGCTTTGTCGTTGCCACCTGCGAGGCCGGATGCAAATGAGAGACAACAATCAACAAAAGCGATCACAAAGCTACTTTCATGTGCTTGTGCGAAGCCTCTTATCACTCTGATGAAGCACTGTATTACTTGGGATAGGCGAGAGCACTGGAAGAGATGGAAGGAGCAAGGATTGGGTCGGTACGACCAACACGTGGCTGCCTCGAGGCTTAGTGTCTCTTAACGTATCGTCAATTTCTAGGCTCTCCCTCCTTTTTATACGCCGAGTCTTGATTATCACTTTCATTTCTATTGGTTATTGCACTGGATTGCCCGGAGATCTCATTGCGACAGAGTACAAGACCTAAGGCAGCCAAATTTGGTTGTTCGCTGTCCACGGACACCAGCGTCCGCCGATGCTGTGGATGACTGATTTCATACTGAACGGGCATGGAAGTCCAGCTCATGAAATAAAACTCCAATTGGCACCTCAGACAAGTGGTTCCGATCCAACCTCCGGATCCCGACCTGCGGTCCATTACGAAGTCATAGAGGCTGGAATCCTGCCTAGACCTGTGGCGTATGACATGATTGATGCAAGATATATTGTCTGTGCAGTCTGGCATGAACAACGGAGTGGGCAAGAGTTGCGTATCGGTTCCAAAAACTGTCGCAACGGTTACCCCCTGGGATGCATTTTTGTTGCCCGTTGCTACCAATAGGCTCTGGTTCCCTCCGTACTCCGGCGAAATCGCGTGCTAAATTGAAGCCGATCTCATATGCCTGGCGTGGCTGAAACACTGGGAAACGTAGTGCTACCTCTGCCGCTTTCTCAAGTACTGCTGCCTACATACACAGAAATGATCTTAGAAGGTGTTAGCCCTTTCACTGCATCATCAGATTGTTAATGGGCCCCACTGAGATGTCGGATACCGTCGATTAGTTGGGTATCCGCATCTGCAGGTTTGGCCCTTAAATACATGCGTGAGTGGCAACAGTGATACGCGAAAGACAAAGGAAATGAGGTGGGGCAAACTACAAAGGTAACTGGACGCTTTGTGGTCCAGTGCCAAGTTGCAGGAGCGCCCCGACGCCTCTCCCAAAGCTCAATTTGTCCGGTCCGAGCTCCTCCAATCCGGCGGTGACGTGCCGGGTGGATTACCGCCCCTGACCGCCTGTGGCGTTGGACTGCTAACTTCAACACAGATGACTACCAGGCTACTATTGTCATGAGGGCCCCTTAAACTGAATGGCCGAGCTTGCGGCACCTTCTGCGTTCCAGTAAGATTAATAGATACAAGTGCTGTTAATTAGAGTATTCGCATATATCATGTGGGTGCACCAAGGGGCCAACCTTTGAACCCCACCCACCCTCCCGGGGGCTCCCGCGGAGAGCTTTCGGGGCGCTGGCCCAACCCCCCCCCCTCCGGGCCCCTGCGGAAGGCATCTGGGCACACCATGCTGTTGATTGTCGTTGTATGTATATAATATCTGCGCCCACTTGGACCAAAATTCTGCATCTAAAATGTAAGAATCATCTCCATGGTCAATGCGATGCAACTGCGCACTCAAAGGATTTCTGCATATTATTCTTAGCTCACGCTGTTTTGAAACTGAATGTTAATGCAATGCTGTCCACTATATTCCATTGCAAAAGAATATGATAGGTATTGTGTGGCGTCTTTGACTTTGGTCTATTGGAAATAATGTGACCTGCACGAGGAGAGAATCTAAGTGACTTTTACAATGCGTGAAGAATGTCTCTGGGCGCGTGAACACTGAGCTAAGCAGGACTGAAACGGCAACCGCCCAGTCCGGAAGCAAGCGACGAGAATCTTTAAATTGCTCAACCCTCCAATATGACCTCAACAAGTGAAGCAGTAAATGCTGTAGGACTAGAGCGGCCTCAAGTTGCAACAGACGATGAACCCCATTTAATGCGGATATCTTCGGCAAAGATGCATGCCTATGTGGAGTGGGCTCTCAAATTTCTCCAGGTCTGCAATTCATTCCTTGTGTCTTCTGCGTTGCAGAAAAGAATGACCCTCACCCAACTAAGGAAAACAAATATCGTCCCCTGGTTCTCCACACCCTACCAGTTCCCTCATCGCGGTTGGCATCGGAACCACCGCAGGAGGCGGAAACTCCCAATGCTGCGTCTACCACAAACAAGCGAACGGAAAAGAATTCCATGCTTTCCCATTGTACAACCAGCATCCCGAGACTTGTTTCGATCGTTGAGACGATCAAGCGGGTATTTGCAGCATCCATGATTCGGCATAACTTAGATGTTGGTCACTTCCTTCATAAGACTGACGACAGACACCTCATTTTGCGTTCTTATCGAGTAGAACCCAGAAAGTCCTATTTTACTTCATCAATACAACTTAGTAGACTCGTTAGAGAGCGAGGCATCAACTAATCAAGAGGGGAATGTGACGATTGACCTGGAGTCAGTCTTAAGCGGGAAAAATCAGTGAGTGAAGCCCCATCGTCCAAGAAAATACTCATATCTTTCATGGTTGTCAGCTTGCAGGTCAAGAAGACGCCCTATATGAAAGTTATTTTGTGTCGAAGAAAGTTACCCCAACAACTCGTAGGAAAAGCCTCGTAAGTGCACCAGGCCCCGGTTTCGCCATACCTTTCTGTCATCTCATTTTGAGCCTCATAGCTATCAGGAACCGTTAATGCCTCCAAAGAAGTCTCGATCAACCAAGTCACGGGAGCGGAAGCGGCGACGCAAGCAAGCGAGAGATGCACAAGCAGCTTCGGCGGAGCAGAATGCAGTTCCTGAAGTCATGGAAGTTGACCCCTCGTCGAAGGATTCATGAGTCGTTCCGAGCCCGCTCGTTCGCCCGTTCATTTTGGCCCGTTCACTTCGTCCCGGGGTTACGTGGAGGAGTGGGTGTGCCCAAGTACACAAAACCCATATCGCGATTCCAACCGCGCTCAGCGTTCCAATTCTTTCAAACAAAGTCATAGCTTTGATCGCATGCCCTTCCAATAGTATATTCCCAATGTAGTGCATCCTTCCTCGGTGTTGACTCACTCCACCTCTGGGAGTTGGTAACGTCCATCCTTTGTCGAGGCTGGCAATCAGCTGCGCGGCAGGAACTTTCAACTAGGTTGGCTTAAAATGTCAGAAATCTTATTTCGCATGGTGACGCTCTGTATTTACCCTAGTTTCAGAGAAAGTCCTCATACATCGTGTGCGCCTCATACATCGTGTGCGCCTCATACAAATCTTGGAAGCACCATGAATGTCGATGATATCGAAGTACAGCCACCACTTTGAAATTTCCATTCTCCTCTGCCGCTCGATGTCTGAACCACCAACGAACGAGTTCTCCTCTGTTGAAGAAAAGATGGAAGTTGCACAGGGACACAAAGAGAAAGGAGACAAGGCGTTTCGCTCTGGCGATTGGAAGGCCGGTCGGTGTCATTTCTTTCACGATCGTCGCCACTCTCCTTTTGCGCGCCTAACCTAACGTTGATTTCTACCGTCGTATATCCAGCACTCCAAAGTTATCACCTCGTACGTTGAATGTCTCGGGAAAAACGTCTTATTCATCGAATTGTCAGGCTCTGTTGTACCTCACCGGTTTGGATAAGCGCGGGTTACCGTAGGTGTATCTGGACCACCGTTCTGACGACCTCACGCGAATAGATGATTTAGGGCGATCCCCAAGGAGATTGCTGAGTCGGTGGATCCTGATGAGGCAAAAACCTTGACCCAAGTCAGTAAACCGTCCTCACCCCAACCGCAACTATTACCGATCCCATTTAGGTTGACATTCTGATCGAGAACGTTCGACTGAATATGGCAGGTCAACCCAACCCACGTTGATTAGACCCTGTACAACCTTGTTGATTTCTTCCTAGCATGCCATTTGAAGACTGACAATTTCAAGAGAGCCCTCTATTATGCCGATGAGGTATGCACATGGATAACAGTAATATTAAATTGGATACAATCACTGGGTTATTAGGTCTTGAAGAAAAACCCTACCAATACGAAGGCGCTTTTCCGCAGGGCAAAGAGTTTATCTAGCACGGGGTACACCGAGAAAGCTATCAAAATTCTCGAAGATCTGGTTGCGAAGAATCCTGATGGTTGAAACTTTTCCTTCGTATCCGATACATGGTTGCGACTGAAAGATGCTTTGTGTAGATTCAACATTTACGTCAGAGCTAGCTGCGGCAAGGGCAAAAGAGAAGGAAGCCGATGTCAAAAGTTATAAGAAGTTCAAAGGTTTGATAACAGACTCTTTCGATCCGAACTCGTCCTAAGCAGTGTTGCTAGGCTTCCTTTCGAAGGACAAGGGCGAAAAACCTGAAACATCGTGATTCATGCTTATTGGAGATTTGGCGCAAAACTCACACCCAGCTATGCCCCCGGTCGTTACACTTTCTGACTGAGCTCGTTGCATTCCATCAACTAATTGGGAATTTGTGTCGTTACTGGTCCACAATTCTGTGCCCTCGGGACAAGCCTCCTTGCTGATTAGCCGGGAGGCGAACGGGAGGCAAAATTCCGCCACCGAATCTCCCCCGCCAATGAAATGACTTAATATAAATCCGTAGCTCGCTCTGGGCCCCCTCTTCCTCATCACACTCGAATCTAGCATCCTTGCCACTGATCAACTGAAGCTCCTTCCCTGTCGCGCTAGTGCCTTTGATAAAGGTCTCTGTTGAACCTGAGATACGTATGAAAGCTGGAGTATCAGTGGTTCCCTGCCCTAGTTCGGTGGGAGCCTGAAGGTGGACAACGGTACGACCCACGTCAATTGTCACGGTAGTGGAAACCACCTTGTTGCCTGCGCCCAGAGCCTCGGTGACAAGCTCAGGAAATTTATAAAACTAAAGCCGTTGAATGAACATCCCATGGAAGACCCAGACAACATTCGGGATTCTCGCATCGGCATAATCACTCAAACCGCAGTTCGGCGCGGGGGCTCAGGAGAAAAGTTGTTCTGGAGCTACCAGCGCGTCAATTATTGCCATCATCACCGAAGCGTTCTGTAACTCAGTTGGATGGGCAAGTGGTGCCGACGCAATATTCAACTTCATATTCAGGAGGAAAGACTACAACCATTGGCGTCGATAAGCACCTCCTGTACGATATCAATGTTAGGGCCGTTAAGAACACTTGCGAGGACATGGGCACGTCGAGACCAGAAACTGAAGATAATAGAGGAGACGATCCCAGTCTTTAGGCTTGTCGCCTTTGTTTTCCTGCAATGCATAGTTTGGAAGGGGCCCGAAGTTTCGGGGGCTTGTGTTAAGCATTAGGACCTGAGCGTAAACCTTCGAAGAGATCAACTTGGAATACGAGTAAAATTTGGGTCGGCGATCGCGACGATCGGCTTGAAAGAGGACATTTTAGAGTGTTATGCAGCTCTATGGTGACCCATGTTCATATGCACAAAAGTTCGTGTCGCATTCAATGATTAGTGCCTAACCAGTCGAGTCGCCCGCCCTTGTACACAAAGTACCCCAAGTTGCCAGCCAGAGATCATAGGTGCTGGGCGCGAGATAACACGTCGCTGCCGCGAACTGTTCAATCGGTATTTGCCGTTTCGAGCCTTGTCAAAGCCAACATGACCTTGGGCACGAAGATCGCAGGATTTGCAGCTTTTGGCGTCGGCGTTCGTGCATGGGCACTGGGGATACAGAGACGTCCTGTTTTCGAACGTATGTCGCTTAATTTCCATCCGAACTCGACTGCATACTACTTGCTTCGCACGATTACTACAATCGCGTTACCTGTTCCTCCGCGTGCTCCTGCTCACCATCAGTCGCTCTGAACAATGTTAATTTAACGGATGATACTCACATGTGATTCAGGTCCAGTAACACACGCTGCAACAGCAGCCGCTTTCGGGACACTTGGTTACTTTGTCTATCACTGGGAAATACGGCAGAATGAGCTGATTGAGAAGAAGCACAAGGGGCTCGGGAGACCGAAATGGGATGATGGGAAGGGTTTCAAGCCAACCACGAGTTGGACGGGGCAGAAATTAGACGGGGAAGGGTTGCCTTCATCTGAGAAGTGAGGTAGGTGGACAATCTGACTCCTTTTCACCCGACTCTGGAGTCGCTCATAGCTGCTGCAGGTCATGCAGGCATTAAACTATGCGATAGAATGCACGTTGTATATCACACTTGCAATTCTTATTACCATAAAAAATACACATCCATTGCCTGCAGGTCGCCATTGTCCACACTGTAAGATACATAGATGTTGCGCAGGAGAGGTTATGGGCGGGTTACTCTTAACTAGCTGCTGCTACAGGTGTAGCACCCGCAATAGGAGCATCGGTAGCGGTAGTTGAAGGCTCATTCTTCGCGTCCTTCGATGAGGAACCTGCCTCGGTCGACAGCTTCGCCTTCTTTCGCTTTTTCAGCAGACCTAGAGTCTCCACGATCAGCAAATAAGAAAAACAAACCAAGGAAATACAACGGACCCGCAGCCACTGCACTCTTGACGCCATCAACTAAATCCTTGCTCTGCTCCAGATACTCCGTGTCATCAAAGCGATGCTTCTGGCCGGCCACAGGTCCTGAACTTGAGCCAGCTTTAGGTTCAATCCCTAGCCTTTTCTCTAACGCCTCAAGTTTAGCTCGTTGCGCCTCGGCGGCAGCTTTCTTCCGTGCTGGCTCGTTCTCCACATACTCCGCCAACCTACACGCCCAGAAGTTCATAAGCAATAGGAAACAAGCCGAGGAAATTTGGACCCACTGTTGTGCCTGCTTAACAGTACTGATACGGCGGCCATTAAGATCGCGACAACTATCGTTGTTGCTTGTCTTCTGAGAGCTCATGCGACCACCCGCTGCACGCAATTGAGAACCGAAACCTCCCTTGCCACCCATGACCAACGGTGAAAGTCGCAGAGAAATTAGTTGCGGGTGGGATACCTCATTCTTAAGTCTGGATATGAGAGAGGATATTGGACGATTATCAAGACATAATGGACCAGAAGCCGAAGACAAGACTGTAGAGGGAAGGTGGAATGGGACATGAGGGAATCGGGAAGCCAAGAACCCAGGAAGGTCCTCTACGTGCGTTTCATTTGGAACATCAAGGGCAAGGGTAGGAAAAGGTGGAAAAGTGGAAATGAGGATAGTTGAGGTCTGCATGGAGATTCAGCCAATCGAGTCACGTTGTCTCGGTCTATGCCGAAATGCCTGTCGGCTGAATTGCCGCTGTCAGCCGTGGGCTTCTTGATATCATCAGCTTTTCCCTCATTTCTTGCTTTTTTCTTGCTAATGTCTAGAGTTCGTTGCACATTCCATTCCAGAGGAGAAGTTTTCTTACCCCTTATGCATTGACAGGCACAGTTTCTCCGCGAATACAAGCTTGTCGTTGTCGGTGGAGGAGGTGGGTGATCTGTCTCAAGCGAAACACGTTTTTCAACTGACGTCCGATTCCACATCCAAACAGGTGTCGGAAAGTCGGCTTTGACCATCCAGTTTATTCAGAGCCACTTTGTCGATGAATATGACCCTACGATCGAAGGTAAATGGGTTATCACTGTCAATTTAGTGATGGGGATTTGTGAAATTGAGCTTCTCACGTTCATTGCGTCTCCTCTCAGACTTCTATCGTAAACAGTGTGTCATAGATGAAGAGGTCGCCTTGCTCGATGTGCTTGACACTGCAGGCCAGGAGGAGTATAGGTATGTAGCATATTTTACTTGGAGTAAGCGCTGAATTAATCCTGCGCGCCTTTGTTGGCACTTCCCAGCGCTATGCGCGAACAATATATGAGGACTGGCGAGGGCTTCCTCCTGGTGTATTCTATCACTTCGCGGAACTCTTTCGAGGAAATCAACCTTTTCTATCAACAAATTCTCCGCGTCAAGGATGTCGATAGGTTCCCCATGGTCGTCGTAGCCAACAAGTGTGACTTGGAGTATGAGAGACAAGTTGGGATGAATGGTGGGTGATCGTTGCCTGTAACACGGAAAGGGCGTATTTGCTGATTGCGTTTGTGATTCAGAGGGTCGTGACCTTGCCAAGCTGTTCAGCTGTAAACATGTCGAGACCTCGGCCAAGCAGCGGATCAATGTAGACGAGGCCTTTTATGCGCTTGTTCGCGAGATAAGGAACTATAACAAGGTTGGACAATGTTCCATTCTATTGCATCCCTAAATTCATTATGGAGCTCCAATCACAGGACCAATATCGGCCGGGCCAAGCGAATGCCGCTCCAGTTCCCTCAGGGCCAGATCCTCAAGCGTCGAAGTCCCAGATGGAGGAAGAGTCTCACAGCTCGGGCTGCTGCGGTGGATGCGTTGTTGTTTAATCCCGATCTGTTTCACGCTTGTATTGTCTTATCCGGTATCTCGTTCCTTTTCTCTGGTTCTGGTGTGTTACTCCTACTCTTTGTTTCCTAAAACTCACTCGTTTACTCCACGTCGTTCCCAACTCGCTTTATTCACTCTTTCAAAGATGGAATTCACAAGCCACAATCAAAAAAAAAAAAACAAGCCATTGTTCAACGTGTATATCACTCCTTTATTTATCGCGCTTTCTGGGTCCAGTGTTCTTCATGTAGTTGCGGCGACAGGACGAGAACAGAATCGACGTGGAGTTAACCAACAGATTGCAACTGAGTTACGAGGGAACGGATATTCGGTCTCCAGTTGCATCATTGTGCATTCACGGTAAAATTCTTATAGGCTTTGGCCTTAATCCCCAGTCCAGAGTCGTAATTGCACCATATTTGGGTGTACCAACCGTACGGTACACAAAAAGCGGTGTAGGTCCGCATTAAAAATCAAAATCATAATCACGATACGCGCGGAATTGCTGCAAACGACCCTATTTGTTCTCACTGGGCTCGTCCGAGTTGCATACCCACACGGACCCGCGTCTCTAGACATGCCCGTCCATTGAGCAAAAGGTCTTCATCCCATTGAACGGCTCCTTTTTCAAAGAGCATCACAATCGTGGAACCACCTATGCAGTTTCATCGTGAGATCAGCTTATTACTCGTAGCCCAACTGTGACGGGTATACCGAAAGCAAAGTATCCAAACTCCTCTCCGCGGGAGACCCTCTGCCCTTCTTGTACGGTGGTGATGATGCTGCCCACCATCATGGCCCCCACGCAAACTGCGTACACACGTCCAAACGCAGGTGAGTCGATAGGAACGACCTTTCGTGCATTATCGCCGTAAACATCAAGACTAAGCGGTTAAATCAACAAAGGGACATGAGAGAAAAAAAGGCTGTACGTGCGTGGTACGAATAGCTTGTGGCTAAGAATCGGGGGGGCAAAATGAGTAGAGTAAAAATGGCAACAGAAGCGTCGATCCCCACATTAACAGTGTAGTATTCTCCAGAAATGTAAGTCATTGGTCCAATTACCCCGTCAACGGGAGAATGGAAGCGGTGATAGTCCTGTAAAATGGTAAGTCGCCATACTATTTGAACCGCCTTCCCAGTTCACCTGTGGCGCCAGTCTGAAGATACATAGCGATCCACCGGCATATTTGAGGACTTCGTCCGCATACTGTGGGCCCAGCAATTTCGCAATCGTGAAATCTCGCCCTTTGATCCAGAGTTTCGTGGCCTCGCCTACACTTTCGAAGGCCATCATGCGACAGTCAGCCCCGCTGACAAGCACAGTGGGATCGTTGGGTGAAGCGACTGGCCGTGCATCTTCCTTGAGTTTACTGTGGAGTGTGGAGGACGTTGGTCAAGTATAAGACAAGCGAAAAGTTTGACGTGACATACCGATAGAAAAAATCATTGAAATTTTCTGTCTTAATTATGAGGAACGGTACATCTGTTATTTGATAACGAGTTACGCACTGAATGAATCGATCGGATCACGGATTTCGTCCACGTTGAGGTTGTGGAACGCGATGAAAGCAGGGATTTCACGCGCGGAATCTGGTGAATCATATTTCAAGCCTTGTTTGATAGACATTGATCTGAGAAGCCGCCGTGCTGAGATGAACAGGTTAACGGTATGATGCTAGGGTGTGCATTGGGGGTGTGACTAACCTCTTGCCCCTTCCATGCGACTAGAAGCACCCTGAAGAATAAATTAAGCAAATAAAGATGTAGAATGGGCAGCCAAGTATACCTTGTACAACAGTCGGATACCAAGGCGGACATACACCTGCATTTTTTCTTCCTCGAGCTGCCCAGTCAGGCGGTTTTGCACAATAATATTGGCTGAGTTCTGCTAGGGGCATTAGAGTGCAACACATGAGATTACTGAACGAACTTACTGCTCCCAGCTGATAAGTACCGCTGGATACCTTCGTTATGACTTTTGTATACCATTTTCGCTGGGCCTGACTAGCAGTGACATAATTTCCTACGACAATGCGATCTACGCGATTCCAATCCGAGCTGGCGCAGACACCAAGATGCGTAATGATATCAACTTCAGCCTTCGAATTTAGTCGCGGCCGATGACACAGAGGGCATGTCTTGATATTGACAACCCGCTCAACTGCGGGACCGCCGGAATTCTGGTCCTCAGATAGGTCGTTGTCAAGGTCTGAAGATTCCCCAGAGTTGTGCTCGGGTGGAGGGATGTAACCCCCAAAGGTGTTTGTCCCCTGGCCAGGCAGGGCCGTTTGTTTGGATTCACGTTGGTGTTCTGGGGCACACTGTTCCGCAGTGCCAGTCGCCTCGCTAGGTGCGTCCGGGCCCGCGTATTCAACTGCGCCCTGGGTGTGGTCCACCGCAGGAAAGTCCGAGAATGTGATGTTAGGTGTCATCGTGCCCGTGGCCACGGCAGGAACGTCATCTGCTGAGACGAGATTCTTCTCACTTCTCGGGCGTGTGATCTCCAGTTCCAGGCAATGGACGGCTTCATCAACTGTGAGGTCATCCTTTTCATCGTTCTTACCATACCGTGTGAAGAAGTTGTTGATAGTGGCGCGGGTCAAAGTGGACCCAAGGGAATCAAGCATGGAGCGAATTTCGATCAGAGAATAGGTCCCCGTCTCGTCAAGGTCATACTGCTTCAGATACTGTCTCCAGAATCGCTGACGAAGGGCATCGTACGGCTGGTACTTCGCGCTAAGGAAAAATGGATAAATGGAAATTTCGCGCTTGACTAGATCCCTCACCGGAAGGTAATAGTTGGGGAATGCCTGGCTTCCCACGATTTGTCTTTCTGGGTTGTCAGAGGAAGCGTGAAGGATTTCATCTTCTCCTGTTGTTCATCTCCTTCTGCGTACAGCCCTGTAGCTGAGTCCGGGCGCGGCGCATCAGCCGAAATCTCCGCCAAAGGAATTGAGACCTCTCCGACGTGGTCATTGCCACTGAGTTTATCCCAGTCAAGCACGGCGAATTGGACATCGTAGGAAGTCTCGTAACGTCTGACGTGGAAAAGAAGCTTCTCTTCCCATTGTGGATTGAGGGAATGCCGGATGACGCGTGTACGGAACACTTTCTTGCCAAAAGAAATTACAACGAAGGGGTCCATGTCCCATACCAATCGTGTCACTTGCATGCAATGCCGAGATCAGCTAGCGCCAAGGAATATAACTTGATCCTTACTGTTTTTAATCTTCGGCAAGTCCTCCGCTCCAGCTATCTCAAGCATGACGATACCTACAATATCACTGTCGGCAGAAAGCTCATAACCCTTATTACCTTTTGAGCGCTGCTTGAACTTGGGTGCTTTGATTTTCTTGCCACTGGACGTAGCAGCTGTGTCATTCGTACTGGTGCGGGAAGGGGTCGCAGGCTTGGCGGTTTTGACATCAGTCCCGGCGGCTCCACCTGGTGTCCCAGCACCACTGGACGACTCAGATCCTGAGATGACCGTACTGTCCGTAGATCCTTCTTTCTCTTTCTCCTTTTTTCCTGATTTAATCGACGTAGAACTCAACAATCTTGGGAACAAACTCGGACTCCTGGGAGGCACTAGCTTTGTGGGTTCGGGAGTAGACAGAGATTGGCTATCAGTTCCAGAACGAACGGCACTTGGCGCGGGTGGTGGTGCAGGTTCATTATCTGATTCCTCAAATTCCGTATCGGAGCTGAGTCCATCATCCTCGAGCTCCGAAACATCTTCTCCTGTAACCGCTTCGAGAGTGTGCTTGCGATAACGTACCGTCCCGATACCCCGAGTCTATGACGTGTGGAAATGGGTTAGTATCTCCTTGGGGACAACGATACCAGAACACTCACAGGAGGTGCAGAAAGGATCGTGGGTGCAGAATTGAGCTTGTTCTGTATGATATTTGTGTATATATCATCGAAACTATCCATAGGATGCGAAGTAGGAGCTTTAACGAAGCCTATCCGGATGTGAATTGTGCCTTGAGCATTGACTTTCGTTCGAGATGATATCAGATTGAGGGCAAGAGGCTGTACATGACATATCAAGAGAAGAAACAGTTAATTGTCACATTCATACACGACAAAAGCACATACTAGTTTGTTTTCGTTCTCGAAATCATACGAGCCATCAGGAAACCAATCTTCGATGGACAATGCAACCTCCCCCAAATAATCTTTGGTGAGCATATCCTTATCCCACCTATGTGAGGGAATGAGAGGAACTTCTCAGGCTGGTAGAACGTGGGAACAGCTCACACCACAATCTCGAGAGAGCTGATCGTGTCAGCTAGAGACAAGAAGATAGGGAAGTTAAATGTGGCGTCTTTAGCGTCATACGAAGGATTTAGCGTTTTCTTTAACACGGGAGTTTGAAACCTCTTGTTGCCGAGTGATACCACGACAAATCTATACAAAAGAAAGGTCATGAACCCTCATTCGTGATCACATCTAATCCGACATCAAGGGCCTCAGCAGCCGGAGATTCAACTCCATGACGTCTCGACGGGCACGCCCTAGGTCTCAGAAACGGCGCAAATCTACTTACGGATCGCTAGTTCCACTTCTATCTCTCGCGATGAGATCATGACAGCCCACGATTTGGACTCGAAGGGTGACAAGAGGCTCTTCCCCGGGCAATGGTGACCTCTTTCTGACATCTGCAGCTGATACACGCCCCGCACCATTTCCACCAAGGCGAGAGTTCGTGCTGACGCTCGCAACGCGGGCAGGAAGCTTGAGAGGCGCTTTCGCAACTTGCTTGAGCACCTTGGGGAGGCGAAGCACCTTCTGTTTGGGTGTAGTGGCGATTCCGTTTGCCATAGTCGTTTTCAGAGTGGTGTGTATATTTCGTTCAACGTTGAGTGCTCCCAAATATTACTGGTTGTGGTCTGGTGGGAAGATGTTTGTGGGAGGGTTGTTGAAAAGCCAGATACCCAAGTACTCCAAATTAACTTTCCCCGATCTTGATCAGGTGTTGTGGCTGCGCTGTTCGTCGTCATAGATCCAATGATATTTCGCACGTGGCATCTCACAGACCGACTCGTTCTTCGAGTGTAATAAGTGCTGTGGTGCCTTGTCACGGCGGGACCTTGAACTCGACACCTTAGCCAACACGCCTCATTTCAGTTGTGACGGTCGTACACTGCGACTCTGCCCGTTGAAGATAAAAAAACTCGTTCCTCACACGAGGCCCATGGTCTTATTCTCATAGCTTATAACGCCATTGATCCAGAGTAATGGCACGTGTGTTCCTATCATCAGCAAACCATGTAGTTCAAACCAGCAGTGCTCTTCATCTTTAGCCTCAGTCGGGCTGGGGGTAGCCCTTGAAATTTATTCTACTCGTTCACCTTTTGTGATCGAATTCTCACGAGAGATGAGGCTGCAACATGGATTCCTCCTGAACCCTGACATGCACCTATTTCCACGCAGAGACATCGCGGGGATTGTCAGCCTTCATAATTCCCTGTGCTGATCCAATCTGCACGCGCTCCAAATCAGACAAGAAACCCTATTCCGAAGAGGAGCTCCATATTCACCTTATACCATTGGAATATATGTAAAGCGGGACTTGTTAACGGAGTATGATCTGGGGGTCTGCCCGGACGAAGGACTCGGAGGACTCGTACACTCAGATCGGACTGATTTCTTTGTTATCTTTTACTTTATTTTCGTGCATTTATTCCGAAGATCCCTGTAGTTGTCCTCGGAGCCATGGTGCCACCGTTGTCTATACCAGCAGAGGCTGGTAACCTGCCTACTACCGTTGGGAGCACGAGTCCGAATCGGCCTAATCCGCCATGCACATAGCGTATGCATAGCTTTTATGTACATCTTTTTTGATTCTGTCAAGAATCAACGCGTTGCGTGATTGGAACGGAACCAAGTATCAGCTAGCTTGTGGCTTGATAGGGGTTTGCTTTTTGCTGCTCAGTCCAATCTGGCTGACGTGACAATCACCGCACTCGCTGGCGGTACATAGAATACATTCTACATCAATTATTAGCTAAACACTCACTGTGCGATGCAACACTATGGCACAGAGTGTATATATATATATATATATCGTAGAGGGTGACAAGAGCCCTTGCGGGCTAAATGCGAGGCCAACCTTTGCGTGTGGCCACAGGGACCTCCTGTTAAACGTCGCCAGTGAGCACAATACCTATAGCTAGTTCTTCTCTAATATCATCGGATAGGGTTCAAAGCGCTGAATGACATGATTTTAGATTCCCTGCGGCTATTAAGTAATCTTCGAGGAGACACACACAGGGCATGATACATGATGATGATACCACATTCGTCCGGCCCTATCGGTACTTTACATATATAGTGAATCAAAAGGAAAAGGTGAATAGGTGCGAAAGGGGATTCGAAGAGTTAGGTGTGAATTCGGTACATTGAGTCTTAGGAGCTTGCACGCAACTCGCAAGTGAATGCACATCGTATATCCGTTACACATCCAGGTGTATACAATATATATACGGATTGTCATAACACAGTACGCTACTGCATTCCTCCAGAGACGCGCGCCTGATTCAGAAGCCGGCCACAAGTATATATGAAGGGGTTCATCATCCCATTCAAGGTACGTATGCATACTACGATCGAATTAATATGAGATGCGCCATATGCTACGTGTATTCATTAACGTACGTATATAACGTACCGCATGCGCAGCATGGATGAAAGATCGCGCACAAAAATAAAAATCGAGATCATGCAAAACGTAAGACATGCACAAGAAAGTGCGTGATCATTCGACAATTGGTAACTAAGATGAGTAACGGTAGAGGAGATATGTAGATTGCCCAAGGAGAAAAAGAAGAAAAGATGATAGCGCATGGAATATTGCAGAAAGCGCGCAAGCATTTCATGATTCGTCTGCAGCTGCAAGTCACCTCAACTACATGCAGTGAAGGTAATGCACTTCTCTTACATCTAACTAACAAAAAAAAACTCATTGCGACGGACAATTGGATCAGAACGAACCCGTTGAATTGAGGAATTATAAGAAAATGAGAGAAGGAAAAAGAGTAGGGGAACGCATAGAAGGAGATGGTAAGGCTCAGGTGGCGGGCATCATATACTGAACCATCGGTCATCGAGCACCGATCACACAAACGCGAAGAAAAGAAAGGGAAAAAAAAGGGAGGCACGGAAGTTCCCTCCCCCCCCCCCAACTCAAACCAAACCCATGCAACAGCAAACAGGCATGCCTAACTACACATCCCTCCTCACGTCCTCGGCTTCTACCGCGTACCCATCTGGATGAGTCCACTTTGATCCACAGTCGTCGTTTTAACACCCCGAACGAATCCTTGCTGCGGCTCGTTCGAAAGATCCTCCAACGTCCTCCCCATCGTCTCCGGAATCAACAACGTCGAAAAGATACCCGTCATCATGAAGAACGCAAAGATCTCCAAAATATGTTTCACGAACGCATTCGGTCCTCCGATATCTTTCAGTCGTGAGAACCCAACCTGAGCGACGATCGCGCCCAATTTCCCCGAAGCCGCACTGATCCCATGGCCCGTAGAGCGATAACGTGTTGGAAAGATCTCACCAGGAATGACGAACGTCGTCGTGTTCGGTCCGAAATTCTGGAAGAAGTTCGCCAAGCAGTAAAGCGCAACGAACGCACTCTTCGCCCCATGATTCACCATCCGGTCGTACCCGAATCCCATCGCACAAAAGATGATCGTCAGAACGATGAAGCCCATCAATTGAATAGGTTTACGACCGATCCTGTCGATGAGGAAGAACGCCACCCAGTAACCGGGGATGAGACCTGCGACGGAAAGGATGATGTTCCCAACACAAATGTTGTGAAGGTTCTGATAGACGGCGAACGCATGACCGTGTTTGGCGGCGTCGGATTTAGAGAGGGAGCCATAGCCGATGGCAGTTAGGATGACGGCAGAGTTCAGACCTAAAAAAATTTGGCAGTGAGCATGATGGGAAAAGAATTTCTTTTGTGCATCCCAAACAGACTGAAAAGATAACTCACCAAGACCATAGAAGGCAATATCGAGGGCAAACCATGAGTAAGAGGTCCCAAACAAGACCTTCCCATTTTCCCACTTTCGGAAATACTGTACGAAATCCGACCAACCCATCCTCGGAGCCTCAACCTTCTGAACGACAGCATCCTCATCCACAAAGTACCTCCCAGAGGAGAAGAAAGTCTCCACATCCTGAGAAGCCTGTTGAACGTTCCGTTCGATATCCATCGTGAACCTAGGCGTCTCCGGAATCGTCAACCGGAAATAAAGTGCGATCACACCAGGTACACATCCCAATCCGATCAACAACCTCCAACAGTAATCGACGTTGGGTGCACCCGTAGCAGGACCGCTAAGGATCTTATTCTTGTAGGCTTGAACGACGACGAGTCCGACGATCCCACCACCGAGTTGACCCCACCCTTGGTTGGCGAACACGGCGGTCATCATACGACCTCTCATCCGCGAACCGGCGAATTCAGATGTGATGACGGCCGAGAGGGGGTAATCTCCTCCTATACCTATCCCCATTAGGAAACGCCATACGATGAGGGTTCCAAGGATGTTTACGGCTGGACCTTGTCCAGAGAGGGCTTGTGCGAACGTTCCGATGATGACTGTTTGGATTTGAAATTTTGAGTTAGAGAACCCAATCCATTCGAGGGAAGGGGGGAAGGGAAAGGAATCTGGGTGGGTGGGGGCATAATGGATATATACTCAACTGATGATGAGTTCGATACCGTACATCCTCTTGCGACCAAGGATATCAGCCAACCATCCGAAAAGCCTAATGATTTGAATTTGGATTGTTAGGTTTGTTGTCAATGGGGGAGGTTTGCCAAGAGGCACAAGAAAGATGGGCAAAACCAGCAGGGGGAAATTGACGAGGGGGGGAAGGGGATGGTCACTAATTTGAAATTCCACAACCCCTTATCGACGTCGGCCCATCGATAAAGCGTACGGGACCAGATAATCAAGACGATCAAGTTGGGCAAGTTGAACGTCCCCCAAAATGTTGCCTATCAACCCACCAGCCCCTCCGACCCCATCCGACCGCACCGACGGACATCGGAAAATAACAAAACCAAACAAGCCAAAATGGGAAGCCCAACGAAAAAAAAAAACAAACAAACAAACAACAATACTTACAATTGGCCAGTGAGCGTTCCGATAGGCGCGGCAACTTTAAGCCCCAAATCCTGATTGACGTTGAGGGCTCCACCTTTGGCATATACGTACCCGATCATGCTCGCTCCGATGTTGATGGCGAAAAGGTCGTACGCGTCCGTTAGGAAACCAATTCCGGCGACGATACATGTTCGAAGATGGAACCAGCTGTTGGTACGTTGTTTAGTTTAGTTTAGTTTTTGGGGGGTTGGTTGGGAAGACGGGGAGAGTTGAAGAAGAGAGAGAGTGGGTGGGTGGAGGGGAGAAAGGAGAAATTGTGGAGAGAAGAGATAAGCGTCAGTTCACGGTTTATGATACAGATAGGTTAAGGGGGGAGGTGGAAAGAGCAGGAAAGGGCTAAGACAAGAGGTTTTGAGAGAGTTGTTTACATACCCGAACTTAGCATTGTCAATTTCAGCCAAAGCTTGACGGCGGCGTTCATCAATAGTTTGGACGGCAGTAGGATTGGCGATAGGGCGAGTGGTGGCAGGCTGTATTTCCTTATTCTCAATGGAAGAAGAACTGATCCTTTCAACTTCAGCCATGACGATGACAAGGTAACCGAGTTAGAACGTTGAGGCTAACGACGGCGTTCAGAGAGGGAAGATAAGGACGATGGCACGCGTGTCGTTCGTTGGCGTTCGTTTCGTTCGTTTCGTTGAACGGGGCTTCCTTCCTCTTCAGCGTCTACCGTTCCTCCTCTCTCCTCTCCCCCCTAGCCTAGGCGTTATATATATGGAGGTCTTATGAACTCGCTAACCCAAGAATGATAACACATTTATCGCCAAACCACGATATAATCGTGACCGAAAATGTAATTCCCCTGGAAAATATGAGTTATTCATACATTGTACATATACATTTGATCTACCCAAAGGAGCGCGGATGATCATGCCACCAAAGCAGACGTGCTCACACGTGCGAGTGTGTATGCGAGGACTTTGAGTTGTACCTAACTCTCATCTTAGCCTTATATTATCTCGTTGGCTTTTGGAGGAGGTTCAAGCAAAGAGTCAAAGTTTTAACCAATGAAAGTAACGAACGTGCGCTTGTGGCTATACAAACTGTTTTTTCCAAACAAGGACCCAACGGACGCGAAGCCTTTTCGCTTGCAACCATAATGTTTTTTTTGATATCCCCCGGTAAAGTACAAATGAGTTTCGGTTAGGGCCGGCTGCACCCAAGCGGGCCTTTGGTGTGGTGTTCGGTTCGCTTGTTGATACATAGCCCCCCCTTGCTACTTATCGTCTTTACCCGAAGGGTTCTTTCATGTTAGCTCGCCTCTGAGTTTTCGTGGGGTTCCAGAATCACCACTATCAGGAGAAACCCTAGGCTTCCTCAGCCCCAAAAAAGATCAAAACAACTATGCAGTTCTCCTTGGGTATGGGATAACGCGATGTTTTTCCGAGGAGGCGCCAGGCCAGGGAACATACTTTACCCGCCTTCCTCAGTATGACCCACCCAAACGCTCTCCGACACCTCCCCGACTAGTACCAGGCAATATTCGCTCCGTGACCCGGCCCACATCGAAGTCCGCAAGCACTGTCTTCCTAGGATCTCATCAACGTTCGTCTCAACTAGTGGAGCACTTCTCCATTGCCCATCATGCAAGTCCCTCAGTACTTTGATCCTCAGAAAGAACCGCGGCTATGGGTCACATGCGATCACTTGTTAATTCGCTTGGCGCGCGGGTTTCCATTGTAAATCTGGGCACAAAAAGATGAATGAATCCATTCTGTGTGCACTAGGCGATCAGTCCCTTTGTGGGTTCTTATCATACGGGAAACAATATTGTGCCTCAACTGCGGGCCCGGCGGATTGCCCCCCGCTCTATACGGCCAACGCTAGCCCAAGTGTTCTTTCCTCTTTCTGTTGGCTACGTCGACCATGAAGGATGACTGGGTGAGCAAATTGGAAGGATAGGCCACCTCCAGCCTTCCCAGTTCAATTCTCTTCTTGCACAGTCCTTGGCCACTCTCGTCTTACATCTGGCCGTACACTCTTTCGCTTCCACTTGCCGATCCTTTGCTCCAACGTTCTCGATATACCCTTTACTCGCGCGTCCCTTAAATTTCTAGGTCTGGCCTGATTTACCATCATTAAAAACACGCTCTTGTGGCTTTTTGCCTTAATCATCTTCTTGCGCCCCTTCGACGCTTCGGATTCCGATCGATCCCCCCATCCCTGCTCCACCATTCATCCTCTCCCATGTGTATATACCCTTTACCCGCTCGACCGTCCCTTTTCTAAATCTAATCCACCAACAATAATCCTTTCCAACACCCACACTCCCTGACTACCATTGTTCCAGACCAGCCTGTAAATTATGGACTGGCACTGTCATCCCCAAATGACATTGGCTGATAAGCGTTGGTGATTCGGGCAGTTATACATGTGGCGCATAAATTAAGAGGCGCTTTCAGCTAGGAGCAGCCTGAAAATCTACATTCGCAAGCCACCCACACGGTGCGCGCATTAATTAAGAAGCACCCTCATCTCTTGAGCTCTGACTTTCCCCCTGTTTCCTCGGCCACCCCCTCCTTGTCCCCTCCCCCCTTCCCTCTTCCCTGGTGAGGAACAGCACTCGCGTCGTAGCTTGTTAGGGAAGATCCTTTTTCCTACGACACTCCGACACTCGAATGTTTGTTTTCGGATACCAAAATATATATCTAGTCCGTTGTCGATCATCATCGTTCTCTGCAAGATGAGACGTTGCGTTTTTCTCGTCTTTTCCCTTTTCTTTTATACCCCATGTTCGAGTCTGCGTGCGCACGCAGATACCATGCCATTATTGATTTCACTTGCTACGGAGAGAGAGAGAGAGAGAGAGAGAGCAGTGTCTGACGTTCAACGGTACATTTTCTTATATAGTACTTATTATATGGATCAACGTCTGTTATAGCCAGAAGATCATCTTGTCATTTTAGGTCGCCGCCGTACTACGTACTACCCCTTACAAGTGCCTTGCACATGCACAAACCCCGACGCCATGACTGGCGCCACCCTCGGAATGACCCGGATTTAGGTGCGTTTCAGCCCGAGCGCTGCATGGTACTGTACGCGCATGTATATCACTGACAAGTAGGCCGGGTGCTCGGCAGCATTGGTAATAATGCAAGTGAGGGATTGGGTATTAAGGATGGGGTCGGAACAGCTATGCTCCCATGGCGATTGATCGGAGGGGGGGGCTGGGGAGTGGCGTTCATTTTACTCCACTGTTATCGTTATCTTTCGAGAGCCAAAGTTCGTGATCGGAATCGCTTATGATAATTAAATACGTAAGTACGTACAAGAGATCAAGAAAAAAAAATAACTGTGCAATGTTTGCACGGTTTCCATGGATTGTTCATTTAAAGATTTAGCGAGGGGACGCTTATGCTTGTGTAGATGATATGTATTTGATGATCGTCAGATGTAGAAATTAAGGCGCTTTTGAAAAGCCAGTGAATAACTGGGTACATTTGGGTTTAATGCAATACAGCCGGCTAAGGGAATCAAAGTGGTCCGATCATTGCACCGAGCTAGCGCTAGCACTGATACTCGCCCTAGGCAATTGTTGGCTTACCAGTGCATGAAACCATCATTTGGTTCAAGGACCATTAATATACAAGTGCCTACCTGGCTACCTGCTGATGAGGTAGTTGAAAAATTGATATGACGTCCTGCGACACCATGGTTACAGTCAGTGCAACCGTCATTTTGCTATGGCGATATATTTAGTCACCCATAGAATTTAAGTAAGTAAGATCATCTCGCATTACAGTAACTCGATGTGACCTTTCACTCGCATCTCGTTCTTTCGTTCAACCATATCATCTTCAACTTTCTCTGGTAGTACTTCGCACGATGTCCTGGTGAACAATGTGTCTTTGAAATCCTGAATTAGTCGTACGTTGGCTCGTCCTTGACTAGCTTATCGATCCCTCTCGCTAAGGGAGGCTGCGCTTAGCATCAGATATCGGCTTTTGCGTGAGTAAACTGACAGGTGCCAAGCCGAACAGTGTGCTTATGTAAGGACACCCCGTGACTTCAGAACAAGGGGAGGGAAAGCTTTATCTCATGCCTCGGATCCAGAACAATAATGATCCTATTTCCGGGTACCTTTCACACCTTGCCCTGGTGAACTCCTCCTCTTGGGCCCCACGCGCGGCGACATGCGGCCGTGATTGCATCCATTATCGTTCAAGTAGATCATGCATGCATGCATGTGTGTTCATGTGCCCAAAACTTGAATATCCTGCAAAACGTTCAGGACCGCCAAGAGTTTCACAACACTCAATGGAAACTAATTAATATTTCAAGTGCATGGCTGGTTCAAGAGTTTGGGAGAAATGAACAACTGCGCATTGCATAATTAACGGCTCGCTACTATTATATTTCATGATGCACAAGCTAGTCCATACACCAGTAATTTGGACTCTAGCACTATTCGATGCTCTGGAGCTTCTCGCTTGTTATGGACCCAGTCTCGTGCAAGCGGAGCGTGCCTAACTTGCTAGTGTGCATACGACCCCAGTAAGCTCAACATGGATTCGGCCGCCTTTATTTCCTCCGTGATCTTGCCCCACTAAGCGACCGGATACCCTCGCTTTCTTCAAGCGACAGTGTAATATTCACGCTTAGCTTTGAAATCCTGCAGGGACAACGCTATGTGTGACAGCCAGCAAGAGGCGGTCTATATCCGCTGCACTGCTGCCCTGCGCGGGGACTAATCCTCGACCCAACGTCAATTATACGATCGGGAGTAGAACAGTCTGGAGTTCTGTTGAGTCCCTAACTTATAATTTACATACAGTGCCTGGAGAAGAAGCTAGTGTATTTCAGTCATGTTTTCCCTTGTTCTTATGTTAGACGATCCCCCTTTCCCATATTGGGGAGAAGGCTTGCGGCGATCGCGGCGAACCGAAGTTGGGTCCTCGCATAGGGGGCCTGAACAAGGCTCTTTCCTGTCCATGGTGCCTTCTGCAGTGCAACCCTGCTGCAATGAGTGCATGGAACATAGGCAGAAACGATGAAGACCCCGAGGAGGCTAGTGGACTCACAATATCGTATGGCAGTGAACAGCCTGACGAGCCTTTTGACGAGGTGGACGAGGAATATGGTAATGAACAATAGACCTCGCTCGGGCGTGTAGCAGGAGAAAGGGCGAACGAAGACCTTGTGGTACATAGGGTCAAAGGAGTTGGGGTGCATGCCAAGTCGAACAAGTCTTAAGAACGTTCAACAGAGTTTGCCATGGCTAATGCGTGAGTCCGAACGACTGTTGTACTGGATCGGCACTCGTAGCACTGATCACACAACCACACCTGCTTATCATGTTGGCTGACGATCCTCTCATGTGTGCAAAGGTGCGAAACAGTCGGGACGGCCCCAATACCACGTGGGCGATGCCGCGGGGTAACAAAGGAGAATGGTGATCACCGTACTGTGGCGAGCGTTCGTATTCACTGAGCTGCTGTCCGAACCCGTCACCAGGGTTAGCACTGCTCGATGGTGAAGATGGGGTGTGATTAGCATGACCATCCGCACTTGGACAAAATTGCCAATCTTCCGGTAGACATTGTACGATGGTTGCTCTAACCGACTATCCCGCTGATTCGACTTCTTACATGTGCATTCGCACTTACTCAGGCTCTGATCTGGCTGAGGCGTGATTGTTCGATGGAACAATATAATTTTCAAATACCGTCTTCTCGACGGATCTGCTTGGCGATGTTTTCGCCCAACCCAATGCCCGGGTACCAGGAATTAGGCTGTATCAAAGAGGGTACATATGGTTGTCTGGCTTCCGGCTAAAGTCCATCATGACGAGGAGCCGGGTCGCCTGTCTCTGGGCGGCTGATGATGACTTTAGATCCCACACTACACCTTCGATCAGAGAAGCACTTTTCTGGTCGAACTCAATTTTCGAACCATTGATGCCACATGAACTCGGTTAGGAATTCCCATCGGTGGCCATGCAACATCTTGGACCTTCTGCTCCCACCACCTCTAAACCGCTCTTGAGGCGTCATATTCAACATCAACATCAACCGTCTGCGGAATTCCGCCCACACTCACACCACTGGAAAATATGTCACCCCTTACCCTTCAACATCGTCAGTATTTACCAACTCTGGAATAATTCCATCATCATGGTGTATTTGTCCGTTGGGGGCCGGTCACCTCCTTGTGCCCGACCACTTGATCAATCACAGCCTAATATGGTGGAAAGATGCGAGGAGGAACTGGTGTCGTTGTCATCGAGTCGGACCGCCTAATGGAGAGTGCTGTTGAGCTGGTTGGTCGAGCCGGTAGGAGGGAGGTTACCGTTCAAAATTTCGGCTGTATCTGCGAGGAGTTTCCTCCCCTCGCAGCGATAGGTGCTTCTGCATCGGAAGTAAAGTTGCCCAGACCCTAAGATTAACGACAATTCTCCTGTTCTAAATGTGGCGATTATAGTTATGTAGTGAATTCCGACAGGGCTTTGTGGGGTGGATGAACCCACTGGCGGCTCATGCGGTTGCGGAGATTGATACGCGCGAATATTGAACTGAAAGACAATGCTGAGAGGTGCATGGTCGGCAACTCCAGCCCACACGCACAGGCCAAGCTGCGCTTATCATGCACTTCGAGCCCAAGCAGCTAGCCGAAACGATTAAAAGCTAGAGGTAGATACACTGCTAAGCGCACGGCTTTGCGGATCTGTGCAACCTCTACCCGAGTAAAGAATGAAATTGGTTAGTCGTTTTCCCAGAGGCCACAAATATGGATAAGAGATGTTTTCCGGTTATTTTCTACGTACTCCGAGGAGATCGCGGGTATCGCGCGGTGATTGGGAGTTACATAATGAGATCGCCAAGCACGGAATAATCAACAGATGTAGCCCAAGCGAGAGGGAGGTGGATTACTTAAGTAAGAGAATGACAACCGGCCGCTTGCAGAAGTACAAGTGATCCCAAATGGTAATGTCAATCAAAGCTGATCCACCTCAAATCTTTTTCCAACCGAATCCCCCATATGTGAAATATTATATTACCGTTACGTCGTTCATGCTAGCACTGCCCATCACCCGGTCCCTTATATGACTTGGGTGGGGGATGGGAATTCTTTCATTGCCTATTTCAACAGAATTAGGATGGTATGCACAATGAAATCGGGAAGGTGTCAGTCATGTCGTTGCGAGAAAAGATACATACCGCTCCAAGGTATATACTAATGGTCGGTGCGTCCTCGAGCATCGGAAATGAGTCAAGCTGCCCCTAAAGAATCCATACAATGACAAATGTGGAAATTCAGCAATATTCGGGTGCGGTCAGGAATCAGTGTGTATAAGGGCGCGCGGTTCTGGCCCGCACGGTTCTTTGAGGGACTTCCCCTGAAAGTTCTCAGCGTTCACTTGCTTATAGGGGTTTACTAATCTGGGGTGAATCCTGCTCTGATACTTGGTGAAAAGATTAAATATATTTGGGGCTGTTCGACCGTGCATGCCTCCAGGATAGCCCCTATGAACCGCATCGTCAACATGACCTTGTGTCGAACTTCCCCGCGGCTTGAGCACGCGATGACCAGGGTTCTAGGTGTTCCGCTACATACATTCCCGCCCGCGCGCCTAACAATTGAGACCATCATTTGTCCATCATCGTACTCCAGACTCGAACATTCGAATGAAATCAGTGGAGTGGGTTTTGAATTTCATGGTCAGCACACAATCTTGCTAAGAACCGATGGTCTACCGCTGGTCTGAGGAGAAAAACACACAGCTCATGGTTATCAGAACCATCGGCAATGGTATTTTGTTTAGAGATGTGCAGCCTGCCCTTCTCTCGTAGCTACATGTAATGCGCGATCAGCATCCAGCAAACACGGGGGACCAATAGCCGAGAAGTGATAGGATCGTGAAACTCGACCGTGAGCTGGGTAATGTTGCCACGGCCCGTTGCTGTTGCGGATAAAGGTAAGGCCTGTGCAGGAGGCCACAAATTGACGGCACTGCTAAGATGGATATAGGACTGACCGTCCATGTGACCAAAGTGGTGACTCGTCTTCAGATGCCCACCGAAGCAGTTCGTCTGAAGGAAGATGAAACAAGACACTATCCTTCCAATTCAGGAGCTTAGAGTCCACTCAGCCAAATACAAAGCTACGTATGGTCGCGGGTAGGAAGATGAATCGTTTCGTTGAATATCAGTCACAATAATTAACAAACGCAGTCACTTGGCGTACCATAGATGCGAACCCGTCCATGATAAGTAGGGACAACCACCCTTCCAACTAAACCCTCTCTACTCCTCGTCGTCAACAACATTCACTTCCTCATCTTCCTCGCCATCAATTCGGGGTTTTGCTTCTTCGATGCCCGCCTCAGCGAATGAAGCTTCTTTCACGGTTGCGCATGCTTCCTTGATTGCTTTGTTGACTGCCGATGCCTGGACTTCGCTAAGTCCATATTGGACTAGCTGTAGTGGTAGCGCACTAGCATTGCTCAGAGGCGGTGGGAGGGTATGGTTCGGGTCAACACATTGGCTCACAATGAGCCCTAGCGCTTGCCACCCTCCAACTCTTCCCCCAATATTGCGCTTGGCCTTTCCAGGCACTGAATGATCCAAGAGCTGTTCGACGCGCTCCTGTAACTGGGCATGGAGTCGAAGGACGGAAGCCTGCGCCTCTGTCAAAATAGTTTGGGGTAGTTCACCGGCCTCTAAAAATGGGGTGCCTGCTAGGGATTCAATAACACGAATCACTCCGTCCGCACAGGAGGGATACGAGCAAGGGTCGTTTTGGTGGTTTCGGATCGCATCCCGATCAGGGAAATTTTGATGACAGCTATCACATGTGTACTGGAGAAGGGTGGGCTTCATGCCGCCATGAACAGCGCGCGAGTGGTCATTACTGGATGATAGGGTCTCAAAGCCAATACAACACTGGTCGCATTTGAATGGCCGGGAAGAATTGTGCATGTGAGATTCGTGGGTACGAAGATAGGAGAGAGCAGAAAAACTCTTCTTGCATGGAGGACATGTAAAGACGGCGGTGGACAGGTCAGAATTCACAACAGGTGTTATTTGGACGGCATGAAGGGCACCGAGGACCTGGGCAAGTCCCCCAACCTGATGAAGAACTGGGACACCGGTAGCCTTCGCAGCAGTGCTGGAAAAGAGAAAGATTCGATGGAGAGGTACCTGAATAGATAAGACTTGGGATCTATCCAACGGCGACTTAGTTGTGGAATCCAAAACCGCAGAAGTCTTATCTACAGCTTCCTTGATAAGGGTATTGAATTTGACATGGTGGTCGGACAGCGGAGAGGGTGTGAGGCGCGGCCTCTTGGTTGGCTGGTCTGGGACTGACCGGTCTGTGTCTAGAGGTCGCTTCCCATTAATGGCGTCAAGAGGTTCAATCTCATTCAGAGTGGTTCCGTCTGCAAGGGCCTCTAAAAGTGAAGCCAATTTCCCAGTATAGGTATCCGAAACCCCTCCAGCCTCAAGGGATTCTTTGAGAATACCGTAGACGCTGTGATCTCTTGTGAAATGGATGGCATCGAGAGTAACCCGAATGCGGTCGTTGCTTTCGGCAGCTTGAAGAATGAGTTTTATCGTCGAGACGATTGGGTCCTCTGGTGGAATAGCGTAGGCCTTTTCTATCTCGGCTTGAAGTTGCTCACGCATCCGCCTAGCCAGCATCTCAGCGTGAGCTTCAGCCTTCGCCTCTTCCTCGCTGTCCAACTCATCCTCCTCTGGATCATAATACTCCTCCTCTCCTTCTTCATTGTAGTCTTCGCTGCCTTTTTCATCATCGGATGCCATCATATTCTGGTGATTGCCATTAGTTCTTGCAGATAAATACTCTCCGGCCCCTGTGCAAGACCTTGGCGTCGGTTGGTGGTGCTTTGTTTGGGTCGAGAATCGTGGTCTCGGCAAGTTCCTTCAATTCAGTTTAGGCATACGCGTCTCGACCGAGCGATGGTCTGCAATTTTCCACCTCTTGAGGATATGTCTTTGCGTTCTTCTAACATACACATTAGGGTAATACACCTTCAGGAACTGAGGGATTTACAGGAGGACCGCCTGCAGATCAAAGCAAGGATGGAGATAAAGTGTGTCAGCTTCAATTACTCAATTGCAGTCTCACCCATTGTTGGATGCTCGCAGAAGAACGACCAGAAGAAGAAGTGGGAACCACCGCTGCCTACGCGTGTCGGGAAGAAGAAAAGGCGCGGCCCTGATGCAGCCACAAAATTACCTGCCGTTTTCCCCACTACACGCTGTCGATTGAAACTTCTCAAAATGGAACGGATCAAGGATTACCTACTGCTTGAGGAAGAGTTCATACAGAACCAGGAGCGGCTTCGCCCTCAAGCTCATGACGAGAAGGATGAGGAGGAACGAACACGCGTGGAGGATCTCCGTGGTAGTCCCATGAGTGTCGGAACTCTCGAGGAGATCATTGACGATGACCATGCAATTGTCAGCACCCCGTCTGGACCTGAACACTACATTCCCATTATGAGCTTCGTGGACAAAGATTTGCTGGAACCTGGGTGCTCGGTCTTATTACACCATAAGAGCTCGGCAATTGTTGGTGTCCTTCAGGACGACGCTGACCCTATGGTGTCCGTTATGAAGCTTGACAAGGCCCCCACCGAAAGCTATGCTGATATCGGTGGTCTTGATCAACAAATACAAGAAATTAAAGTCCGTCACACCTCAACCCCCGTTATAACCCATGATTGACCTGACCATCAGGAATCTGTTGAACTCCCTCTAACCCACCCCGAGCTTTACGAAGAGATGGGGATACGACCTCCGAAAGGAGTCATCCTTTATGGCGTTCCCGGAACTGGGAAAACTCTTCTGGCAAAAGCCGTCGCCAATCAAACCTCCGCCACTTTCCTCCGAATCGTTGGTTCCGAACTTATCCAGAAGTACCTTGGTGATGGTCCGAAGCTCGTCCGAGAACTATTTCGTGTTGCTGAAGAGCACGCTCCCAGCATCATTTTCATTGATGAAATTGACGCTATAGGGACAAAACGGTGCGTTCCCTGTGGCCATCACATCGATGGTGCCTCTAACGGTCGTCCAACAGGTACGACTCGACAAGTGGTGGCGAGCGCGAAATCCAGAGGACTATGTTAGAACTTCTCAACCAACTAGATGGCTTTGATACTCGTGGTGACGTCAAAGTCATAATGGCCACAAACAAAATCGAGACCCTCGATCCTGCTCTGATCAGACCAGGTCGTATCGACCGCAAGATTGAATTCCCCCTCCCAGACATCAAGACCAAGAGACACATCTTCCGATTACATACGAGCCGAATGAGTCTAGCTGAGGATGTTGACTTGGAAGAGTTTGTGATGGCAAAGGATGACTTGAGTGGTGCGGACATTAAGGCGGTATGCACCGAGGCTGGCCTCCTGGCGCTGCGAGAACGTCGAATGAGGGTGACAAAGAAGGACTTTACCGCTGCCCGAGAGAAGGTTTTATATAGGAAGAATGAGGGTACACCGGAAGGCCTTTACCTTTGATCCTCCATTTCGTGTACGATAACCGCTGGCATGTTGATAATAATACAGCATTTTACAAAAAAAATCACAAAAGTAGCACTATGACTCAGCCAAAGTTTCCAGAATGAGTAACAACAAATACAAGGGGAGCTTATAGGTTCTGCGGCTGAATTGGATTCACGCTAGCAAGGTAGTCATTCCAATCCTGCCATCTGTGGTTATTTGAGTCAATACGTGAGTCGGTAACACTCCACAGGAAGCACGTACTCGAATCCTCTTGGGACGCCCTGCCATATGCCTAGGGACTCGCTTGAAAATATCTGGGCATCAGACACGCTCAGGTCCGTCCGAACCCCGATGTTGCTCGGAAGGACACCGTGAGAGTTCACCGGCATGCCGACAGAAATGGGGACTTCCTGTGTGCCAGTGTCGATCGGCGGTGGTATGTAACTTCCAAACAGGTCAGTCGGAGGATATAGCTGAGGCAATGGTTCTGTCCTATTCCACAAAGGAATCGCGTCAGAACTTGTTGGGGGGACGTCCCCTAGATGAGTTTCTAGATTAGGGAAGAATGCGTTGGGTTCTGTCGCGGCCATAGTGTACCCAATAGCACCCTCGCTCATATGTGACGGAGGTACCAAAGGTACAAATTCAGTTGGGTTCACGTCGTACCATGTTTGCGTTTGTTCTGGAAGATGCTGAAGAGTGGAAGGGACGAAGCTGTCGAGCTGTGCGAACTGTGTGGAAGATTCTGGAAAAGGCACTTGATATGGCTGAGTAAGAGGTACTTCGGGTGGTCCGGAAGTAGGATGCGACATAGCAACAACAGATTGTTGTAGCTCATCATTAGAAGGAATTTTAGTTTTGCTTTTCGGAAGAGGTTTGTAAGATCGAAGGATATCCTCAGGTGGAGAAGCGGAGTCAAGGAGGATGGTACCAGTGGAGGAGGGGTCGTAATCCCGGTCACGCTTCTGGGAGGTTGACGGGGGGGGATATTCAGGAAGTGGTAAATCGCCGAAAGATGCCAGTTCCCGTAAGATATCCCTGGAAATAACAGTCACGCTCACTAAGCCATGCCTCTGTCCTAACTCCAACAACTTACACTAAACGCCCTGATGAGTTCCAACTAGAGGGTGATGTGAGAGGGAAAAAGAAGGCATGCCATAAACTGCTTACTCCGCCTCAGCTTGCTGTAAAAACCGTAAACACTTCCCAACATCCTGGTGATCGTGTCAGATAGGAAATATAGGCGGCTCGTACAAGAGACAACAAGGAATACCTTCAGGTGCACATTTGGATCCATCATAGCCCCAGTTTTCTTCGCTCCCCAGATTGAGATCAGCAAGACGATACCTGCATAAAGTCAGCAAAAAAATATGAGTCTTCAAGCTATCCGACAACCACCCACCACTGGTGAATGCAGCGAGCAGAGGGTGGGGTTGTACGTGTTCACATCGTTGGCCGAGCGCATCAACCACATGAGAACAAGATCTTGCAGCGTTCGTACAAATCGCAAGCGAAGGGAACGATAAAGCGGATGGCTTGCGTGGTGACGGGATGAAAGGTCGGTGAACAAGAATACGAAGAAGGTAGTAATTGGAATATAGCATCGCAGATTGCTCGAAATGCGTGTCGTTCTCGCGTGCTGGGTCCCACCGCACTGTTGAAAGACACGCCGATAAACGACTAGACGGAACGAACCCCCCCAAGTGGAAGTAATGAACGTGAATACGCACAATGGTCAGGTAGTGAGTCGATCCATTTGTTCATTGCAGAGTCTGCCATAGCATGCAAGTCAACGGCGCATGCTATGAGGTTCGGAGATGATATTAACTTACCAAGCTCAGCTACGATATACTGCTCCCATTGTGGTCCAACAAAGCCAAGAAGTACCTTGGATTTATTGATGGTGTAGATCGTCCTCAGAGCGAAGGCAAGAATCTGCCCTAACCGTAGTGCGGCATTGAAGTAGGACATATTGGGGGGGATGCCTTCTGGTTGTTGTGGCCCATGTTCATCATCAATCCAATACTCGTCATCGACTTCAACTACATAGCAATCTGATCTCAGCTGATTGCACCCCTTCAGCACCTGTCTGGCTCACCCGGGAAATCTAGGTCAAAACTAATGAAAACTATCAGTGAGGGGTGCCGCAAGTCCTAAAGCCATATTTCACATACTCTTCGTCCTGGCATGCTAGCGGTCTCCCAAGGGCGGAGCTGACATTTCGATCCAGTACGATAAGACACCAAAAAACACGCTTCCATTGCTCATCCATCAGCGATATCTGATTACCGTACGCCTTCTTGCGATGTGCGCCGACGTCTTGCGCGCAGCGAATACCTATCCCTAAAATGGTCCAAGCAGAATGTGGAGCACTTGTTGCCTGAAGGTAGTAGGCAACCAACTTTTGCAAGAGTTTCATTTTTCACGTCAAAATGCTTCCTGAAATGAGTAGTGGGGGTGCCGTACTCACCACGAATACTTGTATATCTGCAAGCGTAGCAGGCGCATGTAAGCTTTTCTTCAAATCTTTGACTTGGATGAAGTATTTCCACCCTGCACTGGGTGGACCACCATCTTCCAGGCACACCCTAGGATCATCGCAGTACCTGCTGCCAACAGCGCATACAAGTAACACGACACAAGTAAATGGCGTGCATCGGAAATGCAAACCATCCTTCACCTGGGCCTCGAACGTGGGGCGATGAATAACAGGAAGGAACGGATCCAGACGACGGAAAAACAAATCGAACAGCCTCGGCATCAAATCCGCGGGTGGAAATTGAACGTCTTTAGGGTCAATGTAATTTTGCCACAATTCCCATTCCCACTGGTCAGACGGTGTCAACGGCAAAGTTCCACGTTTTGTGAAGTTTTGCTCACATCCGACGGCGCCCATACCTCCTCTCTTCGAAGGGGGGGACTCGAGTCGTCCCCTCCATATTGCTGTTTCAAATCCTTAGCGGCTCGAACCAGCATCAATCCTTAATTGATGTAATGTTAAGTGTTATCAATATTAATCAAATCGAGGCATAAGGACTCCATACCACTCGATTTTCCATGGAAACGTCTGGATATTGAGGGGTCGAGGGTCATCTCCCTCAGCGCATCCGTTATGGTCGGAATTTGACTACCGAGCTCGTCATCGCTTGTGTCACAATCCTCTGCGGCACCTGCTGTGCGCTCAGTGTCGTATGAAATAGATGCAGGGATTTGATGGAGATCTGATAGGGAGCCAGTGGAGGCACTGCGCTCCTTCGAAACCTTGGCGGTGGATCGGGTAGGGGGGGAATTTCGTCGTGAGGCAACTTTGCCAGATGAGGATTTTGTCCCCGCCTCGGCTTTGGACTTGGCCATTAATTCCTCCAGTTCAGCTTCGATGTTGATGTCTGGGGCAAGCTGGAAGCGCCGGGTATTATGAAGTGGGATTGCTTTTCCAAAAATTAAAGCCACTGCGTACCTTATGCAATAGGTTTTCCATCTTCGCAAGCTTACTCTCTAACCCTTCGACGTATCTTTTTGGAGGTCCCCTCTTTTTTGCTTCGGTGATGTATGTACAATCGCGATTGGCGGTCGCACAATTGGAACATTGCTCTCCTGGTTTCTTCTGAGGACCATCACATCGAACCTAGCAAGGGAACGCGCAGGCCCAAGTCAGTGAACTGAATAAACATAGTAGATGCGCTGACAAAGAAAAGCGCCCATGTACAACGGCCGACGATGAGGATACGCCCAGCTTAACCCAGACGTCCTTATTCTGGATTGTGCTCTGGGGTGCCCTGTATGACGGGAAGACTTGCCTTGCGATTTCTACAACCGTCGCACGCGCGAGCGACCTTGCGTTTCTTATTCGACGCTTCTGGATTATCAAGGCGTGCTGCGGTTCCATCCATGTCCTCTGCGGATGACATGCTTGCTATTCGGAGCAGTTATGATGAATCGGAGTAGATAGTGTGACGGAAATTCAGAGGATAATTGACTCGACGAGATGCCCTGTGAGTGGGAGGTCTCCTTGGAGTGTGCGAGGTTTAAAGCCAGAAGACAATTCCGGAGAGATTCAATTTGGGAATAACAAAAAACTATGGAAAGATCGCGGTAACCTAAGGGGTACTAGTTGGGACGATGTGCCACCACGTTGTGCTTTTCCTGGATGACGATTAGGAATGATATTTAGAGATATTAGCAATATTGAAGTAGGTCGAACGCCCACCATCAACTCCGTTAAGGTATTTAAAGCACGTGACCAACCCTGGACGATGCCTAAAGTAGGCTGATTCATTTTATAGCGTTCGGCCTTTGATGCCCTTCTGTAGCCTCAATTGGCAGTGGCTTCAGTTGAGTCATTGCGGGTTTTCCATTTTCACCCCAAGCACGGGATTCGCTTGAGCGCTGAGATCTACTCGTACGATCAAAGTAATACAATCGCTGAATTGTTTTGCATGCCATCCCAGCCGTTCCTTTTGCCACGCTTACGCATGTGCGGCCTCTACATGAGTCAGGATGCCTAAGCCTTTTCCGGATGACTAAGCCGAGAGGTTAATGTTCCCAGGACCTCACTTCGCGCGAATCAGTCTGCTCGACTTATGTATGCCCCCAAAAGAAATATTGTATCCAGTCCTGTATTACAGTCCTCAAGCCTTCCTCTGCGATTACTCCAAGTCGATGCTTAGATTACAACGACAGCCCGACTTGGGTACGGCCACAGACTTGATGCTCGTCAAGATTTTTCAAATTCTTGATTAGGCAGGACCCTCTATGACTCCGCAACATTAATTCTTGGTGTTCTTTAGTAACATGTCATATATGAAAACTTCGTTGTATACCTTATCGCAGCAATCTGCCGTATTTGCTCTTGCCGCCGGCCATTCGCGAAGCCGGAAACAGCGTTGATATCAGACATATCGTCTTCCAGTACATCCAGCTTTCCCTTTTCCCAAGCAGCAAAGGACTATATATGGGGTGACCGGTTAGTCGAAGAACCCTTATCTTTGGCTCCCATTCGCATCTTTCCGCATCCTCTTTCTGGAATATATTATGCAACGTCTAGCTCGCCTATCGAAGCCCCTAACGTACGGGAGCGCTAAGTGGTTTCCTTCCCTCTTGTGACACCTTGGGAGTTTGGAGCAGCCTCTTTATGTCGTTTCTCTCACATGAAGGCACACCTCCAATGTTCCTTGCCGGAGACGAGAGCGTGATCGAGGTTGGTGTTGATCACCACGTCCTTACGAAGCTGCCAGTCGTCGCGCGGCTGTAGGACGCTCAGAAACCAGAATGCGAGAGTGTTAAGACGTCAGTGCAGAGATTCTTGCCGGATCTGAAGTCGCTGAAGTCAAGCGGGGGCATATGTACGCTCAGAGGCATCGGTTTCTGGATGAGAATGCGAAAATTAAATACTGGGATGAGACGGCCCCTCGTATGTATTGTTTTGTATGCCTTATTTCTTTGCAGTTGCTAATTTCCTGTCACTTTCAGCCATCGATCCGACGTTTAACGTCTCAAAGGGGTGGTTTTCTCCATACTACCTGCATGCCACAAACCCAACTCCGTACATCAGCCATATCTGCCTCACTCAACCCTTCATCATTGCCACGGAAGGACCACTTCTGTGGCATGACGGCAACCATTGCTCTTACTGCGAATCCCTTTCTATCGTAAATCCCCTCTGTTTGGACGAAACATTGCCTTCCAGGTTGGTCTCGTCGAAATGTCTCCATGGGTAATGGATTTTTGTCGCCCGGCCTCTACGCCAATCCCAGATCCGTCACTCTACTGAATGACTGTCATGTTTTTCGGTAACTCTGCTCCCGACCCCCCTCATCGGATGGTCTTCCTTACGGCGACCGAATGAGTATTTCATGGATTTTACTATTCGAAATATGATTCCGACGTTGTTGTTGCCTGCAGGCCGCACTGGCGTCCCGGTTGTGGCTTGGGACAGCGTCACGTTGGGAAATGTAATGGAGGGAGACTACAGCAAGAATAGGTCTGCCAAGAGAGGTGTCAACAAGAGAGGGGTAAGTGAATGGACTCGGAGGAAAGCAGCAACGAGAACCCAGTACCCGACACCTCTTCGAAATCTAAGACTTCATGCTATTATGGGAAGAATCGGGCAAACCTCTCAATAGAAGAACATACATTTTATCGTATCTCAAAACTATAATAGATTCCAGTTCCATCTCTGCCGAGCGGATGAACACACATGTTTGGAGAGCAGTTGCATGTCTTGTTGGTAAATGTGGAGGCTTGATGGGAGGTGCAGATTTACGATCAAATCATGACACGACCTCGTTGCATACCGCCACTGGGGGTGCCACGGTGCTCCAACTTTGGGATTGTTTGCACTGGTATCATCTTCGTGGGCCCGGGAAGTACCAAACGAGAGGAATCCGGGGAGAAGGAAAGGATTAGAGGCATGAGCGGGATCGTATTCCTGAAACTTCGTGCTTCGCGAGGTAGAGATGCACTTAATTAGTTGCTCCTTGGTACCCATGAGTACGTGCCATGCTCATTTCGAACTACCTGCACATACATAGCCAACGATTACCAGTTGCTGGAATGATCGTTTCCGCACTCTTCGAGTTCCAACCCGTGACATTGACTCCAAGCCAGACAGAGCGGTCTGCTTGAACCACTCTCTTGAGTTACACGATCACGGAGCCAGCTAGATATATCCATCACCGACAATGAGATCGATTCGTTCACTCGTGCATCGAGCATCGCGTTTCGTGGGCTATCTCGGTGAACTCCTTTCAAGGATACACATAAAGGCTGCTTCAACTTGGGATCCTAACCCGAACTGCTGATACTTGCTATTTCAGTTTCCGAATTGCAACGTATTTATAACTAAACACCAAAGTCACAGACGCCAAGAAATGCAGCTCAACTTGGATTGTACCACACTGATTTCGCCTGGCGGTGCTGTAGCCTGCGAAGGAGATTGCACAAGGCTAGTAACCGAGGTATGCCAGCCGCTAGCGTCATGTCGCTGCTATCATAGCAAGATCGTGTGTAATTGCATTTGCCGAAGGTGAGAAAGCCAGACAACATAGGGGTATAGCATAAGCACAAAATATGGAGCGTAAAGCACAACGGATAAAGGAACCGACAAGGGTGAGACATGAGACAGTGCGCCACGACGACGAACCACGAACACAAGTCCAGAGCCCGTTGTGATGAAGTAGGGATGAGAGATGTGATCCAGAAGTGCTGGCCAGAAGTCCCGGTGGTATGTGTAGGTGAGAGGAAGAGGTTGTTGGAGGGTATAAAGATGCATCGACATTTACTGAGAATTACGAGGACGATGACCAGAACTACGGCGACTAGAAGCCTCAATGGACGTAGAGCTAGGTTTTGGACAGGACGATCACGAAGCCGAAAAACGAAAGGGAACACCAGTGTCTAGGACGATAAACAGGATAGGAGGTCATTCGAAGGCGAAGCAGGCATGGGATATCATGATGCTACCGTGCACTGGCTGCAGCTTCGAATTTAGAGTATCAGTAGCAGGATGGCATGGTCTTACAACTGACCCGCTAAGGAACCTCGAAGGGAAGATGGCTCTAGTTTCTAAACCCATTTCCCCCCAACTCAAAGAACACTAAAGTAGGGATAGGTTTTCGTGGGGTTTGACTGCGCGAGCCTAGGTAGCAATACTGTAGATCCGGACGTGCATTAGGATGTCTGGAAGAACGATTAGAAGCTTGGAGTCTCAATCAAGACCACATCTTACTGTGATGCAATATGCTGGAGGATGGAGTCCTCATCGCTGACCCCTTCATACCCACAAAGGAGACACCCCCACCATTTGTTGATTATTATGTTCGACATTCTGAATGATATGAGCTCCTGCCCTTCCAGAATCCTCCATTCCACAGACTTCTTCTTGTTGATTATGCCGAGGTTGTGGTCTGTATGAAGGTGCTTTACCTTCTCGTAATATGAGTGAAGTGAAATTATGAGGCACCCAGTTTACGTACAGCTTCTACAGCTTCAAATACCTTGCCTCCCTGATTAGCTTGAACACAGGTAAGACATTCGACCCAGATATCTTCTTCCAGAAGTTGTCCAAAAGTCATGGTATTAGGGTCGTGTCCGGCTAAGATGATGATATCGCTCATAACGGCCGATCCAAGCTCGTCCCAGCACCAATCACCACGATCCGCGAGGCGAGGGTACCGGATGATGCTTGAATCTGACAGTCTCACAAAAAGAGTTCGAGCCAGTTCTAACGTTTCTCGAGCAGACGACAGTCTGAGCTCCTCAGGGATCAATTTCAGTAACCCCATCTTGGAGCTCATCGAGTGGTTATTGGCAATGTCCTCGAAGCGGAGCATTAAAGCGTCCCATATGATGTCGGGCACCCCAGAATCATGGGGGAGACCCGGAAGATGATGTAAGTTCAATTTCAAGATATCAACCAGAGAATCCTTTGATGATAGGGATGTCAGTCGAAACACAACTACTAGGTCGATGCAATTCAAACATCCCACCTCAATTTCAGGAATTGTCCATATACCAAAAGGAGGGGGCCAAAACTCATTGCCCGGATCACGGCATTCATACCAGGACCGATAATTTGAGATAATGCATTCCTTTGATTCCTTCGCCTTATGAAGGAATCGGTCCAGGCAAGACTGTTCATGCGATCGAGCTGCACCAACAGCATGTCGTTCTATCCCGGCCCACTCTACAGCAAATGACTCCGATCAACCCAGTGATCAAGACCAAGGATAAATTAGATAACTTGCCCTTATCCGTCAAGTATTTGGATACTCGGAGTCCTGGGAATCCTTCGAAAATCGCCAGATCAATGAATTCCTTGGCAAATCCCATATTCTCCAATCTCAACCTCACGCTGGAGTCCAGCAGTCAGTTCAATCAGTTGTGCTGAGTAACACTGATAGAATGAGAACCCACGCTGCTGAGCGTTCCCGCCGGACAGCACGTAATTCATCTTGACGACCGGAAACACGCCTTTGAGCCCATTGCGTGCACAATTTTGCATGCTAAACCAAAATAATTATAATCCAGAGTGGAGATAGAGATGGAAATAGCCATACCGCATCCAATGCCTGCTTTTTCTCCTTTTGATCCGAGACATACACCGCCCACTCCTCATCTGTGAGTTCCTCTGCCTTCAACTTAAAGGCATTAGCCTCGCTAATCGGACAAACACACATCAGGCCAGTCTTCCTGCCAATGTACGCCTCATAACCTGTTGGATAACGAAATTAGGGGGATTTGTTATAGTTGAGAGCAGGGCCTCACTGACGGGAGACCCTAGCTTGGTGAAGGATGGCATAATATTTTTGATGCATGCGAAGACATTTTAAGGAGCCAAATAACCACATGTCATAGTACTCTGAACGAAGCCTGAGATGATCATGTAATGTTAGTGATGGCTGGTGGACGAAAAAAGTCTTTGTTTTCAACATACACACCGCCACGGCACTTACGACACCATCGTTTCCGCAAATACCAGTTGGTAGCCGAAGGCGTAAAGGTCCCACAGTTCTGCAGATCACATAGAGAGACAGTAAGAAAAGGAGGGAAGGGAAAATATTTCCCTCGCACCTGGCAATTAGAGCCAAAGCCCAACAAAGCATATTTTTGTTCCGTGAGATCTGGATGGATCGGGGGCATGTCCGGAGCACACTCCTCCCGAGCTGCTTTCCACGCCCAAGCAACACCTGGTCTTAGGAGATACTGCGCAAAGACCCTTGCAGAACGCACGAGGTGAAGTAGGTCGCGAGGCCCGAGGTGGGAACAAATCTGGGATGATGATGAAGTTTTTGAAATACGTCCAGGGAGGATCCAACACTTACTTCAAGAACGATCTCGAGCGGCATTTTCTCCATGAGAAATCGCAACCTTCCACGCTTCCTCTTCCCAGAAACACATCCTTCGCCTTTCGAACCTTGATGCTCCCATTTAGCCTTCTTAGCGGACTGGGGGTGATCCGATTCTTCCCCTGCAGAAAAAAGAACATGTGGACCAGAACGTCAACGAATTAAGTCTCGTACTTGTCTACGTCATGCTAGTAACGCTCACCATTAGGCACTTCTGCATCTGGCTCATTAATAATGAGCGTGTTCACTGGTGAGTCCACATTTTAGCATCAATACTCGCACTCTGTGAATGAACCTGCCTTTAATGGCATTGGCGACGTCCCCAGCCATGATAGATTAACTCTCGGTGACACTCAAGAGTATGAGTCAGTTAGTCGCGTGGTGGGAAGTGCATCCACTAGCAGACAGAAGGAAGATTAATTCGGTCAGGCAGAACGGTATATATTGCCAAGACCAGGTGCCCAGAGGAAATCATTTTTGGAAATGCGCCCGCGCGCCTAATAAGCGGCAGTCCCCGACTCTGTCTGTCGTTCGCCAGGAAATGCCGAGTTTGGACATCTGGCGTCCACAATCGAGGGTCGTAAGACGGTCTATCTAACATTGCAGAGGCTGGAGTCTTGCCTAGTAAGATGGAAGGGCAGCGCTACTTTTACGGTTTTGCCTATTTCCGTCACCATTTTCTCAATGGCAGCACTCCACCCGATCTGGCGGTGTCGGGGCGAGACGAACATTCCACAGAGTAGAGGTAGGGCCCTAGCCCGAGCTGCCAAAGGGATGTTGATCATGAGGCGCTGTAAAGCAATAACGCTATATCACAAATAGGCCGTTATGGCTTGCATTTAATTCAAACTATGACACCGATCAATCGTTTGTCCGAAGAAGTACACTCTGGTCTAATTTGGCGACCAAGTAGTGGCATCTGGCACTGACTGCATGCGATGCTCTGGCCTGAGCTTGGCTTCGGAGTTTGCGCGCCCTCATCTGCTTGTGACCACCCCGCAAGCCTTATGGACATTCTACGGTTTCGCATGCGGGCCAACTCAAACTAGCCTATCTATCCTCCTTCCATTCGCTACTCCATGATTATTTGGAGAACAAAACTTCGTCGTGCATGATTGGGAGGTTCACGTTTATTTTCTGCCGGGTTGTGGCTTCTTCCTCCTGTGAAGGAGAACAAAAAATTTGTTGTTCTGCCTTGTTGACAGTATGAGTCAATATCTGGAGTACGGTGGCAATATGCTGCTCAGGATTTACCAGGCAGCTCTAAACATTGTCGAAGGACTCTGAGCAGCGTAAAGTAACTCGCCAGCTTGTCTCCAGGAATCCCATTAGAAGTCTCGAGTAAACACATTTCCAAGAAAAATGATACAGCCAAGTCATCCCCATCGGAGGGGTCGATTGAACATTCAGCCATTCCGTGTGCACGCGCACCTGATTTGGCTGCATCCAGTATAGGTATCCCACCCGCCGATCCACTAGCGAGACCTTGACAGGCAGCCATAGTTCTTTCATTGCAATGTGACTCGCTTCCCCACAACTTTTAGCTATAGCCCCACAGGAAGTTTGTTCAGTATCTCGATCCCAATCACTCGATCAAACTTAAATGTCTTCACAAGTGCATGAATTCGAAGATGGCGAGACGGTGCCCGAGGCACATACGTGTCTGCCTTCACCGAAGGTGCTAAGGTTGTTCCATCCAGAAACCGTTGCTTCAGGGTGTGTCGTTCGAATCGCTGTCTTAAGCCAGCGAGCAGGAATAAACTCTGTCCCATCTGGGCCCTAGAGGCTCCGATGCGCATTGATAGCGATGCGCGGAACGGCCACTATCCGAAAATGAGTGCGGTGTTGGTCAGCCCAGACGGCCTTGACTGCATTGATGGATCGATGCATACCTGTCCCTTGTGTATGCGTATCGAGTGGATCTGTGTACCGTCCTTGGTATGGATAGGCTGACCGAGAGGAATGACATCAGCTTCGACAGCAATTTGGTCGCCCGAGGGGCGCGGGGGGAATAATCGCGTACTACATATCGACGGAGTGACCAGATGGCAAGACAAATGGACATACCTTTTCTTCGTGACTGCATCAAGCAACCTGTTTTTTGTTATGAAAATCGCCGAATGTTGGCTTACGCTCAAAAACTTCAAATTCTGCCCAAAGTTCATCTTGCACGCTGGGTGCTGCGCTAGAGCGTGTATCATGCAATTCAGTATTGTAGCCGTCGTTTCCTGTCCTGCAAAGCTAGGAAGGGCATTTCAAAGTGTGGGATGATACTCATGTATCACTATCTCTCACATGAGGGTTGTGACCTAGAAGGGTTTCGTGAGAACCCAGGTGCAAGCTGACCCAGATCATAGGCATCTGGATGAACATGATCCAAAACCTCGTCTATTGATGCTTGTCCGTTCCTGTTGTAGCATTCTACACTCGACCAGGGCGTACCGATGGAGTCAGATAGAACATTATCAGCGGTGCTGTCCCCTAATTCCGCTATCCTCTTCTTTACCACTTCTTTATAGATCCAAATGGAAGCGTTAAGATGAAAGGAAGTACACGGAGAACTTTCAAGGGTGCCTTGGTGGCGAAGGTGAATCAAAGCTGAGTAACGCACAGCGAAGCCAATTAGGGTCATGCATACCAAGTATGACTTGATGCACCAATGTGCGAAAGATCCTTTTGGCTTCGCCTGATTCACCGAGACGGAAGTCATAATTGAATGCTTGCAGAATCTAAGGTGTGCGAGCCCTAAACCGTTTTCAACTCATTGCTACCCACGTTGCTCTGAACTTCCAATCCACGATATTTAGCATCGTCGGACAAGACACCTCGCCCCCTGAACCGTGCTCCTGATAATCGCCTACTATGTAACTAGAAACAGTGCCAGCAACCAGAATTCATTCACACATGAACGGATGCTTTGCCCCACAAGCCGCCTGGATGACTGTCATCTCCATTACTCGAACTTTTTGTGCGCGATTTTTGCAAAGTAGGACGTGTAGAAACAGGACTACGGAGACGCGCGGAAAATAGGAACGCGAGTTTCATTTCCCCTCCGCCCAGGGAATGCTTCTGCCTCGAAAGACAGGCGAATTGACATAAAGGTGTGGGCTCTTGACAAGAAGATGGGAGAGAGCAAGAGGTCCGAGGCAACAGGCTACCCAGTATGATGTAACCTACGTATCTGGATGCTGAATAATTGCTCGGATCAGGCTGAGAAAGTAGACATGCCCCAAAGCCCCTTTATTCTCCGGCAGACCAACCCATCTCACGAGCACATCTCCATAGTTTCAATAGAACCATGGCCCTTAGACTGAGTGTGTGAATGGCGTGTAAGATACCTCAAGCAGAGGCACGAATGCCAACTGACAGGATATGGGAGATGATCGATATCCGTCGTTGTGACAATCTTTAGACAGAGTGTAGCATAGCATATCAAACGATGAGAGAAATGAAGGAACCGGAAAGCACGAGCTGTCTCGTCCTATGAACGCTGGAAGAGATGGATATGCACGTAAATCTGTTAGGAGAGCCAATGAACGACGGATAATACAGGACCTAGCAGAGGTTCTTTATCCATTCACCAGCACAGATCCCAACAATGGCGCTATTACAGTCAACGACGATCGACCTTAACAAGCTTTTTGTGAATGCAGAATATGTGCCACCCGTTCCCCCACCGAACTTCGCGACACCAGCCTCCCCTCCACTCTCGAGCACAATTGGGCACATGAGTGACCTATCAACGATGGCCCTGCAGACGGAACGATCGGATGGCACCGCTGTAGAAGTGACCGAGGCGAGCTCTTCCGCTCAAAAGAGCGACTAGACTTCACCGGAAGTGCAGATTTCAAGCTTATTTTATTGTTCTCTTTATTTATATACGGGTTCTGACAACTAATCCCTAATCCCTAGATGTGAGTCGTCAACATCACAGGAGGGCAGCTGCAAGCGTTGAGCGGGTCGCTTATCACATCGAGGGATGTCATTAAAACTCGTATATAAATACTAAAAGATAAATAGGACGGTAAAATAAGCCTTGTGCGCAACGGAGCGATAGAGTAGCGTGGCGACGACCCCGATACACGTTGAAAGGTCGGACTATTGAAGAAAATAAAGTCAGAAAAGACGAAAATGCAAAATGCAAAGATGGCACAGAGGCCGAAGCGCAACAGTAAGCGCGAAGGCACAAGGGCCGATGGCATTGAAGCCGAAGGCACGGAGGCCGAAGCATCCAGCAGGACACAAACAAAAGAAAAGAATACAACGTACCGATACAAAAAGACAGCTAAAACAAACCTAGCAAATACCGAGGTATGATTAGAAAAAGAAACTGAGCATACACCAAAATCAGCATATGAGAGGCGATAAGTAGATATGCCGTACGCGAGGTCAAAGAGAGTTTCCGGTGTGCCGCGGACAGGACGGAAACCAGAATACTGGAACCCGAGGTCGCTCTTTTGAGCAGAAGAGCTCGCCTTGGTCACTTCTACAGCAGTGCCATCCGATCATTCCATCTGCAGGGCTATCATTGATAGGTCACTCATGTGCCCAATCGTACTTGAGAGTGAAGGGGAGGCTGATGTCATGAAGTTCGGCAGGGGAATGGATGGCACATATTCCGCATTCGCAAAAAGGTTGTTAGGGTCGATTGATCGTTGTTGACTGCATAAGGAGTCGGGGTCCCTCTGCTCGGTCCCATATTGTTGGTGCGTCGTTCATTGGGCCTGGTTCCAACGTTACGGTACTTGTTGCGTCCACGTGTACCGCATCGAGTGTAAGGGCTTCCACAGTGGGGTGGTGCCCGGTCTCGGTTGAAGTAGGGGGATGTAGGTGGAACTGGTGGGCGCGTAAATCTGTGAGGAGAGCCGATGACCGCGCCAGAGTTCAGGATAGCCTGCAGGTAGGGTGAACGAAGCGCATGGGACTCGATTGCATTAAGGTGAGATTGTTAGCTTCCACCCACCGTGCCCAAAACTTCGGTTCAGGACCAGGAGTTGTGTTGCCAGATTCTATCATGGCGAGGTGGCAGCATAATCTCTTGATTCCATACCAGGTACCAGTGTGAACCTGGGTTTTACCTTCGCGGTAGACCCTCTCCTGGGTGAAATGATAGTGTGCGAATGGGGAGTGAACATTGTAGCGTGTGCGTGGCTAGGGGGAGTCGATATGGGGGGGTTGGTCAAGCTGGTAGCGAATATTATAGTCCTTTTATACATTCAGTTATGTCTGCTATTGGGGTATTTTCTTGTTGTAATTTCGTAATGTCGCTTACCCCTAAGACATCCCCAAATAATCATTCAGAGCCGCACCCTCAAGTTAGCAGGATTTATTACAAGATCGCGAGCCATCGATAAAAGGAACCCGCGGAGACAGACACAGTCGGGAGGACAAAGGAGCAGTCTGATGGGAACCCCACGCGGGGTAGGATAAACATCCCAAACGACGTAGTCGCTTTAGCAAAGACACACACGCAGCACAGACAGGATCCCGTCAGCCCGACCATACCAACCTGTAACCCTGATCCTGTATACAGTATAATCGATCCCCCTCATTGCCAGTGTGTGCCCTGGGCCAGCCGCACTGCCACGTAGCAACGTTGCGGGGTAACAAATCTAAATACAACAACAACAACAACAGGATGAGCCACGCTGCTCCTTCAAAGTAGGTATATCGCAAGGTTCAAGTGAGGAACGTGGGCTACACGTCGCACGATGTTTCCCACCGTGACCCCACAGGGAAACGGACGCCCCCAGTGCGTGTCGCACTGTCATGGAGTCAAGGATAGTGTCCTGCCTGGTCTAAGGGGATGTAGCCTGCAAAGGAACGCGAAGATGCTGTATATTAGTATGAAGGGACGAATGTCGCAGTAAATACAAACGTTGCGCGGCCCTGCACTGGAGGGGAACCTCGGACGTAAAAAGCAAGAACCTGGTGAGTGTTGCATGCAAGGATCATCTGCGCCATGCTGCCCGGTGTTGTTGGGGAGTATCCCAGCTTCTAATAATCCAACGGCGTTTTGCAATCATGCCCTTCCCTCGGCTCCGCAGGGGGTTTTATCAAAATGATGATCGAACCAGCACCCTGGAGATCTCAAGGCATCGTAACAGTGCACATGTAAGCAGACGTACATGCCATGCATGTTATTGATATATGGGGAATATGTAACGTCCCGGCCGATCAAGACGCCTCGAGGCAAAGCCGCCAACACAGGAAGGCTCCACCCATAACTTGACGCGATCCTTCCCCATCGATTCTGATGATACAAACGGCCATCATCGTGGATCCTTAATCCCGACGAGGTCCATTCTGAGCCATCCAATCTCGGAAGGCAGAATCCCACTTGACTTCCTGCAGTCTATACACTACGGTACTCTGGGGTGCATCACAACCGAGATGAACAATAATAAAATGCCCAATTGGGGGATTGTCCCCGCGACCTGGGGTTGGGCGAGAAGTAGTAGCCAAAAACCATCAAGATTGGTGAAACACAATCGATAATAAGTAACAGGGAAGAAACAACATAAGGAAGATGGGGAGAAACAGACACGAAATAAACATATATAATCACTGCGCAGATAATGGGCAACACGGGAATGATCATTTGGATTTTCCGAAACCGCCAAACGAATCCAATGCACTGTCATTGCACTTGTACTATACTGCGGAGTCCATGCCGTAAAGAGGAGAATGAAGATTGCTCAGCTGACGACGACAAAATCCATCCCTGCACCGACAGCAACAGGAAGTAACTCTGAAAAGAAGGGGAAGTCCTCAACACTCGGGGATTCAACGGACACTAGCAATTCCTCTGCCTCACTAGCCCTAAGATTTCGACACGTCGGAACAAAATAAGTTCCTTTAAGCAAGGACTGCTGCGCCAATGAAACCAAGGGCGCCTGCAACACCCCATTGAGCGGCAGCGGTGGGCATCGCAGCGCCACGGGAGGAAGTGCTAGTGCTTGGGGACGGGCTAGTTGCGCTGGAGGCCTTAGACCTAGTTGATTGACAATAGATCGTTCGTCATGAGTGCTCACAGCATAACAAGAGATACATACGTTGTCGAACTGCCATGAGAGCCCGTACCAGTGCTCGAGGTAGAGCCTGTGGTAAGGACAGTGGTACTGAGTCCAGTTGTAGTAGATCTCTCGCCAGAAGTAGAGGTGCCACCCGGAGTGGAGGAACCACCTGACGTAGAGGAGCCACCTGCAGTGGAGGAGCCGCCCGGTGTGGAGGAGGGGGATTGGCCGACGCAGGATGAGTTGCCAGAATTCTGGACCGTGATCGGAGCTAGAAAATGAGCGGGGAAGGATTCCGTAAATTCCCGGGCGTGCCAAGAAAGCGAGATGTAGGACGTACAAGAATATTGAAGGTTGCCTTGGGTGTCACGGATCTGAAGAGTGATGTAGGTTCCTGGAAATAAAAAACGGAAAAAAAAAAAGGTCAGAGGCGAGTCCAAGCCGACACCAATTCATTCATGAGCCACGACCACATCCGAAAACAAGGACACGCACCCTGCGCTAAATTGCAAAGCCAAGAATATGACTGGTCGCTCGACGTAATAATATCTTCAATGGGGGCAGAACCGGGCTGACCACCTGGAATAGCGTATATACATTATGACAACGTCAGCAGCCTTGAGCGCTTTCAAGAAGGAAAATGATACTTATAGAGATGGTGAAAGGGGGGTGGGTACCATACCACGTCAAAAGGGACACTGCACATTGGGTAACCCCAACGCTGAACGCGAAAAAGAGGTGAAACACAACGTCAACCTCACGTTGTCATGGATCATGTCCCAAATAACGCACGGTGTGTTAATGGAAGGGTCAAGTTGCTGAGCCAAGACGGCCGAAGCCAGGAAAGCGACGAAGGAGGTGAAGGGGAGGAACATCGCGAACGAGCTGAACGGCGAGGCAGAGACGACTGCGCACACACGAAACGACTTGGATGTTGGAGAGGAAGAGGGTTTTTAGGAATCAATCAATTTAAACGAATTCGGCCTTATGGGCTTAACTCCGGGATGCTGATCCACTCAATTAGCTCAGTCACAGGACAAAAATACAGGGATGAGGAAATACATCATCACAGTGTCATCATTTATTACGGACTCAGGCGGCATCTCAAAGGAAGTCAACCTCGCCATCTTACTACACGAATGAGCAGGCCAGTCAAATGTCCATACCCTCCAATATCTTCTGCTCGTTACTGGCTGCGGAACGACAATGAAAAAGGACACAATTTTCCGGTTGCCCTGAACTATTTTTGACGAGAACGTGAGTAAATATAGATGAGTGTGGGAACCCATTCAGAACCGGTGTTGCATTTGCCCAACAGGCTACCAACGTGCCATGCCACTGGTGGTAACCTACCTCCAGCCGCGTGGTGGAGCTGCAGGCAGGACTCTTCTGATGTTTGTGACGGAAAACTGGACACTGCTTTCCCAAGCTTGTCCCAAGCTGTGTTGGCTCTGAAGTAGGCAGGATCCCAGCCTCTACTAAAGTGCTCTGAAGCAAGACGCTTCGAAGAACCAGAATCATCCCTTTTGGGGCACTCCGAGCACTTGGTCTGCGAGACACAGACCAATAACAAGGATAATGGGGTCTGGAGAGAGGGTCGTGAGATGAACCTCTGACAAGCAAACAGAGGTCCTAATTATATTCATGCCATAATTACACACCCGGTTCTCGTACGAGCCGAATGAGTAGCTACACACGAGTCGGATGCGAATGAACGAACGAAAGAACTTGTGCGCAGATCCGGCCGAGTCAGGATCAGAACACCGGGACATTGCGCGGCGGCGGTGTTGAAGGGTGTACTTCTCTGACTTAGCATGATGGTTCGGGCACACCAGGAGCTTTGAGGAAGGAGCTGAGCTACTCTTTAAGGGGCTGCTTCCGATAATCCCGTCAAAGGTGATGTTGTACCCGAGAGTACAAGGTCCCGTGTGTCATGCGGGTGCCGCTAGGAAGACGGGAGGTAACGGTTCCGTCGTCCAAAATGAGGTCCCAGAGGGGACCTTGAGACGCCCTGATCCTTCCTGCAACTACGCTCTGCTTTCAGGCTGGAAAGCATGGGAAGATATATTATCGAAGATCGCAGCAGAGTCATCGTGTGGAGGAACCTTCTAACCTCTGCGGTGATAATGGCGGCAGTGATCTACGCTGGCGGACGACATTTCATAACAGCCGAGGGAGCAGGGAAATTGAGGCATCGGCGCCTGGGTACAGTTGAAAACACGAATACATGGACCCCCAGAGCGATCAGAAAGACTTGCTCTCTTGCTCCCATAAGCCTATCGCACACGTTAAATATACGCAACAAGCAACCCACTAAGGAGACTCTACTGTGTATTGGTGCCCCGACCCTTCCGGCAACCTTGAGATCGATCTCAGTCTTTATGATCTCAAGGTCGTATTCCGCAGAGTCGTTCGGCGGGAGGGTTATATGTATACCGCCCGTTCGCAGACTAGACACCTGAAGGCGGGGGGTTACTATGGTCCCGGTCACCTCATAAGAAGCTACATAAGTAGGGGGTTGATCGCAATATCAATCATCCAAATGCCATGGGGAAACGTAGATCAAATAAGTGCGACATGCATATATATAATGCGGCTAAATAGGTCATGCCCCGGTCTTCGGCTTGATATCTATGGATACTGGGACCACTGTAACTGCTGAGATGCTGTAAATGTAATCGATCCTCTTTTGGTGCCAAGAAAGGCTACGATGGAATCGTGAGGACACGGGCACATCTCTCTCATCACGGAACACTCCCAATATTATGAATGAATCGCATCCAAGTTCCAAAGTACATATGTGGCTATCGTGGCGGGAGGCGGCGGCGTGGGCCCGGTAGGACCCGAACAAAACGCGCTCTAATTGCCGCCCAATATCTTCACCTTGTTCACCATGCACGTGAACCGATTCAGAGTGCTTCATCGTTTCGATGTTCTGAGTATCTCAACAGGAACACTGGGAGCGGCTTTGGGGGCAATTAGGCATTTCCTCCGGGAATGTTTTCTCGGTCGACGCGGAAACGAAGGGTCGTACGCCCATGCAGAGCACTGCAAGGGCTCGCAAGTTAATTCCAAACCGTCGATGGTTCTCGGAGGCGTGGCAGCTTCCATACAAATTAACATTTCGGATGCGCGTTTTTTTTTTTACTCCTGTCGGCGAATATTTATCCACGGCGGTTCCACCCTTTCTGGGCTATAAACATACGAACGTGAGGGAATATTGAGCGGATCCCTCTCCCTCCGTGCGTGTTCGGTACCCTGGGGTCCCCGAGTCCGTAATTACTCTGAGAATTCCTATTTCTCCAGAACTGTCAAGCAAAATGCCTGATGTGCGCGTGATGAATCTGGCTCCCTCTGGGGGTTGGTGGAGCAACCGAGGCCTAATCTATTTGAACCTCTGCCTAGGCTTGTATGTTTCCATTTCCTTTATAGAGAGAGGTAGTGCCTTTAATTCGGTGATAGGTCGCTTATCACATCATACACTCATGGGTATGATGAGGCCATAGGAAATAGCTTGCAGATAATCCCTGTATGCCTGACTCTTAGCCCCCTTGTCACTTGTGCTGACATACTTCGACAGGCCTGGCAGAAGTACTTCAATCAGTGAGTGCCGACCACACTCAAGCTTTCTAGAAAGGCTCATTTTCGGGGGCTTACGTAGTCCCACTTCAAACATTCTCGGTGCGTAAACGCTTCTGACTTCAGTACCGGGCTAACTGAAATCACACTTTCCAGGCTTGATAATCTCCGCACAGAGCGTCGGGACCCTGGCAGCACTCCCAATTGTACCTTTCCTGTGTGATCAGCTTGGCCGAAGAAATACCCTCCTCTCTGGTGCCTTACTCATGTTATGGGGTATAGCGCTGCAGGTGACATCGACAGACCTTGCACAGTTCATCCTATCACGAGGATTAAGTAAGTACTCATGTATCCTTCTGGTCATTCCAAGGCCCTGAAGCAAACCAGTCGGATTTGGACTATGCTTTTCCACCAGTGCATCGCCTCTTGTAAGTTTCCCATTGGTCGTCGGTTTGCACTCTTATATTCACCACCTCTCCCCCCGTCTCGAAAAAGCTTATTGTTGAACTTGCACATCCAATGCAACGTGCGCGACTGACATCGTCGTACAATGCATTCTGCTACGTCGGAAGTATTACCGGTGAGATCATTTTCACCAATTCAAGCCGATGAAACTCAATGATCCCACCAGTGGCGTGGATTACATTTGGCACTTTCCGCATCCCGACGGCGTGGTCTTGGATGTATGCTTATTATTCACTGAGCGGGTGTATGGTGACCGATCCATGGCTTCAGACTGCCATCCCTCTTTCAAGCCCTTTCTCCCGTATTACAAGTTCTCTTAATTTGGTAAGTCCGCCGAGCCTTTGTTTGAGTGAAACCAGAACCTCGGCATGGCTCAATCCCAGGTTGACACCCGAGTCCCCTCGATGGCTTATCTCCAAGGGAAGAGACAGAGAAGCGGTTGAGATACTAGCCGCATACCATGCGAACGGTAACATTAAAGACCCCCTCATTCAGGTGAGCGGCCTGGAAGGAGATCATCTTCAGCTTTCTGCTGAGATTTTATGCCGCCAACTATAGCATGAGTACATGGAAATCAAAGACGCTCTCGCGACTGAGGAGAAAGCTAAGAAAGCGAGCACTTATGCGTCCCTTTTCACAAATTCCCAGAACTTCAAACGCATGCGGATTATCATTGGTTAGATTCCTATTCTCTTCTGTCGTTTCACTCTGAATGGCACAATATACCACCAGCACTTGGCTTCTTTAGCCAATGGAGTGGAAATGGGCTTGTGTCACATTACATTTCCATCATCCTAGATGTGAGCCGTCCTGATTTCTCCCCGAGCTTTGTCCTGACGATACCGATGTTTTCAGGATCTTGGTATCGATAAAGTTGAAGCGAAAACTACGATTAATGGATGTCTCCAAATTTTCAATCTGGCGATGGCTCTCGGTTTGTGCAGTGGTTATTTCCCATTGCATAGCGCCTAAGTCTGCTATCTCCTAGGCGCCGCCCTCTTTGTTGAACGCATAGGACGGCGAAAGTTGTTCCTGGCTTCGAACGCTGGCATGTTCCTTGCGTTCAGTGTTTGGGCTGCGTTTATTGTGCTTCGCACGGAAAAGGGATATCTTTGGACTCAAAAGGCCAGTGTTGCATTAATGTTCATCTTTTTTGGGTTCTATAACATTGCCTACATGCCCTTGCTTGTCACGGTAAGTGCCAGTCGTTGTGCGCCCCAACGTTGCCAATATCGGAAGTCCCCTTAGTATTGCCTCGAGATTCTTCCCTTCGAAATTCGAGCCAAAGGTTTTTCCGTAATGGTATGTGACCTTCAGAAGCAAGTTTAGATATTCTTATCTGTTTCTCGCCAGAACCTTACTGTCTCCGTTGCTCTGGCCCTCAACCAATACGTTAACCCAGTCGCTCTGGCGAGGTTCGGGTGGAAATTTGTACGGGAAGATACTTCCTTCCTCAGATGTTGTTGCCTAATGCTCCATTCGTATAGTACTTGGTGCAAGTATCACCAGATTGACATATGGAAAGCCTGTATGAAACCGCTTGTTTTCTAGCTATTCTGGCTGGTTGGCCTTCGAATTCCTTTACATCTTCCTGTTCCTGTACGAAACCAAAGGCTGCACCCTTGAAGAAATTGCTCGACTGTGTGAGCTATTTGTCTCCGGTTTTACTCTGTGGAAGTATTTTGACATCTTGCTCATAGTTGACGTTCCGGATACAAGCAATGAGTCGTTCAACCAAAGATCAATGTTCGAGCCGCTCCGAGCCCCACGACAGGAGATGAAAATCCAGGTTACGCGTGATCGCATCCTCCAGAGAGACCCCTAAATCACCAGTGGAAACACTACAAAGCTCTGGACTCTAGAGTTCTGCCTGAAGAAACAACGGAAACTGGGAAAGAGAGGAATGACCTGGTCGATAATCAGGACAAGGGCCTCGTGCCCGCATTAGGGATGGATCGCGGTTGACTTTGGGGTTGCATTGGAAGTGCCCACAGTAGAATTGACCAAACAGGCCAATTTTCGTTTTGAACTCTAACAAAGGGCGTTCCAATTCCAAATGAAAAATATTGATCCTGAATTGAACTCTGATGGTTTCAAACACTCTTAAGTGTGGCCAATTATGAGTATTTGAGGATGCCAGAGACGCGTAGGCCTCTATCCTGAACAACTCAAACACTGCCAGTTCGGACTCCGTAGTATTTTATTACGGAGGGGCCGACCGAGGCCGCAACAAATCCTAGCCGTGAACCAAATATTCACCAGATCTCCGTAGGGGGGGATAAACCCATGCTTTCGGACCTGTGAATAGTTTACCTTCTCTTCTTACGTCAACCCTTTCGTCGTTTATGAATGAGTTGGTCCTTGCACTTTTTCCTTGTTGATAGCCGAATAAGCCATGCATGTTGTATAAAGCACTTCATCCGAGTCCTTTCAGCTACATGCATGGCATACTAATTGCGACTCCGAACTTGAATTCAGCTGGATTCGCTAGCTCCCGCACGCCCTCATCGCCACCTTAGGTCTCGTTTCCACTCTATACCCCAGAGAGCCTTTGTGGCTGGTCCCCGTTTGTGAGCTACGCTCTTCTCCACTCACTTTTAAACACTCTGGACGTGCAGCGGTGCTGTTGTCCGAATCAATGTACTCGAAAACGTGGCTGTGCCTCCCAAAGTTGCACTGGCGACTCGCCTCGTCTAGGTCAATGCTGGCACTGGTTTTTGATGGCATTATCCGAGCACCCCAACCCCCAAGCCAATTCCACGACGTTCGACTTGGTCAGTGGTGCGCAAATGTTCCTTCGCCGTGGCCCCGACCACCAGTGCCTTAGTGCCAGTGACTATGTTCAAGCATAAGTGCTCAATGCGACCGAGAAGGGTTGATATTTCCCCAGTGGGCTTACTTTGTGTATGGCGGCACGTGGCTCCAAACAATGGGAGCCTTGTGTTCCGGCGTCTTGCAACGAGCTCCTGTTGCAAGGCAACACGCCATTGTCCCTTCTTCCAGGGGCTCACAGAGCCGGCAAGTGCGCATTGAAATCAGTTACATTTTAGAGTGATCTGCCTGTTGATCGCAGGCAGTGGCGCCGGCTTTGTGCTTTTACCGTGAGATAGGAAACGATTTTGTGAATAAGCCACCTTTGGCAATGCACAAATGGAGTCAGCGCTGAGCGGGCCTTTGTAGAGGGCCAGTAGGAACCAGCCCGTGGTAATTGGTTGAGCTGCTTCTGCAGCCTCTGAAAATGGATGCGGTGAAGCGCGGTGATTCGGGGAGACATGCCTTTCTAAACGATGGATTGCCATTACTGTGATGATCAACCGAGACCTTGGGCCTTTATATGAGTCAAATCAGCTATTGAGGCTGGCCTCTGCATCTAAAGAATCCCTTCAATATCTCAGGAAGGCAAGAACATCTTGCATGGCAAGGCTATGTCGGTACCAGCCAGTAACGCTTCGAACACCGGAATATCTAGTATCAAGAGGGGATTTGATGCCATGACGTTAGATGATGACCCATCAACCAAAGCTCTGACGCCGCCCTCAAGAAAGCAGAAAATTCAACCAGGTACTTGGTCCAAGACTCCAAGCAGAAAAGCGCTAACATTTGTTTAGCATTGGACGAAAACTCCTTCATTAGAGGAGGGCTTGGGGACACGTCCAGCTGGGCCCACCGTTCCTTGGCAACTTTCAAGCATGAGCTGCCCTATCTAAGGTGGGGATCAAACGACCAGCTTCTCGTGAGGGCTTGCTAATAAGTCGTTCAAAGGGAAGACTGCGGTCGAATGCATTTCGGTGTGGATTTTGATATGCTCGTGGGACAGCGTGTCAAACAAAACCTGGATGTATTCTTCGTTTTGTGCGAGCATGCACAAAGATACATAGAAGCTAGGAATGAAGCCGCCCTATACCCTCCTTTCCAAGATTTCGCAAATGAATTATTTCGCTCCGCGGAACTACCGTTTCGTTTCATACACCCTTTGCGGCTTCGACCAGATGGCGGTCCTCACGGGAGCAGTCCGAAACGAAGGTCAGTCATATTGCCTCGCTCATATATTGCATGCGCTGAGACCCTCAAATCAAGACCTAGTGTCGTGATGATCCACAAGGACCCCATCACTCCTGAAGACTGTCTAGCTACCATTGATGTCTCTTGGTCAAAGGTAAGTGGTTTGACCGGTTTTTTGGAGGATTGTGCCTTAACTCTAGCGGGAAAGGCTGTTCTATGCGTGGAATTTAATTATAACACGGGAAAGATGCGCCATGGGGTTGCACAGAAAAAATTCCGATCACAAAAATCAAAGCCTGGGCGACGTTCACGATTTGAAACCTATAGAAATTCGATGCGCTCAGAAATGGCGAAGTTCTCCACCAGAGATGCCCCCCAACAGCAAGAAGAACTTGCAGCCCATGCACTAGAGATGTTTTCTGCGTCATGCGTCCGTCGTCACGTCCTGGGCCTCTATGTGGATTCGCCATCAGTCGAGTTCTGGTATTATGACCGCTCTGCAGGCTATGGGTCCGCACCGCTCTCATTTGCGAATGCCTGGGAACCTCTGGCTATTCTACTTCTTGCCATCGGCATCGCCTCTGCGGAGCAGTTAGGATTTGAGCCGATCATAAAGCCGCCCGGGCCGCCTGATTCCAAGCCTGGCTCACAGTCCTCGATGCCGATAACGGCAAAAGGCGCGCGCATACAGGTTGACGGAAATGAGTATGTGATAGAAGGGACACTGGGAAAGTTGCGGTCCCTAATCGGAAGAGGTAAGACTATGTGCAGGGCATTGGGCGCTTGGTAAGACGATAGACTTCTGCACCGCAGGGACGACAGTTTTTACGGTGAAGGAGATGCTAGCGAACGCGGGGCAGGCATCAGTATCCGACTCGGCTTCCGAGCGTCTTGTCCTGAAGCTTTCCTGGCAGCTGAAAGATCGACGATCCGAGGTTGATATTTTGAGGCGTCTACATGAAAGGGAGGTACCGGGTGTGCCATTTGTTGTGTGTTCTGATGATCTAGCAAGAATGCGGGATGGGATACACGGAAAAGTTCAAGAAATTATGGGGTTGGATGCCGACACCGACGATCGAATTTATCGCGCAATTATCATGAAGCCTCTCCTCACTCACTTGACAGCGATTGGAGATTGGACGACATTCTTTACGTTGTTTAAGGGTCTGATTAAAGGTAAGGCTCCCCGCACTCAATTCCAATGTGTATAATTGTAATTCACTTAGTTCATCGGGAGGCTTACATCAAAGCTCGGATTCTACATCGAGATATCAATCCGACGAACCTCATGGTTAGAAAAGAACCAAGTGGCGAACTCGTCCCTTTCCTCATCGATTATGACTTTGCGATAGTGGTGCCACTGATCAAGGATGAGGATAACCGCATCCGAACCCATCGAACAATGGCGACACCATTTCTTGCCATAGAACTACTGTCGGATGCACCACCACCTGCAATTTACCGCTATGACCTGGAGTCATTTTTCTGGTCCTTATGGTGGATTGCGCATTCGTACCTCAATGGGCAACAAATAAAGACGGAGGGGCTCTGCAGCTGGTATAGTGGGACATGGAGGAATATACATACTGCCAAAGGCGGATACATGAGTGCTGAGGCCGTGCAATCCACAAAACTAACAAAAAATATGGAGCATGCCAGGCCGGTCCTCAGGCGTCTGGCAGAGCTCTTTCAGCAGGCATTCCATAACGTACAAAAAGCTGGACGTATGGGTCGTGACGTGGGAAACACATGGAGCATGTTTCGGTGTCGACACAATCGATGGTTAGTTATGCATACTTAGAGTGTAGTACGTCCAGGAATTGGCTATAGCATCGAGTTTCATAGTCAGAATCGGTATTGTCTACATTGGCCCTAACGAGTAGCTAATATAATGTTCGTTAGGCTGAGCGACGGGAAGTGATATACTGGATCAAAAATCAGAAGAGCGGCTAAAAAAGTGGAATTTTCGTGCTTGATATGATCATGTCTTCTAGAATACTGAGTTTCGAGTTGATTATGATCGATTTACTTCGTTAAAACGAGTCCAAGGACAAAGATGAAAGATTCCAAGACATTCTGGCTCTACGCGGCCTCGCTATCATGTGGTAGAGCCGCTATCCTACCGAAGAGTACATGAGGGGATCGTCAATACAAGGTGGGTTACTGGTGTGTAGCGTCCGTTGCATCGGAGTGCCCCTATCTATATATATATAACGTCGCGAAGAATGCTTTCCTGTGGTGAGATGGGATACAAAATGCCGAATGGAAAGCTGTCTTGAACACATTGGATTCCTTGACGGGCACCCTCAGCTTTGTCATAATAGTGGATGTGGCAGTAAGTCCGAGAATGCATCGAGGGCCACTGGGTTAATTGGGATGGGCAATAAAGTTTTGTAATGCCGTCCACCGTGCATTCTTTATGCAGCCCTCCTGAAGAGCAAATCCTCGAAAGGCACATACTTCAAGGAAAACCCCCCGATGACATCGTTAGGGTGGCTGCTACCTGACATTTGGGCATCAAGGTACCGTATTCAGAGCACTAATTCAGAATTTTTGGATTTTACGTCTTTTCTCAGTTCACAGTATACTACGCTAGTATTCTAATGCTATCCACCCACACAGACCCCCTCTTTTTTGAGCCGCGAGGACAACCCGGAACCCTCCAGTTCACGAGTGACGTGAAGTGTTTTGTGCAAAAATACTATCACCTTCAATGGTGATGACGAGTGAATCAATGAATGGCTCCATATATGCAAGCGGGTCTGCTCAGCGCAAGTTATGTTATGCTGGTATGACCTCGACAGTCACAGCATCGGTCAACAAGCTGGAAAGGGTAGGGTAAGCTTGATCCACCCTTACAGTCATAGTACCGTTCAACCATGTTCCCAGCGGTCTACCACATACCTTCCGCCGCCCTTCGCAGTCGTGACGTGCTATTTCGGCATATGTACCGGAGTAAGCGAGACGCGCACGAGATAGGATATGAGTATATCGAGAACTAGACTGGTGTGCATGCGTTTCTGGATATTTAGCCTGCAAACTTGAGGCTGCCACTTGCCAAGGACAGCGAATCAATTTGTCATCGGTTGAATCATTCTCTCGACCACGTAAAAACAAGGCGGGTTGCTTGACTGCTGACGGCCGATAGGTGTAAACCGCACGAGGAACTGGTCGGTCCCGCGTCAATTGCCACAAAATGTTCTACATCTCCTTTTACATCAACCCTTTCGCCGATTATGAATTATTTGGTCCTTGCACTTCCCTTCCCTTGTCAATAATCGAATAACGCACGTATGTTGTATAAACACTCCACCTGAGCCCTTCATGCCAGTTACACGCCATATCAATCGCGACTTGGAGTATGCCCGTTTGAATGGGTCGCAGTTCCACTCTACTGGCATACACGATATCTTACCAGAGAGGGCCTCTGCGACTGACCCCCCATTTCTGAGCTACATTCTTCTCCACTCAGGGAACAATCATCACTTCCAAACTCGAGCGAGGATTTTGCAAATACGTATTTGTTGCTGTTGACGTCACATCGGAAACGTGGCTGTGTCTCGCCACTCACCCGCGTCAATGCACTCAATGTGTACTGTAGTGACTCGCCTCGTCCAAGTCAATGCTGGCATCGGTTTTCAAATGAAAATATCTGAGCCGTTCGACTTGGACAATGGGGCGCAAATGCTGTAGGATTTGCCACGACCTTGATCGTTAGTAGTGCTAGTAACTGTATCCAAGCATAAGCGCTCAATGCGGCCGAGGTGGAGATTCCTCCAGTGAATGACGAGCATTGGGGTCGCTGAATCCTGATGCAGGATTGTTAGTCATGCTTTCCCAGTAAGTTTGGGCGGCCCTACTTTGTGTATGTCCAGCGTCTTGCACTGGCGTGCTCCTGTTGCAAGGCAGCACGCCATTGTCCCTACTCCAAGGGTTGGCAGAACCGGAGAGAGCACATTGAAATTGGTTCCATTTTAGGATGATCTGCCTATTAATGTTGAGGCAGAGGCTTCTGTGCTTTTATACCGTGAGACAAGAAACGATCCTGTGAACGAGCATCTTGGGAAATGCCTAAATCTGAGCGGACGGGCCAGTAGGAACAAAGAAGCTCAGTCGAGCCACTCCTGCGGCCCCTCACAATGGATGGGGTGAAGTGCGACGATTCGAAACCTGACATCGAATTGGGGAGATGTGCCTTTCATAAGCGATCGATTGCCATAGCTGTGATGATCGACCAGGATCTTGGGCCCTTATATGAGCCGAATCGGCTTTGAGATTCACATTGCGTTGAAAGAGTCCCTTCGATGTCTCAGGGAGACAAGATCGTGCCACTGCGCGTCCAAGGCTTAGCGAAACCAGCTAGTGACACATCGAGCGCTGGAATATCTAGTATCAAGAGGAGACTCGATGCCACAGGCTTAGACGATGAGCCATCAACCAGAGCTCTAACGCCGCCCTCAATAAAGCAGAAGATTCAACTAGGTACGTAATCCAAGACTCCAACAAGCGGAAAAGCCACTAATATTTGTTTAGCACTGAATGAAACCTCCCGTATCACAGGAGGGATGGGGGATACGACGTCCTGGGCCCATCGTTCATTGGCAACTTACAAGCACGAGTTGCCCTACCTAAGGTTGGTGCAGAGCGATCGATTTCTCGTGGGGGCTTGCTCATAAGTCTCTAAAGGGAAGATTATAACCGAATGAATTTCTCTGTGAACTTCGATAAACTCGTAGGAATTGTATTGGGGGACTGCTTCCAAACTGCCCGTGAAACTTTCAGAAGGCATATTGAACATGAAAGTAATGCAGTCTCCATTCTGCGGGGTCATGCGCAGACCTACACGGAAGCCAAGGGTGAACCCAGCCTATACGATCCTTTTCGAGATTTCGCAAACGAACTATTTGGTTTCGCGGGATTGCCGTTCTGTTTCCTAAACACGTCCCCAGGGCCCCGACCGAACGATCGTCCTGACAAGAGTAATCCTCAGCGAAAGTCAGTCACATCGCCTTGCTCCCACACCGTATTTGGTTACATTCTCAAATCCAAAGGCCAGATATTGTGATGGTCCACAAAGACCACCTCACTCCTGGAGAGGATCTGACCACCATTGATATCAGAGCATTCCCCTGGTCGAAGGTAAGGTGTTTGGCTCATTTCCAGTAGATTGTGTCTCAGTGCCAGCGGGGAAGGTTGTTCTATGCATAGAGTTCAAGTACAACAAAGAAAAGATGGGTCAAAAGGGACCACCAGGAACCACACAAACAAAATCCCGATCACGGAAACCAAAGTTCCAGACAGGGGTTAAGTTAGATACAAAAGACGACCGGCGAAGTTCACGATCTGCAACCCATGTGGATTCGATGCGTTCGGAGAAAGGAAAGTCCCGCACCGGAGATTCGCCCCAAATGCAAGAACAGCTCGCAGCCTATGCAATAGAGATGTTTTCCGCGCGTGGAGTCCGCCGACACGTTCTGGGCCTCTATATAGATTCGCTGTCAGTCGAATTCTGGTATTACGACCGTTCGGCGGGATATGGGTCCTTACCGTGCCCATTTGGGGATCGCTGGGAATCGCTTGCGATTCTACTTCTTGCCATCGGCAGTGCGTCCGCCTCACAATTGGGTTTTGAGCCGAACATAAAGCCTCCATGTGATGCTAAACTTGGACTAAGTTCCTCGATATTGGTAAAGGCTGCAGGCGCTCGGATAGAGGTCAACGGAAAAGAATATGTAGTGGAAAACGAACAATTGGGGAGGGCGCGATCCCTCACTGGAAGAGGCGAGTACAAGACATTTCGACGTTGAGTTGTACAGACTGACCATTCCACATGGCAGGGACGGCTGTTTTTAAGGTGAAAGAGTCCGTAGTTAACACAATGCAAGCATCAGGAACAGGTTCAGCATCGGAAGGTCTTGTGGTGAAACTTTCTTGGCAGCTCAAGGACCGACGATCCGAAGCCGATGTTCTCGAGCTCCTGCGTAAGAAGGGGATTCCGTCCGTGCCGGAGATTGTATCATCTGAAGAACTGGCACGGATGCAACATGGGACACACGGGAGAGTCCAAGAGATTCTTAACTTGGATGTCGACAGGGATGATCGAATTTACCGCGCGATCGTTATGAAGCCTTTCCTTGTTCATTTGACGACGATTGCGGACTGGACCACGTTCTTCGAGTTGTTCAAAGGTCTAATTAATGGTAAAGTTCACTAGACTAATCACCAATCGTGCTTTACGTATATGTGATTATCTTAGTTCATCGCAGCATCTACACCGGGGCCGACATCCTCCATCGAGACATCAATCCGGAAAATTTGATGGTTAAAATGGAAGCAGATGGGAAACATGTCCCTTTCCTTATCGATTACGACTTTGCTGTCTCCGTGCCTTCAGCAAACGACACCCCCGATGGCGTGCCTTTGGCAGATGACGCTCCCGACGATCGCATCCTAACCCATAGAACTATGGCGACACCGTTCCTTGCCCTGGAATTGCTATCTGAGCAGCCACCTACCGCACTTTACCGACATGACTTGGAATCCTTTCTTTATTGTCTATGGTGGATTTCAGTCTCGTATTGCGAGGGAATACAAATTAGAACCGATCAACTGCTTGGTTGGTGCACAGGGTCATGGAGAAGCATTCGTTACTTCAAAAATGGACATATGAATGTCCGGGCAGTCGATGAATCGGTGTTCACGACGAATATGGTAGGTGCAAAACCTATACTCGAACGACTGGTCGACCTTTTTCGGGATGCATTCGATAAGATAGTTCGACAGGAAAGAGTGAAGGGCGACGCAGCACCGTTTGAATGGGAGTCAGCCGGAGGAATTATAACTTGGGAAACCTTCCAATCGTGTCTCTCACCGCATTGATGCCGCCGCCGTCCTTTAATGTAGGATATCAAGGAACGAACCATATGTCACATGTCCCCCTAGTGTTTCATGATCAAATGCACCAGTACCCGCCTTCCTATCGCGCATCGAGTAGCCATCGTGAAAGATTTGACCAAGGTCCCATAACCAGGACTGCTGGAGTGACGGATAACGGCTGACTGGTGAGCCAATAGGTCGACTGAAAAATCCTCTTTTCGAATATTTCATTTGGTGACGGGTCCCAGTATACCATTCGCTGAGTTCATCTTGCTGTATTTCGGTCCCATTTTCGTCGAAACGAATCAATATCCATCCAAGCACCAGAAGAAATGACTCTAGATCATGCCGGTACATGTGACGCCTTGGTGGAAGTTGATCTAGAAAATCCACGGAAAGGAACGGAAGAGTGCCCGCCAGCGTTGGGCGTTGTGGGTGAAGCGAGTCGCCTCCCCTAACCACGACCGCAAGATCGAGATCAATCAATACACCTTTCGCTTCGTTGCCTTCCTCAACCATCAGATTGTTGATGCTGATATCATGATGAAGGATGCCTGCCCTTTCGTAGAGGCTCCTGTGGGCTGGACGCGGTGAGGTGGGGTGTAAACATGGACTGGAAGGAGCTACCTTGGACTAACGAGCGGAAAGCCGTCTTGAACACATCAAGTCCTTTGACACGATAGAGGGGAATGCAGAGCGGCCCCATTACTTGCACTCTCAGTTCTCGGTCGTGATAATCAACGCCAGCAATAAGCCCGAGAGCACGTCGAGGGCCAGTAGAGAGGCGCGCAGGCCGGGACGAGCAATATAGTTTAGCAATACCTTCAACTGCACATTCTTGAGCTCTCCTGAAAAGCAAATCCTCGAAAGGGGCAGACGCATCCTGCCAGGAGAACTTGATTATGACATCATCGGGGATGGTTGTACTGCGGTCATCCAGCCGCGCAGACTCCGCTATCTTTTGAGCCGCGAAAACGACCGTCCCGCGACCCTCCAATTCACGAGCGACGTGAAGCGTTTTGTGCAAAAGGAATCGAATGCCATCAACAACTACACACGAGCCTTCGATAGACCCAAAAGCTTCCCAGGACGATGACGACTGAATGAATGGCTCTAAGCCCAATGAGACGGGTCCGCTTAGCGCAAGTTGCATCACTGCTGATATGATCTCGACAGCATCGGTCAACAAGTTGACAGGGGCGGAGTAAAATCCGCCCCCGCGGTCAAAGTACCAGAAGGATACGTTCGAACCTGTTGTCAAGAGTCCAATCACATGCCTTCTGTTGCCCTTGGCAGTCATGACTAATTCGGCATACCGGCGCAAGCGAGAAGCGCATGAAGGAAGAGTGTACGGCGAATCGGATTGGTCCTGATGTGACTTGGTATCAATGCTTGAACCATTTTCCCGAGACAAGACAGGATGCTTGACTGCTGACTGCTGACAGGTGTGCGAACCAAATGAAGAATCGGCCGGTTGTGTATCAATTGCAACAAGGAGATCTGCCCAGCTCCAAGTGTCCATGAGTGGACCTCTCCGCATACCCATTAGGACAAAATGATCTTCAGTTGACTGCTCTGAATCCTCCTGATCGTATGCGGGATGGGCGAAAGGATTGAAGTCAGAGGCACCTGGAAGGCCTAACAAATCACATTGACGGCAGATGAGCTTGAGCACATCGATGAAACCATCCTCGATCGTGTCTGATTCGGTACTGGACGTCGATTCCAAAGAGGAAAGGAAGCGTCGGCACGTGGATTCATAATCCGAGGATGTGGCGAGTTTGCGAGCGATATCCTTTAGATTAACAGATGTGGGGGGGATATCGAAAACTGCGGCAGCAAAATCTGATAACTTCACTTCGCTGTATGCAGCTGGTGGAGCCTTTGGGGATGACGCTGCCTGAGAAGACAAGGACTCGACAACCAGAGAACTTCGTGGAGTAGGAGAATTTGGTGAAATTTTTCGCCTGGTAAGAATTACGCCCTTGTTCTTCGAGTTGTGGATCGCATGGGGCCTAACTGTCTCTTGAACGAGGATGTTCTTCGCGTTTAGAGTCCTGGTAATGGGGTAGCGGCCTGGAATCTATGAATACGAGGTAACGTTGACCTCCGGGTGCTGCGGACTCACGGTCTCGAGATGAGCCAGTGTTGGGATCACCCTTACTCCGGCGCGACAAGGAGCGGGGCATCAGCAGACGATGTACTCCAACTGAGTTGCAGACAATGTGAGCTTATATCGCGAAAAATGAGATGAAGCTCAATGAGCACAGATGGAGGCGCAGCTCCAAAAGCCAATGCTGCATGTGGCAAGTTTGGCGGGTTTGGCAGAGGCGTCAAAACAGGTATCAATAAACAACTACTGCTGTAATTCAACGCACTCATCCTCCTAGGAATCTAAGCAACACCTAACAACCCCCAACATACACTTCATCATAGATTCTTCGTTTTCGTCATTTTTCATACCCCCCTTTTTTTTTCTTTTGGCCCTCGGCATTTATATTGCCTGGTTCATCTGTATCAGTATTTACAACATATGTACAATGACTTTAATCCTCGCTTTTCCACACCGTTCCCCATCCTTTGTACTCGCACATACCTTTTGTACATCACCAACGTCCTAGCTAGACCACAGCCGCAGGGTTCGAGACACGGCCCTGGATTTTATAATTCGCTGAAATGGTCTGTAGCCTGCCAATTCACGAGTGACAGATGAGCACAAGCTTTCATACTCAGTCAAAATGGTCAGAAGAACACCCACTTCTACGAGCTTCTGTGTAGTTTCTTCTTCCCGGACAGAATGACCAGCGTGTGTGATTTGAAGTTTCAACTCTGGCCAGGCCTTCTTTAGATCATATGCACTCCTCGCCTTTGGAAACCGTCGTTTGTCCCATACCGCAGAGGCAGGCGGAAAAGGTTGGGATTACGATAGATGGATACTTGAGACAAAGTCCCGAAGGAGCAGGCGAGACTTACCGGACAAACAACCTACAAGATTCGGTAATGGTTAGCCCGAATGAAGTGAAGGAAGAGATTAAAGCCTCCATGACAGACAACGGGCACAATTGGCACGTACATCATAACGACCTGGATTAGATGTGCAAAGTTAAAGACAAATATCATCCCCAGTAATGCAGCGGTACTTCACCTTGGACTACAACACATGGGATATGGCGACTAGCCCAATTCGACAGCGTTATCTTATGTGAATCGATGAACATCGATCTCGGCTCACATTTTATCGATCGATTGCCGCTCCAGTAGTTGTCCTTGCCTCATGAAGCCCTATCAGCCGAGGAACGAAGAATGAGCAGCAAATTCAGGGAGTATTGCCGACGCTTACTTCGTTGATGAAATAGTGATTCTCAATCCGAGCAAAAGCACTGGAATTTCAGTAGAAAATCCAACATTCATCAGGAGACTTGTTAACAAAACACGGAAAGCCTCACTTTGCCCAATCGTCCTTTGTGGCGCGTGCGATATCATCCGGGTCGGCTTTGAGTTTCGACGTAGCCATCCTGACGAGGGAGGAAATGCCGGTGACTTCGGCGTTGTCTCTTCCAAACTGAGGGGACAAGACGGATATACTTACTCCCATTTAGACCATGCACGCGCAGCGGACAGCCTTGTTTGCTCGTCAGCGGAATTGAGAAGCTTATGGTACGCCTTGACCAAGTCGCCGCGTTCACCCTCTGGGATGGGGGCGAGGTAATCGTCCCTGAAAAGATGGGAGAGTTATTGTCACCCAACCAAATACCTTGGGTCCTAGTGGTATGGGATCGGACGTACCATTCCTCGGGGAAAAGATGGCTTGTGCCTTCCTGATAGAAGAAATCGAGCTGTTTTTTTTTTGCTAAACTTAATGGTTCTTTCATGATGAGGGAGGCGTGGCACATACTTCGCTCTTTCGTAGGGTAAAGATACCCCTGTATCCCAACATTAGCCAGAGGTATTTGTTAAATGTGTGACCAGACCTCAATATGAGAGCCTTCACAGGATCGGGATGCGCCTGCAACATATTTAAGGGCGTAAGTATTGATCCATCCCACAGCCATCTAAGGCTCACTTGAGCATAGGCTAGCGAGAGAGTTGATCCCTGCATGGAAAATTGTGGGTTGTTCCACGAGTCACAGATCGGGTTGTCACGTACCCACGAGCCCCCGAAAACGACCCATCTATCGACCTTTAAATGCTTTCTAAGACGTTCGATATCTTCCACAAGATCCCAAGTCGTATTCTCTTCAAGGGATGCACTCGGGGTCGATTTTCCTGCGCCTCGCTGATCCAATAAGATGATTTTATATTTCTTTGGGTTGAAGAAAATTCGATCCTTTGGAGATGTTCCACCACCAGGACCGCCTTGTCGCGAGTTTGGGATCATGATTTAGGCAGCAGACTTTCAATTCATGGAGAATGGCAAGAACTTTACCGTGGAGGAATATAACTAGAAACAAGATATATTACGAATATCCCATGCGTGCAGTCTAGGAACAGCTACCCACCTGGGTTCCCTTCTTTGTTTCCACTGACTTCATAGCTATCAGTCAATACCAAGGTGAATCTGTGAGATCAATCTTGTGCACTACGCACGGCAGGGACCCACTACGCGTGGCTGGCTCACTATAGTGTATGAATGCCCGAGACCTTTAGGAAGCCAGTCTCATAAGGCTCAATATCCGAGTAGACCATAATTTTCAGACGAAGATTGAGACAGAGCGATCGATGATCTCTTGTTGTGGTGAGTTTGGGTCGGGACCGAGAGCCAGTGGTTTTGGCAATCTGAATCCGCATCTGGAAAGATCTGTCCTTACACGTCGGGTTCGCTTGTTTCCCTTCTTTTGCTCTTGCTGTCAGCCTCTGGGTTCTTCCATGACCTTGGGGACCCTCATGAAGTGCCCCGTCTCGCGTGTCTTGCGCTTATCATCTTTTCCTGAGCTTCCACAAATTTTTCGACTCCAGCTCAGTGGCAGCAATGTTGTTGATCGTCTCATTATCCGTCGATCTCGGCGATATCCTCTGCTTCAGCATCTCCTCGAGGATGTACTGAATCCTCCCCTTCCTTGTAATCTGTGAAATAGTGGCCATTCTCGCCTATGACTTGGCTAGTTAGTGTTTGCTTATATTGACATCGGGGGCGATTAATGCAGCATGCCCAAGCCCCATCGTTCTGACCGCCTCCCAAGCTATTCCTTCGCTTTCAACCATGAAGTACGTTCCCGATCCTAACCTTACATTACTTTCAAGCTCGCTTTCGCACTCGTCTGCGGAGTGTAACGTTTACACTCGCATCGAAGCATACACCTGCAAAGCTACTACCAAAGACAAGAAGTTGTGGAAAGCAATTGATGAACATTTCGAGGAAGAATTGAGCGCGCTCAACGATCCTAATTCGATGCAAATGCCTCCGGAGTACGGTTCTCCCCTCGACAGCGCGTTCGGACCGCTTGATGGCCGCCGTTCACGCCGAACCTATTTTCTTCTCGTCAACCTCCTCAACGTCGCGTTTCCAGATTATGACTTCTCCAACGTCAATCCGGATCATTTCACAAGGGAGCCCAATGGGGGCGTGCCCGTTCTGACTTCACTTTCCAACACCTTTGCCTCACTTCGAGACTCTCCAGCGTCGTCACGGAATGACGGGAAGTACTTCACTTCCCGTTCATACTCCTCTTTCCCCATCACAAACAATGCCGAAGATATCTTCCCCAAACGTGTATCCAGCTCCGCTTCGTCTTCTCCTATTCTGCGGCCCACCAGCAATCTGACCAGTCTTATGATGCGTAACGCCCCTCCCGTCATCGCGAATACACATCCAACTCTCTTCCGCATCCTCAACGGTGTTGTCACGCTTTCAGAATGCGAGGTTTATTCATACAACCCCGATCCAGCTTCCGACCCTCACGCCGGTAGTGACGGGGACTCAGATTCCGAAGGGGTGCTTGATTCGGACAACGGTGAAGATGACTTTTCCGATTCAGACTCCATATTTGAGCAAGGATTGGATGATTATTACGATGGCGCGGCTTTCTATCATCCTTTTACCGCTAAGCAACGGGATTCGAGCTCTTCTGATGGTTCAAGAACATCATCCTCATACTCGGGATCACCTATCCGTAGCGTCCCTATTCGTGCACCCGTATTTCACAAACGTCGGAGTTCCAACGGCGGGTTGTTATGGTCCTCTTACTGGTTCTTCTTCCATAAGAAAGAAAAGAAAATACTTTTCATTTCAGTGTGGGCCCGCGGTCGCAAACACCGTTCGTCGTACCTTTCCACAGCCGAGGAGGAATTCGAAGTATTTGAAGCCTGGGAAGGCGCGGTTGGGGCCGGGAAACGTGCGTTTGAGGAACAGTTGGGCGAACGAAAGGCCAAAGTCTCGATATTCTAATTGGTCACGAAGGTGCGTACGCGTCGTGACCTTGAGACCACTTACTGAGACCTGCTTTTAGCCGATTTGAACGTGCGTTTCTTGACAAGCCATTTCTATTAGGTGGAGATACGGAATTTGCCTAAGAACCATTTATTCTCATGTGCATGTTCGTTGTGTTTCTGGGTCTAATCATTGTGTTTGTGCCTCTGGTATCCTGTAACTTGTTTATGTGTACGGTTGTTCTATAGTTGTTATACTTTCACGACTTAGCTCAGTTCCTTGTTTGCTGTATACTTCTCTTTTACTGTATGGAATGTTGTGTACGTTATTAAGCCTTTCCTATTTCCAATATAATCACCCTTCTGGAATGAGGCTTGCCTGGTTTGTTCTCGTCCTTCCAAACATGACGTTCTTGATTATGTAATCAGCGTGCCCAATAACTGCTACACCTGCTCATCCACAGTCGAGGGGGCCTTCGCCTTTGACAACGCACGTTACTCCAGTTCCATGCTGGCATCCACCAGTTCGCTGCTCTCCTCAATACTCATCTCGATTGCCTCTTCTACATCCCTGCTCTCCCTTCCAGGAATTCCTCCAGGCGGTGGTATCCCGGGATTCTCCATAATAGCTAAATGTCTATTCCCGGGTCCGGAATCCTCTACCCTAGCAGGCGGCTGCTCCGTTCTGCCATTAAATGCGTGATGACGAGCACCCATACTTGGCACCCACTCAGCACCAATGATCGGCCCCCCTCGGGTAGTTGCTGGGCGTGGTACAGAGGCGGTACGAATCGACTGAATAATCGCGAGGTCTTGCTCAACTGCGGATATTGGTTTGGAGGGTGGTGGCGGGTCAGATGAACCAAGCGGTGGTCGAGTGAAAGAGTGAGCGTCAGTGTCGGCAGAGGGAGTGGATGAAAATGGGTTGATGACAGTGTTAAGCTTCAGCGCAAGATTGAGGAGTTCAATCACATTCGCGTCTAGGGGCTGCACGCTCAGTGCCTGTGATCAATAGTGAATTATTTTAAATTCTCAGCCGTTAGATCGTTGAGTTTGCGTGGCATACCTCGTGGTACTTCGTTATAGCATCACCGAGCTCCCCGAGAGCATGATGGATGATGCCGAGGCATGCAAGGCCTTGAGGATTTCTTGGGTCTATCCTAATTACTTCCTCATATGCTGCTTTCGCTTGAGAATAATTCCTAATGTTTGAATATGAGACTTCCGCCTTTCATACTAACATTTTTTTAAACATACTTGAGCTTCCGGTGGGCTTGGCCGAGGTTCAAGTAGGTTCCTAACCATGCTTGTTTTGACGTTTGAGACGCATCAGCTAATTCCAATGCCTTCTCGAACATTTCAACCGCACGTTGTGTTCTGTCACATGGAAAGTATCAGCCACCTATGGGACTTCCGCTGGGGAAGGCATGACTGACTGATTTTGATGGGATGCAAGGACACCCATCTCGTTCAACAGTAACGGGTCAGAGTCACATAAATCATATGCACCTTCAAGATATTCCTGTGCTAAAGGCAGGTTCATCATTCGAAGATGTTCCATACCAATATACAGAGAAGGAAGATGTGTGCTTTGGAGCCGTATCAGTCGAAGTAATGCTGCGCAATCATTTTCAGCCATACCCACCCGCGAAAAAGTCGTGCGCACGTCGAGTAGGCTGTCACGGCTTGATCGTGTTCACCTTCGAAAGCGAAGGTATGGGCAAAGGCAATCCAAGCAGGTGCATTGCGAGGATCGAGGAGTGTAGTTTTGCTATGAGGGGTCGCATTAGAATCCTTGAATCGCCTTGAACGGTGGACATTACATGCCTGATCCATCTTCTAGAAAGGGCGTACTTCTTTGTGAACAGATACCAAATTGCCACAGCATATGAACTAATAGGTGCTTCCGGCTCCTTCTGCATCAGTTCATGAGCGAGCAGGAATAGCTTGGACCGAAGGTTGGGGATGTGTTGCATGCAAGCAATATGAATGGGAATAGTGGGACCGTGTATCCGGGTCTTCTCCAGTATCCTAAGTGGAATGTTCTAAATGTGGAATTCTATGGAAGGCAAGCAATATTACCGAGATGTGATAGCGAAACAATCCGCATATCGATACTGGGCAAATAATGAATCGGCAAAACTAAACAGGACATCAACGTTGTCCGCCAGTCGGTAGTCTGTAGATAGTTTGTGCCGGGCTAAAGCAATCTCATGCTGGTGCTTAAACTAAGGGTAAAACTGGTGAGAAGTTGGCCGGATTATAGTACAATGAATACCTTACCTTTCGCAACCGCACAGTGTATATGGACCGAACAAATTCAGTACAGAAAGGATCTTCCCCGTGGAACTGCAGGGACTGGATGAACTCCCATTCTACCATGCAATCTTAGCCGTCAATCCTACAGAGATGCTTCTATCCAAGGGCAACACCTTCATCGATCTTCATCATTTCTCCACCGATGAGCTGCTCGAATGCATCCACGTTCTTATAGTCGATAGCTAGAGCTTCCATGAGACTTTCTTTGGCATCTTCGGCGCGCCCTATCCGCAATAGGATAACGCCTCGGAGGAAGCACATCGTTGATTCCACCTATAGAAGCCGTTAGGCTCAAAACTCTGGAGAAATTCATTGCGAACCTTTGTACCTCCTTGTGCATCTGGAATCAGGAATGGTGCTATGAAGCTCGCACGATCAGCTATCTAGGCATTTTAATCACTGAAAGACCTGTTCGTACGCGGCTCGTCTTCTCTACCTCTAAATGGATTAACTTCACCCAGCATTTCCAGCGCCTCATCCCACTTGCCAAGTCGAACCTAGCAATACCCCTGTAGGTCAATCTTTCTGGAAAGCAGAAAGGAAACGAACTGAACACTGGGCAGCTAAATACCGGCACGGAGCACTCAGATCTACTAGTCGTGAATATGTCCCTGCTTTCTGAGGGATGATGTTAACGCCACCCATAAGGGGCATATTCCCGCGCAATAGGCCATCCCGTTCCTTCCCCTTAGTAGTGGTTGCACGAGGCATCTCAAAGGCGTATTGGTTAGTTAGGATGGCTTCCGCACGTTGGTATTGGTGACACAAGAAATGAGCCTGCGCAAGCCAGAAAGCATCATTAGGGTCAGCTGAATGGTTGAGACATGAGCAAAAAAAATCCTCAAGATAAAGGGTAGTCATCGTCTCACATACATGTCCACGAGAACACTTTGTCTCCCCAGAAGATTGCTGTTTGGTAAAGGTGCTGCATCATAGCATCGTGCCGCCAGAGTCGGATGCGATCCACAATTTCGCTATGAGGATCTTGTTCTGGAAAATGTCCTCCTGGAGAGTGTTCTCCATTTCCCACAACGCGGGAGGGCTCTGTATCATAAAGTTGAGTAACTTCTTCGTCAGCCCTCCTAACCTAAATGTAGATCACCTTCAGCTGGTGTGCTGGGTCCATCATCTCCCGAGACCACGCTTCTTAGCTGAGACTTCCCGGGCCTTAATAGCGATGGCCCCCAAACCGAGCTGGCACCAGTAGGTGATGCCCTTGGAGATGATGTGGTGAGCGTTCGTATAAGTTCTTCGGGGCCAAGAGAAACAGAATCTGAAATTGATGTTCGGGGAAAATCCTTCCGCGACGAGGAAGGAAGACCACGCGTCACAGGAGTAAAAGGGCGCATTCTATCTTGGAATCTGTAACTCCGAGCGGAGCAGAATAACAATATTAATGGCCTTGTCAGACGCGTCACGTGTCTGAAGTGAAAAAAAAATTGGACCGATTACGTAATACTTCATGCACAACATTCTCATTACAGCACATTCCAAAAAAATCGACCGTTTTGATTTCATCGAAAGAGATCTAGGGCGTGATCCGGCCAATTTTTTTAGAACCCTCCTTTCGATGAAATCAAAATGGCCGATTTTTTTGTAAACACCAACTTGTGCGCAATGGGCGACCTGGAACTGCGAGGTAGCGTGGCGACGACCCCGACAAAAGTCGAAGCCACCAATTACAAGCTGAAATAAGCTCCCAATTATGCAGAATTGTGCCCTCCCCGCCCCCCAGACCCATGGCCCGAAAGCCCTTTAGCCTGGATTTCCCACAGCTTTTTGGCCGTGGGAATATGGGTCAGAGCATGGAGGCACAATTCTACATAACTGGAGGCTCATTCCAGCTTGTAATTGGTGTTTAAAGGCTTCATATAGACGTATGGATGATATCTAAAGCACAAGTAGGCTTCTGTTTGCTTTACCGGGCTGTATTTTTCAATTTGCTGAATTTGGGACACTTTGTTAAAACTGATCTATACCCTACATAACATACATGGCTACATTTCCCTACTTTAGCTCTTTCCAACGCATGTTGAATCGTGGAGATTGGTTGAGAATTGGGTGAAAACTGCTGAAGTGCGATTTTTTGAATGACGGAGTTTGCCTGGGATTCTCAAAATTGCAATATGTAATATAATACGATCCCAATATTCTCGCAATCTCGTTTGCTCTTAGACAGGGAAAATAAAAACGAGAGAAATAACACATTTTGATGGTGTTGAGACGCCTGTCAAACCGAACTCAATTGGATCGGCTAACTCCTCAGGTATATTCGGCCGAAGATCACATGTCGCATCGGGTTGAAATCCAAAACTAGATTCTAAAGAAAGAAATCGCGATACTTTTTCTTTTTCACTTTCCCTGCTGACGGAGGGAAAAGATATGTGTCCTACAGCTGAAAAGCTCTCTGGAGAGATGGTTGGCATTGAGACCAGTGCTGGTCACACCAATGGCGTTACTACCAATGCCACACACGCCCAATCTCCACAGCAACAACTTCGAAATCCTTACGCACCTCGTTATTCAGATTTCTTGAACAACGTATCCAACTTCAAAATAATAGAGAGCACCCTCCGTGGCAAGTAGATCAGTTTTCAATTCTTCTTCGTCGCTCCAATGAGTAGCTCGATCAACGACTTACTGAGTATTTCATTTTTTTAATAGAAGGAGAACAGTTTGCGAACGCATTTTTTGACACGAAGACTAAAATTGCCATAGCCAAGGCCTTGGATGCCTTTGGCGTTGAGTACATCGAGCTTACATCGCCTGCTGCTTCAGAACAGTCTCGGTTAGACTGTGAGGCCATCTGCAAGCTAGGCCTCAAGGCTAAGATACTCACGCACATTCGATGCCACATGGATGATGCCCGTATCGCTGTCGAGACAGGTACGCAGTCTTTCAATCGAGGGGCAATTTAGTACGTCTTACGAACGTGGAATTCTCAATACTGGTTGCAGGCGTCGATGGTGTTGATGTTGTCATCGGGACATCCTCATTCCTACGAGAATTCTCACATGGGAAGGATATGACATACATCACCAAGACCGCCATTGAAGTTATTAACTTCGTGAAGTCCAAGGGCATTGAAGTCCGGTTCTCGTCCGAGGACTCGTTCCGCTCTGACTTGGTGGACTTGCTCAGTATCTATCAGACGGTTGACAAAGTTGGCGTGAACCGCGTTGGTGTAGCGGATACGGTCGGTTGTGCTAACCCCCGACAAGTATATGAACTCGTCCGCACGTTACGTGGCGTCGTCAGCTGTGATATCGAGATCCATTTACACAACGACACTGGGTGTGCCGTTGCTAATGCGTACACTGCTCTGGAAGCCGGTGCCACACACATTGATACTTGTAAGCCGATTTGAGGTTTCATTTCTGTGGATGTCGCTAATTTGATTTTTCTACGTAAGCCGTTCTGGGTATTGGTGAGCGGGTTGGAATTACCCCTCTTGGGGCCCTCGTTGCCTGCCTCTACGCCGCCAATCCAGAATACGTCAAATCCAAGTACAATCTTCCTATGCTTCGCGAGATTGAGAACCTCGTCGCTGAGGCTGTCGAGGTCTCCATTCCCTTCCAAAACCCCGTAACTGGCTATTGTGCTTTCACGCACAAAGCTGGCATACACGCCAAAGCTATTCTCAATAATCCGAGCACCTACGAGATTCTCAAGCCGGAAGATTTCGGTCTCACTCGCTACGTCTCCATTGGGTAAGCTTGTCGATTTTCTACATTATCACACCGGATTTATAATGGTACCCCCAGTCACCGGCTCACAGGCTGGAACGCTGTCAAGTCTCGTGTTGAGCAGCTTCAGCTGGACATGACGGATGACCAGATCAAGGACGCTACCACCAAGATCAAAGAGCTTGCTGATGTCCGCACACAAAGTATGGACGACGTTGACACCGTCTTGCGTGTGTACCACTCTGGTATCGTCAGCGGAAAGCTCAAGGTCGGAGAGCTTGACGTTCTTGATGAGCTCTTACGGGCTCACAAGAACGGAAAGGTTGTGACGGCTGCTTCATCATGAGGCAATCACGTTCGTGGGGGATTGATTCGATTAAGATGCCTCCGTTTGATCGCTCGTTTCCTTCACACATACTTCATCTCTTCGTATCTGCCTATCTTTTTACCCATTTGTGCCCGTATTCGCCGGAAGCGTTTTCAAAAGGCACCCTTTCATGTGTCATGCATCTTGTTTTGCAGTTATTGATACCTAAAGCCGTTAAATTCGGATTGACGGCGTAGCTCTAATGGAAAGTGGGATAGAACATAAACGAGCATGTGTGCTTGAAATTTAAAGGAAGTCTCGGGGTAACTAAACTACTACTACACTGCACACAACCCAACGAGAACATCGGCTACAAGCAGATGGAGGAATGCTGCCCAAATGCTGGGATCGAGGGAGCCCCTGCGGGATCGGACGACCTGACTGTTAAGAACCATGAAGTCGAATCCCAAGCAATATGGTCACTCAAGGCGCTCACTCCTTGTGTGTCTTCCGAGACGACATCAGACTGTTTGGCGCTGGAATCTTATTATTCACCATAAATATTGTATTCGGGGTGACCATCCACGGAATATGCATTAATACATATATTGTCGCGTTCTCAAGCCCTCATGATTCATTGTAATGCATGAAAGTGGTTAAATCCGCAGTTGTTGTTGCACTGGAGGTGTGCTTTTGAGTGGTACGTCAGAGCAGTGGTCTTGCGCCGTTGACCCGGAATGTGTCAAATATGTGTCATGAATCCCCATTGCCCTCCGTGAGGTTGGGGACATCCATTTCGTTCCACCAACTTGTAACCGAGCGTTGCGATTTCATGTATACACGAGTCAGCAATTCTCAAACACTTAGCATTCTCGAGATTCGCAAGCAGGGTAATATCTGTCTCGTTAAATGTTCCCGCTATGCCACTGCCTTCCGGGCTATCATACTGGACTTGCGGCATGCACTCCAGGAACCGGACTGGATGGAATGTTGTCGAGTCTCGTGTTGAGCGGCTTGCAGTTCGACGTGGGGGACAGCCGATTTGAGGGAAGATCGGGGAGCAAGGTCAGAGTCGAGCTCTGAATGAGCTGTTGTATACTGTACATAGCTAGGTTCACAGGAACCACCAGATGATGGCAGAGCATCACCATGAAATTATCACATCGGGAGCAATAGTGTACCTTAGTGCCTTATCGCTCGTTTCATTCAGATATTTTTTCACCTCTGTTCCGCGCATCACTTTGCTCATTAGTCCCACCCCGGAAGCGATTCAGAACGCCAAAATCGCGGTTTGCTTGCCTAACGCGGTTATAGGATTAGTAATGAAGGGAATTAACATATAAAAATCGCAGACTTGCGGAACAGGGAATGAGGCATGGGCGGGTGGTCGCTGACCTAGCAAAATGAGTAAACTAACACGGTTAAATGTACAACAAGAAACGGACTGCACTGTGCACAATATGACAGGAATATCGGGGGGAGAGGACGCTGTCGCCAGGAACGGAGACCATGCGAAACAGTAACTCGAAGACTTTCGCTCGTGGGAGGATTAAATGTTCAACTGCACCGGTAGGTGGGCCATGTGCTGTAATTCCTCTCCACCATTAGCATATTCTGGAGTGGCGGTAGGTACTGGTCCTTTGAACCAATTCACGCCACCGTATCGAGGAAAATAGTACCACAGGAGAGAAAGTAACAAGGTGCCTCCAGTCACGACAACAGCTGTTTGATTGTTTCGAAATTAGGCTCGGATATGGAGAAGGGGAAGGCGATAAACATACAGTAATTCATGTCCGCGGCATTCGTCCGTGGCGCACTTGGGAAAAGAAAGACCGTGCTGGTAAATATCATGAAAAGCACAGCTATTACAGCTATTGGAAGGCCCTAATGACAAGAGGCATCGGTTAAGTTGTGTGTCGGACTAGGATTAGGTCAACGATAAACCTACCCAATGACCTAGGTGGAATGGGCCTGGTTCGAACTCATTAGCACTAAAGGCGAAGCGGCAGATGATTGGGATAGAATACTGATCGAATGAACGGAGAGATAGTGAACGGTGGGCAGTTATCCTTCAAAGGAAACCACTTACGGCCACATAGAGCTCGATTATAGATGCAGAAAAGACGGCACCGATGGCTGCAGGACCCGCAAATGAAAGCAGTCCAAGAAGAGCAGCCCCAAGAGCCGAGAACCAGACAGCTATAGAAGACAAATCAATTCACTGGGTCAAGGTTCAACAAGGATAATGGGATCGCACTGTTTACTGGAGTCTTGGTGAACGAGTTCACTCGGTATAGGTACTTTGAGAAGGGAAGAGCACCGTCCCGAGAGAACGCGAAAGTTTGACGTGAAGAAGCTAAAAGCTGTTATTTATCCTACTAGTAAGAAATAGCTTATTTATCTGGCCGCGCAACCGCTCACCATGCTACTTCCCATCATATACTGTGCAACGACCACGATTGCCCACAGAGCAAGTGTGGCCCTCTTCCCCATCGAGTTAAACAGGATGGTGGCCATTGGTTGGCCAATCGGGTTGTTGACAATGGATTGCATGTCCTTACCCATGTAGAAGCTGAGCACCATAAGTACTGCCGTGCCCAAGACACCACTTGTGCCGGTGGCGAGGACGATAGCCCACGGCACGGTGGTTGCCGCATTTACACTAGACAAGAGGTAAGTAAGCGGAGACGAGAGGGCAAGGCAGAAGATTTTCAACTCACGCTTCTTCGCTAATGTGCACACTGGCGTCGAAGGAACCTGAAGTGTCTCAAAACTCGTGATAATTTGTGAGACACTTCCGAAAGGAGCACTTACAAATGGTCCAGACAGGCGACACCCATGATAGGAAGAAGGCAAAGCCACTCGGCCAGCCGTTCACTTGGAGATAGATAGAGGACCATGAGTAACTGGCTTAAACACGACAGCGGCAAAACCAAATACGTACGATTCGTGAAGTTTCCTAAAGCGTAGGATGCGCTGTTGCGATACACTTTTGGAGTCGCAACAGGAATGACAATCATGACTGCTAAACAAAGACTATTAATGGTAGCGAATAAGTCACGGTGCTGGGTTAACAAACCAATCCATGGCGAGTTCGAATACTCACGCCAAGTGAAGGATTGTGTAGATATTTTGTAGACGTGCGAGGACGGCGGTTCCGAGACTGGGCATCAAAGGTTGTTCCAATTAGTTGGTTGCGATAAGTGCAAGGGGTTCCGAAACTGACCAGCAAATAACTGCATGTGAGATAATGACGGCAACATACAGAGCACTGGGAATAGGGATAGAAGCTGAGCATCACCAGCAGGAGATATCAAGCGAAAACAGCTTTCACTTACAAAGTCTGGCCTATCGTTGGGGAGAATGATAAGTCATGCGAACTGATTGTAGCAGCTGCCATAATCTGGACAGCACAACCCCAGTCGATCGAGGCGACGGAGGCTATGGAACCAATGGTATTGGCATCTGTTTAGGAAAAATTACTAACGGCAAACAAGCTAGAGGGCCCTCATATGAAACGGGGGAAATGCAAGGTACGTACAGCCAACAACCCAAGCAAGCACGTTCTTCCATCCAGGAGGAGCGTAATGATGCGCCCAGAAATAAAGCTAAGCGGGTCCCGAGGCGGGAAACTGTTAGCAAATTCAATGCTATCAAGATTCAGGCAGTCGGAAACTCACCCCACCAGAGGTGGGAGCGGCGCTCGCTAACTCAGCCATGGCCAACCCTATCGTCAGGATGAACGCCGAAGCGGTCAACCAACCCCACACCATTGCCACCGCGCCACCATTCGGGATTGCGTATATCAAGACAGAAGCAATACTCGGGAACAGTCCAATGGTCGAGAAATCAACCCCGAAGGTTTCGAACATGGTAAACGCCCGCTTAAACTCTTGCTTATACCCTAACCTTGCTAAATTTGCTTCATCTGGAGTAAGCTGAGCTGCGGGCATGATGACCAGGCGGAGCGTAGTTCAATGTGATCGAGGGTGGACGACCCGAAAAACCGCGCCTTTAAATACCCCGGAGAGAAGAACTATGAATTGACGATCTTTTGGTCATCGAAACCACAGCGTCTCAATAGACGCGCTAAACGTTATTTCAATTTGGCCTTTGCTTCTCGTCCTGGCCTTCCCAACCATTGCCCAGTTAGGAGTGGACACTATTAAAACCCTGCGTAGGCGCTTTGGTGTGCCTCAGACGCTGAAAAGTTTGCACACCCTGTGGCCCTGATCAACGGATCTAGTCAAGAATTTGCAAAACGACAAGCACTGCCGCAACTGACAGCGTGAGAAATATGTCCGCAAACTGAAGACACTTGGAAGCACAAGCACGTCGAGATACCTAGGTTTTTGCAACGCCCCAGATAAAAAATTTAGCTGAAAGGAAATATGGGTGACAGTATGAGGGAGCCTTCCCGTCACCCCCCAACAGAACGATAATGTAACGAATGGACAATGACAACGAAGCTGTGCAATCGTCAAGCTTGCTTGGTTACGCCCATGAGGCATTTTGCAGCAGCACAGCCAGTACCACCGATACTCATCCAAAATTCCTTGCACAGGCTGGCGACACTAGGCAGTGTCAATATGGAAAGACCTGACCCAGCCTCGATCGACTAAAGCTGAACTCAGTTGTGGGAAAAGTCATGCCAACCATATAGGAGTTATCTGGGGCTTGGGCTTGGGCGACCGTAAAGGGCGATAGCTTTACTCGGCTATAATGTAAGGGGACAGAGAGTCGCCCTTTGTGAGCTACGTTGATCAGGATGTTGGCGATGGCACGCACATACACGTCATTTTCATGGTGTGTCCTCTCACTGGTGGCTGCAGTACCGTTGACTCCCCCCCCCTTCCTTCAGCATCCCTCCACAATAGAGACCGCCACTCTGTGGATCTTACATCAGGGTCACCATTCATGGGGAATGGTCGACGATTCCCATGGAACTCACGCTTCACTCTATCAATCCGATCGAGGATGACACCAACGATGGCAGTTTGTTCATCATTAACATCATGGGGCTCTGACCACTCAATCGAGGGGGCCACGGTGTCACCCCCAACCGCACCAATGGGCTGGCGTACGAGTTTTCCAGCTTGAGTCAGGGCAGTCGATGTGTGTGGAAGCGGTGGCATACATGTGAACGGAAGGAGTCGCATACCGGCACCTCAGTTTGCGCATGAGGAATCGAGCCGCTGTTAAGGTGGAGTTGATGAATTGTCACGGGAATGGACGGTCCAGGCATGACCGTATGAGTAGCGATATTCACCGTGATGGGACACTGAATGAGTGGGGGGTGAACGCTTAGCAGAGAAAGGAGACACTGAGAATGACATGGACGAACGTTGATCATGAGGTGCACATGGGCCATTCTGTTGACGCTCGAGGAATACGTTAAGTGGTGGTTGAGAGCAACCATTTCACATTGAGACGTTTACAGTGGGTGTGGAGACACCCTATTCCCGTTGATTTCACCCTTCGGCAGCATGAATCACATATGCCGAACTCTAGTGGAGACCTACCATAAACAACCCTGTTGCGTTGTGAAGACTCATGAATGGAAACTGAAGTGCCTCTCGCCCACATATGTCAGCTCAATCCGATAGTCATTCCGTCGAACCCATGCTCAGGTGCACTGGAGGTAGTTTGTTGGACGAGGAAAAATGTCAGGACAACACGACAATATGTGATTGCACTGGGTTAATCACACATGACTCCAAAGGAGCATTCGAGCGAGTAAGTACTCTCACGATCCGTCATATGATCGGGAGGAATGAAAGACGTAGCTGGACAGATAGGCTAGCCAATCGGATGCCATTGGTAGCACGGTGTGGAGGAGTACATCAGAAACAACGGAATGGACATGTACCCGGAAGGAGATCAAAAATGGCATAGGACCTGGGACACACTAAACGTCTCCAGTGTTTCAGAACTGAGCAATGTCAGAATGCGCCAGCGACGCACCAGTGGGAAGGACAGAAAGGCCCATTTTTTCATTGGTTCCACGAGTATTTTGGGTTTCGGGACAGGGGAGCTGAGTGATCGAAACGGTATAGGAGAAATGTCATCGCAACATGCTGAGATCGTCTATCTATAGAGGCTGGTATCCTGCCTACTGAGATCGTACACTGGCAGCGGACTGGGATGGAAAGGACGTCATCAGATGGTCGCAGTGGGTCATATAAAATAGCAGGGACTCGAAACACCGAACGCCACCGAACTGAATATTGCGATGGTCAACCAAAGTGTTAACCGATGAAAATTGGAGTCAGGTGCAGAGCAGGTAGTGTCGGAAAATCGCGAAATCGATCAAAATCACGAGACTTGACATTTAAACGCCAAAATTTGACGTTTAGACGTGAAATTTGGCGTCTAATCAGTTCGGTTCCGTGAGCGGTCCATGAGTTAGTGGACACGGTCCGTATGGACCTGCAATGCGTATGATTGTGCGCCAGCGATGCGAGCCGTACGTCAATTAAATACATTAATAGTAAATGCAGGAGAGGGTAGCAAGTGAAAAAATGATGTAACGCAACGGAGGCGATGGGGAAGGAGGTGGGAAGCGCGGAGATTCAGTTAAGAACTATGAAAGTAAGAGTAAGCGCGCGTTTAGTGGATAGCGAGAGCAGGGATAACCGTGTGCAGGCCTGAGGAGCGGGGCCAGCACACACGGTTAGAAGCCTCATCGCACTACCGTTAACTTACCAGTTAGACGTTGTAGTACGATTGCGCAGGCAGGTGGGGAGTGGATAAGGTGCGCTATTTATCTCGCTCCCGGATGCAACTTGTCTCTTCCCGCAGCTGGTCTGAGACCAAGTTTGGGCCCGGAGGAGGGTTTCGTCCGTCTTGTTCCATCCGCACTGCGACAGTGCAGAACAAGACGGCCTCCTCTGAGGCGCGCGCGGATCCACCTGATTAGTCACGTGAAATGGGATTAAACTGAGATGAATACGTTTTTAACAATTTAACAAATGTGTCATAAATGCTTCTTGCTGCATCGAAATCGTCAAAAACTTGTCTCATCTAACACATAAAGTGCCACCACATCTGGCCAATGCATTCTCATCGGCTGTTGGATGGTTGTTGTAAAAAAACGCCATGAAACGTTTACCGGGCGTTTAGACGTTATACGGGATTTTCCGACAAGATAAAGCAGCACGTGCAGGGTCAATAGACTAGATATTGATCAGCGACCGCAACTACTCCTAGTACTACTAGTACTGGATTGTGCTGATCCACATCTTGGTAATAGCACCTTACGAAAGAGTACTTGCTTGCCCACGAGCCATGGTGCAGTCATCAGATTCCTCCTGAATACATCCAGAGCAGGTTCCTATCATGTTTTTTGGTATTGGCCTCCAGCTGACTACCACGGACTTACTCCCCGTTGCCTGGACTCTCAATGCACCTATCTCTTCCCCAGGAGATGGACCGACACAACCCCTGTCCCTCGTTAGGGACATTCGTCGCGCTATTCGTAAGGGCTCACGTTACACAGGGGGCCTGGGGAATCATGTCACCCAGTATGACGCGAGTGATATGCAGATCCCCGCGGAGGCTCTGCGTGATCTGACGGGAAGGGAGCCGGAGTCGGTTTTAGCCACAATAGCAATTGCGTTGACAACACGTTGAAGCCATGAAGCCATTGCCCCCTTCACGATTGCACATCCTCGCTTGCGTTCGCCTTCCCTTTCCTGGCCCTTGCTCCTGCCATCGTCCTCATCTTCATCCTCGTGTAAAGTAACTATCTCCATGTCTCTGTCTGCATTCTTTTCAAATCGCATTCGAGGACTTTCTGTCGCTGTCTGGATCTCTGTGTTCTTCGTCTGTTCTCCAAACTCTGTGCCGTTTGGTTCAAGGACGCGTCCAACTGAAGCTATTAAGGAAAAAATTAGTCAGCTGTAAACTTGCCTTTGAGAACCGTTTGAAACATATACAACTCCACCTGCCCTCACTCAGGCTGATCCGTTCCAAATCATATGCTGCTGCCCCTAGTGCCCTCAGCCACACGACCCATGATGGGGTTAATGGAATTCCCGACTGTGTTTCTACTGTGAACCATTGCGCTGAACCATGGCTACAGACGCCATCGGTGTGATGCTCACCACGATCCAGTTGGTATTACTGGGTTTACAATGTTCATCGGACTCACCATCCCCTGTCAGTTGTTTCCCTTCCTGGTTTGCTTCAGGATTGGTAGTCCGGACTCCGGAGTCATGCGCGATTATGGCTGTCCAACATCCATGACCTGATACCACATTGTCCCTATATAACGTTTTGAAAATTAACCCCACGGCTGTACGTCCTTCACTTCTGCTCCTTGACTACGATGGAGAACAACGCCATGGACCAGTACAAAGAGCTCGACAATTCTGTCATTCAACAACAACGTGGAATGGTGTTCACGTCGGTTGGTAGATGTTCCTCACGAGGTCGGAACCACTGACAACTTCAAGAGTCTAGCTGGGACTTGGACAGAAATGGCGGATTTCGTTCTGAATCAGATTCATGTAAACCCATCCGCGGTTGTTATACGGAAGACACCACGTGCACATTTGTCTGTCGATTGACAGCGTTATACCCGTAGCGTCCAAGCCACTTCGATGTGAAGACAGAGATGTTCAATCCAAATTCCGTCATTCGGGTAACCCTCCACCTGGGTCGTTTTGAGCTAAATGCTCACATGGCACTGAGAGTTTCATTTACACGATTTTAGGTGGGTTCTCGGTCTGACGAAATTCCATCTCCCTCCCTTTCGCTGCCCCGGCTGATTACACCTCCGAATGGAAACGGAAGCTGTAGAGAAGGATTAGTGCACTTCGAAGGTTGGACAGGGAAACCACATTACTGCAGGTTGGTACGCGCCGGTAGCGAGCGTAAACCAACAGCCATGCACGATCCCGTGAATTCGAAACATTCGTTTCAGTAACCGGATGCATGTCCTTCCCGGGATCGTTGTTGAGCAGGACAGTACAGGTAGACAGGGTGGAAGTAGCGATGAAAGATCCTCGTACAAAGAGTAGGTCCCCGACGGAAGGGGGAGGAACCAAAATGGTCTTCGGGACGAAGAAGTCGAACTTCGCAGCGGTTGCATCTGCGACATCTGAACCTAGCTTGGGAGGTTAACGCTGCGGCAGCGGTGGGGAAGCCAGAAGAGAAACTGGACGCACCAATCAAACTGTGAAAACGATTGTGGTTCGTTTCTGGAGTCGAATTTAGGAAAGCATACATTGTGAAGTGCGAACGCAACGTAATGTTGAGCGCCATGAGAGGAGGGAGGGACAAGCAAGAGGTGAGAGGAGATCGTTTTATATCAGAACGAAAGTCGGCTGAGTAAATGAAGCCACTTACATGAGCATCAAGCTTGGGATGAGATGGATGTCGAGAGTGGCGGAAGATGGAGCGATACATAGAGAAACATTCCGATATTGAACCGCGTTGAGCTTGAGTGACCCCCTAACCGTATATAAAGCTGAGACCCTGTAGTAGTATCTTTGTATTTACACCCCCCCTCTGCATATACGGTTGAGGGGTCGCTCAACGCTTACACGATCAATAATGGGCAGTCTGTGTGCCATCGGAATCGAGGGTGATGCAGTTCCCGATGAATATGTGAGTGTGCTTACATGTGAGATGGAACGCTTAGTGGCAACCTGGGTTTAAATGAAAGCCAGTGACAGAAGAAAAGAATGTGAGGTGGCGACATGGCCCCAAACGAGCTTAAGCGCGATACAGGTGGACGCCACGGATGTTAAGGCGCAATCGAGATTTGCGTTCGACGTGAAGTCAGTACGACGTCAAGCCGTCCCTAAAGCCAGCGAATGAGAGAGCGAGAAAGGCGAAGCAACCAATCGGAGCGCTTCGATCATAGCTCGATCGCCCAAGCTTTCAGTATATGTAGAGATTTGGATATTGAATATATACCGACGGCCCAGCGTTCGATCCCCAGCAAAATGAGGAAGCGAAGAAGAATGAGTACATACACTTATGTTACTAATACACAGGGTGGCGAAATGGGTAAACTAGTACAGGAGAACGATTACGGGAAAACAAGTTCGCAGGAAGGGGACTTGGCTCAGTGTCAAAAACCGAAAGCCAAGCAGGAAACAGTAACCTAAAAGATGTTCCCCCTTTAAGTTTGCCCCTGCCCCTGTCTTGGCGGTAATAGTCTGGTAGTGGTGGTAGACCGTGGCCCTTGAAATTCATTCTTGCCATGAACATAGTACCATGCAAATGAAAGGAGCAAAACGACTCCCATCACGACAATGGCTGTTTCATGTTTTGGGATTAGGATTGCAATGTCTGGGAAGGGAGAGAATAACGCACTGTAGTTCATGTCAGTTCTGTTTGTTTGGGGTCTACTTGGGAAGAGAAAGATGACACTGATGAGCGCCATGAAGAGTACTGCAACCACAGCTACTGGGCGGCCCTGATGATGAAAAACAAAAGTCAAGCTGTGTAACCATGGGTTTTGGAATGACGATAAGCTCACCCATCTGCCAAGATGGAATGGACCTCGGCGAAATGTGTCCGGGGGGGCGCAAAACCGGCAGATGATCGGAATAGAGTACTAGGTGAGTGGGTGGAATAGGAACAGCGGGGATTAGCAGAGTCCCTCCAAGTGTGTTCTTCAAACAAAAACTCCTCACCGCCACATAGAGTCCAACAACAGACAGAGCAAAAACGGCATCAATTGCCGCAGGACCCGCAAATGCAAGCAGCCCAAGGAGTATGGCTCCAACTGCAGAAAACCAGACAGCTGCAGCAGAGCATTAGATCGATGCCCCCATAAGGATAAGATCAACGCACTGTTTACGGGTGCTTCGGTAAACGAGTTCAGCCGGTAGAGGTACGTGGAGAAAGGGAGCGCGCCATCTCGAGCGAACGCAAATGTCTGCCGTGAAGCAGCCAAAAGCTGTCGTTCGTTCCTCCAGTAAGATAGCGCCCCTTTATCTGGTTACACTAATGCTTACCATACTACTCCCCATCATATACTGTACAGTGACCATGATCACCCAGAAAGCAAGCGTGGTCTTCTTCCCCAGCGAGTTGAAGAGAATGGTCGCCATTGGTTGACCTATTGGATTATTCGCAATGGCTTCCATGTCGGTGCCCATGAAGAAGCTGAGCGTGATGAGGATTGCAGTGCCCAGAACACCACTGGTGCTAACAGCAAGGACAATTCCCCAAGGGACAGCGGTCGCCGCACTTACTCTACGGACCAAAACAAACGAGCAGGAGGTTAGGAGGTTAAGAAGGCAGGGGGCAGGTTTCTTGACTTACACCTCTTCGCTAATATGTACACTAGCATCGAATGAGCCTAAAAGGCATTTGAATATAATTAGTGTTTCAAGAGACATTAACTGAAGGGGTCACATACAAATGGTCCACACGGGTGACATCCATGAAAGGATGAAAGCGAACCCATTTGGCCACCCATCGACTAGATGTATGATTGAACGTCGAGTGACACAGCTTCGATGTAACACGGGAAGAACTGAATACATACGATTCGTGAATTCACCTAAAGCATACGATGCTTTATTGTGATACTCCTTAGGGGTTGCAATGGGAACCGCAATCAGTATCCCTAAACACAGACTATCGATGATGACGGATAAGTCGATGGTGCTGGGCAGACTGGCCAACGACGGCGAGCCACGACACTCACGCAATGTTGAGAATCACGTATGCATTTTGTAAATGCGCAAGCACAGATGTCTTAAAGCTTTGTGAAAAATCATTCCGATCGATTAGTTGCAATGATTGACTATAAGGGGATTCAAAACAGACCAGCATAACAAGGCATGCGAGATAACGACAGCCAGGTACACCGCACTGTGAGTCGTAGAAGAAACTCAGCATCAGCTTGGAATGTCAGGCTGACAGGTCACTCACAAAGTCTCGCCTACCGCAGGCGAGAAGGATGGGTTGGTGAGCGTGGCCGCTGCCATAATCTGGGTCGCACAACCCCAATCAATCGATGCGACGGCGGCTATACAACCGATCGTGTTGCAGTCTGTTCGGGAATTCGTGATATTGTTAATAACGAAGGAAGAACCCCCAGGCGACAATTAATGCAAAGGCACGCACAACCGACAGCCCAGGCGAGCGGCTTCCTCCACTGAGGAGAAGCGTACTGATAGGTCCAGAAATAAAGCTACAGGACGAACAACCGTTAGCGAACTCAGTTCTCCCGAAATTACTGCCTCAGGAGTCAATAACTCACTCCACCGGAGGTGGGGATCGCGCTCGCCAACTCGGCCATAGCCAACCCGATTGCTAGGATGAATACGGACGCGGTGAGCCAGCCCCACACCATCGATGCCGTGCCACCATTCGGTATGGCGTATCCCAGGACCGACGCGATACTTGGAAATAATCCAATTATCGAGAAAGAAATCCCGAACGCCCCGAACTTGGTGAACACTCGCCGGAATTCCCTCCTGTACCCGAACAGGGCCAGGTGTTGATCATCCAAGCGTCGTTGAGTATCTACGGTACCTGTGGACATGACGGTCTGGTCTACCAGTGACTCAAGACCCACTTCCCCACCTCCCTTTTGTATGCTCCGCAGGGGGTAGACAATGTATTGATGGATGAACAAGGGGAAAATTCCTTTCGTCACCGGAATAACGCCAAGATAAGGGTGCAATTAATAGGCAACATTATAACAGCCTTTCACCCCCTTATGGTTTATGTAATTCCAAGACGAAATCGTCGCAATGGCCGCGCGCCTCGTTGCCGCAGATCAGGGCCAGTTTGCAAAACGTTGCAACGGCAACGAAGCATTGACGCAAGCAGAGAGAACAGCCCCTATGCAATGAGAAATCTTTTGACCAGCGGCTCCTTATGATGACTCCAGCATAACAAATCCAGCTGAGGGAGCCGGCAGACAACAGTGGGACCGCCTTCCTGCTAGTTATTACCCGAGTAAGACAATCAATGGCAAATCGATTGCAACAACCAAGCTGTGCGGTATTAAGGAGTGCACTTCACGGCAGCACACCCAGTATTATTGTATTATCCAGATCCACTTGCACAGGCTGGGGACCTCAAATGGAACACATATTTTACTGATGGCAGCAACCAAGATTGTGTCAACGACAGAGCGGGAGCCAAATTCGAACCGAGGCACAAAGATGTTGCGAAAAACAAAACCCTATTCGGGCTGATTCAGTGATCGATGTACAAACACTAATATCATTATGGTAACAAATTTCGTCGAGTGAACCGTACAAGTACTGTTGAGTGAACATTGACACCTGCAAAAAACAAGCATTCGTTAGAAAGCTGCGTGATCATGATACGTGGATAGACACCGATCAAATCAGAGAAATTTTGTCTCATAGACATTTGGGGCGTTACTCCCGTCTCGACGAGCTGGGTTTATTGTGAAATAAACCAACATCACGCAAGTGAAGAATGTGAAGACACTAGGATTCAGCATCAAATAAGCTTACCACTACATATCGCAGAACTGACGAAGACCAGAATGAAGAGGTTGTTGGTATTTATACTGGAATGACAATTTGGGAATCAGCTAGCCGGAAGCAAACAACTGTAACAGTTTCTTCAATCCTCCTCGAAACCTCATCTCTATATGGCCTCGTGAGTTTGTGGGGATCTACAAACAGCAACTCGCTTTTTTAACAAGCGTCTTTTTTTAGTCGCCCCACTGTCAGCGTGCATGCCGTCGGAGGCGGTTAGTGACTCTAAAATGAAGAATCATTGGAAGTATTTATTGACACGCCTTCCGACGCAGAGGCATCGAGCTCTCTCACCCTCCCTGCAGTCCTTACCGCCCCTATCCGTTTGGATGTTGTTCATCAAGTGCACAGTGCGTCAGAGCTCTCGTTCTTTAATAGTGGGATTGGGCCTCAAATGTCAATTCGATTTGTGCAGAAAGCATTGCAAAGAACAAGCGCCAGCCACATGCTGTGAGCGCAAAAGCCGGCGAGCAGACTAGCGCAGAGTCTTGGGGTACTGGTCGTGCCGTTGCCCGTATTCCTCGTGTTGGTGGTGCTGGTACTCACCGCGCTGGTCAGGTACAATGAGTTGCTTATCGATTAGCTCATCGTGATTGACCCGCTTTTGTGGAACCATGTCCTAGGGTGCATTCGGTAACATGTGCCGTGGTGGTCGTATGTTCGCCCCCACCAAAATTTGGCGCAAATGGCATGTTAGGGTCAACCATAACGAGCGCCGTTATGCTGCCATCTCTGCCCTAGCTGCTACCGCTCTCCCTTCGCTTGTACTTGCCCGTGGCCACCGTGTTGAAGGCGTCGATGAGATTCCTCTTGTCGTTTCTGCTGATGTTGAGAATTTCAAGAAGACGAAACAAGCCGTTGCTCTCCTCAAAGCTCTGGGTGCTCACCGTGACGTCGTCAAGGTCTCTAAGTCCCGTACAACGCACCCTGGTAAGGGTAAATGGCGTAACCGTAGGTACAAACAACGCCGTGGCCCTCTCATCGTCTACGGAAATGATGAGGGTATCTCGAAGGCATTCCGTAATTTGCCTGGAGTCGAGGTTGCAAATGTCAGGAGATTGAACCTGCTTCAGCTAGCTCCTGGTGGTCACCTTGGTCGTTTCGTCATCTGGACTGAGACTGCTTTTGGTCTCCTTGACGAGATCTACGGTACCTTCGACAAGCGCTCCGCTCACAAGCGCGATTATATGTCAGTTTGATGGAATTCTCTCGTCCAACCCCATAGTTGCTGATGCTTTATCTCAAAACAGCCTTCCTTCTGCCAAGATTTCCAACCCTGACATTACGCGTGTGATCAACTCGGACGAAATTCAGTCCGTTCTTCGCCGGAAGAGGGCACCCCCAGCTCGCCGTGTGAAGAGGAAAAACGCTCTCAAAAACAAGACGGCTCTCTATAGACTCAATCCTTACGCCAAAGTTCTCGACAAAAAGGCGAAGGGTATGCGTGTTTCTATTCAGTCGATCCACTGTCTTTTCGTCTTACCTCCCATTCTCTTCCTCCGTTACAGCTCTCAGAAAAGAAATTGCGGAGGCCAAAGTAAAAGGGACCTATAAGCCTAAGGAGGCAGAGCCAGACGTTGTTCATGAATCGATTACAGAGACGCTCTTTGCTCCTTGAGACTTTTCATGATTGCACTATGATGATATTGCTTATGTGCTACGGGGATCCTACTGAATCTATGCACATGCTTTTTTGAATTTATTTTCGTATTCGCCAATCAGTAGCACATATCATCCTTTTGGATTGGGTAGCCGGTTAATGACGTTTGTATGCCCCCTAGGTCAGGATGGATGAAGAGGCATTTTTCGGAGCTTGACGAGGCTGGATTGTTTATGTAGACGATGGCACTTGTGCCAATCGAAGCAGGGAGTCCTCCCCGAAACACAATCCCGGGAACTTGTGTCATTTCGGGCTGCTCGTGCGGGCGGTCAGTCGATTGGCTGACCTTTCCATTTTTCCAATAGTTGGACGTTTACAACCGGCGCAGTTGTATGTATCGGGAACGGGCGCTTATCATCGTGCCCCAACGGCACCGCTGCATGAAGACCATATGTGCATGGCAAGATTTTAACTCAGGGATCACTGAAGGTAATGGGTGAGAATGGCCAAGGGGACCAGTCATGGTTGGGCAATGGTCGCAACTGAGGTAAGGACATGATATGAAACGAGATATCAAGCGAACGGGTGCCAAAGGGATGATAAATGAATGAAACTGGAAATCATATGTAGGGCAGGAGAATGGGTTGGAGATGGGAGGTGCGCGAGATTCAATACACTGCGACGAAGGTTCAGGATGGATTGGTTTCACAAAATGCAGGGGTAGCAGAGGAGGTTATAGTATAGAAGCAGTGTACCAACCCAGTTCTGGACCGGTAGCTGATCGCAAACAAGCGCAGAAACACATAAGGAAGCACGCTAGCGTCACGCCAGCTTCGAGGTGTCACGCCATTTGAGTGGAATCAGATGGCTGTGCAAATGTTCGATTCAAATCTTCCTAACTTGGTAACTACAGCAGCCTAGGGAGATGTATAGGGTATCAATTTTGCGTTGTTATACATGCCCATCACCCCCTGTGGCCCCTTCTATATGATTATGAATGTATTGTTATGAAAATGGGGCCCCAGACCCCCCAAATTCCCACTACCCTGTAGCGGTGTTAAATGTGAGAAAACTAGCGATGTAAATAAGCGCTAGATAATTATGGTACTGCGCTCACACGACCAACTACGTTACAGGAGGACGGAGTGACATTGCTGTGCAGGTAATATTCCGTGCTTTTGCAATATTTACTAGGATTGGAGTACAAAAGAAATATGATACACAAGAAATGATAATACGCTACCAAAAGCCTGCCTACAAGATGAGTGGGCGGTAAGAAGGAAACTTTCAGTGCCCCGGCGAACTGCATATGGGTGGATAATGTCTAGACAATGATGCACTGGGACTTTGGTTTGACCCTTTTCGAGAGAAGGGCAGCACGAGTCGCATTTTGGAAAACTTCACGAACACCGTCACCAGTCTTAGCGCTGCATTCTAGGTAGTGACGAGCGCCAATTTTCTGCATCACAGCCATTCCCTATTGAAAGTAATCTTTGGGATCAGATTATTCCCAAAAATGTAAGCTTGAAACGCTCGCCTCCTCGGGTGTGACCGGGCGCTGAGAGGTCTTCTGCAACTCATATGGATCACGTCTGAGATCCTTCTTACACCCAACCAGGATGATAGGCAGTCCGGCACAGAAATGCATGACCTCGAATATCCACTATAAATTTATGGGGGGTGTTCACCAACTTGTTGGAGATGAATCAAAGAGCAATGATTGCTAGCTGACCTTCTCCTGAACGTTGTCCAGCGAATCGGGACTGTCGATTGCAAAACAGATTAAAATAACGTGCGAATCTGGATAGCTAAGAGGCCGGATGCGATCGTAGTCCTCTTGACCAGCGGTATCCCAGAGAGCCAATTCAACATGTTTGCCATCGACTTCGACATCAGCGACGTAGTTCTCAAACACTGTAGGCACATGAACCTAAAAGAACCATGGAGGGGGATGTAAGGGAGCCAAAAATAAGATGGTCCAGTCAGCACCCTCAACAAGGAAAAATCGAGAACGGGAAATGCAAGATAGTGGGCTTCGAGTGTAAAGGCCTTCCTCGCACCGGATAAAACGCCTTTGATAAACCCCTGATTTCGCTTCCCCCATAGCGAGAATTAGAAAGCACTTACCTCAGGAAAGATGCCTTTAGAAAAGACGATCAATAAGCAAGTCTTTCCACATGCACCATCGCCAACAATGACAAGCTTCATGATTGAGTTGTGGGGCCTGGGTATCCTCTACTTCTATTTAACGACTAGCTGAGTTGGCTGAAGGCTTGTACAACTTGGAGTCTCTAAGAACGATTGCAACTTATTGCTCGACATGGGCGGGCCAACAAAGATGCTCCCAGAGAATATCTCAATTGGTGGTCATATCCAGAAACTCACGGACTTTCGAGGATGTAATTCGACCCTTGGCAGGCGTTTTTAGTGAGAAAATACTAGCGTGGAATAACTCGGTTCTCAAGCTGAATAGCGTAGATACAGTCGGTAGCGGGTAATTCCGCGATAGAGAGAAAGTATTCATTTACAGGTCAGGTGAAAGTCACCTGGTCAGACCCGCGCGCCTGCACTCCAATATTTAGACCTTGTTGAAGATAATCCTGGAATCCAGTGGATCGGAAGCGCGAATGAGTTGAATGCTGTGTATCTCTGTGTCATCTTCACCCCTCACACTTTCTACGACAACAATTCTCCAAGGCGTACATGGCTGAGACGTCCGAAACTTTGTACTTCAACAGGGGCGTGAATCGTTCTTTACATCGGTGGGTACATATCCCTCACGACGTCGCAACCACTATCAGGTACAAATGTAGAAGTGGAACAACAACAACCAAGGATGGCTGACTTTTATCGATCATGAAGCCAATGGAAGACCGCACCTCACGTGTGTCTCTTGGTTCGTTCATTGCACTTCTTTCCTCAGGATAGCAGTACATACTTGCAATTGGTCATTGACTTCAAAGTGCCTGAGGTGGAGAGTGATCCGAATGAGGGCATTTGGTTCTAAGATTTCCAATGCTACATCCCAGTGGCTGGGACGCTATGGGTGTTATGTTGTGAATGTGAGGAGAGGGGTGAAACGCAATGAACGAACCAAGAGACACACGTGGAGGTGCGGTCTTCCATTGGCTTCATGATCAATGAACGTCAGCCATCCTTGGTTGTTGTTGCTCCACTTCTACATTTGTACTTGATAGTGGTTTGCGACGTCGTAAGGACCGATGTAAAGAACGATCCACGTCGTTGTTGAAGCACAAAGTTTCGGACGTCTCTGTCGTGGTCCATACTGTTGTTTACTATTGTAGTCAATGAGGAACTGCAGTAGAAGAGGTGTGGTGCTCGTCATTTTCGAAACGTTATATACGTAGACTGTGATGTCAGGTTGTGGATGTTGGACGGCCATAATCACGCATGTATTGAGAGGAGTGTCTCGGAGGCGAAGGCAGAGAGGATGGCATGTCCACTGAACAACACATTGATGCCGCGAGTGAGGCGTGCTGTGTCGGCGGTTTGTACAACATTGGAGTTGGAGAGCTTAGTGCTTTGAATGGTGTTGGTCAGTGAAGAGGCACTTCTCCCTGAGGATGACTGATGGCATTACGGAATCCTTTTTCAGCCGAGTGTTATATTCTGAGCGGATTCCTATTCTGCATCTTATTGGAGTACCCGCGGTCTCTCACTCCAGAAAGATCATGCTATGCTCCAGTATATAGCTCATACTAACTCTAATCGCAAAACTGTGAACTCAGCCGTTTCGATTTAGCCACACCCTTGGCGATGGAGGTAAGTCACAGTGTTTTGAAGGCGCAATGTCTCATTCTCCTGCATAGATTTTAGGGTTTTCAAGGAAATGTCTTCGATATCACTGTAGGGTGTCATTGGACAGCAAAGACAATGCTGCGGAGGCATTGACAAGGTCTACTGCTATGCTTACCGGGGTCCACTCACCGCTGAGTCACCGGAATGCCTTATTGCTGAAAACATATTCACTTAGTGTCGCCCCGTTTATCTCATGCGTAAGTTATTTATCCCAACCTTTCCTGACGCCACTTTATCATAGTTCCAACGAACCTTGTTCTGGTAGAAATTTCTGTCGAGCGCCTTAAGGTCCCTCTTCCGCCATCTGTTCATCCATTTCAGGTTCCCTCGTCTGACCTTCCCGCTGACCTTCAACCCGTGAAGAAACTCTCCGCGAAAGAAGAGGAAGTGACGCATGCGCAATATGCTGCTGTGCACGCTATCACATCACTATTCGCTCAGGCAAAGAACCCCATTATTCTGTTGGATGCCCTCGCAGAAAGGTTGGGTGCTGAGGAACTCGCAGTGGAGCTGGCGGAGAAGACGGGAATGAAGGCGTATGCACAGTCCGATGGGTAAGAGTACAGTTTGGGAGAGTCATCCGTTGTTCAGTGGCGTGAGTTCTTGCGATTGTGATGTTCAGTTGAACTTCTTCAAACTCGGAAATAGATTTATGCGGGAAGCGCGACTATTCCCTCAGTTGCGGCGCAAGTTGAAGCGGATGAGCTTGTCTTTGACGTTGACCCATTGAAGGTCCGTTCAGCATTGGAAAGTCCCTCAGACACTACGCTAACCAATTTCCCAGAGCGATTTTAATACTGGTAGCTTCTCGTATGGAATCAAGTGCGACGAAATCCGAATCGACCACACAGTTGTCGGTGACGCTGATATTTCGTACATGTCCACACGTTAGTGCACTAGAGTGCTTGCGTTGCTTCGCAAAACCTACGTTGCATGTATGAATGGAATGTATTTGAGGCTTTGCGCATACGAGACAAGACGATCCCATTGTTCCCGGTAACGAGCACATTCAATCTGTTCACAAGGAAGGGAGAAGAAAAAAAGAAAGTCCAACGTCAACAAGTGACATTGAATTTGTCCACAGAGGGAAAACAATCGAGTAATTGTGGGCCGACATCGGCAGACTACCAAGGGGAGCCCTGATGTCATTCAACGCGTACCTGACGCTGTCTCATGCAAGAGGACGGGGGAACATGATATGCGACTTCAAGTCAAGGATGCCATGTGAAGTTTTGGGAGAGGACAAGCGTTTGAACGAATTGAACAGGAGGACAGAAGACTGAGTGGGAGCAAAAGATGGTGCAAGGGAGGCAGTTCATGGGAATTAAGAGGAGGAAGTCTCCGAAGAGGTGACGTCAGAGTAATGATGTAAGGGATAAAAGAAGGCTCACACGTTTTCAGCGTCAGAATGTTACGTAATTGTGGGTTGGGAGAGCGACAACTGCAGTGCAGGTAACGCGAGGTAGAGGCACCTTCAATGTTATCCACAGGACGCACCAGTTGTGTGGTGGCCATATAGGACGCTATGCATTAATTTCTAATTCGTCCCTACATACCATTTTTAATGATCACAAGATCTACCCTGAGCCATTCATCCAAATCGGGCGCGCCGATCTTTTTGCGCCTTGCTGTAGTAGGCAGGTTACCTCTATTAGTATTTGCAGAAGCCACTTACAGTAACGTGTCCACGGTATTCTGGACTACAAAAACCCTCAAGCTATCTAGAAAGTTTCTGAGATGGATGAAGAGGATATTTTTGGGAGTCATCCGGAGCCCAACGAGTTTTCAGTGGCCAACTTCGATCGCACATGCGACGCCTCTCGTGCGACACCTCATCCAAACAGGGAGGAGATCCTATATCAGATTCTTCAAAAAACGTTTCGATTTCAAGAATTTAGGCCCAAGGTACGTGTCCATTGCTCGTATCATTTTCAGGCTACCTGATGTGTCGCACCGCGGGCGGGTCGATCGCCTGATATTTCCATTTTCTTGAACATGCACAGCAATTGGACGCTATCAATGCAACGCTCGATGGAAGGGATGTGCTTGTTCGATTCCCCACATCGGGAGGAAAGTCCTTGTGCTTTCAGGTATGCATCCACTTGGTAGAGGCCCACTAGTATCGTTCACCCATCATTACTTTCGTTGCAGTTGCCAGCCATCTATGACTTGCATAACAAACACGCAACAACTTTTGTGATCCAACCTAATGTATCGCTGATCCAAAATCAGGTTGCTGCGCTGAGGAAATTGCAAGTTGCGACCGAGATGTAAGAGTCTATGAATCTCACTGGATATCTGGAACCCAATCTCATGGTACACATTCTAGCTTCGAGCCACGCAACACTCGGAGACAAGCCGATTACTGGAAAGCTCTTGTTGAAAATGCAAACATCCCTCTCTGTTTCTTCACGCCGCAGATGATGCGAATGAGTGAATATCTGAGAGATGTGTTGGGGGAGCTGTTATCCCAGAATCGGATTGCTCGGTTCGTGATCGATGAAGTCCATCTTATTCTTAAAGATGAGAAAGGTGAACACGGGGAGGCGGTGAGTGGTGCTCGACGTTAATGTTCGTCTTTAGCAAGTTAAACCAGTACTGCCTTCTACTCAGTTCCGGGATTTGTGCAGTATTCGAGCTAGGTACCCGAGTAAGTCAGCATGATTGTCTGTCTTTCATGTTGGCTGAGCGATGCTTCAGATGTTCCCATCATAGCCCTATCCGCCACTGCACCCCTAGAAATCAGTGATCGCTTAGGAATGCAGGACGTGGGTGACTTCGTCACCACTGAGATTCGTGCAAATCTTCGCTACTCCGTCGTTTTTCGAGATGGAATCTATATGAGAAACGTGAGACTCCTCATCAAGTTTCTTGAAGAACATAAACGAGAAAAAGGTCTCATTTTCTGTCGGAGAGTGAACGAATGCAAGAAACTGGCCAAGGATCTTCAAGGTCGGGACCTGTGCCAGATTAAATAAAACACAAACTCATCGGACAAAAAATCCTAGAAAAAAATTGGTCAACGCATGCATATTATGCAAGATTAAAAGAAAGGGACACATAGTATGTTTGCCTCAAATGGGAACAAACTGAACCACCGACGTGACATGCCTAGTTTGGAGGAGTTCACACAACCCGGCGGAGGCGTGAATTTCTTGGTTACAACGGTGAGCTGTGCACAAAATGTTCTTTTTCATCCACGAACTTGTTGAGTAGAACGCACTGGGCATTGGGGTGAATCTCCCTAATCGTGTGTTTCCTTCTTAACTCCCCAGGTTGCCATTTACTCACCACATACTCTTGAAGTGAAATACGTTATACACTGGGATCCCCCCTATTCTTTCGAGGAATACTTGCAACAGAGTGGTCGTGCTGGACGTAATGGAGAGGCAGCAGAATGTGTTCTCTGTAAGTTACAGACGGGTTCTCACTGTGCTATCTCGCGCCGGGCTGAACTTCCGGAAAAATAGTCTTTTCCCCTCACTCCATGTCCCGGCAGGTAAAATAATCCTCAAGAGTTCAGCGAGATCAGTCTTCCAAGCTAATTTTCCCCTGTAGCCCCATGGCGCGCCCGAGCTCAGCGACAGAGAGATCCAACAGCGTAATCATATGATCCGTTACGCGATGAATCGTAATTGTCGCCAAACCTGCCACCCTTACGCCACTCAACAAACCCTCTGCGGTGTTTGCGATAATTGCGAAAGGAAGTCGCTCTTCGTTGATATGACAAAGTATGTCAAGTCAGCGGTTACAATGTTTCTGACTACGCCATCCAAACATACTGGGGACTACCCCACCCTGTTCCAATTGAACGCATACTTCCTTGGCATTGCTCGCGGGCCTGATAATCGCTTTGCGAAGGTCTTGCGCAAGGACGCATATGGGATCGGCAAGGGTCCGGGGTTCCGCACCATCGACATGGAATTCTTCTTCATGCGCGCTATCATGGATGAAGTTTTTCGGGAAATAATCCTTCCTCTGGATCGTTACGGGCATGGCGATGAGTTCATGAGCCAGGTTTATGTAGAAGTGAGTGGGAAAAAAAAAAGATGCCTTTAGGGAAATCTTCTCATTTGAAATACTAGCCGGGCGCCTGTGCACGAGAGATATTGCAGGAGGACGGACGTTACTTGGTGGACTTCTCTCCTCTTAACACCAATTGGCCTTGAAATGTAATCGCTTATCTCAATGTGTTTGATCGCTCCTGGATTTAGACTTGATGCCATATGCGCACCTACTGACACAAAGCCTCATGAAACGGACGGAATGGCCGGTTTCGGGCCTGGTTTTAGCGCAGTGCGTGCTGTGCATTGGACCGGGCCCGTGTCCTTCCTTCCCAACTGTTTCTCATGGTCCTTGGGTTTGAAGCTACCGTGAGAAACAGCTGGTCAAAAGGGCTTTGCCGTAACCTTGCACATGCCACCTCGAGTTGGTCGCATACTCAAGATCTCGATATTTCTCTTGATTTTGTTCGGTATATTTTTAACTGTAGAAAAGTTAACAGGCTCGCTTTTGACACGCTCTGACGCACCCTCGCCTCGAGGCTCGTTGGAATCACCGATCCGTTCACCGACGCGTTACAGCGGACGAGTCCCCATCGTCGATCGTCAGAAACTCGCCGAGATTGAGTCTCATTTTCTCTATAATGTCATGATGGATGGAATCCCTGTATGGGATCCTCCGGATAACCCTAGATCTCCTCCTAAAATCACCGAAGTTCCTCAACCTACGGGACAGATCGTGCTGAACAATCACCATCGCATCGTCCCTAACAAGTTCGCCGACGGTTTATTGTGCCCCGACGTGGTTCCCTGTCGTCTCCTCGTACCAACGTGGTAAGTGGAATTTTTTGGATCATCAATCCTCAAAATCGAATTCACAACTAGTGTATGGGCAGGATTGCCGAACAGGAAAGTAAGGCATCTCAGCACTTATACCAGCTTGCGTTGCTCTCCCAGCAACTAAACAGAACACTCGTGCTGCCAAATATGTGGAAGTCGCGCTTCGGGACGTGTAACCGTAATCCATTCGAATATTATTACGATATTGGCTTCTTCACCAGGTCGAAGATAAACACTGCGACATTCGAGTCCTTTAAGGAATGGGCTGCCGATCGTGCCACTCCTCCAGTAATGTGTAGCTTCTCTATCGAATCTGAACCTGCCCACGAGGTTCCAGACATGGCCCAAGGTGTATTCCTTGTTACTCCCAATCAATCGTCTGTCGCCAGAAGAAGGAACTGCCTGGAGAGGCTCGACAGACGTGGAGAGATATCGAAGCCTCCGATTATAGTATACCCGACTCGTTCTCGCTGGCATATTGACTCCATTTCCCAATCTGAATATACCCAAGGACTCATTAGCACTTTGTCAGCATATCATGACGTGGACGTCATCGCACTCTCCTGGGAGGTGAAACATCCTATCTTCTCTTCTTCTGTGCCTATATATCTGGAATATGCTCCCCGATGGATCGATCTAGCTCGATCGTTGTCTAAAAGGCTCTCTCCGTTCATCGCAGTGCACTGGCGCATGGAAACTCTGGATCCAAAGGGACTCCCGGCTTGCGCTCCTCGGCTCATTGACCTTCTCAGTTCCATCAAGCAGCAGTCCAACAATGAAGGCACGAGTCACCGAATTCAGAACGTATACCTGGCGACCGATTATCCCCTTGAACCTAACTCCCGTCCTCATTCTGGAACGTTTCATTATGTTACCGAGGATCATCATTTAGCAATGCGAATATTCAAAGGTGCCTTCGAGAGAGGCGGCTCACTGCAGGATCTCACTCTGGGTTCCTTCGCGAAGCACAGTGATGTGCTTCATGCCATCGGTGAATCTGTTGATGGTTGGGATGCTGATCTAGGATTGCTTGGTATCTTAGACAAGTCCGTGGCGATGAACGCGGAATACTTCGTTAGTGGGGGAGCTGGTTGTGGAAGGGCAAGGTACGTAGAAACCCACTGATTGAGGGTCAGACAGCCCTGAATGCCAGGGGCCAGTTCATTCACTGCTCAGATAATACAAGAAAGGGCAAAGAAACGAAAGGAGCTCGGGCTCAAAAACGTAATTGATATTTTCACTCATCACGCGAGGGGGAAATAGAAATGTATTAGAGAGGTACAATGACCTCGACGGCCAGGCAAAATATAGAATATATCGTCCAATGTACGAGGTCATGAAGCAGTAAGGTGGATGTAATCAAGTGGCAAGTTTGAAGATAACGAGATTCTGAGATTGGCAAGAGAATTAGTATGATCATGAACAAAAAAAAAAAGGATTAAAACGAATCAAAAAGAGTCGTGAGTGTTTTGAACGACACGGGTTTGACGAGACTGCTCGACTGTCAGAGTCCGCGCACTCCGGAGAATCCAGCAAGTACTCACTATCCATCTACACCGGCGTTGAATGCTCGCAGCTTATCAGCTTGGCTAGCTAAGCCAGACAGGGCAAAGATCTTCACCCGATGGGGTGGTGTCGTTCTAGAGGTTGGTTCCAGTGTTCGTTTCTTTTCAACTTCTCGAATCGCCTCGGTGGCCCCAACACCTGATCAACGGTTATAAAGGTGTATCATCGGTACGAACCTTCGATCTACTCACCATCTAATACCGGCATGCACATATCTATCAATACAGCTCTAGATCGAACTTACGTATCAGCAAATTCACAAAGAAAATTAGGTTCCTTACTCAAAATGGCCTGGAGGATTCGTTGAATATAAGTCCACGGCTTGCTGACCGTCCATTGCTTCCTCATAATCAAAATTCTTCAATCCCGATCAGGTTAGTACTCATCTGTGACTGTCGGAATCGCGGGATGCCCACCTTTTTCTTCAGCCATTGTACTAATAACGTGCGATTGACGTGATTATCTTCCACGATCAGAACGCGCATCGGGCGATCAGGACTTGGTGGAGACCCTCGGGTTTCTACCCTAATGCTCGACCCATCAGGCAGAGGGGTGGTACCCGGGGGTCCTGTCCCAGACTCAGGAGTTTGCTCTGAAGACGATGGGTACAATGGTAAGGAAGGTGAAGTTCGTATGCCTGTTGGCATGTGGGTCGCGCTGCGGGTGATCATTGGCCGCTGGGGAGACGCGAATGGGTATTCCATAGAGCGGTGCCGGTGCCGGCCCTCAGCCGAGGACGGACTACTAGGATCAGAGAATGATCGGGTTGGTCGTTCTGCTGTAGGCAGTTGACGTTGAGGATCTCCGCCAGAGAATATAGAGACGTTTGATGTAAGAGAAGGGGGCGAGAGAGGTGATTGAGGAGGCTCTGTGGAAGCCTCTGGGTAGAGGCCTGCTGCCTTCAAGCAATCCTTGATTGATGCATGAATATGAGAAGGTCGGCAAGGCTTGAAGACGATGCGGCAGAACCCTCCTAAACCCTCAAAGACTGAGATGGCTTTCGATAAAGCTTCATCACCCCTAGACGTAGTGAGGAATACTACAGGCCAAGGGACACCCCCCGACGAGCCCAAGTTTTTCACTAGGGAAACATCCTCGTTGATGATAATGATGTTTGCGTCAGTGGTATTCTGTGCTATCGTCGAGTGCCACCATTCTGTTAAATATGTCGAGAGGACGTTTTGAAGGAGTTTTTGCCCTTTATGTTGTGTGTCGAACCCTAAAAATGCGATGCGAGCACCCGGAAGCAGGTCTGTAGTTAGTGAACTCGGTGATACCGCGTGTGGATCCTTGATTGGTCGAGCTGGTAATTCAGTATCCATGGCCACTCGAATCTCCGTTCCGACTCCTTCGGAACTCCACACGTCCACCTTCCCGTTAATACCTTCGGACTTGACGATGCTATTCACGATGGCAAGGCCGAGGCCGGTTCCAGTCTGGAGCGGGTTCTCTTGGGTAAAGGGGTGGAAGAGATGGTTCTAGTGGAGAGGACATGATCAGAAAGTCGCTGTAGAGTGTGGGTGTCATATCCCACCTTTAAGAAATCCTTGCTAATACCCTGATTCAGGATTGGTAAGATAGGGACCAAGGAAACTTCAATGAGTACATGCCTTTCCAGAATCAATGACCGCAAGCTCAACACGAACAACGGGTGATTCGGGATCGGGAGGAAGCTCACGAAGGGCAATGTGTATGAAACCGCTCTACCGACAAAATCAGCGCTGGTACATTGGAGCGCTGGGAGAGCAGGAGGATAATTACAGAAGTAAACTGAGACAGAAACAGGACGATCAGCCGGTCAGGAATTATACGTCACAGGTGCTGCTAGTACCTTTAAGCTGTTTCCAAGCAAGTTGATCAACACTCGCCGAATCCCACCCTTCTCGCACTTGAGGTACCAACCCTATTTGGAAAGCAGTTACTCAGGATCATGTATTATGGTGGAATGCTCAACGTACGGTCGTCCGGTAACCTACGTCAAGTACAATCTCGACGTGGCTGGCAGAAGGATCGTCGCTTAACGATCCTGCCCTCTTTGGCGGACAGTAAGCGCTCCCGATCTCCGATGCTCCGTAGACAGCACGAGCCCGAGAGCCCATCCAGGAACCCTCGACTGTTAGTTTAAAGTCAGCAGAGTTCACAACCAGTGACAACCGGCATACTCGTGTCTTCCAATAACGCAAAAAGGTCCACACTACGACAAGTATGTCAGTTGAAGCACTGAAGGAATCTTGCAGGACTTACGGAGCCCGCTTTATAGAAGCGGCTTTAGAATTCCCACTTAGTTTGGAAAAGTCGAGAACATGGTTGACGGTTTCCACCAGTGAGGTTCCGCATGCCTGGACAGTCTGCAGGAAGGAATGCTGCATCATGGTGAGTCCAGTGTCTGACAGGAGCTCCGCCGCTGCTAGAATCTATTATACAAATGGATTTTAATAAAAGTGTTGCTTCGCGTGGGCCCGGGACGTACCCCATGCAATGGAGTCCTGGTGACAAGGGAGATGACCAAAATCAATTGAGCAAAACTATGCATGGGTATCTAACATAACTCATTACCTTAATTCATGGGAAATGCTACGAGGAGTATCAGCAAGACGGAGTTTCCTTGGACAAGGATGTTAACCTACTTGGAGATAAACAAACTCTTGGCCTTATCCGCAAGCATCATTCGCCGCTTCAACACTGCGCTTAAAATGATAACCCCTATAGCACGGAGAAATTGTAACTCATATCCCTCGAGGAAATGTTTCGTCCGATCTGTCGTGTAAGCGCAGAGCATAATGAATGGTTTGCCATCCAAGTTGAATATTGGTACAACTGTGTAATGGTCTCAATGCCTCTCTTCGGTCACATTGAGGAAAAAGACAGAACATACGCATGGCATATTGGATGTTCGATGGGACCACACTTCTGAAACATGATGGGACAACTCTTTCAAAAATTTTCCCATCCAGATACTCCACCAGGAACTCGGAGAGCTGGTGGTGGTCATCACCAGAGAGCATAGAATCCGTCTCCAAAGAACCTGCTGCTGTTGGTGCATCGGATGTTGTGGACGCCAGCAGTGGCGGGGCAGGTATGCACCCATATTCGTGTCGGCGGTCGGCAACAAAGTTTATGTCTTCGGAGTCATCCGTGGCCGCACTCGGGGTAGAAACGGAGTGGTGCTGTGTAGCTTCGAAAAGGTTTCCATGATATCGTTTGACGGGCTGATCGGACAGTGAGCTATCGCATTTGGTCTTGTTAATTTTCGCTTCAGGGCTCTGCAAGACCTCGAAATTCGACACATCAACGATGAGCGCTCCCTCTACGTCCAGTGTGCGTTTGACGAGCCGAGATGCACTCTCATACACCCTTCGCATATTATCCTCGGGTGCGGCGATATGGACAGGATCTGGGGAATCCATCTCCAGACACTCCCTTGTGAAGTTCTCCATCTGATTGGTCCAACGTGGGCGGAACGAAATATGTAAGAAAAGGAAATACATACGGACGTCTGAATCCGATCACGGATTCGCAATTGAATCTACGGTACAATGAGCACGTCGTACACTCTGCATGAAGGGCGAGGTCACCTTGTCCCTCCAAAGCTCTATCTCGCGCATCGCAATAGCCTGCGAGAATAGTGGGTGTCATCTCCCATCCTTTAGCCCGATCATAATTAGAGACTCACTGCAAACTCTTTCAGTGTGTGCCGTTGTCTGGGACCAAACTCTGCCCTTGGAACTGGATCAACGACGCACATCCTAGACTGGCGTCATGGGCAAATTTAGCAAGGGCAGACTAGAACCAGGCGTACGTTCCGATATTGTAGCCTAGAGTCCAATGTAAGCCAACATAATTGTGCAGTGTGCCAAGGGCCTGGCCAGCTCACCATCAGATGTCGAAAGCGGAGCACCAGCATAAAACCGCACATTCGCAGGTCCAGTGACATACGGCTATCGAATAAACTCATGAGATCCACTTCACATCTTCCAGCTAAACACCCTGCGCCAGGAAACTCACATTTCCAGCAAACCTCCAATCTTGCGTCGCATCCAGCACAACCATTACATCATCCCTATTGCAGGTAAGGATCAGCTAGAATTTCATGATTTATCAGCTGCTCACTTCTGAAGGATCGTGTGACCGCAAAATGAGTCGTCGCGCCTGTGAATGGCAGGAGGATATTCGGTGCTCGTAGTATGCTTGACATGCCTGTCATTGCAAAGTGGAAGGGAAAGTCCGTGCCATCAATTGACTAGGAGACACAACGAAAAACGCACAGACGGCGTCACTCACACTTCCTGGTCGTCAATCAACGTGATTTGAACCCACTTTGCGTGAAACACGAGTTTGGCTAAATGTGTAATCCGGTCAAAATTCGCATCCCCAGGAGTGTTCAACACCCCAAATCTGTTGATGAGAAAAAAATTGGGAGGGCGGTGGTAAATGAAATCCCAGACATAACGATAAGGGACCAAGATTGACGGTCATTCACATGAATTTTAGTGTCAGGAACTTCATGGTTGATACTCAATATGGACAAACTAACCTATGTAACGCTTTCCGTCGATCAAACTCGTCCAGAGGCCGTGGTGGCACTAGAAAGCCCAACTCACGAAAGCTCGTCTCTTCTAGCGTCCCAGACCCAAGAGATCTTATTGGTCGGGACGTTGAAGGGTGCGACAGGGGAGAAACAGGGAATCTGTTTGGAGGTGTACGCTGTGTCTGAACTGAAGAGGGTGGTGGGTCAACCAAAGTAACGGAACTTAAGTGTTGTAATATATCTGAGGCTAACGACGATCGGCTGTGGCTCCGAGAGTGAGGATGCCTATATCCGAAACCCTGTGCATACGATTGCGACTGTTGCGTGGATCCAGACATGGAACGTGCTCCTGCTAGAACGCGGGTTTGGGGGAGATACGAAAATAACTTCCTTGAGGTGTGCCTACCTGCATTGAATGACCTCAGTGGTTGTGGCAAAGCCGGAATCTCGCCGCTGCTGGGTTCGTCACTCCGGGTCTCCCGCTGGGGCGAAGGTGGATAAAGGCCTTTCACGGTTTCGGCACTTTCGGTATGCCCGAATGGTGGCGGCACTGGACATTGTACATCTGAGCCGGAAGCCAAATGGTAGGGGGCCAGGGCAGCAGCAGGAACAGGGGGAAATGAGGAAGAGACAGTGGCAGAAGGTTGTTGCGGCTGCTGAGGAACGTGCGGCTCGTCGTCGAATGGGTCCAGGTCCATTTGGCTCAACGGTGTAGACACGCTTGAGACGAGATGCCGAAGGGGATCAAGTAATTCACCTATAATGATACCAATTCAGGGAAAATCTCCGACTCAGCAATGGTGGGGCACTGCGACGTACTTTCGGGCGACGACAATGTGAGGGGTGCAACTTTAGCATTGGCACCTGCCAAGCGAACGGTTGCAGCGTCCGTAACAGCTTGCGTAAGGTCGGGTATACTGCGTGACCCAGGAGTGAGTTGGCCTGGCGCCGCCAGATTCGGTGAGTGGATCAATCCTGAGTCCACGGTTCCGTCAGCGTTGGGCGCGTGCGACAGTGCCATAGCTTCTCCCATACGTCGCTGAGCTAGTGTTTTGGACGCAACGACACGGGATGACGAAGAACGAGGTGTGCTTTGAGTACGGGTACCACTTTTTGGTATTCGAGGCACAGGAAGTTGAGTTATTTCTTCAATAGTACTGGGGGATCTATCAGTTGAAGTAGAAACATTGGCAGGTCCTGCGGCACACGGAGGCGGCAAGGGGGCAGAAAAGCTCTTCGCACGAGGGATTGATCCCGATGACGTGCCTTGCACTGGCTTTGGCGGCGGCTTTGAGGCATCCCAGCTTCCAGCAGCATACTTATCCAAAAACGCTTGCCACGATAACGCACTGTTTCCATCAAGGGCTGAGTGTAGGGGGGCAGTAACAGGAGATGTCTGTGGAGGTGATGGAAATGATAGGCCTTGAGGATTCGGCTGGTGACGTGCGTGGTTGGTCATGCTTGCAGTAGTCTCAAGGTCACTAAGGAAGGTCGGCAAACGGATTGCACATGACGAATCATCTCGTTCAGTTTCAGGTTGAGCGCTTGGGCTGGGGCTAGAGGATGAGGTAGACATCTCTTCAGAATGGTCCAAAATCTTGGCTGCTGGTAAGAGCGTCGTGAGAATGGTATGCTCGCTGTGGGGTAGGCTGTGTGCAACATCCAACAAATCGAGCGAACCGACAGAGTTGTTGGAGTCATAGAAGGTGGTCATCGATGCATCGAGGACTCAGGTGTCGTTGAATCAGAGAACGGGAACGGGAACGGATCACGCCGGAGCTCCACAACTGCATGACACATGTGTGACAGGCGTGATCTTTGGATACAAAACGTCATACATGTACAGTCACTGCGTTTCAGCCAAACGTAGGAAATGGCGGGTGTTACACGGGGATAACCAGATTTCCGCGACATTTCCTGCGTCGGATATTCGTTCTGTATTGGAAATTAAGGATTGGGCCGGGAAATGATGGGTTGGCTGATAATGTATCATACATATCTCTCGATGTATATACAAACTCCGCCCCCTGGGCTGTTCTGCACGCACAGCTGTAGTATATAATACATATGTGGGGAAGGCCAACTCTGCTAGTCAATGATCAGCCAACCCCGTCACTTGTCATAGAATCTGAACCTGAGAAAGCGTCTATCCTCGTCCATTGTGAAGTTTCACGCCCAACCTGGATTCCCACCTCATCCAACATCTATCGCTACCAACAAACTCCAACTATAAATAGGCAATAACAAGTTATCATTCTGCATCGAAAATGCCTCGAGGCACGCCGACATAAGGGCGGCAATCGTGTATCGCCATCCCTAAAGTTATCATATTCAGGCACCGACCCGATTGATAGCATCACGCTTACGGAGAAACGTTCGACAATCCCCAATGTCGACAGAGCCAGGGGAAAGCCTAGAGCTCCAAGCCAGAACGCGATTGTGCCTTCGATTGTTTTGGGAGAATTTTCTGACCACCGGTGCTTTCCCCAACGTTTCCCCGCAATCGATGCCTGACATGGAGTCAAATGTGTTGTGATCAAGTCTCACGGGATAACGTACCAGCGCATCACCAACACCAAGAATAAATACACCGGTGCAATTCAACAGGCGAGATGACCTATAACGTAGATGCAGAACAGAATTCGACGGAATCAGAAGACGTACCCTTCAAGCCATAACGGACCGGCGCAGCCTGTCAACAAATAGAAGTGACTCAAGATGGCGGAACCGCTGTCCTTCTCGTCTAGGAACTCGCTCAAGAACAAATGTACGGAGGCGCCAAACGGATACAGAGCAAAGTATCTCACGTATTCCGCAAAGATGAACGAAGAGAACGCGACACTGAACGCCAGATGGGTAAACGCCGGCTATCAAATCAAGGGTGACAAATGAATTGCCAAATTCCCAGTGCCAGCCAAGGATACTTACATCAAGGACAATGCCGGGAATAAACATCACAACGGCCAGAGCGTGGAAAAACTTCCGCCTCCCATTCAATCCAAGGAATGATATCCTTCTGTTGGCAGCGTCCATTAACCCCCTGCTACATTTGACAATCCAGCAGCCCTCGATTGCGGCGCAATCCCACTCCCATCGTCTCCGACCCCCAATGAAGGCTCCTTGGAATGTAATAATCGGCTCTTTTTGCCTTGCACAAGCCTCGTATTCCACCCCAGTACGCACAGCAGGATAGACAGCACCCAAAACGCGACAAGTGCGGGGCGGCTCCATTTGCCCTTACCTTCCCTGAGCCAAAAGATGACCCAGAGCCATGGGTCCCGACCAGAAAGACACCAACGCGTCCATCCCCCAACGGGCCCAATCACAATGGCGCCTACTCCGATGTAAAATCCAAATGCCAAAATACGCCGCTGAAGCTCTCTTTGGTGTGGAAATCGAAGCCGCCGTGACGGTTTTTGGGCGTTGATGCGTGAGAGTACGAGGAGTGGGGAGAGAAGAGCACCCGAGAGTAGCGCTCCAGGAACAAGAGCCAATTGGAAGATAAGAAGTGGGCCAGGTAACCGGAAAGTACGAATGATGGGGTATTGTCGTGGCCAAATCTTAACGGGACCATGCTAAGACGTTAACAAGATTGAAGGTAGGGAAACGTACATGATACAACGTCAAATTTATTGTCTCTGTGAAGAGAGCTGTTGATGCTTGGGCGACAACACCCACTTCACCGAGCGTGAAGCCGCCCCTCGCAAGGCGTATTAAAAGATACAGAGTGAATTGATAGCACAATGATATGAACGTAAGGTCTAGGTGTGTGAGATCTGTGTGTTCTCTTTAGCCGTTACTCCCATAAGGGCATATCTAAGAAAATCACCTTCCCAAGGATCAAAGACATAATGTAGCATTCCGTTCAGACAGCGGAGTCCCAAAATGGCTATGGTTATCGTAATTGCACATGTGAAAAAGTAGACCGTCCGCTTTCCTTCACTAGGAATCGTAGGCCTATAGAGGACTCGAGCGCAGATGGCATGCCAAAAGGACGATAGAAGGATGTGGAGAAGCATAAGAAACGAGCAGAATGTAGACAATTGGACAAGGTAATGTCGGGAATGAACCAGGGAGCGCAAAGGACCAGGCTCGATTCCTGTATTTATTGGAGGCTCCACGAGCCACTGGGAAGAAGCCAGAGGTGTTTGGTTGCGCTGCATCCTGATTGCCAGAAGTAACATGCTACCCGCAACAGCCGGAACAACCAGTAATGCGGTGAGCGACCCGTTATCGGCGTTCGTGCTGAGGGTATAGTGAGAGCCACATCCGCAACACCTCACGCGTCTGGACTGACCGATAATCCCTGGCATCCGTCATAAAGATGAAACAATGTGACGCGGTCTGAATGCGCCTGAGATTGCCCTCCTGGGAGGGATCATGCCTTGGTGTCTCCTTCTGCGCCAGAGGACTTCCCATCCAACGAAAGGCGAAGTGGAGCCGCTTCGTCTCAGGAAGGAACTACGCATCGTGCGAAGGACTAACAAAACGAGGCCAGCAGCTACACCAACAATCTTTAGATCTGAGCAGCACCAATTGATGAGCGTGGATACAGCCAGTATTATGCAGTAATACATACGGAACGCTGCTGCTGTATAGCCATTTGATGTAAAGCGATACCACAGTATGAGAAGAGGCAAATACAAAAGTGCACTCTCCACGATCCTCCGAGGGTCTGCAGTGCCTTGAGAAATCCGGCTGATTCCTCTGACCATCCGAGGCATAATCCGTCTTCCCCTGCGTTTAAGAGTGCCCTGGCCCAAGTTGCGCCGCACCTGTTCCACTATTTCAGGTTGGGGCAGCTCTCCAGCAACTTCCTCCGCAGGTGGCACCTTGAGGTTTAACGGACCATCATACTGAACATCCCCCTTCGTATGCGGCACCGATGAGATGGCTTCTGAGTTTCGCGGGGGTTTTTCCAAGCCATTGTAACGACTATTGGGGACCGAGCGAGAGACGACGCCCTGCGCTTTTTCGCCACTAGCAGTTTAGTTTGAATATGGTCAGTGTCACTCATATCACTAGATTCTGACACTGGCCTGAAGCACTGGCAGCATTCTCTAGCCTGTCGCCCAAAACTCGTTCACGCCACGCTTGCCTTGCGCGGGTAGCACTAGTAGAGTTGCGGCGGCTAGAGGGTTCTGGAGGAGAGGCAGAAGACGAGCACGGCAAGGCACGACGGTGCTCCAGCTTGATCGTGGAAATGCGAAAGCACCAGAACTCAGGCTAGAGGGTTATTTGTTGGAGATTGCGTCACAATTCCGGAAAATTCGATTCAGTTACTGTGGGACCTCCGCCAATTCAGTTTGGGCGGCTCTTTTGGTCTTAAGCGCTTGCGCGAATGATCACCATGATTTGCAATCGTAGGCTCCCAATTTTGCATACTACTACGTCTATGGAAGTGGCACGTCCGCGTTTGCGCCGTGTGCCAAACAGGTGTTACACGACCATGGAGCATCTCCTCGTGAAATCCATTCAGGTACATAAGCGCTCAGTGACCAATGGATGCCTTTCTCATCTAACAACAGGCTACTGGGCCGCTTCAAGTGCCAAGATATCTCCAAATGTGTCTTTCGCACCCTACTCACGGATACTATATGCGAAAGGAAGTGTTTGGAGCACAGGGTGATTTTACGACGAGTCCAGAGATCAGTCAGATCTTCGGGGAGGTGAGGATTGGCGTCTTTGTCTGGTAATCTTAGGCAGACCACCGGAAAGCTCGTAGGGACGTGGTTTCTGTTACCCTGGATGAAGGAACATAAAGACAAAAGTAGGTCTATTCGACTAATCGAACTTGGTCCGGGTCGCGGTACTCTAATGGCAGACATCATCAGGGTTAGTGTACCACTTGAAGGCACATGTCCGCCCTGACCGCTGAGCAGACGTTCAATTCCTTTCGGTCCACAGCCAACGCAATAGACTCAGTACACCTCGTAGAGACCAGCGAGAAGCTTCGAACGTCGCAGAAAGCAAAGCTTTCCTCTGCCCTGGAAGGATCCCGAAATAGTCCCAAACTTCACTGGCATGACCGGATTGAGGATATCGCACCCAGTGATGCTTATACCATGCTGGTCGCGAACGAGTTTTTTGATGCACTGCCGTTCCATATCATAGAGGCAGGTGCTTTGTACTTGCCAATTAGACGAGAGCTGACCCACCTGATGTAGAAAACACCCGACGGTTTCAAGGAAGTGCTCGTTGGATTGAAAAGCAATCTATCTAGCTCGCTCGCACCTCTTCCTAAATTTAAGCAGAACCAACTGGCGGAACCATTCAGTTCGCCTTCTAAACCTCAACTGCAACTTTTCTTGTCAGACACCGTATCAACAACATCAACTCTCCTATCAGCATCCTCCCCAAGATTCTCTAAAGTACCAACGGGACACGCATCGAAGTCTCACCAACATCATGGACCATCGCTCGGAAATTGGAGAGCTTATCGGTGCTCGAGGAGCTGGACTCATTATTGACTATGGTGATGAACACTTCTTTGGTTCTTCATTCCGTGTAAGTCTTGAATTTTGAAGCCGTCTTTTCTCACCTAACGTTTGTATTCGCCTTGAAGGGATTCCGAAACCATCGAATAGTAGATGTATTTGACCAACCTGGCCACTCAGACCTTACGGCGAATGTGGATTTTGCGTATTTGAAGGAGGCATTATTGCCAATAGGCACGTCCTAGTACTTCTCGCATTTCCCAACCATTGACATCCTATGGTAGCACGATCATTAGGTCCAATAACCCAACGGGATTTCTTGCTCGGGATGCAGTTCAACGCAAGACTTGAAGGCCTAACTAAACAAGCCCCGTCTGAACGCGCAATAAGATCCGCTCTGCAGGACGCAGACTCATTGACCCGACGGGAATGGGTGCTCAATACAAGGTCATGGGCATCGTTCCACAGCGCGGTGAACCCGACCGTCAAGACGGCATTGACGAGCTTTTGTTATACCCATTCAATCTGCCCAGGGAAACTGCGCAGCCAGAATGACACTAACCTATGACGTCTGAAGAATCCATTGCGGGGTGACTAGGGCTACAAATATATTTTCACGGATAGTTAAGAATGGAATAACAAAAGGACAATGAGGATTTCAACATAAACTTTCCTTAGGACGGGCTGCACCGAGCTCTAACGCTGCTCGCGGACAAAGTAATGCAGAACAATGAAGCTGGCAAACAAAGTGATGCCAAAAAGAATGAGTAACAAGGTGATGTCGGGGAACCAGAACGCCTGCGCGAAAATGTGAGACAGCACTCCTGGTTAAATGGCCCGAATAAACATACCTGAGCCCTGAGACCGAACATTGATAGAATAGTGGCGGCCGGGACATCCAATTCCACACCATACTAAAACGCGAATGTAAGAACTTGCGTTAAACCTGACGCTCTAACCAACACACCTTGACCTCCTTCAGCTGCAAATAGCGAAGCTCGTTGACAGCCAGAGCTTCGAAGGCCGCATGGAAGAACGATATGTTGTGAACCCAGGAAATCAGTGGTGACATTGTGTCTCGATTTATGAGAAGACCAGCAAACAAAAGGCTGAAATTGGAGTTGACCAGACTGTGAAGCTCGGCAACCAATGGCTCACTCACTTGAACAGCATTATGAGAGTGCCAATGAGCGACCCTACATTTATGTTCGCGAATGCGACGGAGATGAAGAAGATAAGGCTGGCGGTAGTCAGGTTGAATAACACCAGAGTCAACTGGAATTTCCAATATGCCACGACAGTGGGCACGAGACCAATGAGCCCGTAGGTGATTCCTCCGAATACGAGTGGCGGGACGACCCGTAACGGGAGAATATCAAAGAGCACCTAGCAAAGTTTTTGGCTCAGATTCGAATGCATCATCAGACTGGCAATACCTTGGAGGCGAAGTAAGTGAAGGATGAATAGTAGCCATTCGCCCTGCAAACACGCCTATAAGGTTATCTTCTGGGGAACGGGTGTACATCACGTACCTCTCGCGAATGAATAGGACTCGCTCATTCGCAAACAAGCCTAAGCTAGAGAGACAAGAGAAGCCGAATAGTGCTAACGCGAAGAAGAAAACGCCTATAAAGCAGAATCAGTTCAGTCTTTCCTTCGCTTATTCGCGTTGTCATACCAAGCCTGTTCTGGAAACCGGGAATATCGTTTCTACGGTGCCTCCGTAAATTCCCAGTCTCAGGTTAACGATAACGGACGTACGTGACGTTTCGAAACAGGGACCCGCAAATCACTTTAGGACCAATTAGAACAGAGCGAGACAAAGCAAGGATTTTGCGCACATGCAACCGTGATAGATGAGATGTAGTGGGCAGTCAGGAGTGCAGGGTTCCGGTAGAGATTCTTGAATGCTCTTCCGCTCAGGATCCTAAACTGCGTGGTATAGCTCGCTCTCCGTCTTCCGCGTATATTCGAGCTGTCATCCAAAGCCTCTCGAAGGTGAATGGCATCCGGCTCCCCAACTTGATCGGGCCTCTGTTTAACGGCCTCGATGTCTGCATCAATCTCTGAAAGCACATCACTCTCCGCGAAAGCTCGAACAAGAGCAGCGAGACGAGGCGACAGGGGGGGAGTACGATCCCCTTTACCAGAACCGGCAGAAATGACGTCGAGAAGCTGAGACGTTTTTCTTTTGAGGAAGTGCTTCGCATCCTTCACTACGTTAGAAGGACCTTCGTATGGGGTATTTTGCCCTGAGTGATGACTCTCCTCCTCAGGTGCAACTCTAGTATGACTCGAGTGCGATGGATGTGAATGACTATTGGCGGACGAGGCACCCCTTGGTGCCCGTTCCTCGTCTGCAATATTAGATTCCACATCAGTAACCTCCACGTCGGGGGATTGAGCGCCAGTGACAGGTGAAGGTGCCTCAGACTGCATAGTGACATCAACTGCAAAAGGGAGAGGTAAGTACTGGACCTCGATCAACGAAAGTTGTGGGCTTACTGAGGTAGTCCGCAAGATTGAACCCAGGAGGGCAGGGATGCCCTATTCTTTCGAGATATGGATGACATTTTGAGAGTTCTCCAGAATAGACCATTCGGCCCTTAGCCAAAAGGACAAGCTGATCAAACATCGCAACGATGTTGCTACGAGGTTGATGGATAGTGAAGACCACAGTACGGCGAAAATCTCGCGCAAGTGTGACGAGACACTCAACGACGTTGAAGGCGTTGAAAGAGTCAAGACCTTGATACGAATGAACAAAATACGTTACCACAATGGAACCTGAGCATCACATACCGCTGGTCGGCTCATCTAAGAACAAGATAGATGGACTAGTCACCAGCTCGCAAGCGATTGAGACACGACGTTTCTCGCCACCGGATATCGATCGTTTGCCTGACAGGAGTCTCAGTGTCAGACTTTTTGGGCTTGATCAACAGCCTCACCAGTTTCCCCTATCCTTGAATCCTTGATACTCAGGATACCCAATTCATGTAGAGTCTCCAATGTCCGGAATTTCTTTGCTTCGAAACTCATCTCCCGCGGCAACCTGAGCAGGGCCGAATAAAGCACCGTTTCATAAACCGTCAAGGTAGACATGAGCGTATCCTCTTGATCCACAAAGCCCATTACTTTGCGAAAGGCATCATCGGAAACATATCGACCATTCACTAGAATATCTCCAGACACAGATCCTTTCTTCTGCTTCCTAGCAAGTATGTCGAGCAAGGTTGACTTGCCAGCTCCCGATGCGCCCATGATAGCCATGACTTGACCTGGGCAAACATGACCAGTGATTCCGTCCAAAAGGGTGCGATGGTCAAGCTGGTATGTCAAGCCTTGGAAGCGTAAAGACGCCGGGACGTGGTCGGTCATGAGCCTAGAAGCCTCATCCGTCGGTAAACGAATAGAACCGAGGCTGTCAGGATCTGAGTGTGTCCGACCAAGGTACCAGAAAGCTGTTCATCAAGTTTTATAATGTGCACATTGCAGACCAAAAAGGCCGAACCAACCTGCTGTTGCAATGATGAAAATAAGCCCGGCACCGGCAGCGCTCAATGCGACCAACGGCCCGTTTGATGGGCGCGTGGGTTTCTAATTTTCAGGCAGTCAGCAGGTTATACACCCACGCACCCAAGTAACCTTACGTGGTACCCCGGTACCTGCGTATAATGCAGACATTCGCCACCGTCGCAATTCAGCGTAATATATGAATCCCCAAAGACGTCGTTGATGAGCTGATTCATGGCTGGCTCCTCAAAACTACACCCGGAGCCTGTCTTGCATTTGAAGAATGCAGGGCCCTTAATTTCTTCAGTCAAAAAGTCTGATATATCTAATGACAACAATGTTCAATGCGGCACCGAGGCTAGACAGTTCAAAACGCGTACCAATGGAACCTTCCTCTCCGCATAACATTTTCCCAGGAATACAACTGCATTTAATGTGATCACATGCAGAGTTAGTGATATTTTGGTTGTATCCAATCTCTGCGGACGTAGTGCAGTTATCAAGAGCGCAGTAAAATGATTCCACCTTCCCAATCCAGAACTGGAAAGCGCAGGTGCCTCCATCCTTCTCGCAGTTAAAAGAGACTTGAGGTGGCCTTCCGGGAAGCATGTCCAGTATTTTTCGGTCTAATGGAACCTCGTCAGGACCATCAGTGCGTGAAGTCGACACGGGTCATACTTGTGACATCGCACATCTGAAAGTTTTCTCTCACAGTCTCACCGCCTTTGTAGCACGTCATGTTAAAATCAGGTTCCCCGTTCGCATTCGTTTTGAAGTTGATGTTTCCAACCGGAAAACCGAGACAAGCCTCGTCGGTTTGGCAAACTGGAATTGTAGATGTGACACATTTAATGCGAATCTAACATTTCCAATAATAAAAACACCACTCACCATTGCAATTAATGCCTCCCCAACCATCTTTACACTCGCATTCCTCTCCTTCAGGTCGTGGGTAGCGATGGTCCCCATCGGCTAATGCGCCACACACTGTGTCCAGGGGTTGCCATCAATATGCACGGCACGAAACAGCACAACACAGCAACGCACAAGGAGTCATGCAGTCTATCCCCCCAAACCCTGGAGGGCATCTGCACTGCCCGTCATATGGATTGCATTCACCGTACTACAAAACATGCGTCGTCAGGAAACGCCCTCCCGAGCAGATCGTCGTAATAGGTTGAAATGACTCACTTGCCCACAGGTAAAGGCAGGCAGCAGACAGTTGAAACACGGAGGGCATTTGTCGTCTGTGGACAAAATGTCAATACGTGCCCTAACAATTGTCCAAGTCAGTCCCGCAACTCACCATCTTTATTCTATCAGTGTCAAGTCCATTGATAAAACAATCAGCTTTCCTGCGCCAAGGACGTCACTAAAAGCTATCCTACCGGTAGACCGACGTGGAGTGCACCACCCGACCAGTTGGGAGATTGATTCAACCGAATAGGTCTGAACAGAGCCATAGAACCATTCTGGGCATCTGCGTGTACAAATAATGAAAGAGCCAAAAGAAATAGCGGTGGTGCGTTGAGATGCATCGCTCGACGCCGCAATCGTAGGCTCATCTGGCGAAGATACACCCAAGAATGAGCCTAATAAGTGTTGCTGCAGCGGCAACAGCCTGATCACATGATGCCGTCGTTCTGACCGTACAGCTTTCAAAAGGACTGGACCTCAATATAACACTTCAGCAATGTTTTCCCCAGGCATGAACTTATGAATAGCCATCAAATCGTCAGAAACTGCCAGTATGAGACCCTTGTCAAGAATGATGCTTCCGTGATCCCGGAGCAGATAGGGCTCAAGCGGAGTTGATGGCACTTTGTGGATTTCATTGGGACACATCTCCATACAGATGCGTGGAGATAGGGGTCTGCTTCTAATATGCCTCATCTGCCTGTGCTTCTAGTTGCAAAGATGAAGAGGGCACATCTTCATCCATAAACAACACCCCACCCTCAATGGGAAAAACGAGCCGCTCCTCCCCGCTACAGCGCCACCCGAAAAGCCACGGTTAGAAATGTTCAATCAGTCTCCTTGTGTTCTCGTCTTTGCCGCCAGCGCTCTCAAGCCATTCGGCCACTATCTACGTAATCATAAGAATGACCAGTTCGAGCAAAGTTCATGAAATTGATGTCCTGACCTTGTTAGTGGCAAGGTATCCTTTGATAGTCTCTTCTCCAAACAAAGTCACCAAACTCGCATCTTGGGCAAGTCGGCTCCGAGCTTCATCCCATGTGAGACTCATCCGTTCAGTTATTCCGTACTCCCCTTGCGAGTGGCCTCATCTAATCCAGCGGCGTACCCAAATGCCATATCCTTCTGGTTCAGGGCTCTCCTTGAATTGATACCCAGCATTCCAGCACCGAGGATCGCAGCCAATGCAAGGTGTCTTGAGTGGAGCAGATTGGGCTCGGGCAGCAACATGGCGAGGTAACCGCGAAGACTCACGGATTAGCCAAACCATCCACACATTTCACCTCAAAATTTCTTGACGAGTCACTATATCGGTTACATAGCCTTACTGGGACCTCCTTGTTGCTATCACCCCAACATACATAGGTCCCACCAGACCAGATTCCGTCTAACATGCGGTCGTAGGATGGGGGCAAAGCCATCGTGAAGACCTGGATAGCCGGTAAATGCTCAAGAAGACCGGCGAGAAAGGTCGACTCGACAATATTGAGGCTTGGAGTTGGAGAAGGAGCGGATGTTTCCAAGGCGCTCACAGAGACGTGGGTATGCATCGCGCTTCCACCTGTAGATTCATCGTCAGTTGCGCAACAGCATTAAGTGTATTGGGCACACAATTGTCAGAGTAAAGACGAGGAGCCATAGTGGCACGAAGCTTGTGATCTGAAGCAATGTTATAAATTGTTTCGCGAGTATAGATGATCGCATCTGCTGCTTCAACGGGCGGCAAAGGGCCCAAAACTAACTCGTACTGTTCAATCACAGATAATTTGTTGTCAGTGCATAAAGATACGACTTGAACTTCAGAACTTCACCTGTCCTGGAGCAGCTTCAGCATGGAACATTTGCAACTCAACTCCACCATCCTTCAGTGAATTCGCAATCGCTGTGAGGACGGTCGTTTCAACGGCACCGGAGCGCAATGACCCTGCTGTCGAAAACCATTTCTTGTTTACAGGTTCATCACGGTTCAACAACGTGAATTCGATTTCGAAACCGACGAGGAAAGTGACCTTCGCCGTGCGTCGAGCCTCGCTAATGATGCAAGCAGAAAATCAGGTGAGCGGAAGTGAGAACTGCCCATATACATCAGTCACACACTCCACTATCCTCCTCAGAATTGATCTGGGATCATAGACACAATCCAGAGGTTTTTCAGGGTTTTGGGGCCATTTTTCCTGGAACCAACCCATTACCATCGCAGTGCGCTCCCGATAAGGACAAGCTCTGATCGTGTCGATATCGATTGCCAAGTGCCACTCGCCTTCCGCGCCATGCCCTTCTGGATGTTGGACATCCACAAGTAACAGGACCACCTTGGAGACGGAGACCCGGGACGGCTTGATTGCATAAGCTTCTCAAAGTAGGCCCAAGGAAGAACTCGGCATCTCGTCGTATTTGTGAAGTCACTCCAGACGATCTGAACAAAATCAATAAGAGTCTTCAGACCCTGCAATGACTTTCTCGATAGTGAAGTCGGCACGCTCTGCGGTCGGTCGTACGTAACGCCGTACTCTTTAGTCGACATTTGCCGATCGATGCCAGATTCCTCGGAAAAGATGACTGGTAGCGAGTCGAATGGACGAGCCAGAGAAAGCACCACAAATAGAAGGCGGGACACAGCCCCACATTTGGTTGCATCGGCCATGGGACGCCGCGAACAAGGACCAGCTGACTCCGTGAAAACCTCGACTTGAAGCTTCGGCGTGGGCGTAGAAATATGGAGTGAGGATTGTCTTGAGTACAGTAAAAAAACAGAAAGGGGTTGATCACAAATGACAAGATCTGAGCAAATTCAATGGCCCAAGCACCCAACCTGCAGCCATGGCGGAAGATTGAGCACGCCGTTGCAGTCCACAGTGCACTGGCAGCACCTCAGTAAGTCGCCGAGTTTATGTGATCGCGAAAGGACAGTACAGGCCAATTGCAACTAATAACTTATCCGCTAAAAGCTAGGCCTATAGCTAGCAACCATCTTTGAATAAAACGTTTATTATGCTGTGACCAGACTTCAAAGGCGAGAACTTTAGGTCACACTTTCACCCAAAAATATGGAAGCTAAATTTACGTAATCGGAGCCACCAGCCAATCGGGAAAGTAACGCTTGGCGTTCGATTTGGTGGCATCTCATAATCAGGAGGCTGGCGGTCGATGCTGGAAAAACGATTATGTATTGTAGTGGGGCGCTTGCGCTCCTCTGAACCGGGTGTTCCAGATTCTCCTAACCTCCGCCGCAACATCCGCAGGTCACTCTCACCTGTATTCTGCAAAGCCACTTCTGCACCTGTGCTTGTCAACTTGTCTCTCTCACTCTCAGTGGCGGTGTTATGGCTAGCGTTTCCAGGCTCCCCTACGACTCCTGGACGCAGTTCGTCGAAGCCTATCGTGCAGGACAATGGGATGGCACCCTGATACCCCAGCCGCCTCCAGCATCTTCTACGAATGATTTAAAACCATCCGGCGAGGCTTCCGCCTCAGCAGAAATCGCCCCTATGAAGGGTTCGGACGACACCATGTGTGATGTGGAAGTCGCATTCGCTCAGAATGGTTTCCTGCCTGCTCTGCGTACCCCTAAGGAGAGGGAGCGACTCAAAGCCCTACATAGGTGAGGAGTCCCACCGCGCACGTTATATCCCATATTCAGGGGACAAACACCGGATGCTCGTCTTCAGGCTCGGTGCTGTGCACCGAAGGCTCGACCACAATTTCGACCGCATAGTCCACCTGGCCAAGGACATTCTCAACTCTAAATGGGGATTGATTAACTTGGTGGATGAGGAATATGGGTAGGAGAAATGGTTGAGATACTGTGCCCGTCCCGTCTGTACTAACTAACACTACAGATATTTCAATCATGACAGTAAGAATGCCGCGGGACTTGATTGCATCATACCATCGAATCGACCATTTCCATTTCCTCTGTTCCTCATTAGCTGGGCTTCCCTTAATCAGTTCCCCTCGCAAAGTATCAATTTGCGCTCACACCATTTTACTAAAGTAAGCATCTTTGAAGAGCGAGTCCTCCTCGAATCAGCGGCTCATTGATACACAGCGGTTCGGAACCAATGGTTGTACTGGACTCATGGAAAGATTGGAGATTTCGGCACAATGTAAAGGATTCTCTGGATTGCGCTAGCTTTTCTCAGCTTGACGGAGTGCTATCTTCCTCCAGCCGATGGTCCAAGGTCCTCCGCTCAAGCTTAGGTTTTATGCTGGGGTGCCATTGGTTTCGGATCACTTAAACATCGGGTCGTGAGCATTTTCCTCGGAATGCTGCCTTTTGGGGGAGTAAATGGATTATCCAATAGACTCTGTGTCTTCGGTGATCAGCCACGCCAGCAATTCACGCAAGAGGAAGTTGAGGTGCTTCAGGGTTTGGCTGTAAGGAGCATTGGTCGTGTGACATGTGCTAGCTTTTACTGACGGTACTTGATGCCGAAGGGTATCGTCGTCAGGGAAATGCAAGTCTGGAGAGACAAGGTAAAAGAATTCCCTTCGACTTCTTGTGCCACAGGTTAATATCCCTCCACAGCAAGAGATACGGATCCGCGAACGGATTCAAAAAGCAGTAAGCAGTTTTGATGGCCTTGGGATCTGGGCTACTTATGGTCGCTTCCCTGGTTTGCAGACGGAGAATTTCGCTGTCGATTGCTTGGAGAAAGTGCCCTTTGAGGAAAGCATTGAATCTACAACTTTGCGCCTTTGTCAGCGTACAGCAAGCCTCGTCAAAGACACTCTTGAAGTAGAAGGTTCAATCATTCTTAGTACTTCCAGTAAAGATATAGGCGTCAGCTCTTTCGGCGATACTTCCCAGGTTGTGGAACATCATCAGGAGATTCCTCGTATTGTTCAGCTCCAAGTACCGATGATGGAATGGTTTTGTCCTCTGATGACGAGCAGGAAACATATCAGACAACACTCAGCGATTCTGGCCTTGGATCTTCGGACTTCTCCCAATGTGGTGCTAATGAGTCCCCAGTTCTGAAAATTCTTGGTGCTGCTGTTGATGATGCGAGCATTTTGACACTCTCAAGTGCAACAGATGCGGCGGCGTTCGTCGGGCTTCACGAGAGCGGAATTTTTGGCGGAGGTGCAAATCAAGCGGGATGGGGAGATCTACGACGAGGCACAGATACCTGATTGTTTACGTTCTGTCATGCCTCTCGACACGAGATACGCCATGGGTGAGTTTCCATGGACCCAATGCGTCGATTACGGTCTGACTCGTCCATTCACGATGAAGCGGTCCCAGCCTTCGATGCGGATGGAAAACAGTTTGCGCTCTTCACGGCCTATTCTACCTCGAAGACTCAACGATTCCTCAATGGGTATGAACTCCAGTTTCTTCGAGAACTTGGCATTATCATTAGCAATGCCATCCTTAAGCGTATGACGGCTCTCGCAGATCAATCGAAAAGCAGGTTCATCTCGAAGTACGTCGTCTGATCATGTCACAGTTTCTAGCCGGGTGCCCATTCATTTCTGTACGGCTGCAATGAAGTATATCTCATGAGCTGCGAACTCCACTACATGGCGTAAGTCATGTAATAGTCCAAGCTCCGGTTGTGATGCACTTAACGTGCTCTGTCTTGTGCTTTAGATACTAGCCGCGGCGGAGCTTTTATCCGATGCCGAATTATCGGACGCACAGTCCGCCATTTTGGGGACGGTCCAGGCTTGTGGTAATTCCTTGGTGGAAACCGTGAGCCACGTTCTCGACTTCAGCAAATTCACAAGGAGTGGGAGATGGAACGTGTCAAGTAGGTTTCACATATCCAGACAGTTGCGGCAATTTTGTCATCACTTGCTCGGTAATAGTGTCGACCTTCTACAACTTATCGAAGAGACTGGTCAGTTGAATTCTTCATCGTTCCCTTGCGCCCGCGTCACCGATTTTCCTTGTAGTCGAAAGTTCCTGGGTAGGATCGGTGGCTCGTCGTTACGGGAGTTTCGACATTGGCGACGCATACTTCCCTCGGAACTATGACATGCCAGATTTGCCGAAGAACGTGGAAGCCTTGATCCGCGTGGATCTACGTCCTGATGTCAGTAAATCATCCCGCGAAGCTTCATCGACTCTGATAAGTTTCTGGTCCCAAGGCGTGGATACTTAAGTGCGAAAAAGGAGGCATCCGACGAATCCTGATCAACTTGCTCAGCAACAGTTTCAAGGTTTGTTCGCGCGACATCTTCTAATCGTGTGCATTGATAATGATGCCGCTTAAAAGTTCACGCAGGTAATGGTCCAGATGACGAGGATGGGTACACGGTGCTGATCCAAGCCGCCAGGAAGGATACGTCCGAGTCACTTTGAAAGAGATCGCTTCCGCCTGTGTTTTCCCCGGCCATACTATGCTGGAGCTTTCCGTGACCGATACCGGAAAAGTAAGTATTCCAGTGTGTTCGCGAGTTCATTTAGTCTGAGCATCAAATAGGGCATCGCTCCTGATTATCTTGAGGTGGTGACCTGTCTATATTTTTTCGTTCTCCCGTTCACAATGCACTTAGAATCACCTGTTCAAGCCTTTCTCGCAAGAAGACTCTGGTATGGCTGGGGCGGGTCTTGGATTAGCCATCATCAGAAACATTGTCGAGTCAGAGAGTGTCAAGGGCAAGATCGAAGTCAAGAGCAGCACAATACCTGGAGCATCCGGGACCGACATTCGGATCACATTCATGGCTGAGCGGCCGCCTCCTGACAGCCCGGTTGCGGAACGGAAATTGTACAATGCGCAACTTTCATCCGCGCGAATATGCCTCTTGGGATTTGATGTGAATCAGAAACGGCAACGCGCACTTTTAGAGGACTTGCTGCTCTATCTTCAGGATATCTGGAAGGCCTCCGTCGTGGATCGCATCGAGGAGTCAAACGTCGTCATTGTAAACGACGACGTCTCACTCTTCGGCTCCCTATGTCATGCTGAGAGTGTTAGAGTGCCTCTGATCCTTCTTTCGACTACACGCCGTCTTGATGTTTTAGCGGAGACGGCGCAATCCCTGAAAGAGTCAGGGGGCCACTTCCGCCTGGTTTCCAAGCCATGTCGACCCTCGTACTTGTTTGACGCAATCCATGATTGCATCGACAGGGCGCCGCCAATGATCCATTGCCCGCTTCAGCATGATATATCTCAACTTCCTCATTTCCCCCACCACCTGCGCATCCCCTTTGGCCTGGTTCACGACCCCAGGTGCCACGTCCAAAAAGCGGGCCATCAGGGACTGTAGGTTTGAGGGTTCTTGTCGTGGAGGACAATCATGTCAACCGGGCGCTTCTGACGCAGTGGCTGAGAAAAAAGGTTCGTCCTTGCAACCAGTCTGTCAGAATATTCTTGTTCATCACTTCTTTTAGCGTCACGCATATGACGAGGCTGAGAACGGACAAGAAGCCGTCATCAAGTTCGAAGAGCGCGGCCCAAATTACTATGAGTGAGCTGCGAACAGGGATTTACCCGTATATCTTGCTAACCCGATAACTCAGCGTGATCCTCATGGATATCTCCATGCCCGTTCTTGACGGTAAGCCACTTTCCTTTTCTAACCATGAATCACATTGCACATCTCGTTATATATAGGCATCGGATCAACGAAAGCAATTAGAGCATTAGAGGCTAAGTGGAGGCAGGATGAGCCGACTACAAGTTCCCCCGAATCACCCAGTTTAGCAAGCGACGGTAGCGAGACCGACTTCTTCCTGAGGTCATCCTCTCTTGGCGTGTATATTCTCGTTCTTTCTGGGCTCACGACGCAGGACGACAAGCTTCGGGCATTGGACGCTGGTGTCGATGGATAGTACGTGCATTCACCCTATTTCATCATGAGTTTTTTTTTTTTTTACTTACCTGATCGCCTTTGTTTGCTTAGCCTGGCGAAGCCCGTTTCGTTCAAGACACTCGCAACAATTTTCGCCAAACTGTGAATCAGTTCCTGCATGTCCAGAATCCTTCAGTCGCTAGGAATATACCTGTCCGTCAGACAAGACTCCAGTCCGTGTTATCGTTGCTCCTGCTCTGAAGCCACCCGACTACTCCAGGCCTTCTGCTTCAACCATCCGCTTTCTATTTCACGTTGGGGTTTTCCTTTGGGTTTAGTTTTGCTTGCTGTGAATTGTATCACGTCATTTTTCGTATATTCTGAATGAGCATCACTGTCTTGCCAACTCGACTCGTTAGTTTCTCCGATCGTTGGAAAATCCAGGCTAGCTCACAAGACGACTCATGACGGTTGAGATCAGTCACTTTCAACAGTCTGTGATATCTTGACAGAGTACGTTTGTTTTGGAATTTAATTGGTATGCTCTCAACGGTAGGGTCCAGATGTGTTCACCATCTCCGGAAGCTGCGACTCTCACCATCCTTTATTGATCCCTAAGTTCAACTTCCGAGACGAACTCGTCCCGCAACTTTGACGGTCGACGAGCGCTATGTTTTACGTTGCTCTGCCATTAGTGAAATTCGCGCTTGTAGTTTGTAAAACAATGGAAACGCAGTGGCAGAAAGCCGTGTAAAGAGAAACTGAAAAGAAAAGAAAGAACTGCAGCACTCAGGATTCCCACGTAGTCCCCTACCGTGGTACTAACTAAGCGGTACTCGGCTTAACTTCGCAGATCGGACGGGATGCGGTGCTTCCCGAGTCCTATGGCCGCAGATGCTGTGCCCTTCATTCCCACCCTAATGAATGTCTACTACTCAGGGTTGAGGGTTGTCAGACATACATGGGTACATCCAGGTCTTCAGGCCAGCTGAGACTGACCCCATTTACCGCGTACGTCACTTTGTCCCAGGCGCGAGGACGAAACAATATATGTGCGATTAATTCGACGATAGTCTGTTCACCTGTGTGTTGGGTCGAAACAGCTGTAGACCGGCGATTGATGAAGATGAAACGAAACAATGAGGGATGAACTGTCGAGACAATCAACACGCATGTATAAAAAAGGGAAGAGAGGTAGACTTGAGGACATGATTAGGGAGACAACGCGAGCCCAAGTCGGATTTTACCGTAAATTTTTGACGCTAGGCATTTCCGAACCATGATAAAGCGCGCCGCGCACACGCATCATCGTCTATCCAAAGTGAAGAGACAGAGATTGCACACAATACGGCAGCGAACTGGACATACAGTATGACAGAGAGTCAAAGGGTGGGAAGACACAACGGACAAAATGGAACAACCAGCAAGATCTCCTAAAATTAAGTGCCAAAAAGAAAATAATAACAACTCCAGGAATGCGTGAGATAACATGAAGACGAGGTGTAAAATGAATGAAAAGGTTTTTTTTTTTTAAAAAAAGAAAACAGAAAGAAGAATCAAGAAGAGTCGGACACAGTGTGCATCGCGTGTCTTGGCAACTGGACAGGTTTTGCCACACAACGTCACTTTGCAGGACCAAACGGGCTTGAAGGGGAGGGGGATGCGCGCGGGGGAAAATAGGCGAAACAAGATTGGTTGTGGCGCTAACCTCCAATATGGAGGCAATTATAATGATGGACTAAGTGGAAGCAGTAACAATACTGAAGGGAATGACAGATGGGAAACCTGGAAGCCAGTGGTTTAGGATTTGGATAATTCGATATAAATACGTGTTGGCTACCTGAATGATGCATAAAACGTCATGGATGAGGGGTGGAGTATAAGGGGACAGGACCCACAGAGCTACGGCTTCTTTCTCCATCGGCATCATGCGAGTACGAGGCAACGGTGGGGCATTAACAGAACGTGTTTGTGGATCGAGAACGGGATCGCTGATAGCAGCAGGTGTACCCGGCCTTGATGACTGACCATTGGCTACCGAGGAAGATGCAGTGATCGTGGAGATGATCTGCTGATTAGTCGGGTAATAAGATCGTCGCTTCATCTTGTCGTGGTCATAATTCGTGAATCTAGAAAGATGAAAGCGTGGGAAATGAAGAACGGAAAACTCAAACATACTGCTCTTCGAGTTGTCTCATCTCTGAGCTGAGAGAGCTGATATCTTGATTCGGGTTCCGCTTGCGTGCCTTGAGAGGATTATCCTCAAGCAGGAGCTCTTCTAGTTCGTGAGTAGCATCGAAATTCGCCTTTTTCGACTAAATAGTTGGAATAAGGGTTCAAATGCTTCTGGTAGGGAACAAAGGAAACGTACATCTGGTACGAATGGCGGTTCAAATTCTTTCCGTTCCAACAAGTTCCACTCGACCGATCGGAGCCATGGATGATTCACAACATCCTCAAACCCCGCCCCCCGAGGCCGGCACCCCAAACGACGATTTATATCGCGGTCCAGGAACTAAAAATCCGTTTGGGACTTCGATTAGTCCAAGGAACATACCCGGGAGCTGGATGGTGTCTCACAGAAGCAATGGCATGAATACCTTCCTTGCTGCACTTCTCCTCCACGCCATCAGGGAAACGCAACGACTCCCGTGTGATGGAGTGTGTAAGATCCGAGTTGGTCTTGCCACGGAACGGTCTTCGACCGAACACAAGCTCAAACGCGCACACGCCGAGGGACCACCAGTCGATAGTGTATGTATAACCCTTCTTGTTCAGAACTTCAGGGGCTGCATCACAAGTGGAAGAAGGATCACGAGAACAGGCAGAAGGATTACTAGAGGTCCATTACGAAACTCCTTCCGAGGCTGTTTACGTACCCATATAAGCCATGCTGCCAGCGACGCCAGTCAGAAGTCGCCGTTCAGAATAATGGACTGCGATATTGAAATCGGTGATATGGGCATGACCCCGCTCATCAAGGAGAATGTTGTCCGGTTTCAAGTCACTTAAAGGGTTATCATTAGCGTGTTCCCATACATAGCTGCGCCGCTGCCTTACCGGTGGATGATACGTTTTGAATGGAGGAAATTGAGCGCTGAGCCAAGTTCGGCCACTATCACTCGCACCGCAGCCTCTGGTAGACGCCCTAACCGTTCCAGATGGACTTCGTGTCCTATGTCGGCCAAGTGAACGCGATAGAATGAAATTCAGACTCACACCGTAAATCACCCCCCAGCATCAAGTCGAGGACAAAGAAGCAATTTTCATCATCCTGGAAAGCGTACCGCAGATTGACAACAAATGGATGATCAATCTAAGGGGCGAGTGGTAAAGACTTTGGACTTGGCTGAGTCTGGAGCGCCCACCTCCTCCAGCAGACGCCGCTCCTGTATAATGTTCGAAACGGCTTTCATTTTGACACATTTGGCCTTGTTTATGTACTTCAGGGCATACAGGTTCTTGGATTGCTTGTGTTGTACCACTCGAACCTGCGGAGGGCGACAAGTTGGCCAAAGAGGAGCAGCACGGAAAACAAAATCGTACCTTGCCAAACGCGCCTCGTCCTATACTCCTCAGCAGATGAAAATGAAACAGTGTCGCATCACCATCGAAGTCTATGGGCTAGGTGAAGCGCTGTTGTAGTGGATCGACGTTGCTGTCAAAGCACAAATCTCCCACCTCGGGTCTGCAACATACACCGCCCATCTTCCTTCCTGAACTCTGGCGCTACCTTGGGTGGGGATCTGACGGGTGGTAAGAGGAGAAAAACGTGTATAATGCAAGTTTGCTGATGTTTGAGTCGAAGAATGAGTGATGTGAAACTTTGGCGATATATTGGCGTGAGTCCGAATGATGAGATCCAGCTGAAAGCACAACGCCCGCGACGGAACGGAAAGGTGTGGAAATTGGGTCAAAGGGAGTACAGTGAACTAAAAACGAAACGAAGAGTCACGATGAAAAGAAGAAAGAAACTAGTGAGTTGCCACACTTGTTGCTACTCGAGCGGAGTTTCGTGCTTCCAACAAATGACTGCCTTTTATGTTACATTATTTGATCTCATTTTTAATCCAGTTACACAGGACAAATTCTCCACTTTTGGGACGCCAGTTCGGGCACCGCCGATCCTGGTCAGGCACATTTAGCGACGAGTCACTATCCAGAGAGCATTCTTCATCCTGAGGCGGGGAATCCGATCCCAGAGCTCATTATCACCACTTCCGAATGACAGGCCATCTTGAACCTGTACCACATCCAACACTTCCCACTTCCCACCCAACTCCCGGACGTCCTCGACAAGAGCATGCGAAAATGTGTCAGTGTTATTAAACTTCAACTTGATGTACTGCCAATCCATCCTCGGAATGGCGTTTGTGCGGAATGACAATTGTGGAGGGCCTCGCTCTTGCAAGAAGAGTGATGCACCACTTTGCGCCGCATAATCGTCGATGTAAACTCTGGCTGGGTCATTGATTAGCCTGAGAACGGACACAGCCCCTTGTATTCTTACCATGAGTTTCATCGGCCAAATTATGCAGCCGGTGCAACGCTTCCCCACCGGGATAATTGTTTTGTGAGAGCACAGACAGCAGCACAGTCGCGCTAAGATTTCCAAAGAGCAACCCTGCGACCACCAGGGTCAAGAATGGCCTCAAAAGCCCTTTTCTCGCTAACCTAATGTTCGTCCACGTTAGTAAGAGAAATGGGAGGTTAAGAGATAACCATACAACCACGAAATTCCTCGAGCGGCCGCTACGTTGAAGATTGGCACAACGTAAACGATAAACCTCCACTCTTTGTGGGCTAACCCTGATATAAGTGTCACGAATGCTAATGACGGAAGTAGGATGAAACGGATCCTGGAATCGACCAGGAACCCTATCATGCTTAGAGGTGCACCTCCCATGAGCAATTTAGGGAGGAGGGAGAAGAAATATGCATGTGCTGGGGAAATCTACGGTCGGCGAATCTGATGGTTTATCCAAAAACGAGTATAGGATTAATACCCACCCCCCAATCCGCACTTTTCCCTTCATAGACATTAAACAAAACCCCGGCTAACTCTGGCCACAGGGTTTCCTGCTTCCAGAAATACGCGTCCATACGCGTCGTGACGACTGAAAATGCCTGTTCAAATATGAAGCCGAGCAAGCGATCAACTTACAAAGCGCGGCAAGCCCTGCCGATATGCCTGTTGCTACGAGGGAAATTAAAGAGTTTCTTCTGGTGAGAAGTAATTGCAACGCCCAAGGCGCCAGGAACAGAACCAGCTCTGCCCGAAAAATCACAGCCGCGGCCATCAACAGCGCAAGCGCGAGGAGCGAAACATGGGGTTTTGATGGGGATGATCTTATCAAGAGGCTCGACGCGATATTGACTACGTTCCTGCAAGCTTATTACTCCTACCAATCAACGAACGGGGAAATGCTTACCAGGGAATAGCGCAAACGTGTTCGGCAACGTCCTACTCATCCAGAACAGTAGGTGGAACTGAGTGAGACTAGTTATGAGGAAAGCCGAACCAACTTTCCGCCCAAATTGCCTCGACACAGCCCGTTGAACGAGGGTCAAACCATAGGCATTCACTAATCCAAGGACAACCCGGGCTGCATAGCGGAATGTTGCATTAAACGCAAGTGATAGAAATCCAGATTCTTTACGTGCCAACGACCTGGATACTGGATTTAGAACGTAAAAGGCCAAGTTCGTTGGCGAAAAATAGCACAGGCTTGACCAAAGTCGCAAGGATCAGGCTTCCAATAAAGGTTCGAGGAACCACGCCCGGAAAGACAAAGTGATCATACTCCAGAGCAAGTATGCCATCACTTTTGGATTCACGCGTATCCTCAGGAGACGACGAACCTTTGACAAGTTCTCCAAGCTCACACCATACATTAAGACATCGTGCAGAGCGTGCAAATTGAAACTCTCCTCCACCTTGGTGTAGGGAGCAAGAAGGACATGCAAAGCAGTCACAGCATATAGGAGAATGTCTATGATCATAGCGCTCTTCCCTCTGACGCTATGTAAGGGCGGCCCTCAGAGTCTGTTCCGATGCATAGCCACAAATCCTCTGGTCTTCGACTAGGTTTAGGATGGCCTCTCCAAAGCGACCTAAGAGCTACCACGAGAGTTCACTGGACAGCGGTAGCCCTTTCCGCTCTTCACGAGCGCGAACACGGAGTGGCTCACCTCTCCTTCGCATGATTCGAAGCTCGTCGTCGCTCTCTCCTAAGAAGATGAACTTATTTTCCTCCTCTAAAAAAGGCTGGCGTTCCTTGTCTCCTAGTCCTAAGAAGGCTTCTGTATCTGTGTCTGATTCTACACGTCCAGCGACCCAAACATGGAAAACAGCCCCAGCACCTTCTGCTTCGACTCCTCGGAAATCCCTTAGCACGCAGTTGAGCCGCATCCGCCGTCGGTCTGCATCTCTTCCCTACCTTCGACACACTGCTAGTCCCCCCAGCCATGGCTTGTCTCTTGCTCGTTCGCCCGTCGTTTCTGTCTACAATGTTCATGATGACCCGTTCCGCTTCTCTCCTCATCCAGCCCAAGGGATCTTTGTTCACACAGACAGTCTTAACCTACAGATGGCGTCTATTTTATCGACAGAGTCCAGGGACAATGGACCCATCGAGGCGGATATTCTTGCGCGTCAGAAAGTTAAGACTATGTTGTTGCTATCGGAAGAGAAAAAGAAGCGAAAATTTGAGGCCCGTTCCCTCGCGCATAAGAGTGCTCCGCTTATGACACTTTCCAATGCGTCAAACTCAAATACATCTCAGTCTAGTCCTATCCGCTCGAATCGGAGTCCTAAACGGTCGCGCCTCTCAGTTCAACAATTTGATGTCTTCAGTGCAGATTCCGGTAATCCTACTCCCCCCAAGAAACGCAGAGATTGCTACAGCCCAAGTCCCACTTCTTCGCCCTCCCGGTCCGCGAAGTCAGAGGCGCGTGGAACCTCCAGTTCTCGAAAGGGTAAGCCTGTCAGGAGGCAGAGAGAGAGTTCAAGCCAGAAGGTGCCCCGACCATCTGTAGGACCTCCTTGGATTCCTGAAGTGCCCGACGTTTCCATTTTCGATCCTCAGCTTGAGCCTCCTGACGTTGCCGATGAGAACCCATCAAGCCCAAATCCATTCCGAGTCATTCAGTCAGACTTTGAGGTCTTCGAGACTGGACTTAAAGAAGATGGACTTTCTCATGCTGATTCTCCCCCGTCGATTTTCTTCCAGCCTCCAAGTCCCATAAAGGATCCCTCGAAACGTCGCGGTCTGATCGTCAACACACCTCTGCTGATCCTTAATATCCGTCGAACTCCCTCTTATGAATCTTTAGCTGAGAAAGAAGAGGCAAAAGAGGGCGAGGGAGTTTTTGAGCCCCTCGCCTCTGATTTCGATACCGCCAGTCCAGACTTCGGAGCCACAGAAGTCGGAAACAAGCTCGCAGGGCATAAAACTCCGGAAGTTTCGGTTCCTCAAGTCAGTGAAGAAGTCAGTGACATCCACTCTCAATTATTGTTGAAAGATGTTGACTATATATTAGGATATGTACCTGCCCGTTTCAGAAATGCTCGATCATTATTTTGAAGACTCAGACATAAGTGCTGGCTCATGGTCCATAACAAAGTCATTTTCAACTCCCGATGAACCAATGGCCGCTCAACCGGGACACAAAACGCGCATTTCGGGCGTCTCTTTGTTCACAGAAGCTAAACTTCACCTTGCATCTCAAGACCTGTTAACTCATCCATCCATTGAATCAAGTATTGGCCCGAGAGATGCACCGAACAATGTTGATCCCATAGACACCTTTATTGGTGCCCAACCTCCCGTGTCTTCATTGCTGCACTCCCAGTCTCATGAGCTGGACATGTCCTCGCAAGCTGGGCCCAGTATGACTGAGCCTCTGAAATTCGAACCTGTTCCTGAACCGTCATTGGATCTAACCGACATCCCATCTAAGCCAGTTCTGCCAAGTAGGATCAGGAGCGACCGCGTCAAGAATCCATCTACTGAGTCTGGCCCATCTCCGACCTTCAGCTCATCTGTGCTATCTCAGACTCCTAAGGTACGGAGGCCCTTCATAACGTTTCTCGATCCATCCGCAAACATTGTCCCCAAGGACTCGCTTGATACTACCCATCACGAAGCATCTGCAAGTTCGTCCCAGATACAGCGCCTGCAATCCCCGGCACCCACTGGGAAGAGGAGAAGGGGTTTGTCTGACGTTGCCAGCATGGCCGTTTCTTTGAAGAGACTTGCAAGGAATGGGAAGACGAAGAAGGCGGAGTCATCCCTCGGAGACTAGGGGCACCAACCGGCAACTTTGGCGAGGGTAGCAAGTGGACCTGGATGTATATAATGAACTCTTCTCGCCGTCTACCTGTCCCACTTTCTGTTGATATAACGCCTGGCATAACCTAGTGTGAACACGACACTTTGACACTAAGTGATCAGATTTGATGGAACCACCGGACTCGCGTCCTAGTTTATTTTTGGCAGCGAACGATAGCTGTGCGGACACTCGCATGGGTTCCAATCATAACAGGGCTTCTCATTGATGCCTGAGATCTTTCCTACCTTTCATCGTCTAGGTGTCTCCGATGCATATCACCCTGAAGACATCCCGAATCCCATTTGATTCCTGAGCCAAACAGTGTGCTGGTCAGCACCGTGGCGGGTAACCACATGGAGATCCTGAGGGCTGTGTTTTCCTTTTCATATTCACCTTGCATAAACGTAGCAACTGAGCATCAACAAGCTGTTTCCTTCGAGTTGCAATGAAATGGCGAAGCTTTTCATGATGTGCACGAATTGACGAACGCATCCTAGCACCCACTTCGGCTCCAAGTTGTTAATAACTCTATACAAGCTAATGTTGCCGTATGATGAGTTCTTGGATCACCACGTAAGAATCGGCGGTGGTGGCGTTGTCAACATGGCCACCCCGAGTTGCAATTACCGGATATCGAAGCACAGTTTTGTTCTATGATGCACAGACGAAGGAGACAGAGACAATTTGCTTTAAGCTGTCGAGATTGCGTTAAAGACACATGCTGCTGCGCATGTATGTTGGGAACAACACCAAAAGTGGGGCGTAATATCCGGGATCGGAATTTGGCCACCTTGACAAACTTGAAGGGGAAGAACTCCCGCAATCAAATTAAGTTCCTCATGGAGCAAAAATGGCTGAAATTAATACGTCAAGGACCCCAATTGAAGTCTACTAAGATCCCGCCGAAGAAGCTGCTGATCAGAGATTTTCGCATATGATGAAGTCCATCTGAAGGGCTTTCACACCTTCGATTCCCAAAGCACCTCGCGGCACTATGCCGACCGGGATATTGGGCCCCTCTCTCCGCTCTAGCCAGGCACACCAGAAGTGAGTGGGCCCCGTCCCAGAACAACGGACCCATAACGAGCCTTCAAGGAGTGTTGGTACTCATTGATCTCATTGACTATGCGGACAAAGCCCTGCCTAGCAACCTCACGAAGCTCTACTTGAATACAGCGACTGCCCTCCGCAGTTGAAGGCAGTTGTAAAAAATCATGAATTTACAGCGATCACTCTAGGGCCGCCTCTCAGCACGGTTTCGGTTGAAAACATAGTGAAGCACTACGACCTAGAACAAACCGCAATAAGTCAGAGTCAGACCATGGCTCTCGCGAGTTGAAAATCACAGAGGGGCGAGTTCTGGCTCCGCGTAGTACCCTCCAGCCCAGTCAAAGGACTGCGGACCAGGATTCAAGATTGCAGCAGGGACGAAGGGATAGACGCGAAGAGCCATGCGACCGTTTATCGCTTCCTTGCATAGGCGAGCAAACACTGATTCTGGCCCCCAGAGCCAATGAACGGAACGGTCTGCCAACCTCAACGACACAACTTTTGGCACTACAGGATCCTGCCGTTCATACTCATACGCTGTCAGTCACGCCCTCATCGACGCCACAGCAATACAGGCGCGGCCACACGGGCAATCATGCGAGATCGCCGAGCGCCTTACCTCGCTGCGGCCATGTCTTCTCTCTTCACATGATATGCCCTTCTTTCCAGTTTCCCCACCAAGATTTGTGCAAATTGAGCAGACTTCAACTCAAAATGCGGCGAGTCCTAAGCCCGCGACGCAGCCGCAAGCTCCTCCATGGCTAGCTCGATAAGGCACGAATGATCTCCCCATGGGAACCCTGACCGCTATGATGTGAAAATCGCCCAGACGAGCGGGGAATACTTCGGGATCCTCCGCAAAGGTAACTACCACATTTGGTTAGTGTCGCTCCCGATGTGTAAAACCATAATATTGACTCAAAACTGTGACTCGGTCACGAGTCTATAAAAACGAGCGATCCATCGATTTTGACTCCCAGTAATTGCCCACTGCATATAGCCACTAGCAGCTTAGAACACCCCAGCGGGTTTGGTTCGAATCCATCTTCTCTTTTTCGGATCATCTTCTTGACTTGAGTTCTGGTAACAGGAGTGCCGGAGCGGGATCTTTTTCTTCGCCTCCATTTCAACTACCGAAAAAAGGACCTTAGAGGAATCGCTTCTTTTCCAGCTCAACACCCACACTTTCAGGAACAAGAAAATAAAAAGACATGGCAGTCCGTAAGTCCTTTTCCGAAAATCGGCTCGACCTTTCGTTCTGCCTCCCTCGCATTCACAATGAGGATTTTATGATCCGATCCTCCTTTGATTAGGTACTCAATTTGAGAATAGTTCGATATTGGAGTTTTCGCCAAACTTACGAATAGGTGGGTACAGCAGATCTTTCTATTCTGTGTGCTCCACGATCTGACCGATTAGCTATGACTCAAACTTGGAATTGGATCTCAATGTTCGTGCGCGGGACTCGGATGTAGCTACTGTCTCGTAGCAGTTGGAGGCTCTATGAATTTCTACTCGACGTTCGAGTCAGAATTGGGAGATGTGATCCCAATTGTTCATACGACGATCGGAGGGACAAGAATCATTGGGCGGTTAACAGCTGGTCAGTCACAATGCCATCGTCTTTTCGTGTGTTGATCCCATACGTTGACTCCTTCACACACTGAACTCTGCTCATATGGCTTCGTACGAATAACCTTTGACGGCATAACATGCCTCTAATCCTTTCGCTCTCCGCATGCATTCCTCGATTATCGACACAGGGAACCGTCACGGTCTCCTAGTCCCTTTCTCGACAACCGACCAAGAACTCCAACACCTCCGAAACTCCCTCCCAGATAGCGTAGCTATCCAACGTGTTGAAGAACGACTCTCAGCACTAGGGAACGTGATAGCTTGTAATGACTATGTTGCACTCGTTCATCCAGATGTGGATCGCGAAACAGAGGAGATCATAGCGGATGTGTTGAAAGTCGAAGTGTTTAGACAGACGGTGGCCGATAATGTGCTCGTGGGGAGCTATTGCTGTATTACAAATCAGGGAGGGTTGGTTCATGCAAAAACGAGCGTTCAGGATCAGGATGAGCTGTCTGCCTTGTTGCAGGTTCCGTTGGTGGTGAGTGTCGGGAGTTTTTGTTTCGTTACCTCGCTTTCGGTTTGGGGTAACATGACATTGTCTGGATGCCCCGTCCGATGGATCGTGAATCAACGAATGGTGGGACGTTGCCGTTCACATGAGAGTTTCTTCCTTTCTTCGTCCTACATTCACTGACAATTTCGTTTTCGGTTGTATTTCAGGCCGGGACGGTGAACCGAGGATCGGACGTGATTGGTGCCGGACTAGTTGCGAACGATTGGTGTGCGTTTACAGGGCTAGAGACGACTGCGACTGAAATCAGCGTCATTGAGGCTACTTTGAGTGAGTTTTTTTTTTTTTTTGAAATCTGTCCTTTTTCGCATACCACGGCGAGGTTATGTGAAATGGGCCATTATGCAAGTGTGGAAGCTAATCATCCTCTTGCACATGTAGAGCTTCAGGGACAGCAGAGCAGTGCTGTTATTGGGGAGATGAGGGATGCGCTTATCGACAGTTACGCATAGTCCTGTGTTCGATGTCTGTCCAAGTCGTGATGGATGGATTGTGGCTTGTCGACTGCATGGCGATGGCTTTGATTCGGGGGTCTGTACGAGGTACCTCTATTCCAACAGAGGCTGGTGAGCTGCCTACGAGGTATCATCATGACAGGTCCGTAGTCTGGAGGAATTATTGAGAGTGACAGTTTGTGTGGGTCTAGAAGACTCTTCGGCTATTTCGGCTTCCCTTTTCCCCTGAATGGCAAGAGAGTGGTAATCGGGTCGACGTCGCATTTCAAAATAGGAGGTTTGAATAGTCATGTGACCATCATTTGTCAGAGCCCGAGTTGAGCTTGAATTCGAGTGGCTTGGGGTGCAATGTATCTCTGCAGGAACACTTCGAACAAGGGTTGTAGTTGTAGCAAAGGGAAGGGTCTGGTACTTGTCCTTCAAAAACCCCTCTTCCATGCCAACCTCTTTCCTCGCCTCTCGTTCCATCTCGTCGACGGAGACAGCCTCGGTCGCAGTCTAGACAATATCAGATAAAAACTCAAGCAACGGTGATATGAGCTTGGAAACTGCCGCTGCTGCAGGTGGCTTGAAGCAGCAACCAGCTTCAGACGTCACCGTTGTCAGCCTTAGCTCTACTTCATCGGCCACGAGTAGACCACGCGTTTCTCGCACCCCTCTCAATCTTCACTACATGCGTTTCACACGAGCGATTCGTATCGCTATCTGCCCGCGACTAAATCTAACAATGTCTGCAATGATAATCTTGACCATAAAAATCGGGTGACAACGTATGACCAACCCGTTGCGATGGGTCGCGGCCCATTTCTAACTTTGGATATGCATCGACACCCTTTATAGATCCGTTTATAGTACCAGCAATAATAACGTTTCCGCCTCGAATCTGAAGGTGGCAGCAACTCGTGGTCTTACGCGTGCACACCCTCAAAATCAACTTCGTAAAGGGAAAAAGCATGCGCGTATACACGCGCCCCTCCACCGTCGTGGGCTTATACATCAACAGCACCATGAGGAAGGAATCAAGTCTAGTTCGCCTACCGACTCCCTCCCTCCTTTGTCTTCTGCTTTCTCACCTTCATCCACCGCTACTGCAACAACCACTGCTACTACTACCCTCACTAAACGAAGGCTGCAGGCATTCCTCTATCCAGCTCACGTTGCTCACGACCCTTTCCTCTCCCTTGACCAACTTCGCTTCAGGCAATTCGTTCTACTAGCCTCTTCTAACACTGACACTACTACTGCTGTTTCTACTACTATTACCACCGGGAACTCGAATTCGAAATCGCAGGACGAGAACGAACAACAACCGAATTATCCTAAGAAAGATATCGTCACCTTACCGATCCCATCGTCTAATTCTGTTTCTACTACTATCACTAAGAGATCAAGTACCGCTTGGGCACACCCTACAGACCGTCCTCGATCAAGGAATAAAGAAAGTTTAGACCACCAAGGCCATCTTGGCCGTGGCTGTCATCATTGTATTGAAATACCTTGTTGCTGCCGGGAACGATCGTCTATTACCACTGCTGCTAACGAAATCCACGCTAGGCAGAGAACTTCATCTTTGTTGCCGCTTACTGCTACAAACCCTTTCTGTACTATCACTGAGGAAGACGAAGAGCTGAAAATGCCGCTTTCATTGCGCGTAAAGGATCTACATCCATTCCCCCGTCGCTCTAATACTGTCTCCTCCATCCATACTACAAAGTCTGATTCCACAATCACTGCAACCTCTCCCACCTATTAAAGGCAACCACAATAGAAAACCAAACTATCACCATCCCAGCAGACTCTCCATCTCAAAGTCCACTCATCCTCGAACCTGCCCTATCTACTATCACCGACGCATCATCCACATCCACATCCTCCTCTTCTACAATCATAGCAGGAGAAAATGGGAATAAAGGAAGAATGTGGTATAGGAAAATGAGTCAATGGCCTCCTAGCGAGTTTGTCGATCCCTTTGCGGCGGGTCCCATTGTTGTGGTTGCCTCCTCATCTTCTAGTAACGCTAATGTGGGAGATGTGAGAGGGGGACATCATGTTAAGAAGAAGAATGTACCAGCGTGTGTGGAGAGGGTTGAGGTGAAGCTTTTGGATGGGAAGATCGGTGAGTTTAATGCCTGCAAGGGAGTTTGTCGGTAACTGACTATTTGGATCTTCTTCTTTATTATTATTTTTTGCATTTGCTCTAATGCGGAATGGATGATGTATTCGTGGATTGTGTCGACTTTGTGATGTCTACCCATGTGTTCTCTTACTTTCTTTATAGTTGATGCTGTTCTTGGAGCATTACCTCCTGGACCAAAATCGAATGTCCCGCTACCACCATACCTCAGAGGCACTCGCTTCGACTTCGACTTCTTTGAGTCTCGTTCCGAATAATTCATGCTGCTTCAGCGACTCCGACTACAATGACTCTGGATACACCTACCAACTCGGCTAGTTCTGGCGGGCTAGGATCGGCTCTCAGCGCCCCTTCGTCTACTTCCACGAGGAGCGGTACGACTGAGTCCTTAAAGACTGCTGTTTCGCCTTCAAGCACGGCCGTAACCGCAAGTACAGCTACGGGTGTGTATGCCTACAGTACTCAAGATGATTCAAGCGAAACAACGCCTCTTTCCCCATATCTCCGATTACATCATCACCCGCGACCACCTCAGTACTTCGATCCACGTTCAACCCATCTCCGGCACCCTTATCCATTCGAACTCCCTCGCCGGAACACATTGTCCAACCGTATCCTCACTCCATCTCGCTTACTCCCCCCCCAAGTCCTACGTCCCTACTAATACATCCAAAAGGTTAACTCGTGAGCTGCTACGTGGAGATATGCGGTTTGTCCCTCCCTCCTCTTCACCGGCAAAGTCGATGTCGATTGAGAGTGAAATGGAGGGTGGGAAGGAGAAAGGGAAGAAAGGGAGTAGACCTGGGACACCTTCGTTCAGAGTTCATGTTCCCGCGATTGTCTTTAGGAGGGGGAAGAGCGTCGACGCTGGAAGGGGGAAATCGGAGGGAAAGGGTAAGTACTGTAAGTTTGCATTTGTGCTTTTCCCTTGCTGACGGAATGACATCCATCATTTACTTCTCGCGGCGCGGGTTTTTGACTGACCGCCTGACTTTGTTTGGGATGTAACACAAAATGGTTCCAGCTGAGGAGGAATCGGTCCTCTCCCACCGAAACCAGCAGCAGGGACAGGGACGTATGAGATGTTCTCGAGTCTGAGTGGATCCCCAAAGTTTTCAGACCCTCCTGTAGTGCCCCTTCCTGCTGAGCTAAATCTCAGCAGCCTGAGTTTCGGTCTCAGCTTCAGCGAGAACAACCTTTTGGATAAGAAAGGTACTGCGGGGGCTTTGATGGAGGCTGGATCGCCTACTGTGCTTGAGGCTGAGGGAGAAAGGTTCGTGACGGCACCTACGTCCGTTTCCTCCTCTCCCATTTCACCACTTTCGCCACTTCTTCCTCTCTCTACTCTTCCACCTCCGTCGTCTTTTACGCCTCCCGGCTCAGATTCGACGCATCGAAGGCTGAAGAAGAAAAGACCTTCCACCGCTCCAGCCGCTACTTCGTCCTCCTCGACCACGAATTTTTCTTCTCCCTCCATGACGTCATTTGTCTTTGATTCCCGCCCTTCCTCGCCCTTGCGATCGACAGAGGTAGTAGCTGTGGAACGTAGCAATGATAGGAGACACCCTTCGACGACTAGTCCCACTTTAACCGGCTCACAGCTCGCTCCAGCTTCGTTGCCGTCGTCTATTCTTCCCATACTTTCTGCCGCTACATCCACATCCGCTCATACCGCTCGATTTCATACAACTTGCACCGCCGGTACAACCCTTTCGCGACCTACCACTGCAACTTCGTTGGAGGGTAATACAATGAGTATTACTTCTGGGGCGAGCAGTAGTAGGTACAGTACCGTTGCGAGTTTTGAAGGGGGTGCGGATTCGCTATTCGGAGTACCACCTTCGTATATGAGAAGATCGAGAAGGGGGAGTGGAGGCAGTAGTCTATTTAGTGGTGAATGGATGAGTACCCTCGGAGGGGTTGCCAAATCGAAGAGGAAAAGTTTAAGGGAGGGGAGTGAGGATAGTCCTGTCCCTCCACTACCGCCCTTGCCATCGGAGTTCCGGGATGGCGGTATGCCGGGATCGACGGTATCTTTGCCTACAACAGGTAGGATTGGGATCAAGGGACGTTCGAATACGGTTTCAGGTGGAGGACAATATCCGACTTGGACTTACAGCCATCGCATTCCGTCTTATCTACGACCGCGAGGAGGATCTGGACGTACACGCGCTTCTTCCCCTCCTACGCCCGATGCTTCTCACACGCTCGATAAACTACGGCGGCTCTCGAGGACGTTGGAGGATCTGACGCTTTTCGATGACGCTTTGGGTCTGGGAGGGGTAAGTAGTGTCGGTGATCCGTGGACGCTCATCCTCAATCCGAATGCGGATGCTGAGGCTAAGAGCGGGGTGCTTTTGGAAGTGGCGGCTGCAGGAGGAAGCTCGTCATCTGGAGGTGGGAGTCTGCTATCTGGTAGGTCTGGAGGTGGCTCGAAGGAGGGACAGAAAGAAGGGAAGAGGAAGGAGAAGTTTGATGAGTGGGAGGGGTTGAGCACTGCGCAGGTGTGGAGGGCAGCGCAGATGGAGGTTATCGATACGGAAGGGAAGAAGGTTAAGTTTGGGAGCCTGTTCGAGGAGCAGAGGACTATTTGTTGTTTCATTAGGCATTTCTGGTGAGTGCACTGTTTCTTCTTCGCCTGGCAGTCGACCAAAGATTCAGGGGTTGTGATGATCGGTCATTGCCGATAACTGTCGTTTAGGTGTCCGTTTTGTCAGGATTATTTGCGGAGTATCGTGGACAACGCCCCACCGGCCAAGCTCGATAAGGCTGGTGTAAAGCTTATCATCGTTAGCAATGGCTCACACAAACTTGCTAAAGCATATCAAGGTTAGTCAGACGGCGCTTGTGGTCTTGATAATGTTCTTTATTGGCCCAATATCAACAGAAAATGTCTTCAAGTGCCCCTATCCTATCTATGTCGATCCTTCTCGCGAGCTGTATCGCGCGTTTGGTATGACTCGCTGTACGATCAACGGGGGACCTGAATCGGAAAAGGGTGCATATGTCGTTCATGGACCCATTGGCGGCCTTGGAATGGCGTTGAGGAATGCCATGAAAATGCCCCTGGGGAATGCGGGTGATATCAAGCAGTTAGGAGGGGAGTTCATTCTTGGACCGGGGATCCGATGCGAGTACGCGCATCGGATGCCGACAACAAGAGGGCATGTTGATATTAGAACACTCCTTTCGATTACCAGGGTCGACAGGGTTTCAGAGGAAGGAGAGCGGTCGCGGGATAAGTTAGAGGTAGACATTGACCATCCGAGGAAAAAAGAATGGGATGCGCTCATGCGGTGGAAGGAGAAAAGGGGCAAGGGCAAGTGGGAGTTGTTTGATGATCTTGCAAGTGAGGAGGATATGGTGGCGCCGTATGACTGCAGCGATCAAGACCAGGCGTGCGATACGGAGGAAGATGGATGGGGAAAGAGGACCATGAGGGATCTTTTGGCTCTTATTCCGCAAGATCCGGATGTGGACGAAGTGGCGCGTCATGAGTCGTCGCCGCTTATGGCTACTTCAGCGGGCTGACCATTCTATTACCACACTCTTTGCATTTCATCAAACCTGCCTCGTGTTATTCCTTTCTTCACGCTCCTTCCAGCTCTACCGGCATATGCAGTATCGCTTTCTCTTCTCTTTCCCGGCGAGTCCAACGAATCATGCATGAAATATTGTGCACGTTGCATTCAACCTCCAGGGCTTCCTTCCTTTATTCTACCGATGCCCCCCCCCCCCATTCATACAACTCTCCTGACAGTCAAGAAATGCCGTCCATCGGTCATTCTGCCCCGAACGATATGCTGCCCTAGCTCCCTGTCGCACCTCATCTCATGTCCTATCCTTCACCTGTCGCTCGCTTCATCGTGCCTCTCTCTCCAACCTTCGTTCAATTCTCCGATCTGCCGATTTGTAAAAAAAAATGACTACCTGTACCCTGTACCCCCCCCTTCAAAGCGTCATTCAAAAATTTGGTCTTTCATTCCCTACTACTTTGTACATGTAGTACTGCTGCCTTCGTTCACATAGTTGCCGTTTCTCACATGTACGTATATATTATATATATGTACTCCAGATTCTCCATCCCCTATTTGTATATTATCTCTCGAATACAAGAACCCCCCACTCCCTTCTCAGCTTCGCACTCGATTGATCCTTCCCTTTCACTTTACATAGCTGAGTGGGCCCTTCAACAAATTAGATGCCAATCTTTTGGTCCTTACGGCGGTTATACTCCGGGCCATAGATTAACGGTCCTTACCATGAGCTGTAGTTCTCTTACCCCCCCCCCCCCCCCCCATGGCCACCTTTAGGTTATCTCCCATTTCGTTCTAGTATACTTTTGCTTTCGGGTATATACAGCCTGCGTGTTCTTCGTCCTTGGTACTTTTCCGCCGACCGTGCCACCTCCGCCTCGCGAATCAATCAACTAGTGCGGAGGTCCGGTATACATATCGGATAATTCAGTCCGGATTAGTCATTCGACTTTAGAGCGGCGAACCATAAGTTGCATATAAGAGATCGCGCGCGCAACCCTAAGATAGTAGCAAAGACCCAATTGAGCATTGCTATATCAAAGATGTAGCTGTGCCATCTCGATATCAGCCCCCAATGGTCCTATCTTACCTCCTTCATCCCATGCCCACGACGGTGTTGTGAGATGGGTCGCCGATGATGGGCCAATATGTGCAACAATCAACGTTCCTCACATTGTGCACACACAGAGACTCAGATCGAGCAAACCCCACTCAGCACGTGGCACATCCGGATATAGCCCCCCCTCCATCACCCACCCTCTTCAGCACAATGGAGAGCACAGTGCGAACGTGAGGATCCTCGCATGCATTACGTTACACTATGGAAATTCGCACAGCCAAGTGGGATTCAACCCGAGAATCTGGTAACGCGGTAGGGTAAATCCTTGACGATTTGGGGGACAAAACCCCAAGCTCTCCCTCGGCTATCTCAAAGTCTAGTCCGAAATCTGCTGCCATTGAAGGCGGTGTAGCTTTTATTTTCTTCGGCTCTTAGCGTCACGCTTACAGACACCGCCTCATTACTTGCGGTAAGCTAGCTAGGCAAGCGCCGACGCCGCGATCACCAAGCCCACCAAGCTAGCAGAATTATTCGCTACAATTATGTAACTTACATGCTGAACAACATGCGCAACCGCCGTCGTCCGTGTTCTTCCCACATTAGGCATATCTGTCGCTGTCAAAAAATGCAAACTGAAATCTGCTTCCGGCGTTAAGTAACAGGGACTATGTAAAATACCAAATTCAGTTGGCTGACCCGAGACCGCTTCCGACAACTGGGTGTACAGCCACTAAGTAGTGCTGAAAACTCCCAAGTGCCAATCCTCTGATTTGAAAAGAAAAGAACTGGATTTCATATACACATACTATTCTCTTTGCCGTCGACTTCCTACATACTGTACGGTCGTCACACGGCTGTCAATGAAAAGGGAATGAAATGAATTGTAGCAGTATCGCAAGATCCCAGCCCGGGCAGGGATCAAAATCTTGGGGGTGAATTATGGGACCTTTGATAGTCCAAATTCAGTAATCTGATCGAGAGCACTTACTGGAACAGGTTAGAGTGGATTTCGGGTTTCGTGGACTTGATCAAGGGTCTTTTGGCATTTATGTCCTACATAAATACTATCACACAACATATTAGAGATAAAGGGATTATCAAATACTATTACGAAGAGGGGCTATGTTGAGGAGTACATGCTGCAAACCAAGGGGAGGGACCTCGATGCAATGACCGCCTGTGCAATCGCAAATGTCGGATGTCCCGAGATGGAGTATACGTAGTTACTGCAGGGGTAGTGAACACTAACCGGTGTAAGCGCGCGGGAAAGGGACTTTGAATCGATGTGAGTCAGGAGAGAGAAGAGAGGACTTCGTATGAATCTGAGGAGACCACACAACACGCATGGCAGCGCAACAGTGCATGGAGGCACTATAACCTGTACGAGCAATGAGGAGATTGAATACCGGCATTGCATGGACCTAGAGTGAATACAGGAACAACATACATAGTGCAGCAGGGCCGGAACGAGACACCCAAAACAAAAACCACGGAAAGGAGAGCAGTCCCCAGATCAGATCCAACCCCAGATTCCAATTGAACAGAACGTAACGAGAATGGAAAGACGAAGAAAATAAAGAATCCGACGTGCGCGCGCACGGGTGGTACAAAATATGCAAAGTGCGGGATATTAGCGTTTGTGCATAAGTGCGAAGTATATTCCAAAAACCATAGAAGAATCTGGTCATGAAATAAAATGTAGAAACAGTGGACTCGCGAATGAAAAGAAAACGGGGCCATGGCACAGATTCCACAAGTACAATACAGATTCGAGACATTAGGAGAAAGGAGAAAGGCTGAAGCAGCGGAAGACTGGACGAGAGATGGGACGTACAACAAGCTCGAGAAAGCGAAGGAATAAGCTAGGTAGGTGTGGATATATGCAAAGACAGAGGACGAATAGATGGTTGGTTCCAGACCATTCCATGTCAGGCAGGTAATGCATGGGAGGGGCATATCGGCAGTGATCATAGGGTGATGATTGGAGTGGCATCGATGTCATGAATTCGAGCGACTGATAGAAGAGGGAAACCATATTGGGAAGCAAGCAAGCAGTCAGGCTGCTGGAGAAACATGAGTGGCTGTCTGTGTTTATAGATCATTAAAGTTCGGCCTTCGAAGAATTGGGCTGTGGCGTGCTGGCTTGCCAGACTGGCCGTTCATCGACACCCGTGTCAGAAATAACAGCGCAGTCATGCAATTCCTTGCGTCGTTAGCAGCTCGTTAGGATAAAGTTAGACTTATCGATCATGATCGACCTCTAAAGTCATTTCCTCAGTCAAGCGATTGGACGATTAGGATGGGCGCTGGCTCACCGTCACCTGCAATACCCCCTGATGGACGACTTTGGCGAGATTGGCGACATCGAGGGGTTCGTTGTCGTCGTCCGACTGCTCAAACTCGTCCCCGCACTGGTCGTACTGATTGTGGGACTCAAACTCCCAAGTCTCCTCAATTCCTCATTGGCTCTTTCCAAAACCTCGATGTACTCGAATGAGGCTTTGTACATGTCCCGCAACCTACCTACTTCAGCAAGTGCTTCATCCAGACTAGTAATGGCACGAGAAGGCGAGGCAGTAGTTGCGTTGAAATGCGTGAGAAAGGGGGAAGTTAGAGGGTACCCAGCTGCGGCGAGCCTGAGGTTGGGACTTGGGCCATTCATCGCAGAGGGGGGATTACCAAACGATGAGTGCGGTGATGTTGCCCCAGCACTTGGGTACCGAGGAATCTCTGGCGATGAAGAGTATGGAGACCGAACCAAGGGGGGAAGGACGACATTCGATGGCGACGTAAGACCCGCACCAACGCCTGGCAGTGTCGGAGGGGGAGTGGCGTGATGTAATTTCGACATTGGGTCTTCGTTCGATGGATGGAGGATCGATTGAAGTGACATGCGTCGAGAAGACGTGGAAGGACCTATCATCGTGCTGGCATTGGAACTCGTTGTGGACTGGCGGCTGATAAGGGGTAAATTGACCCGTCCCGGTCGGGGTGATGCTAATGACAGTGGCGACGCGGTAATCTCTCGTGGCGGGGGGGACGGAAACAGAGTCTTCCCCACATTTTGTTGTGTGAAAGCGGTAGCAGTGGGTGCGGAACCTGGGCCAGTGTCATCAATATCCTCATCTTTAACGACGTTTTCCCTATCATTGAGATGACCCTCTATCTGTTGTTTTTGTTGTATAGCCAGTCTGTTTGGGAGGCAATGGGAAGTGGAGGAGGTCAACGAGAGAATGTGGAACACGGAGAGGGGCGAAAACCAAATATGTCAGTTCGCATCTCAAATGTCGCGTGTGACCCCTAACACGCCAGCCGCCACCACGGCTGGATGTGGCGCCAGAACCATGTAATAATGGATAGTGGACGAGCGCTAGGGGTACGCTGGGAGAAAAAATATGAGCGCTACTCACAGTTTGGCCCGTTCTCGGCGAGCGCGGGTCTGGAAAGTCCTTGCCATGCGTCTTTCTTCAGAAGTTTCATATTTGCGCGGCCTGCCGGGCCCTCTGCGCTCAGAAGGCCGATCCCCTCGTTGAACTGGAGTTGAAGGCGCTTGAGGAGGAGCCACGACTGGTTGCAGAGTGGGGACCCGGGCCTCCACACCAACAGGGGATGACTTTGAGGTCGTTCCACTATCTGTGATCGGAACCGAAGCATTTCGTTGCCTAAATAACGGAAGGAGGATGAGATGCTTTGCATTTAAGGTGAAAATGAGCGGAAAGTATTGCACAGACAATCTTGCTTCTGCTCGTTGAACGCGCCTTTGAGCTGTGCGTGCAATCCTTCTCTCATCTTCAGAGTCATATTTTCTCGGTCTCCCAGGTCCCCTATATCCTTTGAGTTGGAGTACGGCACTTGAGTCGTCCATACGATCGGCGGTAGCTAAACGCTGAAGGCAGAAAAGATGGGGAGGATGAAAGGGAGGGGGAAGCGAAGGGGGAAGGAAAGCGGAATAGTAGATTATATCAGTTTTCGGCGACTACATTTCGACGACCAGACAAATGAGTGAATTGAATGGCGATGAGTGAGCATTTTATTGCCAGTGAAATTGGTTTTGACAGTTCATCACGTGTTCCGGATCCGGACCCTCCGACGTCAGTAGGCATCTCCCGCATCGAGAACAGGGAGTAATTAGTGCTTATACTTCTAGACTAGGATTGCCAGCACTGTCAGGGAGCACAGGGTCGCATTATGTAACCCATTCGGGAGGGACTCGGAAACTCCAGATCAGCGGTGTCAGCCGTACAACGAAGCAGTACAGTGAAAAAAGTACCAAAAATAGATATATTGGCTTCACTGTGACACAGAAATGATATCGCAAAAAATCGCACGGAAATGAATTCCAGAACTGTCCATCCAGCTTATTACAATATTGTGTCGGACAAGTGACCGCAATTGAAACTCTGCTTTTGTGTGTTGATTTGCCATGCAACTACTTCCTGCACGTCGACGTGCAGGCAGTAAGCATCGTTGAATGAGGTAGCTGCGGGGCAGAATGAGTTCCCCGATCTATAGGTCTGTCGCTGGGAAGTCCGAGTCCAGTAACATAACCTCAGAAATTGGCGTGGTGTCATCCTATCACCCTGCTTAATAATCATTCAAGAAAGTCAGACTTTAATCTCGGTCGACGCGATATACTTGCGTACAGGTAATATTCGCACCTCAGGTTAGGCGCTATACATCCCCGACCCCACCAGACTTCGCCAGGCGGACCCCTCGGAGATCGCGTTGATCAAATTGAGCCGAAAGATTTCATGCATATCCATTCTGAGAATGAGTAGAGAAGTCGCACCGACACGTTCCCCTCCTGAAGAGACAAAGGGGCGTTAAATAGTGAAAGCGGAACATCTGAGAAATTAAGATGATGATGTGGCATACAGCCAAATAGGTAGTCAGACAGTTTTGGTTTGATGTGAGGGTCAAGCCTCAATTGTCACCCACAAAGCAGAAAGCCAAGTTAGAAGACCAGGACAATTTCTCCCAACTAGTGGATTATCTCGTTGTGCGCTTCTTCATAGAGTTTAGGCCTGCACTGAGGACGGGGCCAGAATCTGAACGGGTGGAAGCTGCCGGCCATACCCCTTTCGGGAAAAAAAAACCTCTTAGTCACCATCGAAGTCGGGCAGGCCGGAGTCCCGGTGAATACACCGCAGGTAATTGCAACGAACGTGGTATTCGGCAGCAAAAATGGAGGCGGAGCCAGTGCAATTGTGGGTTCTGGTGGTAAGTTCGCAGGATCCATGTCATCTGCATCCCTGCGCCCCCTGGGATTCCATCTCTTCGGGTATTCATTACATGTCTGACCTTGGAAGAGTTTGGAGCCACGACGTTGACTGCGATGCGGGACTTGTTCCTTTCAGAAAAATATCATGGCAGCGAAGCCGCGGAACCGTGGGTGAATTCAAACAGATCGGTCTTCACCCGGGCGTTGTTGTAAGCTTGAGTCTGCTTCAGGTTGTTGTCGGAGCTTTGCATGCGATTGCTTTGTCAGGCCAGACTGGCGACGAAGCAGTCAAGCATAGCAGAATGCACCCTTTAGACGTCCTCAAGGATCTAATGCTGCGAAGTCATAGAGGCTGGAGTCCTGCGTATCCTCGAGGCATCCTTAGCAAGAGCGATTTGCGCCATTTGGGGCCCCTGAATCAAATTACCACAGAACAGCATCGCGGTTGTTGTAGAGTTTTACCGCTCAAGAGGGTGTCCGAGAAGGCACTATTCTCAGAGCCCTGGTACGGCTGCAAGTCTACAAAGCAAGCATAAGCTCGGATTTGGCGGAAATTATTTACTCCCTGTCATCAGCCTTACGCCATCTACTCCGGGAAAAGAGAGCGAGGATGAGGATGAGAAGATGGTAGGAGCGGAGTGGGATCAAGGATGAGGAAAGGGAAGGCGAATGCAAGCGACGATGTGAGCGTGAATGTGGCAAACACAAACGCAATCATGGAGGTGTACAGCACTGCAACGGCATCATGATTCCAACATATCTCCTGCATTCCTTGAGATCAACCAGTCTACGCCCAACAGGCTATAGCCAGTGCGGGACTCCCAATCGCTATTGTGGGTATACCCACCTATGTATCACTTTGGCACCTTCCCGTGAGCCCACACAGAGCTTCCGCAGTGTTCTGTAGTTTTTTTCCATTTAATGGTGCAGACTGGTGCAGACGGGTCCTATCACACACACTAAGAGGCTGGCGAGACAATGTGTCCAAGCTGTTGTCGGTTATACACATCACTCGCGTCATGTTCGTGCTGGGTGACTGATTTCCCAGGATTCGATTGGCCCCCCTATACAACTTGAGCCCTTTACCACTATGCAACTCAAGCCCCTTACGAATAGCGCGACGAATGTCCCCGAGAAGGGACAGGAGCTTTAGCTCTCCATCTCTTGGGGAAGAGATAGTAGTCTGGGCAACGGGAAGCAAGTCCACTGGAGGCCAATACCAAAGAACATGACAGGAGGGTCGCTGAACTTGCTCTGGATGTATTCAGGTGGCACCATGGCTCATGGGCAAGCAAGTACGCTTCCGTAAGGTGCTATACCAAGGTGTGGATTAGCACAATCCAGACTACTGGTCTCCCACAGAACGTACACTCTGGAGCCTAAGGGTATAGGCCTTATCTCGTTCCGTCAACCGTTTGTCATGGCGGGTAAGAACCCGTCCGGCTAACTCCGGAAGATCGAATGCTCTAGCGGGACGGCTACCTCCATTTTCACTTTTTTTCGCCGCCCAGGCATTACTCATTCCCAAGTGTCTGGATGACCGCTGTGTGAGATCCAGCAAGGGCCTATCGACCACCCAGTATTTGGAAAATCGTCATCTGGAAGGTTGTCAGCGGGATTGAAAAGTGTGGTGTAGTATATTGAGGACAGGTCGACATTCTTCCTGGATTCCCGAGCAAGGTTCGAGGCACATTATCTGTTTACTTACCTTCCCTGCGAATATTTGGCGCGGACAGAACTGTTTTCTTTAGTAGATCAGGCTGTTCCCTCCTCTGACTTTGACCGGACTCGGAGGGCACAGCTTGGGGTAACCTCTGGGTCCCCATAGTGGGGTAATCATTTGACCTAATGCGCGGCCTGATGAAGCACAGCTACGTTCATATAATAGCCACAGCGCTTGGCATTGGCGGCCATTATGAGATCACATAACTTATGAACGCTTTCATCGGCTCATCGATATCTTCATTTCAATTTCATTCTCATGGAACCCCCGCAATGTACGTCTTAACCACGGTGAGCTCAACGTACATCACGAGCTTCCTTGGGCCTCTCCTGCGCATGTTCCGTAGGATCTTCAGTGATTGGCGCTTGGATGTCAAGAGCGGCGATACACCGCAATTGCAACAAGAAATGTACAATAGTTATATGGCTGAGGAAATTAAACTTTAGTGCTTCCGCTTCCTGTTGAAGCATTCCTTTGATCTCGGTTGTTAGCAATTTACTAGGCGGGTCTATTGTGTAGGTGCCCAGCTCTCCTAAAGAAAGAGCCAATTTCCGCTACTCCATATATAGCGGGCTCCTCAGCTTGATAGGAGAGTACTCATAGACATCTAACATATTGTTAAAGTTACAAATCCGGCCAAGTCTGGCAGCATATAGTTGAGGCAAGACTACAGAGTTGATCTGAGCCTCATGACTTCTCCCACGAATATATGCAGCTAGCCCAATCAGTTGTTTCATCAACGAACCCGCTCCTCCCTTCCATGTCAATTCGCTCGTAAACTTATTGCCTGGTGCGCTGAATTGTAGGCAGGACTTCAGCTTCTATGACTTCGTAACAATATATCTGAATTGTTAATGCAGGTGGAAGGGTAAAACGTGTAAGCGCCTTCCAGGCTCAGGATCAAAAAGTGAGCGCAAATTCAAGTCGAACGTGATTCCAGCTTCCAGATCCTCCCACACGCCGAATTCGAGTTGGAGTTGGAGCCACATCAGCACCTCTGATTTCTCATGTCGCCGCCCCTGGCGGCTGCTTGTGGCACATCGGAACTGCCATGGACAATTAAAGCAGAAGAGAAAGCTCTCACGTCACACTCATAAATGATCTTCTGCCCAAGGTGTTTGAGGCATTAGGCAGCGTCATGTCGAATTTGGGAGCAGTCTCCATGGACTTTGGAGGACTTTGGATGAGGCACACGTTTGCTATGTATTCCCGCCTGGGAATAGTCGATTCATTAATGGTACCAACTCCCGCGATTTTCATCGGCTCTCTTGGTGGAATAAATTGCGCCCCCCTGTGTTACCACCTGCACCATCATGCTGCTCTCTTCGAGCTCTTCGTGGGCATGTGCAAGCGACGATAGCAACGAGGTACTTTCTATCTGTTTGATGCTTGTTCCCCAAAGACTCACCAGTGTTTGCGTGGATGTCGTCTTTCTGTCATTTTCATCACCTCTTAGAAAGGGATACTGTCGCTTACCTTGAGGGGGCTCAGCACAAGACGTAGAGATCCATTGAAGGGGCGAAAAATATTTCCCTTCGACATCATATGCCACCTTTTGCAATACTGTGACCCCACAACACAGCGAGCCATCGCACTTCTCAATCGCGATTGTTATGCGGCAACACACCAATATTTATGGAATCATGTCGTTGTGCGACCTTTCCATGAGGCCAAACGCCCATTGTGGCCGTGGTCACGTCCTGTCGATTTGACGCTTTCTGATTTGGTTGTTGGGTTGCAAAACATTGCTCGAGACCCAAATCGGGCTAGATGGATACGTTTCTTATCAATCCGGGACAACACTCCAGCAACATCTTCACCGGCACGAAAACGATCTCCGTCCCAACTCGGACTGGAATTAGGTTGCTCGGATCACGATAAGGATAAGGTCGAAATTTCGTTATTGCTTCTTAAGGCACTGTCACAAACGATTCGTCTGAGCCGTTTGGACCTTTCTTCGTTCACTTGTTTCCCTTCTGATCAACTTGCGGACGCTATCACGCCACCTTTGGTGTCTGGATCACTGCAACTTTCCTTCCTGGGCGTGCCATTCGGGTGCTGGCCGTACCTGCTCCCTGCACTCACTTGCCAACCGTCCATCCGTCATCTTCTACTCACTCATCCGAAAGAGTTCATGAACACTGGTACCGCGGACATGCCGCCACTCCCATTTCACGCCCTTCCTCACTTGGAAAGTTTGGCAGTCCCTATTTGCAATCTGACCAGCATAACCAATGGGCGCCCATTGCATGCACTCAGAATTTTGGGTGCCCCGCATGGGTATCCTTCAACCACGCCGTGGCATTCGGATTCAATGTTACGAGGCTTCCAATCCATCGCTTTCGACAAGTCGAACCCTGGCCTCATGCATCTCGAACTGCCCTTCACCTTCATCAGCGAATTCATCGAGGACGAAAGTGAGTTTGGAGACGACATAACTGCCTTATTGCGCCATCTTGCGCCAATTCGTCCCGTTTCCAACTTACAAAGGCTCGATATATGTTGCGGGGACCGTGTCCGCTTCCCTGTTGTCCGCGAAGTCCCTTCGAATCCCGAATGGCTAGGTGGGGATGGTAATCGAGGAGCTTTGCCTCGGCTGATGAGAGCTCTCAGCTTGTTCGAGGACCTCGATGAACTTAGATGGAACTGTTCACATGCAAATGTGATGAAGGGGTTGTGCACGGGATTTGATGGGACAGGACCGTGTGTGAACACCAGCGGTCAATGGGAAGGTTTTGCACGCGCTTGCTCAAAAGCAAACTCAAAACTGCAGCGGGTATACATAAACGGGGAGCTTGTGCCGTCCAAATAGGTCGCAATCCATACCGTTAGGACTGGATAGCATTAAAGCGATCATGTTTGTCGTTTCGTTATCACTCACTCCAATTATAATAGGGCTCAAGCCTATACGACGCTTGAGGCTGCTATATATCTGGACTGATATACCTTGAGATTGCGCCGTGGGTCCGGTTCAACAGAAACTACATCTTCTTCAAGCGATGATTTCTATCACCTGCTCGTCTCTGTGGAGGCACGTATGGCTCGCCCTGTTAACAATGAATCATGCACAGCGAAGGATCTCGTGCGGCTGGTTCGATAATAGTTTTCTCCCTGCATCCAGGATCATTCGGACAGACGCTACTCTCCAGCCCTCGTCCACGATCCGAAATAGGGGAATCAATGGCTTGTAGAGAGAAATGGATACCATCGTGCTCGGTTAGCTCCCACAGATGGGATATCAGGATTAAAACTCAGAGGTCGACTGTCTGATCATCGAATAACTCCAACTTATTCATCGCGTCAGGGCGGGGGGCGGGACGATTTCAAATATCGCGAGCCAAGGCTGTCATCGCCTGGAACCTAGATGTGTATGTCATTCCGATTGGCCATAGCGTCAAACTCCGTGCTTGATAGCATTGCTCAGCAAGATGTGTGTACACACTAATTCCCGCGACCGGCAATGGGGAACCATCCCCTCGCATGACTATAATGGCCGTTCAAACATTCGAGATCGGTTGGCCTGACGCCAATGCGGCGGCGCTTCCGACCACGATACACAGTAGCGATTTTATCGCTTTCGTCCGTATGGTACTTGGCCAACTACCGGTGCTCAAAGGGTCAAACCGGCACGGGCAGCCAAATGAGAAGTGGAGAACGCTCACTGGAATGTCAAGCAATGTTCTTTTCTTGCTCCAACAAGTGTATTCATTGGACCTAGTTCTCTTTGCTCTGGATATCTACGGGAGCAGATGGTACACACAGCTAGCCGAGATAGGCACTATATCGGAAAATTGTACATCTTTTCGGTATTACCGCCGCGATCGATCGGGATCAAACCAGATATATATATGCGCTCGATCCTGCACGCACTTTGTCTCCTCGTCAAAGCAGTTCGCCCTCAATCTTTTCGACCCTCAGGCACCGTACTCCGAATGTGGCTTGATCCTAGGCTAAAGTGAGACTTCTCGGCAGACCTCACTTTTGGAGGTATGAAATATTCTACACAAGAGTGATCGACACACTGTGTGGCATTCCACATGTATCTGGTTCTCGTCACTGGATCTGGCATTCCCGCATCGCTGGAATGCCACACGCATCATCTCGTATCCCCGTTTAGGCTCTTCCATATACTTCGGAAGCACGTACACTAAGGGACAAGGAGTTGCTCTTGAACATCTTGACGTCGGATGCGGTTTCGAAGTCTTGATCACGAAAGACCCGGTAGAGTGGAACGCACGACGGTCCCAGGATTTGCACTCGCAGCTCCCGATCCCAATAGTGTATTCCGGATTTTAAGTTGAGTTTTGTTCTGGGACCCTCTGAAAGGCGTCCCAGGGTTGAGTAATACAACCGAGCTACCCCCCGCACACCATGTTGCTCAGCACGGCGGTAGAGGGAGTCGGATGTTGGCAATGATGGACCCTCCCACGACAATTTGACAATGACGTCGTTCGGAATAGTCTCTGGCTCACAGTCGGCCTCTTTCCTGGTCGAAAACAGGACCAATCCACGAACCTCAATGTCTGAGACATGCAGGGTATCGTGTAGTAGGACAGGAATGCTCCCGACCACGACTGTTGTTCTTTCTATGGTGTCTAGTGAGTCACAGGGGTCGGAAGATTGCATGATTGGCTCAAGGCCAAGGGCAAATGCGGTGCTCAAAGTGAGCCGGACAAGCGTAGAGATAATTTCACGTGGGTGGTCGGTGATGTCGATAGGCGTGGAACAGAAGCCACCACCACGATCGAAATACCAGAAAGTGATATTTGAATGATTTGGCTAGGATGCCAAGGACATGTCTCCCGTTCCCTCGTGCTGCCATTGCACCCTTTGCTTTCGCATGTAGGTAGCGGGCCCATTGCGGAATGGGGAATTGGGGTATAGTCTTGTCGGGTCTTATCGGATTCCTCGGAGTATCCTTCATCAAGGATGGTCTTGACATCGCCTTGGCAGGTAACGGTCTGTTCGAGATAGTTAGGGAATATCGTCGTATTATACTGCACTTGCAGTACAATTGGAAAGCTCCCTGGGTTCCACCGTTTTCTGGTGCCAGGCGAGTGTTCACTGGTGGTCCCCCGGCCCAAGACGGACTCTCGGCATCTTTCATAAACCAAGTGCATGATGTCGTTTTTAGTGCTGCGAGATTTTCATTGGCGAGAGCTGAGACAAAGCACTTGTGCGCCTGGTTGAAGGAGAACGAGGCACTGATGGCCTCTACCGTGTTTTTGATCAGTTCTGAATCACTCTGGGCATCCAAGGTAGCAGAAATAAAATCTTGAAGTGGAACTTCGTGATATGTCTTGTCGATTCTGACATTTTGGTGGTCCCCGACGTCGAGATCTCAATGGACTTAGGTCTGGGGGTAGGGGTTCCTCGGGACGCCATTTTCTGCTAACCAGCTGACTAGTTTATGGGTGACGAATGAGGATTGATGGGAAAACTATTGTTTGGCCCGAGCGGTGCTCCATCAGAAGTCAAACCCAGATGTGTTCGCCCTACGGTGGTCACTATCATGTTCTGAATTTGTCACTGGCATCATCCGTGTCAATTCGTGTAGTACGGGTGCAGCTATGCTTCCAAATGGTAACGAGAACAAGACGTGACTGGCCGATGTACAAGCTTCAAACGAATAAACGACAGCATACAATTCCACACAATCCTACGGACGGCGCAGTCGAGCGCTGCTCCCCCTAATTACGGTGATCCCTCAGAGTCCCATGATCGTGAACAACATATTAGCGATGAGATGCAGATGAAGAATTTCGGGCTCGAGAGTCGTTATATAACTGCACAGGCGCCACTTGAGCCAACCATGATCGTTGGCCCAAAATTAGTCATCCTTCAGGAATATACGTGGTCAAGTCAGCATTGTCATGCAGTGTAACGTGTCATGAGCATAGATTCAATCCAACACAGAGACTCAGAAAATGGAACAGCCTGCGTAAATGTCCTGTCCGCGTTGTTCTGGATTGAAATGACCAAGAATACTTCCAATTGTCTCCTAACCAATGACACGACTGTAGCAGGATGTTATTGAGACCGGCCTAGGTGGTACAGGTCGCACAGGGAAACCTACGGTGATCCGCAGAAATGGCTCAACGGAAGGAGGTCAACATTCGGGAGGCTGGGCGAGTAAAAGTAGACTACTGCTGTTAGAACGCAACGTTACGGTTTTAAATTGAGGTGAGGAGGCAAAAACCCGCCTGAGATGATTACAAGGTCGGGGGCAGACCACGACAGTACGTTCGGAATCGACCTGTGGAAATTAGAAAACCCGTAGTTAGCCTGGGGAACAGTGTGTATACAGGCGACGTGAATGGAGTCCAGGTTAAGTTTAATAATAATGCCTTGTTTCATGTGACTGACCGTGGCTATGAGGGAGTAAACAGCCCAACGCAAGTTGCGGAAAATCAGTCTTGGCCCTGGACAACCAGATGCATGTGTGAAATGCGACACTGTCCTTCTGTAGAATATTTTGCGCCTCCAACAGTGACGCTGCCCCTTAGTTGACTGCCAAGAAGAACGAGACCGAGGACAAACTACTTTGGTGAGGAGAGAAAAGGTGGGTGCAGGATCTGGCGCATATATCCTTAGATCCCGATCGATCGTGGCGGTAGACTCCGCAAAGCGGATCAGCACGCGTGCGGCACGTACTATTCTCCTATCTCGGCTGCATCTGTTCTGGTAGAAGCTGGGGCACTGCCTATATACTGGTACATGCCTATGCATAAGAACTAGGTCCAGTGAATATAGGCCAATAAGTGTCGTCTCAGGAAAGCACGTTGCTTGATATTCAAATGTGGGTCTTTGGCTTTTCTGCTGCACGACGGTTTGACTGCTTGAACACCCGTATCTATTAAATTATATTGGAGCATACCCGATCGGTCGAAATCATCCATCGATTGTGTATTGTAGTCACTGCAGGGAAGCGTCGCCGTGTGGACGTCAGATGCCCGGCACTCCAACCGGTCTCGGTTTTTGGACAATTATGTACTGGTGGGATCGATAGGGGTGGTTCCCCAGTGATAGGTCAGATATGATGTTAGGGGGAATTGACGTCTCACTACTGAGGCTATCAAGGATCGAGTTTGACGCTATGGCTGATCACCGAGATAGCTCACTGGGTGAGATTAGATATGACACGCCCACGTTCCCAAGGGATGACAACTTAGTTTTCCCTTTCCGCGATATTTGAAAACCATCTCGCCTCTCAGAGCCGTACATCAAAGGCAGAATTTCAAGATTGCTCCGTTGGATCTCATCCTGTGGCGCTAGGTACGTAATCAGTCAATCCCCAATATCGCCAATGCAATGAAGGGCCGGAGGAAGCGAAGCCTCTGTCCACGCTGAAGCAAGCTATCATCTTGGATGAGTCGCACTCAGAGAGGAAAGGGGTCACGAGCAAGTCACGAGCAAGAGCTAAGGGATCACGAGAAAACTGAAATAAAACACGTGGAACATCGGTTATGTCCGTTCGGGGTTACGGCTTAACCGTAACAGGCCACGCATACCAACTTCGTTATATAATTTCTCGTCAACAGCGAAAAATGGATCGTGAGCCACACCCCTTTTCCTCTCAAGATACCCCAGATTACCGCTTTGGAAATGTCATTTCTGTTGCATCGGACGCATGGTGCAGTCCACACGCCTACATGGCAAGATTTGAATCAGTGTCGCGTGTCAAAGTCATGCTCACGCAAAAATCGCGTAAATCGACGTCAGCGGAATGATAATGACACGACAAAACGCTTTGATGTTCCAATGTTATCCAATCCTCCTGCTCCTGGAACAAACACAAGCTCTTCGTTTATACCCGCAGTGCCTTTGAGCAAGCGCGTGCAAAACCTTCCCATTGACCGCTGGTGTTCACACGTCCTGTTTTGTTGAGGGAACGGATTATATAGCGCAAGGCGGCACAACAAGGGGGTTATGTCGTCTCCACTGGAGACGATATAACTGCGAAACCCGCTTTGTCCCCCGATGAACTCGCTAATGAAGGTACGCGGTGAGGGGCAGTTCGAGATGCAGTTGTCGAAAGCTATGGATTGGAGGCCTTGCCCGAATGCCATGGCGCAGTCGATGGACGGCCACGGCCATCATGGGCGTTTGGCATCGTGGAAAGGTCGCACTGCATCTATGATATTGGCGTGTTGGCGCATAACAGTCGCGATTGAGAAGTGCGATAGCTCGCTGCGTCGCGGCGTGACGATATTGCAGCTAGAAGGTGGTATATGATGTCGAAAGGAAATATTTTCTTTTCAATGAATCTCTGCGTCTTGTGCTGAGCCTTCGTAATGATCCTTTCCTTTCTTTCTTTTTTGGTGCATGATAGCTTACGCGGGCCAGGGGCCTGAAGGTTTGTAGGGGAGAGAGGGCCTGAAGGTTCGTATATAATAAGTCCGTCGTCAAAACCTGAAAACCACGGGGAAATGCGTTACTGCGGTGTGCTCCCCTGGTTTCGGAGGACCAGGTATACACACTAAATTTAAACCCCGCTACCGTCGCTTGCACACGGCCATGAAGAGTTTGAAGAGAGCAGCATGATAGTGCAGGCGCAGACCAACTCATTATTTGGTGGTGAAATCAGAGAATTAATATATCCGTCAATGGTTCTTATAGCGCCCGCGGTTGCTTGTGCCCTCCCAAGCTTAAAGCCCTTATTGAAGCGAGGCGGCTCTGACTAGAATTTTCAGTGAGCGATTTGTTAGTACCGAAGGCTTCTCGATGGAATGGCCAGGACATGTAATTATATGTACTCTGAGTTAGTTTGGGCGGCAGTGGTTCATTGCGGCTTTACCAAAGGTACAGGTTACGCGCAGGCAATGGCCCCCGTTCTCAAACATTTGAATATTTCGCCCAAGCTAAGCTTCATGTTGGTACTCACTTCGAATGAACTGTAAGATCACACGTGTGTTGACCTATTTTTTATGCGGTCGAGAGCCTTCATTTCTCCCATTTCCCGAATCGTTTCGATGACAAGCGTTCTTCCCGTGCATTACACCGTGTTTAGGCACCGGGTGGAACGAATAGCGGCTGTCCTTTGAAGTCATTTATTGAGGAAATACGAGACTGCTCATTCTATTGGGTTGCGCTGCAGCGCAATATTGTTGTCATAGCCATACAAGGTTAGGGAATGGTATAGGGTGTCGGCGATGGACGGGTTGCCAGTATTCAACGAACAAAGTTGCGGAAGCCGACATTAAATAACCGGACTATACCGCGATGGATCGATCGGGATCTGAGCTTAGATATAATCCCTAGATCCACTTGCTCCTTGTCTGTGCTGATCCGCCTCGCGTTTCCAGTGTTCGATCTTCAACCCGCGGATGCCTTAAATGGAACTGCGCATCTGTCCTAGGTCGCCGCGAACCAAGCTCGCGCGCAACCTAGCAATTGCCCGATTCTACACACCGTATATATCGTTCTACTCACAGCATCCGCTAGTTTGTCTCTGGGCCTGGCTTTGGAACCGAGTGAGATCTCGTGCTCGCCATCTAATATCTCAGTCACGTCGATTCTTGTATGCGCTGAAGAATGAAGAATTGCTCTTGAACGTTAGGGATTTGGACAGTCGAAGCTCATAAATGGCGCTTTCTATCACGAGGCGGTGAGCTCATTCTGTGAATTCCTTCATCCTTCCAGCCCATTATCTGGTGCTTCGCGCTATTTTTCTCTTGGGAATTTTGAGGGGCTTGCGTGTGTGCTCCTGGCGTCGCGTGGAAATGAGTTGACCCTTACACTCTTCTCGATTACTTTTGGAAACGTTCCTTTAAGTCCTCGCACAAATGTTACCCGGCGCCTAACCCTCACCAAAGTCTTCAAGGTCCGGCGCTCAGTTCTTTACGATATTGGCATCATAATATTAATGGCAGAAATATCATTTCGAAAGCGATATGGAAACTCGGGTTTCTGTTGTGTACTACTGCACGGTGCGTGGATCTTCCGTAGATAACAGTCGTTTGTTCAGGGTCCAATTTGCGGAGCCGCACCCATGAACGTATCGAACGTTATACCACCCCCCAGAGTTTCCTGATCATAGTCCGCATCCTGGTTCTCCCCTCCATACCCTCCGTTGAACAATCTACACAGACGGCGCAACCAGATCTGGAGTGATGGTGAGGACCTGGTGGATGGAATGTGGCTGGGAACTCCCATAAATCTCCACTTAGCCGAAATGATATCATTGAGAGGGCCCTTGTGCCACGCTGCGAACTGATGCAGCATCCTGGGATTGCCGCGCGCGTCATATCGGCCAAGAATCCAGCCAAGTGCGTAAAAAAATGATTCTAAATCATGTCGATACAGCCGATTCGGAGGGGGAGTGGCAGCAGACAGGAGGTCCATGGAAAGGAATGGCAGAGTACCCGAAAAAGTGGGCTCAGGTGAGAGGTCTCTGTCCCCATCCTGAACTTGAATCGCAAAGTCGAGGTCCAATAGAACTCCGCGAGGAGGCGAGTCTTTGGAAGCCATGAGACTGCTCATATTGATGTTGCAATGCAGGATACCTGCATTCTTGTAGAGTCGGTGATGAACTACAGCGGATTGTGAGTCAGAGGGTGAATGACAACACTGATTATGGGAGTACCTTCAACTAAAGATCGGAATGCACGTTCGAAATCTCTGTCAGGAAGGACGCGGTAGAGTGGAACACAAGATGGTCCCAGGACTTGTGCTCGCAGCTCCCGATTTCGATAATCTATCCGGGATTCATGTTTGAGTCGCGTTCTGGGACCTTCTGAAAGGTGTCCCAGGGTTGAAGAGCAAAACAATTGGGCCACCCCATGCACGCCACACTGCTCTGCCCGACGATAGAGGGAATCTGATCTTGGCAGCCCAACATGCTCCCATGAGAATTTGATCATCACATTCTCTGGGATGATGAGGGATGTGGAGTGTTCGGAGGTGTCTTGTTTCCTGGCAGAGAAGAGAACCAACCCCCGGCCTTCGAGGTCCCTCGAAATATGTACAGCAACTTGCAGCAAGAAGGGTATGCCTTGGATAACGATAGCGGCGCTTTCCATCGTGTCAAATGCCCTCCATGGGTCGGGAAATTCTATAGCAGGCTCTAAGCCAAGGGCGAACGCAGTACTGAGGGAGAGTCTGACAAGCCCAGAAATGACCTCGCATGGGCGCTTGACAAGGTCAACAGGTGCTGAATAGAAGCCTCCACTCCTATCGAAGTACCAAAAGGTGACGTTGGAGTGATTAACCAGGACACCAATGACATGTCTCCTGTTTCCCCTTCGCGCCATGGCATCTGTTGCTTTTGCGCGGATGTAATCCCCCCATTTGGGGAGAGAGGACGGGATCCTGTCCGGTCTTGTTGGTTCCTGGAATTCCTCTGTGAACCAATGGTCCTGGTAAGTCTCCATGTCGTCTTGGTACGCGATGGTAGGCTCGGAATCGGTGAAATAATTAGAGAGTATTGTGGCGTGGTGTTGTATTTGGAAGACAATTGGCGAGCTTTCTACACTCAAGCCCATAGACGGTCCCCCGGAGCCAAGCTCCTGACATCTTTCGAAGATCATGTCAAATATGGATGCGGAGCTGACTTTTATCGTCGCCAGCTCTTCCAAGGCCAGGGCTGAAACAAATTGTTGGAGTGCCTGGTCAAAGGCACGGGACATGCGTATCTCTTCAGCGATTGTTTCAAGCGTTTCGGATCCATTGGGTGCATCCGAGGTGGCAGCGATAAAATCTTCCAGGGGGACTTCGTGATATGTAAAAGTGGGCGATTCTGGCATGTTTGTGGGGAGAGTCCTCGTTAGCGGGATCTGGCCAGACTCAGGTCTGAGGTAAAAACTTTTTTCTTGCTGGTCTTGGCTTACGAGTTGTTCTGTTTTACAAGATGACAGGCAGGGACAGATGAGGGAGACTTTTGTTGGTTTGAACTTGTTTGTTTGGTTCGAGAAAAGCTTTATGGATAAATGCGAAGCTGGCCCTCCCTGCGTATCCAGACGTGTTCGCGCAGCATTGCTCGTGGATATGTCCCTGATCTGCCAATAACACTAGAATTTGCTATCTAGTTCGTCTATCCACTGCAGAACAAGCATAGTGACGGTTTCAAGCTAACTTTCATTCCTCGCTGAGATCATTGCTGGCAGCACAGCTCATTTCCACGTGGAGCCTAGAAAACCTCTTACTGGGCCGGCTGCGACAAACGAGTAACTCTTGGCGGACCTAGCCAGCACGGACAGCCAACGACAAGCACAGACTGGACCGCTCGGAACTCGATTCTTTTACTCGAGTGATCGGATCGATAAAAATTTGAATGCTCGTCGTACACCCCTGTATACAACGGTTGTGTTCCAGCGTCCAGTGGTGGATAGCTCGGAGTATCGTTTGCAATTAATATCATTACTGTGACGATCCAAGTTACTCTAGGTTGTCGAAACATCGGTGACGGCACACAGGAATCATATAATCCCTCGCTATGTTTCTTGCTGAATGACATCCCGTTCGACTTCGTTGATCACATAGATTGCCGTATGACGATGAGATAGTGGGGTATCAAACCTCAATTGGCATCCATACATAACCGATACTCTCCAGTGCCAGGCATTGCTTCAGCTAATCGTCGCAGTTGATCCCAAATTAGTCGCGCTGGAAGGATACATCAGCGCAACTAATACCGTCATGCGACTTGACACGCAGATAGATTCGATCACCAGCCACTCGCCACATCCAAGGCAAACACCCAGATGGAACAACATAGCAACATCCCGTCTGTTCTGTTCTAGACTGAACTGCACATAAACAAAGGACGTGACTTTGGCTGGACAGAATGCCCCCTTGAGACGGACTCGGAGCTCGGGAAGTTCGTGATGAGCAGAGGCCTCCTACGGGAGTAGTGAGAATCATCTGCCGGAATGACTCGGGAACGAGAGGAGGACCGAGTGAGCAAAAGTACACCAGTCGCATGGTCACAGCTCCGAATGGAGAGAACGGTATGGTTGCTTTCAACTTGGATGCGCCGGTCTGGGACAGTCGAAGTCGGCTCGTTTCAGCAGTGCAAACGCCGAAGGTTCGAGTTCGCAATCTGTGGAATGGATCGTGCGCGCCCTGAGGTAGATCATGCTGCGGCGTGCCATAAAGTTTAAGACGGGTGGATCTTTCACAGCCTGAAGCTCAAGGTCCACAAACAAAAGTCTTTGTCCTTGTTCACACAAAGCCACAGCCTGTCGTGTCATTTTGCCATAAGGGACGACAATTTCATTCTGCTACGGACCAGACCAGAAAGAGACCGCTAGGCATGTTCATAATCTGGATTTGTGGGAGATACAAAGCAGATCGATACATCGGCGACCCTCGTTTGAATTCATAGCTTGGGAAGGGGCTTGAATACAGGGGCTTTCTTCGATGCGAATGAAGAAATAGAATCCTTGAAGTCCTGGATGAAAAGATCAGTCGGGCTAGTCACACAGAAAACAGATTGACCTGCATCGCTTTGGAGCATTGCCTGGTTCCAGGTGGCTACATAATCGAGATTCTCTCGCACACTGAAGCGATATCAACAATTATAATGCGTTGAAAGCGAAGCGAATCAAGTCAAGCTTGCCTGTGATCCCGAGAGTGGAGGAGTATGTGTTTGGTGCCCACAGTCGCTATGGGGGACTTTGAAGCAATGGTTTTCGCCAGTTTCAGCGCTTCCGCTGGTGTGGGTTCGAATAGATGTTACGTAGACTGCAGGAAGAGCGATGGAAGGCAAATCTCACCAAGACTTCGTTTCTGCTGCCTGGTACAACTTTGCTCACAAGACCAAGCTTCAACGCCTCTTCAGCGCTGAATGGTCTCGCCGTAAATGCAAGCTCTCGCAGCAGACTCTCATTTCCCGTAATTTTAGGCAGTCGAGCCAGCGAACCGATATCAGCAGCAAGACCAACGTCCACTTCCTATTTTCCAAGAGTATATAAATCCATCAATTTCAATGAGACTCGCTTCACACCTTGATTGAGAATAGAGTGTCGGCAGCCGCATAGCGGATATCGCACGCACTTGAAATGTCGATCGCTAATCCGAATGTGATGCCATGTAGTGCGGCTATGACGGGCTGCACGCATCGTTCCAAACTGCTCACAGCAGCTTGGAAACGCTTCGTCAATCAATCACTATCGGCATCATTCAAAGTGGCAGGCATGAGATGGCGTACAGTGACGTGATCGCGAAGAAATATCGCTTGACGCGCAGGGTCTTCATATTTTGGCGCTAAACTGTCGACGGCTTCCTTCACTGGAGGGAATTCAATTGGTCCGCAGAGTGGAAAGCGGTGGCAATTGTGGGGACTGACGATCAAGACCAGCACTGAAAGCCTTTGGGACAGATGACGCAAGGACCACAGCATGAATCTCGCCGTCTTTGCTTATCCTGTCAATGGTATTCCCCAGTTCTTGCCACAGCCTGCATTCGGGATGAAGGTCGTCGACTATGGGGGAAATGATGGGGGATGACTCACGGCTCATCGAACGAGTTAACTGGAGGTCTGGAATAAGGTAGGTAGTGGTCCCATCAATCAGACCCATAACATGAAAGCTAATGAAAGCGGGCTACTCACTTGGACAAGGAGACAAGCAGGACCCCCTTGGATGGATATGAAGTCTTGATCCATTTGCCGCTGTAATCCGCCATAGTCCGCAAGAGAAACTGACTTTGAGGGGGAAAAGATGGTTTCTTATATGGAGTCAAATTACAAAGCACGAGATAAATGACCCGCTTGATCTTGAGTCTTGGTTAGGCAGGTGACCAGCCTCTCTTTAGGGGGAGTCTTGGGACCCGAAGGACACGGAAAGACGCGTGAGAAATCCTTTCCGATTCACACGTCACACCATCGGAGCAGTCCTTCCGCTTCTACTTGTGTACACGCTTTCCGGTTTCAAGCTGCCTTGAAAGTTGACAAACTGTGATCCCACCTCCATCGGCGTTCTCACGAAGGGGAACGATGCCTCAGGTATCGGTCATCAGTGTTTCCTGAGCTCGTACCCCAGCCGGAGATGGGTCGCACTTCCACAATCAGAGCTGAAGTGGTTTTATATTAGAAGTGCATGGTTTCTTCTTTCAGGTTTGTGAAGGGTGTAAAGCAAATTCAAAAATCAACGGAGTGCGACCATTCTCCGGTCATCAACATATCGAAATGGCGGAGTTACCCGTTAGTCGCCACTTGGTGGCCTTCAAAGCCCAGCACGAAAGAGAGCGGAGTAAGTAGATCTATAACCATGCGAACAACTCTACAGTCGTGTCATTGTTTAGGAAACAATTGGAAGTATTCATGCCTGTTTCACAAAACGGACGTCACAGGACATTTACACACGCTGTTCCATCTTCTGAGTTCTCGTGTTGGTTCGAATCTATCTTCATGGCACTTACACTGCATAACAATGCTGGCTTGGCCACATATATCCTGAAGGATGACTAATTTTGGGTCTAACGACAATGGTTGGCATAAGTGGCACCTGTGTAGTTATACGACGACTCTCAAGCCTGAAATCTCATCTACATCTCATCGCCAATATGTTTTCCGCGATCATAGGGACTTTGAGGACAATCACCGTGATTAGGGGGAGCAGCGCTCGACTGCGACGAGTAGGGATTGTGCGGGATTCCTGTATGCTGTCGTTTATTCGTTTGAAGCTTGTACATTGGGCAGCCACGTCTTGTTCTTGTTACCATTCACGTAATCTGTGTCTCAACTGACTCGGATCATTGCTGCAATGATACTTTCTCCCAGCGACATTCTGGACCGTCTAGAATGGGATATAGGGATTCAAGAGCTGGTCTGTCCGATTCAACACTCGTCTTCGATGATGCAGCCATAGAATATATTCCGGCTACTCAAGCAAGGAAATAACATCACTCTTCCGAACGGTCTATGACAGTGGCTCTGTGCGTTGGGATTATATTGTCGGCACATTGTTCGATTTTCAGCCGCTTGATCGTCTGCTTTCTGTACTTGCCGAGGACGAGCCACGCTCATGTGTTGCAACTGTTTAAATGGAGCTGTTCTAGGCCCTTACACCAGGATGAGCAGAGTCACAGGTCATCGAGTGTCTTGCCGGGCACACAGCGGGGATTGTAGATTTGGAAGCGTAGCTGCACCCTACCATACGGATTGACGCGGATGGTTTATTTCAAGGCCAGTGACAGATTCAGAGCATGACAGCGACCACCGTTGGGTGAACACGTCTGAGAGTAATGAGAGTGGGATTGACGATATTTGAGCTTGAGTGATCTACTGATGGAGCACCGCTCGGGCTAAACAAACAAGTCCAAACCAACAAGAGTTTTCCCATCAATCCTCGTTCATTACCCCATAAACCGGTCAGCTGGCAATGGCGTCCCAAGAAATCCTCGCTACCTCCAGACCTAAGTCCGTTGAGATCTCGACGATGAGGACACCAGAATTAGCTTTTACATACCACGAAGTTCCACTTCAAGATTTCATTTCCGCTATTTCGGATGCCCCATATGGCCAAGAAACGATCAAAACTATGGCAGAAGGCATCAGTACTTCCTGCTCCTTCACCCAGGCACACGAGGGCTTCGTCTCAGCTCTAGTCAACGAAAACCTCGCGTTACTGAAAAAAGGCTTCGGCGACATGATGCACTTCATTCGTGAAAGATGTCAAGAGTTCGTTTCCAGCCAACACCCATCCCGTACCGGAAACCATTGGAATGTAGATCCCTCACCAATCGTACTGCAAGTGCAGCACCACACTACAATATTCCCTAATTATTCGAAACGCACCATCGCCTACCAGGACGATATCGAGACGGGTCAAGATGATTGGTACTCTGAGGAATCTCAGTCGCGGACAAGACCTGACAAGATCGTACCCCAGTTTCCCCTCCCCCAGTGGGCCCGTTATCTCCATGCAATGGCGAAGGGTGCAATGGCGGCACAGGGGAACAGGAGGCATGTCCTGGGTGTCCTGGCGAATCATTCCGCTATCACTTTCTGGTATTTTGATCGTGGCGGTGGCTTCTATTCAGCACCGATCGACATCACCGACCACCCAGACGAAATCGTTTCTGCATTCATCCACCTCACTTTGAGTACTGCGTTTGCGCTTGGCCTTGAACCAATCATCCAGTCTCCTGATCCCTGGGAGTCACTAGCCACTATGGAGAAAGCAACGATCACAATCCAAGACATCCCCTTTTTGCTATGCGGTACCCTGCACATCTCGTGCGACCTTGAAGGTCGTGGATTGGTCCTATTTTCGGCTAGGAAATCAGTCGACTGCTGGTCAGAGACCATCCCAAAGGACGTAGTTCTCAAATTATCGTGGGAGTGTCCGTCATCGTCAACATCTGACTCCCTTTACCATCTCGCCGAACGGCATGGCGTGCAAGGAGTAGCCAAGTTGTATCACTCCTCAACCCTGGGACGCTTTTCAGAGGGTCCCAGAACCCAACTCAACTTGAAATCCAGAATACACTATGGGGATCGGGAGCTGCGATTGCAAGTCCTGGGACCATCATGCGTTCCACTATACCGTGTCCTTCGTCGTCAAGACTTCGAAACCATATTTCGATCTTTGATTCAAGGTACTCCCATTCCCTTCGTTTTCACTCACCCTCTGAACTTTTCATCGGTTGTAGCCCATCACATGCTGTACGAAAATGCGGGAATCCTCCATTGCAACCTCAACACAAGTAGTTTGATGGTTTCGAAAGACTCCCCGGCTCGTGGGATCCTATTGGATCTTGACTTCGCGCTCCAGGTTCAGGACGGAAAGCCCACCTTTGCCGGTACCATGCCCTTCCTTTCCATGGACCTTCTGACAGCCGCAGGACCCCCTCCTCCAAGGTTGTATAGACATGATCTTGAATCCTTTTTCTACATCCTTGGTTGGATGCTTTGCCGCTATGATGCAAGTGGGGAACGTAAGCCAGTGCATCAGTTTGCTGCATGGCATAGAGGACCCCTAGACGACATCATTTCTGCAAAACGGAGGCTTATGAGAATGCCCAGCCACGTTCCATCGGAGATATCCTCGCCGTCGCTGCAGAAGTGGTTTCGAAACCTGTGCAGGAGCTTCAACGATGGCTATCAAGAGAAAGATCGTGAATCACAGAGCCCGCTCTTTGATTGTGAAACGTTGGGGGGTTACATTACCTTTGACAAATTCATTGGTGCGGTGCCATAGATTGCCTCGTGAATGGGCACACCGTTATCCCCGTGCACATACCAATAAACGATAAACTCGAGTTCTATACTTCTCTGGAAATATTTCTCTCCGAGGTACAGAGGCATGTAACTGAGAATAATACATTCCAAGTTTGTTCCGAGAAACCAAGGGAGCATGTTAGTTGGGAAGGCCGGAAGAGTGGAGGAATTCACTGAATGGGTCACCACTGCATGGGTGGAAGTGCCATCCTCGTACTTGACTATCCGATGTCGAGCACAACGCCTTATCCCTCAGTGTACGAAGTCTATGGAACAGCCTAAACGGCGATACGAGATGACGCGTACGACATCCAGTGACGACCACATAAACAACCAGATGCATGTAGAATGCAACACAGCGTGTCACTCTTGCGTAGAATATTTCATGCCTCTAAAAGTGACGCTGGCCCTTAGTTGGGCCTGCCGCGAAGTCTTCCTCAATTTGCCTCAGCTTAGGATAGATCGCCAGATTGGGAGTACAGCGCCTGAGGGTCGAAGAGATCGAGGGCGAACTGCTCTGGCGAGGAGACAAAAGTGCACAGTGGGAGTGGGGTACAGGATCGAGCGCATATATCTAGAGGGCACAAGTTGGATCCCGATCCATCGCGGCCGGCGGTATGCTCCGTAAAGCGGATCAACACGAGTACGAAACAGCTCAGCATGTACCTATCTCGGCTAGTTGTGCGTATCATCTGCTCTGGTAGAGGATACATCTATCCGGAATAAAGCACACAAAGCCTGTGCATAAGAACTGAATATATCTGCTCATTTAAAGGTGCGACGTCGTCTGTTGGAGCAAATATCTCTACGAAAAGAACATTTCTTAACATTCAAGTGAGCGTCTTCCGCTTCTCGTATGGCTGCGTGTGCCGGCTTGAGGCTTTGAGCACCAGTAGAAGCACAGCCGATCGGTTGGAACAAGCCACCGATCACGTTCGAGCGCTCATTCATTTTTCACTTTTTGATTTCTTATTTTGGGTTGACCTTTCAAATAACATACGGACAAAAGGGACAAAATCGCTATCGTGGTCGCATTCAGCCTAGTGGGAAGCGTCGCCATATTGGCGTCAAGCCAATTAACTGATCTTGAGCGGCCACGTAATCGTGTGAGGGGATAGTTCCTCATTGCCAGTCAGACAGAATAGCGGGAATTAGTGTGAACACACGTGCTATCAAGAACGGAGTTTGACGTTATGGCTAATCGAGATACTCTAACTGTGCCTGTGAATCTGTTTCTCCCTGTACTGAGAATCGAAATACATATGACGTTCGATCCGAGTCGTTCCTTGAAGCCAATCGTGCCGGTGAAGAGCGTTGTATAAGAATGGCCCGATTTGCTCGAGCAATGTATTACAACCCAACAACCAAATCAGAATCGACAGGACGCGGCCACCGCCATAATGAGCGTTTGGCCCCATGGGATGGCTCGCTGCGTTGTGGGGGCGAAAGGTGGTATTCCTTTCTAAAAGGTGATGAAATGGCAGAAAGACAACACCCGCATCAAACATTGGTAAGTCTTTCGGAAATAGGGACCAAACAGAGAAAGAGTACCTCGTCGCCATCGTCGGCTGCACACGTCCACGAAGAGCTTGAAGAAAGCAGCATGATGGCGCATTCGGCACGACGCTGCCCAATACCTCGAACGCCTTAGCCAGTTGGGGTACAGTTGGGGTAGAAGATCATTTACGAGTGTGAGGGCGCGCATTCTCTTCCGCATGATCGTCCACTGCGCCACAAGTAGCCGCCAGCGGTGGCGACATAATGAGAAACCAGAGGTGCTGATGTGGTTCAATTCCAACTCGAATTCGGGGTGTCGGAGGATCTGGAAGCTGGAATTGGTCACGTCAGTTTTTCGATTTGAATTTGCGCTCACTTTTTAATCCTAAGCACCGCCTGGAAGGCACTTACACGTTTTACCCTTCCACCTGCATTAAAAATTTAGTGTATAAATTTACGAGCGGCCTGACATGGGGAGGGTGCGTTCAGCGGGTGCGTTGATGAATTAAACAACTAATTGAGCTGCATTCGTGTCAGAAGTGCAATAGCTGCAATAAAATGCTCTGCTACAACCCACTGGCTTGGCGAGTCTGCCATCACATGAACTGAATGGGACGCCAGGTTCGCAAGTGATCGGGTCAAAGAAGTTCGACTCTGTGGTCTTGCCTCAACTGCTTATTCGCCAGCAGACTTAGCCAGATTTGTTAACTGCAGTTTGTTAGAGGTCCTTGAGTACTCTCCAATCAAGTTGAGGGGTCCGCTATGGAGTAGCGGGGATTGGCTCTTTCTTTGGGAGAGCTAAGTACCCACACGACAGACTCGCCCAGTACATTGCTAACAACCGAGATCAAAGAATCCGAACGCTGAAACGGGAAACGGAAGCACTGAAGTTTAATGTTCTCAGCCATGTACATTCCTTGTGCAATCGCCGCTCTTCCAGAATGTGACTTCCAAGCGCCAATTACTGAAGATCCTACGGAACGCAGGAAGATCGAAGTTGCATTAGACAGTTGGTTTTGAAATTTGACTCCGAGGGGAAGATGCCGAAACCCACATGGGCGTGATACGGCTGGGCCCGTGTTTGTGTTACTCGCCCAACCTTGAGGCCGGGGGGTCTACCCGTCAAAGGCGTTCTAGAATATGCACTCTTCTCTTCTCTTTTTGGGGACGTAGACGAAGGGAGTGGTGCGGGGAAGGCTCTCTCCCATAACCCTTAATGATGCACACAATCGCGATGAAATGCAATTCGGCAAGCTTACCATGTGGCTCTGAAGGCTGGGCATATTGATTTGCGATAGCCTCTATCGACTCCAAACAGTGATGTCGATTTTTCAGTCAACAATCAAATGTATTCAAAGATAGACTACATAAGGGACACGAGTCAGGGAGCAAGTGGGGCAAATCAGGGCTCTTCTTCGCCTACATTAGGCGTGTGCCATATGTCTAACCTCACCCAGTGATTATAAAGCTCATCTGAAGTGAGTATAGTGTCATCTCCAGGCTTAGCTTGAGCAGGATCTCCAAACTTGTGGAGAAACGCAGAATGAGGGGCATGGAACTCCAAGAAGGCAGCTGTCGCTTGCGTATAACCTACGCCGTCAGCTGAGCCACCATGAATCGGTTTCCGGGTACCACTGCCGTCTAAACCAATTCCCGAGTAAAATTGCACGCCCCGTTCTGTGGAGATGCAGTCAATTCCAACATAACGAACACAAAGTTTCCTTTGAACATACGATTTGTTGTGACGTGGAAATCAAAACCACTGCGCTTCGATGAAAGCCTAACTTTTGGAGGGAGGGCAGCAAACAGGGGTGTTATGAGATCTGTCGACCCAAGCTTTGACTTGGCGAAATGAGTAGGTTCGTGAGGCTCGTCAAATAACCAGAAGTGGTCTAATACGCGTGGTATGTGAGTCATTACACTGATCCCGCTTCGGGGAACTATACCCACCGTAACCAGGATCAGGGTACTTGGCCCCAATGGTTGTATCCAGACCAGTAAAATCAAATGGTCCGCCTCTGATGTCTAGAAGCTTACCGGTTGGAAGTAGATTGCTGTCTCCTTCAAGAATGCGGGAAGACTGAATATACAGATTGTGGTCTTTCACGTCTGGAGTCGACTCGCCAGCTTTGGCATAGGATGCGTCGAGGTTGAATCCCCAATGCTGAGTGAGATTCACTGGTGATATGATGGTGGAAGACCCATCGGGCGCACGCAAAATTGCCCGGTAGTTGATGATAAGTGAACCAAGCGAACGTCTATATGTAACTGGCTCCCACTCCTTGGATGCAGGGATCGTCAAGAAAAGCGCCTCCACATAAAGCTCACCAGGAAATCCCTGGTCACCATGGGCACTTGTGTTAGCAAAGATTGCAGCTTCTTGCCCTATGCCAGCCTTTTCCGTAATGGAAGTAATCTCTTCCTTAGTGAAGAGCTGCGAATCGGAAAGGGACGGTAGTTGAGTGAATGCGTGTCTGTCAAAGCCTTCAGGGCCCCCGTGGAGTGACACCTTTCCCCCTTCTATTACCATATGTCAATGAGTTGTGGCGTCAGGATTATTGGATGATGGCAATAAGCACCATTGGCAATGGCGCTAACTAATGCTCGAACGTCATTTTTTTCAATGTGGTGTTCTCCAGCAGGTATACGGTTGCTGTAGCTGGATCGATTGAGGATATGAGTCGGATCGGAGAGACATTTAGGGGCCGCAGCTCACCGCCCAATAATGGGATTTAAGAACCTCCGATACTGCTTATGCTATTGAGGGATAGTGTAGTCACTATAATCCAAACACTCAGTTCTGTGGACCCACCTCCGCGATATCGTGGGGACCAATTACCAGGTCGTGCGTCTTCCCATCCGGATTGGTGATGAACTTATTCAGGAGAAACCCGTATGGCAGAACCTCGTAGGAAACAGGTGGAAAGAGGGATCCTTCATCGGGGGAGATAACGACTTGGGTCAATCCGTCAGTCATGATTGCCACCGTAACACCTAAGCAGAACAGAGGTTCGAAAGAACACAATAGGCAATGACCAATCCGGCCAACTCCGCTACAGCCTACAACATATCTTGGTCTATTAACTTCATGTCCCCATCTTGTCAGGCTCCTGCGTGTCAGTGGGTCAGCAGTAGTCGGGACACAACTGGTGTTGCTGAGGGTGGCGAGTGTTCATGCGCCTCTAATCTTGAAGTCATCACCGTTTGGTGGTGATTGCCTCACTTCCTCCCACTTATATTCTATTGAGCTAGGGAGACATCCGCTCGCTTAAGAGGGGAAATTTCTGTATCGGACGGCGCGAGATAAGGAAGCCCTTGACGTAAAAGATCAAGATGAACGGACACGAAACGAGAGGTTCGCGTTGATGCCATCCGTCCCGGACCTCTTGAATGTCTGAACGCCTGTGCATTGTCTGCCCCAAACTTATGCCCACTAGTTTCCGATCGTGGCAGAATGTTATGAAGGAGGAAAAATCACAGTCTGAAAAGTTGCCCAAAACAAATCCCGCACGACGGGACCAAAGGAAAAAATTACATGTTATCAAGAATTCAGTACAACGACAGGATTCTTCATCAAATGGGTGTTAGTTTCATGGAATTGTCTCCAATGTTTTCGGTAACCTACATGGATGGGGATGCTTGCGTTGAGGCCATGGTCTTACGCTCTGTCTTCCGATGTCGCACATGGATGCGAAGTAATGCTACTACCAAGTCACCAGATGCAGTACGTCAATATGACAGCTCGAGGGGGCCTGTTCGGAGATCGATCGGTCACGAAAATTTGATCACTCGCCGCGTCTGCATGCACAGATTGCTGGGTCACGACTTTGGTTTCGGATAATTTGACAGCCAACCAGGCTCATGTGCCGAGGCTACGCTTGTCTGGACCGTTGCACCGCGGGCAATCAATGCAGTAAGTTGGAGGTTTGCCGTTGACCACTGCAGCACTGTGCAATCAACCCAATTACGCTGAAGCAGTCTCCATGGTAATAGAGTATCTGCATCTGTGTTGACATATCAGCAAACCGTAGCGAGTTTTGGTCGCATCTCTGTTGTGGGGATTGCGTCGAAGCTTCGTTGACTTTCAATTGTCATATATAGGCGTCTCATCCAGAACAAGCAGGGGCTGTAATTCAGAACATCATAGAATAATATTATCAGCTCCACGCGCGCGATCGGATTGCTGCGTATCGATTTCATATGCTCTCGAGACGGTGTGAGAGGTTGATGCTCAGGTAGTCTCTTAGAGATTCGCCACCTCGCAGACGCACACTATGTCGGTTCCACTAGCCGCGCTTAGCGACGATGCGCTGGCGTTAGTTATTACCGAGATACAGCTTTGTTGGAAGCCGGACAATGTTGTTTTAGTAGTGTATGCAACTCGCATCATGCCATCCTGCGATTCTCCAAATCAATGTGCAAATCTTGACACGACGTCTAATGCCGCCTTTCAGGGCGGTCTAGCGCTAAATTAAAAATAAGTGTCCGCGATGTATTGATTGTGTATGAGTCCAGTGCGTTATGAAAGAAGGCGAAAAGGGGGATAAAAAAATACACGCGCAAATGCATTCATCATTAACAGTAGATTGATAGTACGAAGTAAGTTCGGGTTGGTGGGTTTCATCTGGAAAACCCTTCTGGGGGATACTTGTCTACGAAGGGGACAACTCGTCAGGAATGTGACCAATCAAATGATTCAACTGACGAACGAACTTTAACAGCTTCGAAGTTTGCTATTGCCCGATCAGGGTCCCATCCGTTCCCTTCCAAACATTGAATGGAAAATGCAGTGGTCAGGCCAGTTCTTGCTGCCAATTCTTGCACCACCACCCTCTGGGGTTCCGGCTGCAAAAGATTGAGTGAACATTAAGAGCGGAGGTGACGCAGCTACAACTTACAATATTTACGAGTAGTGGATCAATTCCAGGGGGATTTTGCGTCGGAAGAGGGACAGGTGGAAGCGCAGGAAGTGACTGCAAACCGGGCACAACCGCAGGAGTTCCAGTAGCCAGCTTCGAGACGGCAGGCTTCTTCTTACTAAGCGCATTCATGTAGTCGCTGACGATGAGGGAACCAGGCTTCCATGCTGTTGCGCCTGAGTAACTCCGAATCGTAAGCTGATCCGAGATGATAGTACAAGGCCAACCCGCAAGCTTAGCACTGGGAAGAGCAAATTGTTACAACAGGAAGGCTAGAATCAATACTGAGACGTACGGTGAACCTTCGGCTGACAATGCTAGTATAAACGAGCGATCAAATGAACGCAAGCCCCAGCTTGGCCCTAAAACATAGGATGAGGGTCGTGCAAAAAAAAAACGGAAGCGCAGATACACACCCTCAGCAAGTTCGCCATGGACAGAAACAAACAAGACATCGTTTCCAGCTGGCTGTCCATGCAGGATGCCGGGAATCGGATACGCGTCAACGATGAATTGATCCCCTTTGCTAAGATCGTGCCTAGTTGCAGGCATTTGTTCGAAGACGGTGCGAATGGAATCCGGGCCCGCGTGTAGAGTCTTTGTCACTCTGTCGAGATGACGAATCCGGCTAAGATTCCGTGACTCTGATAACCACCACGTCCAGGCTAATGAGTGCTGATTCGGCAAGGTCTGATGCAATCGTCGCTTCTTGGCGCGCGGTGCGATAGTGGTGTCGGCCGAAACAGAGAACGACGCATTGGTTGAGTAAGCTTGGAGGAGTGAGATTCGTGCATTGTCGAAATGAGGGAAGAATTGGGTAAGGAAGTTTCCTGTCATCTGATCAACTTGGCCACCGAATAGATTTCCTTGTATCCCGACGGGAAAAGAATCAGACAGTGACTCTGGTTTGCTCAGCGCAGCAGTAAAGGAGAGGGGGACGTCAAAAGTGATGGGTATGATTGGTTGTTGGTCCAACATCTGGAGCATTGGAAACCGACGTGCAACCTCACTGCAATGCCGGATTAGTTGTTTTCGACGTCCTGATAGTCAGTAGGATTTGTACCTTCGGTAGGTTATGATTTCGGCTGTTGAAGACAACTTCTCTTTGACGGGGTTACCGGTCAGCACCAATTCTTTGATTCCTGAAACGGCAATTTCGGACTTCCTGTTGGATGTCAAACCATCCAAAGCATTGAAGTTAGCGATTTTGTTGTTTTCTAGGCTCAGATTGGCGAGTTGGGGAAGATAATGTTGGATATAATCGAGGTTCCGAGTGTCTACGAAACGGTTATTCGCGAGGGATAACGTGAGACACGGTGGTTCGAGTTCTTTGGCGAGTTTGAGAACGACAGAACCGATTTGGCGCATGGATGTGGGTAAGTCGGGGCTATCGATTTTATATTTTCTGAGCAAATCGTCTTCCGCCATGTTCTACGTGTGCTTTAGTCTGCAAATTTGAGGGAATTGAAGGAGAAGTATGTACCTCCAGATTCAAAAACTGGGTCTGAGGGTTATAGCGTTTCTGTACAAACTCCCGAAGCACCTCAACACTTTCACGCCCAGACGAGGGCTCCTTGGCGGCCTTTGCATCCTGAACGCGGGTCCCGACTGAGACTGGGCGTCGCGCTTGACGACCGAGAACTGATGGAGACTCAGTTATACCCAAGCGAGATGCCAAAGAGCCGGAAGAAGCCCCTTTGATCAAGACTGGAATATTGGATTTGGGCCGCGTGGAAAGCTGGGGACAGCGGGAGAATAGTCGTTGAGAGACCCAGTAAGCGTCTTGTGTGGTGGCTAGAAAGGAAAAACTTGGTCAAAAAGATCATCACCATATTCGTGCGTTTAGCTGTCTCAGCAGCATTCCTCTCCATCTTTCCCAGCCTATCTAAGGAAGGTTTTGACCTCTCATGTATGCGATTACGAGCATGGCGCTTTGGACCACTCAAGGAGTCCGTCATTCGTACGTCTTCATCTACAAGCCCTGTCGACCTCAATGCAGCAGTAGCAACGGCACCTGACTGCCGTCGCGAACCCGAAGAGCCGCTCGGTATGGCAGACGGTGATGAGAACATTGTGGTGGTTGGTCAAGAGGATGACTTTGGGGTGACTCCGGAGTTGAGTGGTTAGTCAAGAACAAATGAATTGACTTCGGATTTCTCCGGCATCCCAATTTGGGTTCCCTTTGATGTTGACACACAGCTCATCTCGAAGCCCTGCATGCAAAGCGGCAACAATTACTGATCTTACCATGCATGTGCCGTCGTCAATCAACTATAGCCCCGCGGCACTTATGAAAACTAAGCCATCGAGGTGGAGAACACCTGAATTTGCTTTCTATGGGGTCGCGTTCCTCGTGGTCGTGCCCTTCATCTTCAAGTCTGCAATTGAATTAAGCCAGAGTACGATTATGCGGACTGGTCTCATCGCTATTTCTGATTTTCCCCCAGCCTCTCATCCGAACTACATAATGTATCAGGACCGACTTTCCAATGGTTGGCTGTTTGGGCGCAAAGTGGCAAGTTATTTATCATTCCTGTTCTTCCACCATTTAACACGCTCTTCTCTTTAGGATAACAGTGACATGCAGTACAGGTCATTTAGGAACAATTTCATGTCACTTCTTTTCCTGTCTTCCGTACACCTCATCTCCTCGAAGCTTTACACAAAGTGTGTTCACGCTGGGCCTTCGCCCTATAGCCAAAACTCTACGCGGGCTCCCTTCCTTCTTATTACGTCTATCTCTCTCATATTTATTCTCCACGGGGCTAGTGCACTCAAAATCCTCGGCATATTGATATTGAATTACCTATTGACCAAATCTTCCGCTGGACAGCGTTATGGTGTTTATGTCGCGTGGTCGTTCAACATTTTCATTTTATTCGCGAACAAACACTATGATGGCTATCGCTTTGAAAGTTTGCACGCCTCCCTGGCATTCCTGGTGCGTATCCTTCTGACACACATCTTAATCCTCCTCATGGTCACATAGGATGCATTCCGGGGGGTCTACCCTCGTTGGAGCATCTCATTCAATGTCACAATACTTCGCCTTATTTCTTTTGGATTGGACTTTAACTGGGCCAGCAGAGCAATGAATACAGAATTGAATGTGCGCAAGGATGTCCATCCGCATAACAGAGGGTGCATTGAGGTTGTGTCTGCAGCAGCAAAACTCGAAAAGTTTTACTTCAGACGATCGTCATCGCATCTCGGACCCGCATCCCCTTGAGATGTACAATTTGGTCAACTACGTATCTTACACCCTATATCCTCCTCTCTACATTGCCGGTCCGATCATGACTTTCAACGATTTTGTTTGGCAGGTGGGCCTCACACCTCACCAAAAAAGGAATTGACAAAGCCATCAATTCTAGTTACGCGAGCCTGTCCAAATATCCCGACGAACTCGAGTCGGCTATGCATTGCGGTTCCTCGTATCTCTTTTGACGATGGAGTTTGTGCTACACTTCATGTATGTTGTCGCCATCAAAGACGCGAAAGCTTGGACAGGAGACACGCCTTTCCAGCTCGCCATGATTGGGTATTGGAATCTAGTCATTATCTGGCTTAAGGTTCGACCTATTGATGCTCTGTTACATACCCTGGGTGACGTAACTTGGGTGTTAGCTCCTGATACCGTGGAGATTTTTTCGTTTGTGGTCGCTACTAGATGGATTTGATCCTCCAGAGAACATGATCAGATGTGTATCAAACAATTACTCTACACTTGGCTTCTGGAGGAGTTGGCATAGGAGCTATAACCTATGGTTGATCCGGTGAGCTCTGACGTACGCTCGTACCTTGGAGGTTCGCGTGAACAGAAGAATTTTCAGGTACATTTATATTCCACTCGGAGGCGGGGACAAGCGTTCGTTCGGCATTATCCCCAAGCTCATCGTCTTCACATTTGTTGCACTATGGCATGACTTGTCTACACAGCTACTCGCTTGGAGTTGGCTTGTAGTGCTCTTTATCATTCCCGAAGTAAGCTGCACGAGGCTATTTCCGGAGAGCAAGGCTAGTGGCATGCTCATGCTGAGGTTGTCTAGCTGACTTCCAACCCGCAGTATGATGGGAGAAGCTGGTATCGGCACGTCTGCGCAGTGGGCGGAGCTCTTAATATCATTATGATGATGCTGGCTAACCTTGTTGGCTTCGTACTTGGAGCTGATGGAGTCCGGTACTTGGTAAACCAGCTCTTGCATGAATGGGAAGGTACGCATCTCCAATAGAATGCCCGAATTGAGTTATATGTATTGGTTGATTTGTAGGTGCAAAATTCCTTCTGGTCGCTCTGCCATGCTTGTTTATTGCCGTCCAAGTCATGTTTGAGTATCGGTGAGTGGGCGTATCTGTAACACATTCTGTATTAGCACTGAGCCTGTGGACCACTAGAGAATCGGAGAAAAGGAAAGGCATTTTCAGAAAGTGTTAGGCTGGGGCAGAATTTGTTAATTGTTTTGCGCCAACATATTGGTCCCGAAGAATTTGAAGCGATGCCATGGCCAAGAGCAGCATATCGCAATGAACCCTTCTAACCATATCTTCGTATAACATTTAATTTTAGTATTCCTTCAACCCCTCGATCTCTTCTTGGCTTCGAGCCAGGTATGATATTGCCTCCGCTGTGATTTAAGTATTAGTTATATCCCCACAGTGGCACTTTCAATGCACTCACCTTCTGTCAACTGGCCCCTCGGATGAGTTCGGATTTTAGAGATCTCTTCATGGTTGTGTCGAATGGCAGCTAACTGCAGCTTCTTTACAGTACCTGTGGTTCCCAATCTATTGAGAAAACCAAGCTTGGATCCATACGAAATGGCTTACCAGAGACTTTGATTACGCGTGGTATGTACCGCACGTCTTCGAGAGCACTCAGGAGAGTCAAAGCCCCCCATGCCAATCGGTATCGTTCTCTCGGTGCTCTAATGATACATATATTCGTGACAGGAGAGTAGTACCTGACTTTTCCGAAGCTTAGTGGACATACAGGACCTCAGGGAGTAGCGCACCAGACAATTTGTCGAGCGATCCTGCCCCCCATTCCCCAAAATTCGTCTGCACACTCTCCTTTAACGCCTGAAAAACCACTCTCTCCGATACCAAAGTGGGTGGTTTGCTGTCGGCATGAATGAATTCAACCAAGAACCATCGGTTCTGAACGGGAATAACACGTCTGTATAATGCCAAAAGCAGAGGGAACGGACTCACTTTGAAGCGGACCATGGGATAGAACCATTGACACAAGGGAGCGGAACATGTGACTTCAGGCGACGGTGTCGTCACAAGGCGCTTATGCCGCCCTTCGCTGCTGCAGAGCTTGTGCGAGGGGTGAAAGAGAGAGTGGAGTGCATTTTAGTGCAAGGCGCGTCAAATGCCATCACTCTCAAGTCCACGAAATCCTGAGATGCGATGAATTCAGGGGACACGCTTTACGTCGGGACCGCTGCAGGCTCCTTGCTGACTTACAGTGTCATTCATAGTATGTAGCACCCACATTTCATATGGTACAACCTTAGTGACAAGTCTTTAGAGTCCGAGGGATATGAGGCTTCGCCACAGGAGTCCAGACCAAACTTCAGTCGGAGGTCTATCGATGCACTTGGCTACCTTCGAGATGTGAATTCGCTTGTAACTCTCAGTGGTACGTCCCAGAACATCGATACGTCGGCTGAATACCGACGTTTTTTTTAGACAGAACTGTTACACTGTATCCCCTCCCGAAACTCGGCCCCGCCACACCGTTGACACAAGCGAAAGGTGCATTCAGCTTCGCAATCCACACCTCGGTCCAACATTTGGATGGGACCGGCGAATCTAGGGTGCCTGAAATGGCTGAGGCTGGGGGGGTGCCCACTGTTGTAACCGTGTTGGCCGTAGGTTGCCAAAAGAAATTAGTGGTTTACACATGGAAGGATGGGGAGATCTCAGAACCGAAGGCAAGCGTATCAATGAGGACTCCTAGGAGTCGGTGATTGATCATCCATTCCAGGAGTTGCATCTCCCCCATTCTCCCAGAACCATGGCTTTCTGCAATCCCCAGACACTGATTATTGCGTACGAGACGGGGTATGCATTTGTGTACTTATCTACAATGTCCGTAGCCGAATTAGTGATTCCTACCACCTCGACGACGGCTATGGGCACTGGGATGGGTAAAGTTGGTATGGGTGCCCTGAGTGGACTCACAGGATACATGACTCTCGGTCTTGGTCGAAGTATGAAGCCTTCCGTCGTGCAACTATATGAAGGCGAAGTCCTTGTTAACAAAGAAGGTGTTGTGCTTTCGTTGTGCTTGGGAGTCTATGTCTCAGTGTTGAAATACAGGCGTCGGCACTTTCATCGGGCCAGACGGTAAAGTGAGCCGCAATCAGGTGCTGGATTGGTTAGCCACCCCCGTAGACACAGGTAAATTGATTAACATTCTCCTGCATCCCCTCCTAACAATGTGCTCCAATTAGCTTCCATTAAGCCGTACATTCTTTCAATTTTGCCTCCCCTCTCCTCGTCACTCCTCGCAGCCCAAGGAAATCAGCAGCAGGCGTTCCCTCGTATCCAAGTTCGTTCATCATTGTCTCTTGTGATCGTTCAAACGCTCTCGTATCCCTTTTCCCCGGACCCCCTTGAGACGAGCAATCACTCTCAAGGGGTATCTATGCGCTTATTGGTGACATCACCTTCATTGCGATCCCCTGCTTTCTTCATTTCTACTCCGATTGAGAAGGCCGCAGCAGTTGCGGAAGGAAGCACGATCTGGACACTGGAAATGCAGCCATGGGGTCAACAAATTGAAGAGCTCATCGATGTTGGACGGTACTCGGATGCATTGGCCCTTTTGGAAACTCTTGATAATGCAACGCTCAAAGACAAGGTTGAGCGCCAGTCACTCGTTTATATTCCGTTTTCTAATTCAGAAGCCTTTACCTTAGGATCGTCGCATCTCCTTCGTCCAGGGTTTATATGCCGTTTCTCTGTTTGCGGAAGGCAATTACGACGAGGCCATTGACATATTTCTTGAGCTGGACACTAATCCTGCGAAAGTCGTGGCCATGTATCCTACTGTCATCTCAGGTAGACTCGCAAAAGACCGTGAAGAGTGGATTACTTTGTTTGGAGGGAAAGGTGTCGCCCGTGTCAGAGGGCCATCCGTCGACGACGTTGCACCACAGCAGGATAATGCCCATGCGGTGGCTTCTTCGGATACTACTTTACTGTTCGAGAAGCGACCTGAAAGCATCCGGGGCCTGGAGACTGCTCCAAGCCATGATCCTTCGGGCTTGACATCACGGCTGCCCACAGAACCCTCCCCCAAGGAGACGACTGGCGAGTACATTGATTCTACGAACATATCAAAAATTTAACTCTTAACTACTGTTCGCAGAGCAACGACTCAAGCGTTCTGTGGAAGTATTGATGCGTTACCTCACGGACCGACGTCCCAAGTTATCCGCTGCACTGGCGGCCCTGAGCATCACGCCGGCCAAATCGACCGAGTTTCCTTTTTTGTCCGAAACCTCTGTTGAGGATCTTCTCGCATTACCGGATGCTCCTCTTTCTGCATTGGTTCCAGAGCAGCTATTGCGATTTGCTCAGATCACGGACACTGCATTGTTCAAATGCTACCTTCTGTCTCGGCCCCCGAGCCTCATTGGGTCATTGTGTCGAGTGCCAAACTGGTACGAAGTAACCGAGGTTGAAGAAGTGCTGAGAGAGCGAAAGGTAGGACCGATATCCTTCGCGAGCATCGGTTGTGCGCTCAACGAGACGATCAAAGCAATTCAGTGAACTCATTGATTTGTATCAAGGGAAGAAGATGCACGAGAAAGGCCTAAATCTTCTGCATGAGTGAGTTTTCCTCGTTTTCACTAATGCTGCCGTCTTGTCGCGCTAATTGTGCCCTTCAGCTTAAGCTTGAGGGAAGCGGACCCGGAACTGAGATTGCAACCCGCAATTCGATATTTGCAAAAGCTCGATCCCCAGTACCTTCCGCTGATCTTCTCGCACGCCAGATGGGTACTCGAAGCAGACCAAGAACAAGGACTTCAGGTGAGGACACCTTTGAACTCATCCGCCTCCGAACTAAAGCCTTGTTACCTAGATATTCACAGCAGAAGAGGTGCAACTGCCTCGCAAAGAGGTTGCAGATTTCCTCCAAGATATTGATCTTGAACTTGGCGCTAGATTCGTTGAATTCCTGATTAATGAAGTCAAGGAGCCTGATCCCGCATTCCATGATCGTCTCGCAGATATGTACCTGAAAGGATCCGTAGACCCGATGGTCTCCGAAGGTAACTCTCTCACTGAATGCCCGACAGTGTCTGAAGAATCACCCAGTCTTGCGGAAGGCTTCATACACACGACTTCTAGATTTCATTAAAATCTCAGATAGAATCCGTCCCGAGAGACTATACAGCCAATTGCCTGGCAATGGTGAATGCCCATCATACTTCAAATTTGGATATGATTACAGCTTTTATTGAAACTAGATCTATATGAAGCTCGGGCTATTCTTCTCGGACGCATGAACCGGCACGAAGCAGCTTTGGAAATCTATGTCCATCGATTGGAGGATTTCCCCGCAGCAGAAGAGTGCGTTTCTTCCATGATTTTAATGAGCAGCACAAGCCATTCTTATCGCCCTTTAATATGCATAGGTATTGCAAACACGTATACCAAAAGGCTCCCGATCCTAAAGGGGTTTTCCTGACTTTGCTCCGCATCTATCTTCGAGAACCCTCTAACATAGCTTATTCCAAGCCGCATTCGCCGCAGGGAGAACGGGTCTTCCTCCTCGGCCCCGCCATAGACCTCATTTCTCGATATGGGGTGCGACTGGACCCCGTCGAAGTTCTCGAACTTTTGCCTCCTCTTGTCAGCACAAAGGACGTCCGAGCGTTCCTGTTGGAGGCTCTCACTGCTCCAACGATACATAATCGAGTGACAAGGGAATTGTGGAAAGCGCGACGAGGCGAGGTCGATGCGAACCTGATTAGTCTCCGGGAACGACGAGTGAAGGTTGCCGATACGCGGATGTAAGCTTCGATGCTCTTTGATCAGGCCTTTAAATCCTATCGTGCCCTTCATGTCCGTAGATGTCCTCAGTGTCACAAGAGATTAGGAAATAGCGTCATTGCTGTTCATGCACCTCGGTGAGCCGCCAGCCTTCCATGGATTTACCATCAGTCACGGATGTCTCCCACAGTGGGGAAGTCACTCATTATCAGTGTCGAGAAGCATTCGCTATCCGCAAAGCACAGACTTTTGGGCGACGCTGATGATCTTAGCCGCTACAGCGTCCGTCTGGCATGAATGGAAATTACGAATTGTATCGCAAGACATAAATGGGCATTTTCCTCTAAGGTTTCCTTTCAGAATTGTGCGCGACAGTTTTAATCGGTTTCGCAGCAAGCGTCCAGGGTTATTTGGATGTAACTTACATAAACTAAGCCGGAAATGTGTGAGGTGAAGGATTGTCAGGCCTGCGTACGAATATAAGGTCTGAATGGGGCGTGGAGGCATTAATATGATACAGGGGTGGTTGACAGAGGGGGGAGGTGGATTGAAAAATACATAGAGGGGAAAGGGGGTAAGGCAGTGTATTCATCCTATATCGCGGAATATGATGATGTTCAGGACCAAAAACCAGAGCACCGAAGAGGCCAATAAGATGGGTGGAGGTGGATGATTGCGCTTGTTGTTATTACCGGGGAATCAGCTCGTTCAGTTCAGATTCCCGAACACGGATTTCGACACATTCAACTTCGAAATCCATTCCAGAGGATAAGGGGGCTGGAGTGGGGTGCGAAAAATTGGAGGACGGAGACGTCGAGCAGAGGTCTTAGATCAAGAGTCAGTGTCGAGTTGGCAAGCGCCAGTAGGAGGTCAGAAGTCAAGTTTGTGCTCACATCGATCCTTTTGCCAAGCAGGAACAAATAAATCCTGTACCGACGGTATCGAATTCAGAGAGGCACACGAATAGAGACAGTGTACTGACCTGATTCCAGACGAATCCTTGGCTGCTCTTGATAGTGAGGATAGGTCTATAGACATTATTGTAGGCCTCTTCTTCCTCCAGCATCCTGCGAGCTCGTCGACGAGCGCGCGCTTCGGCTTTCTGCGCTTCGGTTTGTTCGGGCTGCTTTCCTTTACGCTTTTCGACTCGCTTCCGAAGAAGCTCTTCCTTACTCTCCTCGTCTTCATCTTCTGCGTCTCCATCCGTCTTTTCAGAGGATACATATTCCTTTGTCTGAATAGTGGTAGTGTTGTTCTCCGCGTCAGTGGGTGTGTCGATGTCCATTTCTCCCATGACTGCGGCAGGCTCATTATCGCCACTATCGGATTCATTGAAAGAATCATAATCCTCATCATCCTCCTCTGAGTCTGACCCGGGGCTGGAGGAGCGCCCAAAACGGTGAGTGTTGATGTGCTCGTACATTAGATAGACATCGGGGGATGACAAGCGCGGGCGTCGAGGCGGGAATGACATCGACATTATTGTATAACTATTTTACTGGGATCAAATTGTGTCGGCTAGCCAGAGCTGTCAGACCACAGCGCCCTCAGAGTTCGAGGACACTCACAGGCTTCCGCAGGGGCAGATTGACTCGAGCTGTGACTTGAGGGACTTCTCGTGATTAGAGTGTCACGTGAGACTCCACGTGAGTCTCACTCACGTGCATCCACGTCTGAACTTCATTAATTGGCATTGCTGCAATATTGCAGGCAAAAGGTAACGCTCCCAATCACAACCTGAAGTGACCTCCACAACTTACCAGACAGAAGTTTAGGCTGCCGGCATGGCATCTGAAACTGACTCTTTGCTCGAGAAACTCGACGGTGTTGCCCCAATTCGGAAATTCGATGCCTTCCCGAAGCTCCCTCCAACCTACAAGTCGAGGACGACGGGTGGGGGGTTTATCACCATATCTATCATTCTCTTGTCAATACTTCTGGTGATGAATGACCTTTACGAGTATGTCTGGGGCTGGCCGGATCAAGAATTCAGTGTGGATACACAGCTGGCCCAAATTATGACCATGAATGTCGATATTGTGGTCAATATGCCGTGTCATTGTGCGTCAGGCACGCGATGAAAGATTGTCACTATTCTGACTCCTCCAAGACTTAAGCGTTGATTTGCGTGATGCTGTGGGCGAGCGGTTACATCTGAGCAATCAATTCCGAAGAGATGGAGTGGGTAGCGGTGTTACATCATGTTCTCAGCACGTTCTTGACGATATACGTGTTTGCAGACTACGTTTGATGTTGGTCAAGCAGAAATGCTTCAGTGGGTTCTAGCCCGTCAACTGTTGTGTATATGCGCTTATTTGAATATTTCCAGGAACTATCAAACTCGGAAGATAATGGATGCCAGTGAAGCAGTGACGTTGTCGAGAAAATCGAGGGGACTTTTCTCATGGCTTAGGGGTTCGAAGAAAGCAGAGTTTCCGCCAACCTATAACTACCGTCCGGATGCACGAGCGTGCAGAGTCTATGGCAGTGTTCATGTCAAAAAAGTAACAGGTAATCGATGTGTTTTTCACGATTGACTATGCAACTCATATCATTATCAGGGAACCTGCATATTACCACTCTGGGTCATGGATATGGCAGCCATGAGCATACCGACCATAATAGTGAGCCGACTTCCTCCCCACCTCCCCACCCGTATTTGATTCTGAAACCTCCAAATTATGACAAGTGATGAACCTTAGCCACATCATTACCGAATTCTCTTTTGGACCTTATATTCCGGATATCGTACAACCATTAGATGGCTCTTATGAATCCACTGACCACAGTCAGCCTGGTACCTTGTTCTGCCGCCATGACACTTACACATTCTGTCCCTTAGGATTTACTGTCTTCCAATATTTTATGAACATCGTCCCGACAACGTATCATGCCTCAACAGGTAGCCAAGTCCATACGAACCAGTATAGTGTGACGCATTATGTGAAGGAAATTCAACATGGCGAAGGGGCACCAGGGATATATTTCAAGTTCGACATAGACCCCATGTCCATCGATGTTTACCAGCGAACGACCACATTCATCCAATTCTTACTCCGTGTGGTTGGGGTTGTGGGTGGAGTTTGGGTTTGTGCTAGCTGGGCATTTAAGATCGGTAATAAAGCCGTGGAAGTGGCCATTGGTTCGAAGAACGACGAAGATCTCCTTGCAGACGCCCACTCTACTTCGCGTAAGAGCCGCTGGACCGGGGGCACTCTAAGCAGGCGGATGCTTGGCAATGGGAACGCTTGGGAAGACGCTACATCTCCAGGATGGACAGCAACTCCCATTACATCTTTCAGCACCTATTCTCATCCCCCATCCTCCGCTTCAACATCCAATGCCTCTGCTACCGGTCCATACTCGACAACACCCAATGTAGGCGCACGGGGTCCATGGGCAAATGGGGAAACCTCAATATTCCCTCCTTCCTTACCTGGGTCCGCAGCTGCCTCTCACTTCCCTTTCTCGCCCTTACCTCCTGCGGCACCTTCCCCATACTCTTCATCATTCCGCCGATCCCTTTCAGGGGGGAGCGCCCCTCCTAGTGGTTACCATCCTGGCCGCGTTTCTCCAAACCCGAGCAACCCGTTACTCACAACAAACTCGACCCCTCCAAGAGCATCAAGCCGGAGTCCCAATCGTGTTACACTCGATGTTCCAGCCCAGTTTGGCATGGTGCCCGGTTATGGGGAAGAAAAGGAAGTGCAATAAGCCACTTTTGGGTATCGCGGGGCATCCTGTCGTTGTATATCATGTGTCGTGCTACTCATTTATAACGCCAGCTTTGGTTATGAATATTGTGGTATTATATTCGATGGACAGAAGCTTGGGCACCATACATAGAATGAAAGGATGCGAGTTGAGGCTATTGACGTGTTTATCTCGCTCTCTTCTTCCCTTTCAATGCTGTACGAGTGTCAGCATCGCGTTCGGCTAGCCAGATACCAAATGCGGGACTTTTTAACCAGCGCTCATAAAATTCCTTCTGTTTGGCCTTAGTGCGGAAAGGTAATGTGCTCCCATGGGTCTTAAGAGATGCCAGAAAATCTGCATCAGCGAATGACCCTAGAAAATTGCCGCTTCCACTGTCCGATTTGTGGTGCGAAGATGCTGCCGAGGATGTTGAATTCTTCGTGGCCGATGGGAGCGTCGGGAGGTCAGAGTTGTGAATGAGGGAGGTAAAATAGCGATTAAGAGGACCCAGGACTTCCGAGGCACGCATTGAGAAGTGTCGGCGAATGAGATGCACTGCTTCAGTTTCTAGTTATTACGTGTTGTAAATATATTGTTACAAAAGGGAAATCGTTAACATACCTGCTTGACCACCTTTCTGGACTGCTGTCTCAAGAAGCTTTAGCAAGTCCTTGTCCTTACTGATGTAGCGCTGGTGCCTTGAATGGAAGCCGGCGTCTGGGCCAAACTTGAGGCTTGCTTCTGGAACTTTACTAGCTTGACCATCCCTATCCCCCCCCAAAAAAAAAAATCAGATGATCAGCCAAGAGCCTTTAAGCATCCCGATCTAGAACGTACCGGTCCTTCTTGTGATGAAAATGGTGATGGCGAGGTGGGCGTCCTAAACTCAGGACATGCGGCCAGTGCTTACAAGCATTGGTGAAGAACGGGTTCGTTACTCCCAATAACATTCCAGCTCTTGGCCCATTCTTGTTCACTATGCGCTCAAAATCTTGATCGTGGATGTGGAAATACGGCCGAAGGTCGATCGCCGCGTTCAGCTGCATACCATAAGTTGAGTACCCGAACAATGCAACGGGTAACCTACCGGACGAATAAATTCATATAGCCACCACACTGCCAGACTCGCCTCTCGCGGGGTGGCAGCGAAGATGATGAGAGGTTCGCATAATATTAGGCATTCCCATACTGACCACAGCTTTGGTAAACATGGAGCGAAGATGCGGAGAGGAGATGGATCCGAAGGCGGTACAGACGCGAGGAGCTGCAATAAGCTCAATTCGCGTTCGAGGCTCACCGAGGGTTTTGGTATGCACTTACTGGAGGGTCTGCGTTCGACGTGATTTGAAGAGGTTGTTGCTGTTGCCGCTCATCTTGAGGGAGCTCAACATTCAGGACTCTCCCCATAAATCCCAATTCGCAGGACAATCCGAACGTTGGGTCTGGCCTTAGCTTGCAAAGAAACAGGTAGTATTCGCAATGTAGTGTCATAAAAAGCTTGAGAATGGGACCGGTTAAACGGAATTCTTACCAGTTTGCAATGTTATGGCAAGCTGTCTCAAGTGAGGGCGCGCCTTGCGAGAAGTATAGAGGTGCAAGGTCGTGTAGAGCCGTTAGGAATAACGATGGATACGGGAGGTGCGAGAGTATAACGACGGAGCGCTATTTCGGCAGCAGTCAGTAAGAATGGAGAACACTGAGAAAGTGCGTGTACACGGACCTGAAGATAACCCCTTTTTGAGGAATCGTCCCTTCTTTGATGAAAAAGCGAATATCCATATAGATACCCGTCAATCGACGGAGGGCGAGGTGTCCAGTGGATATCATGAGTTGTCGCTTCATCCTCCTGGGGTGTTGTTCCTTCGGGAATACGAAATGAATGGACCTCCGAACCAGTATCGAATAGTGCTGTATCTGGGAAGGATGAAAAGGCGCTTTACATGGCTTGCCTCAGTTCTAAGAGGCTAGAAGGTCCCGTGAACCGACATACACGTTTTCTCGTTCGGCGTCTGTCAGGCTGATGGAGGGATACAGGATATCTACAACAGGTCTGGTTTGATATTTGTAGCACTGAGTATCAGTGTTACAGGTAACATGCAATGGAAACAACGCATTTACCCAACATCTAAATTGAAATTAATTATAGCCAAGGAAATGATCCACCTTCTCATCCGTTCCAGCTTCATTGGATCCAGAGGCGTAGGTTGGACATCTTTATCCAGACTCGAGCTCCGTCGTATATGGCGCTGGGAGCGTGTCGCTTCGCGAACGATGGACGTCGACTCTTGGCGTGAACTGCTGTTTGAGGACGAGACATTCATTAGCTCCACCACCGGGATGCTGGGTGCGATATCAGAGGCTGGCATTAGGACGTGTCGAGCCTCCAACCCCAAACGAGGAATGTCAACTTCTGAAGATTCTTTATGGTGGAGACTTGGAAAGGTAGGGGAGGGTAGATCCGGGTGTCTAGCCAGACCGATATCCCCGAGAGTCTCGTCGCCCATTCTTTCAAAATACACCGTTCAATATTCGTCTCACCAGAACTCGCCTATTATAGTCGTATCCTGGTAGTCGATGGTTGCTCAAGTACGACAATAATGATGGATCGTTCAATTGACTTCCATTTTCGGAAGGTGAACTTCTTCTGCTCCCAACTTTCGTGTCATCGGAATCCAAATATTGGCTTGGGATTTGTGCTAGATGTGAAGAGGGTCCAAATGATCTAAAGGAGAGGAGGCAAAGATATACACAGAAACAGTAGACACGGAACGAAGAACACTGAGGGAATGAGGGAATTCGATCGCATTAGTTAGAAGTAAAGAAAAATTAAGATGCGCATGTTCTGACCGCTAAGGCCGCGCAATGCACTAATTTACAATGGAATTAAGCCATGTCCCACTAACGGAAGTGACACCACGATAAGGGAAAAAAGAAAGGGTAAAATAAAGATATGTAGGGTCTTCATGAATCTCAGATCAAATCATCGCTTACCTGGATGCATCAATGTCCGCTATGTGAACTCGAACCGGGTAGATCGAATAGATATTCCCCATCACTCTCGGGTTTGGGCGGAAATGCTTCCACGGCGCGCCTCGTTCTGTGAGCCTTGGGTTTATTGGCATCATATGGCACCCATCTGAAGCCCCCCTGCCTTTTGGGCCTTCTAGCACCATTGCTATCACGCTCACTTGGGGCCTTTGCTGCTGAATTCTGACGTCTATCTGGGTGAGACTCTGGTGAAGAAACGCCAATCTCGCTTCCAGATGTCGATCTTTGCGTTCTAGGGGGCCGACGGATCGTTCCAGCGATGCTAGGTAGGGGGAAGTCATCGTCGGATGCCAGTGGCAGGGGTGGCAGTGATAGGCGTCTCAAGTCAATGCGTCCACGGCGGTCATAGAATGTGGCAGATTGTAACTCCCTATTCGAAAGTGGAGTGGTGAACGGGTGGGAGTCCGCAGATAGTGACGATATTTGTTCTGGGCAGAATATTAGTGATTTGAAGGGCAACACCACCGACACAGCTAACCAAAAGGAATCTCTGGACTAGATCCAACTGAGCCTAACACGTTCTCCTCTAGCGAGACAGAGCTTTGTTGGATAGCTGGAAGCTCATCAAAAGGGTCTGGGCCACCCATATGGGCAAGACAGTTCGCTTGCGACGTCAAGATATTCGATGAGGGGACTTGGTTTAATGGATTTTGTACCACTCGAGGTGCGGATACATCCATGAAGTTAATGACTGGGGAGGTGGATGCGAAGTATCCCTGATCAGGGGATATTTGGTTATCCCAAAGCGGATCCTGTATTTGGGCCTCTTGAGTTTGCCCAGAAAAGGCGGATTGACCATCTAGCTGAGCATCCTATGGTGTAAGTCGTTGCGCAGTGACTGACGGTAAGAACCCCCGCTCTCGAATAGGCGGGAACACAACGCACCTGAGTGGAGGTCTCACCAGACGGAAAGTGATCGAAGGACAGCCTTTTTTGTGCCTCCAGAGTGAAACCCTCGGCATATATCTCCCACATTCTTACTTCCTCTTCGATCGCCAAGGCCTTCCCTTCAAATACACCTATGCCTCCTCCTCGGTTTCTCCAGAATTCAATATGTTCTGACTTTTCCAAACTCGCAACACGATCGAGGTGGTGTCTCGCTTCAGGCCTCATCGCTGCCCACGACCTGTCCAAGAGTTCGATACCCGGGTTGGTCCTCCCAGCCTCGACGGACTGGATATCACCCAGGGAGGCTTGAAAGAGAAGGAGTGAGCTTCTAGGAGGAGGTATTTGGAGGAGGTTTTGGTTTGAAAAACCTCCGATCGTTGAGGTCGTGTCGGTCGTGTATGAGCGTGAGGACTCCATGTTAAACGGCGTAAGACAAAGAGAATTGGCGAAGACAAAATGAATGATTTAGCTCGTGGTGTAACCTGAATATGAACTAGGCACAAAGTCCAAACTCAAATCAAGCAGTACTCACCAGTAGACCTAGGATGTATAGTAACTTTCCCTCTTCTAAATTCTAGACTCACCTCGCCAGGGGGTAAGACAGCATGCAAGAATCAGCGATGCGCGAAGTGATGGGACGATAGATTTTACGGAGAAGCAAGCGCAGATCCAATTGTCGGGCTTTATGAGCCTCGAGACTTCGCAACGAGGATGGCCTGACTTCCCCCTCCGAGGGGTTGCGAGGAAGCATGAATCCCTGACAACAACATCTCGGGAACACGCGTGCGACAAAGGCGAGGGTGGTCAGCTCCCGCTAAATGACTAGTGGTCGATCACTAAAATGTCCCACTGAATTATTGCCTGAGGACAAAGGAGAGTCTGTTTCATCCGTCGAGATCATCCGCGGTTGTCAGGCTTGCAGTTCTCAACCGTTGTGCCGGGCGCTTGGGGTCACGAAATTTGAAATGAGTAGTGGAAACAGCCCCAAGTGTTTGCTAAAATAAGAAGACTCCCAGAATCTTCATATTAGCAGGGGCTTTGGGGTCTCCGCGCTACGACGTAAAAATTACTGTGTAGGGTTGGAAAGTAAGACACAAAGGACCCAAATTTGTATCATATTCGGTGATGTTTTGTAAGCACTGTGGACCTGAGAGTCGTTGCCAGCAACTATGCCCCAGGCTGCTCAGGATATGAGAAGAAACTCAAGTGGGGAGGACGCGCACCAACTGAATTGATTGGTGCACCAATTGATTAGAAAGAATGACCCAGGATGCCCGGACGCCGCTCGCAAACTGCACAGGCGAATTGGTGGCTTCATCATCGAAACAGATCACCATCAGAGGGTACAAGCATAAAAACAACGACTAGTTGAACTTTGAAAGGCAAGTACTTGGCTCGTACACTAAGGCTGCAGGTGGGTCAACAGGTATCCACTGAGCAATCTCTTGCCCAAACGACTTTGGAAAGACTTAAGTGAGATGGAGCCAGTCGCAGGGCCACGTTTGATGAAAGGTAGGTATGGAAAATGAAATCGGTGATTCAGGCACAATACATAGGCGCCCCGAATTGGTTGATCGACATCATTTTGGCAGGTGTGAAGCGCTCAAGTGAAAGACATAGAGCGAGGAGCGAGGGTGTACGACGCCTCCTTGACACTTCTCACAAAGACATGGAGCGGCCTTAAAGCGCCACCATTTGGGCTCGGGTGACTCCGCTTAATTATCACGAAACGTTTCTCGGCATCAACAAACCTCCAGCATGACACGTGGAGCAAATCCTTTAGCTTATTCCTTACACCCCTCACTTCACCCACGATCAAGGACTTCGTTTGAAGCCAGGATACCTTTTTTGAATTGGTGGGAGCCGTAACTGCTGAGAGTTGTCGTAATGTGCTCGAGTCGTGTTTTCATGATCTACACTAATCTTTGTGTCCAGTTATACCATAATAGTAAATGAAACATGAAACACTGGAGGAGTGGTTGGTGCTAGGGTGACACAGACACCCTTACGAATTGGCGCATGAAACCCCAATCTTTGGACATCAGTCTATGGCAACGAACCCCTAAAATCCGATGGACCAACGCAGGCTAGGTTGGTTGCTGGATGATTAAGGGGGCAGCACGAAGTTTCCCTGTATCATACACGCTAGGGAACGAAAGAACTACTCAGGGCCACTGTCGTATCACGCGCCCGCTACCCTCGCCTTACAACTCCTCCCCTACAAGCCAGCGATTGAACATCGTCAGATATTCCAATGGCTTATCGTAGGATGCCTAGGCATATTGGTTTAGCCTCTTGTTCAAATGCATGTGCCCGCTCCATCGATGGTAGCAAATATGAGTCCATTTGCAGGCCGTGTTTGGCCCGCCACCTTGTCGTTGACCTTCCAATGACGGAGGGCTTGGAAGAAAAGCCATCATGCCCAGACCAATCAAGCTGATCGATCCACCGACAGTTCGCAACCCAGATCATTAGTTCCTATGATCCGAGCGCCTCCAATCCAAGGCTGGATGTGAAGGATCGAGGGGAAAAAGTATGCATTCGGCCTCGTGAATTTACCATTGTGATGCCATATGGGTTGCGTCCTGATTGAGTATGAGCCACATAAGAGTGGCACCTGAGAATGTCGGAATTCCTCGTACCTGTAGCTCTGAACGTGCTTGACATGTGATGGTCACAGAAATCTACAGCGGCAACCTTTTTGAATTATCTTCTTACAGATGAGTATCTGGTTGAAGGTTAACAGACCTGAAGTTAATTGGTTTATGGTAGCGACACGCACACTTCTGCGGCAAATACGGGAAGGTATCAGCCCTTCAGTTCAACATGAGATCCGAGTTGCAGACAGGGCATCCAAAGCAACGTAAAACCCACACTATGCGATTCGCCTCAGGCTGCCATATGGAAACCTCGTCCTTTGGAAGAGAGCTTGAACATCCTTCCCAGCGTCTTCTGTCTTTTCAATCATTTCGTCGAAATCAGCATAAGAAAAGCCAGTGCCAAGTAAGTCAGCGCTAGTAAGGGTCAAGAATACATACACTGCTTGCAGTTGGCCGAGGAAGAGGACGTTTACGCGGTCATTCCATCCGTAGGGATTCCAAACTGTCCCATTCTCTGCCGCATCAAGGGACATGTATGGGCCCTTAATGACGAAATTCGGTAGGGAGCGGATAATCGCCCCCCCTCTGGGTCATTTCGACCCTCAAAGAAGTAGAACAACATATGATGGGCGTCGTGAGGTACTAAAAGAAAGGGCCTCGTCAACCCAAACCATCGAGGTGCCTAGCGTAGGCTATAACTCAGTGTCCCCCCGTATCCAGTGTGTGCGTGCGCACCTTACATACTTGACTGTCGGGTCACAGAATCCTGTCCCTTCGGTTCTAATAGAGCGGCGCGGAAAGGCGGGATGCGTGGACTCTGTGAAATAATGCCTCGATAGCGAAGATGCAGGCGAGACCATAGTCCACTGGGCGGGGGGCGTAGATTGTGCTTGCTGAAGCAAGATGGCTGAGGAGAACAACCAAAGTGACAAACACTGAAAACAATTCAATCCAGACCGTGAATATTCGTCCGATAGGTGATTTGGATCTATCCAATTGTGTTGAATTCAGGTTGATCGTCGTTGTAGGGGCGTGTGGAGGTTTTTTATGTAAGTTCTGAATCCCCTGGATCACTTCTATTGCCAAGACCTCATTATTAAGGGCAAAGCGCATAATTCTTAAGTTGGGGAACGTACTACATGTTCTCAGAGTCGAGCAGTGAGCTTGTGGTTGACATGCGTGGGAACTCACAATTCGTTTTGACTGTGTTTACCTTTGTGAGGTGGCCCTCGGCATCAACAGCCGTCAATATAACGGGTTGTTGTCGCGCCCGCTTTGATCTCAAATAGTGACTGGGCGTGCGTGTCCTTGAATTATATTCCAATGCCTCGTGAAGCTCCTGCTCTCGTGAATGTAAAGAGGTCCGATGGCACCGCAGGTGTGATGAACCATCAGGGCGGAACGGGACAATCCGACTGACCAACCACACTTTATTAGTGCAAGCAGAGGTTATAGAGCGAAAGAACAATAAGGCGTATGTTCACTATACGAACTCTGATAAGAGACTGGATGAATGGGTGGATATCGAAGCGTTGCATCTGCTGCAGGCAGAGAATGGTGCAGAGACTAGAGAAGGGAGGTCGAGCCGGGCCACCAGGGCACAGAAGCGAAAGCTAGAAGTACCTTCTTTGAAGTTTTGAGGTGTACGCTTCGATAACTGGGTCTGCTGTTCTTAGGAAGCCCTCGATTCTGCCAGTGAAAGCGCATTAACGCCTGGATCTCATATTGACAGTGACACGCTTTTTCACGACGATGAGGAGAGAAGTATCCTAGAACAGCAGCGGAAGACGTACCGCCGAAATTACCCCCAGGTTGTATTTGGGTACTGGAAAATTAAAACATGGTGCGTCATCAGGCACCGTTCCCTTTGTGCTGACCTTGAACAGACAACCCAGGTATTTCTCCCCGTACCCTCTAGGTGTGGATGACCATACTGCTGCTGCCGCTCTGAAGATGCTTGTTGGCAGCGCAGACGATGCCGATGAAGATTCGGCAGAGGCAAATCTTTATGTTTGTGACCGATGCTTTAAGTACATGAAGGACGGCGCGACATGGGAAGTGCATTCCGTGAGCGTTCCTTGCAGTTAACCAGTCTTGAAAGCCTCGCGTTCATTCGACCATTGGCCCCATGTATAGAGGACATGCGATGTCTCGCACCCTCCTGGACGGAAGGTCTATCAACGGGGTGCTCACACCATTTGGGAAGTTGATGGCGCTCAACAGAAAGTGGGTCTTACTGGTGGTGGTCGGTATTAATACTCGATCTCCAATCTAGCTATACTGCCAAAACCTCTCCTTATTTGGAAAGTTTTTCATTGATGTCAAGACGCTATTCTTTGACTGCGAAAATTGTGTGCTCTCGTGCCCAATCTGAAGCCTCAATGACCCTGACATTTTCCCATGGTTTAGTTATGTTCTATGTATTGACTGATGCCGACTCACGAAGGGATCATGTATTAGGATTCTTCTCCAAGGTTTGTTGGTCGATCGCGAACATGTCCCGTTATTAACCTTCCATTTAGGAAAAAGTATCGTATGACGATTATAATCTTGCTTGCATTGTCATTTTGCCTCCGTATCAGAGAAAAGGGTATGGTATGCTGTTGATCGAATTCAGTGAGCATCACGAGAGCGCCCCCCACTACGTAAATTTACGTCCTGTCCAGGCTACGAACTTTCCAGGCGGTCAGGGAAGCTTGGGACACCTGAGAGACCCTTATCAGACTTGGGATTACGCAGTTATCTGGCCTACTGGGTAGCGGTACTGGTCCGGTTCTTTCGGTGAGCGTGGGGGCCCGTGCTGAAACCATGTTATTGATAGCAGAAACAACAGTAAAGTGCTGACCGTTGCGCCAGCAGAAGTGGTGTCTGATGCGTCTTCCTCAAGTCCATCGAGTCCGACAACTTTGAAGCGGAGGAAACGATTGAAGGGTTTCGAAGGTGAAGTTTCTGAGACGCTCGCTGGTCTGCCACAAAGCTCCTATATAACACTCATTGAAGGTCAGCCTGCCTGAGGCCCTCACTGGATTTTTAACTCAAAACATATCTCAGAACCATCATTTGGTTCGTTTCGAACGACTCAAACTACCGTTTCAGAGATTGACGGAAGTGCAACGACGCACCTCACTATTAAATGCACCTTGATGGATATATCAAAGGCAACCAACTTACGACCGGAGGATGCAGCTTTTGCTATGGAGGAATGTGGATTGCTCAGTCGTGTGAGAACCTCGAACGGTACAGAGAGTGAAGTCATCGTTATTTCCCGTGAAATGGTGGAAGCCGTAGCTGCTGAGCACAAAGTGAAGCCTGCGGTATTAGATATGGCTCATATCTTATCGTGATGCGCACATGAAGTCGGAGATGCTCTCCTGATTCCTTTTGGTTTTGGGTTGAATGTTTTGAACGGGCCTGCACTAATCTATGTATCTCTTACGCGACCATAGTAAATGAAATAAATTAGCGGCCATAACAGAGGAAGCCCCCAGAGCAGGCAGAGTAGTCAAACTCCTTGACAGTTTCCTGATCTCTGGTCTGTCATGCAAAGTGCCTCTCGATGACGCGAGTTTCCAATGCAAGGCTGGATGGTTGCGGCCTGATTGAGCACGAGCCATATAGAAGTTATGCCTGAGAATGTCGAGGATCCTCGTGCCTGCAGCTTTGAACGCGCTTGACATGTGGTGGTCACAGAAATCCGCACATTGAAACGCTCAACGACAACCCTTTTGAATGATATATATTCTTGCAGATGGGAATCTGGATGGTTATGAAGATCGTTTACTGGCAGAGGGACGTTCCGCGGAGCGGAAATGCCAGGAGAGTGCGCACCGCGACTTTGATCTTAACGCATGATGCAATATCGAGAAGAGGTTCCTTCAAAGATGTCATGCCGCGCAGAATCTTATGGGGCACCTAAAGGAGGGTGGTCTAAGGAGCGCGTAGAGCGGGAACAAACATAATACATGCTCAACGAAGCCAGTGCTCCTGTTTCCAATGATTACGGATTTGAGGTTGATCGGTTCATGGCAGAAATAGTGCGATTTTGGTCACAGACCTCTGCAGCAAATACGGGAAGATACTGGCTCTTCAGTTCAACATGGGATCCGTGCTGTAGGCAGAGCATGCGAGGAAGCGTCAACGAACAGCATATGATTATCCCGCCATATGGAAGCCTCGTTCTTTGAAAGAGCCAAATGTTTCGAAGAAGAGGGAAATGAACGCTTGGAGATCTTTCGCAGCGTTTCAGTCATTTCAATCGTTTCGCCGAAAATCGGCATAGGAGAAGCCAATGCCAACGCTAAGGAAGCGGGTGGGTGGACTCAGGATTATACCACTTGGGGTGGGTCGAGAAGGGAGACGTTCGCGCGATCATTCCATTCGTAGGGATTTTCCTTCTGCTGCATAGGGGACATATCGATCTTACATGGACCCTGAATAAAATTAGTATTGACGTTCGAAAATTTAAGCTGACGAGTCCCATGAGCGGCCAAGCTCGCTCGAACATCCCGGCCTGAAAATACACGCCAGGATGAAATCCACTTTCGCTAGATACGGGTCGTATAATCAGCTTCCATTAATCAAAGAAGTAGAAGAACAAATGGCGGGCATTGTAAGAAAGCCTTTATGAGCTGCCCAAGTCTCCCGATCAATCATTAATGAAGTGTCAGCACAAACCATCAAGATGCCCAGTATAGGCCCTGATGGACTAATTCAATGATCGCATTGTAACCAGTATGCACGGATCTTACTTGACTGTCGGATCACAGAATCCTGTTCTTTTGACTGCAATAGAGTGATGCGGAAAGGTGGGATGCGTAAACCCCGTGAAATAGTGCTTCCACAGAGATGAGAGCTATACAGAAGCATCTGAGACGCGAATCGTCTACTGTCCCGAGGAGCCATAATTGTGCTTGCTGAAGCACAATGATTGAGAAGAACCAGAGCGACAGGCGCCGAATAAAATTTCATCTCAAACGCGAATGCTCTTCTAGCAAGTGTCGCACCGTAAAAAAACAATGCCTCCAAGCTGAAGCTCCTTCACAATGATCACTTTGGGAGCCCAAGGTTCCACTGAGAACTCTATATAATATTGCGAAGTCATAGAGGCTGGAGTCCTGCCTGACTGAGAACAACCTCTGCAGAGACGCAATATGCACATGATCACCAGGGACCCAAGCATGACACAAGATATGTGATGAACCGAGAACTTATTTTGATGACTCCGATCGGCCAGGCTCAAGTAAAGTAGTGGCGCTAATGTCGCAACGGTTGCGCTTGGCAAATCCGGCAAATTTAAGGCCGTGGAGTGCGAAGCAGAAAGACATGCAGTTTGGACCGTTTCTTGACAGGTAGGTCGTGGGCATACAGCAAAGGCTTAGCATCTCTAGATGCGGCGTCCCAAGAACATTTCTCGCAGGGGTCGCATTGCATTTTCCCACGTAAGAAGCGCTGAGCGCCTTCTAAATTAATAAGCGCCGGAAGCATGTGATGCCTTGTTGATGATTCATGTCCAGCCACTCTGCTCGACCTTTATCAGGGAACACGCGCAGTGAAACGTTCCGTCGAAGGATAAGAGGGACTCAGCCCCTTTCGAGGCTGGGTGGGGCCTCAAATATTGTGTCCACATTCAGTGTTGCTTGTAAGTTTGCCACCCCTCAACCGCTGAGGAACGTGACCCCCATTCGCAAATTCTGGCTTCCTCGCTCCAATTTAACGTATGCTAAAGTCTGCATATCATATGCTGTTTTCTGCGCTGACTGGGGCGAGGGAGAGCATGTATTCTCACCAGTGCGTGCTTGCAAACAATAGCGTCTCGTTTAGCCTTTATTCAATTGCCCCTCCACCTGGCCAAACAAAACTTATATAAAGGCGAGGCGTTGGGTCGACCGCCAGAAGCAATCGCTATTCACATTATCACCTGAGGAGCAACGTATGATGGCAAATGATTCTTCACAAAGTAAAGCGCCATTAACAACGGCACAGTCCAAGTGATTGAGGTATGAAGTTCATGCATGCTCGGTTCTTCCCCTTGCCCGTGAGTCCGGATTCCCCGTTGTTCTCCATTCTCCCGTTTTACGGATGTTGATTAGATCTGGGATTGAGATTTGCTATCAGTGAATCATCAGGAGTTCAAAGACATGATTGGTTAGTCGGGTGTGATTTGGGGCGAACTGTACGCCTTTACGCCATGAATCCTACTGGAGTAAAGAAATTCCAATGATGGTCGATGATGATCATGACTGATCGAGCTGCGGTGGCTCCGTACCATAGATAATTTCCCCCCAAGTTTTACACCCATCACTGGCCTCGGGTGGTCTAGACATAACATCTTTTGAACCCTAGATGAATTAATGTGAAGGGCTGATCGGGTGACATAGCTAAATCTAGGCTGTATGATGCCAGATGATGAGCTGGCGCCGAAGTTTGACTCATCTGTGATATAGGGGAGAGTCTGAAATTGGAAAGGGTCAAATACAAATTATTTAATGGTGGCCAACGTATATATTGAACGCAGGACACTGGCTTGGTGTCAAGGCGTGATGGAAATCGAGGACCGCCACAGCTCCCATCGGGACTGATATTACGAAGTCACAGAGGCTGGAGTCCTGCCTACTAAAACATCGGGGTGTTGAATGCATATGACTTCATTAAAGACGCCACTTGATTTGGCCCCCGTTGCAATGGAGGTAATTTGAACGCCTTCCCCCGGCCGAGTCGAATTACTACCATAGTTCAATCACGGAGCAGCTCAACAGTTTGAGCATGCCGAGCAGCCTGAAGTTTGCAGGTTAGATATCAAGAACTCACACACGCGGTAAAGGGTCCGTGATCGGATGGAACCCCCAAGTGCGACGGGGGACGAGGAGGGCCCAGAATCCGTCAGAGAGATATACAACAGCCAATGTCAAGATCGAGTACTGAACCCGGCAACTGAGTCGATGAATTTGTCATTGGCGCATCGATCACAGCGCCAGCTACGTCCCAGAAAAAGGTTAGGCAGGACTCCAGCCTCTAACATTAGATAGAGGATTAAGTCGCCAATTTTGGGTCAGTCTATAACTGGAAGGGTCGGAGGACGAGCCTTCCGAACCTCATCATCCAGATTTCACTGTTGTCTTCGACGGTCTAGATGGAATAAGCATGAGGAGCAGATCACAAAATCGCAACGCCCACAGACCTCATAAACTTGGAACCATGCTAAGAGCATATTCGTGGAGATTCAAAACAGGAGACCTTAAGGGCAGTGGCAGTTTGGAGGACAAGCCCGATAATAGTTTTCCGTCTGCCACCAACAGGAGCGGCCAACGACAACTCCACCGTGAACGGAACATCTAAGCCGGAGCCTGCGCGCCTAACTCTCCATTCCTCGCAACACTGGATACGTACGAATTTTCTTCACCGTAATTCCCGAGTGATCCCAATAGTGATCCCAATCTTGATTAGGGTTGTTTTGTTCAACCTCACTGATAAGAACCTCATCCTTGTGACCATCCAACACCTCATTGTGTAACGCCGTTAACGAAGACGCTAATTTGGGTCAATGCCATCCAACTGATACTTTACAATCGTTGACGCGAATAAACTCTTGGCTACAAGGGCACGCGTTGCAGACGAGCTCGAAAGGTGTACAACGCATATTGACTCGCAGTCAGCCACTCATACGGATATCGCGGTCACTGGGGAAACGTGTTTGATCGATCGGAGCGACCTCCCTACAAACACAGGTCTGGCTTATTCCTGACGCCGCAGATCCAGTAACGTTTGCATCCTCATCTCGCCTCGTTGGCCCCACCCACCCTGTCCCGGTCGAAATTGGGAGTAAAGATCGTAGCCGTTCTTGTTCAACTCTTCCGGTGAATATGACCTACAATCAATCGCGACATTGAGCATCAGCTCGCTTCGACGAGTGCTTTCGCTAGCCTTCGCTTACTCTTGTAAAAGCTGCATTGAACCAATAACAGAACCCATCAAGTGCTTGAATGATCGTTGGATATATCTATATGCCTAATAACAAATTGTAAGCCCAGCCCCTAATTAGTACTCACTCCACACATATCAGTCGATTAGCACCCACCATTTCGGGCTCTGCAGCCTCTCCTTTCACGATCCCGCGCCATTCCCCCGCATCGGTCTTCATTACAGGTCTATTAAAGCGATTGAGCCCCCACATTAAGTGGAAAGGTGTCTTGCATACATTCTACCGGAGTACCCGCAGGATTCCAATTGGTATACCGTTTAACCACCCATTTGAGACTTACTTTCGGCCCATTAATTCGATATAAGGTTGCGTGGAACCCCCTTCAAAGTCGGAGTCCTTATCTTTGTGGAAAATGCCAAGCGCGACACCCTTTGAAGAGGCATTCTTTTCAGCATACACTGAAGCTGGATATAAAATGTGGCCTTCAGATATCATGCTGTGAGCGGATTCGAGACGTTACCAATGCTCAGGGCCTCCGCTCGAGTAAATTTCAGCCTTTCCGCCACAACAGCCGCCCAAGCTGTCATGACTGGGGCCCGATTGATGATGACTAGCATCGATGCCAGTGACTAGATGAAAAGGTAGCCTCAAACCGGGCCGGTGGCTAACGCAGAAAATTTGAAACACCTTTTCGTCCACATTCTCGTCATATTCAAACGCATGTGGTCCAGGTGCATGACCACTTGCATGTCTCATTCTTGGGCCATCTTCATCATCTTCGTCGGTTCGTTTTCGCATTTCCGTTGGCTGTTTATCAACCTGGTGAAGGTAGGGTTGGAGCACTAAATGGAAGAAAGCCGGAAGGAGTTGGACTTGAAAATCTCACTTTCGAAGGCTTCAATGCGAGAGCTGGGAGGGATCTTAACACCTTAGAGGGCAAGTCAGGCGTCTCCATTGGCTGTGCATTGAGGTTTGCAGGATTGTCATAAAAAGCGGATTTGCTGGATGTCATATCAAGGACACCAATGTTCCATTTAGGAAGGAGAAGCGACGATGATGAATGGTAATCATTAGAGGACGGTTGGAGGGGTGTACCAGGGGCAGATTGCCCAGGATAGGGCACCCTTGATTCACCAACACGATCGGGATTGATCTCCATAACTGATTCCTCGGCTATGATGTTAGGATTGAAGTCCCCCCCCAGATATAAGGACTCTTCGTTGACAGTACTACGTCCGTTTGGCGTGAGTGCATGCTCTTGATGTGAAGGAGATTGTTCAGGCTGCGACATTGAGGGAGGGAGAGCCAAGTAGGATGTCATTAGCATATCTTCGCGGTCTCCATCTTGTTTAAGGAATGAATCCACTGAGCTGTCGGTGCGTGAGGGCGGCAACGGTTTAGGTTCGGATATCTTGAGGATTGATAATGAGTTTTGCTCAGCGCAGGTGTCCACGAGCAATCGAAAGACCTTCCGCATCGTCGGTCGTGCGTCAGGAGAAATTGCGCAACAACTGGATAGTACTTCCTCCACTGGAGAGGATTGCTTCCAGTCCCAAGGCGGACGGCCGAATCTTAACGCATCCAATAATTGGGCATCATTCTTGAGTGAAGGGAAGGGGCTTCCATCAAAAAGTATCTGTTAAGTTTCAGTCAAGTGCAAGAATGTTATATTCGCGAATTACAACGGCTCACCATGGCACAAATGCAGGCAAAGGAGTAAATATCACCGGATGTCGTCTTGACACCGCTGTCCACAATCTCTGGGGCGCAATAACGCAATGTAAATGCAGGCCCCGACGATGTATGTCCTGTTGCCAATCCGTCCGCTATCAAAGACAACCCGAAATCACACAACTTAGCATGCCCAGCATCGCTGATTAATATGTTGAGCTGCGTGGTCCCGATTACTTCACGCAGGCTTCATAGAAAACACGTGTTGACCTACAGGCTTGAGATCGCCGTGCACGACAACAGGGTCACGGTCATGGAGGTAGGTCAGACCTCGAGCAACATCGAGAAGCTGTTCTCTCCTTCAGTCTAAATGGTCAGTGTCATCGCTGATGTCACTCACCAGAGGCAGTCGACTGCAGGACGGTTTGCATTGCAGATATTGAACAAGGTTCCCATTTGAACACCACTCAGACACCAATGCTGCTTCTGGTACTCCATCACGACGTTCAATCGCAAAACCAATAAATTCCACGATATTTCCGTGGTCCAAGCTCTTCCATATCTTCATCTCCCTCGTTAGGTGCTGGTGAGGTAGGTGTGTCTTCGACAATATTAATCTGGTTGGAGAAATCCCTCACCTTCATAGTTTTTTCTATTTGCTCTACGTCAGATAGCATGTTGCTGATAGGCGGTCTGAGAACTTTGTAACAGACCTTGATGGGAAAATGGAAGTGAAGGGAGACAACCAACGTGTCAGTCCAAGAGAACATACTTACATTCATCGAAGCCAGCTGAGCGCCAGATCGGACCCATTCTGCACGATAAACCTCGGAATAGCCGCCCCGTGCAACTAATGTCTTGGCACCAAATTGGTCACTAAGGTTCTGGACATCCTGGATTGTGGATAAGGCTTTCATCGTGACTGACGAAACAGCATCCATCGCGCAATTGACTAGGAATCTGCACGTGGAGTGTACAGACACACCAAGTGTGCTAGGCCCCTTATACAGCACCCAGTGCTAAGAGCGTTTGAACAAGAAAAGGCCTTGTTATTGCTGTAGTCGCTGCGAATTAACAAGGACAGAATCCCAAAGTCATTCAACACCGTAATTACCTTGCTTGGTCACTTCGGCCCCGGGTCACATTATTACCATCTTTCCCCATGTCTACGTTGAACAAGTGCAAGCAGCGCGCGCAAGACTTTGTTCGTATTCTGTGCAGTGTAACCCGTTGTACGCTCCGTCATATGCCTGCAGGCACAGATAACGAATCACACACACGTGCAAGCAGCGCGTGCAAGCGCCTCTGAGTCGTACTAATATACAGTATTCCATAGTCCTTGGGTTCCCTAATAATTACATTCACGATCTGCTACAGATTGAAGTTTCTCCCACGTCATTTAAATTTTGTGCAGGCCAGCGGTTGCGAGCCGTACATGCATGGAAAGTAAAAGACAAGCAATATATATATATGTTATATTTGAATGCTGCGTGTCAACACCTAGCTTCAAATGCGCCTGATTGCCTAATCAATCTTGGTAAGAAAAAGTAATGCTGAACACCCTTACGATTGGTTCAGGGGTGTGGCTGGGTAGTTCTCAACAACATGAGTATTCGACGTTGGAGCGTAGGTCGATGTCTCAACGTCAAACAGTTGTGTCCCTCCAACGGTTACTAACTTACTTCTCCTATATTCAGACTGCCCAGGCCTGAGTTTAAAGCCGGAAAACTCAGCACGCGCAAGCGCCTATGCGATCACAGGATCCATGCAGTCTCGCTGTTGGAATATCAATGGCTGCTTCTGTCAGGCGAGTGGCGACGGATTTACACAGCACGCGCGTTGCGCGCCGTGCGCTGGCTCATAGTACGCTCAGCTCTACCATATGACCCACAAATAATTCCTTGCCCTCTGGAGATCTCAAAAGGCTGAGTTGTGAGGCTTAGATGCGCGGGCGGTAGCTGGCTCGTTGACGGCCTTCTACCATGGCCGCCCGGTATCCCATCTTCAGTCTATTCTCGTTGGCCGATTCATGCAGCCCAAGTACCCAATTATCCCAGCCCCCAAACAATGCGAAACAGACGCAGGTACCGACTTTTGCCTTGTACCTTACCAGCATAGAACTTCCCCCTATGATGACGGATATACTGAGTTTCTATGTCCTCTACTCCGGTATAGGAAGGAGCGTCCACGTGTCCGGCGCCTGGCCATGAAGGCGAGTCATTGGCAGAATCACTGAGGCAGTCGTTCTTCACATTGTCACCCGAGGAGTAATGGGGTAAACGAATAGGAGAGCTAACACGGGAGCTCAGTCTCCGTAAATCAACATATTCCGCACACTTTCCCCTCGCCCTTGAGTTCGGATCCGCCTTTGTGCCATGGATCCTATGTACTGGGGGGAAAGAAATCCCAATGACGATTCTTATCGAGTTGCGGCTTGACTGATGCAAGTGTCGAGAAGACTATGACTGGTCGAGCTGTGGTGACTCCGTACACTCCGTGCCTGATAACAAGTTTTGCATCTGTCACTGGTCCTGGTCGTCTAGACAAACCATCTTGACCCTAGATTAGCCCCTGAATTAATGCGACACGTTGTGAAGGGAGGCGCCAGTGGCGATCCACAAATTCCATAATAATTGGTTAACAAGAAGTGATGATTAGGGAGAGTAAGTCGGCTCCCGCAGGGATAGATGCAAACCCTTCGTAACGAACAACTTCTTGTTGCTGCCACAGGAAACAACCAGACAACCATCGCCCTTTGTGCGGGGCTGGCTTTTGTTCTCAGTTTCCCACGCAAAGCACGTGACATGCACTTGTAATCCCTTGTTCCTTTGTCTATAAAGGTCCTGTTGGAGCAGATATCCAGTGCTTCAGGCTGCTTGCCTTGCACCGTACTTGCTGTTGAAACTTCTTCTAAACTCGCTTTCATTTATTCTTTCGTTGCCTGCAATGTCGACCTTTGCAACCAACGTTCCAGTTTTGGCACCGGTGCCCATTCCAGTCGTTGCTTCGCGCTTGCGCCGAGCAGCTGCTCATCTTTCACCTATTAAAACAATTCCACCGTCGTATAAGGAGATCAGTGACGTTTCATTGGTATCTGCAGCTCGAGCAGAAGGCAAGGCTGATGGTGAAGAGGACGGACACATCGTGAACGTTACCATTCAGCTCGGGTCCTGCTGCAGTCGGAAACGTTTAGCACGTAGAGTGGGCAAGACGATTCGGATGAACTTTGAGCCCATCTTCTCCACCATTCTCATCATTTGCCTTTTTGTGCTCCTTATTTTCTCGATCTCCACTATTCCCCAGTCCATCAATGATACTCATGGAGCTTCACCATCCCTCCGAGCCGTTCCCGCCGCATCCACGCTGAAAGGAAATTCAATCCGCGAACGCCTCTGGGTCTCGGGTCGCAGGAATGTCAATGACGTTTTCTTCCCCGCTCCCACCCAGGGCTTGCCAGTTGACAAACAACAGAAATCGAAGCGCATTATCATTGCTCCGTCTGGCATCGCCTCTGCCAAATTCCGACGGTCGGTACAACCAATCGAGGATTCTCACTCTCACCCTGAAGACCTTGGGGAGCTCTTTGGCGTTCCAAAGCGTCCCTGAAACTGTCGTTTCAAACTACTGTTCCTGTCATGTCCCGACCACGTCCGTTACAATCGACATTTGGATCAATCACGAACTACTGCGACATAGCCAAGCCCAATTTTACACCACCTATAATCAATTGAAGGATTACTATCGAATCCTCCCGATTTTGTATCCTTTCTTCTGGTAGGGCGACATGTAGTTTTTTGTGTTTCAACTCTTTTGAGGATACCCCTGCCACAAAGCCAACCAGTCCTGTGTGGTCACTCTTTTCTCCACCTTTGTCAAGGATTTGAATCATATTGATAACATTGTGCACAACGTGTGGCAAAAATGTGTAGAGTGAAAGGACTCCCAGAGTTTCAAGCAGAAATCATATCTAGCACAATCGCCGAGAAAGGGATAGGTTTTTGGTTGTTTAATCGTCTGGAAGATCGTCAAAACCCTGAGGAATTTCCAGCTGAGAGCGCAAGTCACTGAGAGGAATACCAAACGTAGACGAGCAGTACGATAGTGCAAGATTGACGTTGTCTAAGGAGATTGGCAGCGCCCGTTAGTTCTGGCATCCAACGTCATGGTGGAAGGCTGATGGGATCTACCAGTCCAACGGTCGGCTGCTTCTCTCGCTAATGAGATGGCCCTTTGTTTTTCCTCATATTTCCCGATGCTTCCAGATTCGAAACGCCCTAGTTCCATTTTAGCCTCCGCGAGAGACTCCTGACGTTGTCGGTAGGTCTCTAACAGTTGATCCCTCTCGAACTGGGGTGTGAATAGTTAATGAAAGAGTAGTGAAGGAGCCAATACAGGACCAACTGATGGTTCCCGTTCTGCTTTAGCTTGCGCAATGGCATCTTTGAGTTCCATTTCGCGAGCTTCAAGTGTTGCGAGTTCTTCTTTCGCGGCTTCAAGTTTTGTCATCAGCTATAATGGTAGGAGGAATGTTATGGCTTAATGTAACCTGTCAGAATCGGGGTATGGACGTACCATGCTGCCTCGGGCACTGGGGAAGCTCCAGTAAACTGCACTCGGGAGTGAAACGATTATGCCCCTCTACTTCGAGGGGATTAGAGCTCAGCATCCACTGAACTCACAGTTTGCGCTCCCGATTTGTCAAATTCTACCAAGTTATCATCTACGAGCGACTGCAGGACTTCTTTGACTGTTTGCACGACTGAGTTGCATCGTCGTCATTCTGCTAAGTATCAATGGAAATATCAGATGATAATCACCGACGCCTTTCTTCGCGCCAAGCTTCTCTAGTTCTTTTACTGTGACGGGGTTAACATTTTAAGCAAAAAACCCCAGGTTTTGACCAACACTGAAAAAAGCCCTTCTGGGGGCGTGGTTAACATGGTGAAAACGCTGACAGAAAGCCAGTGCAGTTACAGTTTCTGTGAAAATTTCTATGAGCTTTGCTCGCTTCTCTTCGATACTGAGTCCACGACCGCCCGCCTGTAACAATAGCGGTAAACCAAGTTTGACAATAACTGGGGACGCGTACCATGATCGGACAGACGCGTCGAGAAATTGGGGATGAAGAGATAATTTCCGGATATGGGGAGTCATGTGCAGAATAAGCGGTTGCCTTGGATTTGATTCCGCTCTACCTGGGCCTCCAGGTGCCGCAGAGCACACGCTGTCCACCGACGATATCACTAAACGAATCCCTGAAAACGTTGTATAAATCCATTGTCTGACGCGAGCTTCTTCTTGCGACCTCTTCTTGCTACCAACTATTGCTCAGCTAGTCTAGGCAGTCCGTTCCTTAACTCTGGCTTCGCTCTTCATTTCTATTCCCTTCTTGCGGGATGCGCGCTTCGACACATCAAGGACATATCCAATCTGAAAGCAATAACCACCGCGCGCAAGTAGGTCCATATTTCTGTCTCCATCGCATCCAAGCCTTACGTCTCAAAACCTACTCAGCTTGCGAAAGCATACCAAGAATTGGGCAAAGATCTCTCGTCATCCAAATTTCGGGTCATTGGAAATTACACGTTAGGGAAGGTTATTGGTGAAGGTGCGATTAGCCCGAACACGAATTCCTGATTGATGGTTTTCGATGTCCATCCTGTGTGTTGAACAGGAACATATGGAAAGGTCCGAATTGGGACTCATCGTTTGACGGGAACACGGGTCGCTATCAAGCAGATCCCAAAAGAAGTTTCGGCCCAACTCACTCGAGAGATTCATCACCATCGACGCCTGCACCATCCCCACGTCACCAAACTGTATGAGGTGATCGCAACGGAAACATCCATCTGGCTAATTACCGAATTGTGTTCCGGAGGGGAACTTTTCGATTACCTTGTGGAGAAGGGCCGGCTAAGTGAGGATGAAACCCGCAGACTAGTTGGGCAGCTCTGCCTTGCTCTCCACTACGTGCATTCAAATGGAGCTGTTCATCGTGATTTAAAACTAGAAAACGTGTTACTTGATGACCGATGCAACGTGAAGATCGGTGATTTTGGGTTCACACGCGAATACGAGCAAGGACGTCTGCTAGAAACCTTCTGTGGCACGACTGGCTATGCCGCACCTGAGATGCTGCTTGCGGAAAGGTATTCTGGACCAGGTATAGTTTCATCGACTTCCCTCGGGTCTTGTGGGGAACTCATCGGGTTTCTGTCGTGGCAGAGGTCGACATTTGGTCGCTCGGAATTATCCTGTACACATTATTGGCTGGGTCGCTTCCATTCGATGATGACGATGAGAAGGTGATGAAGGACAAAATTATACAGGGGCAGTTTGACATACCCGATTCCCTCAGCGATAGTGGGCTTATAGTGTTCTGTATCACTTTCCTACGGTCGCTGAAATGCTTGCATAGATGCCCAGGCTCTGCTTCGAGGAATGCTCAAACGAAATCCAACTGAACGCCTCACTATTCCTGCCATCTTACGCCATCCTTGGTTCACCCGACTAGAATTTCCTCAACCCTTGCCTTCACCGCCTTTGTTCACCCTTGACCCAGAGGAGATCCTACCTCCCGACATTCATCTTGAGCCTCCTGAAAGCCTGAAGGATTCCGAACTCCCTCTGACCATTGATGGGTCCGAATCCTCATCTAACGCGTCCGACGCTCCATACTACTCCGCGAGTTCGGATGTCGCTCCTTCTGATTCAACGAATATCACGACTCCCGATCTACGTCCCTCCCTACTTTCTCTTCCCACATCTAACGCAAAAGCTCGTCCTGTCTCAGAGGCTGACACCGTCAAGATGGAACGATCATGGAGCCAATCGACGATTGGTGTCAATCGGGTCCCTGTTGAGTCATCGAAACACGACATGATTCCTTTTGCTGCTGTGCCGGAAGAGGACGATACTAATGCATCGAAATCACTCTCCCGTGCGAATTCTAGCCGAAGTCGGAACTCACTCCCTCCATCATTCTCTAGTCGGACTCCGATCCGGACCAAGCGGCGATCTGTTACTTCTAATATATCCCCGCCGTCATCTCCCGTGGAGGGACCAGGACCACTTGCGGAGCCTCCGGAAACCCCTGATTATGGAGCACTTATTAATGCCACTGCTCCTATCATGTTTTCCACGCCGCTGGAACGCAATCTCCTCAATGACCTCAGTGCGCTAGGTTTTGACACAGGACAAATTGTCCACAGTGTTCTTTCGAACGCTTGTGATGCCTCTGGTGCCATTTGGTGGCTTCTGAAAAAGAAGGCGGAGCGAAGGGAAGCCCAAGAGGCCAGGCGGGTTGCTGAAGAACGACGAAAGACATTGGAAGCATTGGACCAATCAAACAAACGTGCGACCACAGTGAACGGTGCGGCTGTCCCGGCAGTTCTCGCTGATGAAAGTTTTGAGGCTTCGGTCGAGGTGTCATTGGCGTCAGTAGAAGCCTCCACCGCCCCGTACGTCTCGGCGCAAGAACCAAGCTACCCTCCGCTACCTCCTGCACCACAGACACCGGTCGTTTCACGAGAAGGTGAACCCCAGAATGTGCCTTCCCCACCCCATATCAGCTTCGTCCCTGCTACACCAACTCATGCCTCAATAGTAACTGATCCGGAACAAACGCGTTCGGATACAGTGACACCTAACTCGAGCGTCGCGATGCTGTTGTCCGCGGAAGATCTTACGGTTAAGTCAGTCCCTGCGTCACCAAGCACACTCAAGGATAAACGTAGTGCGAAAAATCGCTCAGGGTCTGTTAGCATGTTGCAGCGGGGCCTTGGCCTGGTACGGAAGAAATCCGAAGAGAAAGTGAAAGAACGGGAGAGGGAAAAGGAGAAAGGAAGAGAGAAAGGGAGAAGGAGAAGGAGAAAGAAGAGATGGCGAACCGGCCATCAGAATCAGCGAGCTCTGGTTCACCACTTACACTCCCTACGCTTTCGCATTCCGCCAGCTTCCCATCAGGAACTACTAAGATAACTAAAAGTCCTCCAGGTTTCCTCAAGAAGCATGAAAAGGAAGCAGACGATCCATTGAGAATTCCATCCGTCCTCACTCCTGACTCACCGTGGGTTGCCACAACGACTTCGTCACCACCTCTATCGAGCAGACCCACTTTTAAGTTCGTACCCTCTATGTCTTCGTCATCTTTTCTGTCCACGCACGAAGAGCACGAGACCACGAATGTCTTCAGCGACAGCCGTAACAATCCTCAGTCTGCTGGCAAGGGCCGTGGACAGCGCACTAGTTTACTCAGCACGTTTAAGACATGGTTCCAGGAAGACAAGAGGAAGTGGAGGAACAAAATTAAGCCTGTCCTTGAGAATGACCTCACTGGAGGTCCCTACTTCAATGGCGCAGTTGCCGCTACACCTAGTTCTGCACGACCAAATTCCAGAAACACGCTCCGTAGCCGAAAGAAGATTGGGGCGAGGAGACATGACAAGCGACCATCTATCTCATCGAAACGATCAAGCAGCGTAAATTCGCGGCGCTCATCGGTAAACTCTGTGCAGCATCTGAGGGGTCCCGATTTCACTAGCATGCCACCGGTGCTGTCAGGTGAGTGTACAGAAAGCGTATCCCGCCAGCGAAGTTCGCGAAGCCGGAGATCAATCGGAAGTCGCACACCAACGAGTGAAATTGGTTCCCGGCCTTCTTCCATACGATCATTTACTGTCGGTCCCATGCCACGCCCCGGCCATCGACCGCGGACGCCCTCGCAAAGCTCAGTGGCTTCGAGTCGGGTTCGTCGAGCGGATAGATCCGAACGAATAGATTCTCCTCTGCAACAGTTTCACCGACGCGCAGGATCAGGATCATCTGCACGTGTCGTGCGGCAGCATCATCCGGTTCACAATCACTCGCATCGTCGGACTGATTCGGTTGCATCTTCAATCAAGTCAAATCCAAAGAATGACTCAGCTGGGGAGGTGGTGTCCGACTCGGAACAGGCTCCATCAGCTTCGCCCCTGAGAAGGAGTGCCTCCGGCAGTTCCAGCGCTCTTGGTGACCCGAATGTGACACCTACTCAGCGCAAGCCGCATACAACATTGTATGTTGCGCACCGACAGGGGAATGTCTTCGGTGCGCCGGCATCTCGGAACGCGGTAAGTCTTGGACGCCTGAGTTGGAAGAAGTCGTGGGGTCATGAGCCACCAGGATGGCAATCGCGAGCGGCCGCTTATATGGTGACAGAGTCGGAGACAGCGTCGGAGACAGGTCACGGCGAGGCTGTCAGGGATGTCTTTTATGGGAGGCAGTCATTGGATCCTGATGACGACTCGGATTGGGTCGATGAGGACGACGATGTTCCTACATTTGTTGGCGGGGTGGGTCAACTTCCAACACCTACAAATCCGGCCCAAGTCCTTTCTTCTCCAGCCGTCACCTCGCTCCTATCCTCTGGGTTACCCCCATCCCCTTCAATGAGATCGAAGCGTGAACTTCCTCCTGTATTCTCCACTGGCAGACCTCTACGGCCCCTCGGCACGCACAAAAACCAACGGGTTCGGCCAATTGCTTCTCCTCCACCCTTCACTACATCCTCTTCCTCATCTGAGTCCAATCCTCGCTCTCCTCCTTCAACTTCCGGTGTAACAACAAGCGATGCAACAATGCGTACATCACCCATTCCTCCTTTGCTACAACTCAGCGTAAATGCTTCCACTCCTGACCGCGAACAATCTCCCTCGCCTGAAATGTCAATGACAGGTTCAAGTTCACGATCACGGAGACAATTACCTGGTGGCCGCAATGGGCCCTTCCCCAGAGGTCCTACCATTCAAGAAGAGGACGAAGAAGAGGAAACGTAATGAATGAGTTGATGGTTTCTTTTTATCACTGGGCGTATACGCCTCAGTTTCTAGGTTTTGATTTTTCGTGTTTCTTTGCCTTGTATTTGACACTGGACGATTTTTCGCTGACTCTTTCCGCTTTCAACCTGCATTGTGCTCCTACCCCTCCGCCGGCGCAGCTAAGCGGCGTTTCGATGAACAGTAGCCCTTCACTCCCATTGCCCGCATTCAATGCTCGATGCATCTTCATACTTGAGACGATGGCATGCTAGTCATTGGCACTTGCGCCCAGTTAATTAATGCCCTCTTTCAATTTTAGTTTCTTCTGCTTAATTATCAATTAGCTTTATTTCTTATGGACATTACATAGTGTTTAAGTATGTGTTTGATAGCTGTCAATATTGCTATGGTACCACATGATTTCATCGGTGTATGTGAGATCCGGAGGCGTTTGAGTTCTTTGTATGCAATGATCAGACGGAGTTGGGTTAACTTAAGCGCGGCAGCTAGTGCTGGATGCAAGATACTCGGCATAAAGAGACTGCGCCAATCTTGGCATCTGCACTATTGTCCCTGCAATAGGTCGTTCCAAAGACTCGGAAATTGTACCGCCATATATAACTGTAGCGCCTCAATGATAGTACTGTTAATGCAGGGATTATATCAGGAATCATGATCCTGCTTTCTTCATTTTCTCACAGCCCGCAAAGTTGGCTCTAAGCCCTTCGAATGACCTGCTTCAGATTCTCTGGCCAAGCCTAACAGGAACGATGTTGGGAGTAATGGCACTCGGGTTTGGTCTTCAAGATACGCGTGGGCGCCTAAGCCTGAACCGTGTCTGTGTGACTGTTCGCCCGCTCGCCGCTCTTACAGGGCCTGAACCATGATCCGAATTCTTGCGGTCCCACCGTGGTCAATCCCTGGATCCATCCAATTTTCCCCAACGACAACAACGGATCTCCTTAACTTTGGCTATGGTCATGCGGCATAGTCCCTTATATTTTGAAGGAAGGTTTCCTCGTGAACCTATACCGATCGTGCTTCCAATATAAGGGAACTGTGTCGTTGCAACCTGTGCCCGTACACCTGGACATAGGGCATCAATCCTTGCGTCGAGAAGCGGAGTGCTCGCTGTCAATCACCCATGATGTGGTCGCTGGTCGTCGGGTCGAGTATAGCCTCCTCTTCGAAGAACAAAGAGGCGCCTCCGATTCTCAGACTTCCTACCGAACTCCTTATTAACATTGCATCCTATCTTTCTTGCCGTCACCCTAACTATGGATATCCCGTCGAGTCCGCGAACCTCGCCGCCCTCTCTTCTGTTTCGCGTCTGTTACATGCGATTGCAACGCCACTTCTGTATCAACAAATCCCGATAACTTCGGAGTCTCAGCTTGGCCTTTTATGCAGGTCTCCGCTCAAGTGCCTCGAATACGTACAGTAAGTGTAGTCAAAATATCGTAAAATGTCAAATCGAACTAGCCGCGATTCATACAGTGAACTCAATTTCTTCATGGATGTCGAATTTCTCGATGCCTGGAGGCAGTGGGCCTTCACCCATAGCACCGATCGGATACCAAGGCGTTCCATTTTTCATACATTTGCTCAACTCCTCTCATCCGTGCATCACCTTCGGTCCCTTCGCATGCGTGTCGCTGAAATTTCTGGCGTGCGCTCCGGATGGGGGAAGTTTTCTTGCACACAGAACCCCACTTCCGGCATCCCGATTGGGCGACCACTTGAAGAAGCATTTGCCCTGTATAAGCCTACAAAACTTCGAGAGCTTAAGAAACTCGAGGTGGACGGCTTCCAAGATATTTGGCCATTACTTAGCTTGGCACCTTCCCTCGAGACACTGAGGATGTGCTTGTCGGGTGGTTTTGCTCAATACGTTAATGTTGAGCTCGTTCAAGCACTTCGGTCTGTTTGTTCGACGCTTAAACATCTCACCTACACTCCGGAAACGCTGCGCGTCCATCAAAGGATGCCAGGCATCCTTCCGGTTGAGCTTTTCTTTGAGGAGTTTACAACAGAGGATCTAGTTAACGAGCTTCAACGACAAGACGATGCCCTTAGAGGGTTTCCGCTCGCGTCTCTGGAATTGGTGGCGCTCCTAGGAAAGATACTCCCTCATCTGGAGACACTAGACTTGCAGACTCGACGTTTTGGGGCTGAGGAAATCTCATTTCTTTCCAAAGTGGAGCCCATACCTCTTGATGTGAGTTGGATCACTTCCTTGGCCATATTCAGAAACACTGATCCACTAACGTTCAGGGTCTGGAAGACGCGATCACAGACATGAAAAATCTAAAATCAATCAAGCTTCCGTCCTCCCTGTATCCCATGTCGGATTTCGACATCGTTCGAGGTTTAGAGGCACCACATATCTTGCGAGTATCAGCTCTACAACATCTCATTTCTTCAGAACGACAGGCCGTCGAACAACTGGCAACCTCACGCCAGACCTCGTCAAACCCCCTGTCCATCACTTTCATACGCCCGATTATCCCACATGAACGGACCGACCATTTCGTCACTTACACAATCTTTCCACCATCACAGAACCTTGAGACTTGTTCTCCGCTTTCTCAATCCTGCACTACGACACATTCAAGTTACATTCAAACCGAATATGGTACCGCATCGATGGACCAAATCGCCCCCTGGCCTTACACACCGCCAATCTCGCTCTCTCATACTCTTCGCAAGATTTGGCTGGCACCAACAGATGTCCGACATGACCTGGCCATTTCTTTCATGAAAGACCAGGATAACGGTATCGCTAACGCTGTATGTTATGTTGGGGAGTCGTGTGTCGGACAGCTTGGGTGGGACGTGTATCAACAAGCGGAGGGCGCGAGGATGATGATGCGGCTAGCTTATGATTGCACGTATGGGGTTTATTACGTTGCTTCAAAATTGGCTGGGAATGTATAAGTGTAAAGACCTAAGTTATTCGTCATAATACTGTGCTTCGCACTATGTTGTACATGTATCTAAAATTTCCCTCAATTTGGTTATAGGGTAATGCATCTTAATGCACCTTCTTTGTGTAGAGCCATGAAGTCATAACCATTCGTCAAATACAGTATGTTGAGAGAAGTCTTGTCAAAGCATCTGGGATGGGTAAGCGGATCGATGGAGGTTTGTTAGCTGTTTGCAGCCGTGGTGTGTCGGTCCAGGACAGGTCCAGCAGGTGGCAAAGTCGATGCGGCACGCAAACCCGGGGATATTCGTCCTAGCGAAGAATCACTAAACTTGGGTCACCACTCCATGAAGATCCTCGACTTGAAATCCATTATGAGGGTGGCGACATCTAATTCACCTGTAACTTCCATCACAAGATCTCGATCGCAGTGTAATCCATCGAAAATAGGTTCATTCCCTAGCATGTCAACCCGGCGTAATACCTTTGGAACTTTGGTAGGGTTACCTGTCCACTTGGCCGCATTGATGAAGTACGCTTTTTCCAGTTCCTTCTTCACCTTGTCTGGAAAGCTTTCTAACTCTTTCCATGTGATTGGTTGTTTGAAGTAGCTGAACATACTTCGAAAGGCATCCTTAACCTACAGCGATATTTGAGAATGCTGCCGCAGAAAGAGATCCAATGCTGTTTACCGTTACGCTTTCTCGGTTGACGATTTCGATTGGTTCTGACATCTTCGGCGATATGAGTCTCAGTCGTGTGACGCGCGGGAGGGTGACAGGTTGGTTCAACACATCGTCGTCCCTCCACCGAACTTCAGGATCCACAATGGACCTAATATCTTTCTCACTGTTCGAAAGATCCACAATCAAAGGATACCCTTTGCCGTCTGAGCAACAAAGCATCGGATTGACGTGAAGGGCTGTTCGGAGGGAGTTCAGCATTTGAGGTTTGCGTTCTGTGTCGTAGAGTGTTTGAGTTTCTGCCTTTGCCTTCGTCCACTTATCCTTTGGACTATTCCACACCGTGTCTCTTGATACGGCGTCTGATGCAGGAGAGAGAATGACACGGAAAGGGTCAGCTTGGTAGTTTTGCTGCGTTGGTAATATCCATGATAAGTATGGGGGTGAAACCGGCTTGGCCGAGTATGGTGGTATTACTGTGTGAAAGGGTGGTACCACCGCGTTTGGTCTGACTGACCCAGCCCGACGACTTGGCGGCCCATTCGGAAACAAGGGAGCCGGAGTACCACGGTTCGAGAATCGGGGAGTGGGCAGTAAAATGGGTTGCGACGTTTTTCCTGGCGACTGTGGAAGCATCAAACCGCTGCCAATGCCCTCACCCCTTCCACTTTTTTCGTCGTCCCCTTCACCACCACTCTCACCCGAACTTCCCCATTCTGTTCCAAAACCATCATTATCATCATCGGTCCCGCCATTCCCTCCACCATCGCCACCACTGCCGATGCCGCCGATTCCGCTCGTAACGGGAGCCCCAGTATGGCCAGGGAATATCGATGCCGAAGGAATGGTCTTCTGTTGCTGGGGACTAGTGAACGCTTCCCCCCACTGTCTCTGCAATGCCGCTGAACCGAAGGGGGGAGCTCCCACGTCGGGGTCTTGTCGATGTGGGAAAGTGTATGTGTCGATCACTGGGGGGCTGGATGAATGATGAATGGGGATCTGGTGAGACGCGTTTTCATATGTGCTTTCGTTTTTCAACATCTTGGTTGGTGGAGGCTTGATTGAATTGGTGCTGGATCGGGAAGCAGGCCTTTTAGCCGGGCGCACGTACCCATCGTCAGGCGAGGTCTTAATAACTCGGGGGCGATGGCCACTCGGGCCTAATGGAGCTGCCTGCCGCGGCTGCTGACGAGCGTTGCGGCTCTCTAAGTGACCCTTCAATGCCGGCCGTCGGGGCAGTTGCCCTGGGTCAACATCTGACGAGAAGGGCGACGAACCAAGTCTAGATAGAGGCCCCCGGAGTGTTATAGGAACGACTTCAGGAGGCTTATCATCTGCTGTGTTAGATGTCCTCCCTTTTGCCTCCCAAGCTGTGTGGCGCAAACCTTCCCCGCGCGGATTCGGCGTAGAACGGTTAAGGGAAAAACTGTCCCCTCGGAGATGGTTGCGTTCTTGGAAAAACTTAGTTAGGGCAGTTCGGTTTGGGCCCCATTTAATATGGAACGGCAGTCCGGAACGTACTGGAAACAGGATCCTTGCTGGACGGCGGAGGAACGGTCAACACCGCAGGATTGCGGCTTTGAGCATCATTGGCACGCGTTCGAAGTGGATACCTCTCTGATGCTGAATGGATCTCGGCATTCTGGGGGTCCCCACTCCCGGTGCCTCGCTCCACGGTCTGCTGTGTCGGGTAGGTAGCATGCACAGCTCCACCCTGAGACGCGTTAGCTTTGCTGGCCCTGCCTGAGCTCTTCTGCCGTGAGGAGGATCTGGATGTAGCTGTGCGGTTCATCGCACCATTGACGTGGCAGTAGCCACCACCGTCTGGAACGGGAGACCTTCTGTTCAGCCCCATTACATGTTGTACCCAACGACTGTATGCATCATCGGTAACAATTTTCGACTCCAATCCTGACCCATTCCCAAACCTCCCATTGCCAGTCATAGGATCCGTTGGAGTGTCGGACATATTCCCAATAGAACCACCTTTGGTACCTGATATAAAGATAAATTACCAACGATAGGGATTAACGTATCGGCGACCAGCGCGTCGAGATTCAGGCTCAATATGCCCAGAGAACGAGGAGTCGAGGAGTCGAGGAGATCAGGCAAGTTTGGGTCGCTTCCTTTAATATGATCAAGGCCCCGAGTTGCAAATCGTTGGCATTAGAGCGAAGCCTCGATAGAAAGGCGAATAGGTGGCTGGGATACGAACTGTGATACCGGGACACACAACGTGTTGCCAAGGGCGAATCAGTTCGATTAACGTGACCTGGATTGAATATCAATCGGAGAGCCAAAGAGAAAGGCATCCCCCACGGAGACAAAGGAAGCACTCAGAGTTCAATGGTCTCCCTTTGACATTATTTTGTCATTGAACCCTGATCCAACAGCTAGCGTTCAGAAGCTTCTGGGTGTTCCTATAGGTATTGCCAAGATGCAAGGGAGAGCTTGAGTTCAGTTCATTGTCTTGTCTGACAAAGACTGGGGGTTCAGCAGTACACCTTATTTGCCAGGCTAGAGGACTCGAGACAGAGAGTTAACGCTTGAACATCCTTAACATGCTGATGATGCCTGCAAATATGTGCGTGACATCGTGTACAGGATAGTGTGCGCAAACGAATGGTTTAGTAGAGGCTGGCACCCTGCCTAGACCCTGGTAGAGATAAACCTCTGGTGAGTACTGTGCACAAGAACTTATTCAGCTGTCCAAGCTTGACACCGAGGGGCCACAATTCGCAAGTGTCCGGGTGGCGATGCCGTCCCTTTGGTGTGTCAGTTTCGGATTTTAGACTTGATGTAAACAACTCATGAGTCTGCAACTTGATCTTGCTCGCTAAACGGTCTCACTCAGCATACGAGACCCTTCAAATAGTACACCATGTCTGCCTATGCATTGACTGTGTCCCGCTATCTATATCTCTATGGGAGCCTCTTCTTGAGATGTTCGTCATTCCTGCTTTCTGGAGTTTGGGGCTGGTAGCTCTCTGCCTTTTCTCCGTGGATGCGCTTCCGAGTGGAATCAATCATTCTAACGGCATTTTGCTTCGACTTGACCGAAGGGCCCATCCAGTGACATCCCCCACCACGGACACATCGAAAAAAATATTCGACCAAAACTTCGTAGTAAATATCCTCTCCACACTATTTCCCGGGGTTATTCTCTGAGGCGCCCAATCATGTATTAGAAACAAGAGATCAAGGCTGTTCTCTATAAGTACCGGCAGGCAGCCAAATGGATTTCGAGCCTACGCATCTCGAATTCTAACCGATTCAATGTGATATCCGACAGCCTACCTCCTTCTCTAACGAATTCTAACGGCAGCGTGGCTCCTGTTGGAGCCACGCCTCAACTGGAGACCCAAACCCGACTCCGACTCACAGATTACATGTCTGGCACCCTGGATGTTTTGTACTTCGGCTATCTAGGATTCGGAACGCCTCCACAAACATTATCAGTCGACATCGACACCGGCAGTGCAGATATGTGGGTAAGTTGCCCAAACTTCGATCCCTCACTTGTGATTGCTTAATGCCGGATCATGTCAGGTTTCATCGGATTGTTCAGATTGCCAGACAAAGCAGTTCGATTCTATGCGAAGCACCACTTATCAAAGCACCACGCACCCGTTCAATGTATTTTATGTAAGTCCCTCAGTATCAATGTGCTCATCCGGAGACTCATGGATTTCAGGGAACTGGCTCTGTCACAGGACACATGGCTCGGGATCGTGTTGCAGCGGGGAGTCTGGAAGTGTCGCAAGATTTTGGGGTCGTCAACCAGGATAACGATGCTCTTGCGGGATCGCCTGTGAGCGGCCTCCTTGGAATGGCGTTTAGCACCATCGCAGTGTCCGAGAAACCCACATTTTTTGAGAACCTCTGGGACCAGAAGAAAATTCAGAGAGGCTACTTTTCTGTCCACTTGGAGAGAAATAAAGCGCAAGGATCTGAGGTTTGCACCCACCCTTCGAAAATTGATTCCGAGGTAATAACAGACATCTGTTAGCTTTGTCTTGGCTGTATTGACATGGGGAAGGCCCTGGGAAGTATGACTTGGGCATCACTTGCATCTAGAGTAAGTCGAATCACATATTCGATCTTGCTCTCTACTGAGATCATCAATCACCCAAAGTCGTATTGGTCCGTCAACGTCGATCGCATCAATATTGATACCCAAAACAACCGAACCGTTCATGTTAACCTCGTGGCAGTAAATATCTAAACATACGGAGTTTCCAAAGGCGCTCATTTTATCGTTGGCAGGTCGTCGACACTGGAACAACCTTAGTTTATCTCCCAAACGGTGTAGCAGAGAGTTTGTACAATCAAATACCTGGGGCAAGGCGAGCTACACAGTTTGGCGATGGCTTCTGGACATACCCTTGTGCATCTACACTCGCTATCGGTTTTGTGATTGATGGCAACAGCTACAGTATCAGCCCCTTCGACTTCAATCTTGGCCGAACGTCTACCACGTCTACAGAGTGTGTTGCCGGAATCCTCTCGATCGGCGATGGATTTCCACCTGGCCTTGCCATTCTTGGTGACGAATTTCTCAAGTCTTGTAAGTGCAAGACAGAAACAGCATTCCAAACTCCACTAAGAAATTCCTCCTATATGTAATCAAAAAGGGTATACTACGTACGATTATGAGAATGGAGGACGTATAGGTTTTGCACCGAGTATTAACAACCGACCGCCATGAAAGGCAGCATGGAGCATGAGTGATACCAGGCACCTCCGACTCTGCTTTCCCACCCCCGGCACACAATGCACGGAAACAATGGTTCGGATAGGCAGACTAATGACGACTTTGCTCAATATCTGAAATTGCTTGTCGGGAGCTGGTGGGTGGCTCCACCTCAAGCGCAGAAGGCGGTTCACCAGGATTGGACACCGTTGGCGATTGGGGCACTTCGCCGTCCCGCGGTACAAATGGGTTTTTGATTGCCTCGAGAGGCGTAGCGTCGACTTCAATCTGCGTGTTTCCTGTCATTAGTCAACCTTCAATGGACAGTATATATTGAACAAGACCTTGTCATCTGTCCCCCTCCTCGTAGGTTTGATAGTCTTCGCACTATGTTTCATCTCAAATGCCCATTTCTTGGCCCTCTGCGCGATCGATGGCCGCTTTGCGAGGCTGGAAGATGATGTACCTGTCGTACTGGCTAAGTTCCGTGTCCCATTTGCAGATGTCGTATTTGGACTACAAAATGATGCCTACCTGTGGGACGTTTGACAAGGCGGCCGAAAGTGCCCTTGTCCTTGATCACCGGCAATTCCTTGTCGAAATTCGCCGGTGGTGGATGGACTGTAAGAGTCCAGTCCTCGGGTGCAACTTCCGACATTACTTCTGAACGTGGCAGCGCGAATTATCAGTGGTGGACGCCATGTCAGAGTCAGTTGTTATTACCTCTCGAGCGGTATAAGAAGGTAAATGAGACATATGGCAGACTGTCTTGTGTACCAACAGGAGGAACTTTCTTCGGCGGGCCGAACGTGATGGGCCCGAGACTGCGTGCCAGAATGAACGACACGATACGCTGCACATAAATGCTCACCTACCCCGTAGCATGACTTTGGACAAAGAGACCGTCCATCGTCGTGTGAGTAACCAGCTTGTTTGGGTCAACCGTGTGTTTCTTATGAAACCCAGTAGCAACTGTTTTTGAGTTCCCACTGGGCTGCGAACGACTTGCGCGGAAAAAATACAGTTTGATGGTACCAACATCTTCTCTTGGCAATGGGGCATCATCTGAAGCTAAAACGGGAGTGAGCTATAAAACGATAAGTGGATTTGTGCCACACATACCCTGCAACTTCACGAATCTCAATAGCCTGCGTTTGGACCAATCATCCGTCACAGGAACAGCATCGATACTGCCCGTGTGGTTTGCTGCGGGTAACGCTCCTCGGCCTAGATGGACCTTCTCAATCTTCATCATCCCATCTATGGCGACCTATTGCGGGGTGGGCATGTTTCCGAGTGCGCTTAATCCCAGGAACACCTCGCAGCACACCTTAACTGAAAGCATGTAAGTGAGGTCGCTGATTTTCCAATTAATGCTATAATAGAGGGGCGCCGAAGCACTGGTATCAGGACGATGAGGTGGAGGAGAAGGTGGTGCATGTTGGCTTGCGGGTGCAGTTTGCGTTCTCTCAAGCATTGGAAGCGGAGTTGGCACTTCTACATAGCAAGTTGCCTTGTCGTCAGATATTTCAACACCGAACTCATCGAGTCGCGTATCGCCAATTTGAATCCAAGCAGTGATACCTCCCAAAGAAGGCATGCCAAGAGACCTTCGAGACTGCGTGTACGGCAATGTCAGATCAGGGTCGATCGATCCGAATACTAGGCGCAGAGCGTTCCAGATACGCTTGTTTGGCTGTGTTGTCCACCTAACAAAATCGCGTCGGTTCAAACATGACCTTTCAGCTCGTCGACGCAGGCAAACTCCCGATCGATCCGCCGGTGCCCTTGATTCGCACAGACGAAGATGTTTCTCGTTGGCACCGATCCAAGAGTTACCAAGAATATCTCTTGTTCATCCAGATCTTAAATGAAGCTGTCGTTGGGCAGGATCTTCCCGATTCATCCCCCAGCAGTCATGTCCGTCCCCCAATCGAATCTTCGTTGGTATGAGCAGATATCTGAGCATAGATGTCTATAATGCCTCCTTAGGCTGTATCGGCCATTATACAATTATTAGATAAAGTCGAGCAATGGGTGGAGGACATTCCCCCTCTGCCAACTCCCCAACGATTCGGCAACCTTGCCTTCAGAGATTGGGGACGTCGCTTAGAAGAGGTTTGTTAACTTCAACCTCTCCAGACGTATCTTCGTGGCGATCTAATTGATCATTTAGAGGGCCCCCCAGTTACTCTCTGACACCCTCCCCGCGGAGTTGCACTCTGCAATACCTCACTTGGTCCCCTATCTCTTGACTTCATTCGGCTCGTTCGGACGAGTAGACTATGGAAGTGGACACGAGCTGTCCTTCGTTCTCTTTCTCCTTGGCCTCACGTTGTTGGGATTCTTTCGCGTATCTAGGGTTGCTCTTGGAGCTGCAAACTCGAGTTCAGGCTCCGGGAATGATCCGACGCCAGGAGACGAGCGTGCGCTTGTCCTTCAGGTCTTTCGACGCTATTTGCTTGTTGCTTGGAAACTGCAAGATGTCTATCAGCTCGAGCCTGCCGGTAGCCACGGTGTCTGGGGATTGGACGACTATCAATTCCTACCTTTCTATTGGGGTAGCGCACAGATACGAGGTCAGTATCCAAACATTTTTTGCTGTCCTCGATAATGATCCCGTCTATTCATGCAGAGAGAAAAGATGTCTCACCGACGATCATTTTGAATCCCACACTTCCCCCAACTAATCTATACAATCTCGGCATCGATCGAATCCGCCAGCTCAAGCAAGGTCCTTTCCACGAGCACTCACCGCAGCTGTACTCCATTGCTGTAGGTGTGCAAGGTTGGCGCAAAGTGAATACCGGAATGTTCAAAATGTATGTTGCGGAAGTGCTCTCGAAGCGGGTCGTCGTGCAGCATGTTCCCCTCGGCGGTTTGTTGAGCTGGGACGAAGAAGCAGGGGATCCTATATCGGGCAATCAACCAGAAACATCGCACCCCGCGGTAGTTGATACAACAACTCGTCCAGCGCAATTCGCAGTTCCAGCAATACCTGCTTCCAAAACGCCTTCACACTAAGCTAGCATTCTTTTGGGGAGTTGGCATTGGATTACTTGTACACGCTTGATTGATCGATCAACAAATTGTCATTCCAGAGACAGAAAATCTTCCTCTTCGTCAATAAGTAGTTGGACCAATTTAAAGAAAGAAGCGGCTGGGAACCCAACTACATTCCACCAGTCTCCATCGATTTTCTTGAGCAACAATCCTCCCATACCCTTGTATCGAAAGTCAAAGTTAGAAATTATCTAGGTCATGAGTTGAACATACATGCCTGGGCCGCGAATCCCCCGGCACGATCGAGACCTTCCTCGCTGTCCACGTACGCTTGCAAGATCCGATGGCTATTCTGTTGGAAATGCACAATCGTCCGCTCGTCAATCGATCTGGGGCCACAATTTAGATGTGAATCGATTTCAAATTGTTAGGCATACTTGATAGCATAACCGGGAGCTGTTATAGTGGGATACACAACAGAAACACCGGTAACAACCTCGCATGTCCCTCCGTTCAGGTCGAGGAGCATCCTCAAATTATCCTCCTTCGACGTGGGCTTCTCATAAATATCGGGGAATGATTGGGGATACATAGATGGAACAACATCAGACGTTGGGGGAAGCCTATGTGACAGGACTACTGTGTCGGCTGAAAGAGGAGTGAGCCCGGATCTGCTGCGTTGACGATGAGATGAGGAACTGACCAGCTATAACTAGATCGGGAGAGACTTCGTCTTCCTAGAGATGTGGTCTTGTGAACGGAAATATGAAAATAGTTTAGTAGCTAACGTACGAAGAGGCGCTGGTAAACTTCTACAGCCTGCACGAATAAGAGCAGGACAGGTGTACGCGCGAACTACTTACTTTTTCGGTTGCGGTCGCGACAGGATATTCGTGCGCGTTCTCGAATGAAGTGTATGGCAAATTCTCGTCGAATTTGGATGGAACAATCTCTGGTTCAAGACCCTAATGGACGTGATTTGCGTTAGGAGGTCCATGGTGTTCGAAGAACATAGGTTCTTACGACTGACGAATATCTGGAGGATCTCTTTTCGCCGAGGGCTTGCCGACGCCAAAACTACCCGTTTTCCAGCTAGTTTGTTAAAGGCTGGGATGGCGAGTGCGTGGGACAGAACACTTTCATGTTTCGACATTGAACAGGCACAATGTGCACGGCTTGACTACACTGCCACTCTTCTGACATGCGCTTCCGAGCCAAAATCGAGCACGTTCTGAACTATTCCCGTACGCACGCGTTTTCGCTCATGTACGTGGGCGTTTGACGCGTTTCCTGCACCCAGGTATTGTGCAAACGGTCGAAAAGATCGCCAAGCAATGTGTTATGAGGTGGTCACCCGAAGAGCTCCAGATTATCTGTGAAGGTGGAGACAATGAAGGAGGCGTGCAGATCTGGTCGTAAGTATCTGATGCCCGAGAGGGGGCTTTGTGACTATATCTAAAGCTCGCCTACAGAAAGTTTAGAGTGGCGAGTGACTTGCCGCATATGATGACTGCACAAATCTGACCTGGATTGGCTGAAGGCATCCCTATTCACCGATTACAGGATTCAGTCCAACTCAGAGAATATGATACATATGCAGATATCCACCGAACCTTTCGTCCAGGCCCTCCGCTCCGCTCAGTCCTCCCCAGACGTAGTTATCAAGCTCGCGAAGAGGGATGAGTTGGCTGTGCTCAGGTTCGACTTTCAGGCTGTTGTGGGTATCTTTTGGATATAATGACTATTACGGTGTTGACCATCTTTCTTAGAGTCATCAAGGCAAAAACATACAGGTTATTCATGACGTTAGGGTTCATGTCATGCGCCAGGAGGAGATTGCGAGGCTCGAAGAACCACAGTGCCCCGAACCAGACGTAAGATTTCGCTAGATTAGCACAAAAATCAGTGACTAACCCCTCTCCAGGTACACATCATTCTCCCTCCTTTGACCAAACTTCGTACTGTGACTGAGCACATGCGGCCGTTATCAAGTCTCATGGGAGTTTCAGCTACTCGCTCTGGGCGGTTCAGTCTCAGAATACAAACAGATGAAGTTTCCGTAGAGACAGATTGGACAGGATGTGAGACGCCTAGGGCCCCTTGTATGCCATATATCAACAATCTGCCACATCAGATCTTGACTAAGACCATTTATACCTAGACTCGGAACAAGCAGAAAGGGAGGACGTGGATCCGGATGAATGGTATCGTGCAATCGTGTCGGTCAAGAGCTTTTTGCAGTTCTTGTCCAGCTATGTTGTATCAACAACCACCGTCGCTTGTATGTCATCGATTCTTGGTGACGCTGTAAAAGACTCATCGATCCTGCCATAGCCATATGCCATAACCACTGCGTGATTATGTATGTCTATATTGGCGACCACCGTGACCCTCATGGTGGAGGGGGAGTCCTCACTTTCTACATCCCTGCAAGGATACCTTGAGGTTGCAGTTTACTTGGCAATGATACTAGCGTAAATTATTCTTTATAATTATACGTATTTTCCCTGTAAGTCGTTCATGAACCTTGCCACATTGGGGCAGGTCAGGGCTGTCAGCGAGCCAATCACTGTTCAGTCGTATCAGCCGTGTTTTCTCTGCACGTGCTTCTGCTTTGAATCCGCGTGGAACACGTTCAGCATCGATAAGCAGTGTTTTATCCATGCCTCTCGTTGTTTTGAGTGACGGGGACGATTCTGTGGTGCCTGACAGTGAAGATGAATGCGACGTTGCTCCTAATTCGAAAGGACTCCCCGCCACCAGTACGTGCCTTTCATTGCCCTCTCGCTATCTCTGACTCAGTTACATCCCTTGGAAGATTTCTCAACACCCATCCTACCACAAAGATCCATGGTGACGACTATATCTCAGTTCACTAGTCCCATGGTCATAAGTGGGCCGTCAGATATATCGATCTTTACATCATCCGCTGCAGCGAACTCCAACGCCACTGCGACTAAAATCGCTGCTGCTGCTGCTGTTTCAGATATATCTCAGTTCCCCTCTTTTGAAACACCACCCTCGCTCAAACCTGATTCCATCGAGATATCCACGGTTGAGCTGAGGCCAGTCCCACGCCCACGACCGCGACCTCGGATGCGACCACCGTCACCACTGCCCAAACAGATTCCTTGCACTGAGAACGTAAGCAACATTAATGGTGCTAGCAGCCCACCTCCTGCGGGTACATCTCCAATCATCACCACCAACGAATTCATGCACAGTAGCTCCAGCAGTTCGCACCTTGTTCCGCGACCAGAAATTGTCGACGTCGTCTCCGATGAATCCGGTATGTAGTATTGGCTATCATCATACACGTCACGCCGATTCTCCTCCATTAGAACCGCAGCTCACAAAGCTAACTAAACGAGTGGAACCCAGCGAAGGCGCTAGAAACCCTCACCGTTCCTTTCCTGCATCAGAATCAAACAAGGATCCTGTCTTCAAGTCAAAAGAACGTACAATGTCAAAACGGGTAGATGAAACCTCTGAAGACCCTATCCAAGAGACTTCCAAAGGGACGCGGCTCCCAGGAGTTGTTCCACGTCCCAAGCGTCCGAGGAAAAAGTCTGCTCCGAAAGTACCGTCATCGGAGGGAGAAGGTGACGGAGAAAATGTCGTTCGCATTGGCCCGATGCAGCATTCAGACATGCAAAATGGGAGACGTCGGCGGAGGCGGACCACTGGGAATGGACTTGAACAGGATGCCGATCTCCTCGACTTGACGGTCACTGCAGCGAAAGGGCGCAGCAAGCAGAAAAGCAATGTTGGAAAACCTCAAGTGGAAGTTGTCATAGGAGCCGATGATGATGTCTATCCAGACGGGACGGATAAACCAACTCCAGCTATTCCAGCAGGTGAGTGAAATCATACTTATGTCTGCGTCTTTCCATTGAAGCAAATCTCACAGAATGTTCCCCGGGAACCCGTGTTGACACATCGAGACCGCGTAGCCCTTCACCTTCGCGGTTTTCTTCTCACTCGCCTGAACCCATCCGCACTGCAGCTAAGAAACGGAAATCGGCCCCAAAAGGTGATGATCCGTTCCTCAGTGATGATGATACATCCCGCAAACGACGCCGAAAAGGCCCACCCATGGCTCCAACTGAAAGAGCTGGCGACTTGTACAACGGTTGGTGACTTGGTACTGTCTGATGGCATGCACTGACATGCACACCAGGAACTTCAGCTAATGCGCACAATCCGAAACCCAAGAGAAGGGGAGCGAAGAAGAAGAGCAGCTCGGATGAATTTGAGAATTGGCCTGCCGATGGACCATCGGGAGCAAAGGAATCGAAAGGGAAGAAAGAGAAAATGGAGGAGCAGATCCTTGGCCCGTCTGGGTCAATAGGATCTCCGAATAGTCGTTCCACAGAAGGGGGCGTGGATGTTCAGACAGCGAGGAAAAAAGACCCGAAACAATTTGACGAATCCGCTGACAACTCATCGAGAACAAAGAAATCGAAAGGGAAGAAAGAGAATGAGGGACAGGCAGTAGGCCTGCCCGGGTCAATGGAATCTCCCAGTGATCAGACCACGGAACTCGAGGTAGGACGGAATCACAACCAGTAGTCCAATCTTCCATGCCGCGAGCTGATTGTGCTCCGACACAGGTACTCAGCATGGGTGGAGGGATAAAGAGTACGCCGCAGCCAAGGAAAATTCGGAGGCCACGCTCATCAAGCGTACTGACACCAGGCATGGAGTCATCTATCCTGGCCAAAACCAAGGGAAATCGTAAGTTTTTGTCCAATCTTGTGTTGAACAATGCGTCATCGTGATCTCAGGGACTGTGAGCGAAATTCTCCTGCTGAGAGGTCAAGCTGTGGGTGCTGGAAGTGGTGCACACCGGCTAGGCCTTTCGAATAAAGTCAGAATTGCGCCACTGCATGCCCGCATTAAGACGCCGCCACCTGTATTTAGGCCCCTAATCAAGCGTAAGGAAAAAAATGATGAGGATGATATGGATTCCGAAGAAGAGTATGAGGGATTGACAGAGGCTCAAATTGCGGAGAGGCGCGAGCAGAAAATGAAGGCAGCCTGGTATAGCCCTTGATTGTTATCCACTGTATAAATACTTATATTTATACCTAATAATGAATTTGTAGCACTTGTACCATAGATTAGGCAGGTTACCAGCCTCTATTAGAAGATGTCCACGGTGTTCACGGTGATGCTAACGCGGCAAGTTCCGCAACTCCGAAGCTAGCCACTCGCAGGCTCACTCTACACTTGTATCTTGGATCACATACGCTCTCATTTCTTTCTGGGGAATTCTCCCGTAGCCACATCTATCCTTACAATAATCTGTTCATCTTTGCTTCCCAGCCTCGGTGTGCGAATTCCGCCCGCCTCATCATCACCGTCATTAGCTGCTATCCGAACCATCTGTACACGACCCTATCTCACTCTAGCGCTCCCTCAGGCCACCCCTGATACATAATGTCTTCGGTATGCTTGGTAGCTGTGCTTATGTTTTCTCTTTTCCTCACACTGTTTGTAACATCTAGTTCGCGAGTCTCATGAAGAAAGCGGCCGCAGTGGCTGAGAAATCTTCCAAAGAAGCGGCCGTCATTCTAGCTCAGCGTGAAGAGGAAAAACGTAAAGCACGTCTTGAGCAAGAACGGCGGGAAGCCAAGGAACGGGAATTGCGTCGTCTATTAATCCTGCGTGAGGCCGAGGCTCGCAAGAAGGCCGAACAAGATGAGCAACGCAAGCGAGAAGAAACAGCACAGAAAGAGAAAGAAAAGTTGCTCAAACCTTCTTCTCCGTCCTCTGTCCTGTTGGCTCGCAAAGCCACTCTGAATGACAAATCAAGAGTACGCCGATGTGAGAGCCCCTATGTTTATGTTCTAATGTTATGCGCGTATTGTAGTCATCATCGCCCAGAACTACACACCTCACACCTTCGTCTTCGTCTCATGCGCTTACACGCGAGGAGAAGCGCGCCTTGGCAGACCCCTTGCTCCGTGAAAAAGTATTGAAGTCCCGGTCTAGCGGCAGCGGTTCGAAGAAGTATGGTGCCCGTCTCCCTGGAGGTATTTGTTGTCTGAAACAATACCACATCTTATTTTTAATTCCCGTTCCTTAGGTGCGATCAACCGCAAATCGACCGCTTCATCATCCCAGCCAGCTGGGACGTCCGCGCGAGCTCGGATCGCAGCAGATTTTCAAACTCTGACACCCCTTAATACCGTAAGGAGGGATTTACGGAGTATTGATGAAATTACTCGTGACTTGGAGAATCGCCGCTTCGGCGCGTCAGTAGAGAAAGTGGAACTCGTTGGACCAGATGCGACACATTTCACGGATTGGTTCAGCAAGTCTAAAAAGGAGCGGGAAAAGGAGGCCGCAGAGGAACGTCAGCGAGACGAAGAAGAGGAGAAGGCGGAGAAAGCTCGAAGAGCAGATCAATCACAGTCGCAACCACAACCGAAGAAACCGGTTCTACCATCTGGAAAATCATTGACCCCAAAATCCAGCACGCCACAGCCGCCACCAAAATCTGCTCATACAGCGTCGAGTCGGCTACCCACAAAATTGCAGATCACTGCAACAGCTACTCCTTCCAAGTCGCTTCCGCAGTTATCGTCCCCGAAGAGCAAGGCTTATGCAATGAACGCTGCCAATGCGGGTCGGTATGGAATGCCCGGTGGTGCACGCACCCAGGAACCGCAATCCACCAGACCAAGGACCGAAAAATCTGCATCTCCTAAACGGTCTCGTCCTGCCTCACAGTCTGATTCCGAAGACTCCGAGGTGAACCTCGATCACTCTCGGCCCTTGCATCCGGCTAAGCGGAAGAAGACTCACTGTGGGGACGATGATGGTGGTTATGTCGTTGGCTCAATAGCTGCAATGTTTGGGCGTGATTTGCGGCGGGATGCGGCTCGGGACTATGAATCTGAAGACGATCACGACGATTACGATGGCCCAAGGGATTATGCTGCTATAGAGAGAGAGGAACGAAAGAGTGCAAAACTCGCAAGGATGGAAGATGCTCAGGCGGAAGAGGAGGAAAAGCGACGAGAGGCGGAAAAGAAGAGGAGGAGGCTTCAGAAACTCAAGGAACTTCAAAGAAATAAGGATTGAGGGACATTTTCGTTGGTTGACATACGTTTCACCATGCATCTTCCCACATAATTACGCATTTTACAGCATTTATTCTGAACACACTCGCTTTTGGACATTAAGAATTACGGGCTGCATTTGTATTTGTATATACAGGCAATTAGACGACAACAGAAAGCATGTTACTACACTGTGACTTTACAACATCATGTTTTCGCGCGGATTCTGTACGTCATAGAAAAGTGCCAAAGCTTGATCGAACGAAAGCGGAAAAGCTGGGGTTTTGAGGACGATCGTCACGTATTGAAGTTGTAGTTCTCCGGACCAGAAGGAACATCAGTAGCGACATGCTGAAAGTTTTTCCCTTGAACGCCATACGGTATGCTGGTGTATGACTGCATGACCGGCCTAACGTTAGTATTGGGCTTTGAGTGTTGGTGAGTAGCAGTAGTAGTATGAATCGAGTGAAACGTCGGATGGAAGGTTTGCACATTAGGCTGATAGTACATTGATATCTGTTGTGAGCTAGCGGCGTGAGCTGGTTGACGATGGGCATTCATCATCGCCCGGACAGGAGGATCTATAATAAATGACTCAATCAGATACTCAGCTCAGAGCACGGTGGATAGTCCACACCTTTAGGAAGAGTACGAAAAGGGTTGCCGTAAGCTGAGGTACCAATCGTAGCCGTGATGATTCTGCCTTGGAATTGGCTGAAGGGGTATTGTGCTCTTAATTCCATGAATGAGGTATAATTTATGTTTCGTACTTTTCATCAAACCATTTCTTGAGCTTCTCAGCATTCCGAGGACTGCCGCACTCGAGGTATACAAGCCTGAAGAGACGTGAGAGTATGAAATAACCACTCATTCAGAACTGCGATAAAGATCACCCTTTACTCTTCCCATTGACTTTGTGCTCAGAGAACGTGATAGCAGAAAGATCAAAGTGGAATCCAAGTCTTGCGGAGACGACTCGGATATCGTCTTCCGTCGTCCACTAAGTGTTTCTGGAATAAGTCGAACTGCTGAATGGAGGGAGGACCAGGGGACCGACCCAGTGCAGATCGCTGAGCATGACAACATCACTAGGCGGAAGATGCACGTCCTTGGCCACTTTGGCCATACTCTGACGCGATATAGCAACTTCCCTGAGCAACACTACGCGTCATCAGCCAGTAATGTCCGTAATCACCTGGCCTTGGGAGGTATTGGGCGCAGCGGGAGCACCTCGAGACTGAATGGAATCAAGGGTCTGCTGAGAAGGCACAAACTCCGATGTGGGTGAGGTTAGCATTATCACGGAGTAACATAAAGCACATTCCCCACTTCACGAAATTCCATGCTTTTGCGGCGTCGAAAGTCGCTGTTTCGTATCACTCTCGTCACGTCAATTGGTGCTCTAGGGCTCGTTGACCCGATCGGTTCGGTGGTCGCCGAAACTTTGCTTGTTTATATTTGTTGCACTGCTTCCGACTGCTATCGATCTTAAAGATGAGCTCTACTAGTACAGCAAAGCTGGATACCATACCGCTCACTGAAACACCTGAGCGAGTTGCACTAATAACAGGGGCATCATCGGGTAAATCTGATATCCCATTTCAATTTGAATCGCCCATGGACTACGATCAGGCATCGGTCGCGCCACTGCAATCGCGCTTTCAGCAGCAAGGTGGACAGTCGTATTGTCTGGACGTCGTGAGGCTGAGCTGTGCGTCCCTTGCGCCTATCTTATATGTAATGAGCTCCAGTCCCCTTGTTCCATCCCTTGTATAGTCATCTAACCGCGAGCCGCTGCCCTTGGGAGACTCTTGTTGTGCCTACCGATGTATCCAAAGAGGAAGAAGTCATGCGTTTGTTCCAGAGAACGATAAAGGTTTTTGGTATGTCTTTTCGGACGTTCTACAGTTCCTACCGAAACAAGAGCGTTTCGCTCTCAGGAAGGTTAGATCTGCTATTTAACGTGGGTGTTGAACGGTTCTGCGAAATGTGGCAAAATTCGCACCCGGGCCTTACTGATAGAATGCGGGAACTGGTGGTCCTCGTCTTCCGCTGGATCAAGTCTCCGGAGATGAATTCATGGATGTCATTAACGTCAACGTCTTTGCCTCCTTCTTATGTACCAGGGAGGCTGTGAAGATCTTCAAACGACAAGGAAAGGGTGGTAGGTGGGTCATACATTGTTGCTGACAGTTTCTCGTCGTTTGACACACCGGCCAAACCGAGAATTATCAACAATGGTTCTTTGGCGGCACATGTCCCGCGGCCAAATTCGGTGTCATACACTGTGTCCAAGCACGCAATTTCCGGCCTAACCAAGAGCACTGCTTTAGGTAGGTGGCGCAATCAGAGATACATCAAGACCCTCATCCGAAGATTCGTGAGATGGAAGACAGTTTAACATAACGTGCACGCAAATCGATATAGGTGAAGGCGCCCATTTATGCACTTAATCTCTTCTAAAATGCTCGAAATAGGGAACGCCAGCACAGAAATGACTGCTGGGCACTCCAGCGGGGCGCTTCAACCCGATGGTACGACACGCTCGGAGGCTCTATGCGACGTGAACCACGTCGCAGACACCATCGTCCATATTGCTTCTCTTCCTCATGAGACGACCGTTCTAACGGTCAACGTAATGTTGGTATCTGTGCATACTAGCTTTTTCGGATATGGCTGAGTATTTCCTAGGGCTACCGGGATGCCGTTCGTTGGAAGAGGCTGATTTGGCTGGACTCATGCCATAATTTGTGCACGATCGATCTGAGTCCCCTTGGCCGACTCGGAACCGAGTGGTTGTAAACACATATAAATATCTCCAGTCCATTCAAAAAATAAAAATCCTAAATTGTATCGTTCGATTCTCTCTGTTGGACACTTCAGCCACCTCAGACAGACCCTCGGTACTATGTCCACACTATTCCAAAAAGCCGTAACTGGCGATGTATCCTTGTCGGTCGTCCTTGGCGCCCTCTTGATTGCGCTCACTGTTTTAGCAGTCGTCCTTAATATCCTCAGCCAGCTGGTGAGCCTAAATGCGCGATGTTAGCTTTCGCAGCAATTTATTCTCGTGCCCGCAAAGCAGTTATATCGAGATCCTCACCGCCCACCCATGGTCTTCCACTGGTTCCCTGTTATTGGCTCTACCATCACCTATGGAATAAACCCCATCCAATTCTTCTTCGAATGCCGCGAAAAGGTAGGTTCTTCGGCTATATATGCATTCGCATCGAGCTTAAGATGTATGTTTATGGCGTAGTACGGCGATGTGTTTAGCTTTGTTCTCGCTGGAAGGACAGTCACTGTCACCTTAGGGGCCAAAGGGAACAACTTTGTCCTGGGGGGAAAAACTTCGCATATCTCCGCAGAAGATGTCTACACTGTACGCACTGAGTATTATGAAGAGGAGATCGAGTCTTATCGGCATATAACCACATCTATAGAATTTGACCACCCCTGTGTTTGGAAAGGGTGTCGTGTACGATTGTCCCAACTCCACGCTTATGGAGCAGAAGAAATTCGTCAAGTTTGGGCTTACGGTCGAAAATTTCCGTTATTACACACATGTCATTGCTGATGAGGTGGAGAAGTTCCTCCAAACTCATGAGTGCTTCAAGACCTATCGCGACAATGCAAATTCCTCCGACGCTTGGGGATCGTTCCCTGCCTTTCAAACTATGTCTGAACTTATTATTTATACTGCATCAAGGTCTCTTCAGGGTGAAGAGATCCGTGCTGCCGTCGATGGTAGCTTTGCGGATATCTACCATGATTTAGATGGGGGCTTCAAGCCCATCAATCTTCTACTTCCTGGGCTCCCTCTACCGATGAATATAAAACGCGACAAGGCGCAAAAGAAAATGAGCGACTTTTATGTTGGCATCATTGAGAAACGCCGTGCCCAGGGTGAACAAAAAGTTAGTACCATAATGATAATTTGCATACGTCTGACGGTTCTTCATTTAGGAAATTGACATGCTTGCATCGCTCATGGGGCAAAGGTATAGGAATGGCCGCACCCTTAGTGATCGCGAGATTGCCCACATCATGATTGCCTTGCTGATGGCTGGTCAACACACCAGTTCTGCGACAAGTTCCTGGGCCCTGGTACACCTAGCTGCCCGACCTGATGTTTGGTACGCTGTTTTATAAAGTCCCATCGTTTTTCATCAGACGTTGATATATATATGATGACTCTTAGGCAAACTCTGTATGAGGAGCAAGTTCAGAATTTTTCTAACGGCGATGGCACCTTCCGTGAGATAGAATATGAAGATCTTTGCAATCTTCCTATCCTGGATTCCGTCATCCGTGAAACCCTTCGGATGCATCCTCCGATCCATTCTATTCTGGTAAGACACTATTGTTTTCTTATCTGCTCTGGCATTAAGCAAACGTCGCTCATGTATGAATTAGCGTCAAGTGAAGGACGACCTCGTTGTACCCCCAACACTCGCAACAAGTCGTGGAGGAAAGCCAAAGTCCGAAGACAACACCTACATCATTCCCAAAGGTCACCTCATTCTTGCCAGTCCTGCCGTGTCTCAGCTCGATCCGGATATTTGGAAGAATGCCAACATTTGGGAGCCTTCTCGTTGGAGCGATCCTGAAGGTGTTGCCGCTCAGGCTTTGGATCAATATGAGAATGGAAGTGAGAAAGTCGATTATGGCTTCGGTGCCGTCAGCAAAGGGACCTCCAGTCCTTATTCACCTTTTGGCGCTGGGAGACATAGGTGCATTGGTGAACAGGTCTGCATGTGGTTCTTATGATTGAGTTATTCTTCGGCTGATCCCTGCGCTTAGTTTGCATATGTGCAACTTGGGACTGTCATCGCAAATCTGGTTAGGAAGCTCGAGATCAAGATCAATTGCGTTCCACCTCATAATTATAGAGTAAGTTATGCTTTCTATTGATAAAGATAATGTGACAGACGCATTGGTGTAGACTATGATCGTCGTGCCCGAAACTCCTGACGATATCTCGTATCGTCGGCGAGTCTGATTCCCAAGTAGCGGGGGGAGTTTTCCACGTTATTAATTCAACTCTATACACTATATTCTATTTATATCAGTCATGCCTAGCTTGAAGATTAATTCGATAAGCGACTGTCAAAAATTCCCGTTCTTCAGCTTCAAGCGAATTTTTGGAATGGCGAGTAACTTGATAGAATCCTCCGGCATGAATTGTACACGTACGGCTTTGCCAATGTCTCCTTGAGGGCGAAAGGGGTAAGGATACACTGAGCCAATGAGACCCAGCTTAGGGATATATGCATCAGCGTATAACTCTCTGCGATCGATATCCCATGTCGGCTCGCTCATCACGATCGCTTCTAAATCTGACAACACCTCTCGGGCGTGTGACATTGATGGGTCAACGAATGCTCTTGCTAGAGCACGCATTGCCCATGTGGCAGTCTCTGCTTCTGATGATCGCTTGGTCGCACGCTCGAGGACATCGTGTTCCCTTCCAATTCGCATCAGGGTGTCCTTCGACAGCGATTTCATGCGCCATACGCCGCCCGGAATTGGAGACGGACTCAATGATTGGGGGGACAGTGTCTTGCGCAGTGCAGCTTTGATCTGCCAGTGATTCACCAGATCAGTGAAACGTCGAAGAGGAGACGTGACCCGAGAGTACGAATCATTGCCTACGATACCAATAGTCGTGTGTGGACCAGGATTCGCGGTATACATAGCAGTGCCAAAAATGACGTGTCGCTTGAACACTTCAACAATAGGCACAGTCAAGTCTCGAGGATCTCGGAGAGCGAAAAGTTCGGCATCGTCCTCTTCTGTCCCAGTGTGGCGGTCGGACACTCGGAAAATCAAAGGGATATTATGATCGCGGGCAAATCGGGCTGCCACAATTCCAGCGGCAAGCATGAACTCCCCTACTAGATTCCGAGAGATCATTCCCGGTGTCCATGTTGATACTGAATATTGGACGTCAGGATATCCACGGAAGAGATGAGGATGAGTGAGGTCCTTAAGTGGGGGTATAATAGGAAGTGTTTTGTCCGAGATCAATTCGATGTCAATAGAGGTGCTCGGAAAAGCGATTATCGGATGACGGAACCGTCGACGTTTGAGCAATGTTGCTACCTTCGCAAGCTTGGACAAATCAGGTATACGTTTGGAATCAATGGCGGTCCGGAGCATCTCAGGAGGTTGAGTGAGTAGTGGGTAGTGTCGGCGTATTAGCTCTGCCCCCAAGGCATTGTCCACGTCATCATACAGTAGCGCCTGAACGTTCCTAACCCAACCAGGCGTCACGCGATGGTTTACGATGTTGCCATCTCCATCTACCAGCGCACTAAAAGTGAGAACTGGCTGAGGCTGCAATCCCTTCGCGAGTTGGCCCAAGCTAAATCGTTGTTGCGAAATAGAGGATGGTATCATCGGCCAGGAGCGGTTAACGAAATAGGTCGAAATTCCTGCCTGTTCGATTGGCCGCACAATATCATCCAGGGGGTGAATGATAGATGATGGGTCAGCGATGTGGATATGGACCCAGTGCTTATTCGGATCTCCTGGGACTTCTTCGATGGACACTCCATCATCTATCTCCTGAGCATCATAATCGTCGACCGCATACACCGGTAAATTGCCAAAATCGTGACGGATAGAATCGAGCCCATCGTACAGTTGGAAGTTCCCTCCTGCTCGCGCAGGTTCAGACAATTGGAGCAATTCTTGAGCTCGAATTTCTGCAGCCTTCTCATTACGACTTGTCCCCGGTTCCCCCAGGGATACCCCACGCAAGTTCATTTCCGTACCATCGGAACCGTGAGCAATGATGGCGTCCCAAGGTGTGTATACACCAAGTTCCTGGAGCATATGAAAGACCATGGGCTGATCAACAGAACCTTCATATAGTCCTATGCGCTTTATTATCGTTGGGATGATAGGAGCCCATGGGTCAGACTGGATAAATCGCTGTCGACGGTTCGAATTTTGAAAGAACTTTATGATTTGCTTGTCCGTATCAGTGAAAGCCAAATAACCCTCGACATCAACCGGGGTTTTTTCTAGAGGGGCCCTTTGGGCTCTTAAGGAGCGAGAACGCTGAATTATCACTCGTGCTTTTTCAACAAAGCTGCGAATGTTTGGGTTATCGTTTCGGATCCACTCCTGGACCTGCTCAAAATTTTGGACATCGGCGTAAGGGCGAAGATAGTAGGATTTTGAGTTGAGCGTGTCCACGGTGTCGATTAGGAAGTGGATTGGATTCATTAAGAGGTGGTCTCGCAATGCCAAAACATGATGGACACGAATTGAGATTCTGGGCCCAAACACGTGGGTGAGAGCATCTTCGATGCTCATTGATCCCCATTTCTCCTTGTTTGTGCTCCTGAATTTGGCATAGAGGGAGGCGGACCTCTTCAAGACAGTCCCAGACGCGTGTTCGATCGCAGACTCTATTTCTCGCACTCGTTTAACAATCCGAATACGGGCGGCCGCTTGCATCTCGTTCTCTGGAGTGTCTTCGAGACCAGTCTGACTTACAAGATCCTGGTCAATGAATCTTGCATATGCGAATGTCAGATCAGTCGTCCTTAATACATGCAGCAATCCGTCGGCGCCAAGCAGGACCACATTCAACTCTCGGCGACGCTGCTCAAACCCAACAACGACGCCATAATAACCTCCATTATTCCTTAAAACCAATGAGACACGCAAAAACACTAACTCGGCATCATGTCCTCACCTATGAGCTTCTGCTAGGTATCCTGCCCGAACGTCACTTACGGGCTGATTGGGGAGATACAATGGCACATTTTCCAGAAAAGGCGATGGAATACTCGAAGCTCGTGATTGGGCGAAATGCCCATCTGTACGCTTCCAATCCCCTCTTGGTTTACCCATGACAGCTTTGCGAAGCTGCGCCTCCTCTACTAATCCACGGCTCTGAGACAGCTTCCACCCAGACACATTCTCTCGTTTTGCTGCAGCATCCAACGTCCTATTAAAAACGCCTATGAGCTCTTTTGTCAACTCTTCGTTCGGGGCCGAAGTACTCTGACATCGACTATTTTGGAGGTTCGCGACGCAAGCGCGAGAGGAAAGAAGAAGTCTTCCGGACTTCCTGACGTTCGCCTGCTTCATTATCCTCGTAACTTCAGTGGAGGGCATGACGGGGGCAAGGGTGTGAAATTGACCTCACCCGAGGCATTCAATTTTGCGACACACCCACGTGCCATGATTGGGACCTGCTTGCTCTATCTATAGAGGCTGGTATCCTGCCTATGTTCTTGCTTACCAGGCTATTTCTGTTATGGCGGTCCCCGAATGGCCGAGCTTGCAGCACACAGACAAGTAGTGGAATTTATAGATACAGGGGGGTCAAACAAAGTATCCTTTCATTAGCACAAAACCCTCTCCCAATCTCCCCGTCTTTGATGAATTCTTTCCTTGTGGATCGCAGGCATTCACAAAGCAAACAAAAATTAGAAGCCCCGCAAGCTAGTCCCGTAAATGCGTCCGCGCAAGAGACTACTATCCAGTGAAATTTTATTAGCATGTACACTAACTACAAATAATGATTAGATTAAATGAAGCGATGATGTCCATTGGTATAGTGATGGAGGGAGTTATTAGCCATTGGCTAGGGGAAGTGAAGGCACTAATTCAGCGCCTCGTCCGTTGCGCCAATAAGCTAGTAAATGTCACATAAGATCAGCGGAACCCTCAACCAACGTGGAACGATTAAATTACCTGATGTATATCTGGTCTCCCCTTTGGGTCAACGACAAGGCACATATCAATTAGCTTCTTTACGCCATCAGAATACGGTGAGTTTGTAGGATGCTTGTATGCAGCACTCATGACCGCCATGGCAATTGATCCACCTTGCTCCATAGTTTGAGTATTCTCAAACGGCGAATGGGAGTAAGCAAGAGCAAATAAGGTGCATCCCATTGACTGCGTATGGGTGTTCAGTAACGTCCGAGCCCTTTTTTCCCAACTAACGACTTACCCAAATATCTACTTTTTCGTCAAGGGTTACCCCGGTTTTTACATCGAACAACTCCGGTGCCCGATATGGCATTGTGCTGTGTTCAGCTGCCATGTCCTGAAAGGAGGCGACATGTGACACCCCACGTCTCTGGGCGAAATAAGTAATTGAGGGCTGACCTGCTGAATCAATGCCTGCTGACGTGTCTTGCACTCCACACGAGCACGCACAGTGCTACCAAAATCCATGAGGATAGCCTCGCCCTCATCATCGATCATGATATTTCTAAAGATGACTCGTAAGTTAGGATCTGACACGATGAAAGCATACATACGCTGGCTTCGCATCACGATGAGCGTATGGGGTATGTATCCCTTCTGCACCAGATGCAGCGTCAGCTCCGGCATCCTCCGTGATTTTCGACAACTCGTCATCCCCGTCAAATAACACATTTGCTTTGGTCTGGCCACCACGCGATTTCGTCGCCAAGAGAGCATAACCTTTAGATTCTGATCCTTCGTCGTCATATGGATCGTCATCTCTTGGATGCTGTTCCAGAAGCTTATGTCTTTCATTGTGGTCATCATTTTCATGGTCCACATCATGATGAATTTCGCGCCGCATGTCGGGGGCGGGAGAGGGTTCACGACTGGGTGGGGCGAGACCTGAGCGAGCAGATTCTTGGAGTAGATCTCTTGACGCAGCATCAGGACTGGAATTTACGGTGGCTTTTGGTTTCACCCTGAAGTCATGCATAGCACGGAGTCCGAGACATGCGCCTCGAAAGAGCTTTAACATTTGTTTTTCCGGGAGCCGTGCTCCCGTGATGGCATTGGAGTTGATGATGTCTTGCAAATTCCCCCTCTAATCGATTGGAGAATTTATTAGATACCTTCCCCGATGAACCAGTCGTCACTCGCCTGATAGAAAGGTAAGAATAGATAGACAATTTTCCCCTCTCCATCGCGGTCTTGTTCAACAGAAGAGTCCTGTGTATAGTGCTGTGAGTAAAAATTTTGGGATGAAAGTCTAAGATAGGACGCACGAATATACGGATGATGTTCCTATGCCTAGCAAGTGCACCATTAGGCCTAGGAAAGCAACAGAGCAGCTATGAAGACTCGCCTGAACCTTCTGTACGCCTCTATTTCTCTCATCACCTACACGGTCGAACAATCAGCAAAACTGCAGGGGGTCCACAAGCTGAATAAAGAAGCTAACTTCTTTCACTCCCTCATTCCCAGTTGGACAACGAATCTTCTTCAAAGCGAATTGTCTCTATCAAATGGGAGGATTCTCAGAATTGTTCAAGGGAACCAACTGTCCAACTTACCCCACTTGACGTGTCCTGGGCTAAATAAACGAAAGAGAAACCGCCTTCGCCGAGTACTTTGACGATGTTAAAAGTCCTCCCATTGATTTTCAGGGTTGACGAGGGTTGGCAGCATATTGCCTGGACCTGGGCAATAATATCCAAGACTTTAAACTTGACACTCTCCACGCTGTGCCACAAGTGTCCCACACTTTGGTGAACGGTATTAAATCAGAGAGGCCCGGGCCATGGTACTTACAATTCCGACATTATGGCTGGGTTGTCCCCGGTCCAGCTAGTTCGGAGGATCGTGATAGTACTGAATGGTGTGGCTCTCAGCCAGGAACAGCTTGAGGTGTCACTGTAAAGCTGTCGGGGTGCACGTGCACGGAATATTAAATTCAATTTACATAAATTACAATCCCGTGCTTCAACTGCTGGCCTAGTTGACAGACCCAAAAATGGCGTAGCGTCTACAAATGCTGGGTCCCACTTCGTCGTAATCTGCTTTTGTGTGACAATACGAGTAGAAGTCGGACTGTAATAAGCTTCATCAGCATGCCGCAGAGTTTCCCACATCCGTCCAAGTACGCACCAACGATGCCAACAGCGATCCTCCGTACCACACAGCATAGCTGGAACGAACGTGAGAAAGAGCCATAGGCTATCACAAGAGGGGAAATACCGTTGTCGTTTGTGAGAAATAACGTTAACTTCAACACCCGTCGACTATCCAATCGCCTTGAGAGATGCACAAATACGTGTAATTCGTGCAACACCAACCTTTACAAGTGATCCAGATGCCCTCTCGCTCGCCTGGATACGCTGGTCAACCAATATCCTTATATCTTGCTGTAATCGTCTTCCAAAATCCTTGAACATTGTTGAACCGCCAGACAGAACGATGCTCTTTGGGATTGACTTTAGTGTGGTTAATAGTCTTACCCGAGTATTATATCCGCACCTTGTAGAGTCCGCGCCGCACGTCGATGGGTGAGGCTTGAATCACATCATCCACCACGTGAGGCAAGGGAGTAAGGAAATCACTCGAGTAGATTTCGGGGTTAAAGAAGATCTCGGGAGCCAGGAATCGCTCGTAGCCAATGTCGATCGAGTATTTCTAGGATATTGTAAATGCTTGCATAGGGAAGCTGGAAAATAAATTGCCTACCCTCCCAGTGACGCTGTGCTCCCCATCATATCGCTGGAAGTATCGGTATGGATCTGCGTCGTACTTCCGGAACTCCTTCACGATGTCTTGGCAAACGTAAGAGTAACTTTCTTTGACCTTTTGCGCGACTTTGAGCTGGTCTTCAGGAGGAATATTGACCGTCTCCCCTCGTTCTCGGAGCAGACCCTGAACGAAAGTTGTGATGTCTCTGCCGGCGACGGGGATGTGTTTGATGGCGGAGCCAATGACATAGCCTTCCGCACAAGGTATGACATGAGTGACCCCGTCTCCTGAATCGATTACGGTGCCAGTCAGTGTACGATCTGTCACGTCTTTTGAAGTCCATGACGCTGCTAAAGCAAGAACAGCTTGCACTGCTATGTACAACCCTTTGCAGTTGAATGATTCAAAGAAAATTTCGGCGGTCTGTTCGCGGTTTTCGGGAGGATTCAGTGGGGGTTCGGTCTAAGTACGGAGGATCGGGTGATAAAACGCATCCTCAGAAACAATGCGTGCATGTTTGGGAGACACGCACCAATAAAAAGTAGTGGTCTTCAGGCTCAGCACGTAAATATTTAAATATACTTTGTTCCCAGTATCTCTCCATGTGATCCCAATTCTCAATCATGCCATGCCGAATGGGATAATGCACGCCGTATGTTTTAGAGTTGGCTATAGCTTCGTCGCCGATGTAGAAGTCCAAATCTTCTATGCCTCTTCGGGAGGCAATGTTAGACGCGCGAGGAGGGATGGGCCCGGCTCCTCGAGCTGAAGCAGAACCAGCCGCAGCTTCACGTGTAGCGATCGCCGTAGGAAAAACGCTTAAGAATGGGAGAGCACTCTGAGCACTCCATGCATAACATCTGACAAGAAGAACACAGCTTACAAGGAAGGATCGGAGTTGCCTGCGAAACTTATGGATGCAGTGATTAATCTTGGTACCGGGACTCGTTGACTGTGTCAACTTACCCAATCTTCGAATACCCGCTCCCATTGTCACTTATAATTGGTGCGAGATTCATCGCGACAAAACCCGATTTGTGAAACTTTAGGCTCGAAGTCGATGCCTAGGTACGTCGCGAATCTGAATGGCGATCGTGAGTACACGTGATCACCCCCGCTCATTCGCAAGTCAGGACCATTGCCGTCTTCCTTTGATTCTCTATATTTGGAATTGAGCTTATTCGCCGGCCGATTATGGCGGGAGGTGCAAATTGGATGGGAGGCCAAAGGTTCGTTCAACTCGCGTGTTGGCAGTTGAGGACGGTGGCCGTTGATGCTGGTGTTCTATCTGCTGAACCAGGAAAACTGCACGACTTCGCTCCAAAGATGCGGTGACAAAAGCCCATTTTGGGAAGCAGCGCATAATTGCTAGGGATCTAAAACCAAGGTCTCCGGCTGAAGGACCAACAAATTCGTCAAGCCTCTATTTTTCATTTTCTCATGCCCCACGTCCAATATCTTCAGAGGTGGCTCCTAATCAACGTGCTAGGCACTATTCCAATCTTGCGGTCAAGAAAAGGGGAAATTCGCCCAGAGAATCACTCCCACACAGTACTTCGGGCCTTGTGTCGAATTCTTTGGACCCGAAAAAAAAAACCTCTAAGATTCTGAAGGCACTTGATGAGCGATTCTCTGGTAAGCCCAATCTAGAAATTATTTAATTTTTCGTTGTCCATCCGCTTTAGCAAAGGAGACTCTTGCTACGACAAGACGCCGAATTCTAGATAGCAAAAACCTCGTCGGTCTTCCCGCGACCTTTCCAGTATCGCGACCTATAGTGAGGAGTCATATGGCTCAAATGGAAAGAGCTATGATGACCATTAGTCCGTAGGCTTTCAGTGAGGAGCGGACAAAACGGTGAGTTCCATTCATCAAGCCTAGACGACTGGCGGTACCACTGCTTCTGGAAGGATTTCTCGGCCCAAAAATCCTATCTCGACGCCGTTGCACGAGCTTCCAGGAGCCCATGCCTTTTCTGATGAGCGGCCACCTATTCCGCGCGAGCTGGATCTCCGTAGTGATTCTTCCTACACAGGATCCGATATGAGCTCGGTACCCTTTTCTCCCACCCTTGCCGCTGCGGAAAGATATTTTGAACACCGTAAAACTATGCTGCTACCCGGAACCTTACCTCCGCCACAGACAGGGCCCGGCGTTCTGCATCAATATTCGTGGCGTGGAGTATCCCGGGTACAGGGTCACTCGCACTCGCAGCAGAACGCAATTACTTCGAAGGATAGATCTGTTCACCCCGTTTCGTCTGTTACGCAACCATCAACATCCTCCAATGCTTTGGCCCAACACCCTCTCTTGTCGAGAAAACAGCCCGTCGAGTCTTCGTTCTTTTCTAACGCCCCAGTACCCTGCGCTTCTGCAGAGAAAACACTGACATTATCTAACGGTCTTTCGCTACCTGAAGCTTGGGAAGTTCTTGTAAATGACATGCTAGAGACAGATCCAAACCTCTGGGACCGCTCTAAAGACTGTCAATTTTCGCTGGACGTTGCTATGAACTTGGGGGAAGGTTATTCAGAGTATGCTGGAGCCGATTATCGCATGGGGCTAGCTCGGTTTTCACCCACACCAAAGCCCTCCGCTCATGGCGACAGTTCTCCTTCCGCGAATGTTATCCCAAGCTCAGCCCGCTCAACAACTGGATCAGACAATGCTAGTGTGTCGTGGAGCTCGCGGGATTTGGATTCAGTCAAGAGCAGTCCGTTAACAGGGGGAACTGAGGAAAGCACATGCAATGTGTTCAGGAATTACTTGGATTTCCTTGGACCGCCTGCTCGTGATAATGTCCGTGACCAATCTCCACCCCGCCGTTGCTTCGACCATGCGACGTACTCGTTGGCCCCAAGAAATAATTGCTCACCTGTGCAGATCAGCTCCCTTTTCGAGTCGAGTCCTTGTCGGAAGGATGTGCTAGTCGGTGGTACTCAAGAGGTCGATTCGCCGATAGCTCCCTCGACGTCTTTGTGGGATCTCTCTTTCCAGAAATACCCACGTACGCCTCCTGACTCATTCGAATCGGATGCCCGTCAACCCAGTTCTAAACTTCCACTGACAAAAAATAATTAGATGCAATCCTCCTTGGTGTTGGACAGCGGAAAAGTTAGGGTCAGCTCTGTTCGATGGCACCAATGGTTTCGTGTATTAACTATCCTGGTACATGAATGGCAACTCCAGTGGAGGATTCCAGGTTGTTCTGTTGTTGCAATATTGCATTAGCGGACAGATTGAGCTTCTTTGGGTGATCATTGTCACTGTCGGGCATGCCCTGCGGGTAGGCAAATGCGTATGTCTCCAACTATTATTAACACCGGGACTCAAACAAAGGTTCTGAGCGGTTGAACTGGATCTATGTGATTGCCTGTGTGTGATGTCAACGAGCCAAAGTAGGCGTCGACACGTGTACAGGGTGCTTGAGCGTGACGACAAGGCAAATTGGGAAGAGGTTAGCGTCGATGTTGAACTCAACCCAGGGAGCCGGCTATTTACATGACAAGATTGGGATTTGGATGATATTCCCGCTACTCTGTAGCGGGTCTTGTAAATTTTTCAACCTTGATTGAATGCGTTTGATGACAAGGTCCTCTATTATTGCCAATTCTAGATAACCCAGGGTCCTCCCAACTCACTAACCAATTTCTCTTATACCGCACCACTCTCGTGCCGTTTACTCTGCCTTCCCCCCTGCTCTTTGTACTATCGTCCCACTGTGCTGCTTCTCTCATGCTTTCCGGACCGCCGCTACCTTCCAGTTCCTCCACCGTTTGTACTGTGTCGCATATTCTGTTTGGCGACTGTTACCAAATTCCCATCGGCATCTTTGCATCCGATCTCCAGATTATGACAGATATCTTCATGATGTACTTACCTTTTTGCTCCCCTCGTTCGAATATCATTGTTGTTCACCCGATTTTGGTGGCGCATTGAGACGTCCGAGATTGGAAGGGCCAATGACCTCAACAATTCAGTGTGGGTCATGGATATTGAATATCATTGGTTCATCTGACGCGCTGATCTTTTTGCGTTGATGCATTGTGTCTCGTTCGCTGCGCTTGTAGGAGGACAGAAGAGTGGCGGGACCTGCCGCGTCAGGCGGTGTCCACCAGTTATATCCACTACTGTACATCATTCGATCTAATTAACGACGCTCGTGAGGAGAGTTGGCACAAGAATTTAGGCAAGGTTTGGAACGGTTTCTGCTCACACGTCCCTCTCAAGCGTCCGAATGACTACTGGAAGCCGCGCGCACCCGGGAGGGGGGTTCTTCCGATGGAGAGATTCAGCGAGATTCAGCGAATAACTTCTAGGATTGCCTGAACGGAGTGTTTAATTGACAGAAACTGTGACTGTGACAACAGGACATGGCATATGTCAACGATTCACTTGCTACGTCATAAAGGATATCCTATGTCAAAGGGTTGCTCTTAGTCCCCGTTCATGTTCCATGGGATTGATCTTCGTTTTCATTCCCGTTCCCAAACGATGGATTCCCCTACCGTCCGTCCGGCCTTATCCGCATGTGGCCAGAGGACTCAAATAAGCGCTCTGCGACTTTGATGTTTGTTTGCTACAAAAATTAACAGGCACAAACCTATATGGACTAGTTTTCGCAAGTCAACAACCTCCGGGGGGAGGGAACCCACGACATGTCACTTCAGCCTATTAATCCATCGTTTTTGGGTGAATTTAAAGCACCAGAATTCACCCAGAACGACGGATTACTTGATTGACCGCAGGGGCCATGATCGCAAACATTCACCAATTATACTAATGCAATAGTAATCAATCCAGGCCGAACCGGGGTCAACCAGTCGTCGTCTGTCATATTAGCTAGTGGCAGGCCCAGAATCTTAGGACCAAACAGAGCTAGACCGGAAAATGAGAAAATGTGCCTGCAAAATTAACAGTCAAGTACTATCGCGTCGGTCTCGCTAGCTGTAGTTGGAACTGATCGTACGCACCTTGCTGTGCCTCGGGGCGAGATGTTTGCCCGTTCCTCGAAATGCTCCCCATTAGGGGCCTCATTCCTTTGCTGTTAACTCTTTTGGGAAGAGGAAGGTCGGAGATCAGTTGCAATATGTAGGCTCGGAAGGGAGAAAATGTACAAATGCTTCACTGAGTAGGTGAATGTATCCTGCCTAGGATGAATGTTGCACATAATCACACGCAAGACGTTGCCTATGATTTCTTTTTTTTTTTTTTTTCATATAATTAAAAATGTGCTGATGAACACAGTGCACGGCCGAGCCTGGACCCGGGCCCGGTATGGAATTAAACATCAGATCGGAGTTATGCATGTAGGAGTGTATACTGGTACTTGAGCGTTGCATACACTACACAACATGGACAGATGATTAAATCGAGATCATCCCGGACTTTACTTCAGAAACGTCGATCCTGTGAGAGAACTAGCGTTACAAACTAGCGCTAGACAATGAAAGATTGTTAAGTAAAGGTCTAATGAGACCAAGAATGAGACCTCACCTCAGTTCACGATAGTGTAACTGAGGAGAGAGGAAAAAACGGTCGCGACGAGTGGCTTTTAAGCCTACAACGCCGCCTATCAACAAGAAAGGTGGATTGGGAATAATGGTAAATCTCCTGCGGCTGGTGAGTCCGTGCGCCATAAAGGTGGGACGTCGACCTTGTCTCTAATAGATCCGAGTCGCGGTCAAGGCTTGCATGGTGGGCCAATATCTCCTTTTCTCTCTCTTCCCTTTCCTAGTAGTGAGTTTATGAAGTTAGGCTGCGCATAGTACATGCAATATGCGTTCAAAAATGCCCCTCTTTTTCTTTTGTTGTTTGTTTATTTGTTTGTTTTGGCACGTTGTCCAACCTCTGGCAGACTTTATTGCTGTGTTGCAATTTATCCAAAATTTTTTTTCCCTCCTTTTTTCCCAATGCGCCATGCCAGTACTAAGACGGTGGCCGTGCAATCAATGGCAGCAATTTATTTGTATGTATACAGATAGATCTAGACAGGTAAGCTAGCTTAGACCGCCGCCTAGATCGACTTGTGCAAGTACAGTAGGGCCTAGGTAGGTAGCGCGACTAGACCTTGATAACGAGCCGATTGCGATCCCGATTTACATTACTGCATATATATGCCCGATCGAGGGGCCGGGTGGATCGAGTTTTGCCATTGGCCTACATGGAGGGAAGTACAGAGCGCGCCACTGGGAGGGTTGAATCGGATCCAGAGTTAGATGATACGGCAGATGCATATACATATATATAATATGCCATCTCAGATTGCCAGCATTAATATGCCTGGCCGGCCGCTTTGGGGTCTCGGTCGTTGTGGCGTTCATTCATATGTGGGGGGGTTTCGCAGGTCGAGAACACCTACGTACCCGAGCTGCATTGAGGCATTATTGACGTGACGTGACGTTGTTTGTTTCGTCGTTGTTGTTGTCGTCGATCATCGTTGTGGATGCGGCTGATCTTCTGCACTGTCGTTGTTCCGTCATGAGGAGAGGAAGAAGTCGGGTTGGGGTTGAGCGTGTGTGTGGCTGGGTCGGGGGACAACGGTAGTAGTACTTGATCGGTCTGAGCGTGTGTGTGTGTGGGGGGGGGGGGGGGGAGGGTGAAAGGGGGAGGATCGAATTATTGTGATAAGCATCAATATGGGGGAATGGATATATGGTGTGCCGATTATGGCCAGATGCAGTGATTGCGTCATAGAATCCGATGCCGATACATAACCTATATAGCTATTTATGTGGCTTTCCCTGTGTTTCTTTCTCATTTTGATTTTCTTTTTGGCTTCTCCTTTTTCTTCCTTTCTTTCTTGGGTTGGGTCCGATTGTCAACAGGAACGAGAGACGAGAGAGTCTGTAAGCAAAGAGAGGGATGGGGGCATGTACAAAATTATTTATACCCAAACGCCCCAAAAGAAAAATTAAAATTCCGGTCCGGCGATAAAGAGAGTCCATGTCCATCAATATTTACGATGAATGATGATGGACCTTGATCTAGTGCATGATCTTCCATCGCGATTGATCGCGCGCTAACGTTTACTTACAGCGTCGTGCATGGCATTGTACGTCCCATCATATCAACCGCCGATTCTTCCTGTGCGAGCGCGGCACGTACATATACATACATACATCCATCCATCCATCCATTCCAGAGTGAGAGGGATTTTGGGTTCCGGAAATAGGTTGCGTATATACAAATATCATACATAATCAATGCCATTATGCATGTACCAGGACCGTGTGCAGGGTTATAAATCGAATCATATCAATCTGGTTCATGACGCCGGAGAAAAATATTTATTTTTTAAAAAATAATTAAGGACAAAAGGACGAAAAAAAATGAGACTCCCCTGTTCTCTTTTTCCGTTACATACATAAGTAAGCTGAGTCACCTGCGTAGATTCCCTGGCTGGGCTCGTCCTGAAAGGTCGAATTCGAATACAAAATGATTTATGTAGAGAAAAAAAAAAGAGGAGAGGAGGGGGTGAGAAATTGGAGCCAGGTGCAGGGGCGCATGTATATATATATATATATTGAGTTTATTTACATGATGCATATAGGAAAGTAAAGTAGTGGTTTCTGAAGCTAGGGGGAGACCTGGAATTTGGCCATGCATGTAGGAGATTAGTTTAATTGTGGTGGTTGTGTCGTACGCGTGGGCAAGCACAGGTATATATGTAAGCAGTTAATAAATAGCAGTTATGCGTGTAGTCTAGTGACATGCATGACATGATATTGCTGGTGACAGCAATAGCGCTCTACATAGTTACTATATGCCATTGGCAACTGCTCCTATCCCCTCCGGCCTGGGAGCTTTTTTAATTTGCACAGCTAGTGTGTAGTATATATAGTATATATGGCTATACTTGCATGAACGTACCCGGCGGAGCAAAAACTTTTGGGAATTAATAATATCGATATATATTATATATCATGCATGTCCGTACGCGTGCATGGCGTCAGCTGTACTACATACTAGTAGTGAGTGATCTCGCGACTTGATGTTTTTGGCCGCACGTACACTAGCTCGCTACGCGCGGCGGGTTCAATTCGATCTACTTATCTTGTGGCAGGAATCAAATTCGATTTTTGTGTAATTTCCTGTGGCTTCTATCTATCTATCTCCCCCCTGTCTTTCTGGTCTGGTCTTGTCTGTCGATCCATCTGGATCTATCATAATCTACTGCAAATCCCGGGAAGAAGGCCGGGAGTGTGTTATTGTTGTTGTAGCAACTTCTGCAAGAAGCTTTTCAGCAATCCACGCACACTGGGGGAAGATCCATGTCGACGCAATATTTTCGTTTTTTTTTTGGGGGGGAAAGGGACGTTAACGTTACGAGGGTGTACATATATGCATGGGCATGGGTACCGATATCATGTATATAGTCGCACGTTTGTTTGACGATATACATCGTCGTTAGGTTCGCATGCAGGGTTGAGCTGGTTGAGCGGTGATAGAGTGTTTGGGGATCAGTGCCTAGCTGCATTGCCATGGGTTAGCTGGCATGTGCAATAATATTGAATTGGAGGCCGATGAGCAGATGATACATATCTTTGTTTGATTTATTTGAACTTACAGTAAAGATCAGCAGTCGTATTGCTTGCATGCTGTTTGCTGTTTACTTCCGTGGACTTTTATCTTTTTCTTGCAGTTGTTGTGCCATGTGCAATGTGCTTTTACCGTGCGTCAGTAGGGGTAACCCTTGGTTGAGGCCAGAGGCTCCTTGGTTAGGCCAGGCCCAGGCTTTGCAATGTTATGCAATGTATGTGCTACGTCACGTTGGTAGCACACCCCAGGGCCATATATTGGCTATCGATATCGCGCGTGGCCAAAGTTCGATGGTCTTCCCCACAAATATATTTGTAAATATATATATATATATATACATACACACACATTCCCCCGGCATTCATCTCCAAACCTCATCTGTTGACTTCCTTACGAGTTCTCCACTCCATACTCGTCTCGTACGTCTCTCTCTCCGTTGGGGTCGGAAGGGGGTTGTCTCTAAATAGATTTAGACTGCAGCCTTTACTCTCGTGCGCCTGTGCACGCTCGCTAACTCCTTAAACTTCGTGTTTGCGCAAGTCGTTTCGGTTTAGCTTGTCTAGCCGCTAGCTGGGGTACGTTATCAGGGTTAGGTGAGTTGATGTTCTATGTACATCGTGCCTTGAGTTCGGTCGCTGTTCTGTTTGTTTGCTTTTCTTTGTTTTGTTGGCCCTGTGGCTCGGTGGGGGCGACCAACTTTCTACTTCCTTTTTTTTTAAATTTTATTTGAACCCCCCCGCCGTTTCCTTGAGCTCGCGCGCCCCTTTCCACAAAGGAAAAAAAAGTAGGGCGTGGATGAGAACATCTCAGGGAGAAATGAGGCACTTGTATCGGCCGGGATGGTTTGGATCCACTGTCGTCATCCTTCGTGCACACTCAAGACTCGTGGTTGAAGAACAACGCGTCATTGGTGTCCGTGGACTAGAATGCATATAGGTATCTATCTCTCTTTGGTTGTCGCGAGGTCGATGACGAAGATGACGATCAAACACGGGTGGCCCATCTAGGCATAATCCGTTCATTCATCCATCTCTATGCTATTCAACCGACCACTCGCTCAGTGCGAGGATGTAGCTTTTTTCTTTCTTTCATGCCCTGCGCGAACCCCCCTCCCCCCTCCCCCCTCCACGACGCGCTATGCCCTGTTCCTGTAGCACGGTGTGATGATCGAGTCAGTGAGTCAGGGGTAGATTTCGATCTCGCGTGGGTGTGGCCCCCCCAACCCCTCCTCCCTGGTTTTCGGTGGAGGCAGCCGGTTACGCGTGGGGCCCCCCCTGGGATATATCCATAACATCATTCAATTCTTTCTTCTCTCGTGATTTCCTATTTTTATTTTTTCCACCCCTCCATATTCCCGTTTTTCCCGTTTTCGCCCTCGTGTGTGTGCCGAGTTATTCAGTGCTCGGTTCTCAAGTCGTTCACTTTTTCCCTCTTTCCTTTCCTTCCCTTCCCCTTCTTTCCTTCTTCCCTTCTTTGCTCAACCTCGTTCCCTTACATTACACACTCTTTCTATCTTTTTCTTATCAAACAGATCCGGGAAATCGGACCAGTTACACCGTGATCTTCACAGCCAAAAAAAAAAGAAAGAATTACATTACAAAACCGGGTGTGGTTCGATCAACTCATCATTCATCATCATCATCATCATCACACACCACCACCGCCTCCAACAACTCCGCATATCATCTCTAACCCTTTCCCTTACCAAGTCCTTTTTCCAAACCTCATTGCCACCACCAACTACTTGCTCAAGCACAGCTTCGGTTCAAGATCGGGTTTGGTTACATATAAATAGATTTAAACAACCACACACACATAATCGGGCTCAGAGGTACGCGCGCTTTTTTCTGGTTCTTCCTTCCCTTCCCTTCTTTCATTAGTTGCTCATATCTCTTTTCTTCTTCTTCTCTCTCTCTCTCTCTCTCATCCCCCCCGGATTCACGTACTCCCATCACCACGTCGCGTACGATAAGAGCGATAAAGTAGAGGACAAGTACAAGGGAAACCCGACTTGGTCAAGTGGTTTTTCTGAAGCACCTTACCGGAACTTTAGCGAGAAAGGAGAACGAGAGAGTTTTTTTTCTTTCTTACGAGTAGAACATGGCGCCTGGAGGAAGAGGTGCTACTGCTTCTACTGCTGCTGCTGCTGCTGCTGCTGGAGGACTCGTTGCTGAGTCACTTGCTCAAGATATCCATCTAATTTCACCTACGATTGACGTTATTACCTCACCTTCTAATGTTTCGCCTTTCAACCCCAACTCAAAGTCCACGTCTTCAACGAATCCTCCTCCCGACTCAACTGCCTCCCCAAATAATATCGACAATAATAACACGACGTCATTAACATCGACATCGACATCGACATCGAGTAACAATAACATGGGTGGCACAAACTCGAATTCGAACTCGGGATTGTTCGTGGTCGATAAGAGCAAGATTCCAAGACCTTACAAGTGTCCGTTGTGCGATCGGGCGTTCTATCGGTTGGAGCACCAGGTATGTGGGGACCTGCTTCCTTTTAATTTTTTCAATCTTTTGGATTTGGGAGGGGGTTGGTTAGTTGTTCCTCCCCCTTCTTTCTTTTAGGCGCCCATTGGTTTGATGGCGCCTTTATGGTCATCCATTTGGCGCTCGTATACAGAGCGCGCGCCAGGAGCCACTTCTTCTTCTTTTTTTTTTTTACTGATATGCTTTGTCACCGCTGTTCGAGACATATATGACTGACTGGATTGACCTTTTTTTCTATATACATCTATATCTTTGATGACCCTTCTGGCGCTCGTTCTTGGGCGTTCTTTGATCTGATGTGTGATCTTGTCTCTTGTCTTTTGGCTTGGACACTCTTCCTCGCTTCTCGTGTGTGGGGATCGGAACTTTTTCGACCGATTTGACTGGTGGATTTCATATAATATGGCCGTGCCCGGTGCCTGTCTCCGCCCTTGCGTTAATCATCTCCGATGTGGTGTCGCTGATGCCCGTTGCTCAACTGTTTCTCTTATTCGGGCTTTCTCTGGTCTTGTGCAACCCTGTGGCCCTTGTTGTGTTATTTCGCTCACTTTGCTCACCCCTGCATCACCGGCTTCCCCGCATCTTGTACCCACATGGTGAAACATGGCCCCCCCCATATTCGTAATCACTCTTGTGAATGCGGTGTATGTTGTATACCCGTGACGTGTGGAACAACAACCCTTGCCCTTCGGATCCCTGGATTCTTTTGACTTGGGTTCTCATCCTTACACACACTCGAACGAAACACGGAACACGAAACACGAAAATACCGGTTATTGTCCTTTATTTTGTTTTTTCATATGCGCGGATTATCTGGGGTTGTGGCTTTACGGTGTCCCTGCAAACTTCGCTCGGTGGCTTGCGAACTTTTGCTTGGCCTCTAAACCGGTCACGGGTTCCTTTAATGTATGGGCTTACGAATCACGGACTACCTTCTCCGTCCTTTCTTTTTTCTTTCTTTTTTTTTTTTTTCATGTGATCGACTTCCGGACAATTCCGACATCTTTATTCTCTTCTCCGCTCCTCTCCGCCGGCGACTTCTCTGGCCCTCTCGCTGCCCTTGGGGGATCATCTTGTTTCCGGAAAATCACTATCGTCTGCTGCATTGCTGTGCTGGTTGCTCTCTGTGCGTGTGCATGTGTATGTGCGTTTGCATCTCATCTATGCTTCTTTCCATCCCCCCTTTGCATTTTGTTTCTCCTTGCCCATGACCCGTGGTGATTTTTCTTTATCGCCTGTATCTTATTTCCCTCATCACCTTACGATCGCGTCCGAAACGCTCAACTATAAAACGGCTCAACTCGGTCTTCCTATCGCCTTATTTATTTATTTTATTCCCCTCCTTTCCTCGTCCATGTGATTTCTCGGCTGTCTTGGGGGGTCCTTCTTCCGCTTGGGCTGCCCGCTGCTGGCTTGCTGTTGTGGATTTTTTTTTTTTTTTGGGATTGATTCTTCCGGCAATTGCGATTACGTTTGGCCGGGGGCGGCTGCTTATGATGCGGGTTACTACGACTTGGTTCTTCGGTTCGGTATCGTTCATACGATTGCAACGCCGCGCGACGACCATGGATTGGGGAAACTAAATGTTTCCGTTGCTTTTCTCGTTGCTGTTTGGACTTCATCATGCGCCCGTTCTTGGATCGAACGGTCTGTCGACTGGAAAATGGAACTGTGACGATAATCATATGGGGTACATTGACGGCGGGATTTTTTTTTCCCTTTGTCTGTCTCTTGTTTCTTCCCCCCCCTCTCTTCTATCTTTTCATCCCCTGGTTCTCGTTCTGAAAAACTACAGACTCGACACATTCGCACGCATACGGGGGAAAAACCACATGCGTGTACGTTCCCCGGTGTGAGAAGCGGTTTTCGAGGTCGGACGAGTTGACGAGGCATGCGAGGATACATACGAATGCTCATGGACATGCGCACCATCAGAGGGGTGCCGGTGCCGGTGCGAGTGGAGTGGGAGTTTGAGTGTGGAGGTGGTCCGAGTGGGTTCGGGTGCGGATGGGGAAGGGATAAGTGTCGTGTCTGGAGGGAGGCGCAAAGGGAGGCGGGGGAGGAGAGGTGCTGACAGTACGAGTGATGATGAGGTGAGTTGTCTCCTTGGTTTTTTTTTTTCGCAAGATTTCCTTCTTTGGTCTTGGTTGCCCGGCGTTCATGATCGTTTCGAAGGGGGTGGCGCAGGTGCCTTCGAAGGTAGTACTTACACCGTAGCCCTGCTGCTGTATTCCTTCGTTCGATTCATTTTATTTATTTCAATTTTTCAGCGCTATTGGGATTTTCGATTCTTGGTACTCATGATTTTTTTTTCATTTTCATGACAGTTTGCTCGTTCAAAACAGCCTACTCCAACTGGGACGCCCTCTCAGTCTCGGCGTGTTTCGCCCGAACCACCCCATCAGTCTCACGCCGCACATAATGGCAGTTTCTCCTCATCCAAGCGTTCCGGTCCGGCGGCGACACGCTCAAGTAAGCGTGGTTCGCCTAAATCAGCGGGGAACACGATCGTAAATGGCAGTACGCCACCGTTTGAGATGGAGATGGAAGAGGATGAGCTTGCTGATGATTCGTTTGGGGAAGAGGTGACCCACTCCCATCCTCCGCAGGGTCAAAAGGTAGGGGAAAAGGAGGGGTTGTGATGCAGTCGAATCTGACGGCAGGGATCTCGCCTTCGCGCTCCCAACATCTACGCACGGGGTCGGGTGCTGTTGCTGGTCTTGCGCCCACACATCCACAAGGTGACCTTTCCGCACTGTCGCTCCTGGCTGCTTCGGAGCTTCTTGAGCTAGAGCGAACCGAAGCTGCAAGGAGAGCGGAGTACGAATCAAAGCATCGTGATTTACTCGCTGCCGTTGCAAGCGTTGGAGGACACATGCCTCCTACTTCGCGCCATCTTCATCCTCACCCTCTTTCTCATCCTCCCCATCACTCACATCCACCCCCTCACGCCGCTTCTCAATTCAGTTCTGGATCTTCGACGCCCATGACGCTTGAAGGGTGTACGATTGGATCTAATGGGTTCGTGGCACCTGGTCCGCCCCCTGCATGTCATCACGACGACTGTCACAAAAGTTATAGAAGTGCGCTTAAAGCATCGAGTCGGCTTGGCGTTGCTGCTGCTGCGCGGGGCAACACAGTTGGGTTAAGTAGTAGTCTAGAAGAAGGATCGAAGGGGGCGTTCTTGGGGAGACCTCAGTTTGCTGGACATTTGTCTGATGAAGGGCGTTCTGGGACGATGGCAGGACAGCCGCATCCACCTTCTCCTCATTCGGCGACAGAGTCGGATTTATCTTTGGCGGCTTACAATAATAATAGTCGACATCTTACGCAAGGTGGACAGGGCCAGTCTTCCTCGTGGCGCTCCCCGTCGTTGTCGTCTTCGCAAGCCCATCCATCATCGACGAAATCGTCGACTGTTTTGCCTTCGATTCCTATTGCCACGCCGCTTACTTCGCAGCCTTCAACACCGTTTTGGACTCCGAACGCTAGCCCTGTGCTTGGACCCTTCAAGGGGCTGCACATTATGGATTGGAGCAGTCGTGCTGGGAGTAGAGCAGGGAGTCCGGGGCCGTTTTTGCCTCCTGTTGCAGGCACTAACAGTGTAGGTCCGACTGGAGGAGGCTATGGGGAGGCGTTGAAAGGGACGGCGTCCAGCGAGAGTACCGTCCGAGACGAAGTTCATGTCAAGTCGGAGGATGCAGAGATGGATGTGGACGATAGTTATAAACAGGTTCATCAAGAGGCACCTCGACGTGGGTATCGCGTCGCAGATATTCTCAATGGGCCTTCGAGTCCGTCGTTGCCGATGTATGGTGATCGTACGCTTGCACCTCCCTTCCCTTCGTCTGTGCCATCACATGGTGGGATGCTCACACCTGTTTCGAGTTCGGGCTCAGTTTCCCATCATCATCCACACGGTTACCACCCTTATCCTCCTATCCAGCATTATCACCATCGCTCGAGATCTGGATATGTGACCGCCCCGTGAGCGCCCTTACATCGCCTATTAGCAGCCGACCGACATCACCCACGGGCGAAAGGGGTCCCCACTATCATCATCACCATCATGTCTATCGTCATCCTCACCCTCAACATCACGGCGGATCGAGACGTAGTGCGCCGTCATCACCTCGTTTGGGTCCAGTAGCGAACGGTCAATCGCCGCCTCATAATAGAGGCCATTTTGCGATTCTGCATTCGCCGAGTCATAGCCATCTCGCTCACTCGGTTCGCGTTGCGTTCGGTATGACTCCTATTCACCCTCCCTCGTCGCACCACCTAAGTGTCCTATCGGACACTCCATCGCTCATGAATCCACCATACTTGGATAGTCACCTTCGCCCGTCGATCAGCGCTCCAGCGAGTAGGAACCCTTCCGATTCTCCACCTCTGCCCAACCCCGCACGCACAGCGATGGAAGTGCTAGCGTACGGGATGAAGAGCTCGAGTTACCCCCATTGAGATTGCCGCTTGGTGATGCGTCTGCCTCTGGACCTACGGCTATCCCCGTCCACCCTGCAGCTCCGGAACGGAAACCTGGGTCAAGGCTTGATTTGGCAAGGATAGCGTAGCCGAATTTTGAATTATGCGATCCCTTCCCCACCCCTTCTGTGAGGGAAAGCGGAGAAGTCGGGACGGACTTGAGGAAAAAACCAAAAAAAGCTGATGGGGTGAGTCGAAAAGAAATGTGCTTGACGTGGAGTCGAGCGTTCGAACCAGAAGATGCCTCCCTTCTCCTTGACTTTGCTATCTTCTTCCTTTATACTTAAGATCGGGGTGGCGGTTACTCCGAACTGTGCTTTCTTGTGTGCGCGGTGCGCGGCATTGGTTAGTTACCTTGAGGGTTTTTTTTTGGACGCGGAGTCAGGTTGCCCGGTGCACATTGGCACTAATTCCTCCCTACTCTCTATACCATTATTCGATGATTGCTAGTCTCCTCCTGTTCTCCTGTCCATTGTCAATCCATCCAATTTTCAGCCCTCCCCCCCTCCCCTCCTTCCCTCTTCTACAATTGGACTCCCCCTATCGAATTGATTCTGTAGTGTTCTCGAAATGATTCCTTTTCTACATTAGACGGACGAATTGTGATATATCGCCGGCTTCCCTTCCACCCCCCCCCCCACTCTCCTCCGCCTGTTACTTTTGTTTGTTAAACCCCCAACTCCCATTATCTTTCTTTGATCTCCGATGTCTTTTTTTTTTTTACACATTTCCTTATCTCATTCCGAATAGACGTCTTGGGTTCAAAGAATGGTTCGACAACTCTCCTTCCATTATTAAATACTTTTTTTTTCAGTAACTCTCGTATCACATACCCAACCCCCCCCTTCCTCCTCCCTCTCTCTGTCGTTGACGAAGTCGGAATCCATTTGTGCCCGATTTTTTTTTCTTTCTTTCTCCTTTCTTCTTCTCATTCTCATAGAGTCATTCCCCTCCTACACGTACGTTAGCTGCTGGCCCTTTTATTCGTCGTTATGATTCTCTTTTTTACTTTTGTGATTATTGTTGGCGCCCGCCTTGCGTGAATCATTCGACAGTGGCAAGTAGAGACCGACTTAAAGTTTGAAGAGGTAAAACTGACCGGAGACCTCCCTCGATCTCCGCTTGTGTACCCGAATCCCCTTAGTCATTCTATGCTCTGTTTAAACTCAATATGAATGATGATCGTTGGATCGAATGAACACGCAATTCACAGAAAATATAATAATAGTATGTATACCCGAGGAATCCTGCCATTATGCGTCCGTACGTACGTACGTACGAAAAATGTATCGAAACTGAAATCGGAAAAAAAAAAAATGGAACATGAACACAGACAAATAAACTAATGCAATGTTGATGAGTGAAAGCAGAGAGCGGAACGGAGGCTGCAATCGAGGATGTGGTGTGGTGTGGTGTGTGGGGGAGCGATATGGATATTAGTTAGAGGGGGGGAGAAGGCATGTATGGTCCATACAAAGTAACACATATTGCGAAGAAGGGACGGAAGGAACTTGTTTTCGATCGAGGGGGGTTGCGTACAGGTACATTGGTCATGCGGCGATAGGTTTCGGTGCGGGTGTAAGATCGGGCTGAGCTAGCGATGAAGGCGGCGTCGTCCGTCTACCGCTACTGCTAGGAGGCACCACTGTTGGTTCGTTCTTAAGAGCTGGATCGATATCGATATCGGTATCTGCAGCCGGGACGGGAACGAGAACGGGTAGTACAGGTACCGATTTTTCTCGTTTCTTCTCGTTCGTCCCTGCTTTGTTGGAAGATGATTCTCGTTGTGTGAGGCGTTCTTTCTTATCCGGTTGTTCAGGTGGTTCGGTTGGAGAAGGTTCAACGTCTGTCTCGTCCTTGACGTGTGTACTAACCGGACCCTCAGTAGGCGATGGTGTTCCGTCGTTCCCAGGGCCATCGGTCCCGTTTGAAGTCCCCGGCTCCGACGTAGCATTGTTGGGGCCACTACCCATCGGTGCCGCAGTAGCGCTTTGACTTTTAGCTCGACTGTTATTCCCAGAACGATTGTTATTTTTAGTTCGCCGACCACCCCCTGAACCGCTGCGCCCGTTTCCACTTTTACTTGAGTTTGCGGCTGTGGCACTGGTCGTGGCATTGGAGTTTGTTGTGTGCCCACCACTACGCCGTTGCGATTTATTTGACGCTTGCGCACCTCTCTTGGCGAGACATTCGTCGCAGAACCATTCCCCTTTGGGAGCGACGGTAAGGCCAATGCACGGGAGATGAAACTTGGCAAAGAGCAGATCAATACCACAAAGAAAACGTCACGAAGGTAAAGGAACACACTCACCCATTCTCGTGTGCAGTCCGGGCCATCGCATCCAACCATCTCTCCAAACGAGACACGATCGCAGTAACAATATTTTGTTTCGTCCAAATCACCATCGCCATCTCCACCTTCGTCCATTCCATCCTCTCCAATTCCATAGCCGTCCCCGTGCCCATCAAAATTGACATCGTAACCGTTAATCTCCAAGTCATAATCCTCGGCGGCTACGGCAGCAGCAACGGTTGCACGACCCCTGTTTGCAGCAGCTCTTGAACTAGGCTGGTGAGAATTTAGAGTACTGGGACCTGATGTGGAAGCGAGTAAGTTGTGAGATCCTGGAGCTTGATAATCTGGGTCCGCGCGGGTACCGTTACCATTTCCATGCTGACGCTCGTTGGCGTGCGGTGAACGCCGCGAAGATCCAGCACCTGTTGTGGCGTAATCATCATCTTCAAAGGCGCGACTCCCTCCTCCACGAGAGGCAACAGTATCTAAAAGGCCCCGCATACGGCCGGGGTCGCCGTTTGTACGCGAGCGTGGGTTGTTGGCTTTTGGGGGTGGTTGCGCAACTTTTCCATTTGCAGTTCGCGATCCCGATCGGTTTGCGCCATACCCATTAACAGTGTCATATGCAGATATGGAGTCAGTATCGCCACTATACAGCACCGATCGTTCAGCAAAATAGTGATGAGGCGCATGCCGAGACTTACCCGGCTCTGGGCTTCCCACGGCTAAGCGCAGATGGTGCGGACGGTTTGTTGGCGTCTTTACCCTTAGAGACATTCCTGCCGTTGCTTGACCCAGCAGCACCACGAATACTTGATGCGTCATCATCGAGCCGACGTTTCTTTGGGCTTATTGAAGGGTACAGATCACGTGCAGTGTTATGGAGAACTGAGGTGCCAGGGTTGCGCTTGCGTCGGCCAAACTCGCCAGTGACGGGGAGTAACGAGGAGGGTGCAACGTGAGGATACGTCGTGTTGTGAACGTTCAGAGTTTCGGAGAAGTGAGGGATGACTGCAGCAATCTGTGCAAGGGTTCTATTGACCAGTGTGCGGGTGTGGAGAAGCTGGTTGAGCGGTGGAGAGCGTCAGTGACAATAGAAAAAGGGAGAATGGCATGTGCAAATGATGTTGACGCACTTCCTCGCAAGCCTTTCCAGCAACTCTAATCTTGTCTTCCGAACCCATCTTGAGCCGTTGCGCATCGTCAGCGATCTCAAGTATGAGCACGAGGCGCTCAGCAGGCGTAGCCGTCTCGCTTTCCAACAAGCGAGTGAGGGCAATGATTTTCCGAGTGATAGCCTCAATCGACGCTGGATTTGTGGAGGACAGTGAGCACGAAGGAGCGGGAGGGGGAATGGGAGGGTCAACGGGATAGAGAACCTACAACGAAGAACAGCGTCAAGCTCCCGCAAATCGGAGAAACCGCGAGTAAGCTCGTTTGGGAGTGAGCTTAAGGTATCTGTGTACTCCGCCAACAAAATCATCGTCGACGGCGACGGCGACTCGAGAGGGGACATGATTTGAAGTTGAGGTAGGCAGCCTGTCCTCATGGTCACGTGTGCATCGACAATTGAAAACAAAGACCGATTTCCCCTCTTGTCGAATTCCGTCTCTTGGCCATGGGGGAATCGCCAAGATGTTTTGAGGTGATAATAGCACCCAAGCGAAACTACAGAGTGCCCCTTTGCAGCGGTATTATCCCCTCTTGGTCTCCTAATAACTCGTCTGCAATACCGTACACAGGCCACAATTGAGAAATGCGCGTCATCCTCCCCTGGCGCTTAGTCTACCGGGTTCTGCATCCAGAGCCATTCCGAAGCTTTACAAGGTGAGAGCGCTTATCACCCCAGCCTTCTGCCTCTTCCCAAGTCCCATTTCCGGACGGTGAAACTTTTATGTTACCGAAGCGAACACATCACCGCACCGCCGCCATTAGTCATTATGGTACGTGCTGAATTGCTTACATCCTCCAACACTATCGTCCAGTTCCCCGGTCGCAGACATACTCAGATCTGCCCCGACCGCCCGAGATATCAATTTCTCTGTCTTTCGTTTGCCGGCCTCCTATTCCTCTGGTCAATCACCCTCCACTCCAAATTTCATCGACGTTTCATTATACACCACTTGCATCCACACTCACGAATTCTGCACGTGGCATCATTGTCCCAATCCTTAAGTCCTCGTGTAGGGCTTGTGAAGCTGCGTCTCAGTAAATGTTAGATCAGACCTGTATTGAACCGCCCTACTAGCTATAATAAGTACTTCGAACAACCTACCCATTCCGGGAGAAATCGCTGATGACCGGGAATTGGCCTCAACCTCGTGTGAGGTAGTGATCTGTCCAAGTTCCTTGCTTCCGCATTCACAAGAACCAATGCCAATATGCCGGCACAACGAACGCACTGCACGGGCTTCTTCCCATGCGACCCATTCATAACTCTCGATGTACCCACATTCTTTCCTGAAGTCTGTGGCTACAAAACCTCCTACGCAACTCAATTCCACGCAGACATTCAAGCGCTAATGAATGGTCGTACACAGCCGGTCTAGAGGCCCCAGGATGCCTGCCAACGGCGTAGCTAAACAGAGGATGCTTGTACGAAAATCTAAAATGAGATATTGTTTGCTCGAGGATCCAGCCTCCCGGGAGGCGCATAAAGCTGCTAAAATCCTCGGTGAGCTTATTTTTCCCTACGGTTATATTTTTGAAAGCCCCAGTTTGGTATGCTGATCAAGATGTCCATTTCAATTTCTCATCATGAACACGAATACCCTGTAACCCACTAACAGCCCTGACCGCACATTGCACCACGCGGACGGGATGCGTGGACCTTGAGCCCGAGAATTTATACCCCAATTTTGCGGTATAAGTAGGCGATCTTAATTATCCTGACAATGCACTAGATTCTATACCCAAAGCCATCTTGCAGCAGGCGAGGGGTAAGGTTCTTCTAGAAGCGTCCTCCCCAAATTCTCTAAGGTGCTAGACGCACTAGAGAGGGTGTGAGTGAGTGGAATCCAACAGTAGAATAAGGCAACTGTCTAGCCACAACGAGTGGTAGTAGATTAGTTGAGCCGGACTTGCGGAATCCGGAGAACCACACGGAGTTTAAGGATCGAGAGCGTCACCGTTCAACGCTTGGCAGCTTATCCTGTTGCGCCCCGTAGCGCACAGGCCACGCCAAGGCTCGCCATTTTCCAGGTCCCCGAAACAGGTTCCCCGCACCCTCGTGCAGCGCCACGTGGATGGAATCTTCGAATCGGGGCGGATGTCACCGGTTCGTTGTACTCAATTTGGAAGATGCGAAGGCGTTCTTCATGGGTGGGGACGTCATTGAGGGCGGTAGTCTTGATGTAACATTGGGAAGGTGGAGCGATTCAGGCGTGGTTTGTCCCTGCATCAGTCCCTATCTAGGGAAACTCCCGGCACCACCATTCATCCTCAGGCCTCTATGTCGTTATATCTTGATTTGCTCTTGTTTTTCCCACCGTGACTCGCCAGTCCCTTTCTTGTTGTGCTTTTTAGTTTAGACTCCACACAGAATGATTGATTGATGGACCAGCATTCACTTCAGCTGTCAATGCCCTTGTAACAACAATTATCCTTTCTACTCGTCGACTTCGTATGACATAAGTCTTCCAAACCAGTAGTCCTTTTGACACCTAATGCCTACGGGATCCTGGGCTGTGTTGGGGGAATGTACACAAGCATGGGAACATATAGAAGGTCCATCCGGTGAACGTCACACAGTAATATGTTGGGATTTTTCTTTGCTTCACACTCCAGACTCCTCCCCAATTAATTGAGTCCTTAATACCTGCCGCTTTGGGTTCCTTACAATATTGATCTTTCTTGATCATGATTCTCCAGCTCGCTTTACTTGCAAGTGGAACCGCATTTTTTTCTTTTCTTCCTCTCCCTCAATATATCCGCGCAGATGAATCCCATGAAGCCCTCACATTATGGCTATGAATTACGCGTTCTCTGGCTGGTCACAACGAACGTCATCCACATGCAGATGTGGCTTAGATGGTAGTGGGTAGCTAAGCAACAATTCGAACCTCTCGTACTCGAGGTTTGTTCAAACTGCTCGCATTTTGACACGATCGCCAAACATTCAGCAAGACAATATCTTTTGGCTTGGTTCTCTGCAAACTGGACTCAGTGATGAAGTTCTTATGCACTCCAAAACCACCCAAAGATACTCCATCCCAAACGGCGTTCTTGGAAAAGTTCCGGTGCTTAAGAGAGGTGCCATTCAAACTACCATATTCGTCAAGAACTTTTCGGTTCCGTCTTCATTCCGTTTCTTCGCTACGGCATACGCCACAAGCAAGTCCCATGCCCAGACGGGGCAGCTTAGAGACAAGCGAGTCATGAACAGCTTGTATATGGTTGACCCATGTCAAATAAGTCCATGTTCTTTGACCGCCCAAGACTTAGTTGGTATGTTGTGCAACTTCCTGAGCCATAGAGCAGATATCTGGACATTCTGATGGAGGTATATTATTGCCATATTTTCACGAGTGCGACTCGGACGGGGCCAATCCCTCCATATCCCCATCAATCCAAGTAGCTTAGAAATCCCAATTTTGGGTATCTAGTCCGAAGTGACCGACCAGTATGGAGTTGAGTGCCCATTCAGAAGGCAGAGCTGCGTTCAGCTGGGAAGAATTCCTGCAGCAAGGAAAGTCCTAAGTTTCAAAAGAACGTATGACCATCGCCCCGGGAAGGATGCTCCGAGGCCCTCTACAAATGAGAATCCACCAGCGGGTTCTCTAGTTTGATAGCCGGGATTTTCCCCCATGGCAGAGTCCTCGGGCTATCGGCGATACCACCGTTTGATCTCAAATGGCTACGGCGGCTGAAAAACAAAGAAAGGGCAAGCGAGTGATGGATCTGCCATTGATTGTAACGCTATAAACAAGAAAGTCCCATATTCTGTAACCAGGGAGAGTAACCGTTTCGGTGTCTTCTGAGAAAGGTTTCCTTGCCTTGATCCCTTGGTTCATTGGGGTGTCCGACTTGCCATTAGAAGGCGGACTTGGCTTTGCCTCGCCGGAATACTCCATACGTGTGGATCGTATTGGAACAATGAGTCATTCAAATAAAGGCAACAAAATCATCGTTCGTTGGCCTTGAATCCTTCGAAAGGAGTGGAGCATCAACGGAAGAAAAAAGGGCGTCGAGAAGCCATGGCAGTACCCCAAGTCCCCAGGCTCTGATCCGTATAAGGGGACAATTTGTCCAAGGAATTGGTTAATACTGGCCTATCTAACTCGCTGCCCTTGGCACGGACAGCATCAGCTAGCGCTTGCCAGCACTTGGCGAATATCGGGACGTGCCGAAAAGCTCGGTGATGTGTGTACTTATGTAAGTAAGCGGCTCTGCAGCCTAATGTGATCCTTGCGAGTTTCTAAGGAACCCGATCTACATATTAGAAAACTAAATTGGGGGCATCTACCTGACCAGAGGTCAATGGAAGAGAGACGGCGCTTAAGCTCCGATCGTAACTGTTTATAGAGATTATAGTGGGTGTGTTGAGGTGGCGAACGATGGTGGGGGTTCCCAATTTAGGAATTCGAGCTGCAACAGAGTCCTGGCAACAACTATCGACACCTCCAGGACCGTATCGCCTTTATAACGGCCTTCCCTGCAAGGAGTTCTGGACATATTTTTCTCATGTGCGGCCTTTGTCGCTTCGCCGAGTCTCTAACTGCAAATCAAACCCTACCTCCCAGTCCGTTTTAATTCCCATCACGATGTTAAACGGAACAGTAATTGGCGGGTATTTAAGGCTTGTTCCAGCTGGGATGTTGGAGCAAGTGGTTCTCCGCCTACATTGGTCGCCCGAAACATTCAGCAAGAAGCGTTTGATACGCCTTCTCGACGCGTCGGCTCTTTTCTAACTTTAGTGCGTACACTTCCATTCGGCATTGGGAGCGTCATTGATGAGTTTTTCTCCAGTTCGCTTCAAAGCTGGACTTTTATCATCTTATTCTGATCTTCCATACTATTCCGACGCTCGATATCAACTTCAGAAATGGGCAGCTATATGCAGTCCGGGGATGCTTCAAAACGGAAGAGATATCCGGAGCCGGCATCTCGACCAGATGAGATGGTCCCCATGCCTCCCCGAAGGGATGCATTGGACCTCTACGTCGCAGCTCACCTCGCTATGTTACATAGGGGTACTGCCCTATCCTCAGAGTGGACACGGCACGACGCAGCCATATGGGATCGCTGCAAGGCTACGTGGCGGTCTGTTTCGCCATCCGATAAACACCTGATAGACGACATTGTGATGCGCGAACAACATTTTTATGAGATATATTGGGCACATGCGGCGCCCATGGGGGGAATGGTGCACAGATCCACCGTCAGAGGGTGGGAAAAGCACACAGAAATGTTTACGGAGCAACTGCTGGGGAAAATTAGAATTGATTGTTCAGTCCTACTCCCTGGACAAGCACCTTCTATCACTGCGAACATTCAAGCGGGAAGCTCGATATCTCACTTGGGCGGCACTATGCAGCACTCGTCCAGGCCCAACGGCCATCTGCACAGCTCGTACTTTGATCCATCCTATTCAATGCTCCCTAACCCAACTCCTCAAAGAACAGTGCACCATGACTTGCTTGGACTCCCCGGCCAAACCATTTCTCCTCTCGCTGGCAATTTTTATCCGGGTAGCCCTTCCCAATACAATGCACTTCTGCGGGGCAATGGGATGTCCATCCCTCTACCGCAAGCTAACACTGTTCCCTCTTCGTTAACTCCCGTCAGGTCTCCACGTCCTGCCCCACAAACTCGCCTCAACGAAGACGCCCCTCGCGAACCGATCCTCAGGCTGAGAGTGTGTCCACTTTGACTCGCAAGCGCTCGACGAGAGGCAGTCGGGACAGGTTTCGGAGCATGAATGCTGAGTTGATGGAGGCAAAGCTGGCGAATCAAGCTAGGAAGAGCAAGCGGTCCAAGCCGGACGCATCTCATGCTTCTCCTGCCGGATCGACAAGCCATGCTTCGATGGGCGGACTCAAAGACAAGCTCAAAAAAGTGTTCTCATGAGCGTCTTGGAGTGTGCTGAATTGACCTTTTGGTCCCCCGCGTCTTGCGCGCTTTATAATCTTCCGTGCTTCCTACAATGCTTTGCCCACGTTTGGAAAAATTTTGCGACCCCGCTTTACGAGATGATACGCTCTGTGATGACCTGTACGTACATTGCCAATGCCATTCCCCAACCCGAATCCATTAGACCCAACTCCGATGCCTGGGCGAAATCATACCCACATGATCAGGGATCTTCTTGGGTTCAGGGTGTACTGGAGACGTGGCTGTGACAAGCAGATGTAGCCATAACCTATAGACCAGCGGATTCGGAACTGAAGCAATGCACTAGAGAGAATCGTTGAATGGGGACCCATAGATCACATCACATAACATAGCAGGTAAAACTCAGATGGGGTCTTTGCAGGTGTAATCGCCAGGTTGACAAAGATCTACGGTGTGGAACAGCGTGGCCTGGTCCCGCCCTGCTTCAGAGGTATCGAAGGTGGTTGTTCCATAAGGATAGACTTGCCAGGGGGAACTGCTGAAAGACCCCAGGAGCCTTGGTGAATTCTGACAGCCTGGTCCTCGCGAATGCACAGTTAGCGATGCATTATGGCACATTCCTTCAATTATGCGCTATCAGGCGATATCCGTCGGTATTTTCGTGGGCAGATGCAAAATTCAGACACTAGTGCAGCCAAGGGAATTAACTCGTGTGAAATCCAAGAGATGGGGGAAAGACCAGAGTGGCAAACAGTGTAGGAACACCATGAGAGATGGATGTAGAAGTACTGATGACATCTCATACAGTGGACAAAGCCCACTGACTAACGGATTTTTCTGTACTACAGCGAAGAGATTTCTTGTCTCTTCGTAGTAACCATCGCATCTCGTTTCATGCCTCCCTCGGCGACGTTCGGGTTTGGATCGGGTAATCATCGATTCGTATTCGGCAATGCCCCGAAAACGTTCGCAGCCCAGCTCAAAGATTAAAACTGCCGTCGGCGGGTCCGTAAGGCCCAAAGATGGCACCCGGACTCAACCCAAGAAATCTAGTCCATCTTCGCTCACTGTTGCTGTGTTGGCCGCCATAATTGCGGTAGGCGCTGCGTTGATATATGCAGCCCGGGTAGGTTGTCCGCAGTGTATTTTACGCTGGAGGTCTGACATACAAGTCCAACGTCTAGAAAAATATAACTGGCCAGCCTGCAGAGCGGGAAATATTTGACAACCACGGAGACCCAGACTTGCTCATACCAGCACCCGCGCAGATCCAGCTGACTGCGGATGTGAGCAGGCGAGAAGCAATCAAAGATGCCATGAAGTATGCCTGGGGAGAATACGGTGAGTTAAGCTCCGCTGACGATACACTTCTGTTCAAAGTACTGAGAAACATTCGGCAGAGAAGTATGCATTGGGGGATGATAACTACCATCCTATAAGCAAGCATGGCTCAAACTTGACCTCAGCAGGCGGTATTGGATATACGATGGTCGACGCTTTGGATTCTCTTATGATAATGGGGTTGGACGATGAAGTAGCTCGGGTTAGGGATTGGATCCAAAAGGACTTATCATTTGACCGGGACGCTAGTTTCAATACTTTCGAGGTCTGTGTATTACTTTTCGGATCCAGCTCGTTTTCATTATTCGACCAGGTAACCATTAGGGTCCTAGGAGGACTTCTCTCAGCATACTATATCTCTTCGATAGTCCCGAGTTCTTCCTCTGCTGGGGAATTCGACGATCTTTATCTTCAGAAAGCAGTCGATCTTGGAGACCGGTTGTTGGGTGCTTTTAAGTCGCCCATAAATCTTCCGTATCCTTCCATCAACCTTGCAACGTATGAAGGGATCCCAGACAAAGACAATGGTATACTTGTCTCCACCGCAGAGATAGCAACTTTGCAAGTGGAGTTGAAATACCTGAGCCACCTGACGGGCGACGACAAATACTGGCATGCCGCAGAGCATGTTATGAAAGTCATCAAAAATTCCTCAGAACAACTCGAGAGTGGCCTAGTGTCTGTATTTTTGAGGTGTGTAACAGTTTCACCCCTCATGACGGGTTCCGACTCTAACCCAAGGCCAAAAGGTCTGATAATGGGCAGTTTATTCCATCAGATATTCGCCTTGGTTCTCGTGGCGACTCTTACTACGAGTACCTACTGTACGTACCAATTGCTTATGAATGTTTACATCGCTGATAATGGCTTGATATAGGAAGCAATATTTGCAAACGGTATGACCAACAGTCCACGAAAGCAATATGTTTTTAATTCTATTTCTCAGTCCGAACCAGTGTATCGTCAGGTGCGTGTTTTGACATTTGGGGCTGGAGTTAACGTAACGGGCGAACTTCCGTAGATGTATGACAAGGCTGTAGAGAGCATGAACAAGTACCTTATTACCCAGTCCCCCACGGACAAGATCATGCATACAACTGAAATAATACCTCAACGAGGTGGACGTGATGGCCGTTCGTTGTGCGTTGTTGGACTAAATTCACCCATTGCTGACCCGAACCACCACACAGGACATGGCGTCAGATTCCGAAGGTATGACATGTGCCCCAGTCGAACCCTAAATTCGTTCTAAGATGCGCCATCGAACAGCAAGATCACCTTGTCTGCTTCATTGGCGGTCTCTTCCTCCTCGGAGCAACAGAAGGAAAAGGACCTGTTCCGCCAGATGTCATGTCGTTTAGCGAAAGTGAGCTTCGAGATTGGAAGAATGGCGTAGGCATGATAAAAGGATGCATGGAAACACACCAAACCTTGACGTAAGGAAACCAGCCCACCCTCCATGCTGCCTCTTGACCCTAACACCCCATTTCCCCTCAGTGGATTGTCTCCTGAGATAGCGCACTTCCGTACGGACAACGACCCTAAGGTAGTTCAAAATGACGCCGCACCTCGTGATTGGTACATCAAAGGGGCCGGGTCCGTGTGGTTGCTTGGGTACCCTTTTTCTCCTTGGACTAAATTCTCGACTTTAGGAGCCACGATTCCTACGATGCTCGCTACATGCTCAGGTGTGTAACTTCCATTACTCGCTTCTGTGATGAGCACTGAAATTCGGTTGATCCAAGGCCGGAAACAGTCGAGTCCCTCTTCATTGCTCATCGCCTGACTGGTCATCCGAAATATCGCGAATGGGGCTGGGAGATATTTCAAGGTGAGAATTATGACTACATACTCGAGTTTAGACCGCTCAGCTTATCGTCCTGCGGACAGCAATCGAGAAACACGCCAAGCTACCTGAAGGTGGCTACGCAACGGTGCTGAATGTCGATCGACTGCCGGTTAAACATGACGATCGGATGGAAACATTCTTCTTAGTACGTTTCCACATCTTTGCTACAATCGATGCTCACTCCACTGAATGACCTAGAGCGAAACACTGAAATATTTGTATCTGCTTTTCGATGATCATGAACGATTCTCACCACGAGGTAAGTACTCTTTACTTGCAACAAGTTTCTTCAAGAGGCTTAACTATCGCATTTGTAAGACGTGGTGTTCAACACCGAGGTATTGGTCTTTTCAATTTTCTGTACCTCCCCCTAATTTAGTCCTTAACAGGCACACATTTTTCCAAAATTCGATTCAACAATCGAAACAGGCTTTGATTAGCAAGGAGTATTTCACAAAATTTAACCGTATCTTGTTCATGTGTCTACACTATATCAATGGATGTATGCCCCATATACTGCTGCAGGTTAGCATGGATCTCGCGTGATACCGCAGTCCTTTGCTGAGGCAAGATGACTTTGTCAGACAACATCCTCCTTGAGGACTAAAACGTTGCTGACGGATGACATTTAAAGTAATATGCGCCACACCTTTAGGTGGTGAGTCGTACCCATCCAAAGCTTGATACGAGTTTTGGGTGGCGACAAGTGGCGGAGGGGAGTGAAGAAAACAAGCTGTATGCAGGACCAGTGGTGAACGAATGGATGCGTGGGGGTCCTAAACCAAGGCGCAGAATGTGAAACAAGACGACGCGGAACGGACCATATCAAGGCATCAGGCAGCGGGCTAACTGTGGTTCTGACTCGAGAAAGTAATGGTACCAGTTCCAGGATGAGGTGGGGGTTGATGATGATAAAAGTCTTGCTCCTCCTGCAAGCCCGAATCGTAACTACCATAGTTAGCGGAAGATGCACCGGATTGGTTTGGAGGTGGAGCAGAAGATGCGCCCTTTTGTACGCGTGGACGTTTCGAAGCCCGTTTAGGCCTTTCTTCTTCCACCTTCCTTATCTCTCCCCCTTCCTCATCTCTACGCCGCAGCCGTTCGTTCGCAAATCGAGATGTTTTGCGTGGATCTTCATCTGTGTCATCCTCCTCCAACACTTTGGCTAGGCTGGTGAGATCAGGAGGAGTAGAACCATTGATGTACAATGGGCGTGCATATTGAAACCCTCGAGGGAAGGCGCTAGAAGACATTGGAGCACCACCGTTCATTTGCGAGACTAAGGCCTCAAGTTCTGCGATTCGATCAAGTAAAGCGCTGCCAAAAGGAATGAGATAAAAATAGCAACAGAACAAGAAATCCGTTACGTTCTCTCATCCTTCAGGCGGGCGCTCTGCTGCTGCGACATGTCCAATTGGATCGATGTTTCCTTCCATTTCTGCCAAAAAAAACTTATTAAGAAACACAAGAGTGGGCGTGGGCATGAATAAGATGCCCACTATCTCCATCTCCATGTATCTAGCTTTCAGTTTGCGATACTTTATGAGGTTTTCCTGATGTGCTTGCTCTAGCGTTTTATCTGGACCAGGAAGGGAGCCGCCATATGCTGCGAAATCCATGGGAGGGGCTAGAGTCTGATGGAGAGGAGGATGTGAGGAAAGAACTGTCCCAGGATAGTTCATGTTGTGAAACGGGCTCAGTTCCCAGTTCAAATGTTTGAATGGAAAGGACTTTCGTCAAACCTGGACAACACCACGGACGTCCCCGTGGGATCGGTGGTTCTGTCTCTATCCAGCCAAGAACCCTTCGAAAGTAATCATAGACGACGGGATCCGTGGCTTGCTGTAAAACATCACACCATCATTTCAGGGCCATACAACGGCATGTTGTGTCTGGCGATACCCCAGTAGTGAACGTGGTGTGCGGCGTACAATTAAACTGGTGCGGATTATGAACAACAAGGCATGCAGTCATTAATAAAAGAAAACTCATAAAATTATCAGCCATGTGCAGTCAATGCATCGAAAGCAGGGAAAAAGTGTGAACTCAGGCAATGTATACCGCTCAAGAAATGGCAGGAAAACAGGGTATAAGTCGATCAGCTGAACAGTCCTGTGAGCGTTCTTCTTCGTTCTCTGTCTCGTCCTGTGGTGACAGGAGTATTGGGGGACTGTCTAGGTCTTAATCCTCTCATGTCTACACGAGTTGTTGTTGTATTTATGGGCGTCGAAGATGGGTCTTCGTCCATATCAGATGTTATTGAAATCGTCCTCTTTCTTTGTGCTCGCTCCTGGTGGACGTAGTGTGGATGAGTGTTGTAGTCATCATCGGACGACGTTGCTGGGGCCTTGCTCAAAGATCCAGAGCGAAGGTCGAACTCTTCGGGCGAGTTGATAGCGGGAGTTATAGTCACCTGCGCTGGCAAGGCAGTTGAGACACTCGGAAGAATCGAGCTGCCCCGAACGGTGGCATTGGACGTAGTGGACGTCTTGTTCTTTCGCAGTCTGTTACGTTCAGGTGATCGATTTTGCGATGATTCAGAGGGAAGGGTTGACCTTTCATAATCCAAGCTGGACCGTCCTGGCATTCGTTCGGGATCCACGTGTCTGGCAGGTGTCGGCGACTCATAAGTGCTCGACTCCATGGATAATGTGGGATTTCCGATGGACGGCGATTGAATGCCCTTTCGAGAAGTAAAGAATCTCCTTGATGTTGACGAGAAAGCGGAGAAAACGCCCGATTTTCGTGAGTGGCTAGGGTCAGGACTGGCCGTTCCAGGTCTTTGAACGGGAGATCCAGCTCTGGTGCGACTCATGGAGGTGGAAGATCTTGGATATGATTCCATTCCCAATTCCAGTCTCCTTGCTGGGCTTTCCAAGCTCCGTCGACCGGAGTCAGAACCACGGCCACCTGCATTCCTTCGACCCCATTCGTCCACGGCATCTCGACTATCCGCATCCGGAAGGCGTCGCACGCCTTCCAAACTCAGCCGAGAGGAGCGGCCAGCGTCCTCGTTGGATCCCACAGAGCCTGTTCGAGTGTGGGTTGAAATATTGTCCCGCAAAATCTTGCCGAACGACAGGAAGAACACGGTGAGAGATCTAATAAGTTCATCACTCATTCGGAGATTTTCTCTGAACTCGGCTCCTACGCTCTTCCACAGTTCAGCAGCTAACAGCTCGCCATCAACTGTAGTCCTTCCACCTCAGCTTCAACATGCTGCTCAATCGCGCTGTTGGTCGCATCTCGAAGCTTGGCATTGAGGGCTCGAGTGGCATCCACCAGGGTTTGTGCAGATCTCAAACAATCTGAAGCTTGGGCGGAGGATGACGATGGGAGCCGTGACATGTGGCCTTCCAGCATGGAAAGCGCATCAATCAGGATGTCCGGATGGTCCATTATGCGAGCCGGGGATGGGCTCGGGGGTGCAAGAGTGCGGGAGAGAATGGGGTTCGAGAAGGGGTTGGCGACATGAGATCTCGCCCATTTACGTGTTTTGATGGCGAACCACGAGCTGGTGACCCACGTTGTAGAGGAGCTGTACGATTATTGCCATCACGGGTGTAGAATCCAGCGGAAGTCGATGGACGGGAAAATTGAAATGGAGTACGTGATGTGACTTCAAGTGCTTTACCAGCGCCAGAGCTTGAAGGCCGAGAAGTTGAGCCTGGTTCTAAGGTGCTTCTTCTCGTTCGCTCTTGGCCGCGTCCTTCTTCGACATTGGGCGATCTATACGCTTCCCTTAGTGTAGCGGCGCCAGGTATTCCATTTGGCATACTAGCCCTCGTAGCCTTGCGAGGTGAAAATGGCGGTACTTCCGCCTTTTCCTTCCGGGGGCTAAGACCAGCGGACTTCAGAGTCTCACCGATTAGACTCCGACCAGAAGATGGTATGATTGCACTTTCCGCGCTACCTCCTCTCCGCTGATATCGCGAAGACATATCTGTGCTGCTGCTGGCATCGCTGCCGTAACGGCCATGGGTCCTTGCGTTTCGAGTGCCGGGTTCCCGTACTGTTGAAAACCTTCGAGTGTTGCGATCCGTCCTACTTGTCACTGGAGACGGATCACGAAAGAAATTGGTGGGGGAATCAGGTTTGGTATGTGGAAGGAGGGTTAGATCTTCTATCTAATTTGGAAATTTCCGGTGAAACTGATCGTGATGCTGAGCCAAAGCTCTAAAACTCCATGTCAATTAACGTCCCACCCAAAGCTTATGGATTCAACGCACCGTCTCAGCGTGGCTATGTGAACTATCCCGGAACGACGACGGTAATGGCGCTCGCCGAGAATTTCGCTTGTTGCGGGATGTGTTGAAGCTTGAAGTAACCTGACTCTCCTCTCCCTCTGCCTCAGTATCCCGAGGTAAGGGTTTGCTATTGGAAGAGTGCTCATGATGAAGATCCAATGATCGTCGTATCGTTGAAGAATGAGTTTCTGAAGATGATGGATCAGAATCCGCATGCCTCCTGACACTCTCCTTCCCTTCAGACAAACGAGATGGACCGGTTGTAGGGGTGATTGAGTGGTCATCGGACGACATCCGTTCCTTTTCTGTATCAGACCCAGAGACCAACTCCTTGTCAGAGCGAGAGTGGCTAAGGGACAGTCGAGAGGGTGAAGGGGAGACCCCACCCTCGCGTGAGGTGTGAGTGGTTGGTGCTGAGAGTTCTTGAGTCAATGGTTTGTGATGTCGAGAAATCGATGCGAGCCTTGTCGTTCGTGAGCCTGTCGTTATTGCTGCAAGTTTGTCCAATACTCTCCGGTTCCGGTCCGCTAGCGTTCGAGCCCGCGAGAGAGCCCCGCTGCTGTTCCCAGAGGATCGGGAGATAGCGCTTCCGGACGACCCAGTCCCTGTAGACCGCCTGTCGTCTGACATGCGAGCAGTATGGTCTTCATCATATTCGTTTGGCAGGTCATGTACTTCGTCAAGCTCATCTTCGTCGTCATAATAGGTAGATCGAGAGGCGGGGCGTTTGCCCCTTTCATCACGATGGCTCATATTTGGTGAAATCCTGCCAGTTGGAGAAAGCCCCTTTCGGCCCACAGTCCCACTGTCACCAGTGCTTCCGCCGTCGTTCGAGTTTGTGTGCGGTGGCGAGGGAAGTTGAAGTGTCCGCTCGGTTGAAGTAGGCTCCTTATTCACATCTATTTTCCCCACAAAAATAGCAGAAAGGGGTCGGGAGCTTGAGTTTAACCGGGTAGCAGGCCTAGGAGTGGACATAGGGCCTGCTTGACCCAGGGTTCAGAGAGAAGAGCCAACGCGAAACCTAGGGCGAATCTGAATCCGGTAACTGAGCCCTCGGCATCAATAGAAGCAAACACGCCTTATGTACGAAATCTTAATCTCTGAGCTGATCTCACAGGTTTCGCATTCCAATACGTTTCAGACTCATGTCTTCAGCTCCTCATGTCTCACTTTGGACTAGTTGGACTTGAGAGTCGCACCCCGACTAAGTCATGCACTCAACGTAGGGTTTTGCAATGTTGAGGTCGACTCCAAGCTGCAAGCCCAGGGCGTCGAAGTGAGGGATGGGGATACTCCGTTAGAGATCCAATGGACCAGAACAATGCTCAACAACTGATGTGTGGTTCGTGCGACACCCGATTAGCTGAATTCCGGGTTCTCAAGACTCCGCTAAACATTTGTTGCCTGCCTGTACCGAACGTACGCTGCGAAAACTCTACTATTTAGTATCGTCTAACTTAGCCTAGTTGAATCAATTTTTACTCAGTAAAATGTTTGAATATTTTTGCAGACAAAGGCGCAGACCAAAACAATTGTAAATACAAGCTTTGGCCTTTGCAACTTAGGCCTTTCTTCAACCACTCAAAGGCCTCATTGCCACAACCCTGGCTTGTATATATACCAATGAGATCTCATCTAATGGTTGGTATTCCTACACCCCCGTTATTGCAATCTCCTGCTATGAAGCTAGTTGAGAATCTCAGATCGTTATGCGCATCAAATGTCTTGCAACCGATGCCACTTCCAAAGGGCGTGTCGCTCTCTTCTACTGGCGCAATTTCCAGCAGACTCAAGCTGCGCACTGAGATCGACCCAAATCGTGCTCTTAGTTACATATACTCAACAGCGCATGTTTTCGACCAAAACGTAAACGAATGTACGTGCGGCGTCAAGTTTCCGCCACTGCGATCTGACATTACTGGTGGTTTTAGTCCAAGTTTACATGCCTGAAAATTTCTCAGGAACTGTCGCAGAGATGGATCCCTCCACCGTTCAACTACTGATGCTATGGGACAGGAAGCACAAGATTGAGCATGTCAGTCTGATGACGCATCCCATCTTATGCAATATGTCTTCCGTCGTCCACTCCGTGTCCGAGCAGTACAAAAAATGGGGCGTGGTTGATGCAATTCTTGAACAAGACGCAGCACAAGGCCTTGCTGTAAGTTGCTGGAGCGACGGACCGATTGAACTTGAAGTCCCGGAGCCCGTCGTATCTGATTGTCGACTTAGCTTCTTCCTTCTGGAACCTTGGTACGCCATTCCAAGTGCCCTGATAATTTTTTTTGTTGTTGAACCTGCTCAAGGGCGTTCAACGATGACGACTTCCAGCTATTCACCAAGCAGACGGTGATGAACAATGCTCCACATCGCCGCGGTTTCGTGATGAGGGATTTCAAGGATTCAGACAGGCTCTGGGGAATGGTGGGTGTCCAAACTATCACATTTCAGAGTTATTTGACCATGCTGCTCGTAATAGATCTACGATCGATGCCACCGGCTCCATTGCCGCTGGTTTGTTGTGTCTACTTACGACTCTTGGTGTTTCGGCGTCTTTTCAAGAGGTAGAGTAGCAATCTCCTGAACAAATCTGCGGTGATTAACATCGTTCAGGGTGGACATCCGCCTTCGTCAGCTCCCCGAAGTCTGGAGGAAGCCGTTCGCCCACCATCCTCCAGTGTCTCGTGTACTGGATCCTATCTTCGATGGACTGCGAAGGGAAGTGGGACATTGATGAGGTTAGTCCAAGCGCTATGGGCTCGAAGGACAAGTCCAAAGGGAAGAAACGAAGTTCTTCCCGCTCATCTGGGGATGGTGAAGATGAGAGTGGTTCGAAGCCCAAGCGCCGAAAATCTGCCACTGACTTGCCAAGCTACATCTGCACAGTTGCAGATTTCGCGTTCACAAATGCGGAAGCCGCTCGAGCAGTCTCAAATGCAAGATGACACTCGAGTCAGGACATCGCACTTTTTCATATTCACCTTCGTTCGGCTTGTCTTTCGCTTTAACTTATCCTGCTCTTTTATCCTTTGTTCTCATGTGCGTTGTTTTATTTCTTTCACGCCCATTTGGCGCTGATATAGGTTGCGAATGAAGATGAGGAGTATTTTGCCCGCATCGTTCCGCTCCGGCTGCGCTCAGGCCAAAGAGCACAAGCAAACCGTTCAAAGATCGGTCTATCTGCCTTACATACTTCACGTGCTTCCCCCGTACGACCAGGGAACCCTCTAGGGTTGGTGGCACCATCATCTGAACAACCATCTCTTCGCATTGCACCAAACCTAACAAGTCGCCTGTTGCATGATGGCATTTCCCCGTCTGACGTTTCCGGCGCCTACTTGCGTGTTCCGATGCTACTGGCCCCTTCATTGCTCGACCTCCCACCCCTCGCAATGAACGCGTCGCCCAGTGGCGGCGCACTATATCGGGCCCTGGCTCATGCGCTTCCATTGAAGAAGACGATGTTAGGAGTCAGACTAGTGGGGCTGGTCCCAGTATGACTGTCGAGGATCGACGGAGGATGCTTGTCGGAAGCACTGCATAGAAGGGGCGATTTCCGCCATCTTGCGACATATCATCCCAACGTATCATCTACGTTTGGATTACGATGTAGAATAAAATTCTTGGGAAACATTGTATTGGTGTTACGTCTCGAATACACTAGATCATGCTGCAGAACCTTGAGAACCCAGTCCCCGCTCGACACCTTCTCGTACTTTCCCGAATAAATTTCTCACTCCATCCCTTATACCCTCAACCCCATCTCGTAAACCTTCGGCTTGAACTGCAACAAGAGGCGCTCCTTCCCGTTCGGCGGTGCGGTATACCCCTGTCCCTGCTGGACCGCCTACACTCAACTGGATATTTCCGAGCTGAAGTGCAAGGCCGGGCGACGCCAAAGACGTCGAATTTGTGGGCCCTGCTGCCTGGTTTGAAGGTGTAGGACTTGGGCTGGATATAGGCATGGTTCCGATATCAATGTTTGAAGGCAGAGTGGGGATCGATGATTGGAGGAAATGAAGGAAGCTAAAACAGACGTTAAGACCAGCAAAGCTAATCGAGAACGGATGGACTAACCTCGAGGAATTGTGCACGCATGTGCCCCCCAGAAGAATTCTCATACCCGAACCGGTAGCTGCAGAGCCACCTGGCACCTGTCCAGCAGCACTGGCATCTGCGTTCAACTTTGCCACAGCCCGAGCCTCTTCATAGGTTGTCCCCCCAACGAAGAATATTATGACGTCCTGCGGCCTTGAATAATAAAGCCCCTCGCATGAGTGGCACACCGAGTGCAACGAAGTAGACCAGCAAACCTATTCAGAAGCCCCGATGGAGGGGAGGCTCCAGATGACTGAGCAGCAGACGGGCCGCTAGCTAGAGAGAAACCAGCCGGTGGATCAACAAACGGGCACTCGAAGTCTTTAAGTTTCCCTTTAACAAGCTGCTCTATCATCCGCACAAAATGAGGGGTATGTTGGGTATACACATTCTCAACCCCCTGAAGCATAGGTAAAATAAGATCAACACTGGGTGAGACGAAAGCCACTGTTTACCTGCAACCCCTTCAAGGCGCTCCGACCCCTGGCAAAAATGTTCTCATTTGAGAATAAGTCGCCTTGGCGCTTATCAGCACCAGCAACGTGGAGAAGCAAGTGCACAAGCTGCATGGACGGCAATGAGCGTATCTGAAAACACTTAAAAATTAACACTAACCTTTACTTCTTTCTCGTCAACACCCGAGCGTACAAGCAATTCGACTAGCTCCTTAACTGCGGCCACTCCTCCAGCCGAGCGCTGGTGCCTCAGAGCAAATATCATACAGACTCTGAGTTTATTGAATCCGGGTATCTTTGGATCCTCCACCAGCTTCTTCACAACACGCAAATCCGCGTTAAGACCACCACCAAGTCCAGAGCTTGTGCCAGCTGCTAAACCTTGTTCGATCTCGCTAACTTCGAGCAGCGAGTCTCTCCCTACTAAGCGACTGAGCTCGCCCACTAGGGCTACGTGCTTGCTGACATTTCCTCCTAATTTCCGGATCTCTGGATATGACTCGACGAAGCGTTTCATGTCTGCAACAGAAGAAATCTCCTGAGTCGAGGCTGAGGATGTCTTGTATGTTGTTACATATTCCTTTAACGCTTCGCCCAAGTCCCCGAAATTAGACAAAAGATGATCCCGGTAGAAGGGGTCCGTTTGCGGAGAGAGAGTGATCTCCTGTTCCAAGAAAAGTTCATCACTGGAACGTGCCTGCTGCTTGTGAAACAGAACGCACTCGCAAATCCTTTGAGATATCGGGAACTGTTGAGAGGTCTACACGACCATTAACAATGCCTAGAAGTTCATGCACCATCGCCTGATAGGTCCATTGAGATAAAAGAGGCGTAACCGGATCATTCAAGCGATCGAGTATAATAAGTAAGGGCGCTGTCGCTGTCGGGCGAAAGTCAAAAAGAGATGTGTTGTCCTCGATGAATTTCTAAATGCAGTCCTTTGAAAATAAGAAACAGCCCGATTCCTGCAAGCCTTCGAGTATACCTTGACTTCCAGCCCCAGTTTCTTCGCCAAAGGACTTATTCTTTCGTAACGTATCAATGGTTTCTTCTTAAGGCTCAGAAGAACAGCACAAATCCCCCGCACGCTCCTACCAAGGGCGTCGGCGTCCCAGTTTGACAGCGTTGAACCAAGGAGTGGAGAAGATATTGATGGGACATGGTTCAGCGAGAACATGTGGGGGAGGACAGGGGAGTAGTCGGCAAAGAACTCTTGGACTTCTCGAACGAGCTCATAGGAATCGGCGGTTGCTAGTCGCTCGATGAATGATTTGGAGAGTACGTTACTGAAGTCTTCGCTTTGCACCAAGAATGGTTTTCGTCAAGAATCCAATAGGTAACGCAACGTAAGGATCTTGAGCATTTGGATCCTAGTATAACGGGGCTATCACTTACAAAGATAGTATTCTCCATATTTTGGTTCGTTCAACTCTGCGCATAATGCCTCCAAGCTCTCCTCGCTTGGGGAGACAAAACATACACATTTCAGGTGTGGCATCCTGTCACGTCTTAAGTTGTCCACGCGGTCAGTGAGATATACCTGATGCGTAAGCAGGTCAGTTTGCGTTGCCGCCAGCGAGACAATTGGCGTTGTGTGCGTGTCCAATAACAGAACTTTGATGGCCGACGGTGTAGAAACCATCCTGGTTGTATACGTGCGAACTGCATGAAGGACGTCCATGATTTTTTCCTTATACCGTGACTAGGTAAACGCTTCGCTGTTCGGATGACGAAACACGTGGCGGCCTAACTATATTAAACTAAGCACGAGTCCCGTGATTTTTTCGTGTCACTCGACGTGTCCAGCTTAATAGCTTCTTATTCTCTGGGCATTAGGCAGGCAGCAACTGGGTCATCCTCCCCATTCCCCGGAATCTGATGGCGAAAGGACCGTTGGGTGCGTTTAAAGGCTTCGATGCCTTTGGCAAAGTGAGAATTCCACTTTGGCATCACTTAAGTGAGGGTCGAAACCAAATGACATGTACAGACTTTGGAGGACGTCAAAATCAAGACACGGACTGGTGGACTTTGTAAGTTCATGATGCTGTCCCCGCGGGAGTGGTCACAATTTTGCTGACTCTCCGTTACTTTAGTGACCATTATATCTATAACTCTTATCCTCTCTTTTACTCTTATGGAATTTATCGACTTCCGACGGGTAAACACAGATACTTCTATCATTGTTGACCGATCTAGGGGCGAGAAGCTCAGCGTGGTGTTCAACATTACTTTCCCAAAAGTGCCCTGCTATCGTCAGTGCCTTCCTTTATCTGAACGTTCGAACGTTGAATGTAGATGCTCACTCCTTCCAGTTGTAAGCGCAGATGTTACAGACATATCGGGGGATTACCAAACCAATATCATGCACAATGTCTTTAAAACAAGGCTTATGAACTCTGGTCAACCTGTTCCGGAGGCTGAAATCAGTAAAGGTAAATGCGATTCTAGAATGTTTTCCGTCTCAAGTTTTGATCCCACTTACTTGCAGAATTAAAAAGTGACCTTGACATGGCGGCTAAAACTCGTGGGCCCAATTTCTGTGGGTCTTGTTATGGTGGTGTCGAACCCGAAACTGGGTGCTGTCAGACTTGCGAGGACGTACGACAAGCATACTTGAACCGCGGATGGAGCTTCTCGAACCCTGACGCGATTGATCAGGTGTGTCAGAGTATCCAGTGCTCATTTCTAATCCGGGTTTCCAACGGTTTCAATAGTGTGTAGCAGAGCATTGGACAGAAAAAATCAAAGCTCAATCGTCGGAGGGTTGCAACGTTGCTGGGAGGATTGACCTTAACAAGGTTGTTGGCAATCTTATGTTGTGGCCCGGCAAGTCATTCCAACAATCCGGCATGGGGATGAGTGAGCTCGTTCCCTATTTGAAAGAAGGGGAACCCCACCACTGGGGCCACAGCATACTCCAATTCTACTTCCAGCATGCAGACGAGCGATGGAAGCCAAAGGAAAGGCAGTTAATGAAAGAAAAACTGGGGGTCCACCGCTATCCTCTTGAGAGGCACTATGCTCATGTGTGCACGGTCGCTCATGGACAGTTCTTCGCATGCTGACTGGTTAGGACTCAGGCTCGTAATCCTTCTTATATGTTTCAGTACTTCCTCAAGGTGGTGGGGACGCGGTATCATTTCTTGGATGGGAACCACGTCAGTCATCCTCTGCCTACGATAGGATGTTATTGATCTTTGCATAGGTCCGAAGTCATGAGTACAGTGTCACTACATATGAGAGAGATCTCTCCCAAGGCTCTTCAGCGACAAATGCCCAGGGCATCACGGCCAGCCGTGGATCCAGTGGCCAGCCCGGTGCTTTCTTCAATTTCGAGATCTCACCCATGCTGGTAGTCCACACTGAGACGCGCCAGAGTTTTGCTCACTTCTTAACATCGTGAGTTCCAGTCACCTTTCTCATATACCTTTATCCTGAAATCGTTTCTGCCATGCAGATTATGCGCCATCATAGGTGGCGTGCTCACAATCGCTTCGATCCTTGACTCAGTCGTCTTCAACGCCTCTCAAGTACTTAAGAAGAATGGGGGAAGCTCTAGTAGTTATGGTGGCAAGCTGATGTAAAGCACTGCAGCGCCGGTCATTGCATTGCATTCGTATTTTCTTTGCTTTCAATCGGGTCGCTTGGATGTGTGAACTCTGTTTTGGTAGTGGCAGTTGCGGCTTCCCTAGCTCTATGCACCGTGCGTATAAGAGTGAAACATCCATACATGATGTGATATTATCTGGGGGTAGAGTCAGGTGGACTGGATCCTCGGAGTTTGTTGCTTCGGGGGCTGGTAACTATGTAGTCACTGGGGGTAGTGTAGGATATCTATCTGTGCCCTATTTCATTGTGCCATCGGCGTCATTGTTCGTGCTCACATGGTGATTATGTCTAGCTATTCCTGCTTCTCTTGTCTCTTGCCCGGGATTTTTTGATGAATTCCGCAAGTCTGAAGATACCGAGAACCTGAATTGAGATCCGCGGCCGAGTAAATTTTCATGATGCCGACATACCTGAAGTATGTGTTCGCTGGTCTGATCCGATGTGGATGTTTTAGTTGTCAGGTCTACATTCGGGTCGCGAATTGGGCACAGCCACATTGAATTCCCTCTTCCAATAGAGAGCGGTCCACAAAATGACGAGCCTAGTCGTGGGGACGAGCACATCTATACCCCCAGGCTCTAGTCATTCCAAGGCGGATGTCACACAACCGGAATCAGGCCAAGCAAAAACGCTTTCATCCCTCAATCCCCTTTTAACCATCGACGCAAGGTGGAAACGAAGCATGAAAGCGCTTGCACAGAAGCCCCAGAATGTGCCTAGTGCATCTGATCCTGGTGATACTGAAGGCGGGTCCTCTGCAGGGCCCACTCTGCGGGACTTGCAATCCACTTCACATGTGAGCTCGGCTGTTCCTGTGTTTCCCGACCTGACTCTGGCGCACCAGGCTTGGGCACTAGCGACGCGTCACTTAACACTAAGACACTTAGATGACGCGAGTCCCCGCCTGGAGATAGGTATGCACGAGCATCGCTATTTCCCTTCCGGAATATAGTGACTTGGTGACTAAATTCCCGATACCAGCTAAACCAACTCTTCTGGCCGTATACGCTACCCTCAAGCAGGCAAAACTAATGCATAATCTACTCACATGGTTCCTTCGTAGGTTAACGTGGCATTATTATTAGAAGCTTAGCCTTCACTCGCCTCTTATAGACTCCATGTATGAAAAACGACACATGATTGTCGATGATATCACGCCCATGCTGGCACTTTGGGAGGTGAATGCGTGTGTTGTCGCTCTTTCAAGAGTATATTCATAATGCCCCTAGACAACGCGCGATGGCAAGCGTGCCTACGACATCATAATTAGATTGTGCAGGTGGCGAACAGAATGGTACCGAGAAACGGGGGCTTTTACTCAGTGCGTCACCTGGGCCATCTTTGGGGAGCCATATTACATCTTTAATCTGCTCAATAGTCACGGTGTTGATTCCTACTGGCCGTTCAAACGCACATTTCGGACTATCGTGCTCTCGTTTCTCCCTTCAGTCTTCTCTGACGCCCTCGCATCCGTCCTCCATGAAACTTTTCATGAGACCGAGCCACGACGTCCTCATGGCTCGTCCCTCGCCCCTCTTCGCACTTCCTCAGAAACCCGGCAGCAACTTGCGAATGCTCTCGAGCACATTGGCATTCTGCTGGATTTTAAGACACTAATCAACTCATCCTTGGACAGAGAGATCGAGCGCCACGTTCTTGGGACATGCGCAGGGGTTCGCGATATGCATTGCTTACCAATACTTAGGGCATGGTTCGGCGATAGAGTGAAGGGGTGGATGACAGATATATTTGGTAAAGGTGTGTTTTTGACATTTAAAAATATGGCAAACTTGCAGCACTTAACATATTAAATTTCAGAACGACCAGATGCGGCATACCGGAAGTTTGAACACCACATGCTTAAAGTCCTCTGTGACCTACGGTAAGCTGCGCCATTTTGGAGGTTACTACGTATGCCGATCCCACACCGAAGAATATCGGAGTTGTTCGATATAATCGTGGACTACGAGGATAAAACTCACCCCTTACCCGTCCTCCAGGACCTGAAGGTAACGCGAACAAAGCATATACTGATATTTCCATATTCAAAATCCTTTGTGTTGCCAGGATTGCTTGGCAAGGACAGGTCAGAGAAAGGAGCTTGTCAAGAGTCTGCGTGAATCGTGCGTTCGTTATGATTGCGCCACCGAAGCCGTCTCATTGGATTTACCGCGGGATATTTTTCAGAACGACTCGACGGCTTCTACAGCCGGGTGCCGCGACATCTGACATACTTCAACAGTACGTATCCACTATCAAAGTACTACGATATTTGGATCCGCCGGGTGTGCTCCTTTACGGCGTTGCCGAACCAATACGGCGATACCTCAGGTACACAGCCCACTCTCAGCACAATCTCCCCTGTCCTTGACCACGTTTCTGCAGGGATCGCCCGACTGCATTAAGATCATCGTTGCAAATCTCATCCCTCGACGTCACCGAAGGAAGAAACAGAGGAAATGCGGATCAACCACCGTTGGTTCGTCTGACTCGTCACCTATTGACAATGACGAAGACAGTGAGGAAGACGAAGAGGATGACAAGGAAGGAGAGGGGTTTTTGTTTGATGACCAGAACGAGCCGACCCCTATCCAGGCAAATGAGGAGGTCTATGAAGACTACACAGATCCGCACTGGATGCCAGCAGCTAACGACGCGGAGCCTGGCTTCAGGGTACAAAAACCAAGCGATATAATTAGCACGCTTGTGAGCATCTTTGGTTCCAAGGATTTGTTCGTCAAAGAACTCCAGGTCGCGTTTGGACAACGATTACTCGCCATCACAGATGGGAAGTACGATCAAGAGGTATGTACAGTTTGGTCCTGGAAACGCATGCATTGACAGTACTCTCCAGTTCCATAACCTCGAGATCCTCAAAATTCGCTTTGGGGACTCTTCACTCCATGTCTGCGATGTAATGACAAAGGATTTGACCGATTCAAGACGGCTTAACCAGAGGGTACAGAAGGATAGTGACGAAGAAGTAGGCCTAGATCTTTCAATATTTTTCTTATTGACTAACGTCATCGCACAAGCTTGTGCTGCAGCCGATCATAGTTTCTCATTTGTATTGGCCGCCGATGCCGAGGACCAATGTACAGATGCCGGGACAGTTTGAAGCGCAAGTCCCCATTGTTCGATACTTCGATGCATAGATACTAATCTTCCAGCAGTTTGCAAAGGAAATATGAAAAGGCGTTCCGATTGCAGAAACCGGATAAAAAGTTACATTGGATCCCTAGCATGGGCATGGCGGACCTGACCATCGAAATGGATGACGGACGTGAAATCAATGTATCGGCAACTCCGCTTCAGGCCGCTGTCATAGAATTGTTCTCTCAGACTTGTATGTGTATTAACCCTCTCACGCATCCTCACTGACCTTGACACTGAATATAGCGTTATGGACTGTTGACACACTAGCTGAAAAGCTTGGAAAGCTTGATATTACGAGTGTTGCGCTGGCGCTTCTGTTTTGGCAAGGTCAAGGAGTAATCAAGGACATTGGGAACCATACCTTCCGACTCCGAGACAGCGTTGACGAAGCTCCTCCCTCAATCGCCACTGCAGGTACGAACAGCTTGGATGGGCATCAGAATAATTCCTCAATAGGTTACATATTGCCAGGATCCGCACATTATGATCTTGCTCCTGAAACTCCTCAACGTGATTTCACCGTGTATTTCAATGTGAGCATTCAAGCATCAGTCCCTCCGACCGGATTACTGATTCGCTTCGTATCCTCAGTATGTGAATGCAATATTAACCAATTTAGGTCCTCTTCCTGTGGATCGCATCAACAGCATGCTCAAGCTTGTCCCGGGACCTCCACTGACATGGGCAGAGACTTTACAGCTCCTTGAATTGATGAAACAGAATGGCTCGATCGACTTCCGCAATGGAGTTTGGACGCTGACCATTGCCTGATGGATAAGGGAGTCCGGATGTACATTATGTCCTATCCTTTGTTGAGTAAATCTTATATATGCTGCATCATAAATCCTAACCTCAACTAATCGCGGTCGTTCGCCGCCACTATCTTATCCAGCATAGCGATTAAGTCCTCTTCTCGCTTCTCATTCCATTTAGGACTGATCGCTCGAAATAAGTGGTCCAGCGTGGTATAAAGCCGCGAGTTACCCACTACCTATGGTTACACATGTAAAGAGGATGATTGAGCGAAATGGCTATTGGGGGGCAGTGTAGACTCACTGAGTACCCTTGTTGTGTAAGCCTCACAATGATCGAGTTTCCTTCCAAGAGTTTTACAGGGACCTCGGCGCTTGGTCCCAAGATCTCCTTCTCGTCCTCGGTGTATTCCCTGACTCTGCCAACCGTGGCAACACCAAAGACATGCTCATCGGCAGCACGCTGTAGCTCTTCTCTGTACCAGTCGAATGAGCCGGGTTCTACCATTGTGTAAAGCGTGGAATGTTAAACCGCAAAGGACTCGGGTTTATGGCAATTTATAGCTGTAAATCAGTATAGATCGTCACGTCACCGTCACAGTATGCATCAAAAAAAATCGCGCTTAATCCATTTCACGGGCGCCTCGTGGGACCGGGATTACAAGGAAGGGTATAATAACATGCGGATGGTTTATCAGTTTTGGACGCACTGATCTTGCGCCACACGATTCTATTTTTTTTTATGTACATACAATATCTAAAGAACGAACGAACGAACGAATCAATACCAAATACACCGAATTCGATGAGCAGGGTTGCTTTCTGTATATGCTCTCAAACGAACTTCGCCTCGCTCCACCTGCTTCGCTAGATCCCACAAGAAGAAGTCAAGAATGACGCTGGTGATCTCCGAGGCAGGATGAGACGTCGAACCATTCTCAATTGCTTCCAACTTTCGTATGCGAATAATTTCGGTTTTCAATGCCTCGACGGCTAGGATGGATGATGCCCGAATGCTGATCTCCATCTCTGAGCCAGATTCTACGTATTGATGGGACTGGAGAACGCGAATGAGATCTTCATCATAGCTTAGCATCTGAAGCTGGTTCAGGATCTGTGGCACCTACAGAAACGGACAGTTAGTCAGGTATGATCATTGCACAACAGAAAGAAAAAAATCATTAGCGCACGCGATAGTCTGCAAACATCGTCAATCCCTTTACGCCTTTCGGAAATATTGGGTGCGGAATGCCGGGTTCTACCGGATAGAAGGCAACCCTGCCCGTGATTGCGCGCGACGGCGTTCAGATAAAATATCTCGAAATCATGCATATACCTAAAACTTACCAAGTTTCGGCAATGAGTATTTGCGGACGCTTCCAAAAGCGTACTGGGGGCCGCCGAAGAAACGCCTTAAGCCCCAACGCTCAACAAATAGAACAATAGAACAACAATTCTCACTTTGGCGACCCTTGAAAGTTGTCTGATCCCGGAACGCTGGAAAGGTGTCCACAACCATCTTGACAGCATCTATAGCATCACGCTCCTTCCCGAACCGCTTGATGTATCCAACAATGAATTCCTGAAACGATCCACCAAAACGCTAAGGAAAATTGTTTCGCAAACCCGAAATGATCCGACACAGAAAGAGATCCAAAAAAGGGGCTTACATACCTCGCAAAGTATGGAGCCAACTTCTCGCATGACGCGGATCCGCTCCTGAAGAAGCGGCATGTCTTCGACGGATTCTGATGACTTTCTGAACACATATTCAATGAGCGAATCAGGACAGCTGGTTTCGGAGGCGTAGAATGAAGGGTCCGTTATCGGTATTCCTTCCTCAAGAGCTAGTGAAAAGGAGTGTTCAACGCTGAGCGATGAAACGACGTCGGGAATGACTCATACCACGATTGAGGGCCGCAAGTAGACTGTAATATCCGTCCCAAGACTTTTCAGGAGAATCTGGATCCCAAGAAGTTCTCCAATCCACGGCAAAACGTTTTTCGCTTCCCTCATATTCAGACCAGAACGAAAAATTAAGCGCTGAGACGAGAAAAATCCAATCCAATGTTGGTCTGGCCAATGGGTCCTCTGCGGATCGAATCCAAGGAGGCGGGATCAGATGGAGAGGCTCAGACCTCCAGACGTTAGGCGAGTATTCCTGCCGAATCATGACATCATTGAGCTATAGCGATCAATCAAATGCCGCCAAAAAAAAAAAAACTGTCAGAAATAACAATGACAGTGGGCGCTAAATAGGCTAGAGAAGCAGAGACGTACAACTTCTGCAGCAATCGATATCCCTTCAGAATTCAACGTGGAGAAAGAAGTATGCTATGTAATGACAAAAAAAAGCATGAATTTTATCGTAACGGTGAAGGGGGCGGACAACACACGAATGCACCTCGTAAGCAAATCGAGCATCTTCGAGCACTAGGTTTGTGATGCCAGGCGAATCGTGAAGACTGACAGGTGCGGGGGACATTAAGGATCGAGAGGAATTAGCGAGACCAGCCCTTTTTTTGTTGCACGGATTATAACTGCTTGCGCGGGTCTACCTAGATGTAAAATTTTCAGTACTCAAAGTTACTTCTCACGTGCAGTGGAAGCAGGTTACCAACCTCTTATTGCGTAGGGTTCAAATTGTTGCTTAGCCACTCGGCGCCCGCTCCATTTTAGCCATACCTGCAAGTAGATAGCTGATGGCTTCGCTGTTGGCATGCCATGCAGAGAACCCATAAGTTCCTGGCAATAAGTGCGCCCAATGGATGTGATAGAGTCCTAGCGCGTGCGCCACTCGGTTCAATGCCAGTGGACTGGGAGAGAAAAAACCTAGGGAAAAATGTGGATCCACTCTCAGCCAGATCAGAAAGGTGTCTAGGGCCTGAACCCAAAGTGGTAAGCATTGAAAGCTATAGGGGGGTGTTGCACCCGTCACGTCGTCACGTCGGCCTTCAACGAATCGCAGGGGTGGATCTCACTGATAAGCCCTATCTATGACTGACAGGGGAATTTAACACACTGATAGTAAGCATTCACATAGGCAAAGAACATCATTCGGCTCAGACATAGGCAACCTAAGCACCCGAAGGCTTGTCATCATGCAATATTCGTTGGACTTTCTATGCTTTCATTGCTTGCTATTCTAGTCTACACTTCTATATAGCGATACGGTCCAGAAGCCCACAGCTTAGATGTCAAAAGGGCTACCGATTTCGGAAGACTCATCACCAAATCGTTTGTCCATTCATTTCGCTTAAAACTAGCTGATTTCATTCAAAGTACTATAGGGTGGCCCCCAAAATTGTCCCCAGTCCCGTTGAGGATACTAGTCGTTCATGTCCATGGGTCCACGGTCGTCTTGCCAGGAGCTCCCCAACCGCCAAAGTATATATGATCAGGCCGAAACGGCCCGTTCGATTTTGCCGTCGGTGATTTTCAAATTTGGTTCAAACTCCCGTTCAGCCAGGACTCGGCACAAATATTCTTTCTCGTCATACATATTTGGGAACGGGATCTTTCTTTCCCAATTGGTTGCTATCTAGCATGCATATGACGCGTTGGAGGGACCTTGAATTATTGTCTCGTTGCTGGCACGATTTGTCATTAGATAGATCGTGCTCCTCTTAATAGGCAGCAATATTGTTCTGCGTCCTTAATTCTGGCTAGCCCAATTCGGGAATTCGGTGCCCGCGGCCTCGCTGCCAACTGGAGCCCCCCCCCCCATCGACGTCACCTTATGCTTCCGTCGACGGCATGACTAACAATAGGGCCCGGCTCTGTTCTTGACACCAAACTGATCATCGCATTGATGGACTAGACGTTGCTTTGACTTCACAACTGGAAAACCGTTGCCTAGCTCGATATCTCAAGCAACATTCCCTGGGCCTGAATACATGCAAGGTGCTAGGCTGAAATTAGGCAAAACAGGTTATGTACTCGTTGCAATTCACAAGCTTGATGCGAACAACAAAATTAAAATAGCTAAGAGAGGACAAGTCCACTTGTGATGCAGCATTGGTGATGTAGCGTGGCCGAGAAGGCTATTGAATGGTAGGATCATTTTACGATCCAAATCGCCCCGGAACTTGAACTCATCGGCCGGCACCAACCCACGCGCATGGGTAGTTGTACTGGTGATAGTTGCGTACCGTGCGTCATTGAGCGTTGGATCGGATGGTATGGCATATGTTAAACATGGTAACATTCCACAGATTTAGCAACTAAATAACGAAAGCTGTGTGTGGTCTTACTGACGTCCGTCGAAGGAATTGTCAGAATAACCCTGGATATATTGTGGACGAAAGGGAACCCTGATGGGACGTGAGAATCGTATGTGTTCATTCCCCAAACTCCCCCATTAAATACGCTTCCCACTCTGCGGATCAGGCTCGCGCGTCAAGCTTGTTTGGGGACAGACCCAGAATTCCCCCACATCTAAAAAAAGCAACTAAAGCGATAGAACAAACTCCACGACTGATCGTTCCTTGAAACCATGCAGTGTTACTACTAGCTCGTTTCAGAACCAAGATGCAAAGCCCATGGACATGAACAAGCGCGGTTCAGTCTCGGCGAAGGATTCTTCCTCCTTTCCAAGCAGCGTACGGCCGCAGTAGATAGGGCAACAGGTCCGTACAAGGTGCGGACCTAGATGTGACACATATTACTTAATACAGGATTGCGAAGAGCGATTGACCTAAGTCGCCTTCCAACACCCACGACGTTGGGTATCACCATGCACGCTTCCTTCCTCCGTGAGGAAATTTGGCATTGCCAATTTAACGTACTGCTTCTCCACGCGAATGGTCTTCACTTCCCACTTCGGACGTTCATTATCCCACCCAAGTTTCATGGGCTGTACCATACCAATGCAATGTGGTGAGAAAATATTATCATCCTCGAAATCATTGTGCCCAATGGTGAACGTTTTTGTTTTGTTTTTCAGGCAGAGTGTTACCGTATTGAAACAGGTGTCGATCAACCAGATCAGCTTCCAGATAGCGGTCGTTCGATGGAGAGTGGTGGAGAGTGTGTCCAAGCGGACTAGAAACGGCGGATTCCATCGTGATCTCCCGCTCTTTGAATTAAATTATAGCAAGGTCTGAGAATCCATCAGCATGGGGAATTCACAGAACCTAGCTAAAACCCCACATCAGCGTACCATCTTTCATGCCCGTAAGTCATCCAGTTTCTGGTCAGAGTCTTGTTATTGTCTTTCTCACCCCCCCGTTCTAAAGGTTCGCCACGCACACGCGATTTCGGAAATTTAGAACAGCCTCAGGCAATGGCCAATCATCTGACAGTTCAGGATGCAATAAAGTAGCAATCGTTATCAAAAGAGCATTCAAACCGAAATACACGAGGCCAATAGCAATATTCAGATTCCGAGCTCTGACCCAAAGGGCATGCATAAATTGTAGGGCAACTTGCAATAGCCGTTGTGTCGGTTATCAAGTAGATACCTCGCTTAGCGACAACAAAAAGGAAAGGTTGAAGACCAGTGTGAATCCATTTCGGGTGGGGGGAAGGAAGTGTCCGCTAGCTACGCGGGGCGGGGCAAAGTAGTAGGCGGTTCACTTACTTGAAACGAATTAGTAAAATCACAGCATCGCTAGCTATAAATGATAAGCGAAGTGATCCCATACTCAACGGCTCGCGGTGTGAGATTCACCCAGCATTCTGGATAAGTAAATATATATAACAAAAAGATCAATGGGGAATCATAAGACTTTCCTTCAGAGACATACGCTTCTTGCGCTTCTTGGCGGGTTGGCAACACTCACTGCATTGTCTAAGATAGAACATATACCTTAATAAGACCATCAATAGGTTTCTATGTATCCCAACTTCTCGAAAATTCATTCGACGTGGGGATCGTACGTGAGAAGAGATGGCTTTGACAAAAGTGGCGTAAACTCGGAATGCAGTCGTATCCTGGGAATTGACCGTTCAAGATCGAAGCCAAAGTAATCGTTTTTCATGATCTTACCAACGGGTGATTGTTCAAAGTGTAAGTACGCCTCTGTTTCCGACGCCTCTGTTTCCAGATATACTCCACACGATTCTGGGGATAACCTTGTGGCTCGCTGGACTCGATCAATAGAAAATGAATATATCTTTCGCCTAGCTCTTGCGGTACGCTTATGGCATGATAAACGCAGGAACAAGTCTCTTCCAATGGGAAAGGCGGCGTTCCGACTCTCCAATCTCAATGTTACATATTACCATCCAGAATACCCGAATTGATCGGTGGAAGTATTCCTATCCTGGAAGTTCGGTGCCAAGCAAGTGCTTCCTTGCACTATTTCTAATTCTTCACAGATGAATTTAGCCATTTCTCCCTCAAGGTCATCATTCGCCCGCTCAACGAGGCCCCTCGAGACCAAGGGGAAGCTAAGGCATCGGACGACCCGGGAACGAGGTTGAAGGGATGTCAGGAAAACTGCCGATTTGCACGCGATCCAAAGTAGCCATGGAACAGGATGTATATGTGGGAGGACGTGTGGAAGCAGCGGGGGTTTTCATTCTCATCCGTGCCCCAAATCTTCCCAGCAACATACGGTGGGACACTTCCACTCAGAATTTGAATAGTCTGAAGATGTGGGTGACGTTGAAGACTTGAGAAATAGAACAATTTCTATAATAAACAAAAGAAGCTGTAATCCTGTGCTCATTCAGACCCACCCACATAATGCTGGATCTTAAAGACTCTGAAGTGGAGGAAGTGGAGGAGGAAAGAGGAAATGATCCTCTGTGGAAAGACGTACAATTGGAAACGTGAAGGCCCAGATCATCCTGGTGGCAGCGTTCAGGACCTCTACCGCGAACCCGTTGAAGTCCGCCCTTGGTAACCTGTCACCAAGCCTGAAGGGGGTGGTGGGAGTTTGGAATGGCTTCGGTGACGTTGGCCTCCAAACGGGAACGTAGCGCGCTCCTATTATGTACAGCCTGACGAGGTGGTAGCAGGCGAAGGGGGGGGGGTTGCATGAGTGTCGGCGGATGGTATGTAAGGTTGGAAAATAATCTTGGATAGGGCCGCGAAGGAGTTTCCACGCTTGTGGCACATTGCAAGCTCGCAGGGATATCGTGTTTGGCATGAATGAATCAACGATACACAAACCATGGCTGAGCCTTACAGTTAACTAGCTGCTGGCGGGGCCATCTGGATCACTACTTTTAGCCCCCCGCATTAGCAAGTTTATGTTCATGCCACGCATGAAGTAACGATCCAGGAACAAAACTAGAGAATTTTTAGAGTAGGATGACAGCAAAATTCCATCGCAGGCGAAGAGTGCCATGCCTATCGACCAATAACACTTGCGGGGAGAGCGTAACCATCGATGCTAACCACCCCGCGTGTTCGCCAGCATCACGATTACCTAATCCCGCTGAACTCGATTCGGATTATGTAGCCTATTAGCCGTTCGCTATCTGCCAAAAGTGCAGGGACGAGGCCTGTAGTTCATGGTACATACTATGCAGGTCCTATCGCCGGGCATGCAAGCCGGGAATGAGAAGAAAAACTATGTATGTCATTATCGTCAACACCACTAAGCGAGTACATCCACCACAACACAACCCAAAAAACCCCGCGAACAATCAATTTGAACCAGACTTTGAAAACAAAAAAAAAGGGTAGAGGCCTACCTCAATCTCAAAGGTCCGACATCCAATGATCACGAAATAAATGGTGTGAAAGCCAAACACATACGATTCTACTCATTCCTCCCGCTTCTCTCCTTCAATCCCAACCACCGCGACGAGAACACGCCTGCTCTACGAGTGCTCATTCCCAGCATCAAAAACCGTCTTACTCCCGCTCCCCAAGGAGTACCCAGAGGTGACAGGTACATGATCACCACCCACAGTTGGAATATAGGCATTCTCAGGCAACGCATCCTCATCCAATCCCTATAAAAAGGACACACCGTTTTGAGTACTTACAACGCGACGAAACAAGGAACAGAGATGGCGCATCTGGGCGGGGAGGCATTTAATGGGAAGAGAAACAAAAAAAGTACACACCTCTGCAGCTTCGATGATCTCGTATAACTTGCTCGCTATTTCTGGAGGTGGCACTCTCCCTCCCAAGATATCGCGCGCAGGCAGAGGGGATCCGTAAAACTCTCTGTTCGCGTCCTTTCTCTCGATAAGCATTGTCCCTTCCAGCGAAACACCCGCAAATAATCCTATGATGCGATCGTTGCGAAAGTCGACGCGAAGAAAGGATTGGTAGATTTTGAAGTTACCAGGGCATCGGGGGGTCAGTGTAGTAGGTCCCGTCCATCAATCATTCCGCATGGAGTCCAAAACAGGAAAATGCAATGAGACGGAAACGGGCGAGTAGCGATGGAAGAAACATGAACGAATCGAGAGATTAGCCATGTAGAAACGACGTAAAGAATAAAAGGGAGCCCTGGGCCGTAACAGTAGCAGCGCCAGAAGCCTCCCTGAAACGGACTTACCCTTTGATTTGGAATACGAAAACATAGGTGCAGGACTAGCCAAACTCGCCTGAACTGCACCACCCGTTCCAATGGGACCCGCCGTTACACCAAGATTACCACCCACAGTGACGTTACCACCCAGAGAGAACGCTTTCACAGCATCTTCCGAATTGAGAACGACGACGAAATCGGTGATATCTGCTCCGATTTGAAGACCCCATCCAAGACCTCCTGTGGCGATACACGAGGGTGCAGACCACGAACCATCTGGGAGACGAGCGATAACGAGACCCGAGCCTGCTTTCCCAGAGAACACGAAGCCTGCCTTGAGGACCTGGAAAACGGCAAGACCTTAATGTTGCAAAAGGATGAGTTGATCAACGAGCGGTCGTGGTAACTTCGAGCCACTCACCCCTCGCCCGCTGTAGAACGGATTTGGGTATAGAGTTCAATGCAGAGTCAGGATGATCGGGATTGGCTAGTTATACCATGGATTGGGGGGGGGGAAAACGAAAGGATTTTTTGGATTCAAGGTTTGCGCGCGTGCGTATATATATGGTATGCAATGAACGAATGATTAGCAGTGTGGAACGAAAGTAGCACATTCGCGTCCATGAAGAGGAATTGAAATGTGCATCTTTATCAGTATATCGAAGCAGGAATAACCACCCATATTAACTCACCGAGGAATGATTCGAGGATTTTAGCAGCTTTATCCGCTTCCCCCGGCAGACTGAACCCTTGAGCAAACGATCTTGTCCCATTTTGGATTGACGTCGAAGAGTCCCTGGCAAATGCGGTAGCTTGAATGGCAGCTTTCTTAGCACCAGTGCGGAACTTCTCCAAGAATGCCATTTAGGATGGATATGTGTTTCGGGGCTGCGTAATAACTTGAAACCAAAAGAAGGAAAAAAAAAAGCCAATTTCAATTCTCAGAGCACCAAGCTAGGGGGAAAATATCGTCCCGGCTGGTTGTTTGGCAATCGTGAACAGTCCCTCGAATGCTGGTGCTTGTGATGGGTAATCGCCGGGGTTCGTCATCACGTGTGCGCCCATTTGGATTATCACGTGCATGGCCTTTCTCGTCGTCGGTCCGCTTGTGTGGCCGAACTTATTGTGTGAACTATCAAGGTTGGTTCTCGGGTATTCGTGATAGGGAGCTTCTTCCTAATCCTGAACGGGGAAGCTGACGAAAGAACATATTTTCTAGCGCCCATGATTTCCGTTCGGTTCGAAGGAGAACTAGGCCACAAAGGCTGTTGGGAGTTGGACAAGTTGATCATGCGGAGAATTACAAAAGGGATATGGGAAAAGAAGATGCATATGCCTCGCAAGCCCGGCCAACAGACCCGATCCAAATTCTTATCCGCAGCATGCTGTAGATAGGTATTTACGAAATATCGTGATCAGCACTCGGTTCAAGCGCTTGCTTCTCGTCTTCTCTACAATACAGCAATGCCTGAACCACTTGAAAATTTGTTTTGGGCACAATACTGGTACCCCTTGTAGCGGAAACGAGCGAGCCGCAAGGGGCTTTTTGGTTAGGAAGCATGTTGTGGCGTGACGCTCAGCGGTAAGAAGGCGCTTAAGGGCTGGGCGTCTATAACTGGCTAATAACTTGCCGCATGGAATACCCAAAGCCGTTTCCCGTTGAGCCTACGAGAAGTCGAGGATGTTTCCCTTTCCGTTTGTGCGGGTTTCTTCCACCTGTCATGACATGGAATCGAGATTGGGATCGGATATCGATGCCGTTCAATACCTAGTCGAAGTGCATGGTGATCATGACCAACAAGCTGAAGCGAATAGGATTTCTTTGAGTGCTTTCAATCATGGATAAGTGTGGGCTGGAGCAACAGCTGGATAGACGTGCCGCTGCCGGTTGCGTGCTGGGGGTTCCATTTCTATGATCGGTGATTGTGATAATACCGGCAACAACCGGTGTCCATGTGACACTAAACGGGAAGGCGTTGTCCGAATTTTATTGTCATATTGTTCATTTTATCTCGAATTTGTATTTCGAACTTGCGAAGCCGAAGAAGACAAGGTTCATTTTCCGCAATGGGGGTTTATGGGAGATGAAATGTTTTTGAATTCAGTCGCTCTTTCTCCTTTTCTCTTTTTTCCATCATTCTTCAGAAAAGCGCCAGCTTTTCACACAACACGCTTCGAGACGCCGATGTACATAATTCGCTAAATGTGGTACAAACGTGCAAACGTGTCTCCGTTGCTAGAGACTTGAGCTCGTCGTGCTTGATGGGACTTGCTGACAACGAGTGGTATAGTGCCCACACCCAAAATGAAGGTAATGAGAAGGGTGCGGGGGTGGTGCGGGTTTGACAGTTCAGGGTGAACTTAGTTATCCGTCCATGTGTGAGCGGCGCATCCCGTGAGTAGATAGATGGGATGAGAAAAAGGGAAGGTTATAGAACATCAGAAGATCGGAATGGAAGATTTGGTACCGCTGTACAGAGTAAATTAGGGAAGAACCATATCTCGTCGCCAACAACCAACATTTGTACAACAAGGTGTATGGGTGTACGTTACGAGAGATCGTGAAAAGTGCGGCATTAACGGACCTCATGGGTTGGGATACATACCGATGGGTTGAATGCCTAGCTTCACCGAGCTTGTTTGAGTAGAAAATGAGAGCAATCAGAAAAGATCACCAAAAGATGAAGTGATGAAGAGGTGGGAAATGATCTGTGGTTGTAACGGTGAGAATTACAACCCAGAGGCGGAAAGCGCAACCCAGCGAGTGCTCAATCAATTCGCCTAAATACCTATCATTGTCTCGACCCCCTCGAGAAAGGAGTCAAGCACTCTCTCATTGGACATCAAATGATTATTCCCGAGTAATTTTTATGTTTTCCAAGCATTTTAGCTCGATCCGAATTCGAATCGGCACGTCGAGGAATTGCAATAAGATGAGGTTGGAAAGAAACTGAATTCACTTTTCCTTTTCCTTCCTCCAACACTCAACTCGTTCATGACACTCCCTCTCTCGTCCTTTTAATCCACCAATCAGCCTGTTCCCTGGCCAGCTCTGCCGCTAGCTTATGCAGGCTCCCCAACTTCTTATCCCCCACGATATCCGTCCGACTTACAATGCTCATAACCTCTTTGATCATCACACCGCGTCGCCAAGAGTGCTCCTCGGGACGAACGACATACAACCTCTGCCTCCTTCCCTTCAACTACGCATGCCACAAAACCAACCCCCACTGAACAATGTTCCTCCACCAAAGCAGGAACAAAAGCTAACCAAGGCGGTCGGCATACCCGCCATTACTCCCGACGGGGTCGTCATGGTCGATGACCCAGAATCTCGTTGAGTCCCAATCCTTTGTCCTCGCTCGTCTCGGATCTAACGACCATATCGCTCCCTTTCACAGGATCAACACGTTCCTACACTCCCGTCAAACTCGTTGGAGATGGCTCTTTCGGAACTGTATGGCTATGCGATTGGCAGGGGGCACTTCCTATCAATACACCCCTCTCTCCTATGCAATGCGGCGCTGGTGCTCGACCGGACTGGGCCGGTAAACGTCTTGTTGCTCTAAAAAGGATGAAGAAACGTTGGGAGGGTGGTTGGGAAGAGTGCAAACGTCTCAAGGAACTCGAGTCACTTCGCGTCATCCCTCGACACCCAAACATCATTCCTCTATACGACTTCTTCGTGATGCCCTCAACGAAAGAGCTTTATTTTGTGTTTGAGTGTATGGAGGGCAATCTCTATCAGCTCATTCGCTCAAGGAAGGGCAGGTCGCTTGCTGGTGGACTGGTCTCGTCTATTTTTCGGCAAGTTTGCAGTGGCTTACACCACATCCATCAGTCGGGCTATTTTCATCGTGACATGAAGCCGGAGAATTTGCTAGTGACTACTACAGGGTTACACGATTATTTGACGACGAATCCCCGCTTGATTGCTGCTGCCAATTCAAATGGGACCATTCCGACTGAGCGCGATGTCGCGGTTATCGTTAAACTTGCTGATTTTGGGCTTGCAAGGGAAACTACCAGTCGCCCGCCGTACACCGAGTACGTAAGTACACGATGGTATCGTGCGCCAGAGGTGCTACTGCGAAGCCGGGATTATTCCAACCCCGTCGACACGTGGGCTTTGGGGACTATCATGGCGGAACTTGTCAACCTCAGACCCCTCTTTCCAGGGCAAGGAGAGACTGACCAGGTGGCATTGATTTGCGAGGTACTTGGGGATCCGTCAGATGATTATGGTATTGATGAGCGGGGGGTCTGTATTGGGGGCGGTTCTTGGCCGAAAGGGATACGAATGGCCTCATCACTCGGCTATGCTTTTGGCAAGGTATGTCACCGCTTTGTCCTACTAGAGTTGGTTTTTTTTTTTTTCCCTCCATGCTTGATACAAACCTGAATTGACACTGCTTTATGACCTTGCCCCATTCGGCATTACCAGATGGCTCCGAAACCGTTCCATACGTTGTTTGAACCAACGGTACCATCATCACTCATAGAGTGCATCTCGGATTTGCTCAAATATGACCCTGAAAAGCGGTTAACATCGCGCGATTGTGTCAATCATCGTTATTTTCGGGAGACCGAGCAGAGACAGCCTCCCCCACCCCCCTTTATTCCATTGCCTCCACCATTGCAGCCCCAGCGTTCCAAATTGCACGTTGACCCCCTTCCGCCCATCCCACAGCATGAGACGAATGGCATGATGAATGGCGCGATGAGTCTCGCTGGCTCATCATCGTCATCCCTCCCTTCGGTTCCCCCACGCCACATCCCCCTTCCCATTCATTCCCTTCCTCGTACCAGGCACGTTCTCCTCAACCACACTACTGCGATATTTCCTCGCCTGTGTCTGCAACCCCTCTTTCACCTTCTCCGTTATCCCCGTTGTCTACTTTACCACCCACTACGAGCTTGACAACTGGCATTGTCGACCAATTGAGGGACTTGGACCTTCCGGCTGATCGGAAACCACTCCCTCGACATGATGATCCTCAGGGACCCTCGATGGATGTTGATCCAGACCATCAAGATACCCAATACAATTCGCACATGCCATCTCCCCCAAGACCTTCTCTTTTGCAACAACAGCCCCAAGCCTCGGGCAGCCATCCTTCCGCAGTACCATCGGCTCAATCGTCATCTTCGAATAAGAGCAGCTTGTTTGCCGCTTTCGGAAAAAAGAAGAAAACACTTGGCATCTTTGGAGGGAGCAACGACAAATCGGCATCTTTGCCTCCAGTTGAAGAAGTTGAACTTTCGTCAGGTAATCCTGTCTCTCCGAAACGGACACAATCGAGCAGTACTGGGAGCAGGTCAATTGATGACCAGCGACATCCGAATGGTTCTGGGTTCGTGCCGCATCTAACAGTGTCAAACGCAAACGGTCATACGATGGCGGCTGCCGAACCTTCACCAGAGGACGTTAAAAAAGCGAAAAGGGAAGAACGCCAGCGTGCTTCCGAGCGTCAGAAAGCCATGTCCAGACGCGTCATGCAGAACCGAGACGTGTTGCATGACAATCGGACTGCTGATTTTGAGTGGCGCAGTTCAATGACACAAGCTATTATTGGATCTGGCTCCGGAGCTGCACCTCCGGCTGGTTCACGGAGACCGTCCGTATCGAATACGAGGAGAGCTCCACATCCCCATCCACCAAACGTGCTTGATCCACGGAAGGACTTGCGATTGGTTCCGCCAGTGATCCGCGAAGGTGTTGAAGACCCGTCTGATTGTCAGGTGGCGCCGGATGGTATTAGAAGTGCCAAGGCCCGTCGGAGAGACACAGATGATGATCATTCGCAGTCTTCCGTTTCTATTTCTGTTCGTTCGAGACGACCCTCTGCAGGCACGATGGATTCAGACCCTGGACCTTCTCGGTCTCCTCCCCCTGCTCCTAGGTTGCGCGAACGGCCGAGCGAGTACAATATTCATCGAGCAGCAAGCAAGACTTCTTTGCGGTCAGCATTAAGCACGGGTAATAGTTCATTGCGGGGTTATTCCTCTAGTGCACGATCATCCACAAGTTTAGAGCCTGGAGTGATTACTGGGTTCGCGGATATGTCTGGTCTGGGAGTTCGAAGAGTTGCATCGCCATCTGAGATCCCTCCGAACATGCATCCGCAGCACTATCCTCATCCCCATTCACACTCACCTCTGGGGCAGACGAACCTTCACGACTCATCTTCAGATTTCAATAGTGCCCTTCCACCTCTGCGGGTTCAAGCTGGAAACTCCCAATATATCACACTCCCTCCTCTTTCGTCCATTAGTACTAATGGGAGCGCGCCTCCACACCCCCTATCCGATACGGGTTCACACGAAACTTTACACCTCGAGCAGGAGATAGGGATGGATCCAGGAAGACCACCAGGGAGTCCCATGCATCCCATGTTCCAAGAACGACCATCACTACCGCCCTTCTCTCATATTGCCTCAATGGCCGATCAAGGTGCCGAAATGTTAGACAACCCTTAGTGTTGTTGGATATTTTGGCAACGTCTCGTCACTGCACCTTGGTCCACCAGTTTTCTGGTTCTCGCCATCACACCATTCCCCAAATCAACCGCTCGTTCTGTCAATTCATCCACTCAATCTTCTTGTTGCATCTGTTGTCCCTCACTCCCTGGAAATTTTCGCCACATTCAGCATACAATGATACACTGCATATACCGTCCGTCCCTCACAACCTTTTCTGTCCCCATTTCCTTTTTTCCCTCCCATGTTTCATCTGTTCCATCACGATCGTCAAAATTGGGTTTTTCTTTTTTCTATAATGCATCTCACATAGGGAGGTCTGTCCACGCCGCTCATTTTTGTGTTTCCCCCAGAATTCGCCTTCTCCTACTTGTTCCCTGCCCATCCCACCCCTGCTTAGTCCTTCGTTTCCAAGATGAGCGATCCCCTCCTTAGTCTTTTATTCCTCTTCTTGGCCTACTTTTCAAAAGGGAGCTTTACTCCATGGACAGTAATTCGAAGAGTGGGCTGCATGTCATATATATACCTACAAGTCATCATGTAATTGTCCTTGCTAGCAAGAATAAGATATTCGGAGGATTGTCCCACTGGTCATGAGGCCGATTCCCGTCGGTATGTTGATTCTTTTGAAAGTCAATTCTACACACGCCAAAGCGAGAGATTGTTTTCGCATCAACAATGCATCCACAGGTAGCACGGTCAGTGGATCGCATCTTCGATTTCATAATCATGATTCCCGTGGGCTCCCGCGCAAATTCATCGCCGATCTTGAGCACGTATAAAGCCCAATCAGGATCCCAAATCCAGCACCACTAGTACTGATGATTTCTCATGTTTGCACCCAAAAAAATCTCACGGAAATCATGGCCACTCGTGGCTTGAGTAAATGGGCAAACAGACGCATGCAATTATTTGACCGAGACATTCCCATCCAGATCTGTTGTTTTGACAATCAATCTCACATTTGCGGCTGTTGAGTTACATATCGACTTATCCACAGTAAAAAATACCCAGGAAGTTGGATCTTAAACATATTTGCGGGCGAAGACGGGGGATCCAATTAATATTGGTATGAGTCGACGCGAGTTCTAGAAAGTTCAGACGTTTCGAACGTCGGCGGGCAACCGGCTGCACAGAAGTTTGATCAATGGCGATGTGCGTACATTTGATCAAGGTGGATAATGTCGAATAATTACATGGCGACGGCGATTATAATGGATGCGCAACCCTGGAGGAAAGGAAGCTCCTCCTGGAATCTCATTACTTATGTAATGAGGACCAATACGATGGTAGACACATCAGAATGGTAACCGCGCCGCCAGTAGCACTCTCACTGACCATATATGCGCGGATATGACTCGTAGGAGACCAGGGGCGTCGCGGTGTGCAAAAGTTGATAGCAAAGTTTCCATCCTAGGCACACGACTGATGTAGATACGCTTCGAAGGGCACAAACGCCAAGCGGATGGCTGCAGTATCATCGTCACCCAACGATACCGGAGTTTACAGCACTCTCCTCTCGCAGCGAGTATCATCATGGGTGGCGCGGCATGTTAGGGAGCAATAATGCATGCCGCATTTTTGACATGAATAATTCCCCCAGTAGCCACAAATGGAGCAAAAGGGACGTCTGGGTGTGGTCGGTGGAGCAGCCACTGCATTGAGGTAATTTGGTTTATCCATCGAAGTGGATGTTAACGAGGACTGCGAGGGTCATGAGGGTCATCGTTGTCAGGGGAGTGAAGAGTGACACGCACATATTCGTCAATAAGGGCACTGAGATTTTTTCGGTAAAGAAGGATCCTTCGAACGTTGGCAGAAGACTTTCGCTTCTTATCCGAGATCGTGGACCTTGTTCTATCTTTTGCAGAGCCGCCTCCAGTGTTTGGGCCATCCGCATCAACTTCCTCGCCTATTATGGAGAACTTGGGCTCCGTGTAGTTGGATCTCTAGATACCACACGAATATAAAGAGCTAGACATAAACAGGTGATAGGGTTTACTCGCTTCCAACTCTTCAAGATGTCGTTTCGTTCGTCGAGCAACTTGTTCGGTGGTGGGGCCTCCTGCAGCGGCGGCAGCCTGTGCCTGTGCATGAGACTGACGAGAGGCTTTATGACCATGTCGGCGCGCTCAGGCCACTCAGAAAATACAAACGCACATTTTTTGCGCCCCAATAACGTCGAGCCTTTGGGAGGCATGGATGGATGGATGGATGGATGTATTCATTTTAAAGTACGTAACCGTGCCTATCGGCATATGCCGTACTATAGTGACTCGGGTGAAAAAAGTTTGGAGAACATAAGGATGTGAAGAAAGGAATTTGTGTGACCTAGGAAGTATGAGACATCGAGTAATCAATGGTGTGAAGGAGAATAAAGTGAGATGAAGCAATAACACATAAAGGGGCATGCGACCCCTGCACTGAGATTGAACAACGGGTGAGGGAGAATGGAGGTGGGAAGAGGTTGTATAGAGCCAAAGAAAAGGACACGCGACCCCCAGTGTTGGGGTCGCATGTTTTGCTGCTGTGTGCCTATGGTTAAGTCAATGTTTGAGTGCGCGGTTCTTGCGGGTGGGTGAGGTGGAGGGTGCTTTCACGGGTTTATGTCACGGTAGGCTGGTGAATGTTCCAGTGGCAGCGAAAGGCGATGGGTGTTGGTGGCATCTTGCTCATGCTTGTTGAATAAAGGCATGCGGCAGATAGGCCTTTGGTAGAAGGGGTAGTGGAGAGAAATGAAAGTGTTGGGGTGACGGCAGGACTTGAACCTGCATTCCTTGCAGTCAACTTTTTGTCGGCATATGGGGCTATCGTTGGCGCTACCACTATCGCGCCTCGTCACTAAGAGGTAGTGGAGAGAAAGATGAATCGGAAGGGTGTTGGGGTGATGGCAGGACTTGAACCTGCACTCCTCCGGCCTGCCCATGGACTTATGGAGGCTACCATTGGCGCTACCACTATTGCACCTCACCAACCCAAAAGGTAGTGGAGAAGAGAAAAAGAAGGAAGGGTTGGGGTGACGGTGGGACTTGAACCCACAGTCCTCTGGCCAGTCCCGTCTGGGCTTACGGAGGTCACCATTGGCGTTGCCACTATCGCGCTCGTCATCCCAAAAAGGTAGTGGTGAGAAGAAAAAGGAAGGGTTGGCTTGACGGCGGGACATGCACCCGCGCTCTTGCATCTCTCCAGCCAGTGCGGCTCTGGGCTTACGGGGTTGCGGTTGATTGGCATTACCACGGTGGCCACGTCATCCTCCCTTCAGATGTTAGAGGCCTAATTAGTTTTAAACAGGGGCACCGCGTGAAGGTTTAGGCCCGTGCCGGGTGTTCGCTGTGGTAGCAGAACTCCCCCTCGACTGACATCCATCGTCGAGGCCCTTTGGGAGGCATTTGAATCGAGTTTTGGGTCCAAAAAGGTCACGTTGTAGCGCGGTTCCGCCACAATATTCCGAGTCAACTTTTTGCCACCACCACAGTCCTGGTGCAGTGGATAGCTTAGTGTAGTAACAACATTAATTGGTGTGTCGGGCAGCGGGCCTCATCTTCACATGGCGCCCAAGCGGGCTGCCTCTACAGGTATATTCAACGTGTTCTGCGAGGTGATTTGTCAGAAATGAAGCGAGCGACGTACAATAGCTTTCACCCCTGCGCCTGCTCCAGGCTCGACTCCCACAAAGCGTCCTAGGCGAGCGAGACCGGGAGAAGGCGAAGACGAGGAGCTGAACTACGAGCTCTATTCAGACGAAGAAGATGATGTGAATGAAAGCGCTTCGAAGTCTTTGGTGCCACGGTCTGCCACGATCAATCTCGCTGCACTCACGAGAAAGCTTGCCGCTCAAGCCAACAAACAGAGGTCCGATGCTGTTTCGCACCTTTTTGATCAGCAAGATTACAGCTTTCTATCTCTGCGGACGGACCATCAACACAGACCTTTCTGGATCAGTCCGGATGACGGGCACATCATCTTGGAAGGGTTTTCACCCATCGTGGAGCAGGCTCAAGACTTTCTTACAGCGATTGCTGAGCCTGTTAGCAGGTTAGTCCTGCGGCGTTCACCTTACAAACATTTCCTGAACCATTCCCTGTGAAGGCCTGCCCTCATCCACGAGTACAAAATTACCTCATATTCTTTGTATGCTGCTGTCTCCGTTGGTCTAGAAACTGAGGCCATTATCGAAGTCCTCAATCGTTTGTCGAAAGTCCCTGTTCCCGAATCTATTGTCAAGTTCATTCGCGAATGCACCTTGTCATATGGCAAAGTAAAACTGGTGCTAAAGCACAACAAGTATTACATTGAGTCGTCGTATCCTGAGGTCCTACAGACTTTACTCAAGGACTCAACTATCCGAGATGCAAGAGTCCAGCCAGGCGCAACGGAGAGTGAGAACATGAGTGGGAACGGTCTCCTCACTACCAAAGCACCCCAGAAGGGTAATCTCGTTATTGCTGGCACAAAGGCAACCGAGCAACCCGCATCAGCTCCCAAATCCGATGATTTATTCGCGTCTGTGGTCGGGGTTGCCAATGGTGAGTCGCTCCTGCGCGGGTCTTGATGCAAGTTCTTCATCCATCAGTCGACAGACGAAGTCGAGGAAGATGACGAAAACGTGCACTCGTTCGAGATCTCTGACAAGTTGATTGATGTAAGTGCAGCAGATAAATGGGCTTTTGCATACACCGTAAAACATGTGCGCAGGGGGTGAAACGTCGATGCAACGAATTGGAATACCCTATGTTAGAGGAATACGATTTCCATAATGACACCATCAACGCCAACTTGGACATTGACCTCAAACCCACCACCAACATCCGACCATATCAAATCAAGTCCTTAAGCAAGATGTTTGGTAATGGGTATGCACGGAATGCCTACCGCCGGAAATGATGTTGATCAGTGGTCTAGGCGTGCGCGCTCCGGCATCATTGTGCTTCCATGCGGTGCCGGAAAGACTTTGGTGGGGATCACAGCAGCCTGTACTATCAAGAAGAGCTGTTTGGTCCTTTGCACTTCGTCCGTTTCCGTGATGCAATGGCGTCAGCAATTTCTACAGTGGACCAATGTTACCGATCGCCAAATTTGCGTTTTCACTGCTGAGCAAAAGGAGAAGGTGAGCCTTGTTGATTTACTACTGCCCATCGCTGGGTTTGATCTCCTCGATGGATTAGTTCGCTGGCGATAGTGGTATAGTCGTGTCTACATATTCCATGGTGGCCAATAGTGGAGTGCGCTCCCATGACTCAAAGAAAATGATGGACTTCTTAACGTCACGCGAGTGGGGGTTTATTCTCCTGGACGAAGTGCATGTAGTGCCCGCTACGATGTTCCGGAAAGTTGTGTCCACCATCAAAGCTCATTCAAAGTTAGGTCTCACTGGTGCGCGGTTCTTCTGACATGCGACAACCCAGTATTTTTATCGATTTCTTAGCCACCCTGGTTCGTGAGGATGACAAAATCTCTGATTTGAACTACATGATCGGGCCCAAGCTGTATGAAGCGAACTGGATGGACTTGGCGGCCAAAGGCCATATTGCGAATGTGCAGGTACGTTTAGAACGTGTGTATTGTACGGCACTGGGCTCACCACCGTCATCAGTGCGCCGAAGTATGGTGCCCCATGACTCCGGAATTCTATAGTCAGTACCTGGAAGAGCAAAGTCGGAAGCGTATGCTTCTGTACTGCATGAACCCAAAGAAGTTCCAAGCGTGTCAATTCCTGATCAAATACCATGAGGACCGTGGCGACAAGATCATAGTGTTTTCGGATAACGTGTATGCACTAGAGGTTAGATGAGGGTCATGTGTGTGGCCGTGTGTGCTAACTTTTGTTTTAGATGTTTGCCCGGAAGCTTGGAAAACTATACATCCACGGGGGGACGCCGCAGGCTGAGCGGATGCGTGTGCTTCAGCATTTCCAGCATAGCCCCGAAGTGAACACGATTTTCTTGTCGAAGGTATGATCGGCATGACACCAGCTTTGTTGTCCCATGTTGATAGCCGAATTGCAGGTCGGAGACACGTCGATCGATTTGCCTGAAGCTACGTGTCTGATTCAAATATCGTCGCACTTCGGTTCGAGGCGGCAAGAGGCCCAACGTCTTGGTATGTCCTTGTGTAGTTGATACGTTCGGTTCTGTTAATCATATCGGAAACCACAGGCCGTATCCTCCGTGCAAAGCGTCGCAATGATGAGGGCTTCAACGCATTTTTCTATTCTTTAGTGTCCAAGGACACTCAGGAAATGTATTTCAGCTCTAAACGTCAACAGTTCCTGATCGATCAAGGATACTCATTCAAAGTCATTACCCACCTGCATGGGATAGACTCATATCCTGACTTGGTCTATAAAACTCGCCAAGAGCAACTGGAGCTTCTGAGCTCCGTGATGCTTGCCCAGGCCTCTGCGGCAGATTTTGGGACTGACATTAAAGGTGGTGCCGATGATCTTCCTGGTTCTGTCACATCGAAAGATTTCGGTGCCCCGAACGTGATAAGGACTGCCGGTAGTATGGCTGGTCTTAGCGGTGGTAGTACGATGAGTTACATGGAGACGAAGAAGAGCGCCAATCGGACTCTGAACAAGGATAATGGGTTCAAGCATGCTCTATTCAAGAAACGGGATCAAGTAATTAAAGACGCCAGGAAAGCCGCGGCTGCAAGTGCAGGGAAATAGTACAGCATGGCTGTATATTACAGCTGATAATAGTATTACAATCCATGTGGTGACACAGCAGAGGGTTGAGGAAATATGCAAGACTCCCTTAGGATTCAGGCGCCTTGCCCTTATCAACTTTAGCTTCGGTTTTAGTTGTTTCTCCTTCTGAGCTACCTTGCTCGGGGAGCCAAAAGGCCTAAGGGAAGGCCTATCAGTATCAATTGATATCAATAACAACCAGTGCGACACCAACCAGCTCCGAGCCCGCAGTTGCCATCATCATGAACCTGGGATTGAACCTCACACAGCGGCTTGGACCTGGATGTCCTTCCAGCGAGAACGCAGGCTTCAAAACTGTTGGATCAGTTCCTGGAGGGCCCGGTGGAGGCAGGGATTCAGGCTCCGACAAATCCCACACGTGCACGCGCCCATCTTGACTACCGCCACAGACATATTTTGAATCTGGCGTCCAGCACACTTCACCACCACTAATTCCTCTCTCGGGGACCATCCCAACATGATTCCCAGACTTTCCCCTCTCCAGCCCGATGAAACCCTCGAGCTTGTAAAGTAATGTCCCTTCGAATGCGTCCAACACATAATGTGCATCGCCTGCCGTGCCGACTAGAAGGTGTTTACCGTTGGCACTAAATGCCAAGCTAGTCATTATTGGCTTTCGAGGTGGGAAACTGATTTTATTCAGTGATACGTCTTCGAGAACGATATGCAAAAATGGCTCTTTGTCAAAATTCTTAGTATCGTAAAGGTTGATTCTCTGGTAAGCATTCAAAGCCACAGCGAAGATGATGCCATTGGCATCATAAGCAGCGATCGCAGACGCCGGCAAGCTGAGTTCTCCCTGTTGTAAATGAATCAAGTTGAGATAAGTGATACTTTTCGGGGAACACACCCTGGGTTTTGAGGTGCGAAGATCCCATAATTTCACTGTCTTATCCTCGGAACCAGAAAGGAAGCCATCATCGACTGGAGACACATCGAGCGACAGCACTCTGATGATACGGTTGCTTATTAAGACGATTGGGCGTATTCAAGGATTTCGTACCGTCGAGTGTGACCCTCAAAATACCTCAAGTATTTATTGTCATGCAGGGAATGATAACGAATAATATCATTTTCTTTCGTTGATATATGCAGAATCGTCGTTTCCTTGTGCGTGAATCTGGGAAGATCGATGCCATATTTCTTCGAATAAAGCGTCTTCACGTGCCTAAGTGGATAGGGCTCGTCGACAAAGCCCGAGTTACCTGGAAAACGCAGGACTCACTTGCCACTCTTGCAGCTATACAAACGGAACGATTCATCCTCGCCAGCAGTGATCAGAGTATGACCGTGGTCGTCAAAACACATTCCAGTGATCTGGCGCGGGTAACCTCCAGACGGGGATTTGGACGATGATGAGGTACTGGGTGTGTCCATCTCGATCGCGTCCTTGAAGATCCGAGCTGGTCTGAACTTGTTCTGATATTGATATGACGCTTCAGTGCATTCATTCACGGTTACGCATGGTCTGGAGCGTACAAATGTGGGTGCCATTAAGGGAAATGTAGGCTGCGAAGGTTTCTCCGCCATTTGGACGTGAGGCGCTCTCTGATCGCTCAGGGGGTCACGTGTGCGGCGAGAAATTTCTTGAGATTTGGTCGTCTATCAACCCAACCCTCAGGACCAAATCCTAGTCAATGGCACTGACTACAGAGGAGGACCGAACAATTTCTCGATTGTGGAAAATCAGCAGAACGGTCCATGAACTAGTTCGGGACAGGGTATGTTGTGACCAAACCCTCAACAGCTTCCGATGCACTCAGCATTTCCACAGGGGTACGAAGTGTCCCAAGAAGAACTGACGCAGGATATTGCAACCTTCAGAGCGTACGCTGCGCCGGGAGGCACGATCGAGTATGTATTGCATCCCCCAAGCTTGTAGCTGTGCTGACTTGATTTCTGCACGTAGCCGAAATAGGCTAAACTTCTTCACCAATCATCAAGTGACTGTAGATGACCGAATATTTGTGTTTTTTGCTGATGAGAAGAACGTGAGCGTAAAACTTATGCGACGGTAGGTTCCAAATCTTCGGGCTGTCTTGTTGCCACTCATTGCCGATAACTAAGTTTCCTTTCCATATTGGAAGAGAAACAGATAAAACGGGGAATTATCATCTACCCCGAGAAGATGACGCCCTCAGCGAAGAAGGTTCGCCTTTAGCTCTCGCAAAACTCGCTCCCAAATGTAGACGCTTCCTTTGCCATAGGTTGTCACGGGTATAAGTGATTATGAGTTAGAGGATTTTGAAGAATCAAGCTTGCTCGTGAATATCACAAAGCACACTCTTGTGCCGAAGCACGAGATATTGACGCCTCAAGAGAAGAAAGAACTTCTGCTTAAGTAGTAAGTCAGCTCACAGTTCCAAGTCCGCTAAGATAACTCAGATTCATCTTGCATTGTGAATGATCTCAAACGTAGTCGACTGAAAGAGACACAATTGCCACGCATCCAACTTACGGACCCGGTGGCCCGTTATTACGGGCTTAGACGGGGAGATGTTGTAAAAATCACTCGCCCGAGTGAAACCGCTGGTCGATATGCTAGCTATAGGATAACCTTTTAGCACGGCTAATGTAATATGTACTTAATTCAGAGATTATCGAGTGTGGTGGTGCGATCAGCAATAAGGCCACCTACACCTAATCCATCCCTATCCAGAATGGGTAAGAATGCTCGTTCGTCAAACAAGTAAAGGGTTGGAGCACCAGTTTCCCACACCTTGTGCAAGTCTGATTAGGATTGACTCAGGGAACGCAGCGCCAATCCAAATGGAGGATTTCTACAGAATAGGAGTTGGTTGGGTTGACTGCACTTGGTTTGCATCGAGTAAATATCCCTTACGCCATTCATAGGCTGAAATTATACCAATCATTTCCCACCGACAAGTTGGTAGGAATACCTGCTTGTGCAAGACATTGGTTCCGGGACGTCTGAAGGGACTCAGCAAGACACTCGGCGCCTGATCGATCCAAAATTGCTTGATGAATATCTGCTCTAGGCCGAGGAGGGGATAAGTAAAATAGACCGTCAAACAGTGCCCGACATGGGGAGTTCATAGTCATCATAATGGCGAGGGAGGCAAAGAAACCCGATGCGAAGGGGTTGCTGACACACTAGGAAGGCTTCTAAGTGGAGAGATTGAAGGGGAAATTTTGACAGTTTCGCGCAGTCAATCAAGAACCGGAAGGCCTCTGGTCTTTGTAGCGGTGTATTCGCTCTGGTTGACTGGGCGGAAATTCCGACTTCAACCGTTGAGAGAAACAATGCTTTCGACGTATTTGAAGTCATATATTGGAATATCATTTAGAAACACCATGCTAGATGGTTGATCGGTTGGATTGAGTCTAACACTGAAAGCCGCAGGTGGGATGTTCTGGCTTGGGAATCTGAATAGCTTTCAACAGTTAGAAATCCGAAACCTTGTCGGGGACGACTGCCTGGGATCCACAAGCGTAAGCTTACAGCCATAGAAATTCATATTCGAGCATCTTAATCACTCACCAGAGCAAACGAACATCATGGCATCCCAGAAGCGCCAGGCCGCCGCCCGTAGTTTGCATTCTGTCTAGGGGTAGTGGTATCACTAGCAAGTGAAGGTTAATACAAACATCATCGCACTTCCCATTGCAAAATTATCCTTCACAAGCACGATTCCATGAAATGGGCCTGCTTGACACATAGAGTTTAGTTTTGCCTCTTAATTTGCAGAATAAGGCTCGTAAGGCCCGTGTTCCTTTCCAGTGACTAGCTCCTTCCCAAGTTGGGGGGTCGATGGTGGGGATGCCAGGGCTGAGTCCCATAATGCTCCTAGAATCAACTCTTCTGCAAATTTGTGTTGGTTCGTATGTGTAAGAAGCATCTTATTTCAGTCGACTTGACCACACGCTCAACGTGACATTTGACCGCATTTCGAAACTGTACCAACCCTGAATATCATCGACAGTCTCACCCTATAGGGGCACAAGAAAGGCAACCATGCATCGAGACGCGCATCCGAACCCCTCGCTGAGTTTGGCGCTCAGCAGGGTCCGGCATAAGTAGCGTGAATTGGTGCCCCAGAGTTACTTGTAAAAAAAAAAGACGTCCCAAAGCTTATTCTAGAGATCACGTTGCGCGCCCCGTAGTAATCATTGTAGAGAATACTCTCGTGAATTAGGGGGAGGTCTCCTCTTTCTCGGGGAATATGTCGAAGGACCAGATGCGACAGATTATCACAGAGATCTCGGGTTCGGCCAAATATGGCGCGAAAGGGGATTACAACGGGAATGCAGCGTCTGCAGCTGGATGCCAACAAGTAAAAGCCAGTCTCTTACTACACAACACTAGAAGCTACTGCGCCCACGTCCGCGGAGAACCAAGACAGATTAATTATCAACCCTATTGCCGCACCTGGCAAATGGCAACGATCGTCAAAGAAAGGCTAGGAGCAGTTGGAATTATGCAGTAGCTCAGCTCAGAGGGTGCCCAATCCTGTTTGGACCTTCATCAATTTCTTCAATTCCGTCCGGATATATCAAAGCGATCGCAGTGTTGTGCTTATTTGGCCCCCCTACCATTCGAATGAATTGGGCACCCAACCGCCTAATCGTTCTGCCGGAGGGCCACACAAAACCGTTCAACTCTTGATGTATGAATTACCGCTGCATCACCACATAACCATATTCGGGTTACAGGAATGTGGAATGTGCCCATCCAATCATTCTTCGATGGAGAAGCAGTGGTGAAATGTGAGAGAATTACATAGCACGGTGACAGGGGAGCGGTGAATTGATAAACAAAAGGGAGGACATGATGTATTGAAGTCTAAGAGTAGAAAGAGACTCGAGCATTGACGGTTCCCAGTGCATTGGGGGGAGAACGCTGGAAGAATCGAGTTTTGGTTGCGCCACCACATGAGATTCACAACCGCCCACTTTACGCACCCACCCAGGAAATTGGGCAGAATTGGTCGAGCTTGCGTGAAGGCGAGACAAGATCTCCGCGGACATGACGCGACAGGAGGTGGAGGTTAAATGGACCATGGGCCGCAGACCCATAGAATGTCCCAAAGCAAGGGTCAATACGTTGCCCCGAGGAGGTAGGCAAGGCCCAATGGGGGGACGTAAGCCCAGTGAATACCTAGACCATTCACAGCCGGAGCGAAAGCTACCGCCACTGCTGGGTACGAGTCTGGGTCACGATTACCTTGCTTGCGAAACTTCTCGCTCTGGGAAGCATGACACTAAATTGTTCCTGGTTTTCCCATCATTCGTCGCACGTGTTCTTCCTTATCAACTTCCGGGATCCTGTCAGCCAGAGGCACAAGCTGCGACTAAACCTCGGAAAAATCGGTGAGGGACTAGGAAGGAGTCTGGAGACACAAGGCAGCGCAGCAGTCATTAATATTGTCGTGGTTTAATTGAGGCCCCCATGCGTGGCGCAATTTTGAATGTGGGCCTTTCCCCAACAAACTGTCACGTCACACTTGGCCTCGGTTCGCGATGAGCTTCGCTCCGCCCATTTACTACCCAAAGGCAGATTACATTGAAACTGTCTGTGACTGCATGCATTGCACGTAGGCACGCACGCGCTTATACCATCCCTAGGATACAGGAAACAAGGTCTCGAGAAGGGCGACTATCGCTGGGCCGCAAAACATTATCTTGGGTGGGAAGACGATCATTTCTAGTCAGGCAATCATCCGTGGGGATCTCAGGAGAACAGGTCCGGGGCATGCAGTAGTAATTTCAATTGGCCGCTACTGTCTCATCAGCGAGGGATGCATATTGAGGTCAGCTTTCAACTTGAAAGCATACTTGAAACGTGGTCGACCCTGTCCTTAAGGCCCCCTTACAAAACCTATCGCGGAAATTTCAACTACTATCCCATGAAGATTGGGGACTACGTCCATATTGGGGCCAACAGCGTAGTTGAGGCAGCCATCATTGGAAACTATGTAAAGATAGGGAAAAACTGTATGATAGTGAGTCCAGTGATCTGTTCCGTTTTGCTTGCGTCGTCCAGATCTGATCGTGCTAATGAAGGGAAAATTTGCTACCATCAAAGATTGCGCGGAAATCGCTGACAATACTGTTCTTCCACCCAACACTGTGGTGCCCGCACTAGCACTTTTTTCAGGATCACCTGGTCAGTAGTTTTCCGATTCTGGACAATAGCAAGTACTTCCTCATTGGCACTGCTCTAGGGAACTTCGAAGATAATCTTCCAGAATCCACGCAGGAGCTCTTTGAGTCTCAAGCGAAGAGCTACTATACTCGATTTCAACCCCTTGAACCATAATTGGGGACGTGACTTAGATGATATCACGACGGTTCCTTTGTAACTGGAAAAGTGGAAGTTGAAGGACGGCAACGTTGTTAAGAAGAGTTATATATTGGATGGGGAAAATATGGAAGGACCTATAGCGGATACAGCACTCTCGGGCGTGAAGCCATCATGGACCAGCTGTTTGGTTCAGATGCCGATTGCTCATGCATTCAGTTAACATGTTCCATGTGCTTTTTGCAGCGTCCAATACGGTGGGAGCTGATATGAGTGTGCTAACATGCTGTCCATTAGACATGAATCGTTGTGTACACACGAGAGCAAATTAGTGTGAGTGTCATCCATTAGGAACGGTGTAATAGTTCGGTGGATTACAGAACAACAGACCGATCATTTTCATCGGTCCGACGAGCTTTTCATGATGTCAGAATTTAAATTAACTTGGAGGGCTGCCATGGTATTGGAGGAAGGACAGGCGGCGGTCGATCTGTGACAAGATCCAGAAGGGTCGGGCATCATGGTCGAAGATCGGGAATAGTGCGGAGACAGCACCGGGCCCCAGGATCAAATGACCGTCACAACGCTAACCCAAATAACGTTAACATGAGTGTTCAATAGTGTCCAGTTACCCCCAAGTTCCCTCGGAGGAGTGGATCACTCACACACAGACGGACATGAGGATCCGAAACATTTGATTTGATTTGGTGGAACTGAATCAACATGCTTGATCGGCTAGCGCTGCGATTTTCAAGGCATTGTGAAGCTCGTATAGCGTGGCGATATAGCCATAGTGAGGCGGCCACAAAATGACAAAATGTCCGATGTATTATGTCTATCATCTGGCAATTTGTCATGTCTGAGGCCTAGGGATACCGGGTTCAGTTCGGAGAGCCCAACCGATGGTCCTAAATCGCAATCGCGATAACAGATTTGCTCATACTCTGGTACAGTTTGAAGGGTTGAAGATGATTGCTTGGGCTCGGTATTGAACTGGATCTTGACGCTATTCGGTTATCGAACCCCTAGCCTCAGCTATCACCAACAGAACACCGTCCTATCTTGATGAATATGTGAACCATCGTGGTAGAGCACATGGCTTGGAACCCTGGCGAGAGTCTGGAGTCCCAAATATTATCGTACATCCAGGCGATCAATGTGCACCACTCTGACCCTTACACAAAGGTTGGAATCAGCACATGCATTGGTTATGGCCATGCACCCCTAGGGGTCTTCGAACACGAATCCTCCTTGTTTTTCAACAGCTTCAAGGTCCCTGTCTATCCTTGTCTGCAACACGTCACGGAATTCCTTGTCCACCTTAAACTGAACATCAATGTATCCTTCTCTGGCGTCGACAACGGCGCAGTCTACCACATCCCGACCCTCGATCTCCCTTAGTTCCAGAATTGGATTGGAACGGAAGACGCGGATATACCGATTTGCAAGCCAGGCAGTATGGAACCGGGTGCACCCAGGAAAACCAAAGTGTGCAGAATTCCAGTCATATCTGTTCGAAGCCAGGACGAACATATTTAGAAACCCAAGGAAGCAGACGAGAAGCATCAGAGAAGCATCAATGACAGATTCGTTCATTGTCGAAGTCCTTGATAGGGGTGAGAGAACTCACTGTGCATTCCCATTCACAGTGGCGCCATGCTCTGGGGGTACGATACAATAAGCCCTGTTAGCTTCAATAGCGTCGATCATACAGGATTGGGCTTTCGCTAGCTCGTCCGGATGATTCTCGGCTCCCTTGCACGAACAATAGATCGGCGGATAGCAAGAGCCATAGATGACATCGAAGTTTGCTCATTTGGTCCAAACAGAGGATTCGTCGAAATAATTGCGGTGCCATTACCGCTGATATACTCCGATCCTGCACAGTTCCGAAACTGCCACATTCCATCGTCAGTACGATGGCAGCCGCCGACGGGGTCATGGACGAATGTAGATATGGGTCAAAAGCAAAATGGAAGATGTAGCCAACATACGTTAAAGTTATTCCTTATGAAAGTCACGCGTCGATCTGGAGGTGAGTGGCGATTGATCAACGATACCAAATATCCTGCAACAGCATCAAGGCGGCTAATTTGGTGGATCAATGCCTCGGGGAGTTCGAGGGAGGCGAGGCGAGATTCTGCATCTACCTGAGGCCATGGAGCGGAATCGAGACACCGAGATGTGGACTTTCCCGTTGTATCAACAGCATCCTTCACAATAGTACTCCTTAATTTCTCTAGCAGCTCAGGGGAAAACCTCAAGTTAATGGGGGAAGAGTTTCTGTAATCTGAGATGTAGCGACGCTGTGCAGCGGGAACATCAAGATGACAAGTGGACCAAAAATCAGGAGCCGGAATACTTTGGTTGAATGGTAGGTCTGGGGCTGGGTCATGAGATTCTCCGATACCTTTATCTGGGAGGAAAGTTTTGGGTTCTTGCAGTTCGAAGGGTTCAGGGTTCTGTTGCTGGTAGAAGCTGGACAGCGTCTTTGTGAATCGCAGAAGCTGGAATCCATCAGCTATAAGGCGTGTGAGTGTGAAGTAGAATTATTTGCGTGTGATAAGTAATGCAGGACGTAATGCACTTGATGTATGCCTACCGAGGAAATGGGATACTGTCATGCCGATGGCAGTCTCATTCGATTCAGGGAAGAATGTAAGCTTGAATGAAACGAGTGGTTTATCATTGTTTATGAGGTTGGCAAAATCTATTGGTTCGATATAGCGTCCAAGGGTGTCCAACACGACGAATGGATGCTGAATGGCGCGCCCATGACTTTTCACAATGCTCACGGGAACAGAAGAATTTGTTAACTCAATCTGTTGTGATCAGTGAACCAAATGTAAACTGGATTGTGAATGAAATCACCCACTTTCCATTCCTTGCTCTTGCTGTGTCGAAGACGCCCAGCAAATGTCGGAAACTGTGACAATGTGCTTGCTAAAGCCTCACTAAAGCGTGGGATGTCCAAAAGAGTGGGGATGATATGAAGATTCTCAATCTGGACACAGAGGTGTTGTCCATGAGAGAACCACGACGTTGCTGGTTTGAATCAGCGTCACCACTTACAAAAATAAAGTTCCACAGATCAGTTCCCACCAAACCTTGATGAGTGCGACCATCGGCTACAGTGGGTAGAGAAGGTGCAACTGAAAAATTGCTCATGATGCAGCGCGATCACCGCCGCGGAATCCCAACGCACGGGATTGAGATAGCGAGCAGAAGCTGGGACGTTATGTAAGACGATGATCCTCGTGTCTAGAGCGGTCACCAAGTGAAATCCTGGCAGCCAGGTTCGAAAACCTCAACAAACGGCAATCACCGGGCCCGCGGTGTTATCAAATTGAACTTGAAGGGGCGTGTCACAACAGTTCAAATCGGATCTGCGGCCCCACCATCGTGCCCTTTCCGATTTTTTACTTATGCAAAGTTCATCGTTCAAACAATATGCCAGGGTACTTATTCCTAGTACTCCTCTAAGCCAAAAAAGACATTTTCTCTGAGCTTGTCAATTTGCAAATGGATTTTTAGGGCCAATTTGGGGCTCTCCATCTCCGAGACGCGATAAGCAAAGGAAGACGCGCCACACTTTTGGAGATCGCAAACTCTTTCTGGGGACTCGACCCAAATGCCCGGAGGGCTGCCTTGAGTACGCGCTACGGTGATATTCTGCGAGACTTGGATTGCTTCATCTCCCATTTAGATGCTGCTGAGTCGACGGTGGTAGATGTGGGGGATTTATCAACGCTTCAGGATCCATTAGATTTTTCAGAGCCACCATATGGCATTGTCCCGCAGCGCGGTGTGATTGTTCGTGTCGGCTTTAGTTCGGACCCCGCATGGAATTCCTTTCTGGAATCCGTGCTTCAAACTGAGCGAGATGGGATCAAGGAATTGCTAAACACCGCCGGTGCGGAAAACCAAGAACAGAATGATAGCGGGGGAGAAAGCAGCAGCGAAGAGGACACCAATCTACCTGAAGAGGGTGAAAGCTCGAGCCAGCGGCAGGCTGGGCCTGCACCTTGCTCGCCGCCGTCCGAAACTTTTATCGTGATTGATCCTTCGGATCCAACTTCACCCTATCACCACCTCGCCCCTCGACTACAGAATGCGACAAATATCACCCTTTTGAGACTCTTCAGTGATTTGGACATTATTCCCACCTTGCCAGTTCCTCCACAACAGCGAATACCAGCCAGAGCTTCTTCTCCGCTTATTGACATGGATGGTCTACACGAGATATACGAAGGTCGGACCGTCTGGGTCTATGATGAGAAGTCCAATCAAGATGGTTCTGTACGCCTCATTGTGCCTCGTCCAACTACATATGGACTCGCAACGTAAGTGGACTTCTATTCACTACAAGCGAAGGGGCATGGGATTCTGATAAGGCCCCTTTGATACTATATTTCTTTGCAATTGCAGCGGCGACAGCTGGAGAGTGCGCGCACCATTCATATGGGAGTTGCAGATTAATCTTTCTGGGGGGAACATGATGATAGATTTTGGTGGCCTGGACCGATATGATGCCATGGAAAGACGACGCAATCTAGAAGAAACCAAGCTTTGTGTATGAGAGCAATGGAATTTTAGGCGACCCTTGCTGCCCTTTTACATTAATGTTTGGTCAATGTTTGGAGTGATCGGTCAGCACGCACTAGTGCCTCAAGAGCTAAGCATGACTTCTTTTTTTTGCTTGATGGTCATTAATGCGACGATTGTTGGCTCATTCCGAGTTCAAGATGCGCGTTCCTGATGTGTTCTCTATTTCAGCTACCTCAAAATCTCTACTTTTAATGTACTGTGTGCACATGGGTGTTTGAATATACAATTTTTCGAGAAGTCATAAAATAATGAAGCGGAACAAGGTAGTTTGAAGGCATCGAACTCTGAAAGGGATAGGCCAATATACCAATAAATACCGAGAATGAGCAGGTGAAGCCAAAGCCTATACAATGGAGATAAGGGGTCGACTACGAATGAAGGACGACAGGGTAATGGTATATACTCCGGTGATCGGGGTTGGTTCTCGGAGAGTGGATTAGATGGCGGATAGCAAAAGGCATTTGATTGAGAATCATGGATGAGAACTAACATTGGCGGAAGGGTATCGATGGGGACGTGAGTTTTCGTAGACTCTCCATTCCCGAAAATAAACGAACGGCTGGCTTCTGATGCGGGCTCAGGAGTGTGTGCGAATAATTCCTGTGCCATTTGAGCGTGGGTTGGATATTCCAAACTGGTGACCATAGCCCTGGTGATCATTGTTTAAGGAGAACGAAACCGAAGTTGTGGGATCTGAATAAGGGGACATTACGTAAGATGCGACATTTGACGTCGGGCCTGTACAGACATCAAAGAAACGCGAATCGTTCGTGTCTTTCAATTGTTTATACGTGCCATTGATGCCGTTTCCATTGCCATTTGGGAGATCGAAGACAACAATCCCAAGTTGAGACCCATCCCTGCATCGAACCCTGAGGGACTCGACGAGGATGACAATCGCCCATCGGAGGAATGTGTATTTATAGATGGCAGGTGTGGCAGCGTAGAGTGATGCGCCGTCGAGGTGAGGGATGGGAGGCTGTGGGACTGGCCACCTGCGTTGGAAGGAGTGAATGGGCCAGGCGATAATCCCACACCAAGGTGACTGAATCGCGGCAAGTTCTGCCTGCTAGACATGCTCAGAGATCGGCCACTTTGCTGCTGCAATGAGGACATTTGCATGGAATTTTGCAGCTGAGGGAGAAGCGAGAAGTCCGTAGCAGAAGTTGAACGGTCTTCAGACGAGGGCGGGAAGGGGTTGCAGACTGAAGTCGAGGATGGGTACGACGAGGCGGTGTCGTCGATGTTGGGGACGTTATTGGGTGAAAATGGGGACGTTGGCCGCGAACCTGACCGTGACCGGGAACCCTCCAAACGATAGTTTCCGGAAGTTATTGTGGACCCCGATGATGATGGCTGGCCCATACGTCCATACGATGGGGGTGAGGAGCTTTTACAGGATGAGAATGAAAGGGGAGGTGATGGATAGCTAATCGTGCCGTTCAGCATTGTTGCCGCACCTGGTAAAGATCGAAGACTATGTGCCAATTGGCCCGCGATGCCTATGAGCTGGTGCCGAGTAGAAACGGAGGCTTGCATGCCCTCCGTCCAGTCGTGCGCGGGTCGCCATAATTTCTGAGGTGTGCCGGTTGCATGAGAATTTACTTCACGAAAGTATGTAGGCGGCTTATTGAGGATAATGACAGCCTTGTCTTGACCCATGCCAGGGTTGAAGTCAGGATAGTATTCGATGCAACTAATGCTGTCGTAAGGGATCCTCATCTTGAATCCGATGCCACTCGAATGGATGTACCACGTCAAGACCCGTCGTGTATCGCATGTATACGCTACAAGGTCGACAGGGGTGGAGTGAATGCGTCTCCAAGTTCCTATTGCTAGGTCTAAACAAGGAATGATCGTAATGGCTACAATTTGTGGCGAAGACGCAGCAGGACGCGTATAAGTAAACAGAACGCGGTTTCAATAGGGAAGAGTATTGCTTACGATCTTCTTCCTGTAGAAATGCATTGAGTTCGCCTGGCTTAGGAAAATATGGCGCAGGTGGATAACCACTGAAGCCGGCGCATGGGCCACCCAAAGCAGAAGAGGAATCGACCAGCGAGGCTCCAGGGGCGCTTGAATTCTGGAAGCGCGCTCGCTGCTCGAGCAACTTGGCCTTGGCACGACGGTTCTGGAACCATATCTGCGTCTGACGTTCGTCCATACCGAGGGCCTCACTAATTTCCTTGCGGCGGCTAGCATCAAGACTGCGGTCTTGAGCATACGCCCTCTCGAGATGCGCAAGTTGCGTCGGGTTGACGCGCCCGCGTTTGCGCTTGCCACGCTCTGGCCCTATGGCGGAGGATTTGTCAACGCGAGTGACACTTTCAGCATTGTCATCGGAGGTAGGTTGGGAAGAGAATCGCTTGACGGTAGGCATGGGGGGTTCTGGGGATTCTAGGAGTGGTGAATTGGATTGAGAAAATGTGTATCGATGTCAAACAGCCAGGAAGGACGATACCTGAGCCCATCAGAGGTGTCCACTACGTATAGGACGAGGATGGATGATACAAGAAGGAACAAGGGGGGTAATTGCGGGAGCGACACCAGATCTTGGGCCAAATCTAGAGTATTTATATATTTATATGCAAATATATCGTTTGTCTGATATCATTGGTCGGCAAGAAACAGAAGTCCCAGGAATGCCTTAGAATTCGAGATCGAGCATCCCCCAGGGGTAAAAATGTGGTTACAACAGTGACCGTAGGGATCCTGGGCTTGCTGCTAAGAAAAACATGAGCTTTGGCTGGAACATTCAGTGCTTCGTAACTCTTGTTGAAGCAAGGTTGATCGGGTTGAACCCGCCTCCGCGGCTTACGACTCGAGTAGAGTCAGGTATTAGGATATTGCTCATAAATTTTTGTAATTTTTTTCCTCCCGATGTCGAGGAATTTGTGCCGTGCACCCACTTGGGGACGCCTCTGAGTGCACATTGCGGAACGGCTTGCCTAATCGAGACAGAGAGGTTGAAACCAAAATAAATAGTCCAATTGAGTTGAATCAACTTGGAACGCTAGATCAATTGATTTTTGCAGCAATTGATTTCCAATTCAAAGCAAAGTTTCTGGTGGAATGAATTGGTGGAGGTCTCATACCGTGATGCCTGACAAAGGGGGATGGTTGTGTTCCCCATCATTTGGGTTTCGTCCCGGACCAGCGCTCACAGAGCTGGGCTACGACTGACTCACAGTTGTGCGAGAAAAAATATTGTCCTTAGTTTTCAGCTTGCTCGTGCTGCTTGGCGAACTAGGTCTGCACACGCAAACTCGGAGCCTCGAGTAAGAACCCAGGACATTTGGGTGACCGCAGCCTGCTCGCATTCATGCTTGCTCGATTCCTGCTAAACCATAATACAATCCAACGTCCCCGATTCCCATTTTCCATGGGCAATTCACACGTTTCCACATAATTTTGCTCACTGTGCCGCCTTTTCTGCTGAGAGTGTGTTATGGGTGGACTAATCGTCCTCTCCGAGGCTCTGTTCAAAGAACAGGTGTTTTCTCCGAGTTACGAGACATCTTGGGAAAGTTTTGTCTATTTCTGTCAAAATGGGAAATGGTCTGGTGCTTACAGAACAACAGATCATTCCTGTTCCTCCTTTCTTCAAGTCCCACCCTTTATCCGACATGCAGTCCATTGCATCCGATCGTTGTATAGCCTCGATGCGGACTTCGATCGAACCGAATCAATCATAAAATGTGACCTGTTTAGTTGGTTGAAGAGACTTTGCACTTGCCCCGAACGCTGGCATTCCTACTTTCGGGTCGCCCACTTGTGATCATCTGAGAGTCTTTCCTTGAGAATGCGACATCGTAACTATGTTCACTATAATTCATAGCCTTTGTAATTGCCAACTGCTGTCGCACTTGTGTTTAACCTGGTTTTCCCACAAGTTATCTCTTTCGGTTACACCGTTGTCACGAAGAGAGCGTATGATGATAAGAACAAGGCTTAATCGACGATTCGTTGCGTTAACAACCTAGGGAATATGTATAGAATGGTAGCGTCATGATGCCAGAAGCATATTCAGTCTGTGTTTCCCGGGCCTTACTGGCATTCGCTCTAATGATGGTACTATGTACTACTCCTTTCTTGGCCCCAGTGTGCGCATGACATCCCAACCATATGCTTGCAATATCCATGAGTGATGCGTTGAAAGCCCATTCAATTTGCAGCGCTTTCAGAAGCAGGAAATCTTGACTGCGTGTTTTGCGCGGATGTATGCTCGGCTGGACGATATTCGTTCGTAATCCTCCATCTTGAGAAAGGCTAAGGCTAAATTTCGTGGTAGGCACGACTGCAGGGTCACAGCCGATTTAGTCCAGTTTCGTTGCCATTGATCTGATCGAAATACATTCGTGCACTCGCTTCGGTTCGGCAAACACTCCTGCGTCGCGGGCTCCTCGACGCACGGCATGCATTCTAATATTATGGCACTCAGCTGAACCGTGTCACTTTTGACTGGCGCGCTTTCAAGTTAACAATGGGCGCTCATCGTTTTTTTGTTGCGCTGTTCATGACAAGTTTCAGTCCTTTGCAACTTGACGTCACACCTCCACTCTGGAGCCGTTGATCCCCATCACACAACTGATGATCTTGACCATCATTTTTTTCCACGTCGATCAACGGGTCGGAGCCTTACTTAACACAGATGGCAGCACTCAGTACTGGGGTAGATCCCGCTCGTGTTACTATCTTTGCCCTCGGCTTTACTTCGGTCAGGGCTTCGACCACTGCCTTGCTGAAACAATGTAACGGTACTCTAAGCTGGACTGAATTCCAGTCCATTCATTTGAGATGTCTTGATTCACCTTCGACTCCGACGAGTGGCTTCGCGGATTGCACGGTTTTTGTTTGAGAGGATGTCCTTCCCCAAGCAAACACCACCATGTCGAGTGACAGGATATCGCAATGCACGATATGCATCCTGGAATTGAGATTCTCTTATGTGTTATGCATAGCTTTTCAAGATGATCATTAACCGAAAAAAATGAGCTAAGTAAGACCCCCAAAAGAGTGGTCCATAGCGTAGTGGCGCACTGCAGGTAGTGTCTCTATCGACATGTCATTACACGCGATGATCAATGGCAGCGCGGAATTCACTACATATATTCCTGAAATGGGTTTTCTGTCTTGGACAAGGAATCGGATGAAGTCGGATAAAGGTGACAGCATGAGTCAAGAGCACGTGCACTAGAACAGCATGTGGCGAAGCGGGCGAACGTTTACACGGCAAGTTGGGTCCTGGCGACGAAACCGAGAAACCTCTCATTGCGATGCAAACACCCACAGACGGATGATCGTAACATTGTTGTACTGGATACAGGCACTGATGCACATGTTCAACTTTCGCCAAAAGTGCGAACCTCACTCCAATTGGGTTGAACTGGATAGTGAATAATTGATCGAATGATCCTTCAAAACCAAGGCATTTCTCCGATAGGCTCAATTTTAATTCTGGTCTTGTCGATCGTGCGAGTCTCTGAAGCGACGTCGTTGCACGCAAGAAGTAATGTCCGAACCCCTTAATCTTTATGTGCTCCCTGGACAACCTGAGAGTATTTACCCTCGTCGCTTGTTTATCGGTCGATGCTTCGCGCAGCTAGCTTCGGTCGTAATCATCTCCGATCTCTGCTTTCATATATTGTCTTGCTTCTGTCCCAGTGGGATGTTGGCGAGGTTTGATGGCGAATCAGAACTTCACTTGGCGCCTGCACACTATATATCCTCGCGTTGTAATTTTCCATAAGCGTGGGACCGGTGCGGTCGTTGCATGGCATGTAACGGTCCGCTTCGTTAGACCAGCTAGTTCGATTTTTTCAATGGCCTTGACCTACCATATGCTGATGAAGCGGGGGCCAGGAGTTTCCTGCCATAATGCCTTTGTATATGTCCCCCCCCTTTCATCCTACGAGGGAACCCTGTATCCAACTTCGCCCTCTCGATTGGAATTGTGTGAAAGCTCTCACCTTGGGAACTTCCATGACGATTTCTGGGTGACGTCTTTGTGATACGCAGTGTCCAGTATATGCGTGCTGTGCGCCATCATTCTAGCCGCTGAGCTAGCCACAGCCTAGATCACGGAGTCGCTTATTATAAGGGCATTACGCTATTCGATCCTTACAAAAGTCGTGCTCGCATGGTTTCACTCAGGGAATGGGGTTACTCTGGCTTTTATCAGGACGGATCGTCATTGGCTCCCGCGTCGAAGCGTCATGGGTTGTGGGCCCAACGGCTATTGAGGCCAGCGGTTAGGCGATATGGAGTGACTGGTGGGACCGAAACCTGTCTCATAATCGTCGGCAGGGCCTTCCGATCGTTCCCCTATCCGACATTCTGGTCACAAGTGAAACCCCGCGTAATGGACCGGGTGGATCTCGTTGGGGGACATTGTGAACCCCAGTGGGAATGAATCAGGATGGCAATTCACTGCTTTTTTGTGTTGTACCGATCACAGATCACGCTGTGTACCCTTCAGCGCCTATCTTGAATGCGTGGATTCTGGTCTTCCTTTCTGTTTCTTGGTTCAATTTTTCCACCACCAGTACGAAATTCAGTCGTCGGAAAATTACGAATTCGACCGGTGACTCGTCATCTCCAGTTCGCTTGCTTTCCTTGCTTTCCGGGAATCTGGACACGTTCAGTAATCGATCGCGCCATTCGGTCGTATCTGAATGGGACTCAAAAAAATTACTTCATTCATTAAACATTCTTCCGCAACCCAGATACCACTCTGAATCCAAACTCAGCCAAAAAGGCCCCGATGAATTTCTCTCGTTCTGTGTCGCCTTAGGGGTCCTCACGGTAATTGATCGCGAAATATTGTCCAGCGAGAACCGTTTGTCCGCTTTGTACCCCTGCCGTTCTCGATAGGGCTATGTAGCGGCACAGGACACGCTGATAGCGGGACTTATGTCATCCTGGAGCTAGCCGGATTGGTCCCTCAGGAAACATGTTTATTCGCCGGGTTCACTTCAGCAAATCGGGAAAGCTCAACGTCATGTGGCTCGGTGCGTTAAGGGGCCGCTATCTTGTGCGCTCCTTACTTGAGGTACGTCCGCTCCCATGCCCATTTCCCTCAACTCCCTTCTCTTTTCTTATGTAAACACCACACACACTCCTCACAGTGGTGCAACTTGATGAATTTAGCCACACAGCACATCGCTTATCGATCGTGGACTACGGATTAGATCAGGTCATTCGGGGATTCCGATCCTCTTTGTTTCACTCCACCTACGCATTTACCAGTTGCTCATCTGATGAGGGGCCGTCCAGGAAATCCCCTGTTTCACGGTGCTAGAACCCTTGCGCATGGAATGCAACACGCGGTGTTTATGTTGCCCCGTTTTTCGCGCCCAAAGTCTTACAACCAGCCCGCTCTGTTGACACTACACTTGCGGAAACGGGCCCGTTAGCCCTGACCGCCATACAGCTTCCTTCTGTACTATACCCTATTCTGAGCCGGACCAAGTGCGCCACTGCTGCTCGCAGCAACTAGGCACCGCTATTGAATGTGCACCAATGCAGATCACCATAATTCAATCTTACTGATAAGGGATTTTACAAAGCAGAAAGGGGCGGCGTGGATTTTCTGTCGGGCACTGATGTCCAGGGAATGCTGTGGCGCAAAGAGGGGGGCCAGATTGTCGTCGGGAGGATCAGGGCTTTTCCGCTGCAATTGTGTCGTACGAACCCACCTGTCCGATATCGGCCCTGTGCAAGGATCGGGTTGCCCTGAAGGATTTTGTGCCACGAGAGGCTGTGACCAGAGAGTGCGCCGCTGTAGAGGCGGACATCAAATTTAACGGGATGAAGTCATAAGCACGGCGTTGCACTTGTACAAAAACGTCCGGCGCTTGGGTCGCTATCACAGGTATTGTTGCGTCCATCGATCTCATGCACCGGGTGAATGGTTTGACAAGGGCTAGATTCAGCTAGAATTGATGGATTTACGTTTCACGAAACCAGTACCAAGTACCAGACTGCACACTTATTCACGATGGGATTGGGACGAGGGTTACTCAGGTACCTTTATATATCGTCAATGCATTGGGCCTCGAAAGGGGGCTATGATCGGTCAGCAGGCAGCCTCTGTGATTATTCACGAGGGAAGCCACAAAAATTCACGGACTTCTGGGGAACAGGATACGTTTGGCTCAGGCATTTCGCATAGCTTCAAATGGGGTTGAAACGGAAGCTGCTGCGAGCATGCATGCACGTGGGTTGCTACCTAGACCAGGGCATGAGTCGAAAGAGTCAGGTCTGTGGTGGAGCTTTTCTTGATGCCAAATGGAGGACTATCAGTGGATCACATCAAGACAGCCATGGACGTATCGAACAGGGACTTAATTCTTGGTGGATATGGCCTACGACAGCACTGTTACAACCCAGTAATTAAAGTCAGGCCAGTTTTGAAGAAAAAAACAAAAGACGGAGAATCTTAGCCAATGTGTGCATCGTGTGTACGTGTATGGATGTAATTACCCCGGAGCCGAGAGAAACGAATAAAAGTTAACGTTTGCAACACAAGTCGGGTATAAAGGAACAAAGTGGAATATTATACCAGATACCACGACGGAATGATAAGGGTAAAAAATCGTGGGAGATATCAGTAAGATGCACCAACCCAACCGGGGACAGTAGACCGAGATGGTGTGAGGAAATTGAATTGGAGGAAACCGCCACAGTGCAATGGCGTGGATCTGAAAACAGTTTGGAATATATGCACAATCTTGCACGACAAAAGTCGCTGTTGAGGTTCCATCGCAGATTCGAACCTGAGCAGAGGTGATAAAAAATGCGCGGCGCCGGTCCAAATCATAGCACAAAACGTAAAAGGATGCCATTACGCGCCCGTATGTATCCGGCTAGGGTGAAGGATGTCGTATAGACAGTTGAAATGAATCAGCCATCAAGGTTGGAAGGAATCGTGGCTCCGAGCTCTGGAGGGCTGACGAGTATGAGACTCCGAGAAACGAAGAAAGTAGCGGAGAAGTGTTAAAAGAATGACGACCCAACGTGATGACTGCAACAATGCCAACGAAGCAACTTCAGCGAAGTGACAATAGATAGAGGTTCTCCGACATACCAATGACAATAATGACGAACGGTCTGAATTCTTGAAGGAGTGACTAGAGTGGCACATATGACCACTCAATGGATTGGAAAAAGTTAGGGGAAATACGCTAGGTAATTGCCTTGGGACAGAGGTGCTGGAAGATCAGCTAGAGGTTCGGTGGGTATCAGGGGATTCTGTTGACTGTCAGGGGGTATATAATCCGATGCAAAGCCACTGTGCATTGAACCGGGCCCGTCTATTGCTCGCTCTGGTGAGATAACGTCCGATGACACTGCGTTCATGTTTCTGAGAACATCGAAATCTACATCCTCCATGCTTCCCATGTCAACTGTGGTGTGCAAGCCATATTGTGTGAGCGCAGGGTCTGGAGGAAGCTGATACGGCAGGCTAGTATTGGGTTGCGTCAGGGGATGGGGACAAGGCGAGGATGGTGAGTGCATTCCTTCATGACCAATATGCGAGAACTGTGACGAGTCGCTCTGGTAATGGCCCATCTGTGGGGCACTGACAATATGTGACATGTCACTCGTGTTGGGAGTAAAAGACGAGGATGTTCCAGGGCGGGATGGATAATGGACAGATGAGGAAGCAGTGGTAGAGGTGTAACGTCGTGAGATCGGGCGTGCAATCGGAACTGTAGAGGCGTCACCTAATGCGACATCGTCGAGCAGATCTGAGGAGGGGTTGAAGGAATAAGGTAGGAACTCAAGATCGGAGAACGTCTGATGATCTGTGCGTGGGCCTCTCTGCTGTTCGGCAAATGTTGATCGGCGTGACAGACCAGCGGACACGGCAACGCGTGTGGGGAGTGAGTGACGACGAGGCTCGTAAGGTGTGGGGTTGGAGCGGGAACGTCTGCGACCATGACCAATGTGCGAGCCACGGGGGCCGAAAGGATCCACGTACGAAGATGGTGGTGCAAGTGCAGAGGCAACTAGTCCTACTTGGGGGAGTGCAGGGGTTGAAATACTGTTGACTGGCGAATGTCTCGAAGATGAAGGGCCAGAACTTGAAAAAGATGAGGAGGACCGGTTGGCGGCGGCATACATAGGTGAGAAAGGATCAACACGCATCAACGATAAGACCTGCTCCAACAGAGCAGCAGCCCCAACAACCTCATGGCGCAAGCACGACGTAGCCTGCCGACCTTCTGTCCAATCATCGCAGGGTTGCCAAGTTCGTAATGGTGCTGATGGAGAATCACTTGGGCTTGCCGATTCACGAAAGAAGGTAGGAGTTTGAGTGAGATGCAGAGCAACTCGCCCTTGCCCTGGTTGTGCATCGTCAGCATATTCAGTCGCACTGATAGACTCGTAGGGGATATCCATCTTAAAACCCGTTCCCGCAGAGTATATGTACCAAGAGAAGGTCCGTCTGTTTTCACACGTATAACCCAGGAGATCATAGTGGGCGGCAGATATACGACGAAATGACCCTATCGATAAATCCGAGCAGGGCACAACGAATATGGCTTACCAAGCCAACGCAATGAACGTATAATGAGAATAGATATGAGCGTTGTTAAGGAAATGGCTATATAAGAGTGTCCCTGATTCGGTACTCACGATCGTCTTCATGTAACATCGCACGCAGCTCCGGGTCCGACAGCGTCGAGGCTGACGAACTGCCCAAGGGGGAAGAGGGATCCAATCGAGGATGGCCTCCCAATCGACTGGCACGGGCACGCTGTTCGAGGAGCTTTGCTTTCGCTCGGCGATTTTGAAACCAGACCTGCGTCTGACGCTCTTGCATACCCAGCATTTCAGTAATCTCCTTTCTCTTCGCAGCCGTGGGGCTGCGGTCCTTTGCGAATGCCCGCTCCAGCTGGGCTAACTGTCCGGGTGTGACTCTACTTCGCTTCCTCTTGGCCACACGCCCACCACCACCACCACCACCCTCCATACTCTGGCCTTCTGATTCACCAACAGACTTGCTGGGTGTTCCAACCGACAGATGTGAAGCGTCGGAAGGGAGGTGGTCAATGTAACTACAGCCAGCCGAGGAAGAGGCATCAGGCAAGATATCTGTGGAATAACGAGCATCCTGGGTCTGCCCAGTGACCTGTACTTCGAAGTGGCCATCGCCGGAAGGCCTCTCGATAGACTCTCCCCCGACTCCAATGCTTGGGAGGTCAGTCAAGGTGAGGATCGGAGTTGGTTCCGTATGACGTCGGGATCTAGTTTGCGCAACGCCTTCAGCAGACTGTCTTTCCGCGTACGGACGTTCTGTGCAGACACGAGCTATCGAGTTAGTTTTTTTTGACATGTCGAACTTTAAAAGTGCCTGTACCATTAGCCATGTAAAGAGGGGTCAAAGGGGAGGAATACGGATTGTAAACCTCCCAATTGCGCAAATACAAGTCCAGTGTCGCTGCCAGGTTGGCACAGATGCAACGTCAAGGATACGTGGAGGATATGGAAGGAAAAAGAGTTAAACTGAGATACCGTCAGGCAGAGGCACGAGACCAGGATTGAGGTAGTTGGTTCTTTTTTGGGGAAAGGAGCTATTCAACGTATTTTGTTTCCTACAGCCAGCTTTCGTTCTGGGAGTTGCTATCCACTGTACTGTGACGCGATAAACGCGTCTGGGGCACCGCTGACCAATGCTGGATTGAAATACAAGGCGTTGCAGACGATGGGAGGGCTCAGCCGAAGATGCCCGTTTCAAACGAGTGTGGTTGTCCTTAATGCCGTGTTCAACTCAGATAGCAGCGTTGCACGCTATACAGGAGGAAAGTGTGGCGCTTAAGTGGACGCGCGGGGATGTCGAGAACGAAATGAGGAAAGGTAGTGAAGAAAGATGCGGAAAAAGCGCCGGATTAACAGAAGTAATTGATTGATACAAATCGGGAACAATACAGTTGAGAAAAGATGTTTCTTGCATCGACTAGCCCGCGTACCTATTTGGTCAACCGCTCAGGAATCACAGAGGCACTGACGTTAAGTGAACAATGTAAACATGCACAATCCGACTGTAAACAGGCAGCGTCGAGCGCTTGATGCATGCATATTCACCATTGGGTCAGCCAGGCACCAAATCGGCAAATGCCGAAAAACATTCAGTCACTGAGCAGCCACCACCACACATGCCCCATTGGAGCGCTCCCAAGCCATCACTGCCTGGGCTAACCCACAGTACTGCGCTAATGTGAAAATTCAGTGGAGACTGCATAAAAGCTCTGTACCTTCCCATACCCACACACACCATCGCTTAACTAGTACTTGCGTGGCCAAAGAGCGCCAAAATTATACCGTAACCACAAACAAGGCACAAACAATAAAGGAAAGAAAAAAGGCATACAAACCCCAACAACAAACCGAAGCACGCGCGCTGATCCCCCTTGCACTATCCATACCTTAAGGGCTTTATCCTATTATGGTGACCAGAAAACCTTTGTGATCGTGCCTTCAGTATCGCACGCGTTTGGGATCGCGTTCATCTGCGCCGTCATAATCCCTCTTCATTCCTCCGCCAAAACCACCAGGACCACCGGGGTAAGGCTGGGCGCTAGGCGGCTCCCCATATCTGGGAGGTGGGCCCTGCATGCCCGGGCCGCTCGGTCCACTGCTGAACCCACCTTGAAATCCTATTCCACGCCCTCGGCTGCACAACGCAATTAGCGCGGTTGTCAGGGTGGGACAAATTGGGAAGAAGGGTCAGTAAATAGGTCCCACTGACGGCCTTATGTGCGGATGAGAAAGAAAAACAAAGTATCGAGCGAGAAAGGAAAGTAGAGTTGGAAACGGGGACCTGACACCCCAATTGCCCTACCAAGAACCAAAAATGAGAATGGGAAGACATCTAACCTGTATCCACCACGGTCTGGACCTCCATATCCACGGTCTCCCCCGCTGTAACCACGATCACCGTAACCGATACCCGGCCCACCTCCAAATCCACCTGCGTGAGGGTTGACGTGAGCGAAGCAATGAACGGGAGAGCAATCAAATAAACATACCTGGTGGGCCCCCTCGGAAATTTCCCTGGCCACGATCACCAAACCCTAGATGAATGGGATGAATTCGGTCGATATCAAATGTGCGTCTAAACAAACCTCGGCCACCTCCGAAGCCTAGAGCATATGTGAGCATGGAGAAAGCACCATGGTTTTTCATAATACCCACCCGAACCGCCACGGTCGCCGAAGCCTTATAGCGAGATGAGTGTGAAAAATGTTCTGCATTGAGAAAAGAATCAGTTACCTCCACGATCGCCAAAGCCTGAAAAACTAGTGAGAAATCAAGTTGTGTTACGATAAAAGCGGGTCAGTTACCCCCAGGACCGCCGCCCCTGTCGCCAAAGCCTCCTTAAGGTCAAGCGAGGTTAAGATGTTGCCCCTGCAAGAATTGGCATGAATTACCTCGAGAACCGCCGCGGTCTCCATAGCCTCAAAACAACGATGTCAGGAATCAGTACATTCCTTAGAAAGGGCTGAGCATACCTCGGTCAGGGTCGTAACCTGTTGTCCGACAATGCTGAGCGCTTCCATAATTCGTCAGAACCACAACACATACCTGGGCCAGAGCCACCTCCATACCCTTCATGAGACCAAGTTAGACCTGTTGAATAACTGCTCCATTAAGCTGGTTCTCTCACCGCCGCGATCACCGCCGCCACCTCCATAGCCACCCCTAAACCCTCTGTCGCCAAATCCTCCACCGCGACCCCTGAGACCACCACGATCACCAATGCCACCTCTTCCTCCTCGAGAACCACCGCGACCACCATGACTAGGAGGCGGTTCTGCTGCCACCTGAGGTTTAGGTCGTCCCCCAAGCCCGCCACCTAGACGACGCGGCTTCCAGCCCCTGACAGTCCGCCCACGTTCAACATCCACGAGGATGCGTTTCCCGAGAATCATCACTCCCTCAGCATCCTTGTATGCGGCTAACGGCAAAGGAGATATCAGTAGCAGCCTGACATCGAACAAATTCAGAGCACCTTTCATATCTTTCTCCCGTTCATATACAATAAATGCATATCCACGACTGCGGCCCTTAGTGTCCTTAACAATAGTAAGATGTTCAATGGGTCCATAGAGTTCGAACTCCCTTCGTAAATCGGATTCCTGTGCGTTTTTAGACTGAGGCATGGGAAGGAGCGGTGAGCGCGCCTTTGGCACCTCGATTCAAACAACACACCACTTACGAGACGAGCGATAAAAAGAGTTTTGTACGGATCTCCTGCCGCATTGGGGTTTGCAGATGGTTTATCTACAAAGCTCGCAGGCCTCGACGTGAGTTTCAACGTGCATAGAAAAAAAAGAAAGAAAGAAAGAAATGGCCAGACTCACAAGCCTCCGTAGACTTCTCAAAGGCCTCCTTTTTCTGCTTAGTCTTTTCCTCCCTCCGAATCTGTCTTTTAACTTCTTCAGCATACGTGAACTTCGATTCTTCGTCATCCGAGTCAGCGGCGGCCTCCCCCTCCTCGCCTTCTTCCATCTTATTTCCTTTCTCTTCCTCCCGCTTTTTCCTTTTCGCCTCTTGCCTGGCACCTCGTTCCGAATCAATCACAGCATTGTTAGCTTGGATTTCAGCCAGTAGTTCCGCAACCCCAGCAACCGTCTTGGGCCGAATCTTGTCAGGCGAGTGACCGACTGGTCTGACATACGGTAAGGGGGGCGTGGCGCAAAGAGCTTCAGCAAATTGGGAGGCAGAAGATGTGTCATAGCGCCAGCAAGCTGTTGAAGACGAAAATCCCGTAAGCACGTGACAGAATTTGATGTTGTGTCTATTTAGGAAAGCGCAGAGACAAGGCAGACGATAGATAGATTAATCGTGTACTGGTACAGGAACAATAAGAGGATGCAAGTAGAGCAAAAAGTTGGAAAAATCCATCAGCCCATAAGTTGCGAAACATCGCTCGGAGGATACTTCGTCTGAGCAAAAGTAAGTAACCTTGATAGGGGTAGGTCACAACTGTTAAACGCGAATGGAAGAAATAGATACCTTTTGATACTTTGTATATACTTTCGACTAACTTCGTCATTGAGGACATGTGCCACTTGATCTATCGAGATCTTCTCTCGCGCTGAGCGTTCGTGAATACTTCAAGTTATCATCAGATCGAATGTCTGTGTACACAAGTCGTGTTACTTACCCGACCATAGTGACACCGATGGGCCATGGAGCATTGCCAATGCTCAACCGTAAATATGAGTCATTCGCTTTTTGATACTGTCGCGTTTGCATATAATGCATTATCTCAGTAAGACGCGCAAGCACGTCGGCGGGAAGATTCTAAATTTTCGTGAGCGTGGAGATGACGGTAAGGGAAGTTCTTCTGCACACCCGTTGTCGGAGCTGTTTGAACAGAGGCTTCAAATATTCGCCAGACTGAACCTGGGTTGCCGCCGCTCGCTTGCCTTGCACTGAATGCTTGATGTCATCTGCGGGGGAACGTCAATGCCACTTCTCCCAAAGCCGGACGTTAACTTACCTGGGCGTTCAGCCATGTACTGTTCCCATTCCTTCAATTTCCTTTTGATGGCATAGTATATTAATGGGTAAAGTTTATCAGGGTCAGTTTTAATGAGTTCCAAATCGATCATCTGTTCCTCGGAGACGCCACTGGAATTGCCAGTACCAGTGGCGAGCTCTTTCTCGCCATTAGGCTGGTCCTTCCCAACCAGCTTCTTCACAGCATCTTCAACGTTCAGTCCCTTTTCCATGTGCTCCATAACGCGTCGGAAGTCATTTAAACCTGCTCCTTTCTCGGCTCCACGCTCCTCCAAGAGCTCTAGTGCCCGTAATCGCAAACGGCGATCTCGATCGGACTCTGCGAATAGGCGTATCGGTTGGCCTCTTGCGCGGAGTTTGCGTATGGCATCTTCGTTCGAAATGTTATAACCTTCTGGTTTCAAAGAGTCGATGACCTTCTCAGGCCCTTTTTCACTGGGCTCAGCTGAAACAGACTTTTCCCTAGGACTAGCCGCAGACGGTGGTGACTACTTAAATTGGACAATTCGACGTCTCCGTACCAGAAAGGGTGAATACGCGACATACCAACAATGCTTTGGATGGCGGATCAGCAAGGTTGATGTCCCCCTTAAGCTTCTCAGCATCGCCTCGACGCATGTACTTGCTCGGACGATTGGCAAACTCCTCTGCCTGTGCCTTGCGCTTTGCGGCTATTTCAGCCTTGAGAGCGTTCATGCTGGGAGGATTCGGTCAGCTCTCGCGCCAAGGATGTTGATCACGTGCGAGAGGCGTCGAGACAAACAGTTCGTAACAATATATCAATACCTCCAATCGACAAGCACGTCGCGTCACGGGCGTGGAGAGTCCTTTCTGGGACGATATGCGTCGTCGAAATGGCTCGAGAAAGGTTCCAGGTGTTATTTTGCGCGATAAGCCTAAGCAACCACGCGGTGTGACGTGCGATGTGATGTCCTCTGGCGAGGTCGAATTTGATTTAGGTGGGCTTTCAGTATTCCTAACTATTGCAGCTGTCTTATTTGGCACACAAGACCATTCTGGGGGCGCCCTTGAGATATATACTGCGCAGGATATCCAAACTGGTGAGAGACCGTTCCATGGCGTGAACGTCACTTGTTCCGCGGTTTCAAATAAGGTATCCCTCGCCGCCTTCACTCTATGTTGAGCAATCTCCTCACTGCTCTTCAGGGGGACTTGTTTCGATTCGTTGAAGAGCTTGGAGGGACGTCTTCCCTGGATCTAATTGACTCGACAACACATTTGATCACTCATGGCCCAGGGAGCGAGAAGTACAAGGTTGGTTGACACCTTCAAACACATTCTCTGATTGAATGTTCGTGTTGTTTTAGTACGCTCTCGAGCATGGAATTCCCTTGATACATCCCGATTGGATAATGGAGTCCCACGCTAGATTCGTAAACGGTGAAGACATTGACGCACACCAGGTGACTTCCCTTCGAAACTGCATCCAAGCGACTCCGCTGAGGGTCGCTTCTACTCAAAAACCAGCTCCTAAACAAGTATCACCTCAAATGCTTCCAGGGACTTAATATTTGTGTAGCGGGCGAAGACAAGCGTCAGTATCAAGCTGCCGTTCCTTCCATTGTTGTCTCACAGTCCCCCAAGTTGAGCAGAGGCATCGGATGGCGCAAATAATAGAGGACCAAGGGGGTTGCTATTCTAAGGATGTGGACCAGTCTGTCACGCATTTAATCCTCTGTGGCTCAATTAATGCTCCGCTCAATTCCATCGGCGATATTCCACTTAAAGTACAAGAAGCGATGTGGATCAACGAAACTCGCTCTACTCCATCTACACCTTACAACTTCCCGCGAAAGCGAAAATACGGAGAATCGTCAGGGTTGTCAACCCACGGACCGATTCAAATTGTCTGGTCTGAGTGGCTCTGGGATTGCGCATATGCTCGAGGTATGCAAATATCTGCGTTGGAAGAACGGATTGCCACGACAGAATTTCTCAGGGCGATTCGATGAAAAACTGTACGATGCGACTGTACAGGCGCGCCCCGAACCTAGAAAATTTCCTAATGGTTTCTCTGAGCCCGAGCCTTCCTTTTCCGCGGTATCAACGTCAACTCCGAAAGGTCAATTCATGCGACCGCATTCGGATACGAATGTCGACGAAAACACGCGCGCGCGCGCAAGCAAAACTCACACTTACGCCCAATCCAACCTCTGGACCAAGATCAAGCAACAGAAAGTCAGGTCAAAGGAGATCCTACCAGATGGCCAGCCGAAAGCCGGAGAAGTCAAAGCTACGACGTCAGCACCTACTTCTGGCGACGCGACAAGGGGCATGACAGTGCCAAAGACAGCACTATCTCGCGTGAGCGGGATGCGAACTTTTGAAATAGGCGAACCAGGTCCAAGCTCTGAGCCGCGTGACAGTAATCGTGTCTTTAATCGCGTTTCTTCGAGAGAAACTGCCCCCACAGAAGCTCAAATATTTTCCGGCTTCGTTTTTGGAGCATTGGTGGGGAATCACGGACGTAGCGATGTTCTGAAACGTGAAATACAGGCTCGTGGAGGCAGGTTTCTGACCGGCATGACGCCTTCCCAAGCCCTTGAAATGGCACATTTTGTGATCGTGCCGTTAACAAGGTACGTTTCGACATTCCGAGACTAGGAACAATGACATACCTATGGCTCTCAAAGCACGGCACACGTCGGAATAGAGAACGAGCAATACAAATCCAAGCTGCGCACGGAATCCTGGCTGGAGCATTGTATCTTTGAGGATCGTATCGTTGCAGGGCACGATCATATAGTGTTCACACCCTTGGGGGTTACTCTTCCTATCCAAGGGAGGTGTTTTTCATACTGATGCGAACTCTCATTCTAATGGATGGCTACAGGTGTAGATAAGTTTCGCATTGCTTACTCCGGTCTCAATAACATGGAGACTACCTATCTCAAACGATTTGCCCGCGCCATTGGGCTGGACATACCTGAAATTGCCAAGCGAAATTTGATTACCCACATGGTTTGTCCATCCAGGATGGGCCAGAAATACGAGAAAGCCGTAGAATGGCGCATACCAGTTGTGAATCTAGAGTGGGTTTACAATCTTGCAATACAACCGCAAGATGGCGCCTCTTTTGAGCCTGCCCCGGTCATTGATATCACTAATGGTGCGTGTCCCTTCCTCTAAGGCCGGCCTTGCGGCTAAGATGAATGCAAGAAATGATCACGCAGGATGAATTACCACAAAATCGCTCTCCATCTCGGACCAGAAGTTCTCGAGCCGGGCATGATAAAGTGTCCACTCCACGTAAACCTATGGCCAAAACCCCTGAACGTCTTGCCATTCCACAAACACCGACCAGTTCTCGAACCAACGCATCGTCCAATGTGCGCCCGACGCGGTCTCCGGGTCTGCCTCGTGCACCTCGTGGGGGAATAAATTCACCAGCCTCCAAAAAGCTCCAATCTCATTTCGATGGGCGACGTAGTGCGACTCCGTCCAACATGGTCCCCTCAACGCTCAAGCTGGACATTTCTACCCCCAAGAAATCGAGATCCGAGAGTGTAGTGCCTTCGTCTCAGTCACCTTCTCCCTTCAAATCCCCAATGGCAAGGGCTGTTCGAGACCAATTAGCATCTATCCTTGGGGGCAATGACGAATTCAGTGGTCAGGAGTCTTCCAACCCTGATAGAGTGAGTCTAAGTGCCTCAACAAATTCCAACAACCCACCCCGTAAGAAAGCCCGGCCAATACCAAGACATAAGGTGATTTTTGGCCATCTTGATCAGCGATCATATCTCAACTCTATCATCTAGGCCACTACCCCAGATGGATTTACTGCTTCTCGCTCAGGTTCGATGAATGCCTCGAGTGGTGCCCTCTCGATCCCAGACTTGGACCCTCAACAGTCTTGGTCAAAGTTCGAACCACGCGCAGAAGAGAGCTGCACCACCCACTACGAAATTCCTATCGATGATGATTCCTTGCGTGTTCAATACCTTGATCCAGGGCAGAAAGCGGTGAAGGACCAATTGATGGCCCTGGTTGATGGCGGGGACGGAGCTAACAATCATGAAAATACGAAAGGACGTTCTCCAAAGTCATCCGCAAAGCCCGGACCTACGTCGAAATCCACAAGAAAGAGGGGCGGCATGGCCACTCGCCGAAGTGCTAGGAAAGCCGGGCCTTGAATGTTCTGCCCTACCCATGGGGGTTGGTCACTGTTTGTTCATCTAACTTGGAATATGTATCATTTGAATTATCTACAGCTTGTGCCCTCTTGTAGCGATCTCTGATTACTAGGTTAATGGGGCCTTAGCCGATACAGGGGTTTATTCCTTCTGATCATCCCGTGGAGATTCTTCACAGAGCACCTTGAGTACTCGTGCAACGTACCCGAAGTCTTTGACCTGTTCACCTCGAAATGAGCGAATAGCATGCTGAAGTGAGACAGCCATTATCTCCAACCAAACTTGAGCGCTGGCTCTAGTCCACCATTCCCGGTCCTGCAAGTAAACCAATGAGAAGCGGCTGTGCTCCGACATTAATCGATCCTGGAATTTATGGAAGGAGTTGGTTCCTGTCCCCCATCCTCATCCCCGTCCCCGACAGGTTCGCTATGAAGCCATCTATGGATTTTTTCTTTCACAAACTCGTCGTATGACCATAGAATAGGTTCTAATCTGGATAGGGGATAGATCCAGATATACACAAAACACGGCACTGGCTCAGGGAGAGGATCAGGCATCGGTGTAGAGTGTGATAAGAGATGTGTAGTTGAAGCGAGAGACATGGGAGAAGGAGGAGCTAAAATATGCACTTGAACTTTCTCGCTCTTGTATTCCTGTGGAACCCTCTTCTTATTTAATGCCACTTTCGTGATCGCTGAACGAAACAGTACCTACATCACCTTCGAATAAGTCTAAGCTCGTGACATCCTGTGGTGTCAAGCCATTCACTAACGTCCCTCGCACGGATCGCTCATCTTGAGTGAGCTCACGATCAAACAACGATCGCGATTGTTCATAAGCGACAACGGCGGGATAATCTACGTTCTGTTCGGGATGATAATTCAGCATCGCTAATTTGGCCTGCAGAATGCCTAACCTTAACTTGGTGTCTAGTATGCTCCTGACAACGTCCAGGGTGTCGTGCGTCAACATCTTACCATTCCAGATGAAACATTTGTGAACACACTAAGAGTACTGCAGGGGCGACTTGGAGATGACTTCCATCGTTGTCAATCACCCAGGATAGAATGGTAGGTGCCATAAGGGTTCCGTAAAAGAATGCGGAGGTCATTACGAAGCAGTCCAAGAAATTACAGTCAACAGCATTTTTAAGGACTGGTCGTGATAATGATCACGTGTACAACTTCCCCAATAATTTGTCCACTCAACAAGGCCAAGTTTACTCTCGCTGGCACTTGCACTACACCTTCCACCTCTTTGATAATCTGCACATCATCACGATGAGGTTTTCTATCCCTGCCCTCCTCTCCCTCGCTGTCGCCTTGATTGGAGTGGCCAGTGCCACTTCCACAAAGACCCAGATTGAAGCCTCAGCTTCGTTTCCTGAGAGCAACCAGTTCGGCCGTAAGCCCAGCTGTATCCCATATCACATTGTATACTGAAGTTTTATTCTAGGCGTCGTGAACGGGGAGAAAAATGTGATCAATGTGTAAGTAGAATCTTGTGGTTAGTGATGCTTTCGCTCAGCTGGCCCTCCCTCGATGAAGTCTGCTTGAAAATAAGGGCGAGAGTGAGGTGGAATTGACTGCTATCTCCGGGTCGTTCGAAAATCCGGACACTGGGAAACTATTGCGCAACGTAAGCAACTTGATAGCGAGGCCCACACCTGCACAGTTTACTGAGCTTTCGGTGGTCTTCAGACGACAACACTCCCATTTAAAGGTCAACTCTCATCTGGAGTTAAACAAACTGTTCCCTACCCATTTTACAGCGAGTGAGTGTCCATCTACAGCTCTTCACAGACAATATCTAAACTTCTTGTTGCCTAGATTTAAGGTCTGACTGCGATTCTCCCTCTGGACGCGCAAAGACTTACGATAATATTTCTTTTCCGGGTCCTCAGCCTCAAGACGTGCGCCTTCAGATCTTTGCTCACTACAAAATTGGGGTCAGTTCGCTTCCGCAACTTGGGTCAATACCTGGCATGACCTTTGCGCGGATTAGGGAGAGACTCATCACGTCCAAGCATATAATTCCATCATCTCTATCGTCGAGCCACCAGCCTCAATATTTGATGTCACATTGTACAACTCTCACATTCCCTATCAGCAGTGCTTTTCGGACTTGACTGATGCATTCTCCCATCCAGGATTGTTACGTACCTTCTCATTATTGCCATTCTCGGCGGTGGCGCCTACTTGTTAGTTGCGAAGTATTTCCCTCGACAACTCCACGCTGCTCTCTCTAAGAAGCCGAAGGCTTTCAAGGCAGCACCATCTGCTGCACGTGCCAAAACAGCCAGTACGAAGGGCTATGAACCCGAATGGATCCCACAACACATTTTGAAGGCTGATAAGCTTGCCAAGGCCGCGAAGTTAAGGGCGAAGAAGAACAATCCCATCAGCAGCGGTGATGAGAGCGGGGTTGCAAGCGGGGTTGCGAGCGGCAATGAGAAGCGCAAGAAGAAAAGCACATAGAATGGAGTTTCGGATGGCATGGTGCGGCATCGGTACTACACTTAGGTTAATGATGGTCACTTGTTGGTTGTTGTTTAAAACTGTTGCTTCGGAGTCGTATCCTTACGCTGACGCATCCCCAACCCGGAGCTAGAGGCCCATCACGGTGGCCAAGATAATTTGATTCGTGCGACCTCGCAGCATGAGATTCTCGAGGTGGGGGAGGGGACCCTACGAAACGTTATCACTTAACTGCTAAACTGTTAAGATTGTGCGGGTGACAAGGACATTCTTGAGAGTGAGACAAACCCGCACAAGCCAGAATGCTATGTAATGCGCTCAGAATGTCATGCTACACAAGATCAATTTTGGGGCACACTCCAAAACGCTGGGGCCAATCGAAGTCGCAAGTACACACTGATCCCTCGACAAGATATAGACAGTGCGGCGAGACGCTATCTATGGCATTCATGATGCAACGTCTATTTTACGGTACCCCTTGACCTACGGACCCAATGGACGAGAGTCTATTAAAACGAGCCTGTGGAACATGCAACATACCTTCGAATCCGCTAGCATGCTAGTATACCGGTCTGCTACCTCTTTGCAGTTCTCAAAATTATTAACCCCTTCAGCCTTCTGGCACTGATTGAGCACATCACGAGTGATTCTGAGCTCCATTGCTTTCACCCACGACTCGCGGATTTGATGCTCACGCTCCGCCACGATGGCTGTCCATAGTTTGAGAATAAACGCTCGAGATATCGATTTCTGTTCAGCTCACCGCGGAACTGCGAAGCGACAGACTCTGACATAACTCGCCTTCGTCACAGTGACAGAACCGGAATCCGTAATATCTGTCACGTTTTCCGGGGGGTTCCGGTGGGATTGTTGACTCAAATCCTGCAGGTAACCCTATCCACGAACTCCCGTGCTATTCATGCCAGGTCCAATAGGTCTGTTGGCCAGATTTCTCTCCTAACTGTAGCGAAGTTAACCTCTCGAAACGATTGTAGCGCGAACCAATTAAAGAACTTGCTCCGAGTTTATGAAGTGTCGCGCGCGAGATGTTCGACGAAAAATCTCGGCAATTTATTTGATATGCTTAAGGTCCAAAGGGAAATCGGGATTGAAGCGTCAGAAATCAATCAGTTGGTCGGCCTGGCTTTGGGGGGGGGAAACGGACTTTCACCAAGCCATTTCCTACCTTTCTCTGGGAACGCTCTCTTTAAATGACATCAACTGGCTTCCTCGATATCCTGATGTCTATTACAGTGTGGTCCGTACGAACAAAAGGCTGGAAGTGAATGTCTCAGAAGTAGCTTCTCTATCGCTCAAAAAATCTTCGAAACAGGAGAAGATGCATGGTGAAGATGCTACCGTCTCACCGAACTCAGTCGTGACATATGTGTCCGCCAACTTGACACAGGCCACTTGACTTGCTGCATCTCATCAGTTCCACCAAACGCATGCGCCCGAACCCTCGAGCCTCTCCCCAACACTGGCGGACGAGTCACTCAGCAACCTTCATTGCTGGCCAAGGCTAAGGCTGTAGCTGGGGTCGAGAAGAAAGTATCGGTCTAGGTGCAACTGGTCCCAGTAGTGCTTTCTTCCCCACTCCTCAGTCTACTGTCTTAGTTTGATCTTTGGCCCCTCTTAAACAAGTCGACGCCGGCTCATTGTTGAGACCCAGAATCGAGGCGGCCGTCATCCGCTTATTGCACGGAATCGCCGTCGATGTCAAGGTTGATTGAGGCACCTTCACATTCCAACGCCGAGGAATAGGAATACTTACTTTATCCCATGGTTTACTGTGGCGCGAGCACCTACTCTCTTTCCGGTGTCGATGCTACATACATATACAGTAATTGACCACTCAATGCACGTTTACCCTCAATGCAACAGCAACAAGTTTGACCTTTCCACACATCGGATTTGCATGAAAATTTGTGACTGCAAACAGTCAAGTTCAACTTGTACATATTCTAATTTTCAGCCAATTCCGTCTGATAGTTGCAGAGATGGATGCTATCGGCACCAGTGTCAGATTCATATGTAACCAATGGTTTATATTCTCGATACTATGGAGCAACACAACACAAAATAGGCATTGGAATGTGCAAACAGCTAGGCAGAGAGTGATAGAATGTTTGGATGCAGCCGAGTCAGAAATCGTTGATATGATTGAAATGATTGAAAGGGCACAAGCGCTGAGGCAAGCCAAGTCCGATGAACTTGCTGCTAAGAAGGTGGAAAGAGGCCGGAAGAAGAAGGTTGCAGAGAAAGCCACAGACCTAAGGAGTTCAAAGGCAGAGGCTTGGGAAGTTGCCAAGTTGGATAATGAAACACTGCTTGAGAGGTGGGAGGTGTTGAAGGAAGAGTGCCACATTCATGGTGAGAAATTGCCGCTGAAACCACATGTTACCATGTGTGCTGGGGTGTGGGCATTGGTGTGTGGGGAAGAGCAAGGAGAGTCAGCAGAGGAGAGCTTTCTTGATGATCTAGAGCCCTCAGAATGCTCAAGCAATGAGGATGACAGCGAGGATGATGATAATAGTTGAGCGTTGCATTGTTGGGTCTTGCTTATTTTGGTATTCAAATCACAATCTCGCAAAAAATCCTTCTACATCCATCATTTCTTTGTATTTTGTCTCCATGTTTGGGATATATTTACTTCGGTTACTAATCTACAAACTGTGCCAGTTTGGAACCCACCCGATGTACACTTTGTTGTTGAGGCCGTGGAACGTTGAGGGAAAGTGCGAGTGCATTGAGTGGTCAATTACTGTATGTCAATATAGCGAATATTGGAGTGCCGAAGTGCGAGCCCCCCCCGAGGCAGGCTGCGAATGATCCTTCGTACAATGAAAGCACTTCTACTTATCACGGCCCCCCACTGCTATTTATTAACAATGCGACAGAGTGCAAGGCGGGGGGCGATGCATGGTTTAGCTGCACACCATGTGATTGATCCAGCAGTCAACATTGAAACCAACCGACGGTTCCTTGGACTCGATCTAATTCTATGCGCTCAGGGCAAGGAATCTGTCTGCACTTCATCCAAGCAAATGCCCAAACCACATTCCACTATCGACTCCTCACTGAGATATTTTCGGAATTTGCGCCGCGAAAATGGAAAGTGGACACAGCGGATTCTCAGTGTGGACATTGTGAACCTTCACGCAACCGGCAGGGGCAATCGCATCTCGGTCACCCGCTTTCATGACTTCTCGTGCGCAGTCCCGCTTGGCCGCTATATAGGATCGAGCTGTCCGCCAGCTTCCTCGCCGGCAAGCCATTACGATAATTGTTGCTGTATCAGCTGTAGTTTCCTTCGAACGAAACCAATGCCATGGGCTCGCACTCAGCCCTAGGCTAGGCTTGAAGCTGAAGGCTTACCAATCTGATGGTACAGCCTGTTTCGTTGACAGGGTCCGTCACGTCAGTATACTACTAATGGACTGACATCATGCATATATGCACATCAATTCAGCGAGACTGGGGAAGGCACTACTATGTAATGTGATATCGAGAACAGAATTGACAATGAGCTCCTTAGAAGCTAGCTTCTTCCGATGACGATTGATCATTATATGTATTATAATCGATAGAGCCATAATCAATAAGTAAAACGACTCAGGGAGCCTCGAAAACTCTTATTAACATGCTTATCTATAGACGGAACGGTCAAACCACTCCTTCAAAATAAAGTTTTTTCCAAAAAAAACAAAAAACAAGATTAGATTCGAGAAAGCGAGCCAAGCAGAGAAAACCCAAGGTGAAGTCGAAAGGAAGGGGGAAGGAGACGGGGATTCAAATTGTGGTCCTAGTCCAAAGTGGGTGGAGAAGATCGGGCCGAAACTCATCCTCTGTTGGAGATAATGGTCGGAAACTAAAACACCCAGAACAAAAACGTCAGTACATAAACAGCTCTTCTAAAAGGAGGGATGAGAATGACACTGCTTACTCTGAGTTCGAACGCTGAGATGGGGATGGGGAACGAGGGGAACGAGGGAGGAGCACATCATTTTCTAAATCCCATGCATCGGGTTCCGGTGACAGGATTTCATGACTGTTTTCCTCTACAGACTCAGCTTCTTCAAGTTCAGGAGTCTCCACGATCGTATCGAGCGTTCTTAGCTCCAAGCCGCCGCCGCCGCCGCCGCCACTTCCTCCTCCTCGCCGTCGTCTCCCCTTCCCCTTCTTCAACTTCCTCCGGCCATTTCTGCTTGTCGAAGCCTTGGGTGGCGGTGGAAGCGGAGGAGGGTCACCAAACTGATGATCCTCCTCGTCGCTGTCAGCAGGTGTGATTTCGATGCTCGGCACGCCCAGACTCGTCCCTACCCCCATCGAATATCTTCTTCTCTCATTCTCATTCTCATCATCTTCGGCTTCCCCGAGTCCTCTCATCCTCCACTTATACCCTCTCGTCGAGGCACAATTCAACCAAGCGGCAAAGATCCCGGCTGCGCACGCAACCAATTGAGTGCAGGCGCTGGCTAACGAGATGGGATCGTGCGTGCCTCTAACTCGATACCTCCATATCCAGTGATGGACGTAAAAGACTCGGAAGAGAGACACTGAGGCAAGGTAGGCCCACAAAAGGAAATCTACATCAAGCCAAGTGGATGTAGTCCAAGATGGGTGTTTCGGGGGTTGGAAAGATGGTGGCAATGGTAGGCGGAATTTGGAGAAGTACAGTGGCTCATGAAATTCGGTAGATGAAGGGAGAAAGGAACAAGCTGGAGATTCTTGAGACTCGATGTCATCGTCATATAGATGCGGATCTTCAGGGTCGCTAACTGGGATCGTAGGGGGGAAAAAGGAAGTAATAAAGCCTTTGACTCTTCATCGTCTTCCTCGTCCGAGGAATAGTAGTTTTCCTCATCAAAACTCCCTCTTTGCGACTTGACTGCGGCCGCATCCTCAACGTCTGACTCCCGGATATGTGTCGAGGTAGAGCTTTTCATTATGAAACTCGTGTTGGTCGTGTTCACAGGGAATCGAATCATTAGCCCTAGCTGGGGTATCATTGCTCCAACGGACAGATACTGAGAAAACGCCCACGCGATATTGATCATTGTTGTTTGTGGGACGAGAGAGATGGGGGTTGGTGGAGGGTCTCGAGCAGGATAGTGGATGAGGAGTGATAAGATAAATGCTGGAAGAATAATAAGAATAATGGGTGATGAAAGAGGTCTTGATAACATGGTTGCAGTACTTTGGGCCTATCCGATTCCCCCAAAGGAGGACGCAGCAAACTGGATAAGCGCCGGTATCCCATTTCGAGGATGTGGCACATACCTTAGCCAGAAGAACAGAAGTGAGACGCTAAAGAAATTGGCAGCGAGGAGCCATCCCTTCATGAAGGAGTTGTAGAAACCCAGGCTGAAACTGCCTGGATGGGTATAACGCGTTACGAACGTTATCAAGTGCAGGATTTGGGTCTCGATGGAAATGCCTGTAAAGAGACGCTCTCAAGTCAGCTGTTTGAAAACAGGTGGCGGATTGCACCATAGAAACACACCTCTGGGGCCAAATAGATATAGACGACGCCATAAGATCGGAAACGATGCCGCCAAAGCTATGTCACCTGTCAAGTTTTAGAGGTCCAAATCAGCCTCAAAATCAATGCTCTCGAGCAGCAATTTGTTCTATCGGGAAGACAGCCATACCCGGTATCCGGAGGGCATCGATAGTGTTCTCTAGCTGCCACATATGACCGTAGCACGAGGTTGCAAGTTAAAGTTTGAAGAGTTTCCAAATGTCGTTGCCAACAGCACAAGGCTTTTTTACGAAGCGCCAGCACCTCCCAATAAAGCTTCAGCTTTGGCTTCACTACCGTCTTGCCACGTTCACCCAGCCCACACGGTGAGAGTAGGGTCAACAGCGTCAAGAAGGTTGAAGGGGGACGATAGTGAGGTGATTTCAAATGATTGGAATTGCCAAAGAAACGTAATAGGATCAACCAATAAACTTTCCATATTAGGGAAAAAAACAATTGGTGTTAAGTATTGAACTATTTCTGACGAACGATATTCCGATTGAGTGCCCTGATTCATCTCCAAGCGGAACGTCCAAGCTGCGGATGACAAGTTGTTGCGGGCCTAGTACTGGCGAGCACCCCGCTACATTGAGCGTAGCCCGCGGCTCTTGCGCGACTGGCTTTTGATGGACTCATGATCAAAATCTCTGATATTAGGACCCATTATGTGTTCAACGACCTTTCTGACTTCAACCACTGGTCTTTGCAGTACAGCTGGGTATACTCGTAAAGAAGAGTTCGGAAGATGCACATTAGATTCGAAGCGCGCCCCCTCCACCTTGCCTTCCACCGTTGTGGCCGGATGTGGCATTCTCTTCAACAGACTTAGGAATGAATTTAGTGGGTACATTTTATGTCAGCATACTCGGTAGATAACACTCTCATGTCCATTTCATTTACCTACGTCTGTGCTTGTGACCGATGTTTCTATATGTACGCGATCGTGCGATAGCTCTCGAATTCTGTGAGCTGCCAATCCAATAGCGTGCATCTCTACGTAAGTTGGATAGATCGGGTAGTGTCAAACAACCACACGCACACGGTTCCCTCAACTAAGATATGGATCAACTTCCAAACGTTCTCCTATTGGTGTCCTTGTACACTGGGAAGAAAGCATGGGAGTGGTCCATTGGGAATCGTGCCCAATCCATCGCTCTCAGTCTCTGACGTCATGCGTGACCCCCGTGTTCAAGCAGATACCGTGAGACCAACGCGAGAGACAGGATGGGATCGAGACCGAAGCCAACGTGCAATGATCAACTCATTTTCCATGTTCTGCTTTCGTGCGTTTCCGGATTTAGAGGAGTACAACACTCGCGGACCCAATTAGGGAAAAATGAGTGAAGGCACCGCTGAAGTACGATGCGCGGTAGTGTCAGGTCGCCCCTTGAGCCACGCCGTTCCCCCCTGAGACTGGAGCTGTAGGTTCCCCGTCATATCTCCTCATTTTCGTTTCGAGCCGAGCGGCAAAGGTGATGAGGTTTGGCGTCGAAGCACGTACGCGCGCGCCGACGACCTCTTCATCATACCGGCTTGCTTTCGGGCCGCCCGACACGTTCAGGCTTTGGGCCCCCTTGGTGGCTTGATTGGTTCCCAAGTCTAGTATTGCGTATGCCCCGTGCATAGGATCTGGATCGGATCAGAACGATTTCAAAGCACTCCACACATTTCATCATTGGTCAAAGTCTAGTCAGCGGCCTCATTCTAATATCTACCTTCTATGCCATAAATCCTACAGTGAAGCGCCATTCAATCCAAGTTGATGCGCAGTAGACCAAATATAAACCGCCCCCGGATCAAAGCCACTCTACGGTCTAGAGGAAGGCGATCAATGATGAACTCCCAGTGACGTCTCACTACACTTACACCCGGTGGCTTAGACGAGATGTCATAGGTCACCCGATTTACGCCTTCGACCTCGTTCGTGATTCTAGACGAGATTCGTCGGAGTACATCGGGAGGGAAGGAAAACCTATGAAACGAGGAATGGAATTATTCTACAATGCTCATTTCCTCTGTGTATGGCTGCTTACCAGTCTGCTGTCATGAAATCCTCGGTCTGGACCGCGCGCAAGACAATAACCTGTCAAAGACACATGCCCAATTTTGGTCGTGCTGTTTGTTTTAAGACAGTCTACCCACCTGCTCATATGTGCGCTTGTCCCCCATAACCCCAACCGCCTTCACTGGTAAGAGGACCGCGAATGCTTGGCTGATTTGGTCATACAAACCAGCTTTCCGAATCTCTTCTATATAAATAGTGTCCGCTTTCTGTGCTATTCGTACTTGCTCACGAGTGACGGGACCAAGAATACGAATCGCGAGTCCTGGTCCTGGGAATGGATGACGATTGACGAGGTGCGGGGAATGGACAAAAGTCTTCCGAGAGCTCGTACTTCATCTGGTAGTAGTCGCTAAATACGAAATCTCAGTTGACAAATAGGCACCACACACCTTTGAAGAGCTCTCGCAATGGCTCGATGAGTTTAAGGCGCATGTTATCCAGCAAGCCACCGACGTTGTGATGTGTCTTGATTGTTGCGCTTGGCCCTTTAAAACTGACACTCTCAATGACATCTGGATAGAGGGTGCCTTGCAACAACCATTCTATTCTCCCCTTCTTCCCTCCACTGAGCTTCAGATCCCGTTCAGCTTCTTCTTCAATCCTAGCTGCTTCTTCTTGGAATACCTCTATGAATGTATTACCAATAATTTTGCGCTTCTTCTCGGGGTCTTCAACGTCATTGAGCTTGGCCAGGAACCGTTCGGAGGCGTCAACGACCGTAAGATTGACCCCCAAATCATTGGACAACATCCTTTTAACTTCCGCTGCCTCATTTTCGCGCAGTACCCCGTTGTCAACGAGAACTGCGTGAAACCTAGATAATTTTCTCATTAATTCCAAACCCTGGACAAGCCCACATTGGAACGCTACCTATCCCCAATAGCTTCATGCATCAATTTTGCAGCGACGGAACTGTCAACTCCTCCACTGACGGCTCCAATCACTTGCCCTTTCTCGCCACAGATCTCTCGAATCCTTGCGATTTCTTTACCAATGAATGTTTCCTAGCATCCACGGTCATAAGCAAGTCAACGGTTCGGAGAGAGATGGAGTCCATATTACCATCGTCCAATTTGCCTTGCATTCCGCTACGTCAAGCACGAACCGGGCGATGACTTCCTTTCCTCGGGGTGAGTGTGTCACCTCTGGGTGAAATTGAATTCCATAAATTGGCTTGGAGTTGTGAGCGATAGCAGCAAACGGCGCATTGTTTGTTTTCCCTATGATCTCAAACTCAGGAGGTATCTGGGACAACTGGTCCCCGTGAGACATCCAAACCTAAAATGAATTCATAAAGTCCCTGGAACGATGAGAACGTGGTGGAAAAATACCTGCATAGTCTTGCCTAAGCCATTAAAGAGAAGATTCGAAGAAGAGTTCGATCCCTCTATGACCTCTACCTCTGCGAACCCGTATTCTCGGTGATCGGGTTTAGTGACCTTCCCTCCCAAATTCCATGAAATTTCCTTTGGGATTAGGTAAGGTCGTGCAGTCTCTCATTGATGACAAGACTACCTGTAGCCCATAGCATATCCCTAATACAGGCACACCCATATGGAAAATTTCAGGATCGACGTGTGGAGCATCTTCATCATAGACAGAATATGGAGAACCGGATAAGATTATGCCTGGAAAATCGGATCGATTTGCGAAAAGATGCGGGACATCCCCAACTGTAGACCTACCTTTGGGCTTCCATTTCAGATCTCTTATTTTCTGAGTGCAGGCCAAGAGCTCAGCATATACATTTAACTCGCGACATCGTCTTGTGATGAGGTGACTGTACTGTTCGATCCGAAGATTGTCACACCTCGGACAACTGAAGACGACACGGCGAAGATCAAACCTGAGAGCCAAAATCCAAGATAAGGATCGTATCGTAGGCATCGTGAATAGCCTCAATGCCCATCTTTGCGACCGACAATATTGAGTTTTGAGTACTTTTTGGATCGGGAAAGGTAACGTGATAATTTCGTGGGAAATTCCGCAACGACCGACTCAACGCTAGAGCATCTTTTGCTTGTCTGGTAGGCCTTAATCGCCTCTTAGTGAGTATCAAAAGGTCATTTGTACTGTTACCCGGCATACCGTGCTTCCATTACTGCTGCCAAAGAGTGGCGGGATTGGGCTACTTTAGGGTGGATTGAAGTTCTGACGTTTGGATGCAATTCAGGTCCAACCTTCACAAGCAATATGCTAATTAGCAAGAAAAACAGGCGCACCATCTATGAGGCCCTCTTCAAAGGCTCGTATTGAGTCTGCGTGATGCAGTAACTTATGAATCCTGACGAATGCTTTGCTCTCACAGAGGGCGTCTTGGTCGCTAAGAAAGATTTCACTGCTCCCAAGCATGAGGACATTGAGGTTCCAAACCTTGAAGTTATCAAGGCCATGCAAAGCTTAACATCAAGGGGCTTTGTCAAGACTCAATTCTCGTGGCAGTATTATTATTACATCCTCACCGATGAAGGTCTTGATTACATCCGTGAATGGCGCGTATTTCCTCGATCTTTGGTAGTGGCTCCTTAGTTGCAAACATTCATTCGTTCGTTCATTCCACTAGGCTTCATCTCCCTTCCGAAATCGTTCCCGCCACCCACAAGAAACCAGCGCGTCCTCCTCGTCCAGCGACTGTTCGCCATGGTGGAGAAGGTGGTGGCTATCGCGCTCCCCGTGGAGACCGTGATGACTACCGCCGAAGAGATGCTAAGGATGAGGGCGCTCCGAATGAATTTCGCCCTCGATTTGGTGGCGTTGGACGTGGTGCACCTCTTGCTTCATAGATGTTACTGGGTGGGCTGCAGTTTTCATTCCTCCCCACATCATGTTGCTTCACCTTCCTATTGCATATTGACGCCTTGTATGCTTTATCGCTGCTCACTACTACGCCTATGACCAAAAGCCACCTGCACCTGCGGGGCAACCGCTAGTTTATAATGGTCTGACTAAAGGGCGGGCATTACTTTGCTCATGGCGCTTCCTCACACATGCAACTTGGCTTACGCGTTGGATTTGTGTGCGATGCTATGAACAGCATTGACTCGGAATGGATTCCCACCGACAGTGTTGCTCATTGCTAAAGTCTTTTCATCTATGTACTGAAGTGGAAGCAGTTCCATTTGGTTGGGCGGCTAGTGCGAGAGCATCTAACTGCACACATATGTTACGCAGCGTGTGGGGCATCAAGAGCTTCCTTTGTGCATGTGTTTGACGCTCTTCAGTGCGCAAGAACGGCTGCCGGCATGTCGTTCAATCCCAGGCCGTTATTTTAGACGGCACGTGGTTCGATGGGCCCGGCCTGTCAAACCGCGAAACCGTAGTTTTGCCGTTCCGTGACATTAAGATACCTGAGAACCCCTTGTCAAGTAGTCATGGGTGCTGCCAAATCCTAGTAGCGAGGGCATCATTTTCAGTTAGTGCACGGTGTTCCCCGTTGTTTGAAGGAGAGCATATCATGTGAAGCCACAGTGTTGTCGCCGGTTACACCAGACATCGGAGCTGCTGCACCGGTCGGGCTGAAACAGCTTAGAACATTGGACGGGAAAACCTGTTGGGGTGGAAACGCCCCTGCATTTACACTCAGGGGCTCTTCACCGTCTCAATCAGTGCCAGCAGGATTATGGTGAAACGTTGAGGAGCCAGGGATCGACCTTCCCACGGTCGTGTCGCAATGTATGCATTTGAAAGCCTTATCTCCATCGCGCAAGCGCGCCCATCTCCATGTTGCATGGAGTTTGCGTGCGTACCTTATTGAGTGCACCAGCAAGCGGCTCTATCGTCGAGTTATGCTCCCGAACACTTTTGCTTATTAGCCGTCCAGGGTAAAGAATCACGGCGTCCTTTTCCTTTTCAACTCTACTGGGCGCGTCTGCCTCAACCATCTATTGGCCTCATGGCTTTTTCAATGGGATGCCACCCCCAGCGTCAGGGTTATGCACATTGGGACAATGACCCAATTGAGGAAGGTGCCTCTCGTCTTGCGCGTTCATATTCGGACGCCTTGGGACATTACGTGTATGCATGGCTTTCATGTTATCCTGACGATGCTTCGATAGTCATCCACGATTTCTGGGAAGTCATGTTGGAACACTCAGGAGGGCACCGAACAACACAGCGCGGAAAGCCTTCGAACCGTCAGGGTACAAAAGAATCTCCGTCAGTGAAGGGTAAACAGCTCTCCAATGCCAATCCGGAGAAGTGCAGAATCGGAGATGCACGCCCCAGGATACCCAAACCGCTCATGTCTATCTCCCCACCAGTTTGATTAATTTGTCTTTCCCTAAAAGTGCTAATGCGCGCTTTGCCTTTAGGGGCGGACTTTCTCGGTGGTGTTACATGCTTTGTGGACATTTTACACAGTTACCGCCACGGAGTTTACTTTCATTTCTTATATTTTTCGAATTCGCTAGATTTGGATGGTCCGGGCGACGTTAGTGAGGGTGTCACATGCTGGGTGTGTGAACATGATGGTTGCGCTCCCAAGCCTCTTGGTGCCATGCCCTCGTGTGAAATGCCAGTGGAACGATGTAATTAACTACGCAAGATTGGTTGGTCGGTCAAAAAAATACATCAAATACGCGGTATCTCCTCAACATTTCGTTACTCTGTGGCGTTTCTGAAAGCTCTCCGTATCAGCAACTTCACCATCAGTGACCCCTGTCGATGATGCTATAATATTCACATATCAGTCGCAAGGTTCAACAAGGGGGTGGCGGGTCCAAGTTTCTGGTACCTATCTGCTTTCACAATCCTGGGGCTTTAGGGGCCCCGCACCTCGTCCGAAAAAAAAAATAGTGACATTTCTGGGATTACCCTCTTGTGCAAGCGTACATTCCCTTTATCAGTCTCCCGCTTACCGCACGTCATCTGACAACTCGCCACCACGCCCATATAGTTCACTAACTGCCCGACAAGTTCCGTTTGCCGCATGTATATGCATCAAAACCACCCGATGATCGGGTGATTAACTAGCCGTGACTGTTGCCATGTTGTTGCGTCAATTCGGTACGGCTGTCGGTTACCGTCTTTCCATTTGAGTTACTCCGCACATGCAAGGCGAAGCTAGAGGAGCCGTGGGCCACCTGTCGGTGTGATATAATGAACCGGGTAGGATGATGTGAAGATGGAGCATGAACTAAATCAGGGGAACAGTAAGGAGGAGATTTTCTAGGTGATATTTTGGCTATGTGGTGATGGAGCGCGGTGCATAGACGGAACTGATAGCCGTAATATGGAAAGAGTAGCGTTAATTGTTTCACATCTTGCTAGTTGCGTTCAATAATTTGAATGATCGTCCTTGCTACGCCGAGTATAAAACATGGAAGAGTCCTGTGGTACTCATCTGCAGGAGGAGGCAGAGCGACCTGGAAACCGCACGGAGGCAAGCGCCCATGCGAGGAATGGTTCTTTTCATTCACAGGAAGATCCTTCATAAATACGTAAAGCATCCTTCTTCATTTGGAGTTTCAAAAAGCCTCTCTGTCTTCTAAGGATATGTCATGATGGCAGCTGCTTGGGGTGCTGTTCCGGGTGGGGGTGGGAACATGCATTGGGTGCTGAGTAGAGCACGGAGCCCCGTGTCATCTGGCGTGGGAAAGCGACTGGAAAGCGCCGGCGTTTGAAAAAATTATGGTTTGTGAGGGGGTGCTTCCTCAATCAGTCAAAAAGAGAGTTGTTCATCAGAATTGCGCAATCTTCAGCGCCTTTGAGGGCAAGGGGGGGCCGTACACAGATTGCACAGCACAAGCTTTGGTCTGTCATGGAGAATCACGTTTTCACTTGGATTTGACATCAGAAGAAGTCACATGCCATCGCCGCAGGACATTAATGAAGAAGTACGCGTACGTTCGTACGTTGTCTGGGTGTGCATGGAAGAGAGTTTCAGCTGGGAGGTCGTTCGGAGAAAATACAACACCTTTTTTTCCTGTATTTTATAATGGCATGCTTGCCACCTAAAGGGGTATTTGCGTGATTTCCGGACCGATGCGAGCAACTGCTCAGAAACTACCAAACAAGTCACATTGTTCTTCCCTCCTCCCAACCACACCGACATCATCCCCATCGTCGCCGCTAGGAGGCGTCCAAAGCGACTGCTCCGTCGTCCTCATCGACGTCGTTGAGGATCCAGGCTTTCCCCAGTCCACCATCAGTTCCGCCGAACATCGACTTTGGGAACCCCACCCTAGTCAATGTTTCCTCGACTCAACGACTCCGTCCTCGCTATTGACGTGGATGCTGTCGCCAAGATCCAAGGTGACGAGGGTTTATTAAGTCTATGGAATGGTGAGCATGCGCGGACGTCGTGCTATCCCATTGTCCTGGCCTCATTGTTCTCTCCAGTCCTCACAAAGTGTAAGGAATCTCTGCATGATGGCCGAAGGTTGGAAAACATCGCATGGCGTCTCTTGCACCGTGAAATGTCTATAAAACAAGCTGATCGGAGGGTCTGCAACTCAGGCCCGGAAGAGGCTATCCTTACTGCCCCTCTGGTACCCGGCTCCCCTCTCTCCCCTTTGTCCAGTGAAACCGAATCAGATGAAGATGATATTAGTACGGCAGTCGATGATGACGAGCTTCTGCCTGGTCCCTCGAGTTCCTCTGCTCCGCCGCCAAAATCAACTCGCTCTCATTCCTCCACATCGCGTTCCAGTCGCCGTCGGCGAATGCCCGTGACTACCGTATTAACCACATCGGCACACCCTCCTCGGACAGAGCGTACAGGGCAACAACTCTCGGCCTCTCAGCCTTCTGCACCCGGTTCTACCCGCATATCGCTCGACTCCCATCACCGAACGCTCTCGGCTCCCCATCGCCTCAGCAGTGGTAGTGCTAACCCAACTCATCCTAGGAACAACCCGACTCGTTCCAGCCTGAATATCGGCAAAGTTATAAGCACACTACTCCCAGAGAAGGTCGATATTCCCAGGAGTCCTCGGGTTGATCAGCCTATATCCCCTCACGCCTCAACTAATAGTACTAATTCAAGTCGTCTCTCTGCCGATGCCTCATCTTCACCTGCGTCCCGCTCGAATTGTAATTGCCCGCACACTGCTGTTTGCCCGTCAACATCACAAAATCCTTCGACATCTGTAACGGATCCACCTGTTGGTGTTTGTTTTGCCTCCCCGCCGTTTTCCCCTTCATCCCGCTCTGTCCTTGTCGCTAATGGCGCCGCCAATCCGGCACTAATATTGACGAACCCCACTCCTCGAGTCACTCCTCCTGCAACGCCTTCACGAGCGTCCACAACTGTGAGCGTGAATAAACTTGAATCTGATAGAGTTAACGACGACGGAATTTGCGGTAATGATGCTTCTGGACGATGTCGTGATCTCCACGAGGAACAAGGGCCGCAGCGACTGGCCCACCCTACCTTGCTTGCAGTCCCTTTTACATCTACTGAAGATCGTGCTCTAGTGCTTCCTCGCGTGGCTATCGGCTCCCGATTGCGTTCCTCGTCAGACGCTGCGCCTACCGAGCCCGATATGACGCTTCAGACTACAAAGCAGGTTGCTTCATCTATCCCAACTTTCTCCAGCCCACTAAGCGTGAATAAGCGATCAGCGCCTCCACGAGCAATTCCCCGCTTGCTAGCTTCTCCCTTCTCCCAGCCGATTGAAGATCCCAGTCCATCGTCCCCCCAGACTGCCCAGGTGCCTGCTTCTGTCGATTCGAGTAATGCACCCGAACAAGCGAAACTAGGGCCCCAGTACGGGCGTAAAATTTTTTTCATACAGCGGACGCCGCCTGGTGAAGACCGCTGTGTTGTTGAAGGCACCTCCATTAACTGTGCCTCTAAAGTTGGACTGGTGTTACCCACATCAGATACTGCACCTAAACCCATGGCCCTGGGTAATCCTGCTGGCATATTAAATCTGGCCACCACCGTTGCAGCAGGCTTACTGTCCAATGACAGTGAGATCGAAGCCCTGGCCATTCAAACATCATCACTCGTGCCTGGCGGTCCCATTCCTGCTTCCAATCAAATTACTTCCGTTCTGGGCAACACACCAACCCCTTCCCTACCTGCCCCTATCTCCGTACTTTCTGCCGTTACTCGAGGCCCCAACGACGCTGAGACTAAGCAACCCACTGCTTCTGATGCCACTTCGCAAGGTATGGCCTTGCGTTTCCCCTTAGATCCTAATCAAGTTTAGTCACGTGCGAAATTCACTTGCAGGACCCACAATCGGCATTAATGTGTCCGTCATCAGCCATCAAGATGAAACGGTGAGATCCCAAGCACCTGACACGGTCACAATCCCACCCCCGAAATTAGCGAGTTCATTCGTTCATGCTGAAGCTGATGGGACTATTCCCTCAATTGCCTCATACGTCCAACCTAAATTAAATTTTGAGGAGAATCCCTCTCCACGCACAGAGCGGAAAAATGAAGGGATTGCAACTGATCCATCTCCCCCTCCCATGCAAACCTCTTGTTCTGTCAAGGATGTTCCCACCGCGCCGACGACTCAAATTCCGCTTCCCACCTCCAGGTCACATAGCGTTCCCCGCAAAGGGAAGCAGCCAGCACACGGCTACCCTGCATATCGTGGCCGAGGGTATGTGAACGGTGGCACCAAGCATGTGCGCTTAGCTGCTGTCACCGCGGCAGGCAATGTAGCACGGCCCGGGTTACCTAAGCAGTCTTCGTCTTCGTCGGCGAATCTAATGAAGAAAGGGGTTTCTGCAAAGACGAGGGCAAAAGGAAAGGAGGGGAGTGACTCAATGGATTCGAAGTCTCAGTCGCGCTCGCCTGGTGGGCAATCGCGCGCACCAAGCACGAGTCAGGCCAAAGGACCGTTCGTTGCTTCTCCTCTTTCGAATGGGGCCGGCACATTCACCGAACCTGGGGAATCTCGTGGATCTGGGAGTGAGAGTGTTGGCAGTAAGAAGCGTGTCTTACCTAGCATGGCATCGAAGAAATCGTCGCCAGCTGACGGACAATTGCAGAAGCCACCTTACTCTCATACAAACCCGGTGCAGAATTGGAATGTCAAACGACCCCTGCCTGGCCGATCGTATACGATTGCCAATATTTCTAGATTAGAACCTGCTCTGGAGCCTCATGCTCCCCAGCCACAACCATCGACACAAACTTCTGTGCCCAGGGGCAGTCGTCGTCCTGTTATTGATGCAACGTCTTCGGACTCTGAGACCACTAGTGATGATGGTTCATCATGGTCTGATGTTACCGATGAGGACGAAGATTTTCAGGCAGGGAATCAGCGGTCGAGGGCGTCTCAGGACGAGGAAGAGACTGGTCATATTGCACGTGAAGCCGCTCTGGAGGTGACACGTCAAAGGGAAATGTTCAGGAAGCTCCCAAGCCGTTCATACTCGAACTTAGGGCAGCGAAGGCAGTCAGGTCTTCTGAGTACACTGTTGAATCCTGATCCTGCAATACTTCCGTATCTTCCTACAGTGCAGCTTGAGGCCACTTGGAGACCCCATAACTCGGCCCAGAACCTGGGGAGACGGCCACCCGCTCTGGCCCCCTTGGGTGCCCTGCAACCGATGACTACAGTTGGTGTGTTTAATTCCAAGTTTCCATTCACTTGTTTTATACTCACCATGTTTCTTAGCTCTCCCTGCCGCTGGACCCTCCCGACCAGCTGCCCCCCCACTAAAACCCAGCAAGAGCGCTGCCGAAGTTCGTCTCGCTCAGGTTAGCGTCACGAACCAAGTGGCAGTCAACCCGAGTGGCAGGCCGGGTTACCGCCTGAAAGGACGGCCTGAAGGCGAAGAAGTGGAATCTGACGATGAAGAGGACGATCAGACGCTTGGTTTGGAACATATGTCCAAATCAGTGGCTCAGCGTAGATTGGAAGCTCTCGCTCAGAAGGATGGTCGCAACCGAGCCCATCAGGCTCTCCCGAACAGTTCCTCGCAACAACCCGATGACCGGCCTGGTGGTCAGCCAGATGTACCGTCTGCCGAGTTCCATGTGCGACAGCAGTCTCAGGATTTCAACGGATATATGGGGAATTTTGTATCCCGACCGCAGGCAGTTCCTTTGGCTCTGCCGCACCCCTATAATCTTCCGCCCCCTCCACCTCCTCAGACGCCTCGTACTACTCGCCGAGTCATGATGGCAAATGAAATGAGCGAGTCGTTGAGGCGCAACCTGCTGTGGGAGCGGCAACTCAGCCGACGCATGCTTGGAAATTTCAACAGGCAGCGCACTGAGAGGGACGAAGAGGCCGAACGTCAACGGCGAGAGCTCACGCGGACGAGGAGCTGGGCAGATGATTATCACGCTTCGGGTTGGTGATCCGTTCGTACTGCCTCGAATCGGCACGGACCTCGAGCGTCTCGAAGCAAGCAATGATTATTTATTGACAAAAAAAGCGGAAACCTAACCTGCAGTAACGACTTCCAATCGATGCTTGTCCTGTCATACTCATACGCCGACACATCTTGTCATTATTTTTCAACAGCAAAACTCATCAACGTAGCATATTGCAGCTTATTTGTTCTGATTATTCTTCAACTGAATATCCCGGCACTATCAATTCTTATTATCATGCGTTGTCCGCTCTCCCTTTTTTGTCTTTGCATTCCTCCACCCTTTTCCTTGTGCATACGACCGCAACGCTTCACACCCAATGCATGCTGTCGAAGTGGAAAAGAACGACGCTTTTTATTATGCCTCCCAATTTGAACCCTTGGCCTGCTTATATGCCGCTAGGTGGCCACCTAGTTCGCATGTCTGCGTTGCTTCCAAGTTAGTGGTTGGTGCTACCAGTGCATCTTTTGTGAGCCCTTTTGCATCTCCTTTCCAGGTGACTATAATCTTCCTATCAGTTTTGAACATATTGCTTTGGTATTGATCAACAGTTGCCGAAGGCTTCGTCCTTGAGCGCTTCATCACGGATCATTCACTGATATCTATGTGCTCTGTTCGTCACAACCCTCAATCGTCGCTCCACGAGGTTGGAATTTTTTCTTTGATGTTTTGTATGTAAGTGTGTAAGTATATTGATGTGGGCTCGCCCCTCGGAGACCCAGTCCCGAGCTTCCAATGTTTCCCGATCGCTCACCAATAAATGAAATTTTCCAATCGAGAATCCCTAGCTACCATCACAACCTAATCTGTACGCCTCGCGTTCCCGCCAGCACCGCTTTCAAGTGTCGGTGGAGGTCGTCACCACCACCGTCTACAGACTTGCAAATTATCCATTCAAAAAAGTAAAGGGGCATCGTACTACACATATATCTCACAAATTTTTCTATGACATTTGCATCTAAATGCTGTGAAAAGCATGTTTGTTCCGCAGCTGCCAATGCCAACCATGGCCTACTCAAATTTCCGCATTCACTGCTGGCTCAACAATCCTGTGGCTACCAAACCCTTCATAACCGCTTCGCCAAACCGGAAAATTTTTCTCCCCAATGTTCTCTTCCGAAAGTGAAGAACTCGCGAAACACGCCAGAACCCGAGCCTGCGACGCATGCCGCAAGAAAAAGTGTGTCGATCTGGAGTCGCTTTACACCGTTTACCAGCTCATGGGATTTTACCTATTTAGAGCTAAATGCGAACGGTCTGGGGTCATAGACGCACCATGCACGTCTTGCGCGCAGGATGGCATTCGATGCTCGTTTCTCAATATCTCGAACCGCTCTGGGACTTCAAAATCCTATGCCGAAAAATTGGAGGAGCGTTTGAAGCACATGCAGACTATTCTTGAACGAGTGTGTCAAATGATTATGGGCTCGCGAATTAGATCACTAACGTGCTTGTGCTGCTCCCTTCAGCACGCCTCAAGGCCCGAGCTTGCCCAAGCGTTAGGGTTTTCGGTTGACGTGGGTAATGACGAGAGACTCGTCTCGTCGTCGACCTCTCCTCCAGAACCCCAAAGAAGGAAATCCGGAAGCAAAGTCAACACGAATCCCAGTCATCCATGGATTTCTGACCATGTGCCGAGGCTCTCCGAATACCTCGACGCCTACTTCTCTGGCCGATCCACAGTCGAGGGGCTCGATGCCAGTGAGGACGAAAATGAGGGGCCAATCGGAGGTAATCAACAGCTACGTCGTTTTCATGGGAGATCCAGTGGTAAGTCACCAAGGGCCATTACCCATCCAGAGAGACTCATTGTCCCGACGTTGAAAGGATACAGCCTAGCAAGCGACGCTCAGCGCATAGCAAGTTCCTACAGGACTTTCCCCCTGATTCCATTAGACGGGGCGCATGCGCGGGAGGCAAGTGGCGTCAATTTGTGGGAAGAACTGACGTGTTAATTGGCACATACACACATAGTGGCCCGAGGATGCGTTCAGAGATGAACGGCACTTCAGAAGCCTTATCGCACTGATTCCACCTCCTGATCTGCTACGGGAGCTCCTGAATGTGTATTTCAGTCATCCCCCTGGGACGTTGCATCCCTTTATCCACCGTCCAACTTTGGAGGCTCAGATTAGAGGCCGTCTGCATGAGAGGGATTACTCCACGGCGAAGCTCGTACTGATGATATGCGCAATGTCTGCCTTTCACTTACAGGATATTCGCGTGTGTGCAATGTTCAGAGGAGTCTTAACTCCTGGGTACCAATGGTTCTCTGCCGTAGAAGAATCGTGGTCGCTACTGCATTGTCGTCCCGTGCTCGCAGAGCTACAGGCCTGTGTTGTGAGTACTTTCCAGTCGCCTGCAATCATCCTTCGAGTGTCCATGATTTCCGAACAGCTAGCTGTTATGTACTGTTCACACGTCATAGGAAATCCTGCTCTAGGATGGGTCTACCTCGGAGGGGCCGTACGAGTCGCAGAAGATGCCGGTGCCCACAGGAGAAGCTCATGTCCTGACGAAATCTGGAAGAGGACATTCTGGTGTGTGGACCTACCCTCTTAGTCTCGTTATAAGCCCGGCCGAATGCTGATTCATTGCGGTACAGGGCAATGCTTATCCAAGACCGTCACCTGAGCAGCTGGCTAGGCAGGCCTCCCCTGATATTGGAGGAAGAGTACGTCCAATTCTCATGTTCGTCACTGTCGCCGCAAACGCCTTCATGTAGTGTCGATCTCGATTTACCAATTGCTCTACCTGACGAGGATGGGTTGCAGGCCGGTACTGTGGAGGTCTACAGATTCCTTCTCCCCCTCTCCGTCATGGGTGGAACGGCGCTTCGTACGATGTACTCCGTTACTGGACATCATCCTGCGCGCGAGGCGGTATTAATCGCAGAGCTCGACGAAAGTGCGAGAAGATGGAGGTCGTCCTTGCCACCGCGACGTACGCATCAAGCTACCTGTTGTCGTAACGATAGTACTAATCATTGAAGCCCAATCATTTTTTTGGCGACAGTACGTTGGGATCCGAACATCCGGGATATCGTTGACTTTGAACGCTCGGCTGGACTTCATCTCTTCTATTATCATCTCCGCATCCTAATTTACCGCCCATTCTCTCAGATCGGTTCTCCCGGCGCCTCCGACGAACGGAGCCGGAGAACATGCGTTGCTTTAGCACGAGAGTGTATCCGGGTCATCACTGCGAAGCGACAAAGAGGATTAGTCATGAGCCCGCAAACGATATTCCCGGCGGTTACGTGTGCAGTGATCCTCTTAACGATGTCATGGTTGCCAACAACAGACAGAGTTGTGGCGGAATCGGAGCGCACAGGGCTTTCTAGAAGCTCTACCCTTCCCTGATAGAGCCAGGGGTTGTTGAGGATATCCAGGAGTGTCTGCATGTCCTAATATTGGCAAACAAGCCGTACGTCTACTGGCATAACAGCAAAGAGAGCATTTACGTACACGAGTAATTAGATGGTGCCGACCGTATGTTGGTCGCTATCTGTAAGCTCGTGTCTGTTCATCACTCCGTATAGCCACTTATTTGCTCGTGCACTTGCGCCAGAGCCATGCTTAAGGATTTGGCTTCTTGTGCAGGAATTCCAATCCAAGGACTCGAGAACTCGGTTGTGTCGCCTCACCATGCAACACCGGTTCCGCTTGAAGCTCCATGGCAACCTGGCGTTGGAACTGGGCCCTTGCGACATTCGGCCGCCAGTTTCCTGTCGAACCATCCGAATGTTTCTTCACAACCGCCACAGGCTACACCCAGCGGTTGCGTTCCTCGAATGAATCGATCAGGTACACCATATGCCATGAACGACACAAGCCAAGTTCCGAGGGTCCGAACTCCACGACATCCACCCTACCCCGGTCACCAAAGTCCCCCATAACACCACTGCGGGCGAGGGTAGCCAACCTAGAGGTTCGTCCTTCGATCATTTGTACCAGAAGGTCTTCGATACGCTGAGGCTCCCGTCCCCCAGTGCAGTAAACCATAGCACCCCGATGAACTAGTATCCCGAGGAGATTCGACAACTTGTCAGCCTCGCTACTAATTAGACGGAGTTTCGGATGACCCGAGATGGGTACGATCTCTGCGTTTGTTACATAGGCCGAGCAATTTTCACCCATGGACTTCTGTTTCGATTGTAACGCTTCATTTCTTGTCCAATGATCAGTCCCTTAGATGAACACAAGCTTTGTACATCCTTGGATCGGTCCCTGGTAGATGGGACTACCGCTGGTTTGACTGAAGTCCTTAGTACATGCTCTACGGCATTATGATTCACACAGAGATGATCCGATAACGTGATGAAGCTGATTGGATATTGCGCGACCTTATCTTTCATCTAAGCTTAAGCTTCTTACGCAATTCTGTATTGTGGTCTTTGTTTTTGCCAATCCTCGATAAATAGTAATTCTGATAAGGATCGTGTGGCGCGCTCCTCGATATGCACATACATTGATGGCTAAGCATTGTCCGGTCCTCAATATTCGTCGGGTGAGTGTCCTGCCGTGAAGCTGTGTTTTTAGTACCTACCTTCAACTGCAAGCTTCACATAGAGGCTGGTAACTTGCCTAAAGCTTCACGCTGGCCAGGAGGTCTCGGAATGAATATACGAAACTAGAGTGAAAAACAAGTTCGATCTGAGAACACCCCTCCCATACAAAGCTATTACTTTCCGATGGATGTCGTGTTGCCGGTGCTGAAGACGAGAGGGATTCCGTTTCGCAGGGCCGGGTTTCATCGTCTACTAGCTTGGTTTCTGCTCTTTCTTGGTCTTTTCTCATGCGCTCGGCTTGAACTCGCTCACACGGTTGGGGGGCTAGACCGAGTTCGCTGGTGTTCTGTTTCACCCGGCTAATCACTCGTGATCCAGAACAACTCTGTACATACGGCGCTCCGCTTTTGCAGTGAGAATTTATCATTACTCGTCGAAAGCCAGAAGTCCGACTAATCTAAGGAATTGCGCGCAGACCTTCTTTTATCCTCTCACTGCCTTGACCAGCCCAGAAGGTGTTGTAACAACCGTATACGCCGTCTGCATGAGCTCGCAGCTTTTTCAACTCAACCTTGTGGCCCTACGTGAATCTTTCCTCTGGCTCACTCTTCCTGCTTCCACTCAGCTGCGCTGCAGTGTTCGGCCTTCATTTCTTTGCTCTCGCGCCTCTTCCCACCACTTCCGTTCCTCTTTGCTGTGTTGGGACTTTTGCGGGCGAGTTATAATCGTTCTTTCCTGGACATTTGATCTCTCTAAAAGCATTGATTCTGCGTGCTTTATTGTATGTGTTCCTCTATTCTAGCAAATGGAACAAGGGAAAATGACTATACACACTCGAGAGTGAACCTGGTAGGATGCGTTATCCGCTGGACAGGAGTCTCGAGATAGCGCTAATGTTGTAAATAGTGTTCATGAGAATCTAGTCCCTCGATTCCAAGGACCATGCTTACGTTGGGGCGCTTCAGCCGGAGGTCCAAGGAGCAGAGTAAACTTGCTGCTCCTGGATATAAGATACAATGGCAGGAGTGGTTAATGACACCCATTCGGTGTTCACTGTCCCTTTTAGGCTCTCTCGTAGCCTTGTAGAGCTAATTAAGCCCTCGCTAGCCCCAATGTTGATCATTTTAATTAGTCCTGCATCCACGTAAGGTTTTACTATGCCAGACTGCAGGAAAATGCTCTCCTCTTGCTCATCGGCGGGCTCAGTACCGACATCTCCCGGTCTTCGGAAAGAAGCTTTGGGACGCCGTGCACAGAGTATAGACGATTTTTCGACGAAGAAAAACTTTTCGAGCGATTTAGACATGCCCTCGGGGGACGGATAAAACTTGGGGTCAAAGAAACGGGTGATGGTATCCCAACCCATCAGAAAAGTGAATTGGAATCGAGGAAAGGCTTCATGCCTATGTTCTCCATCCCAATCTCGCACCAGCGAAGGCCAGTAAGGTGGTAAGGCATGATGAAGAACGGTCGATTTGCCGACGAAAGTGGGTTCGTCAATGGCAGCGGTCAGGATCACCGGCCAAAGACTTTTGGCGAGTGATTGATCACTAGATGATGTGGGGTTTTCATGGACGCATTTTGGCATAAAAGGCCAGTTAGCTTCTATTTGAGAACGGGCCAAATCGTCGGCGAAATGTGCCAGCATTTCCAGCCTTTCCGTGTATGGTGCGTCTCCTGTTTTGAGTTGTTTGTCGGCATTTCTCACAGAAAGCAACAGCAGGGTGGTATCAGAAATGTCCGGGGTAGAAAGAAGAGCGAGAGCGAGGTGTGCGCGCGTGGGTGGATTGAACGAAGAATCCAGGACAGTCACCCGCACTACTGGCGGTCTGTTGTCGCTGCCCTGATCACTGGTGCACCGATCGATCGGGATAACTTTGGAATAAAGAATCTCGAGCTGCGAGGTGTTTTGCTGTAATCTCTGTATTGCGCGATCCAGGTGTGAGGGCTCAAAGTAGCGCATATGGATGTCGTTGAGTCGTTAGACTAGTAGTGCTGTACGTTGGACGGGGCGCTGGGACACGTGGCTATTACGCAGAACTCGATGATAGCAAAGAGCACTTAGGTTCTGCGTTATGGACCCAAGCTAGAGCGTTCAGAAGTTGGGAGATACTAGATCAACGCTTGAATAAATCTTCATTATATAGCCACACGGTGTCTTAATCATTGTACAGGGCAAGGGAGAAAAGAACAAAAGGGAATGTTGTGACGGTAGATCAGGGACGGGGATGATAAGAAAGACCTAGGCCTCTTGCTGAGTGTCTAGGTCAGTCAGCTCCAAAGCTGGCATAACAGTGAGCGACCATCATCCCGAAAAGCATAAAGGAAACTGGCACATACCGATCCGGCAGAAGCACTGGTGCGATCAGGCTCCAAATATACAGCAGCAGACATATCCAGCTCGACACGACTCGAATCCACATTGCAACTTCGGATCGGCCTATGTACACATCATCGGTATCGTCGGCGCCGCTCGTCGATTTCACGACGTTCCTATGCATCATTAATTTGATGGCGATTAGCACATTCAAAGAGCGACGTTGCGTACCAGTCCGTTAACAACATGGCCACATACATGGCGGCCATCGCAAAGATAATATGGAACCAGGAATACTAATCACGAAGGAAATAAGATGTGCAAAGCGAGCCTCCAATGGCGATTCTGAAGCTGACATTATAGCGAGTTTGACTTTTCTCGTCATCTCGTTCCTCCCCAACAACTTCATCATCTTCCTCATCATATTGGTTCAGTTCTTCTTCTAATGCCGCGGCGGGGATGGCACTAAGGAGAGTGGATGTCAAATTCGGCTATGCCCGGCAGGCCATTACATACCCTGCCTCAACAGCAGCGAGGATGGCTTGGTAGCGGGGATTGTCCTTGCGAGATGGCTGGGTTGTGACAGGGCCAATCTCATGTGCTCCATCTTCATCGAGTGTGATAGCGCCCGTATGTTTCTTGCCAACAAGAGCTTTGCTTTGAGTAGCAGCCCGGGTGGTTGAATACGCGATTGCCAAGAACGTGAAGATGGCACCTAACACAACAGTTGTGTCGCGAGTTGCACTTCCCGTACCATTGTGCAAAGGGTTGCAGGTTTGGTGAGTATGGTTTCCCACAGCCGAGGTGATGAGGTAAGTGCAATACGCCGCGACCATGCTCGATTGCAGAAGTCCAGACCTAGGATTCGCCTGCTGCACGACGGGATGGATGGACAATATGGCGATGAGGATGCAGAGCACCAAGTTGAACGAAATAAAAAACTGGTTAAGTGTGCATCCCGAGCCCGCGAAGAAAGCATAGAGGATCGCAGTCAGCGTGATCACTACGCCGTACATTCCGGCCGCAGATCCAACGAGAATGAACTTCCACATGTTAGATTCCGAGATCTCCCAGTTTTCTAGACACATCTCGGCCCAGCTGTGTGCGAAATCAACAAGAAGAACGAGACCAATGAGGATAAATATAGTCGCTCCGATGATGGACATGTAATTTCCCCAGAACATGAAAAAGCCGTTGGGAATCGCAAATGATATGGCAAGTAGGACTAGCCATGCCAGAACTTTCGGACCCCACCATCTGAGAGGGGTTGAGGTTGGTTGTATGGGGTCGGTTCGTCAGCCAAAATTCCCTCATCAACAACAAAAGAGCATACCCGTTCTGGATCACCGCTCGTTTCGTCTTGGTGTTCTCAACACCGATAAGAAGAGCGCCGAGTATTGCATGGAATAACGTAAGAGCAAAGCAAACACGATGAACCTAGTATGCGACTTGGTGACCTCTGCAGTGAGGAACAAATAAGGATACATACTGCAAGAACGCCATAGCATTTCCCCGATTCGCAGTCCATTTTAATATAATTGTAGCTCCATGTCTCAAGCAGCTTGATTGCGAACCGAGTTCGCATCATCCACGCCAGCATCGAGTTTAGGCAGAATATTATCTGCATATACAAACATTGGCCCCAACACAACCCAAATAATTGGCTCCACATACCGCGAAACCGACACGGGTAGCTATAGAGCTGTTGCAGTTACATGATTTGAAGAAAAGGGATGCTACATGGGCGGTATCAGAATCAGAGCTCTGAGGAAACAGAACCATGCTTGGCTCACCAGCAGTGGAGGTGAAACAGAACGCAATCCCCGTTAAACAGGATGTACCGATGCCGGTGAAGGGCAATGAGAGTAACAAACCCATTGCGGGCAAATAAGGTGGACTGGGCCACGTGATGTGACCAATTTCTCGCACGCCTGTTAATCGTCACCCTTCCTTCCCGGAGTCGTACATCAGGACACGGGAAACTTCGATTCGCAGGATTAATGCCGATCATTTCGTCCCTGTACTAGTTATAACAGCTTGGGCTTGTTGGCGCCATCACTCCTTCGCGTCGATAAGTGAATTGTCGCCCTACTCTCTCCTCTCCTCTAGTCTGTGGTGATCGCAAGAACGTCGTATGTCTATGTGGTATTCTCTCTCGGGGCGATTAGTAGTCCGGCGGGCGTCTTCATAAACGGGTGTGCTCTAACCCCACACGACCGTGCATGTAGCTACTTGTTCCTCGGTTCGGAAGCGCAAATTCAAACAGGTGCCTACCCATCAAGTCTTTATTGGCAAAGGTTGCTGTCCTTCAAGCGTTTGTCTTTCTGGTCTTGTATGCATGCATTTTGGCTCTGTTCCTGGCATGTTTGTGATCTACAGTTCAGTCGCATGCAGCTGAAAGAAAATATTCATCACCGCCGCGTGGGCTGCCACTCCTCCTTTGTCACTCCGGGTATGGTAGAGGAAAAGATCGGGCTTAGAGTAGTTTGGATGGGGATGTGTGATTGCGGTAACCTATTGTATGTTGTGGAGACTTCCGCCTTGATGCACGCATGGCCATATTGCTGGTGTTGGGGATTTCAATGATGCAGTTTCATGTGTGTTCACGTCTTCACTATTATTGTGGTTCTCGCGGGCCTTAGCATCAATTGTGCTGAGATATTGCAATGATAGTTCCTACTTCAAGTGTTGACCGCCGAGTGAGGTCTGACGGAATGGATCTGTTCAAGTTGCTTCCGTCACTGGCCTGGGGCCCGTACTCGTTATGGTACCGTGTGGCGGCTGTCCGTTTTCCTCGCCGGGTGTCATTCCTGCATCACCACGCCGCCCGCGGAATCGGTGAATGCAGATTCGATATCGCCATCTCATCACTTGACATTTGAGCAATTTCTCGAAGCTTGAGGAACTATCTCAGGCTGTTTGCTACGTCAGGGCTGATTAACAACGTGAGCCCAAGGTCTCGGCTTGGCTCGATTATTTCATGTTCGCGAAGCCTTTCAAGTACTTACCTGTGAGGCGCGCTCAATGAGTGTTCATCGGGTCTAGCGAAGATCGAATTATTGATCCTATGTCTGATGTTATCCTTTTGCTTCTCGATATTAATATCCATGTCCCTCTTCAGTGTGCATGTGGCTGCGTACGTTTGATTCCTGCCTAGAAATTGTTATGATACTGAACAATTTATACCGTCAGCCATTCAGGCCGACTGCTGGTTTGGAATCGCGTCATCGTCTTCCCTCACCCTAACAACTGGAAACCATGCATTCGAGTTCCGACTTCAAGTCGTTTGTAGGAGTGTTCCCAATCATGTACCACCTACGCGCAAGCGAGAAGGGGTGTCTCCGTATCAATTACTTGCAACCCACTGCTCACAATTAGGGAATTAGGAATATTGTTAGATCGGAGTCAACCTGCTGACGATCCGACGAGTAGGAGCTCAAACTGGTCGAGCCGGGGCCCGGCTGTTTGATGTTACCCACGTTGAAGAAAAAGGTTTGTTGGATCTTCTAACTACATTCCGGGTAACAGTTGATGCTGGCGAAATCCTGGTATACTCGCTTCGAAGCTTGGGTCACCCAATGTTCGGTGGGAGATTGTTCAAGGCATTGACCTTCATCCGGAGTTACTTTAATGAGGCACACGACCCATCGGGCTCGACGCACAATATCGTAGGCAAAGCGATGCGTTGGACTCCGAATGGAATTGGGGAAGTGTGGATACATTGCCTCCGGTACATTAATGCTGTTGGTGTCAACTAGAATGCTAGGTCGTTTTTAATTGCGCCCAGGGCACTGCTGTAATTGAGAAATTCACATTTAACCAAGTTAGTTTGAACTTCACCGCCCCAGCATAAGGGCCATGAGTCAGATCGGAGCCATATTGGTGGCGCTCACAGAGACCGATTCCCGAGCATCAGTCGCTCCGGAGGTGGATGGCGACTCGTTCAGGTGTTACAGCCCCATCTGTCTGTTTTTCCGCCTGCACTTCTGTGCGGTACTGGTGCCGATGGTAGTAACTGGTGATTAGGGGATTGGATTCGCACAGCTCTTGTGGTGCGTGTGTTGATGTATTTTTGAGCCAAAGAGAATAGAGCCGCAATTCTGGGATAAGCCAGCGTTTCATGAATGTTACATAAGATAAAGCGAACCAGTGTTCCAGAATAAGTGAGATGTTGACACACGCACATCAAGGTTGGACTGAGATGTTGAGTCAGCCAAGGCTCTTCCCGTAGACCACCACAACCCTCTTATACCAGTTGCCCATACTCACTCACTCTCCTATTGTTCAGCACTCCCTAACTACTAACCGTCCTCTTCTTTGGGACCGTCTAGCAGCGTATCGCGACGGAGCGCGTTTAGAACTTCAGCCGCCTTCGAAAAATTACCCTGATTCAGCATGCGAGAGGGCAACTTCAGCTTCACATCTCAAGGCAAGGCTGCCGTGTGTATAACCACCCAGCTCTACGACAGACGAGGTATGTATATATTTACGAACTCGGGGGCTTCTTGTATGACCGCAATTTTACGCTTACTGATCATCACTCATCTTTTAGCGCTTGATGCCACTTCCGCACTCCCCTTGAATAACTCACTAACCAATCTCACGTACCTCACGAACACGTCCCCTCGCATTCGCGAAATCCTTACCATCGATGGTGGCCTTGAATGTCTAGTTCGGATGTTACGTGAATTCGTCTCCTCACCGCCTCCACCTGTGAATCCTCGTCAGTTCTATGGGTTGCTTCCGCCAAAGCAGTCACTAAAACGAAGGGCTCCGACTCCTGGGGAATTCCCTCCATTCGACAAGGGAGCAGCCCATCGCTTCAGTCTGGCATTTCAATGTGTCGTGAATGTTGGCGTCCGTGGCTCGGAGTCAATCCGATCTCGCGTTGTGCAGGCTGGGATGCTACGAGTGGTTGGTGCCGTCCTAGAGGCCTGGCTAGTCTCAAAAGGTCTTTCTTTCCCCCCGACTTCAGCAGCTTCTGTGACGAGCAAGGAAAGCCGCCAACTGCGGCACTCGAAGCGCCAGGAGGCCCGGCATGAGGACATCGAGCGAAGACAGAGGGCGTCCGAAGCTGTCTCTGCCACTCAACTTGCCCGTGCTCTCCAACAAGAAGTAGCTGCCGAACAATCCGGAATCCGATGGCCACGACGTCCGTCAGATGAAACGGATGGCGATGACGAAGAAATGGCTGACGTCTCGACTGCCGCTGCGTCCTCATCTGAATATCTCCCCCCTCGTCCATCGTCCTCCTCTTCTGAACTACTTAGCACCGATAATAGCTCCGTTACAACTCCAATCCGCGGGAACACTCCAACAGTGGAGGCGAGAGATAGAAGTGGGACTATAATCGCGCCTCAGGCAAACGAGCCTGTTCATAACCCTGTTTCTGAGACTCGCATTCGTCGACAGTCGGCTTCTCGACATGGAATAGAGACGGATGGGGAGGACTTAGACACCGACGTCAGCACGGGCCCAGCAACACGGCCCCATGTTCAAGCCGTTGCAGTCGTTGAAAGTGTGGGGGTAGACGGAATACAGGTGTTTGGTATGGATGGTTTCAGGATGAATGCCATCGATCCTACCATTCTAACTATGGAGGCAAATGACGACATGGCTCTCGGGGCGCCGCCCGGTGCACCTGGCGCGGTAACTCAACGTGTGGACGTAGGGACGCCTCAACCAGGAGCCATTGATACGACGCCTCGTGCCGGACTTGCTTCATTGACGGAGGACCAAATCGATCGTGCTTTGCCCACTACAGCTGTTCCTGCAACAGGCATTGAGATGCTCCGTGATGCAACTGCAAACGCTGCCTCACAGAGAGTGCGTCTTGAAGGCTCGCCACGGAACAATTCAATGGCTACAGACGGTGCGGCTCGCGCACCTTTAGGCTTTATCCCTGAGCCTCCTGGAGGGAGCGTGCGATCTTCAACCACATTTGCGTCATCAACCCAACAAGGGCCATTCAAAGACGAGGATGTCCTGTTGTCCTTGCAGCTACTTGCATATTTATCGAAATACCCGTATGTTCGACAGGCGTTCTACACTCCCCGCCCCGTCCCCACCACATCGAATAACATTCGAAATCCATCCGTACCGGTCATTGCCCCTAACATCTTTTCCCTAGTTGAACGCTTCACATTTAGACCTGCCATTGCAGAGTCTCACCCTCGACTACCTTGGGAAATCCAGTATTGGGCTGGAGTCATCATGCGAAACGCGTGCCGCAAAGATGAGAGCCGTGGCGGAATCAGGCAGTGTGCCAACATGACGTGTGGAAAGTGGGAGAAGTATCCTCGTGAGTTTGCAAAATGTCGGAGATGCCGGAAGGCGAAGTATTGTGGAAAGGAATGTCAAAGTCGTGCATGGACGGAGGGACACCGTTTTTGGTGTAGCGCTCGGGATCCAGAGGAAGAGAACAATCCTGACGGGATTCGGCATGGGAATCATTCTAGTGATAAGTCCGTTTCTTCACTGATTTTGGTGGCTTTGGCTAAGAAAGGCCATGGTTTTTAGCTTAACCCCTCGCCGTGCACATCACCACCACCACCATCATTCGCACCATCACCATCACCGCCCAAGTCCAGTCGAGAGTGCCTCCGCGACGCAGAACCCTGGGCAAACGACGAGATCCCAGTCTGGCAGGTATGCTGCGCACGTACCTCCTTATTCGGCAAACGACATGAATGTAGATCGGACGCCACGGACTTCAGTGACCCGTACCCATCAGCCGCATCGCAATCGAGCTGCAATTCCGACTGGTGGAGATTTGCCTTCGCCTACCGATCAAGCGTCCGCACAGCTGACTATGGCTCAAAATCTTATGACAAGGATCAATGCAATGAGGATGCCCTCTGCCACCGGAACGCGACTCCCACCAATCCGTTTACCGTCTGAGGACGGCAGATCCCCGTCCAGGGCAGGACCCAGTCGCCTCGAAACTGCTTCCCTGACCGTGCCACCAACACCCATGGAGATCGATGAACAGACACCCCGCCGTAGCACGATGAATGTACAGAACTCTCGTCGTACCAATTCGTCTGATTCGGTGCCAGGCGCGCCACTTGGCCTACTTAATATGACCTCAAGAGTACCCCTCGGATCGACATCCTGGGCGCCCGCAGCAACTCCGCTGAGTAATTTTACTATGACCGGTCGATTTGGTCCTCCGCCCTCTGATCCTCCTCCGCGCCCTCCTTCTGTTACGCCGCGGATGTCTCCTGATCGAGTTCGAGATCCTGAGCCTCTGACATCTCTCAGCGAAGACATACCCATGATTTGATTGTCTGTGCTCAAATGCTCTTACATAAGAGCGTTGCTTGGGGAAGGGATCATCACAGCTTTCTTGATATGTCATTGCAGTGTGTCGTGTTTTCGACCTTGGTCCTCCCTTTCACCAATTCCATTCCATTTATTCAAAGTCTGTTATAGCTTTCATCATGATCTCTATTCACGCTCGCTTCAATAATCATATTCTACAGCATCGTAGCGACTCTTGAAAACCCTCAAAGATCATTCCTATATCCTGTTCAAATCGCACATCCACTTCAATTTGCATCTCTTCTGACCCCGCGCCCTTCACAGCTAATTAGCGCATTGCATTTTCGTTGTTTATGTGGTTATACTTTGATTCATGCTATGCGACTCGCTTTATTAGGCTATGACGTGCGAGAACAAGTTCGACTGCTTTCGATGAACTCAAGCACCAGCATGGCAATTCAATTGAGATTAGCCATAAATACATACTCCATTTTGGTTCCGATTGAGCTAATTGACGGTCATGGTCATCCGTTTTTGGTGATTTTTGGCATGCTTTTAATATGCACCCCTTGCAAGGATCGAATTCCCTCGGGTATTAGGGGTAAAATCACCTACCGCTGCCCTGTGTCCGTTTGCCATGGTGGCTCAGACTACATTACCGTTGGTGTACGGTAGTGCTTATCGCCGGCTTGACTATAGGCACAAATTTGAAGTGCATACATAGTACTTCTATGCACGCGCTTTTTGTTCTGTTTTTTTTTTTTTTGCAGGAGTCAACGCAAGCACGTTGCGCTCGACCCTGCGGGGACCAAGCCAGACTGCCCAGTTTAAATTGCTACACAGCATATGGCATCATCTAACCTAGCGGTAGGATGACAGCCGTACAGGAGCACCGATATTTGAATGCGGTACACCATGCTATGTTATCTCAAGGCACTTATAAAACACCGGTACTTGTCGATGCACTGAAGGGTGCGTAGTTTGAAGTATTCAACCATGAGGCCACGATGAATCAAGGCTGTGGCCGCTCTACTGCTTTCTTGTTTCTTCTGGCGCGTGGAGCGAGTCTGTTTTTAGCTGTCCCAGTGGATTCTGCCAATAGGCTGGCCAATGGCCATCCAAGAACTCCAGCCACAAGGCTACAGTGGCACACATGACGTAGCCGTCCCTGGCCCAAAGACGCCGGAACCTGTCAGGGCCACTCTGCACTCGTTACTAGCATTTTTAGTGAACTTGGACCCGGGCCACCTGGGCAGAACAGGTCCAAGTATAGATGCCAGGCCGAGCATAAACTGCCATATACCCAGCGGCCACATCTTGAGCATTGGGAACCAAATCTCTCCACCCCATTAATGCGGGTGGTGAGCCTTTAAACTGATTGTACAATGTTGGCGCCGCCACTTCCTGGCTGATGGGAGGGGGTTCCTAACTGGCGCATACAACCCCTGTGTTAGTCTAACAAACATTGCCAATTATCCGGTGTTCGTCTCGAACTCCGTTCTCAGCGTCGTGTGATCCACAGTACTACCATGGGATCCCTGACTTCCAACCATCGGTCACAGTACTGTCTAGTAAGTCATTCATCCATAGAGCATACGAGAACACAAAATCAATGGTTTTTATACTACTGGTTGTTGCGAGTACACCGATAATGATCTTATTGTGGAACCAATGTTATTAAGGACTTCCAGGTTGTATCCAATTGAGGTCTGGCTGTGCACCTTGCTGAAAGATCGTGAGTTGCAGGTCGGTTCTCGAACTGCTCCATGACTTAATAATACCTTCGGCGAACGTCCTTGCCTTGATTTGTCATCTATATCTGCCTTCTGTGGATACCTCAGCCTGTGGATCTTATATTCGCCGCCCGAGTCCGCTTAGAGCTTCATTAAAAGCGCGTGTCACTAAGTACGAATTCCCAAGTCCTGCATGGAACCCCTGTCCTCTTCAGATCCTCATTCGGCCCAAGACCGGTCGCACCGCCTATTGTTCTTCGATGCTCGTACCCTGGGTAATCACTTGAATCAAAGACGAATGATCGCCGGATTTGATATGTTCGTATGGGCCGGGAAGCTGAAATTTGGGATGGTGGATTGGCGGTTTCTTTGCCAGCCGAGGGACATCCCTGTGAGAAGAGATGTCTGAATACTTTAGATACTATCGGATGTTGGAGGGATGATATTCGTACCAAAGAGTGTATGGGGGGGAATTGCGCAAGGTAATCAGAACTGAGCCACGAAAACCTGTCTTCCCGAGTAGCTCTGACGTTTGTAGCTCACTGTTAGGGGACACTGCTGAGTCGCTGTCCGATGATTCATCATCACCACTGCCTCTGTCGTCGCTATCGTTGTCCGAATGCTTCCGTTTCTTTGGGGTCTGGGAGATGTGGAAGGGTGGCACTTTCCCCCGAGCAAGGAAAGGAGCACAAGATTGGAAGAATCCAACAATAAGTTTCTGGTTCGCTAATATGTTCCTGTCCTGGTCCTTAATTCCCGCTCCTAGGAAAAACACGCGATTGGGTCGGCTCAAAGTATTGCTCCGAAAGGGCAAGTAAATAATCCTACCGGCATGAGGAAAATTGAAAGAGATGCGATCAAATGCCTTCCCAAGCAGGTCTTCGTGGTTATCAAGCTTGGTTGCGTCGATTCCAAACAAAACTGTCGCGCCAAAAGCGCGAAGTTTCGAGACAATCTCTTGGGCATCGGGATACTTCGTGTAACATTCATCTTGGGAGTCATACGAGGTTGCGACAAGGAGTGATGGCGTAGCCTTTATGGTTTCTGTCGTAAGCAACGCGAGCGCAAAAGAGAAATTTCCTGGGGGTGGAGGTCAGACGAGTGCAACAGCAACACCATTTGGACCGAGGGCTCGCCTTCTCCAATCATCAGAATCCTGTCACCTGCCGAATAAGGAATCGTTTTACTTTGCTTCCCCTTGCTTGGGGCCTTCGCAGGGACGCTCTGCGCGGCCGTGTGGAACCCTGAGCCGCTTGTTTTGGATCTTTTTGAGGGTCTAACTGCATTTTTGCGTCCCTCAGTGCGCCTATTAGCCTCGGCGTTTTTCTGGTGGGTGAGCAGCAGGTTTCGTAAACGGGGTTTCTTGTTCGCTGCCTTAGGCATGATAACTGGGTGTCCAGGGCCACAGATCCAAATCGGCGCTCAATTAAATGTAATTGGTTCCGCGCATATTAAACAAGCGCCGACTTATCTTCACTCCGCGATCACGCTGTGGCCTGGAGATAGCTAGCAGGTAGTCCGGGAGTCGGTCCCCTTTAAACAATGGCGCCTATACAGATTACTGTTTTACCGGATTCCTTGGCTCAGGAAAAACAAGCATTATCTTGTCGCTGCTGCCCAAGTTGCCGAAGGACTACAAAGTTGTGCTTCTCAAGAATGAATTTGGTGACGTCGAAGGTCTTCAGTGGCGCCCTCAGGAAACTTCAGAAGGGGGACTGAGAGTTGTCTAACAGTGGACAGTAAACTGGCAGAACAATCATCGCTCACTGCCGTCAGTGAAATTCTCAACGGCTGCATGTCAGTCGGCGATTTTTGGTTGGAGCACAGGTCGATTCGTTCTAATCCCCCTGGTACAGGTGCTGTGTACTTGTGGGCCAAATGAAGACCGCACTGCTGGAAATTCGAGGTGTGTTCGTTGTTAGCAATTGGGCCTCTCGTCTTTAATCACCCCCCATAGAGAAGTTTAGACCTGATAGGGTCATCATAGAATCCTCGTACGGAACCCCGCTCAGCTTAGTAGGGTAATGATCCGGCTGACCGTCTCCAAGAGGTTCTGCATTTCCGGCTACTCTAGCATTCCAAATCCGCGAACTCGAACGTGAGACCCATGGGACTTCAAGCTGGACGCCATCCTTACGGTCATAGACGCAGAAAACTTTACTGGGTATGAGGACACCAGCACTACAGCTCGTATGCAGGCTCAATATTCCGATACATTAATTATTGTGGGTGCAACCGTTTTCACATGTCACTCAGCTTGATGAATACTATGAATTTCGCTGCAGAACAAATGGGAACATGTGAGTGGACGTGAATACTCTCAGGTGTTCTCTGAATGCCATTTCAGGTCTCGGAGAGAGCATTAGATATTGTAACGGACCACCTCTACACTCTGAACGAGGCGACTCCAAAGATCCGTTGCCTCAACCGCAATGACGTTGATCCAGCACTTATTTTCGGTTTGGACACAAAGTTGTTTTCGGATGCCGCTTGGCTCCATGAGGAACACTCATGCCTCCATCATGGACTGGAAACACACCATGACGAAGTTGAAACAGCCACTATCACACTCAATCGTTCACATGTGTCGCGCTAGCAGTTGAACAGGCGCTTTCAGTATTACCCAAAGATGTGATATACCGAGTGAAGGGCTTCATTTCTTTAGCGGATGAAGGGAGAGTTATCCTCAATTGGGCGTTTGGTCGCTTTGACCTCGTCCCATACGAGGGGGCAGGGGTGACGATGAGACCACAATACAGCTGACGATGATGGGCGAGAGGGGCGAAGTAAAAAACAAATGGGAAAAGAGATTTGTAGAGGCTTTGGAGCGAAGGTAGATCGGTCTGATGCGGAGAACCATGTCGTAGACCGAACGTAGAGGCACAAGATGCACTTGGAAATGCTCACTGCTGAGACCAGAGCTAGGAGAAAATGCCAACCATGTAGATGATTAGATGCGCGCGGGAATATGTACCATGGACATGAGAGCAACAATCAGGAAAACATTTAAGTGGCAATGGTGACCTCAACTTCTACACCAGGCTCCAGGGAGATAGAAGTCTGTAGGTGGAAGCTAGATTAAGGCACTAGCCCAAATATAATGCGGATGGGGACTCACAATCTGCTTGACAATCTCAGAAGAAGAGTGAAGATCAATAATGCGCTTATGGATCCTCAATTGGTAACGGTCCCATGTCTTGGAACCCTCACCGCAAGGCTAAATCCCCAATGTCAAGATGTGGAAGCTCCTAAAGGCATTGACGAAGCTACTTACAGTTTTACGAGTGGTAATACGGAGCACCCTGGTGGGGAGACGGATTGGGCCCTTGACACGCAGTTCCTTGTCCTTGGCACGGTTTACCAAATCATGGCTGACTGAGCAAGTAAGGGCCGTCAATGTTGGTCATGTAGCAGTCATGTTAGGAAGAAAATTACACTTCTCGAGGTTCTTGACGTTGCTACTAGTGAGAGTGATGCGAATTTTGTGTATTTGGGAGGGTGCTAGTTGGGCACCCGTAGCGTCGTACTCTTTCTCGCCCTTAGCGACGTGACTCATTGTGCTGAAACACTAAATGCGCCAGCGGTGACTAGGAAGCCGGTTCCTTGAGTATCGATAACTTTTAGTGCCAGCAGACGGTGAACCTACCTAGGGCACTTGGTATGAGAAGAGGACGAAATTGCAAATAAACTGTGCAGTTCTCAGTCGGATGCAAACACCCTCCAATTCATTCACTTGCAGTCCAGAAAATCTTGTGATTCATAAGTATGTGTTACATATCTTTAGTGAAAAACTATCTAAGGCTCCAGGGAAGTGGGGAAAGCACCTGCTTCGCGTTGCTCGTCGAAGCGAGTAACCTACACTCTTATTCAGTCATGTGACCAATCTCGGGCAACTTGACTCACCCATTCGTCTGAGGAACAAGTGGAACAAGAGCGTCAGCATAGAGTCTAGTCGAACGCGAGGCTGTGAGACGCACTCGGGCATAGCGAGTTGTATGCACGCTTGAACTGCTTGCAAGGCTTGAAATCCTCACCCCTTCGGTCGACGTGTTCAAGGCCATCAGCATGCTTAAGGGGCATTATATCATCGACGGCTTACTTGGCGCTGTGCGGGGGATCGCATCAGCTAAATTATTGGACCCGGAGGAGATTAACGTACGTGATACACTTGTGATAATCGATGTAGTTCTGGAAACTAAGTCGGTCCAGCATGAGTGTACCATACAAATGGAATATGGGCCAAATCATTCCTCACCAATGCTTCGACTGGTTTGTGTTTGGGAAGCGGGCTATTTGTAACGATTGAACGACCAGAACGTGAGAAAACACCTGGACACCAGCCCACCATCAAAGCCAGCGGTCTGAAACTTTATCGTCCTGAAAAGGGTCAGGTTTATGTTGATGGCAGGCAGGAGCCCGACGTGCCTGGGGGCCTCCACTTGTTCGGACATCTTGGTGCGTGAGTGCTTGGGCGAGACTGGGGCAGGAAATAGCCGGGCAATTGTATCCGGAACCGAGTCAAGTGCAACAAATGACAGACCTTCCGCCCAGGTTGGCCGCGTTACGCAGGACGAATTTGTGGGCCGCTCTTTCCCACTTTCTCAACGTGTTCCAGCCTGCAATCAACCTGCCACAATGTTCCATCTCTGTACGTCCACCGCACTCTTTCATAGCCGCATGACTCACAGCGTGGCGCCACTTGATATTCAATTTATACTCGTTGTCACCGTTTAGGACGTCGAGGAAGACCTTCTAGGATCGGGCACGATTATCCTTCCGAAGCTTATCCATAGATTACTATACATACTGACCTACGACCGAAAGATAAGGTACGCTCAATACTCGCTATATCTCACCGCTGTCTCCTGCGTTCAGCTCACCAAGCGCTAATATTGATCGTTAGCGCCGAGAATTTTGCTACGTATCTACGGAGGCAGTATGCCAAGAGGATATTTGATAAACCGAATCTGCTCGGTTCTGAGGACGAACCCCTCGCATGGCAGGACCTTGATATGATGGCCAAGCTTGAGATGATTTTCAACCTTTGCGAATGGCAATTTTCTGGTTTGGGTCGTTTGAGAACCATGATGGGTGATGCTGACGAAATTTCATGGGTGAGTTGCAACTTTTTAGCATGGTGACCCCTTAGCGCTCTGACCTTGCGGTCCTTCGTTCCGCCTGACATTCGCTACTCCAGCGACTAGAACCAATTGGTTCGGATGCCAAGCGCAACATATATTGGTTTATTGGGCCAGACCGTCTCTGGGTGCAGCGGCCGGCCCTAGCCTCCCCGGACCCCGACGTGGTCGTCCCTCAAAGGCTGCCAAGATTGCAGAAGACGCTAAATTGAAGAACAGAGAGAGGGACGCAAAGTCACGCACATCTTCTCTTCGGGATGGCGGTGTCGCATTAAGCAAAGGCAGTAAGGCTAATACTCGTGCCCTGGAAAGTCGCGCTACACGATCTAAAACCGCTGTCTCCGTTGCTTCTGCCTCTGCTACCCCCGCCACCCGCACACGGAGTGGTGGACGTTCCACAAAACAAATGACGTCACTTCACTCTAACGGACGGACCACGCGGGGCAGCAAGCGCCTCGCGCCCACCGAATCCGACGAAGAAAGCGACGCCAAACCTTCCACATCGATGATGGTGGCAACTAAACGTCAAAGGACCACCCGCCGTTCGCGCCTTGCTGAGGAGGATGGAGAATGGCAGGAAGTGCCTGAAGAATGGCTCCATCCTGACCCATCGTCGTCACAGATGAGGACGAGTTCCAGGTCTAGCCGGTCGTCTCGCACCAGTTCGAGGGGCGGCTCCGTGCTACCGAAAAGCGTAGAAGCAAAGGTATTTGGCGACGATGGGTCTGACCTTACCGAGTTGAGCGATGATGGAATGGATGTGGAGGTTACGCTTGACGTGCCGTCAGAGAGCAGCAACCGTCGAAACGAGGGTGACAAGGACAGCGACTTTGCTGAAGACCCCAGTGTTGATGAACCAGTGGAGCAGGCTCAGGAAGTTGACGATGAGGACGAGGACGAGGAAGAAAGCAATGGTGAAAAGGTCGGATTACCGAACGGGCCCGAAGAGCGGATTGAATGGGAAACGGTTTGTACCTCTAATATACTACTCTTCGCAGTTGCACTCAATCTACGAGTTCAAGGTTTGTGCCACGCTTTCCGAATGGGAGACATTCCCCCGTCGGTTTCAAGGCTCAACCAACGTGAAGGAGAAAGCCCTTTTCAAAATCTTGATGCCTATATCCGAGGACGTTATCGCTCGTCTTACCGAGGCTGAGCGTCAGTTGCAACAAGTTCTCGCTGTGCAAACAAGAAAGCGCTCCACCCGCCTCGTCAAGCTTGAAGAGGAGAAACTAGCGCAAGTGGCTGAGAAGAAAAAGAAGGCAGAGGAGGCAGAGGCACACTCGAGAGAAAATCGGCAGGCCAAGCGCGAGCAAATGCGTATCCAAGCAGAGATGGACCGCGAGCAACGGGTCAGAGAACGAGAGGAACGGCTTAGACAAAAGGAGCAAAAAGAGGTTCGTCAAGACCCCATGCACTGCGTCATGCATCTGATCATCACCTTTGCTTCAGCTTGAAGAGACCTTGGAGGCGAACAAGGAGGCATCAGGACCAGGGAAAGAAGATGATGTTGATGTCGTGGGCATGAATAACGAGCATCTTGCGAATGGGAAGCGTGCTACTGTATCGAAGCCTGCGGCCAAGAAACCACGACGGAATGCAACAACGTCTCGGAAAAGGAATGACTGGGAGCTCGATTGTGAAGTGTGCGGAGCGAAAGGCCTCAATGTCGTGCGTAAAGAACCTCTTTCTAGAGGTTGCTGAATAGACAGTTGTTGCTATAGGATGATGGTCGTGAAGTTGCATGCTGTGAAAAGTGCGGTCGGTGGCAACAGTATGCATTGAGTTTCTAGTTTCTAGTTTCATTCGTTCTAATGCCTTTTGTAGTGTCGATTGCCATGATCAAGAAGACGAGAAGGCGGGGAGACCTAAGAGGAACTGGAACGTCGTGGACTTCTTCTGCAAAGATTGTGCCAGAAGCCTTCCACCTGGGAGTATGACGAGCGCAGGACGCAAGCCGAAGGAGAGCAGGACTACTCGTCCCAGGAGCGGGGCGGCACACTCGATACCTGCGACACCTACTTTGCCACCCTTCCCATCTGGCTATGATGCATACTGGGCACAGCACTCCCGATATGGCTCGAACTCTGCCTTCGGATCGTCAGCTTATTCCCGTCCACATCCCAACCTCCCATATTATCAAGGCACGTTTTCTTCTACCGTTGTTCTACCCTCTCGGGGCTCAGTTGCACCGGGGGTCCCTATACCTTATCAAGGTTTTCCTGTATCAACCGGTCCGGATGGTCGACTTCCTCACTCTGTTCACTTGGCCCCGCATGGCCCAACTCAGGCAATGTCATCGAATTTTGGGGTACCACAGAATCCCTCCTATGCCCCTTCTGGGAATGCTGGGAATGCCATAAATAGCTCGTACCGGCCGATTGTCCAGCCCAACCATGCGACCCAGATACCGCAGGCACAGGCGCGATGGGACTCAAGGACGTCATCTTGGTCGTCTCCAGAGACGGGCCAAAACGCTCAGCCCCCTTCCCTTCCAGCTCCAAATGGGAGACCAGCCTCATCTTCTGTCCCGCTCGCACAACCTACGGGCGCTATACCTCGTCTCCCCTTCCAGCATCCGGGCAATGGTCTACAGCCTCGCCTCCCGCCACTTGACCCGCGAATGGGCACAATACCACAATCTCCTTATGTCAACAGTGCTCAGAGCTACCAACCATCGTGGCCGAAGCCTGCTAACGGTCCCCCCTCTGCAAGTCAATCACCTTATTCAGCTGCCAAGCACTCCCCCCACTCCCCCGGAGGGACAAGCCCGTACGCAACTCCGGGCGGCTTAGCAAAAGGGGTATACAAACCCGTCTCGTACCCAACGTCACAAACACCTTCTAGTCAGCCCCGTGCCCATGTTCCAAATGGTACCGGAAATCTGATATCATACCCATCTCCAATCCCATCATACGTGCGACCTGCCTCGAGCGCCTCGGCGCACCCAAGTTCTCCCACACGAAGCATGTCGCCACCAGTTGGTCAAGTAGGCCCTAATTCCTCACCAGTTCCACACTCACCATCGCTCTCCCCACCCACCATAATGAACGGCATGACTCTACACCAACAGGCGCAAGTGTTGCTTACTGTGTCACAAGCGCCGCCTCCGCCTCCCGTCCCTTCCAATCACCCGCACTCCTGAATCATGTTAGAGCACCAGCCCCATTTTGCTTCCACTGATTTTTATTGCCCAGGAGTAATTCTTACATTATTTGCTGTATTGTACCATACATTCGGCTGGGCTACATAATGCTGATAGCTTGTCCCTCACCTAATGGCAGTCTATACCAACGTTGCGACAGACGTCATCGTATCATCTCATACATCTTGAATGCTAGTGAGGTGAATGGCAAGAGGTCGTCATCTCGCATAGTTGCTCTGATTGGATGATCTTGAAGCATTAACAAACTCAGCAATAGCGATGACATAACATACTCTTTGGCGCCAAGAACTCTGAGTCCACGCACATGCGTATCTTTCCCGTTCATGTGGTTCGCGGCTATGACAACTTGGAGAGCGTATATACTCAGTGGCTTACTACGAAGACATGAGTCAAGACTACCCAAGTAGTGACACAGACTCACAATCCATGCCCATCCTTGGGTCTTTCCGTCCCAACGTCGAATGTGACCCACCCCGTTGGCTTATCCATTGTGACTGTCTTGACATCTTGAAGATCATAAAGCCCAGTTCCCGCTTTGATAAGAAGCTTTATGGGGGTATACGAGTCATCTGCTGCGAAATTAAGCATAATGGCCAGTTTCTGCACACGTATCACCATTATAACAACATGGAAACTTCTTCACGTGGGCTCACTTGAACTGGGACTTTTTTCGCGAATTGGAGAGTAATATAGTGAGGCTGAGGTCCGTCACTCCTAGAAGCAGCATCCACCTTAGAATATGAATTAAAATACCAAAAATTGATGCAACCCCACTGCCAAAAGGTATCTGGATCGTCATCGCGTAGACAATTTACATCGAAACCCGGTTTATGAGATGAGACGGTCCATGTCGCTAGATGTCCAACATCTGGAAGACTAGTTTTAAGCGCCGGGGCGCCCATCGAAACTGGCCGTACGTCTGGGATCATCAGAAGCCAAGAGCGGCAGTTCCCGAACTTGAGCCTTTCCCACAACCCGAAGATGCTGGATATGAGTAATGTGTCGACAAAATGATTCAAAAAGAAGGCAGAAAGTGCAAGGTGTCTACAACAAGGCGAAAGGGTCGGGTGGGACGGAAAGTGATGTAGCAAAATGCTCCATCGGAGTGAAAATCAATTTGAACCGTCTCCGGCTATCGACTCTGGCCAATAAACCGCTTGGACGGATCCGGGAAGGGATGACGCCCCGGGGTGATCAGGTTGGTGCCCGTTTATGATCGATTGGCCATTGGCGATGAAGTGCACCATCGGATCGGGAATAGATGGTGATTGCATGGGCCAACTTGAGGGCCCGACTTCCCCAGTAACTGACGCCCACGAATGAGCCATCGGGACGGACACGGGAGAGGATGACACTCCAGGGCGATCCAACGAGTGCTCTCCTACAACGGATGGGCCGGCAGCGATGAAATGTGCCATTGGAGCGGGAACATATGGTGGTTGCATTAGCAAATTTGAAGGGCTGGACGTAACTTCACCCGCAATCGACGCCAACCATCCATCCGCCGGGACAGATCCAGGAGGGAATGATGCCTCTGAGTGATTGAACAAGCACTCTATCAAAACGGATGGCCCAGCATCGATGACAGGCATGGGGCTGACGCTGGTGTGGATGGCAGCGTTGTGAGGGTCGACAAAGGTTTGGACCAGGGCGTCCAAACCCCTCTCCCAGCCCAACTGAGACACACTAGAGCAGAGCCCTTGTCCCTGGACCAAACCAACATCTGTAGAGGCACATCCATTATCAGGGAAAGTGGGACAGAGATTGAAGGCGGTCGATGAGGCTTGAGCAGCAGTAGGTAACATTTGAGGGGGAGTATTTAGAGCCAAGAATGGCGGATCGGATTTCGGCAGTTTTTGAAGACTGGTACTTGGAGCATCCAACAGGGCGGCTGACTCCATGAAGAATGAAGGGGTACGGCAATTGATCGTAGCATCACTGGTGGATGATGTAGGATAGGGGGTCCTTGCGGAATAGGATGAGGTCCCTTCATAGTGAAACGGTGAACGTGAAGGGGACGAAGCGGGTGACCTTCGATTAATGACGGATAAAGGGATGGGCGACAATGATGCAGAGGAGCTTGTCACAGTGGGATCCGCCTCCAGGTCGATGTCATCATCAACTGGGCCCTTCGGCGGACCACAACGGCACTGCTCCTTCTGCAAATGTCGCCTCCTGTCATCATATGTCTGGAACCCAGCCCTGCAGTACTTGCATTTGAATTTCAATACCTCGCTTTCAGGAAAAGTTAGATGAATATGTCGCTGTAGGTCGAAGTATTCTCACTGTTTCTCTTTGTAATGACGGACCAAACCACTTTTCTGAACAAAAGCCCTGCCACACTTTGCGCAATGATAGGGCCTTCGGCATGAAATGAGCTATTGCCTAAGACAGATAGTTATCACAAGACTCACTTGCTTGCATCGTCCAGATGCGTCCCTTCATGCCTTTTAGGTCGCTCTTGGTGAATAGTTTATACGACGCCCAGCACCCAGGGTAATTGCACTGAAAAATCTTCCTGCTGCTGGAGGCGGGGGTAGCCATATTCAGTATGTGATGCGCCAAAGGAGCCGTCCGATGAGCGTACCAAAGGTCAACAGGGGGGATATTTATAAATTCTGCTCCTGGGGCGCTTCAGTCACGGATGTGATGGTGATTTGAAGTCGACACTGGTGGCATGAACTGAGCAGGAATATTTAGGTCTACATGACGGGCATAACATGCGAGCCGGGATATATCACCGCAAGCTGCGCATGCTTATGTCCGACTTCGACTTCTGACTTTCATCGTGACTTTCAAGTGGTACAATGGGTGGCCAAGACTCGGGGTCGCCACCCGGGTAATTCCATGCAACATTTAGAAAACTCCCACGCCTGTCACTGCAGCTGTATCCTGATGGAATTGTTCTTTCCGGTTTCCCATCATCTCGGTAAAATTGAGGGTTTGCACTTGGAATACGCCAGTACAGCAAGAAATGGAACCGTTCGAGCAGCATCCAGCTTCAACTGAGGCTGACCTGACCTCAAGTTTTCACAGCCAGAGCATGGCAGTGGAAGTGGACAGTTCGCTTCATGTAGAACAATCTTGCCATTATCCAAAATTACCTAAATGGTTCAGTGGCCACTTACTGTAATGAGCAGACAACAGAGACCATACGCGAAATCGTCAGCGCCGAGCTGGACGCTGGGTTCCGGCTTCCCAAAGGTCCCAGTGCTATCTTTGAGTCGGGGGGATCGGGCTGCGATAGTCAGTTCCTAACCGTACGTATTTCCAAGTTGTTAGAGGAAGAAGCATGATCCATGGGTTTCCTCCTGTAAAGGATTGAATGATTGATTGGTCCACGCCGTGGAACCAGTCTCCACACTGCAGCCGCGGCCAACCTTTCATGCAAGGCTAGTAGGTCATAGTGCAATTGTGCAAGTTCTTACAAAAGAAAGAGGAAATAAAGGGCCAATGCGTCATGACCAAGCCACCCTTGATTGTCAGAGTCGATGGTGAATACCAGTGACCACAGGCATCATTAAGCGGACTGGCATACTTCGGCTGTCACCAAATTTACATTACTAAGCTACGTACAACCGTGCACGGCGGGGGAGGAGGGGTCGTGGTCGGCTGCAATCTTCGTTCCACAAAAGCGACACCCCGATTGGAAGCGATCCAGGCCGAGCGTCAGCAGCTGGACCGGACGAACTCGCTTGTGCAATAAGGGGATTCTGCTAGTTGGCACCAACGAAGCCGGCTTTCGCACCACCGAAAAGGATTAAACAATGCGGAACGAATCATGATCGTAATAGCCAAGAGCGCCGAGTCACGAACTCTCTATTATCTCTTCGCCATCCTGGTCCTCTGACCGGTTTCGTTGAATTCCGATCCATTTTAACCATTCCATCCCTTGTTTATGGAACATCATGAGCCCCAACAGTACCGGAAGATACCAAAGGGAATTTCTCCACACGGCTCGGGCAGTTTTATCAGTGGGGTTCCTTGCGAATTTCCAGGCCGACCGGAGCAGAATAAGGTTTGGCGGCAAGCTTGTCAAGGCGAAATTCCACGTGGTTAGTCCAGAAAGGGGCGTCAAAATGGAGCAGATGAAGAGGAGGAGGGCAGAATGTCGCAGCGACACGGTTGCGTTCTTATATGGATCTATGACGGAGAGCATATGATAGCCTGCTTGTGCATAAGATGCTCTCGTTGTGTGCGCCAGCGCATTGAAATGAGGGAATTGCCATGAAAAAAGGAAGGAAAGAAGAGCAAATGCTGATAGAGGGTTATTGATAGCTTCAAGTGAAAGGCCTGGTGAAGCGTTGGAAAGGAACGGGGGTAGGAAGGTTTCAATCGGGTATGAGGCTGATGGGAATATGTGTCCACCACATGCAGTCCACCCCATGAGTGGTGGTATAGCACCCACGACGGCCCCGACCCATGTATTCCATATGGTTCTTCGCTTCATCAATGTATATACACCAGCATATAGCGCAATGTTGGCCGCACCGAGAGCAGCAGTGAGCGGGTTCACCAGTGCATAGAGAATAGCAGGACCAAGCGTCCCAGTGACCGCGGCGAATCCGAATGCATGTAGGGGTGTGATTGCTCGTCGTACAAGTGGTCTATTGCGTGTTCGTATCATCTGGGCATCAAATGGCTCCTCAAGAAGCTGATTGATGGTATTCGCGGATGCAGCACATAGGGTAGTTCCCACGGCTGTGGATAATAAAACTGGGACACTCGCGTGCAAAGGGGACAGAGCAACACCAGACATTGCAGTTAGAACGACCAGCGTTGTCAAGCGAGCTTTTGATAGCTGAGAATATATTCTTACTAATCCACGGGGAGTTAATTCACGGACAGGGCGGTAATTCGCCAACGGTTGTGGGGGATATTCCATGTAGGTGCGGGGAATGGAGGGAAAGAACGGCATGCCGTGTATTCGAGTTCCTTCATGAACAAGGTCCTTGGAAGGTATCCAGTCGTCCGGCAACACATCCTCCCGAGCTAACTTCCCACCGTTGCGTGGAATACTTGTTGATCCACTTGCTGCAATGTTGGACGTGAAGAACCAAGAAGCATTGGGAGTAGGAGCGGAAGTGAAGCTGTGAAAACGCACTGTTGTGCGCCTATGGGCAGGAAAGGCCTTCTTTTGCGCTAAGCATCGAGGCAAGCCTTGAAAAAATCTCCTCAGAACTTGGGTTCGAGGATAAACACAAGTCATCGAACAGGTGAAGAGTCCTGCGAGCGTGAAGATAGCGTGGGATATTGGCTTCCGGCCACGTGCTAGACTTCCGACTTAATAGATTGATGGGAGCACAAGAATCTCGATCCCAACAAGCCTCAAGGGACGGTACGGAGGATGTTGTCGATTACTACGCACTTCTGGGACTCAGCGAGGATTGCACCCAGGATGAAATCAAAGTATTGTGCCTTCAGGTGATAGCGGGAATACACTGACCAACTGACTTTTAGAAAGCCTTCCGCAAACTGGCCCTTAAGCATCACCCAGACAAAAATGCCGATGATATAGAAGGTGCGACAAGAAGATTTGCGCAGATTCAGCAAGCTTATGAGGCAAGCCTTCTTTTATTTTGCATGATGCATCGCTGATGTGACGAGGGAAGGTGCTCAGCGATGAACAGGTAGGGTGTTACATCTGAAAAAAGTGAGATGACACTCAACAGAGGGATCAACATGAACTGTGCCTCATGATTGCAACAGGAAAGGGCATGGTATGACACTCATCGGGGGAACCTCGTTCCCGAACCAGACGCTGCAACTGTGTATGAAGACATCAGGAGGGGGTTCGACCCTTCATCACAGGCACGTCGGAAGCACGCGGACCCTGGCCTGACGGCGGGCCACATTCTTCACTTTTTTAATGCCAATACATGGTCTACTATGGACGAGGGATCACAGGCTAGTCGTGACTGCCCTTCTGACCTGTTCTGCAATCCTAACATGTACAATGCAGGGTTTCTTCACCATATATGGAAATTTATTCCGGCGAGTAGCCTTTGAAGAATCTCAGCACTCTTCCGATGGGGAATACCCAGAGTTCGGGAAGCCAGCTTGGACTTGGGCGTCTGCAACTGAGGGCATGGCAGCTCGGGACTTCTACAACGCATGGTCATCTTTCTCAACGGCCAAGGATTTCTCGTGGAAAGACAAGTGGAATTTGGCAGATGCACCGGACAGGAGGACAAGAAGGTCTGTAAAGGTCTATCATAGTTTAAGGGTCGCACCCACCCTTATCTTCTGCGAAGGTTGATGGAACAAGAGAACAAGAAAGCCAGGGATGATACTCGTCGGGAATACAATGATGCTGTGCGGGTATGTATCGTTCTAACCAATATTGGCGCATTCCTGATGGTACTCCAGTCCCTCGTCCACTTCATCCGGAAGCGGGACCCTCGTTACAAGGCGCATATGGCCAAGCAAGCTCAAGGGTCGAAGTCTCCGCAATATTCGGAATCTGTTTCCGCAGCCCAGAAGCGTCGTAATCAAGCCGCCAGTGCCTATGTCAAGCAGGAGTGGCAAAAGGTCAACTCAAATCCTCAAATTCATTCTGCCTTGGACGAATACGGTGGTGAGGGCGAGTTTGAGGGAGGCAGTGAAGAAGAATCTTGGGAATGCATTGCATGTAGGAAGACGTTTAGGAGTGAGAAAGCATGGGAGAATCATGAACGAAGCAACAAACATTTGAAGGAAGTCCAGAAGTAAGTTCTTCAGCTGACAGGCAACGATTAGTCTCATTTCTTGAAAAAGATTGCGGAGGAAGATGGAACGGGAGAACGCCGATTTCAAACTGGACGAAAATGATGCGGTTAACGACACTGTTTCACAAAATGAAGCTAATGGCGACGCCAGCGCAGTATCCGACAAAGACGTACCATCCGAAGATTCAGCAGATGAAGATCTTTTGCAGGCGACGGTGCAAATATCTCTCCAGCCAACCACCAATGAGGCAACAGCCCTCTCACCCGCACCAGATCCCATTCTTACGGCCCAATCGGACGAAGACCCTCTGCTTTCGGCTCCTGCTCACGAACAGCCGTCACGCGCGAGAAATACACCAGAGACGACCGCACAGGCTCCCAAAGAGGAGTTGTCCAAGAGAGACAAACGTCGTGCTAGAGAAGCAGCGAAGAAACTGCGCGAGGCTGAGGACGCCAAAAAACCTGACATTGAGGTAAGCTAATAGTTTGTAGTGCCATAGGCTTGATAAACTGACGATATGTCCGCAGCATTGTAATGTATGCGGGGAAGACTTCCCAAGTCGCACAAAACTTTTCTCTCATATCAACCAAACGGGGCATGCATTGGCGAAAGCGTACGCTCAGAAGCCTATCCCCGGGAAGAACAACTTAAGGCAGAAGGGTAAGAAAGGCGATCAATTGGAGGATGATGACCATGATGATCGAAAAAAGAGGGGAGGAAAAGTCAAATGAAGAAATGATATCTGGATGTCTACTTTAATAACTCCCATTGTCCTATCGTACTCCTTCGTGTGTATCATAGATCTAGTATACGTGTTACATGGTCCTGCCAAAAATTTTCTTGAGGAAAGCCAAGAATACATCCCGCTTGAGTCCCCCACGCTCCTCCTGTATCTCGTTCACCAGGCCAACTATCTTTTGGTACGCTTGTTGTTCATACGCTCTGTATTTCCCCTCAACATCAACGGCCCTGAAGACTTCCTTGACGCGCTTCTCGCATTCCGAATCTTTCCTCCCATAATTGTCATCGAGAATCTTCCGCTGCTCTGGAGCTACGCTCTGCAGAGCGATGTTGATGACCCAAGAGTTCTTGTTGTCAAGGATGTCGGTCCCAATCTTCCCAAGCTTCTCCGGGGGTGCAAAGCAGTCCAGATAGTCATCTTGAATCTGGAAATATTCCCCGAGGGGGATGAGGATGTTCTCAGCCAATTTGTATTGATCCTCTGAGGTGATCCCATGGTAGCGCATCGCCAGAGCGACGGGCAAGTAGCTAAAGGGGATTCGAAGTCAAGTTATACCACCAGTGTTCGAAGCAATCTGGAACATACAATGAATACCATGCCGTCTTGTAAATCACGGTTTGACTGTGCCTATACGGGACCTCAAAATGATGTAGAACAGGATTCTCGCAAAATCGACGCACCGCTTCAACGAGAATCGGTCAAGGTTGACATCATGCTCAGGAGCAGTAATCAGATCAATAAGTTGTCCCATCTCGGTTTTGTACGTCGTCTACTTTTGGGTCAGCTAAAAGTCAGCGAAATTGAAGGCGACCACATCAAAAAACAACTCAATCAAGTCAACATAGTATGGCTCCTTGCGGAAGTGTTTCTTTAGAAGTTGATACACAGCACCCTCGAGCATAAACGAGTCATTGATCGCGATATTGCCAACGCCTTCAACGCGGTACCAGCATGATTGTCCCCGGCGGGTGATTGACGCGTCCATGATATCATCCGCGACTAAAAAGTATGCTTGCAGCTAGAGCAACCAAGTTTGTCGAATCTCAAACACTTTTCTTGAGAAGACAAACATGCTTACGAGTTCGACTCCCCATCCCAGAATGGCTACTCGTTTGTACTCTTCCCCTTCGAGTTTGCTTTCACGTAGTATCTCAACAGTGTCAACGACGGAAATTCCACGGTTTAATTTCCCTTATGAAGCCCATCACCTGCCGAACTACGACAAAGGTAACTCTTTGAAAGTTGGCTCACCTCCAGGGAGATTGTACATCAAGTTCTGTGAACTAGGCATCAGTATACGAAGCAGAATCATAATTATAAGTCGCTCACCCGTTCGTACCAAGCGACGACTTCATCAGGCAAGGACTCAACTCTGAGAGTCTCAAGAAGTTCCTCGACGACGGTGGGGAAAACCTCGACGAATCTCTTCTTGTTTTCCGCGGCGTCCGTCTTCGGAGCCTTGGGATTCGGCTCCGCCGAAATGCTTGCGGGTCGTTTTGTCGGGACAGTAGACTCAGACATATCCAAAGGGATGGGTAGGCAATATGGTTGAGTTGGATGCGTAAATCGAGGTTTTGAGATGTCGAAAAAGGCGTCTTTTGATGCAGTGATGGGAGATGTAGTAAAATGCAAAACGAGCGTCACAACTAGTATTGAAGGGTTCATGAATGTACTCGGACGAGTATAGATCTTACGATTTGGCCTCGACTTTGGACCAGAAGTGGTACGATACCAATACGGTATCAGGATCCTCCACCTGTTTGCAATACTTATACGCGAGGAACAATATTTTTTTCGTCTGAAGAATGCAACGTTATTCGGACACGATCTTGGGCGTTGGGTGAACGAGATGCATTTGAAGCTAGATATCGTGGGAAATGGTCGACCCTCACGCAGCATTCTGACACTAGTGCTGTTCTAAAGGGTCGCCAGGGTCGCTCGATCCCGATTGTTCATTCTCCCCACGATCTCTAGGCTCAGGAAAGCCTAGTTCCTTGTGTTGTGTGTGAGACCACCTATTCAGATTTCGAAGGATCATAATATAAGTTGATATTCTTCTCACGGAGTTTGTCGACACAAGGCCAAAGTTAATTGGGTCCAGTTCTTCAATGACGCCGGCCTCCCAAATCGGCGAAGGCTTAGGTGCGGAATTCGGATTCCCCCAAAGCTTTCAAGTTGCCGAATTGAAGCTTCAGACTGGGTACAAGATCACACGGCCTCCAGACAAGGGACGGATTTCTCAATCCTACTTGCGCAAACGTCCTTGTTCGATCGCTTGTTCAGTAGTGGTTGTCCCCATTTCGCCGCCCTTTGGTTCTTCCAGAATATCGTTATATAGAATATTATATTCCAGGCCACTACATGAATCCTGCCCCAATTCCTGGTCCTAGCTTGCATGCGTGGTAATCGAACAGCTCTGAGGGAAGGAAGTCAACTTAATCAAGTATATCGCTGTACAGACCGGGAAGTCAGGGCTGCATTCGTTTTATGAGCATAGGCTAATTCGTGTGATCGATGATTGATCCAGTATGTTCTCGGGCGTTGTTTCAGGGGAGTCCTCTTAGCTATAGCAAAATTCCCGCTCTCAGCTTCTATTTAGCAGCATCCCACGGCGTATGTGATCTGGAAGTAGAGCCGATCTCCCGGTAATCGCAGGCTTCTAGCAGAAATATCGCTACATTGGTGAAGTAGCGTTGTCAAGCCTCTGGGCGACTTTGGCGCAGTTAGTGGGATCGGGGGCGAAATGGATGAATGAAGCAGGGTCAAACTTCGGAGCGCCAAGTGGTGATTCCCTAGCCGATCTCATCTTTGACAAGCGTTCAATACTCTTTCCTCATTCAACGGGTTCCTCAACATATTCACCAGTTCGCCTCGTAGAATTGGCTAAGTGCCCGGTGGGTGTCGCACAGGATTGGTTCGTTCGTAATAACTAAAGGGAACACTTTACGGGAAGGAGGACAAGAAGAGTCTGTGGGCGTAGTCAGTCCACAACTTTGGGTTGGACGTTGCTGTAAACTATCCGGGTAGGATACCAGCCTCTGATAGTACAGAGCACTTATGGGTTGGATATCACAACAAATAAGCTAGGTAGTGATCCCTGGTCGACCGCGGCTCAATACTGATAGTCTTCCCCCTGATTCATGGCCTGGAACCATATCAAGTGTTAGATTTTGAGGGGGCCTAGCATGATCGGATGATCGACACCAGGCAGGCAAGGAAACGAGTCACGGCACCGCCTATTTCCGAGTCGGGTATGATCGTTGAGGCACTGGAAGGACGTGCTGGTGACCACCTTCCTTTTGCCTAGTTGGCGTGAAAGTCATTTCACCGAGGGAGGAACGGGGCTTTGGATCTGACTATCAACTTTGCTGGACGTTTCTCGATTTTGAGCGAGTCGGACGGATAACGACGTCCCTGCCTAATGGTTACTTTTTTGGCATCACGTTTTCTCGGGCCGGGTGGCATATTTGAAGGACTTGCGGCCATTGTCTTGGCCTTGGTGCATGGTCAGCTACACCTGCTTAAGTTCCTGCCTCCCGACAAACAGGTCTGGGCGAAAATAAATTCGCGGCCAAGTGTGTCCTCCGAACACATAGAAAGTCAGAGCTGTAGCTGACTCACGGAGACTTAGCGGAATAGTGCGATCGATATTTCTCAGATGGTTGCTCCGGGGGCAGTCGAGTAGCACTATGTCCAAGTTTCTTTCACATAGGTGCTCCTTCGTGCGTAAGTGACCCCCCGGCTTTTGTTCCACAGCAGGGTGGCTTCAGCTGCTGAGAGGATCAGGATCCATCCTTGGCAGAACATTGTGGAGTGTCCTGGTTTCACACTCATTCTACATGTACTACGATGTCCAATTTTAAACGGCTTAAGCTTGGACGGGTGACCTGATGGTCGAACTGGTTGGTTTTCTATTTGCTTATAAGCACCTGCTGTGTTATGGAATCTTTGGACGGCTGATATCTTTCACGGCAGGTTGCCAGTCAGGGAGGTCTCTAGCAATTGCAACTCCTACTATCATACCACCGGAGGGGATCCGAGAGAGACCCTCTAACCGTTTATCATCTGATTACCAATCTCCTCCCCCCAGTTAAAGGATTTGGCCGGTGATCGCATACCGACTGGTATCACTACCACATCTTTTGATTCACTGCACTTGGCGCTCTCAGGAGCAGCTTGAAGTCTGCAGGCTAATATCAGATTACGCTGTATCAGCGCGCATACTGCTGTCTGACATTATGTGTACAACTCCCATGCACCTAGACATCTAGTAGGATGGAAGCGGATCACGATTCGGGCGCTGCAGTGATAGCGCCGTAGTTTGACCAGAGTAACAGGGAAAGATCGATTTTCAACGCTTTTCCTCAGGCTCGCAGCCCATCGATATGTTCACGAGTTAACTTTGTGGCTAGGTACTACACTGGCGGATAGCGTACAAGATTGATGCGTTCATAATGACTGTACAAAGGGACGACCTTGAAGCTATACGGGGGCTGCAAGGCACGGAGGACATAATCGTCAGCCAGCTCGATAGTATCGAAGCAATGCATGAACTTCTCTGCTGAAGCAATACTAGACGGAAACGAAGAACAGTGAGCAATCTCAAGCAAATCAAGTTTTGAATCCCTGTGTTCGGTGCCCGGCCTCCCTTTCTTGATGTAGAAGTCAGCAATACGCATAATCTCGTTCTCGGTGAGTGACGAATCAAAGAACCTGAACCTCAAGCACCGGATGGGAACGTTGCGCTGCGCCGGCGACACAAGAAGCTTGGCCAAATGTTCCGTGCAAGCAAGCCCTTCCGCCTCATTGTTGATCGCAAGGGTACTCAAATTTGGCGACCGTGAAAGTGTAGCTTGGATGAGGCTCAATGGGACATGAGCAAAGTCAGCATGGTGGAGATATGGAAAGACGGAATCATAAAACGTCATGAGGGTCGGTGGGTCTATGAGCAGATGGGTCAGTGTGAACGGTAACATCCATTGTCTTGGGCCAACCTCTATCGGGTCCACTATAATCCCAGTCCAGCTCATGTGTTCTGTCGATGGCAACTCCAAGGTATTCAACAAATGGAATGGAGACATGGCGCATCATGTATGTCAACATGCGGGGTCCACTGTGTACGAGAAGACGTTTCAACGATGACATCGTGAATAGCCTTTGAGTGGCTTCATGGTCATGACTCGTAGCGTAAATGAAAGATATCAGGAGGTCTTCTAGCAGCGGATTTTGTTCAAGAAAATCCAGGATGTCCGTAACAGAGATTGGCGGAAGTCCTCACGACTTGCCGAATAATGGAACGATGTGAGGTTCCGTAGTCCGGGGGCGATCAGCCGATCGACGCTCCAAAGTCGAACATTTTGGATATTGGGCCACAACGCAGCGCACCTGGCGAAATCGGGAATGACCCAACGGAAGTGGATCCTGTGCATCTGAAGGAGAGCTTCCGTAGACTGGGTTGGGGTGGGAGCCGGAGCAGAGTGGTAAGAATAATATCAGTTATGTCCGTTCCGTTGATGTAGTCTAGGAGAAGTGAGGAGCATCGATGAATATTATCTTGGATAAAGCGAATTAGTCCATCCATGGTACCGCGTGGCATGGGCAATCACACAAGTAGCGGTCCGAGGACCTCCGGGTCGTGTTTGGCCCTTGACTTAGGTGCCCCTGATCGGATACGCACAGGGAGATGTCGACAAGAGATGACCGAGACCTTTCAAGCCACACATAACACCGTTCCCAACTTCTCTCTTGATGGATTCCTATGGGGAGGGAGATGTGACGCCACATAGGAGTATTCATCAGCAACAAATTCCGCCACTTCTGGGAGACGTGCGACAGTGCTATCAATGCCTTCCAGTCGTCGTGGCCTCCCTTGAAGACAACATGTTCAAAGATATCGAGCATAAGCTCGACTGCTAGGGTACCGTCCATAGTTCTGCATGTAAGACAACTAGCATTAAAGAGTACTGCTGAACGAGGCTTAAAGGCGAGCAACCTACTAAATCTGCTGGCGGTGTATCGATAAGGCCTGATGTTAGCAACGCACTTTGCTGTCAACAGAACTGACTCAAAATGATTGTTCAATGCATCGCAATTTTACGTAAGTGGGAACACTCAATAGCAGAGAATTGAAAGAAGGCTTGAGCGCAGCAAGACAAGCGAGTGACAATGTACGTGATAAGGCAGGGAATGGTGTGCGTCGATGAAAGAAGTGAAGGAGAAGCGAACGATAGGGGTGTCAACAGAACAAGCAATTCTGGTACATTGGGATGACAATCGAACGAGCCTTAAGCACGAGGGACGACGTGAAAAGCAATCTAATGTTTGGCTAGGGTCGATGTTGGTAGAGAAAAGGTGCGTGTGGTCGTAACGACAAAGAAAATTCCTGCATGTGGAGATTCGCTCGGTTTGCGAAAGCATCGGAGAGGTTGTTGAGGGGCGCGAAAACAGGGGCGAGACGGGGGTCTGGATGAGGACAATGTTTGAAGGGGTCGAAAGTCAGATGAATTGCAAACCAGTGCGTAAGGAGTCGGGACATCGGAAGGCGGCGACAGCGGTGCAGGCTATTCGAAAGGTGCATGCAAAAGACCACCGAAGACTAGCTTCCCCTTGGACGACTCCGCTATGGGAATTATCTTCCCTGTATCATATCCACTATCAGACCCGAAAGAAATCTTTCGACCGATCATTCGCCGAGTGCCAGCATCAGCATCATGCCCAGCCACCCCATATTCAAAAAACTCGTCATCGTCTCCACGGTGCAAGGACAAGCGCCCGGCACGACGGGGGCGACGGGGACTGCGACTCTCCCCATCCAGCGACGAGGCAATAGAGAGAGGAGTCCCACAACGCGAGTGTGGCGTCAATCGTCTTGAACGACGGCCTGATGACATGTTCTCATCCATGACAAAGTTTGATCCAAGGCTAAGCTCGCCGAGGCTTCGCACATCATCCATCTCTGGGGTAAAGAGGTTTTCGTCATCGAGACGGAACGACCTTTTGCACGACGTTCGACGTTTTTCAGGGGTAACGGCATTTGGGTAAGGCGAGCGAAGCTTTCTAGCACTTTTCCCACGTGTAGGTGTCTGTTTCTCTCCCACTGGAGGGGTGAGGGGGTTTCGGTGGTTCTTGTAGCTTCGGATTCGTTTAGACACAAGACTTGATGCAGATGATGAGGGCGAGATATCGACAGCAATGTTGAGATATGCAGGAGTAAGCGCTGTATCCTCTTCTGGTTGAGGTACAAGAGTTTTGGAAAGGCTAGCTGTTGATGTTCTACTTTTGAGCTTCTCGAGTGTGAACTGAGCGGATCGTGAGGCACGTTCATAGGGGTGAAACGGGGCATGTGCAATGACACGCTGAGAGCGTTTAGTGGACAGATTTTTACTGTGGTTGTGATTTAGTGAATTTGTGCAGGTAGGTCAGGTGAGGATGAATACCTTGGAGGGGTTAAAGGCAACTCTTCGACAACAGGCAGATAGTCCATACCATCTTTCCCAGAGAGCGGTGCGCGGGCGGCAACAGAAGAACCGCGCTGGGGAGTCCGCGGGCTGGTGGGAGCAGGATTGACTACGACAGACGGTGACGCAGGCTTGGCGAGCTGCTTGGCAACTTGAAGGAGTTTGAGACGCGTTGCCCTGAGTGAATGTGGCCATTCATTGGGTGAAAGAGTGTCTAGAATACTCCGGCCCATGCGGTCGAGTAGATTAGATGGAGGTATTGTGCCTGTATATGGGCTGGCTAGATTCGAGGGTGTGTCTTCGAGAGTCTTTCAAGGGATCAGGAAGACAAGATAACTATACTCAGGTATCCAACACATACAGATATAATACGAGATATCTGTTCTGGGGTCCATTCATAGGTGAACTCATCTTCGACACTGTTCCAACTTCGTGTCAAAACATGTCAGATTTAGTTAACAGCCCAGTCGTGGTCGTTCACTCACCTATCGGTACTGTGACGTTTTCGAGACGGGGGTGGGTAACGCGGGGAAAATGGTTTTAAAGGAGCGGATGGTGATACAGTGATCTGGGGGCGAGGTTTAGCTAGGGTGAAAACTGGCGATTCAAACGACGCGTCAGTTCTTGCGCGCAAATCGCGTAGATGTTTGCGTGCGACGTACGAGATAGTTTCTGATGAGAGAACGACATTGCGCACAAGGAGCAAGAGTGAGAAACGTGCAGGAAACAACAGAAAAGCAGACAGAAAAGACAGGAAAGGGAAATTCAAAACAACACGAGGCGCGTTGACGCGTGCAGCAAAACTTGCATCCGGGTAGATTCAATATTTCAATTACCGCAAAACCATGATATCCTCGCTGTGATTGCGAAACTACGCTCAGTAAGAAACATATATAAGCTCACTATTGACCCAAGTACGAGCAAGGGTATGTACTGGTGTGTAAACGAATGGACAAGCGCAAAAGAATCGAGATGAACTGGACTGAAACTCGCAACAATGGAATGATATAAATAAAGAACCTTTCTGCTCTGACTGTAATGAGAGGTATTCGACTATTTAGGCGAAGAGTGTGCTAAACACGAGTGCAACAGCAGCACTAAAGCTCAAGGGCGCAGGAGAGATAGCCAGAGCGCTACCAGCCTTTGAAGTGGACGAAGCTGGGGACGAGGTGGATGTCGCATTTCCAGCAGATGTAGCCGTGCTGGTGTAGGTTGCAGCCGTGTTACTGGGCTGCGGAGGATAGGGGCCTGATATGGGCAACATCAGGCAACGACGCCATTCAAACGGATGAGAACACCTACTGCCTTCTGCCTTAATCTCGAATGGCTGGCTCTCGGCAAAGATGTCCGACCGGTTGAGCGTGTTCGTAAGACTTCATGAACAAGTTAGTAGTGATGAGGAAAGTCAGAAGTGTTAATGTCTAGACGTACGCGACTTGGTAGCCGGTGCCGGCTACGAGGTCACTGATGGGGGGGATATTGATGCTACAATCGTAGTTCGGCACTAGAGTCTCAAAAGTGAATGGAAACAGAAACGCAGAGCCCGGCGAGAACGTACAAACCGAGATGATAGGTAGACCGCCTGCGAGGGAACCCTGACCAAACACAACGACCTAAAAGACCTTTTCAGTACGCCCCACTTAAGTTCGCACATCATCACTCACGGTGTATGTCTTGGGAGCAGCAGGGTCTGTGCACATCAGTGATTCGGCAATTGTCAATGGAGTAAAGGTAATTGCTTGTCGCACCTTGACACGTCCACTGAAGTAGGTTGAGCGAGTTGGCAACCCACCTAAACCGACGTGAACGACCATCTACTTGATATATTACACTGGGTGGGCTCATACCAGACATTGGAACTGAGGAACCATCAGCACCACCAGCGGAGCTCGCAAAATACAACTTACTTGGGGAAAGTAATGTTGACGCTAGCCAAAGTGCTGCCGGCCATCATTACTGAGGCAGCGAGAGCGACAACGTTGAACTTCATGGTGAACACGCAAGAATGAGCGGCAAAGACGTCAACGGTCAAAGAGGTTCAAGAAGGTCAATTGATCAGTTTCACGGCAACTTCCGCGAAGAACTCAGATTCCAACTTCCACATCACTTTGATACTCAGTCTGCGAGCCTCAGCCTGTCCACCTTGAGCGCGAGCCCTGTTCATAGCCACAACTACACAATCATGTCTTGGCGATCCCAAGCTGCCGTCACCGGAACAAATGACACACCTCTAGGCAATCGACGGCGATTCGGTCTAGCCATCGAGGAAGCCAACGGTGACCACGTCGGTATGAAGAGAGGTCGTGAGGATGAGAAATCGACGACTCCAGATGCCTCAGGTAAGTCTCTGAAACTCACAATAGCTTCCGTCTCCAGCAAGTGGCTCGTCTTTTGTGTCCATGGGCTAGCGTAATCCGTCTGCCCGTGCAGATACCCTCTTACTCACCATTCACATACTAATGCATCATACTAACATGCACCATTTTGAAATCATCGTCTCTCTGTTTCGACCCTTGATGCTTTTCTAGCTGACCCCAATGCGCCTCGTAAGCGCAGAAGTCGCTTTGGGGAAGCAAAAGTTGCAGAGGTCCCAGGATTGCCCACTGCGGTTTCCTCCGCGGGTGTCTCGCTCAGAGATCTCGATAACTATGCTATCACCATGCGTCTTGAAGAGATTAACCGCAAGCTTCGCCTAAATGATGTTGTGCCGCCCGAGCGAGAGAGGTGGGCCTGTTCGAAGTTCTGCAATTCATCAACAAGCTCAATGTGTCCGTTCTTCTAGATCTCCTTCCCCTCCCCCTACATATGACTCACACGGCCGCCGCACCAACACTCGCGATATCCGTTACCGCAAAAAGCTTGAAGAAGAACGAGTCAGACTAGTCGAGAAAGCGATGAAGAATGATCCTAATTTTCAACCTCCTGCTGAATATCACCAACAGAAACGGTCTCACCGTCCACAAGACAAGGTCTACATTCCCGTCAAAGAGTTCCCGGAGATCAATTTCTTTGGCTTGCTAGTCGGACCTCGTGGAAACAGTTTGAAGAAGATGGAGCGCGAAAGTGGTGCTAAAATCAGTATCAGAGGCAAGGGCAGTGTGAAAGAAGGGAAGGGTCGCCCGGAGGCATATGCAGATGATGCCGAGGAGGATCTCCACTGCTTGGTCATGGCTGAAACTGAGGACAAAGTTGAGGCTTGTGTCTCAATGATTAACAAAGTTATCGAAACAGTGAGTTGCGGAAGCATTTCCGTCCGTTACGGTGCGCCGACACATCTTTCCCGCAGGCTGCTTCGACACCCGAAGGCCAGAACGACCATAAGCGCAATCAACTTCGAGAACTCGCTGCTCTCAATGGCACATTACGTGACGACGAGAACCAAATCTGTCAAAATTGTGGCAACCGGGGTCATCGCAAGTACGACTGCCCTGAACAAAAGAATTATTCTGCCAACATCATCTGCCGCATTTGTGGTTCGGCAGGCCATATGGCCCGTGATTGCACTTCTGGCAAGGGAGATCCCAATGGATTCATCAGTCCTACTGGGGCAGGAATGGGAACGCCAGGGGCCGGGCCAGGCGGCGGCTTCGACTCGGAGTACGCCAAGCTGATGGCCGAACTCGGTGAAGGCAGTGCTGGTGTTGGAGGTGGACAAGGTGGTGGGGCGTCGGGGCTTATTGGTAGTGGCTCTAAGGTTCCGCCATGGCGCCTCCCAGAAATGTGGATCCAAAACAACCCACGCCCTTCACAGGGCTTCACGCCTGGATTCAGTCCAGGAGGATACTATCCTCAACAAGCATATGGAGGGTACACGGGTGGATATCAAGCGTCTTATTCGCAACCCGGGTTTGACCAACAAGCCGCTTACGCTCAGTACTACCAGAGCCTCCAACAACAGCAGTAACTTGTTCTCCTCTAATATATATTCCCAGTGGGCTCCTCCTTAACAAATCCTCCAGTTTTAGCACCCGCGTTCTACTCAACATCGCATATCGGTAAAACGGCTTCCATTCCACGGCCAAGTCATTCATGTTGCGATCGCTGACACAATTACTGACCGACCAGCTGTTGCTGACGTGCTTTGTGGTTCACCCTTAACACATCCTTTCTCATACGCTTTCCTTCGGGTCCAATGGGCGCTTGCCCTCCGTAAGTATAATGGCTTTTGATTATGGGATTTCGTAGGATGTATCTGTAGTGCCGGTTAATGTCCATGCATTATTTCTGCCTCGTTCAGTAAGTTCATGTGGCTGATGCAGCCGCTGGCTACTTTCTCCGTTTGTTTCCGTTCCGTTTGGCGAAGTCACCCGGGCCCATCTTACGTTTCGGACCACTGGGCATTACATCCGACATACTGGGTGGTAGATTCTCCGCATCTTCTGATCGAACAAATACTGCCACGAAGAACCCATTAGTGCGATCCTCCTCTGGTGAGGTACGAATGAGTGATTCAGCATCATCTATAAAGGGTTAATCATCGCTCGCGTAAGTAAAATGAGGGCAGAACGGAAACAGCCAGGGAGTCTTCCATTGGAATCTGAACCCCCGCATCGACTGAACAACATACCAATCCGAGCGACTACTCACCAGGGCAGTTCATTTCCCCATGCAGTCCTCGCCTAGCCCAACTGGGCAAGACAAGGGAACGAGGAGCTAGGCGAAAATGCCGTCGGATGGCTACTTCCGACTTGAGCGCCTGTCGAACAACGTGCTCGTTCTCCTGGGGGTGCACGCTGGATTACAAGACAATAGTCGGGATCATCAGTGATGGCGTTTCCCGAAATCTGAGCTTCTAACGTGCCTGCATGTCGAGTAGACGATCTTTTGGGCGTTGGGAACTGAGAGGAGCTAGCGTAAGAAGGCATTTCGGATCCAAAGCAACGTCAAACCTCAACGTACACTTCATTGCATGGTCAATCATACGCAGTTGGAATTCCGCCAATTTCAAAAGCCGGTCGCTTTGAGCGCCTCCAGAGTCGGAATCTTTTCAGCTCAGGAGTTATGAGCACAAGAGAAGGATCCGAAGAAGTAACTAACACTACCGTTTTCCATTAGGTAGTCCATGCGATTGACTATCCCCGATCCACTACAAGATGGGTCTATCAGGCTGTGTGAAAGAATCTTAGTTGATGTGTCTACTATCTGAAGGGAAGGATGCGAACATGTGCGACACCTTCCCATACTTGACATCCAAGGGGTTCGCACACAGAAAATCCGCACATGTCGCTTCTACGTTCTCGCAACGAGCTTTGGCGAGCATTTGTTCCAGTGTCTTGAATCGCCGGCTGTCACGCTCGAAGGCATAAATCTGTAGTATCTCCAATAAGAATGCATCCGCGACACAGATAATGAAAGCTGAGTTGGCCAGTACTACAACACGAAGTACGCACCTTGCCTTTGTTGCCCATCATGACACTTAGATGAGACGTTTTGTTCCCGGGTGCAGCAGTCGCATCGATAGCGTGTATCTCCTTGTCGATGGGCGGAGCGAGGAGGAACGCTGGGAGGCAAGAAGCTTTATCCTGAAGTATCAACCTTCCGTCCAGATATGCAGGGTCATTTTGAAATGATACGGATGGATTGAATGCGAGCAGGTCGCTGATGTGCGGATCCCAGTAAACAGTTTCACTAATCGAAACCAAGAGGGGAATCTGACTTGAGCTAACAAGGGCCTAAATCAAGGGGATTACGCACGGATCCAGTTTATGGGGGAGGACTTCGCAATCTGGGACTTTAGGAAAGGTCCTCTTGAGATGGATGAGTATTTCATGCAGAGAGCCAGCGTTCCTGTTCACCCGAACGTATCTGGGGATATTGGCTGTAGTTTGGCTGTATTAAATAAACATGTAGTTTAGAGCATCATTGGCGAGCACCTGTACGAGTATCCGTCGATACACCAAGTTGCGCATTATCCTTAATGCCTCGTTTTATTTTGATTTTAACGAGTTCTGAATGCAGACGAGTTTTGTGCCTCAGTATGGCCCGCTTAATTGGGCCATCCCCTGCTTGGATACCTTTTGAGAAGAGAAGATCATGCACCAAAAGTAAGGCCAGATTGGTGGAGGTTATAAGCTTCCTCTCCTCTCTGAGCAAAGACGCTTTCTGAATAATTTCAATGAGAACTGGTTTATCTTTGAATTCAAGACGACGGACTCAGAGCTTCCCGTAATGCCGTAAATGAAGGAAGACTCACATTCCAAAGTGCGAATGACAGCGGCCGACATCCGCTTACGATCTTTCTGGTTCACTTCAGCGAGTATCCCTTTAATGGACCCTTTCTTCGCGACAATTCGGTCCAGAACATTAGCGGCATCGAAGTAAAAATTCATGGAGGAATTCTTGGTTCTGAGCCAAGCGCAAGAAACAGGGGAGACGCGGATGTTTGGCAGGCCTTTACCCAGCTAAAACTCCAAATCACACAGAATGAAGAAGCACTCCGATGTAGTCCCGTGACCAAATCTTCAGTCTCTTCATAGAACTGCATGCGATGTCGCGCAGACTGTCAATGAAGCCTTCCAGCTGGTGTAACCGTTTCTCGGCCAAAACCAAAGTCACCTTGCCACCAACTCCGCCTTCGAATTTGATCATCTCTTACTTGCAGAGAGATATGGAGTCTCTTTGCAGTAGATACCTAGATACTTGTCTCGTGAGGCCCCATCCCACCCGAAATAGCGGACTTCTTCCTTCGATCCCAGAACAGCACATCCCTATTTTCGCATGAAGTGCACAGGTGTTGAGGCTCAGCCACATACGAACCAACGCGACGAAATGCATGCCCGGCGTGAATGGAAATCTTTCCCACACCGGGTTCTCACCAGAGGCCAGATGGTGGACACTTCACTATCGGAACAAAAGATCGGCTTCGCAGAATACCCGAACAGCATTCTATCGGGGTATTGTTCGGCCAGCTTTATACTTCACTACTTGATTGCTGCTTGTTCCAACCTTTATCTGGTACTCTGTATGTATCGCTTAGCTGTCTTTTCGCATGACTCGCTAGGTGTTGTGCAAGGGTCTCCTCAATCATTTAACTTACTACTGATGCAGCTTCGGATCAACGGGCTTCTGACTAGATAGTCATCTTATCAGGGATCCATAATCCGTTCAATTTTTCCCGTTTGCTCAACTATGGCACTTGTGATGCACCCTGGTGTTCTGACGGAAAGTACTTCGTCGCTTGCGACCCTGATCCACCCACCTATATCCACTAGCTTGAACCAATGGTACTACAGTGACTCTGTCACTCCACGAACCTCCTCGAATGGCGCCTGTTCTTACAAAAGGCCATCCTCTCCATTCGTACATCCACACCGTGTGACAGCACAATCTGATCCGCACCCTCAAGAGGTACTTGTTGGTGGCGAACCCAGGCCGTGTTACGCTGATACGGATCTTCAGTCGTCGTGGCATGTAAGAGTGATGGCAACAAGCCATCTGTCGAAATCCGAACTCTATCGAACTCCCACGTTACGGATCTCTTGATACCTGGACATGTCCATCGGTTGATTGATTCCATCATCGATGTGATAAATTAGCATGTGACTCAAGGGACGCTGGGCATACAGTAATCTCATCGAGATTCATCATAATGAGTCGGCTTAAACGAGAAACGCGATTGCGGTGCGAAACCACTGGGATAATCATGGACATCAAGACTCTGGGACTTTTATGGACCCCGGCGGCCCTGTTCTTTTTCACACCAACAACTCATCAGTGATGAACTCCCCAATGACTTATTTTCCCATCATGCTATTCCCCACAATATTCTTCACTGATTGCAGAACCTATGCATTTCCAGATGTGGGCTTTTCCTTGACACGGTTGGCACATATCAGCACCCCCTGACGATAAAGGTGTCTGTTCAAGAACTTGGGGGCACTACTAAGGAATATTCAAGCGGACTATTTTGGATGGCGGATCTTTGCCAGCTATCAGTCTCCTTGATCACTTCTACACGTGGTTCTGCTCCGGCGTGCCATGAACAAGCTCTTTGGCCGCTGGGACAGTATCGCAGCGTTTTCCATCGACTCTGTTCAGCCTTTCCCCCCCCCCTCGGTATGCCATCGACAACACAAATAGTGTTCCATGTGGTGTACACCAAGTTAATGAGCGGTACGTATCCTATTGGCTTTCGTCCTGCAACTGCCGAACACCAAAGAACTGAAATTGCACCGCGAGAACAAAAGTCCTCACGAATCGCACGCCTATATTTGATATTCGGCGCTATTTTTGCCTCCAGGCTTCTTCACACACACTCAGAAGGAAGAACCATGTGCGCGTCCTTAATTAACTCAATTAGGAGGTGGAAAATTTGTCATGATCTCCAGGATTATGATAATCGAGTTCCACATGCACAGTCAGCGACCGGCGCCCGCGATCGCATCGATTATGAATATCTACATACTGTGTTTTCTCGAGCGGGATATTCTACTGTAAAGTGGCTAAATTCGTAGGCTTGGCCTCGGTGATCGAATTTCACATTGATCACCATATTGCATAGTTCGCATGCGTTGGACGGCGCGTGCCTTGCTTCAGCCGCGGGTTGGCGGCTTCACGAAGCGTGCGCGAGTCGATATTTCCGACATATAGCCATGCATACCCGTTGGGGCCAGACAGCCATTACGACTCTTCGGCCTCAATCGCTTCCTTCTGCCCTTAAGTAATACCCGATCATGACTCTCAAGCGACGGATGGTCACTATCATCAAATATCATATCAGTTCCCATGAAAGCGCATTGCCTTAAACGATTTGCCGCCGGCATCCGTATCCATGTGGAACGCTGCGATTGTCATTGTTGCCCAATATTGATTCAATTCTTCGAAAGGTTATTAGGATTAGTGCCAATATTCTCGAGTTGTCGTCCGGGCTCTCGAACCTTCGGTGTTGAAATATGTTACAACAGCCTCGCAGCGTACGCGCCATCTCGAGTGTTGCGCCCGCGCAGCACCTCGTTGCGTGCTATACCGCGTAGTATATTCCGAGTTGGGATCGATCCAATTCGTATGGCAATATGCGAACTAGTAGCAGGTTTACAGGGTCGGTTCAGCTCAAAAGATCAAAACGCTCACAGTCGGTTCTGTGTACCTTTTGATGTCCAAAGCACCATTACTCTTGTCGACTGAATTCTGAATGTGAGTCATTTGTACTGTCTCCTCACCGCAATAACTCCCGAACGAGAAACACCCTCGTTTCTGAGCCGCATAACGTTCGTACCGTACCTACCAAGGAGCCCGATTGAGATTGAGTTCCCATGTACGGCCACAAGCGCTTTTGCACCGCACACGTTGATCTGCCCAGTTAATTGCATTGCCCGTAAACGGTCTAATTCAACCCAACCACATTTATCTTTTCCCTCTTCCAGAATTCACTCGTGAAGCCCATGCAGTCACCACGCCTCATCTGACAAGCGAGCTGGTTTTTCTCAGCCTAGCCCCTTTCTCCTTCCTTCTAATCACCACCGAACACCTTCTCGCCTATATATATTCCCCCTTCTCTTCCCAGCTATTTCCCATTTTCCGATATGATCCCCCCTAACCCCCAAAAGTCAGCTCTGCGCAAACGGAGAGTACACGTACATACATCGCTTCGGTTCTAGGTCGGACCAACCCACCATTGCCACTCCCAGGAGACCTTTGTAGGGCATGAAATCAACTGCACTGCATTCTTACGCGGAAAAAGCACAGGATGAGGATCCGCACACAAGTGCATTAACATGAATTATTTACGTACATCCCCTTTCCCTCAACACTGATCAGATCAGATCATCTCATACTTTTTTAGGCTTTGAAGGGGGAGTGCAAGTGCAGTGCTTTATACCTACAAAAGAATTGGCTGTGATGCCATTACGCCCTGTAGTTACGTCCCACTACTCATGCATGCACAGCCGACGCGACGGCGGCGTGTTCGTGTCGTGTTGATCAGGAACAAGAACCAAAAAAGCCATGTCAACTGATCGAAGTTCACTCACAGAAGCATGGTAGCTATGCAAGGGATCCAGGTAACCGAAACGTTTAGGTCTTGGCATTTGCACGCCAAATTAAACATCAACCGCAATCAACGAGAACGTACAAAAGCGCCATGAGCGCCAACGGTGATGAGTTGATAACAATGAGTTGATGCAATAGGGAGGTTACAATACAGTGCAATAAGATAGATTGAACACAAGCGCGCGCGCCGAAAGATCACAGAAAGGCGAAATAGTGAGGGGAAACGCTATACTATAGTGGGACAAAGCACTTTTTAGTCTTCAACCAATCCATACACGTCAGAGAGAAAAGAGATCCTGCAGCGAGACGGGCAGGAGAGAGTTCGTATTCGATAGGTTCATCGTCCGTTCCAATAACCCAGCCCAATCGCGACCTGTCAGTCTCTGCCCTTTTCGTGAATACCAAACCAGATCATCAAACGACCCAATCCAAAGCAGAAGACCGGAACAAGGGGAAACCAAATCAGCATAACAACCGCACAGATGAAAGGACGCCAGGATGAGAAAAAGAGAAGCCGAAGAGGAGCCGAGAAAGGAAAGAGGGGGACGAAAGGGGACTGAAGGGATAACACAACAAAGCAGAAGTAGCGAATCACCACAGGACGGACGATAAAGGAATCTCCGCCTGTCTTACCCAACTATACATTGATTCCACCTACGCCCACGCCAAACGACAAACTCGGCAACGTCACACTCCCACCATTGCCGTCACTGCTTCCACCAACGTTCCCGCCCCCATTCCCGCCAGAACGGCCAGATGAGCCACCAGTACCACCAGGTCCAGCTCCGAAATGACCTAACCCCCCTAGGCCCAAGCCCAGCGGTCCAGACTGTGAAAACTGATGCAAAGAAGGCAACGGAATCCCTCCGAGCGATGAACCACCACCGCCTGGTCCAAGCTGCTGCTGCGGCTGATGAGGTGAATGGCTTAAAGTCTGCTGCGGAGCACTCAGTAGTGAAGTCGGGGTAGGGGGCGGAGGTAACCTCCCCGCAAGCTGATGCTGATTGCCGCTGTGTGGCGATGGGCCTCCATGATGCGAGAAATGCTGTAATGTGTGGTGAGGCGAATGTCCATGACCGTGTCCTTGCGAATGGGAAGGATAAATCGGAAGTGCGGAAAGACTGGGTATTGAGGTGGAGCCCCGATCTGACAACAGTGGTGAGTGTGAACTACTCGTGACGCCATTGAGGATTCCACCTCCACTGGTTGTACTGCTACTCGACGTTGATCCAAAACTATTTCCGGACCCGGCGGAGCTTGTCGAATGTTGATGCATGAGCCCCGGCTTTTCGTTCAAATTTCCCGGGCTCTGATCCGAGTGAAGTTGATGGGGAGGCGCAAACGGTGAACTAGTGTAGTTATTTCCACCGCCTGCGGTCGTATTATTGCTCGGCGAACAGCTAGGGTCGGCAAAGTGACGATGGTGAACGGGCGGTGCAGTGGTTTGATGTTGATGGTGGTCCGCGCGAGTATTCGAACTTGGTGCGTAGGAGTGTTGTGTATGATGCGCTTCATTAAAGCTGAATTGAGAGGTGGAGGGGGACGGCGTGGCAGACGGGATAGAATGTCGATACGCGTCTGTTGAGAACAATAAAGGGCCAAGAGAACCAAAAATTACAAGGGGAATGAAACAGACAAAGAGGGACAAATTGGACAATATTAGTGTGAAGGGGGGGGGAAGTTAGAGAAGGAAATACCAAAGCAAGAGTCCTTTTCGTTAGAAGATACCATAGGTAGATGAGCGATGTGTGTAGTAATGCTCACCAGCACCAAGCTCTGCTGGATGGTTCGACGAATGCTTCTGCGAGTCCCAGGACGAATAGTGTAGACTTTCGCCTGAAGACTGATGATGTGGTGGCGATTGGTGCTGACCCCATCCTCCTTTCCCGATCATCTGACTGCCCGCGTTTGGGCCCCCACCTGCACTGACAGTTGCAGAGGCAGCAGCAGCAGCAGCGACTGCAACAGCCGCCGACGAAACAGGAGATGGGGTCGTGCTACTACTCGCACTATGATGGTGATGAATTTGTGTTCTCTCCGTGCTAACGTTCACGTCTGAGGAACACGATGTGGACGAGGTTAAACTAGTGCTGGTGTTCAGCGAAGGGAGTTGGTTTGAAGGGTTGGGATGAGATTGCTGCGGTGTGGATGGTTGTCGTTTGAGCGATAACAAGTTTTGTATCATTTGAGGGCTGATATTTGATGACCCTGTTATGTGGAACCGCGGAAGTGCGGGGAGAAGTGCGGGGGAGAGGGTAGGGATTGGATTGAGGATGGAGATGAAGATCAGGGTCAAGATATTTCAGAATATTTCATAGAGTAAGAAAAAGTCCTCGAACCAAGTTCAGATGAAGGCAAAAACGCACTACCTGGGGGTGGTGACATGTAGCAGGTGAGTTTACCTCTGCCTGTGGGACCAGTACCGAGCGGGGGACGATCACTCGGAGGTAAATCGAGTGCCGCTCGGAGACGAGCGTTTTCATCCTCGAGGATGATAACTCGTTGTTCTAAGGCCTCTAGGTGTGAGGCTCGACGTGCTCTGAAAGCGCGTTGAACATCTCTCGCTCTGTTGGGGGGGAGAGTGTCGTCTCTTTTCCTGCCGCGCTTAGAGGTTGAAGAGGAAGATGTTGGTGGTGATTGACTAAGAGAGCTCATGATTGACAGATAGTGGCGTTACAAGAGGGAATAGGACGAGGAGGAGACTGGGAGAAGGGTTCTGCGGGAGTTAAGAGCGAACGGATTTTGTTTGTTTGTTGGTTTTTTTGGTGCCTGTGTCTCGAAGCATTCTGAGGAATTTATATATACCATGAGTTTTCAGGTACCAAAAAAATAAATCTAATGAAAGGGAAAGAATTTAAGAAGAAAACGTTGTCCTTTTAATTCAATGTCTGACTAAAATTCAATAGCCGACGTATGATTCACTCCTCCCAAATTAGAAATAAGAATAAAATTACAAAATTATATTTGATCCTTGTCATAAATGGCAGGACCCGGAGGGATAACCAACCCCGCAATTCAGTTCATTTTAGTTTCCGTTTACATTCAATAAGTCCACAGAAAAAATTTCAACCCCGAAGGAAGGAGAACCCGATCTCTGATAATACAGACATTAAGCACAATCGTGCGCTACAGTCACATCTCAAATTCCCGGCATACCAAGGGCTAAAGGGCGCTTGCTCATGAGCGCACTCGATACCCTCAGGCCTGAAGCATTCGCGCATAGCAGTTTGGACCCGACATTCCAGAAAGGGCCCATATCAGGTTTGCACGCTTACGAACACCCCGTTTCTCACTCAATACAATTCCCAGTAACTGCTAAGGTATTAATCCTGCATTGACACCCAGCAACACCCAATAGCACATATACATCCCTACGATACTGGTAACTTGGGACGTTATTCAGTGTGATCATCTTACTTTGCCGCTTCCTTACTTGGGCCCATCCACCCCACAAAACCAGTGCCAACGTCCACTTACCCAATTGATGGGTGATCGACTATCAGGAGCAGCTAGTATACGTCTACAAGCGCACGCAGTTGCATGCGCGGTTACTATCGATGACGTCCAGCTGCGAGCGCCCGTCTTCGTCATCGCCCCCCTTGGCCTCAGGGGCCCCTGAAGTAAAAACATACACAATGTATGCAGCATCGCACACAGCGAACAGCGGGAAAACTCGGCCTTCCCCATCAACTCGCTGGAAATACCCCTGTCTCTCCCTTTTAGGGCACAGCCTCAACGCTCAACAATATTCATTCAGATTGGAAGCCAGAAAAACAATCCGGATCAGAGCGCGGTAAGCCCGTATCCGCTTGCGCCTATGGGCCAGCTTTCAAGTTATCGTACGTCGACTCAGTTCCTGTGCGCTGGTTTACATATGTAGTGGACGAACTAGTCTAACTTGGGGTGACTGAACAACGCTAGGAACAGCCATCTCGAGATCAACCCGCGCGGGGCTGTGCGGTGAATCTTCAATTCAATTCTTTCAGGACCCGAATTACATCTTGGCAAGCACTGACTTAAGTTCTCACAACTCTGCAACTATTGGCTTCGATAAGAAAACCAGCTTAACCGAGGGCATTGCCCATCACCTCTTTCGCCCAAGATTACTCATTCGAGTTTACTGACAACCAGTTGAGTCAATGCTGTGGGCCCAATCGATTGTGGGGTCACGTAAGTAGAACCGTTTCTTACACCACAAATGGGATGGCTCACTGTCCCATCACAACGTTGTCCCTCACGCACCCTCAGATTACGCGCACATTCAGGACGAAAACAGAAGTCACTAAACTCCGATCAACAAACACAAATCTCGCTTTTCCTACAGAATCTTCCACGCATTTACTCTGGTTCCATCCGTGCGAGAATGTGTGCCGACAAGCTATACATGTACCACTCCTCCCATACAGTAGGCTTCACAAGCTGGTGTCACCCGCTCGCGCGCTCACAATAGTTTGGCCATCCCATAGTCCTAGTGCCTCCGATTTTCCACAATCTCACACACACGCACACATGCACATGCACATGCATTCATTCGACCCCTATGCACTACCCACAACAGCACTCTGAATTACCGCCCTAACTCACCAATCAAAGCCCATGCCCAGAACTGAAGCCCGTGGACATCATTCCTGCAGCCGATCGATCGTGAAACAACTCAGAAATGAAGTCGGGCATATTGGCCCTACCGTCGGGTCGGTCACCCCATATCACCATCGCAGTTACAAAATACCATAACGACGTGCGTGCGCTCACGCTCCCCATATAATTCCTAATTCCCACCCTAGCCTGTTCTACATACCAACCCAAACCCTAACATCTATCCACTCTATCAGATTTTGGAAACGTGCAAGAAAAAAAGCTGCTTCCAGTTGATTCCACTGGCATGGTATTCTTAATGAGAGTGTACGGCACCCAATCCCACATTAGCCACACCATACATACCCTGGACCCCAACCCACGGGCCCGGGCCACACACGGGCGGTTCGGGCCCAGACCCTCGTAAGAGCTCCAGCCAGGCAGCAACCGCCAAACGGTCAACAAAACACGCAAACGTTCACATTCCACACATATTATCACGTTACGTACTGCGCATACTTATCGCGATCTCCGGATCATCCGCAAACCCCACAACGTGCAGCCCCTCGATCCTTCTCTCCCAGTCACCCAGGCACTCTGGTGACACCCGACCGAGGCACAGCCGATGCCACAAGGCCGAAACTAAAAGAAAAAAAATTACCGCCCAACTATTGCTATCTCCGGGTATATGTTCGCTGACCGCCATTGATATGTGACTCCCCCGCCCCAACTTCCACGTCTCGGCCGGTCATTGTTCGGACAACACGATGGAAAACGGGGATCCTGTAGAGTGTGTAATTAAAAAGAAAAAGAGCACGAACCGCCCCAGGCTAATTAGCAGAGCGCTCAAGCCCCAATATCACATATTGTACTAGGACTCGTCATTCCGCACTAGTCCCCCACCTTATTAATAATTCGGAAGATAATTGGGTCATTAAATTTCTCAGTTGGGCGCCTCTCCGCATCCAGAAAAAAATCGTGAATTGCAAAGGAAAAAAAAAGATATGTAGATGAAGAAAGATCAAGCAAAGGGGAAAGTTATGTGTAGATGTATGTTACCGCAACAATCCGAAATGATTGCAGCAAGAATTGACGTATACGGTTGTATTGTACGTAGAATGAAGAGATGGGAGAGGGGGAAAACGACACTTCATTCCTTGGAAGGCAATGTCACCATCATGACTGCCACCAAAACGTAGAGGATAGCGGTGCAGAATCTACTCCATCCTTGGTCATTTCGAATTTTTTTGCTTCGCCTCTGCCTCCGCCACCCGCAGCACTATCGTCCAACTCCGTCTCCTAACCCTCCAACCATTGCTTATTTGCTTATTTGGTCTCACCCTGCTAACCCCAACTTTCCCCTATTGATGGATGCATTCAGGCGTTTCCTCCTCGTCGTCGTCGTCGTCATAGAACCTCGGTTGAGACCGATGTCCATGCCCATGAGAATGAGAATGTCCATGATTATGGTGATGATGCCCAGGTCCAGATCCAAATCCAAACCCTTCGTCTTCGTCGTCTTCGTCATCATCTTCCCAAGACTCGTGGTGCACACGATCCTCATACTACGTGAAATCAAGAATAGCCCATCAGATGACAATGAAGGGTTAGTCAAGTGAGAAGAAAACTCGCGTATGAAAGCAACGAAACAACAGCGACTTACGTCTTCCATATCAGCCCCTTCCCACTTTGCCTCATCCACAACACTCGGTTTAGGGTCAAGATCTTCCTTCTTTGGGGGAAGCAGCGCCTCCAATACCTATCAGCAGCCGGGAAAGATTAGCGCTCATTAATCATGACGTTATAAAGAATCACACAGAAAGCCCAAGAGGGTGTGTAGCAGGTAAGGAAGGGAGACGAGCACAGAAATGGCGGGGGATTTCATCATGGCGATGCCAGGACCAAAGGAAGCTGAAAGCAGAACGTCTGGATGGAGGGACCAGTGCGGTGGAAAAGGGGGGACTGAGTGGATGGGTGCACAATGGGCGTCAGAAGCGAGGCTATGGTTCAATGAACAAGGACACCGCGCTAAGGGTCGGTATTAGGGGGGTCTGAGCGCCTCTTGAGGTAAGGCAACGAACTATCCGAGTCAGAACGTTCTCGACGGTTGATGTATCCCCACCGCCGCGACAAAATTGATAGGGGAAAAGGTCGTAAACTTGTCTAATGGACATGGATGGTATCCGGGATGGCGTGGGCAAATTTCAAATTCGAGAGCATGAGAGCTAAAACTCGTATGCAGACCAAGCGCTCGCAGCGCTGATCTGCGTAAAGGTGCTGATTCATGATGGGTGTCTCGCCCGATATTGACCCAGAGGACGGAGCAAGTTGAATAACACCGCCGACGAAAGCACTGGACACCGAGCGATGGCGGAACAGCAGGCGAAAGGGAATAGGATTTGGAATGGGGAAACGCACCTTTGCATCGATACTTTCAAACCACTCCTTAGTGGGCATTTCCACTTCGAGCGTGACGAACAAGTCTCCTTTCCCATTACCATCTCTATCAGGCATTCCCTCTCCTTTAATCACAACCGTTTCACCCCCCTTAACAACCTCACCAGGTCTTCTCGTCATGCGAATCCCTCGTCCATCGAGGTGTTTGAGGATAATGCGAGAGAACCCAAGAAGCCCTTCTGAAAGTGTGAGGGAGACGTTTGTATGTAGGTCTGACGATGTGGGCGAAAGTCGGGAGAACATCGCGTGGGGAGTGAGTCGCAGGACGAAAACTACGTCGCCTGTTTCAATACCTGGCTAATGAATATCGAAACAGATGAGTGGAAGGCATTTTCCAAGCCCATTCACAGCCAGGCACACAGATTTTGGGGGACGTGTTAAGGAGGTTCAGCAGTAATGGGGACGATCTTTTCAAGAATCGCGCCAAAACAATCCTTTGCGGAGTTGCAGGGCGGAATCGTGATCTCCCCATGGCTACACCTTGACCAGGAAGCGGGGATCAAGAAAACTGGCACTCGCCTGCTGGTCGCCTGCACCTTTCATTACGATTTTTTGGTTATGAGCCATTCCCTTTTCGACTACTAGATCCACTGCCTTTTTTTCTTTGATGGTTTTCTTTCCCTTGCATTTCTTGCACCTGGGAAGCCACAAGAAGCGTGAGTGATAAACCAACTTCAAATCTTCAATGAAAAAGCCGTTATTAGGCAGTTTCGCCCTGGCACGAACAAAGCCCATACAAACGATGGCCTCAGAATAATGACAGAGGAGTGGGTCATGAGGAGGGTGCAGACCGCTGCGACGGAGTGATTCCAGACGAAATGCAGAGCAAAGAAAAGACAATGCCGGATTGCCACCTACCGGTCCCGTTCCTTGATTCGGGTTCCCTCTCCATCGCAATCAGGGCAAGTGGCCGTAGCGACCCCCATTCCTCTGGGAAGCTGTGAGAGCAATATGAGTAGTGCGTGCATTTTGAGCGGATGTCGAAGTGTGAGTGCGAGCTAAGATCAGAGTTGAATTAACCACTCAACTACTCGGGTCACTGGTACAGTTCCACGTCCGTCGCACTTTATGCATTTCGAAGGTTTGGATTTCGGCTTTCCACCGGTTCTGCATAATCAAAGGCGTTAGATACATACGTGTACTTGCCATGTTGTGACCTTACCCGGCACAGGACGTGCACAGTACGTTTCTCTCGAGATTAAAACGTGCCGTCTTTCCATTGTATAAATCTTCCAGGGTGACATCATAAGGTATAATAGAATCCTCCCCCCTTCGTTTGCCCGAGAATCCACCTCTTCCGGGTCCGCCCATGCTGAACGTGAAGAAATGCGAAAATAACTCTTCGGGGTTTACTCCTGCACCGCCCATATGCGAGCCATTCAGCCCTTCGGGGCCATACCGGTCGTATGCCGCGCGCGAATCGGAATCGGAGAGCACAGAATACGCGTGTTGCAAGGTTTGGAACGTCTGCGCCGCTGTAGGATCGCCAGGGTTCTAAGACGAGGCGCATGAGAAAATAGTTCCACGTAAAGGGGAGCATTAAAACGTGAAGATGGTAGATGTATTGGATGAACCGCACCTTATCCTGAGGGATTAAAGGGGTTGCAGTTAGATCAGCCACAGACTTGAAGATTCGGATGAACACGCACTGGGTGATGCTTCATGGCTTTCTTTTTATACGCGCGCTTTATATCGTCTTGAAGTGGATTCCGGCGTATTGAGCCACCAAGTACAACATTTGGAGGTGCAGGACTGCTCACCAGGGGTCGCGTCCGGCTGAACTCCAAGGAGGTCGTAATACTCAGTCGAGGACATAGCAAAAAATAAAGAAATAAAACTCTATTTATTCTAGAGAGGATATGTGAGGCTATAATGATGCCCAAATTGAGCAGGGATGTGCACGCTCGGGATGTGAGGCGTAGGGTTTTGGTTTTCGGTACCGGAATCAAACCTCAGCGATTTGCTTCTCACGGTTTCCTGCCATTATTTGTCGTTCTATCTTCGCGTCAGAGTGTCCTCTTCAAGCAAAGAGCTGGTGTTATGATGTCGCTTCCCGATGAAGTCGTTCTCTCGCCATCGATCCTTGACACGGATCTTTATAAAGTATGCAATCCTGCTCGTGTAAACTGCTGGCAACCGTGGATGTGCTTCCCGACGCTCCTGACGGGGCCATGACGTCTGTGCATATGTAGTTGACTATGCAACAGGCTGTGTTGCACCACTTTCCTGATGCTCGAGTCCGGTACAAATTTGATAACCGTTCGAAGTCGACACAATTCAATCGAAAGTGTCTGGAGCTCTTCCAGGCTAATACAGAGTGTCGGTCCCCCAGCATCGTTTTGTGTCTGTCTGGAAAAATCATGTTTCATTGTGTCTAGTAATCTCAGATTTGAAATTGACGGCGAACGAAAGGGACTGGCTTAAGCAAAAATGCCCATATCTCAAGGAAGAGTATCTTGATTTCCTGTCATCTCTCCAGCTAAACCCCAGCGAACAAGTTTCGACCAAGTTTATACCATCGGAGTTGGACGACAACATTGGACAAATTGAGATTAGCGTGCAAGGGAGATGGTCTGAAACAATACTTTACGAAGTCCCTCTCATGGCGGCACTTAGTGACGCCTATTTCCGCACAATGGACACGGACTGGGAGTATGATGGACAGGAGGGTGATTATGTACCTCAACTTGTCTGGGGAGCCTTATTAACCTTCCTTGTCATTTTTTCTTAGAATTAGCCTACCAAAAGGGCATCAAACTATTCGAGGAAGGTGTCTTGCTGTCCGAGTTTGGGACTAGACGACGCCGTTCCCTGAAGACCCAGAAGCTAGTGATCGAAGGGCTTATACGAGCCAATGAGACTCTTCGAGGAGACAAAAAGAGTACTGGAGAGCTTAAAGGCACAAGCAACGTATGTGTCCTTGGCACACCGATCTTTTTAAATCGTGGACCCTTCTATCTAGGTCCATTTGGCAAGACTGTACAATTTGACTCCAATTGGTACCATTGCGCAGTAAGCAATATACATTTCAATCCGCCCTTTTGCGCTGAGCCAAACCTATTTAGCGAGTGGACCATGGGGGTATGATGCTGTACTCCACCTCCAATGTAAGAACTGACTTCGATATTGGTCGGGTGTCCTTCGATTTCAGGTTGCTGCGGTGAAAGGTTATGATGCACCTAATATGACTGCTCTTTCTTTGTGGGAAGCCGTCTACCCACCAGAACCCACCAATGCCCTTCATATCGCCCTCACAGACACGTTCACATCTCATGTTTTCTTCGAAGAGCTAAAGGAGCACCCCGAATTCGCACGGCGGTGGAGAGGAATAAGGCAAGACAGCGGCGATCCCATCGCCTTTGCCAACTGTGCCGCCAAAACATATGGTGACATCGGAGTCGGTGTCCATGAGAAAGTGATTATTTATTCCGATGGCCTTGATTTGGAACGTTCCCTGCGGATCAGGAAAGACACTGAGCATCTGGGCTTCCTAGGTATGGGTGCTCGCTGCTATGCTACTCAGTCACGATTGATGACGCTCTTCTCAATGTTGGGCTCAGCCTCATTCGGTGTTGGGACATACTTGACTAACGATTTTAAGTCGGTAACGACGGGACAGAAAAGCAAGGCTCTTAATATTGTTATCAAGCTGGCTGAAATTAATGGAAAACCATGTGTTAAACTAAGTGATGATCCGGGCAAGGCAAGTACTAATTGCATGTTCCCATGCCGAGTAGCCTAGGTCCCACTGTAGCATTACAGTCGCCGCGGCACACCGCTCATCGTTTGGGCGTTATCACTCATTATTTCCTACAGAATACTGGAGATGCTGATACCGTCTCATTCGTCAAAAACCTATATGGATTGATTTAGGGTGGTACTCGGAAGAAATGGATAGATCCTAGATTTCCTCAGGCTGATTGGTGGGAACCTAAGACTTGCATGGCTGACTAATATTCCATACGCACAACATTATCAAGCAATGTTGCCAGTGGGTCTGTGCACCACATCATATTATCCGTTTTCTCCAGGTAAAGTCTCGAGAAAGCGTCAATAACAGAATGACTGTCAGCGCAGTGAATTACATCGGTGAATTCTATAGCCTGCCCGATGGCTATTCCTCCCCACGTCCAGTGGTTATGACATCATCTGTGATGACGCTGTCAGCACCCATTGTGACCATAAATCTGCATAAGACACCTACCGATTTTCAGGACTGCACGAACAAGCTATTATCGTGAAAGGCAAGGACATTGCATGAGTGTATAGAGATATGGTTTAAACCTGAATAGCATACTTGGGTTGCTAACAAGAATTGCTGTCGCTTGGATATCAGAGGATCGTACACGTGTTGTTGTTTCATATCATTTTCCCCTCTCCCTGCACAGTCTACTCCAAGTTTTGAGTTCTTCTGTGTGACTTGTCGACTTTTGACATCCGTCAGTGTCTCGATTGGGGGCAGACCGCTATTTTCCGCTAGTGCTAGTGGAACCGCATCTAATGCTGCTGAGAAGGCACGCATGGCGTATTGCTCGATAGTGGGATCTGTACGCCGTATTGTGAGAACGATCGGAATAGAATCGTACCAACAAACCTGATCTGCCGCTTTTGCCACCGCCACTGAGCAACTTATCTCAGCTGCCCCACCTCCAAACACGACTCGATTGTCAACGACTAGATTGCGGACGACACAAAGTGCATCGTGTAACGATCTCCTAGCTTCGTCTATTATCTTGATGAGAATAAAAGAGACGCATCAGGAGGCTTGATTTCGCAAGGAAAAAATGCTTTACCATCTTGTTCGAGCCACGTATGAAGATTGTGGCCGCTCTGGTGTTCGCACACTCTTCAATCACAAGCATTTTATCTCGGGTAGTGCCAAATGAAACTTCACGGACAATTCCTGCCCGGCCCAGCTTATCTGCCGACAAGTCTTCAAACCGTGGGACGATGCGACCGTTGGTGGCAATGGCTATTAGCTGTAAGAAAGTCAGGGAGAACCGATTAACGAATACTTTGTACTAGCCTCAATTTCGGGGCCTCCCACCCACCGCACAGCAGGTAGCTCATTTTGCATGAGCAGGTGGTTTGCCTCGTCATCAAAACCCCACTGGCATATCACCAAATTTGCCGCTGTATCTTTAACCATTTTGATCATCTGGGCAAATTTCTCTTTTTCGTACGCTTGGAGTTTTTGGTATTCTTCGACGGAGGTAATGTCAAGCTTGTGTTTTGTTTTCGGCCTCGGAGGCTCGAAGGGGCATGTGAGGATGGCGATCTTAGCGTCTTTGACTACTCGAGGCATTTGAGGGTGCGAAAAGTCCTTATCCACAACGACTCCCTTCACCAAAGTAGTATCTTCGAGAGATCCCCCCACTTTGCTATCAATTTTGATGAGCTCGAAGTCGACGTCGCGTCTCTCCAAGTCCGCGACTGATAGAACGGCATCCACCGCAATCTGAGCGAACTGTGAAATTGATTTGGATACACTTTGGGGAACGTGATTGAGACTCGGAAGAATGGAGGAAGCGGACGGCATACATTTTGCTGCCCAAGCTCGTCATCGCGGACTTCAATAGATTGCTGGTACTATCCCTTGTGAAATCTACGCGTTCGGAGATCTTATCCAAATGCTCCACGGCGACAGCACAGGCTCGCTCGAACCCATCGGCTATACGCATCGGGTGAATACCACGATCAAGGAGAGACTCGCTTTGTTCCAGCAAAGCTCCCGCAAGCACAACGACGCCAGTTGTGCCGTCACCAACTTCGTCATCCTGTGATTTAGACAGCTGCACAAGCAATTTGGCGATCTGATGCTCAACCTCCATTTGGCCGAGGATCGTAGCTCCATCGTTAGTGACAGTAATGTCCCCATCAGGCGAGATGAGAATCTTGTCGAGGCCTGGAAGGGGTCAGCAACCTGAACGTGAACCGGAACTGTCCAAACGTACCTCTCGGCCCTAGTGATGTGCGAACAATATTTGCAACCGTTTTAGCGGCGAGGATGTGTGACTCAACAGACAATGTAGTAAGTTCCCACTGAACCCGGGTCGATCGCGAACAATACCTACTTTGATCGCCTCATTGCCGTGACTTCGTGATTTTTTCGCCTGCTCGCGTACAATGATAAAAGGTCGTCCATACTACACAGAAAAACCCGCAAATAAGACCTATGGATCTTGGAGCGAAGCGTTCCAGTACCTCATCTGTGGCGTAAACAGCTTGTTGCGACATTACGATTTCTGGCCAACAAGTCAGGCGCGTAATTTGCTTCCGAGGCACAGAGAAATCAATGGGTTTGAGTTTGCGGCCTCTACGGGGCCTGTTCATGGCCGGAGTGTGCCTGGCGTGGCGTTAGCGTTGTGCTCTTGGATGCATTAGAAGAAGTTGTTGTTAGGATGAAGACATCTTTTCATCTTTTCATGATTCGCTCCAAAACGTGATAAGGAGTCTAAATTCCACACGATTGACCTGTACCCTTGATTTGAGTTGCGATCGACATTTTCTGTGGGCTCGGTCAGATTGAGTGAAGCAGTGACAATCTAAGCACGCAAGCGCCTCCGGGAAGTTTGTTTGCAGGTATCGCAGCCCTAGCGTAATTACAATTGTTTGGGCCGAAAGCGGAAGCCTCGATCGTGGTCAGGATCCATATTATGTCTGAGTGAGCACCCTACCATTAATTGAGCACCTCCCTCGCCTACTGAAATGCTTTCAGCTCCAACTCCTGGTATGGAGATGAGTCCGATGGTGATTTTTACGACAGAAAAAATAAAACAGACAGATCTAGGTCAGTAAGCGTGCACGAGGGACTGGCCCTAACTCCTGATGTTGCCTTAGAGTTCCTGCCGTGAGGAAACGGAGGAAAAGAAACTCGGTATTTCTCAACATGAAACAAACATATGGGAAAACCTCCGCTTGGAACCCAACAACTGGTGTGCGAGAACTGCTACAAAATTTATGGGATGGGATTCTTGAGAGATTCTCCCTCTCCCCTTGGGAAATCGACGTATCTGAGCACATTGATACCAAGAACAACAAGATAAATTTCAAATTTCGCTATATTAACTCAACCCCAGCAATGCGATTGCAACTGCGATGGCAACCTGACACCTTGCTGGGAGAGGTTAAGTATTCGCCTAAGCGCCAGCTCCTCGAGCTCGTTAACTATCACGTATCACTCAAACGAGATGTGCTAATGTTGGGTACCACCTCAAAAGAAAGTAACCGGATATCACAGTATGCCATAGGCGGACATGGGGAGGGACTGAAAGTTGGTCCGTGATTATTTTGTTTCATACGAAAACTTTTGAATCGATTATCCCATCAGGAATAAATGCACTTGTCCGTAACCACCACAAGGTGACATACTACACTAACTCGGAAATATGGAATTTCACCTACGAGGAAGTCGAGTCGCTTGGCCAAAAGGGCCTTACAGTCACCTTCCGTGTTGTACCTTCCAGGGTCACAGATGATGGCAGAAGGAATTTCACAAAGTCTGCAGATCAACACACCACAGTCGTGGTCAAGGGTATCGGACTAGACGCCATCTGTCTGGACAACTATCTTTTTCTGCGGCCCTGTAACTCAATACTAGCCCCTACGCATAGATCTGTGTTTTACAAGTGTGGATACATTTGTCTCACAGAGGAACATGCAGGTCGCCTTTATGTACGGGGCATCCTTGTTCATCGGCACAAGATGAAGGACACCCCAACCTCAACCCAACCTACCCTTCATTATGGGTACAACATACTCGGCAATCTACCACTGAGCCGAGATCGAGGCCTTTCATCAGATGATTTCAGCCTATCCGAATATATCTTCTGCGTCTGGGAATCTCTGCTCTCAGATTCGCAAACATCAGCTGAAGCAGCCAGCCGTTATATAAATTTATTCATCGAACACCAAAATTGCAGTGACATTCACCACGCGGATATCTGGTTTGCAGAATGTGCCCAGAGGGATCAGCTGTGTCGGCTTCTTCTTCGCACTTTTTGTTCACTGCACAAGGCTCCTGACAAAAAGATATGGATCCACGGAGGCGATCCGGGCTCCGAGCATGTCATTCACCAAATCGGTCGCCATCCAGTAAAAGCCCCAGAACCACTTTACAAAATCTGGTCCGATGCTGGCATCGCGTGGTCGCCTCAAAAAGAACGCGACAGCATTTTCTTCTGTCTATCTCCCTGGTCTGGCCCTGCCACTCCATCTGCTCAACATACCATACATTTGTTGGATGTAATGTGCACCGTTGACTGCAATCTCTCTCGATTTAAATTTGATTGGAAAAACGGAGGAGACATAGACATGGATCTCTTAGTCTCCGATCCTACTTCCACGGTCTCTCTCCACAGTCGCAATCTCGATCCTGTTCATGTCCATAGCAACGACGAGCACTCTTGCTCTGTCTATGCTCTTTGGGAAGATGACCAATCATCCATTCCACCGCCTGCAGCCAGTGACTCAGTAATTTGCGACTGTGCTGCTTTCAAGTTGTACTGGGGAATCCGCTGGAACGTCATGCCTCCAAGTGCTTCGCTTGCTGGAATGGGGAGTGCTCAACAAAATCTTGCGTCGTTATATCCCCGTAACCCTCAAGTCACTTCTGACCCCCTACCTGCTGTCCAATGGAGGATAAATTCTGAAGCCAAGCTCCTATTGTTCGATGTGAAGATTGTGGAAGGTTACGGTGACCCAGGATTTATGCTACATGGGCCTGAAGGTGAGCCTTGGGGGTCTCACGGGTCATGGATGTCGTTGCGAAGTCCGCTGAAACATCTCATCATGTAAGGCCCACAATTACGGAAGCGACCTCCTAGTTTCGTCCGAGGCGCAGAAGCGTCCGCGCCGAACTCAACTTCTGGTTAGTACTGGAACATCCCGCTACTTCGTCCTTCTAACAACTTGCTTTAGAGGCGATCACGCATTCTTCTCAGTCTCCGTCCTTTGTCATGAAGGATGTCGAAGGATTACAACAAGGACGTTATTATACGGCGCAGATTGCTGCAAAGGGTCGGACGATACGAGCTCCTTACTCAGCCCCTTTCACGTTTGCCAACCCACTGCCGCCCGTCAGCGTTGCAAGATACATTCGCTCGGACAGGGAGAATACACTCATCGAATTTTCCCCTGTAGAGGGTGCACAGACATACGAGATTACAATCCACACCGCGACCGCAGGGGCAGAGATAATCACGAAGAATGATTGTCAAATCTCTCTTCCACATCAAGAAAAATGCACGGTAGACATAGTTGCTATTACACCGGAGGGAATACGCAGCTCGGAAGGAATGACTATCGACGTGCCGAGAGCGGAACCTGAGGTTCCTGAGTTTAGCGTATTCCCGATATCTCTAGCTGCCGTCAGAGGATCACAGGATGGTAGCCCTCCATCCTTATCCCCAACACGTGAAACCAGTCCATCCACAGGAGCAAATGACAACGAGGGTTCCAATCCTGCGACACCTATGGCTCCTCCAGCAGACGCGGGATCCTCCAGTGACGAAAGTGAGCCTATGGATTGCGATGGCTGGATTGAGCTGCATGAGCTGGATAGTGATGAATTGAGCGAGGACAGTGATTACAATGGTGAACTTTCAGACGATGAGGAAGATGAGGTTGAGGTTAATGCGATCTTGACTGGCGAGCGACGAAGGAAACGGCGGCGGAAAGCAGAGGTACCCCGTTGGGAACGGTTAACTCTGTATCGAGTCAAACAACACAGAGTGAGTACTTAGTCGTGGCATGCTTCGTCACTATGTTGCTAACTTAAAAACTTTGAACGCTTCAAGATACCACCGCTTGACGTTGAGAGAGTTTCAGAGCTGGTGAGGGAGATGAGTGCGGTGGATCCGGAAAGGTTATCAGAGCGGTACCGCAAGCGCATGAAGACGCGCCACTACGCCGGGCCTCATCGTATGGGGCAGGCGAATGGCCATTAGTAATGGAACCACATCTGATTTCGATTCTTTAATCCTACATACACGCAACTCAATCCGTTCAGAAAAATCTCGCGTCAGCTATCCACCATGTAGCACCATGTAGCATATAGTATATGTGCCGTGATGTAGAATATATACCAATCATCGTACTACTGATCCGCCCAGTCCGGTACTCCGTCGTGTACTGCCCAGTCCAGATGGGCCTGCCCCTTCACTATCCAAGCATTCATCTGCATGAGCTCGTCTCCTTGGTGCAGGGCTGGGTGTTGACCATCCATAACCAGAGCCCCCAGTAGAAGCTGCCATCCGTGCGCGCTCCCAGTCATATTCGCGCTGAAGATGCTGTTGTTGCCTAAGACGAGAATCCTCTGCAGCTCGATTAGAGTTCCAGATCGACGCCGCAAGGCCCCCCAGCCCAAGGCCTGTCCAAAACCCAGGGGTCCAGCTAGATTCAGACTTGGAGGCGAAAGGGTCGCTTGGGGCATAAGGAGGCGGGGGAGGACGTGGTGTGTTGCCTCCAAACCATCCACTGAGCCAGCCTCCAGATGTCCTGCGTGGATTCGCTTCACGATGGCACGGGTGAATGATTTGAATATTGCGTATGCTAGCCATAAGAGAATTCCAAACCAAACGATGTCGAAGATGATGGTTGTCACTTTAGTAGCTGCACGATATCATCCATTTGAACGGCTGGGTTTTCTGGGATAGAAAAAGTGGGCTCAACTATTGAACCATCGATTTAATGTGCTGAGGTACGATGAGCCATCCCAATTTGGTGGCCTGAACTGCTGGGGTACGTGTAGCAGACGATATTCCAAACCGCACGAGCCTGTTTCATGCGGATCAACTAAAGTAGCCACGGGTGACGCTCTGTGCTTACCTTCAAGAACGTGCATATCTCCGGGGCCAGACCAGCCCTCACATGATACAGAAACTTTTCCAAAGCGGAGACTTGAAGGGAGGTCCGCCTCGCACTAGCATATAACGCATCAGTAACGATGAATTGGTACGCCCTCAGCTCAGCTCAGAGGGAATTGCTGACCTTCCATTTAACATCCGTGCCTGTGCCCCCAATGTTGAAACATTGGATAGCCTCTGGCTGGAACACATCACAGACCTGACCTATGCATGTAAGCTGAGGTATTGGCGAGGCTCTTCGGGCCAAGGTGTATTCGTCAGAGAATAGAGTTAACGATTTGATGGAAGAGAGAAGGACTCTGCGATACTCCTTTGCCATAGGGTTTAGTCAAGCTGCTGGGCGCTCTGGAGACTGGGCTACGCAATGTGTCGTGGCGCTCACGATCTCGACGTGTAAGAAGGTCAGATTACATGTGACCGCGGGAATAGTACTTTATCGGAAAACCGCGGATACCGTTTATTTAAACGCGTGGCATGGCATGCGTAATATATGCGGTTCTCTGGCATTATGTACCGGCGAGGACGTTAGTTAGATCTAAAGTCGTCGTTGCAACTATTTCGGCATCTTTGACTTGAAACCAACCCGACTCCATTGGTCTGCCAACCTTCCAACATGACAGACCCATCACACGAGCACCTGCTCCTCCACTGGACTCGCAACATCCGTGCCTTACCTCCCTTCTGCGCCTTCTTCCGCTTGTCAAGAACTCCACATTGAGCTTTCCAATCTGTCTCAGAACTTTTGGCACTATGCCACCATCACGGGAGCAAATAATTGATGCTCTCACGTTTAATCGTAAACTCGAACCGCTGTCGAGTCGACGCAATGCGGCCAGGCCTTTTGTGTTACTTTCGAATTATCTTGAATGATATCCGGTGAAATACCGCCGGATAAATAGCTCTCCCCCTCGAAAGCGACCGATCAAGAAGCTCCTTGTTCTTCGAGGCCTACTATCAGTTCCGGAAGTCCTTACCACTAAATGATTGCCGGCATGCCTCTCTTGATCGCTTCCCACGTGGGATGACTGTGTAATCAACCTGCAGACTCAAAGCGCCAACTCAACTTGCATTTTCCCCCGACAATGCTCGCTTTCAAACACTGCACAAGGTCATTCATCATCGTGAAATTAAACAACCTTACCGTGTCGTCGTCCGTGTCACATCACGGCGTTCAATCTTTGCTGCCGTGGAACTTTATGCGATATATAAATATATAGACCGGTGGGCCGTTGGCATAAATCCATCACCCTATCAACAGTGTGGCATGCAAGGAGGTCGGAATAGGCTGAAAGGGACAATTCTGGAAATAACCCAAGTAATGTCAGGGATGTCATCCTTCAGTTAAATGTGAGAGGAATGGAAGACAGTGTACAAGGTCAGTTCAATCGGTGGGCAGTTTCTCATCATGTATTTGGCCTTCCTTTGAGCTTCGTGCAAGACCTGTCTCGAAGGAAAGCAGGCATCGTGAGGAATGTAATGCGCGTCCGAACACGTAACCGTTGAAGTTTTCCAGGCTTGAGGGTAATCCTTCCGAACATTAAAGTCAGGCCATTGAAGAACCAAATACATATTGTATATATCCCGGTGTCCTTCGAGGGATAAAGAGCGAGTTTGTACCACGGAATCAGCTATATACTATACAACTTACTGTCTCCGTACAATCGTGGCACTGATTACTATTACTGCGTGTGGTTTCTGTGCAAGCCTTCGGGCTATGATGGGTGCCAGGCTGGATCTGACATTACCAATCCTTCAGAGTCGCCTTTGTGCTCTTTGGATAAATAGTATACCACGATGAGCGCGCAATTTGCCAAGGAGCGTGGACTTAATATATATCATTAGTAATTGGCCGAGCTTGCGAGGCGTTTGTATATGGCTAATCTCGGAAAATGGTACGTCGTCATCCACTTATGGAACAACTTTGAAATTGTCGCGGACTTCGCCTCGTGATGCGTTGGGTGCTGTGATCACAGCCAACACGACCCCCGCCTATAATCATAGTAAGGCAAACTTTAGCATGAGCTTTCGAGAATCCCCAACTCGCGGTCTTTTGTACCGGGACGACGAGCAAACAGGAAATGTCCGAGATCACAAACATCCTGCCGAAGCAATCGGAGGTCAGGCGGGCGAACTATTTCCCTCGTTAACCACTTTTCATAATGTGTACGCCGCTTAGTCGGTTCTTCAGGGACGCGTTTGAGAGCTCATGCCCATGCAGTGGAGGCTGAATACGCATGCTGACTCTACATGAATCCCAGCTTATCAATGATCTCAGATCCCGCCTATATAGACGTCCAAGAAGTTCACTAGCCTCGCCTTTGCAACACCTCAGTCAAGTCCCGCTATGTCCATCATTCCTAACGAACAAACGCGCTGGGTCCTTGCTAACAGGCCTTTGGCTGAGCTCACGGACAGCACTTTCAGAAAAGAGACAGTTCCTGTCCCTCACAGCTTGGCGGACGATGAGGTCCTGATTCGCGTCGATATAGTGTCGCTCGAGGCTGGCATGCGTGGGTGGATCGAAGATGTACGATCATATGCCCGCCGGTGCAAATTGGGGAAGTGGTGGTGAGAGAGTCTCCTGTCTGATTTGCGTCCAGCAAAGTCACCGATTTTAATGCTAGCGCTCATTCGGGGTCGGTGAAGTGGTTAAGGGTGGGAAGACTTTTGCAATTGGGGACGTTGTCCATGGTTTTCTTGGCTGGCAAGAGTATGCTGTCCTTAAGGAGTCTGCGGTTCAAAAAGTGAAGTGAGTTGCATCAGCACCAGTTGCGGCCCGCTGAGCAGCTAGTTGGGACTCAAATGCTCAACTCCCTTATGAATAGCATTCCCCTTGGAGGAAATCCAATCGATGAATTTGGAGCGACGGGCTTGAATGGTAAGAGTAAATGAATCTCACGTATACGGATAGAAACTGAGCTCATTTCCAGCCTTAACGGCGTACATCGTGAGAACAATTTCCGCCATCCTAGGCATTCCGCTAATAGATGCCTTTATAGGGCATCACCACGGTGGGTCGGCTGAAGCCAGGAGAAACTTTGGTTGTTTCTGGAGCAGCTGGGGCGACGGGATCATTGGCTGCGGCTATCGGTAAAATTAAGGGTGCTGGTAAAGTAGTCGGGATCGCCGGCGGGCCCGAAAAGGTGAAATTCCTGAAGGAAGAGATCGGTGTGGACCTTGCATATGACTACAAGTCAGCCGACTGGAAGGAAAAGTTCGTCGAGGAAGTTGGCCTTGTGTAAGTTCCAACCTTCTCTGCTTCTTGCTCAAATATTCATCACATTTTGCGTCTTTCGAACAGCGACGTCTTTTTCGACAACGGTATGTCGATACACTGCGCACTGGGATGAGTACTGATAATCGATTTAGTTGGAGGCGAAATGTTGGACTTCATCCTCCCCCAAATCCGCCGGCTTGCAAGGATCGTCCTGTGTGGTTCTGTTTCTGCATACAGTACGTTTGGTCGATCCCCTTTCTTGGCTCCAGTTTGAAAGCTGATTGTAACCAACACCATAGATACCGCTGAACCATATGGCCTTAAGAATTATCCCAAATTAACGACGCATGGCGGTATCATGCAAGGCTTCGTTTGGTACGCACCCTCTGGCTATGGGCTTCTGTTTGGGCCCAGAATAACACAGCCTCAGTTTCGACTACGCGTCAGAGTTCCCGGCCGCAAAGGCGGAGCTGGCTCAATGGGCCGCCGAAGGCAAGTTTCCACGAAAATTCCACATTGTAGATGGAGGTGTCGATGTGTTGCCCAAAGCACTTGGCGATTTATTCAGTGGCGCCAACACCGGTAAAACGTGAGCAGTGGTCTCTATCATCTCGTGCGGTGACTCATGCCTGCCCAACTTATCCGAGCCAGTGTCGTCCGCATATCAAAAGAAGCACTAAGATATAATTAGGCTGGAATGCTCTGATAAATCCTTCGCAGTTATTTTGGTTGTATAAATCACCCTAGTTATCATCCAATCATACGGTCTGCATCATATTGATCAGCCCGAACCGCGTATCAACTGGGTAACATTACCCCGCCCTCAGCACAGATGTATTGCCCTCCTGCCGGGAGAAAGTTTTGTATCAGGATTCAGTCTGTATACACCTTGCCGGAGGTCATCAATTGTCAAGCACTACTGAGTTTCAGCTGCAGCACGCTGTTCACAATAACAGTGGCGCTGCTGATTCGAACAGTTATGCTTCTGATGAGATACCCGAGAAATGCTAGGCCGGAGTCAGCCTATAGAGAAACTCTCCACAGGCAGTCGCGCCGTGACTGGCGAATGCGGTCATAGGCTTTCTTCTGGTCTAGGGCGATCAAGTATTGCCCAATAATTTCACAAAGGTCTGCCATACGGTTAGCCAGGTCAATCTGGTCGAATGCGAAGGCAGCCGTTGCACCTGAGGAGCTGCACAACATCAGGATCTGATTACATGTGACCGCGGGAGCACAGGCTGTGCAAGCCCAATCCCGTTGATCGGTTCTCAGGATAAGATCCATGGATATGTATTGGCTGTTTAGTCATCTTGAGTTCTGGCTTATCAATGCCAGATCGCCTCTGCATATATAGACCAACATGGAAAGGCTTCACTTCGCTATTCCAGCACCGTAGTCCCGCCGCACGCCATGTCCAATATTCCCAAGGAAAAACACGCTGGGTCCTTGCTGAGAGGCCCCTAGTTGAACCTACCGACGCCACTTTCAGGAAAGAAACAGTACCTATTCCTCCCAGCTTGGCCGATGATGAAGTCTTGATTCGCGTTGATGTAATCTCGCTTGAGCCTGCCATGCGTGGATGGATTAGGGATGTTCCCTCGTATGTTCCGCCAGTGCCGATTGGGGGAGTGGTGGTGAGAGCCTCCTGTTTGGTTTAAGTCCAGTCAATCACCGATTATGATGTTAGCGCTCGTTCGGAGTTGGTGAAGTGGTTAACGGTGGAAAAACTCTCAAAGTCGGCGATTTTGTCCACGGTCTTCTCGGCTGGCAGGAGTATGCTGTCCTAAAGGAGTCTGCGGTTCAGAAAGTAGAGTGAGTGACATAAGCGCCAGCTGTAGCACGTTTTTCCAGTCGAAACCCGAATGCTCAGTTCCTTCGCGAACAGCATCCCCCCTGGAGGAAGCTTAATTGACGGGTTTGGAGCGACGGGTATGAATGGTACGAGTGAATGAATTTCGCCTGTCTCAACAGATACCGACGTCTTTCCCAGCTTTGACTGCATACTTTGTGAGAAGTTTCGCCATCCGAGGCACTCCACTGATAAGGACATTGTAGGGCATCACAGCGGTGGGTCAGCTAAAGCCAGGAGAGACCTTGGTTGTTTCTGGTGCGGCTGGGGCGACCGGATTACTGGCTGCAGCCATTGGTAAAATTAAGGGTGCTGGTAAAGTAGTCGGGATCGCTGGCGGACCTGACAAGGTGAAATTCCTCAAAGAAGAGGTCGGCGTGGATCTTGCCTATGATTACAAGTCAGCCGGCTGGAAGGAAAAATTTGTCGAGGAGGTTGGGCTTGTGTAAGCTGGATTCTTCTTTCCTTCACTTGATTGGACGTTCATCGCAACCTTGTCCTCTGAGCAGCGATGTTTTTTTCGACAATGGTATGTTCATGGATAAGCAGTAGGATGAGTATTGATCGTCGACTCAGTCGGAGGTGAGATCTTGGATTTCGTCCTCGGCCGTATCCGCCGATTTGCACGAATCATACAGTGTGGTTCCATCTCGGCATACAGTATGTTTGGTGAAACCCTTGCTTAGCTCCAATTTGGAAGCTGATTGCATTCACATAATAGACACCACTGAACCTTACGGAGTTAAGAATTATCCACAGCTGACGAAGTTCAGTGCTACTTGGAAAGGTTTCATCTTGTGAGTACCTTCAAGGCATGAATTTCTGCTAGCGGCCGGAATGCCCTCTCCCAGTTCCGACTACGCGTCAGAGTTCCCAGCTGCAAAGAAAGAGCTGGCTCAATGGGCCGCCGAAGGCAAGCTTCCGCGAAAATTCCACATTGTGGATGGAGGCCTCGATGTGTTGCCCAAGGCATTTGGTTATTTATTCAGTGGCACAAACACCGGTAAAACGTAACTGGTGATCTCTGCCGTACCCTACTTTCCCATGCTCATCCCGTTGCCTGATACAGTGTCGTCCGCGTGTCAAAGGAAGCATTACAGTATAATTAAGCTGAAATACATGCGCTGTCAGATTCTGTGGTTGTTCGTTCGGAAATACCTGTTCGTCACCAATCGCGCTGTACGATCAACCCGAGCTGCAGGCAAACATACTATCACCTCGTTCCAGGCTGTACCGATGTGTCGCTCCGCGGAGAGAATATTAGTTTATGTTTGCACCCAGTCTGTGTACACCTTACCAGAAATTATCCACAAACGTCGAGTGTTGCCGAGCCAGCCGTTCCCATTCTAATTTTAGCGAAAGATGGAGTCTTCGCCAAAATCGACAATCACCTGAACCTTTGTACCCGTTGTTAAAAGCAGAAGTACAGAGTGCTTGGTGCGCACAGGGACTTGAATACACAGTGTCAATCGAATCCGAAACAGCTGCCAAAATCCATTCTAGGGGCAATCCCGCCGTGAGAGGGGGATGCAGGGAGAGAAGCATGGACTCGGCCCGGGGTTGGCCATCATACCCTTGCAGCAAGCCTAGAAGGTCTTTGTTATTGGACTGAGCTCTTTGTTAATATGGTAAGCTAGAGAGCCGGCCGGGTGCAATGTGCTAGGCTCCATCTTGGGACAGATGTAAACAAATACCCGAATTGAGCCTGATTTCCAGCTCCGTGTGCTGAGCTGGGTGTCTTCGGATCTAGCTCTGACACTAGATATCACCCACAAAATATAACTAACCATGTCGCTGTTGACTTCGACTTCATTAATTGGGCCAGTGAGTGTACGTGTTAAGTGATTAATTTATCCAGACCCCTTATGAACTTGCAACGAATGGCCCTCCTTCCTGTCAAATCCAAGCTGACGGATATTTTCGAGACGTTACTAGCTACAGATCATGCACACGCCCAGTCTAGCTCGAGCCACCGCATCTAAAATGGCACTGTAGTTTTGAAGCGGCGAATGACCATCGGGTACTGTCATAGCCGGTTTCTCTCGAGTCCTTTTGGTAGTCTTTCCAGTTCTGCGTTGTGTATACCCTTTGTCTTCACAGGGGTGCAAAGTCTATGGTTCGGTTCGGCCCTAACTTGGAACCGGTTTAATTCGGATTCGGGCTCACAGAACATCTGCAAGACCCCCACGGGTTACAGTCTGCCCCCGTTGTTATTTTCGCCTCGTCCTCTTGCACTCGGCATGGCCTTGGCTGCCTTGTTGGGTCTTGTACCTTCTGGTTCTGGTTACAGGGCTTGATTCCAGAAGTCTCTGCGCCTGCCGGGGCTGTCTGAAGGGTTGCCGTATCGCCGCCCGTAGACAAGCAGGTTTTCACGCGCCGCTTGATCGATCCATGACTATGGATATGTATTAGCTGCTTAGTCATCCTGGATCCCTGTTTACCAATGGTGTTGGGCTGGCTTATATAGACGTCACTCACTTCCTCCTCTTAGTACCTCAATTTCTGCTCACTATGTCCAATATCCCCAATGAACAGACGCGTTGGGTACTTGCTGAGAGGCCCGTGGCTGAGCCTACCGACGCTACTTTCAGGAAAGAAACTGTGCCTATTCCTCACAGTTTGGCGGACGATGAGGTCTTGGTTCGCGTCGATATCACCTCGCTCGAGGCTGCCATGCGTGGGTGGCTCACAGATTTCCGTTCATACCGTGCGCCGGTGCAGATCGGGGAGGTGATGGTGAGCGTTTCCTTGATTTGAGTTCGATCAGTCGTTGATCATGATGCTAGCGCTCGGCAGGAGTTGGGGAAGTGGTCAAGGGTGGGAAAACTCTCAAAGTTGGTGATCTTGTCAGCGGTGGTTTTGGTTGGCAGGAGTACGCCGTCGTCAAAGAGTCTGCAGTTCAAAAAGTAGAGTAAGTGGCATCAGCACCAGCTGCGGCACGTCAGGACTCGGAAGGCTCAGGTCCCTTCGCGAACAGCATTCCCCCTGGAGGAAGTCCAATTGATGAATTTGGAGCGACGGGCACGAACGGTATGGACGAATGAGTCACATCTGTCTCAACGAGTGCTAACATCTTTTCCAGGCCTGGCTGCATACTTTGTGAGAACAACTTTCACCGTCCAAGGTGTTCCACTGATGGAGGCTTCCAGGGCATTACCACTGTGGGTCAGCTAAAGCCAGGAGAAACTTTGGTTGTCTCTGGAGCGGCTGGGGCGACCGGGTCGTTTGCTGCAGCCATCGGTAAAATCAAGGGTGCTGGTAAAGTAGTTGGGATCGCAGGTGGGCCTGATAAGGTGAAATTCCTCAAAGAAGAGGTCGGCGTGGATCTTGCGTATGATTACAAGTCAGCCGACTGGAAGGAAAAGTTCATTGAGGAAGTTGGCCTTGTGTAAGCTTTCCTTCCGTTGATCGGACATTCTCTGAAACTTCATCCTCCGAGCAGCGACGTCTTCTTCGACAACGGTATGTTAACATAGTGGGCCATGGACGAGCGAGCACTGATCGTCAACTCAGTCGGAGGCGAGATCTTGGACTTCGTTCTCAGCCGTATCCGCCGATTTGCACGGATTGTAGAAAGTGGCGCAATCTCGACATACAGTATGTTTGGTGCAGCTCGACTCCAATTTGAAAGCTAATCGTGTTGCACATTAGATACCTCTGAACCTTACGGCATCAAGAACTATCCACAACTAACGAAGTTCAGTGCTACCTTACAAGGCTACATCTTGTGAGTGCCTTCCATCCAAGTAGTATTGGCGATCGGAATGACCCTCCCCTAGCCTCGACTACGCTTCAGAGTTCCCGGCTGCGAAAAAGGAGCTTGCCCAATGGGCCGCCGAGGGCAAGCTTCCACGAAAATTCCATATTGTGGATGGTGTCGATGCATTGCCCAAAGCACTTGGTGATATATTCAGCGGTGCCAATACCGGTAAAACGTGAGTGATGATAGGTCGCTAGCCGATGCCCATTCACATTACCTGACACAGTGTCGTCCGCGTGTCAAAGGAAGCATTGCGGTTTAACTAAGCTGACTCGAGAATACGGTAACATACTTTGTTGGCTGGTTCATTTGGGTAACTGTCCGGCATCTAGCCACACCGTTTGTATCATGTTAATCAATTCGAATTGCATCACTTCGTTTGCAGCATGCGCCGGAGTAGATTTTGTATCAGTACTCAGTTGGTGTGCGCTTTACACGCCAGAAAGAAGGAATCAAATATTGGATTGTCCGCGAAAGTCAAGCAATATCCAGTCTAGACTACAAAAACATTGTTGATAACAAGTAGAAATAAGCAACACAGAACAACCCAGACGACGGCAATGCAACTGCTATTTGATCGGAACCTTCGAGACAGACATTGGGCGCGAAGGGAACACTGACACGAAAGTAGAGTTTTTTTTTTCATTCTCGTGATGGTTGAGGGGGGCAATAGAAGTCGGCGGATACGATGACGGAACGGCGACGGGTACAGGCCCTTCATCACGGAGCCCATAACGCAGCATATGAGCGGGCACAGTTGGAACTTGAGGCGTAGGCGATGGTATCAATTGAGGTGGAGGCGATGGGCGTTGAGGTGGAGAGATTGATGATTCCCGCATGGACTGCCCTGATTGTGATGCAGTTGTACGGTACGGCTGAGGTGGGTCACCAGGAGGGGAAGAATAGTATACAGGGCGGTCAGGATGAGATGCACCGGTATCCAAACGGCTTAGTGATGTTATAGAGGTGTACTGGTGCTTTGGTCCTCCAGGTCAGACGTTTGATTGCGGGCCACATATTGAGGCTTGAGCGAATAAACGGTACTGCCGCCGTCATTGGCGGGGTCCCAAGTCAAGTCCTCGCCACTCTGACGTCCGGCGCGTTCTTGAAATCTAACCTTACCAGCGATTGGAGATGGGTCGTAGAGTTGATTGGTCTGTAGCGGTTCGTCCACATCGTATCGCTGGCTTTCCATGCGCAAAGGTACAGGTTGTCGCATCCCTGCCTCGCGCTCCTCATCGGAGTCATCCGCATTGAATGCGTGCAACGCCAAACGATCAGTGCTGTTACTACTATTCTCTATTTCCCATTTCTGCATCGCTCGACGGCGCCGCATATCCCTCATAACTTCCGGTTTGACCTTGGTCATCTCACGAAATATCCACCATGCAGCGATAATGGTAATGAGTATCGATACAATGAGGACTGTATCGGAGATGATTTTGCTTTTCTTCGATTGAGTGTTGCTGCTGGATTCCTCGATAATGACACCAAGGTAAACTGTCGTTAACTGCTTTGGCAATGAGACCGTGGCGGAAACAATAAAGACCCAAATGTTCATTCCGCATGTGGAGAAAACGGCAGTAGTGACTGAAAGGGAATGGTCATTAAAAGGTTTGTAAAGGTAGCATTGATATCCCAACTTACAATGTCCAGGAATCGCCGAGAAACGGGCAACGATAGGTATCTGGAGTACGATAATGAATTCCTCATAAGCCATAAAGGGATGTGTTCATACCAGATAACCACCCCTGCGGATTAATTTAGCCAAGGCGGCATACTTGAGATTCGTTCGTTCAAGCTTTTCACCCCGCTTGGTTAAGAGATATCGGAACGCATAGAAGTTGCCAATTTCACCAAGGAGCGTGCCGACAGCGACAATCCCGAAGCCCACCCACAACCCCCAAACAACACCGCAGAGGATAGCCACAATTTCGTGGCCAAACAGCTGTTGCAAACTGTTCACACTTTGACACGAGAGCCAATCGCGGACTAGATGAAAGACTTACAGGGGGGAAGGATAGGACAAATAGAATTATGATCGGAATAACCCATCCAGCAGGTAACCTATCCCGAGGTGTGGATCATCAGAAAAGGGGGGTGACTGGGAGGTGAAACTTGACTGACTTCTTCAAATCTCTTGAAAATGGCGTTAACCAATCCACGATTTGACGGTGAAAGACGGACATAAGGATGATGATGGTAAAAAATACGGCGCCAGCAATAATCCATGCTGGTATCCAGAATGAGAGAAATTTGTCATGAAGGTTGGAGTCAACCCACGAATGGCTCTCCTAGTAAACCAACTCCTGTAATTTGCCACCACCTTCCAGTTTATGAGGCGGAAAGGCTGCTTCTCCTCGATGAGCTCAGAAGGCGTAGGTGAGGGTGTTCGTATCGGTCGTGACTGGAAACTTGAAACATCATCAACACTAGGACCAATGTAAGATCCTGGCCCATAATTATTTGGGACTAAGGACATTTGACGCCAACAGAGGAAACGATGCACCCTAGTTCTGGCTGATGCGCTGGAGCAAGGAAATTGCGGAGACGGACCACGTGGACCGCTGATCAACCGCTCATTGTAGCGGAGTTAGCCGAATGTGTTGTGTCTTATTATAGTAGTGTTTCAGCGGCTGCGGTTTTGCCTTGACGCCGATCACTGAAGGGCGTTTGCATACCTGTTCTCACTGTACAGCAAAGCTCTGTCATGTTCGAGGATCGCTCCGTCGGCTTGCTGCGCCCGCGCATTTGGTGCATTATAAATGGGGCTGTGCAATGCTACATGTGGAATCCTGACAGCCGTAGATATACGCACAACAGTGTGGCACAAGGGAGCCATCATATACAAGCATTGAAAGATGACCAAATGAAAGTCTATCCTTCTACAATTTCAGTAGTCTCGATTGTCTTGACTCTGTCAATTTGACATCGAGCTTTGCCTGGAAAGGGGTTAGTTAACATTGGGGTGGGGGGGAGAAACTTCGAACCCACCTTGACAGCATCCATGTACACTGAGGTAGTGACCCAGTGTTCACGCTTCATGCTAAAGAGTTGAAAGGGAGTAAGTCTCAGAAACGACGCTCAAAGATCCCTCATACTTCTTCCCGTGAATAGCCAGGGCCAAATCCTTCGTCATGATCCCATCCTTATCGATGACTTCTACACAAGAAGCCTCAAGCGCTCGTGCAAACTGGCCAAGTTCAGTGTTGTTGTCGAGTTTGGCACGGAAGATGAGACCACGCGTCCAAGCATAGATCGAAGCGACAGGGTTTGTGCTGGTCTCTTTGCCCTTTTGGTGTTCACGATAATGACGAGTAACAGTCCCTGTAGAGAAATTAATCAGCACGTTCTATATGTAAACGATGAGCCAGACTGACCGTGAGCAGCTTCAGATTCAATGATCTTTCCGTCAGGTGTGAGGAGTTCACTAGTCATCATGCCTAGGCTTCCGAAACCCTGAGCAAGAACGTCGGACTGAAGAGGCAGCTAGTGTGAAGACCGATTAACCAATCACATCCAGCGGGTGGACCGACCTGAACATCCCCATCGTAGTTTTTTGTGGCCCAAACAAATCCTCCCTCGCCCTTGATAACCTGGGCAACCATGTCATCAATCAAACGATGTTCATACCATAAACCACGCTTCTCAAAGGCAGGTTTGTAAGTGGTATCGTAAATTTCCTCAAAGATGTCCTTGAACCGGCCATCATACCTTCAAATGAATGAGTTGGCATCTTTGAAGTCAAAAATTAAATGCGCACTTTTTCATGATGGTGTTCTTAGTGCTCAAGTACTATTTCGGACCATGGGGTAAGGCACCATCATGTTGAAACGCAAATAATGCATACCATCGGAAGATTCTTCGAAAGGGCCATCTTGAACGAAGCATGGGCGAATCCACGAATCGACTGGCCAATGTCCCAGGATAAGCAACAGAAATCAAAATTCATACACTTTACACCTGCCTCGTCCGTGTTGTACATAGCCATCGCGACACCAGGCCCTTGGAAGTTGAATACGTTCAAGACTTGCTTCTCACTTCCATCTGCCGGCGTGTACACTAGCTGCAATTCCCCTGGGCCTGGTGCGACGAAGTCCGTGGATCGGTACTGTTGTCAATGAATTGTCGGCCGGAACGGGTTAGTCGGTTATGCGGGATCCATGCAGCCCGAAACACCATACCTGGTCGCCATATGCGTGACGTCCAATAACGATAGGCTTTATCCAGCCCGGGACTGGTTTTGGTATCTTTTCTAGGATAATAGGCTCACGGAAGACTGTGCCCCCTAGAATGTTCCGAATCTGAAAGATGAGCACGTGGAGCACACGATAAGCTTGGCGATTGGACTTAGATAATATGCGGTGCTCGCTTACAGTCCCATTCGGTGACTTCCACATTTGCTTGAGATTGAATTCTGGGATGATACGAGCATGAGGAGAGGTTGAATACAGAGCATCCAGATAGAACCACCTTTCACGCGAGCTTCATCCGGGGTGATTGTCGCACACTAAGGAGCTGGTTGTCAGCGCAAGGCACTCGAGCGGAGGAGAATGAGCGTTCTAACTTTTACGCCAACCCTGTATTTTTTGATTGCCTCGGCGGCTTCAATGGTGACTTGGTCATTAGTCTGACGACACCGTACAGATGAAAGGGTAACGGGGCATCAGTCAGTGGCCGTGAAGTCCGAGAAGAGTGAAGACACGAACCTCATCCCGGTACTCTATTCCGAGATCGTAGTATTTAAGGTCAATTTTGAGATAGGGCAAGATGAGCTGTAAGCGCCGATGGAGTATTTAACCATTAGTAAAACTGAACCAAATCGTTTGGAGTGCATCAACAAATACCTCCTCTTTTATCTTCTTCCAGATAATACGTGTCATCTCATCACCATCGAGCTGTAGTCACCAGAGGCAAGTGGATTAATGCTTCGTAGCATGAGGGTATTGTGCGATGTAAACACATACCTCAACGATGGGATTCCTGACGATAATTTGGTTGTCTATTCGTGATCCTGAAGACATGGTGGTTCGAGCGTAAGAAAACGCCTCCCAGATTACAGAACTTATGCATGATTTATAGGGGGACGGATCAAGGCACTCACTTCGCAGCGGAGAGGTAGACATAAAAAGCAATTGCTGGGAAGATCGTCGCACCCGCATACCCGATTGGGTCATCAACTGTCGTGTGGTGGATCTAAACATGATGAAAGCAAAAGGTGACGCGCGCGATGATCAAGGTGGCAAGTCAAGAGCCACAAGCGCTCGGCCCCAACACACGTAAATACGAAACGCGAACACGGATCCACTCTTCATCATTCCCAACCACGATTTCCTTTCAATAGCGAATCCATCTTCTCCAATAATACCGGGCTATAATGGAGCTTGCGCCCCAGATTGCCGGAAGATCTTTCATATGTCATGAGAGCGTTTCGCCAGGGCCGACGCACAATAGCTCAGCGGAGACGACCAGACCAATTTCCGACTTCCAAGACTAGTCCCCGCCGTCGCCATTGAGAATCCGGCGAAGAGATATGCCCGGAAAGGGGGAAAGTGGGCTCCGAGTCTAACATTTATAGGAACTTGAGGGTCAACGATATTGGTGATGCATGTGATAATTCTCAAACCTTAAGTGTTACAGGAAGCCAAAAACATGACCGAGTCCATTAAGGCAGCACGGATCAACCTTGATCTAATTGCGGCGCACTGATTCCAAAGTGTCATGCGAATGTAGCGCGTAATATACGGAACTCCGGTCTCAGCCTTGCCAAAAACAAGCAATGATTAGGGGGGCCGCTACGCGAGCTTATGGCGGAAAGAACGAGCCGAATCACCAACCCAAGTAGACTAACCTGGTGACCCATAATCTTCACTGCCGTTTAAGTGTGCTGTGATGTTCACGATAACGAATGCTTGTCCCTAGCTTTTTCCCTGGGCCTCGAGGATGGACCACATAGACGCTCTTCACTCCCGACTACCCTTGCCGAAACGAGCCACAGGGGGATCAGTTCAGCGGCAGGTCAAAAAAACTCAGGTAGAAAGGCTCCCCAGATATACGAAAGCAGAAACCTTGAACCATACATCGTTATCGCTGAGACGGAACAGTACAGTGCGTGAAGATCACAGTTGTGGCACTGGCAAGCAAGCCAGTTGCAACGATATGTAGTCTAATTCGTTGGGGTATTGAGATCGAGGGATTCGAGGTGGCTGTACAAACGCTGTCTGAATACTACATAATTCATTGCAAAGGTACAAGTCATCGTGCCACCAGTTTGATTCAGCTTATCGCTTGATATCAAATAGACAGCCTTGTCAAGCCGTTTTTGACCTCTCGAGGCCTGAGTGTTTTGTCTGATCAATTATTTCACTGGAACTGAACCAGCCTGATCAACCATTAATGAGTACCGAGCTCAACCGATCGCTACAGAGATTCAGTGCCCGTTCTGGGAAAGGTTACTATATAGACGCATGTACCATCCTCAACCTTAGTTACAAGCTGCCGGTGGTGTATTCAGTATGGGCATTTTAAATATTGGTTCTCTGAGTGCAAGATACTATCACGAGCATTGTAAATCCGTCGCTGGGTGGCACCAAGCAAGTCCTCGAAGGTCCGATGGTCATGGACGGTTCGGAAGCCAATGTGCAATGGAAGCCAGGCGAGATGGTTCAAATCTGCACCGTACCTTGGATGTTGGACGGCCGTCACCATCATATCAAGAAGTTGGGAACAATCTCCTGGAGCCAAGAGAGCACAGCTAGGGAGTTCGAGAGGTTGTTACCCGGTTTCAGAGCAGCTAGCAGGAGACAAGTGCTCCCGTCTCTCACCCCATTGGAAGTTGGGCTTGTCGCCCACGATCTGTTTATATGAATAATTTCATTGGACTGTACATCGGGAGCGCGAAGCGATGAAGGGCGAGTCAAAACAATCAGTCCCAATATGGAGAACTAATGTAACGCGTTGACGATAACTGAGGGGGTGGAAAAATTACGGTGCTCAGCGTATCTTATACGACTGACGCCAATTAATATCGCTTGCAGCGATGGCCTCTGATAACCGGCGATGAAAAAGAATCAAGACAAACAAATATTGGGAGTGCGTGGTATCGGTGAAAGCACTAAGCGTCTCTGAAACTGATTGGGTATAAGCGTCGTCAGCCACTATGATGCGAAGTGTCACGACTTCCCAACCATCCACCGTATCCGTAGTCACTCGGTAGTCGTCGATGAACGTTGATATTCCAACACATGCAACTTCACCTGAGAAGACGCGGTTCCGTCGCGTGTAGCGAAGCCAGAGAAGCCACTGACTTATCTGAGTCCTAATTCATGGAACCCTAAAGTAGAGGAGCTTCACCCTAGAGTTGGCACACCAAATGCACGGGGAAGGGGGTTGTATGTCGTTATATCCAGGACTCCAACATCCAGGGCCAACGGAATACCAGGTTGTTTATGTACTCATTTTGGTGAACAGTCTCCACGATGCAATAGTTAACTCCCATCAGCGAGGATATAAAAGGGACTTGCGTTGTTCATACAATGATGGACCATGTGAGTTCAGGCGCGAGCACAAGTGTAGTCTGCGGCGGCACTCAGTTTCTTGTCGTGTAGATTCGTGTTTAAAAGCTTCCTGAATCGCATGTTGTGAATGCCTTGGGAAAGAAACGGGAGGCTCACGCACGCTCACTTGTAGTCCTGCCTAAAACTAGTTTCGCAGGCTGCAATTGCTCGTGGAGTGCCCGAACGGTGAAATTGCAGCCCGATCGCCGCGGGCTTCAGTTTCCAGCCGCAGCCGAGAACAAATTGTGGGCGGAATAATTGAAACATCAATAGCGACGACTCTTCCCGCTCATCATGAGCAAAGGCTACATAGCTGGGAAACGCAGAGAGCTTCACGCAGGGAAAGAGTGGCACCACGAGCCGACATCAGCAATGGGAGGCTTACAGGTACGGAGGAACCAACATGGTGCAAACTGTTGGACCGTCAGCTGTCCCCGAAGGTGGGGAAAGGTCTTATTAGGGAATCCGTAAAGATTAACAGTCCTTTCAATCTCAGAATATGTGTACATGTAGCGTCTTGATTGCAATACCTCCAGGCTGCAATCAGGGAGCCAATCCTGTCACACAAGTGACAAGGTCCGAATGAGAAGGCTGAGGAATATAGGCAGGATGGTGATGCATCATTGCCTGCGCAACAATAGATCGGAAGCGACAGCATAGATACAAGTGTGTTGGCGCATGGGCCAAAGCCGCAGACAGGTACTATGACCAGCACGAGGACATAGAAGGCCCACCGCCACGTTCTTGTGTCCGTGTCTATGTGTAAATTTTGGTCGAATGAATGGTCATGCCCCAAGGCGGCCACAGATGTAAGAACATTCTCACACTGATCGTGATTGGCTTCGCGGTAGGCATAGTAAAATGAGGAAATGCGATGGGTTCGTTCTAGGCAGGTTACCTCTATTGAAACAGAGCATCGTTCCCAGACTCCTTCCCAGTTCTATGCCAATTGACAACTCAAAAAGCCTGAACTCTGGATTCGCCATACTATGTTGCTAGCAAGCAAACATCAGTTTGCAATTGGGTCATCTGGGGCAGCACATTGTGCCTAGGCAGGCTGCCAGCCCATATGATAGTGCCATTGCTCCTCCGTGGTACGAAAGGAACTAGAGGACTCGGCTACACCTACCTCTCGTTTGGCTGCACAAATGGTAGTGAAATTCCTTGTAATTTGGTGCAAAGTCCGCTCTCGCAAGGTGATCGGAACGGTCGGCCCAGAACGAAACCACAAGCCTGTGTCCCAACAAATTAATAACCACTTTCCGCCTGACACGTTCATTCCAACCTCTCAAAGGACCCGAATCCATTCCCAGCCGTGATCAAGAATCTCATATGGCCTCTGCGTTGGCATGCGTTGGCATGCACGCTGGGGTCGTCCGGCTCAGTTATCCAGCCCGAAGAATCTCGTCCAATTACTGAGGTGAAGGCCATGTTTTTAGGCACCCAAAAGGCATCTGCGAGCCGCGTTCACCGGTCTCATGTTCTTGATGGATGGAACACAGGAATCCCCTTCATGCTTTTTGCTTTCATAGATTCGCTCCTTCCGCTGCCGAGTCCCATGTGGCGTGTGACTGGCTGCTTCCTACTGAAGCACGACCCCACTTCGATCGATGGGTGTGGATTATGCGGTAAGTGTCTTGCGAAGATGACCCCGAGAAACACGCGATCGGGCCCATCTGTGCGATTTCTCCCAAAGATCTTTTCGTGATCAGCGAATAGTTCAAGAGTCCACGGGGGAAGAGACACCATCTTATATGTGCCGAGTATCGAGATCAGCGGCGGCTGACCATGTTTTATCCGGCTCCTGGTCTCATGGGAGCATCCTCACAAGGTGCAGTAATATCAGTTGTTCCTGCCTGCCAGTCGTCGCTGGAGCCAAAGGAAAACTCCATCCGCCGTCTCGACCGACCCGTCTTGTGCGGGGCAGCACTATCGAACTGCCTGGGTCAACCGTTGGCCGGAAATAGAGATGGTGCTCCGGATTCAATGCTGTTCAGTCCGAATCTCCAAAGAGTCGAATGCTCTGCGCGCGGAACAGCCATTAATATTGCATACCTAAGAGAATGAACAAGAAAGGCTTAAGCTGTCTTACCATGCTTGTTTGGCTCGTTGACTTTGTGTTCTCTCCAGCGACAGTGCGCCATTTTAAACGGATTCACACTTGATCTCATTGGTCATCGTACAGCACTCAGCGAGTCTGCAGCGAGCCTAACTATTGCATGGGTGACTTATTCGTTCTCCTTGGAATAGCCTAATTGTGTAGAGGTGTGGCTCGGAGCTGTGTCGTCGTGCAAGCTATCCACAGCTTCAGGGCCGGAACCCGATGAATCCACGTAATATCTGAGCGTGGGCCCCGCATCATGATGGGTATTTCCCGAGTGTGATGAGAGGACAGAACATATTGTTCCCACGATCATGTTCAAAAGACTATGTCATTGACCGAATATTGTTCCACGAGCCACGTTCAAGCCACGCCTTCTCCTCGCCTTTTTCGTGCACTTGTTTTCATCCCGATCGGTTCATCTCCAACATACATAAAGCGCATCAAATCAGCCCCAAACGATTCAGAACTGCTGGCCTCCTGCCCTCCGTTTCAACCACATCCCCCCTAATGGCATCCATTTACCACACCACTTACCGCAATGCCCAACACCCGCTTCCAGAACTGCCTCAGATCAAGACCGTGCAAATATGGGATGAGGTATTTACTCATCAAAGCTTGCCTAACAATAACGGAGTGTTAAGTATCCTCGGACAAAATGTCCTGGCGTAAGTCCGATTCTTCGACCTGCTAGTCACGCATTTAAACGCCCTTAACTCTTTAGCACCTGTGTCGCAGAGTGGCTAATCGATGCTGATCCTGCCTTGTCTCATGAGGAACTTAGGGTATGAAACCTTCTGTCAAATTCAACATTTCTCGCTACAAGCCGCCTGCCCTGGCCTTGTTTAGGTACGTAGTAATGAACGACTTCAACGAACTATGCTTTCCGCCTTTGCGATGGCGTACGACCTACCACAACTACTTCGGTTCGCAAAAAACATGCCACCTATGAGTAAATTCACAATCGAAAATGAAGCCGCGGTTTTCGAGGCTTTCGTTGGTGCCGTACACCGTGAATATGGCTTTGATACCGTCAAGGAATGGCTGTATGCTTTGATGGACTGGGATAATGTGTAGGTCACTTACTCGCTGCCAACCACCTCCATCGAATCACCCATCATGTTTGTTGTTCAGGACCATGTTACAACGGCTACATCGTGATAGCTAGACGTAATGAATCCTTGTGTTCTTCCGGCGATGATTAGATCCGCCCCTGGGAGGCGGGAAGCTTTACCGTACGAGGACGCGCGCCCACCCTCCAAGTTTCTCGTCCATCCAACTTCGATGCCCCGATTTTTTGAGGCCTCATCAAAGGATTAGTGGCATGGGGAATGACATGAGCGTTGCGGCTCTGAAAAATGCCTCTTCTCATTGTGTTGACATATGTACCAATGCCCTCGCGTCGCGGGTGCAATGCTTGTATGATTGCGATCAACCTTGGCACGTGTTTCGATCTTGTGGTGGTTCCGCATTCCTTGAAGCCCTAAGCAATCTAACCGGAAATCCGGCGATCCTCAAGCCTCCATCTAAGCCGCACGGCGTCAATTTTGCTCAAGGTCATCGAAAGCTTCGATCACAAAGAAGTCTTATAAATGCTACGTCATATGCGTTGCTTGCAGAAATAGTTTGAGAGAGATTCGATCGCTGCTGGCCCGCCGATTTAGCTCATCGCTACCAGTGACGGAACAAGCCCTCAAGGCGTCGTCGTTTCCAATCAACCTGCTTTTCTGCCCCTTTTCATGACGTAGACATGTCTGCACTTCGATGAACAATTCTACAGCCAACATGCTTGACATTGTTCTTACTAGATGGCGTCCCTATATAACTTTTATCCACAGTTGCAGAACTCTGAAACATTTGTTTCGAAGCGTCGCATGAAGATGGGCAATCCGCTCCGCTTCGAAGTCATTACAACACATCGGACTTGTGTGTGCAAAGCAGCTACTTAACGGTTGTTCTGGCCAGAATCCCCGGATTGTTCTACTGGAAGAATCTTTTTGCATCTCCAGCACCTTTCTGGTCTAGCGAGCGTTAGCCAAGTTAATGGCTGTCCTCTCGGTGAATGCCGGATAAAACATTTGCCAACCCACAAGTGCCGCTGAGGGTCGCTAGAGTAGACGCGCGGACGTTCATGTAGAACCGATAATTCCGGAGCAAGTCTCATGGGAATGTTGCTATCTTCCACTCTCTTGAATTGATTTAGTAATTTGAAAAACAGCTAGCCTCAAGGACACCTGCATCCACCAATGCTACGGCCACGTTTCGGGAGCGTTCGCAGGAACTCGGTCCTTAAATTGCACCTGATAGGACACCTAACTAGGTCCTTGCCCACTTTCATCTTTTCCAATCAAACTGCAGATCACGAATAGATAGAGCTTGTGCCACCTTTGACCCTCTTTCCCTTGCCATCATGTCCGGCGGTCTCTACGAAGTTTACCGACGCTCTGAGCTCGCTCTCCCTGACCTCCCTCAGGTGGTGTCTGTCCTCGTCATATCGTTCTCAACCCTCGCTGACCCATCACAGCTTAAGACTCGTCGGTTATGGGACACCGTCTTCACCCACAGTGCACTACCTAACGGAAATAAGGTCCTAGCTACGCTGGGATACCGCATTATTGCCACATGTGTGACCGAGTGGTTGATCGATGCGGATCCAGCACTGACGAATTCCGAACTGGCTGTAAGGACAGATTGATATTCATCTCGTTCAATCATTCTTTCGTCTCCAAGTCTCGTGGCATGGGAATCCTTTGTCTTACCATCTTTCCCTTAGGTTCGGCTGGGCGAGCGAGTTAACGAACCACTGCTGGCAGCGTTCGCTGATGAGCATGCATTATCCCCTCGCTTACAAGTCCCCAAAGGCTCTCCAAAATCCTCACGCCATTCCACCGAGACCAAGGCTACGTTGTTCGCAGCTTACGTCGGAGCTGTGTATCGTGATCATGGTTATGAGCTGGCTAAAGAATGGATTTTTTCTCTCATGGATTGGGACAATGAGTGCGTAATCGCTCTGATCATTACATACTGGAGCTAAATTTCTTGCCCTTCTAGTACGATGCTTCGAATTCTTCAGCAGCGCTGAAAATTGGACGTGTAGTGCAGACGCGGCCTTCCTTCCTTCCTTCCTTCCCCTCACGCTGGTCGGCGGGATCTTAGCATACCATCGACGGGGTGAAGTTTTGCCTTATTCCGGATCTCCCCTTGTCGTTCAACACAAGAGAAAGGTGCCCATCAATCGTTTCATCTTATGAACAACGCATCATGTGCAAACTGTTAACTTGATAGCATCCTTCTTGGCTTGAGTTATGCTTCGCCTGGGGCAATCCCGTGTAATCGTAGCTCATATGTTGATCAAAAGCTCTCTTACTTTTTCGTCAATACGGTGGCCACGACTCCCAGAGCAAGGACCTAGCACGTCCCCCATTTGACATGGCCAATTCTTACCTAAATCCCCATGAGGCGAATCACCTGACCGTCGCACGACCACGCGTGGTTGCTGCTCGAAGCAGCACTCGTAAGAGTAGTTTAGGTGTCCCCCCTTCCACGGAGATTATGAATGCATGGCGCCATTTTTGCGTATGAACGCCGAGCTTCCTTCCCGCGCGAGGCCCTCCTGTGGCTATCTTTCTGTTCCTATGTCCACCACCTGAGAGGTCTTTGGTCGGGGATATCACCGCAGCCATGGGGATTAACACCATTTGGTTCTAGGCTAGATGTGCTGTGAGTTCGAACAACCTGAGCGTGCCGCTCAGATCTTCGATGAGATAACGCCCTGTTTTTGCAATGAGTGGCGTACTTCCAGGCCACATTATCCTTCAATTTCGTAACGATCGCTGTCTAGCTGCTTAATCTCCGCTGCGAAAAAAACAACATTAATCTTATGTGTTGGTCCGGCCCTCCCTAGTTTGGGTAAACCGCGTCAAATAGGAATAGGCGGATGTGTGGAAGCATCCCAAAAACGCTAGCTCAGAGATTCACCATCTACCCATCCTCTACGTAGAAAACTTGCATGTGATGGTTACGAAAAGCGGTCACAGATCATACTATCTTCTCACTGGCGGGCTTCACTAGTATTGCCCGCCGCCCCAACTGGTTTAGCTAGGATCTGTGGTCTCATCATAGCTTCCAAGATCAGCTCCATCTCGTCAGCGGCTCAATTCCCATGTCAAGCCGCATGGGATACTCGGTTCTTCTGACGCTCGGCGAACAGAGCAGCCCGACGTTCGAGCCCTGCACGCGGCTTCAAAGCCACGTGCGTACCCACTATCCCGCCCCTTATCAATGTGTTAGCTTGGTTTAATTTGGGGGGATATGAAAGTTCAGGCGAGGCAGCGCCTGCGGGCGCGGCAAAAAAAAAAAAACAACTAACTGCCACTAACTGCCCGCAGCCGAAAAACTAGTGCCACTCTGGATTATCATTTCATGCTGTATTCGATTCGACACAGCTAGGGAGAAGAGCTGCCAACTATTGAATATTCATCAATAACATCGACGTTGATCCTTATGTTATGTCCTTTGCCTTGACCCCCCCAGAAAACGTGCCCCTTGAAAAGGATGATTTAATTGCAGGCAAGGACAATGATTCCAGTTTGGGCCGAACTTATGATACCGCACACGATCTTATTCCGAAGAGGATTTAGAAGCGCTAGGCCCCCGAGATAGGCCGTGGGAATGCCAGGGGGTACGTGATGCACGCTGGCTTGTGCGCGCATTTCGTTTTATTCTTGTCATGCCTGAATATTTACTTAAGTTATGGCGCGGTCGGGGGTTCTTCATCCGCCGGGCCGGAACTTACACCGACCCTTTCAAAGCGACCCGCCATCAATATCAGCTAGTAGTAGGTGGCGATCGATCCGCGCGTCTTCGAATATGTGCACGACACCAGCCGGGAAACATATCATCCTGGAAGTGCTAGAGACCTCCCAACCTCACCCCCACGGTCTCTCAGAAATACAATGCGTGAAAACACTTGCGGCGTCCGCAAAAGTGACTCTAAACTTCCCCTATTCAGTTGAAATGGATTGTTATCGTTAGATCTCTCAGAAGGGGTGTCCATTCCACACACGTAGAACAACAATCCTGGATCTTTGACTAAGATAGTGGCTTGCCTCTCACAACGCGCCGCAAGCACCATCTTCCCGCCACGCACAAGTCATGTGCGTGCCTGGCGCTGAGGGAGTATATAAAGCTAGTCCCAACTGCCCTTACCCCCCTCCCAGAATCATATCAGTAGTGCAGTAGTACTGCCGGTGGTACTTTTTCGCCAATTCGTGACTTACATACGCACGGGCTTCTGTCCCCCCCTTCGCTTTGCTTGTTTGTTGAGCGATTCGGCGGCGATTGCCCCAAATATGCGTAGACCCGGGCAAGGGCCATCGTTGCAATTGGCTGAGCCCGCGTGGAAATCAGCTGCGACTCGACAATGGGAAGTAGAGCGATTGGGGAACAAAATTCGTGTTACAATGCAACTTAGCGTTTGGCGATTGTCACCAGCACTGATCGATCTAATATTACATTGCGCATTCTGTAAACAATAAGTACATATCCCGTGTTGTTCCGAATGTTTATCCTCGCTTTTAGGCTACTGGCAGAGGAACGGTGACACGTACTTGACACGTCACTCCGGCGTGTTTTGGGTTTGATGGTTCCGTACCCGGCCAGCCACCGACTCATCAGACGGAGAATGGTTGTCGGTCATCTGTGCAAATTAGTAATTATAATTCCGCAAGGTCACCATGCAGCTGGCCTAGCTAGGTTGCCGGCCTTCCTTGTCTGTGTGCCTCAATCATCAGTCATCACGCAGGGTGGAGCGCTGCAGCTTTCCACAACGCTTGCGCGCAACCAGAACGTCTTTGAAGCATGCTCCTTAATCCATGGTCATCATCTCCTTTCCTCAATCTCATTTGGAAGAAACTCACCCCCTACGGTTACAATATCTCGACAGTGATAAACGTTTCCGACGTCGACGGTGCCGCCCCTGGTCTCTAAGCAGTATTTGTCTCGATTAACTTGATTTGGACGCTGGAAGAACATCAGCCGAGCCAACCAGAAAACGCTATGGCCCCGGTCCGAACGGGAATTACTTACTACTATGCAAACGCTCGTCGTATCTAATCATCAAACTTTGTTTGACCAGCCTGAGTTCCATTTGCTCGTCGCATCTATCTAATCTGACATATAAATGATCGGATGTGACCAATGGCCTTTGATTGGCTGCTTAGTCCCTTGATACCTCACATCCGTATCGGAGTTTTAGACACTCGCCCTGAACTTTAAATTCCAGCCGATCGACATGAACGCGTGGTAGTTACTCCGTGAATTCGTCATGGGGGGCACCAATAAACATTCTTGATCCGAAACGTTGTAGAATCAATGCATGTAAGGAGTTTAGGCGATAGAAGGTACCGCCTACTACACATGGGCATATGCACGTTGGGTCTCAGTCATGGGGATTCGACACGTGCCGCCTTGGCCATTGGGAGGTCGGCAAAGATACATAGATGCTCCACAAGTTAATAATTCCAAGTGGTCTGCTGGCATATGTGTAGCAATCTGCGAGGGCATTAGTTTGCTTGATAGCTCTGTTTATGAGGAAGAGAGAAAATTTTTTAGGCGAGCGCCTAAGATTAAAGATGGAAATTTGAATTGATGAAGAATTAAGCTTGTTTGTATTGGATCTGGCCGCGGCCCGCGCAGAGAAGCCATCAGACATTTCTTCCTTCTCTACGAATAAGTAAGTTAAGGAAGCCTACACAATAGTGACCCCACGTCCTGCGCGCATTTCGCTTGGCTCTTTTCCGTTGGGTATGTACGTCGACGTTGACGTTCAGGCAGAATATTGAGCAACACGAGTACCTAACAACCATCTTCAGTCTGTGGCTGATACATAGTGCGACGAAAGAAATAAAGAAAATATCTAGCGTATATCAAGTGCATCAGGCCCGGGTATTGTTCACATATTAGCGAGTCACGCGTTGTATCAAGTAGACTTCCTGGGCTAGCATATGGTGTATTCGGGACTAGACAACCGATGTATACATAAAGCGGAAAAAATTTGCATCCCCCCACAGCTTTGCATCCCTCCTTTCCTCTCCTAGTCGGAGTTCCCTCCTACGCTCTACTATTCGGGGAACCATGGATCCAAAGCTTGAGAAGGGCAGTTTCACAGAGGGTAAAATCGAAGACGTTCGTGAGGTGCTCAACAACAATGTCAATGCGAGGTAAGGGACCACTTCTCCCTTTCCTTGAGCGCTTATCCCAGTTACTCATCAACGCTACAACACAGGATCCAGAACCCTCTGCATGGTATCCACCGTGACGACCTTCTTCGAGATGTCGAAAGATTTGCCCGCGAAAAAGACCTAGAGGAGCAGCTCAAGCTTCTTCAGAAAGGCGCACTTCTCGCGCAGAACCCTAGTCAGTTCGAAACTATCCCAGAACTGGATGAAGCAGACCGCCAAGCCATTCGCCGCGAGAAGACCCGTACGCCCGTGCTTTACGTCTCTTCTCGGTTGTCCAAATTGATTTTTTTTTCCCTCCAATGTTGAATTACTACAGATCGTTGGGACCAAAAGTGGGACTTGTACAAAACAGTCGTCATCTGTTCGATTGCTGCGGCCGTTCAGTACGTCCCGTCTCTTAAGCAACCATGGATGATCCATATGCTAAATAGTTTGTCCCTCCTGCTAGGGGTTGGGATCAAACGGGATCTAACGGCGCCAATCTATCTTTCCCTGAGGAATTTGGCATCAGCTTGAAAGCTTCGAATCCTCACGCTGCGCGAAACCAATGGATCGTAGGCCTCATTAACTCAGGGTGAGCAGAAAAAACCATCATGTTTGCGTTCGTTGGTCCGTCAGCTGAAAACCGCTTCGTAATATAGCCCCTATATTGCAAGTGCATTATTGTGAGTGACTTTTCTTTTTTCGTCAGCCGTCAATTTCTTGGTGACTTACACATGTGCTCATAGAGGATGTTGGTTGACCGATCCACTCAACAACTTGCTCGGTCGTCGAGGCACCATTTTCTTCTGTGGGATATTCTGCGTCTTCGCCGTGCTCGGACAAGGGTTCTGTCATACATGGCCACAACTTCTCGTTTGTCGTCTCCTTCTTGGACTTGGTATGGGTCCCAAAGCTACGGTATGTTTTGATCGTGACGTTTTTGGCACGTCCGAATTTGATTTTTTTGTGACATTTGTTATATTCGTCCATTGATTCGTTATTTCAAATTTCTCGATCCTCCCCCATTATATCATAGACGGTCCCGGTCTTCGCTGCCGAAAATACTCCTGCAGCTGTCCGAGGTGGTTTGGTAATGTCTTGGCAATTATGGGTAAGCATGACTCCAATTGAATTCCCATCCCCCCTCCGACTCATATCACCGGTCACAATAGACCGCGTTTGGCATCTTCCTTGGTTTCTGTGCCAACCTAGCTCTTTATCGCGTCGGCAAAATCGCATGGCGTCTCCAGATAGGCTCTGCTTTCCTCCCTGCCGTTCCTCTAGTTCTTTTCGTCTTCACCTGCCCCGAGTCTCCTCGCTGGCTCATGAAGAAGAATCGTTACAAGGAAGCGTTCCAGTCTTTCCTTCGCTTGAGGAACACACCGCTTCAGGCTGCAAGGGATCTGTACTATGTCCACGCGCAACTTGAGGCCGAGAAGGAAGTGCTGAAGGGATCTACTTTCTTCAGCCGTGCAGTGGAGTTGTTCACGATCCCCCGTGTCAGGCGGGCAACGCTTGCGAGTTGGGTGGTGATGATTGCCCAGCAAATGTGTGGTATCAATATCATTGCCTTTTACTCGAGCACCATCTTTTCCGAGGCTGGATATTCTACGAAGAGCGCGCTATTAGCCTCGTTTGGGTTCGGTCTCGTCAACTTCCTTTTCGCCTTCCCTGCTGTTTGGACCATTGATGTAGGGGCAGAAATGACTTTTTTTTACACTCGCTAAATTTCCCCTTTTTGATAATAGACTTTTGGTCGTCGGAACCTCCTCCTTTTCACGTTCCCCAACATGGCATGGTGTCTCCTTGCAGCTGGTCTCGCTTTCCTCATCCCAACAAGCAATAACTCTCGCGTTGGTGTCATTGCGTTCTTTGTCTACCTCTTCACTGGTATGCCATGACTAGTTTTGTTGTATTATTTCCCACCACCAACATTTGAACCTTTTTTTCTTTCTTCTTTTCCAATCAGCGTTCTACTCCCCGGAGAGGGTCCCGTGCCTTTCCCTTATTCTGCGGAAGCCTTCCCTCTCACCCATCGTGAGATTGGCATGTCCTGGGCTGTCGCGACGTGCCTCTTCTACGCTTCGGCCCTGTCCATCACTTTCCCCCGCATGTTGAGTGTCCTTGGAAGTCTTGGTGCTTTCGCGTTCTATGCTGGTTTGAACATGACTGCCTTCGTGATGATCTTCCTCCTCGTACCTGGTAATGTCGCCATTCCGTTGTCCATCGTGAAGGACGCTGAGCTTTTAAACCTTTCTTTTTGCCCCTACTACTATTATAGAAACGAAGCAGCGTACGCTCGAAGAACTCGACTACATCTTCGCCGTTCCAACTAGTCGCCACATGTCGTACCAGCTTAAGGAAACACTCCCTTATTTCATCAAGCGTTACATATTCTGGAATAGGAGTGCTGAACTCAAGCCGTTATACAACTTTGATGATGGTTTGTCTTTTTTGGTTTTTTTTTGTGGGGGGAGCTTTACTGACACTTCTTTCTTGCGTTACTAGTTGTGTCCGTCAGTGGTGTTCCTGAAGTTGCAGCTCATTAGGACTTCGACTAGAGAGAATTGAGCTAGCATACGAATCATGAAGTTTGGAACCCCTAGGTCGCTGATGGGAAAATAGCTCGTTCCTAGGTGTACCTTATACTCTTTAATCTTTTCTTTTTCCTTTTTTTTCCTTTCTCAAATTACGTTGTATCCAGTCAATATATCGACGGCGTTTCCCCAAGAACGTGTCTATGTAAAACTGGTAGATGCGGATCGGATATTGTAACAACACGAATATTGAACAAATCCTGACGTCTTGTACGGTCTCGGAGTTAAAGGGTAGGTGGGGGGCCAATGTATTACATGAAAACACAGCATCAATACAAGCTATTAAAGATACATCTATGTAGTATGTGTAGCTAATTCTGGGGAGTGATGTGGTGAACGTGCATCTGTGCGAAGGCAGGGAAACGACTTCGTCTTTATTCCTTTTTTTTTCTTTTTTCAATCTGGTGGTACGCCATGATACGGTCTCCAACTTGACGAAAAATGACGAACGGGAAATTTCTTTCCATACACTTCCACCGTGCACTGTGCCCAATACTCGTTCGTCTTCTGTATCCGATTATTCCGGATGCTCTGACAGTGCCGCATGAACTCGTTCCTGTATAGTAGGGGGGGGGAGGGTGTTAGGTTGTGAGCCAAAAAAAAAAAAAAAAGAAAAGAGGATGTGAGATACGCACATCCCGAAATCGTTCCAACCCCACACAACTCGCTTCCACCGGAGCGCCATTGCATGTTTCCTCATGTCGATAGGGCATTCCCTAGAGGCCATCGAGATGAACCACCGGCGCGTAAGGTCACGCTCTGCTTCGTATTCCAAAGTTTCTTGGGCATCAACGGACCCCATTGGTTGGCATTTATTGGTATTCCACATATGCATCGCAGAGATATTCTGCAGCCTGGGAAAAGAGTCCCGTCGCTCACGCTCGAATTTCCCCTTGTTCTTAGTCTCTCCTGATGGTTGAGAGATACGGGGGAGAACATGGGAGGGAACGTTACTTGGGAAGACACTAGGCGCATCGCAACCTTCTTCCATGTCTCCATCCGGCTCTTTACCTAGTGGCGTATTCAGAGCCCGGAAAAGCCGATGAATGTCTTTTGCGGGATCCAGTGCTGTTCGTACATCAATCGGCAAGGATTGATAAGAAGCCAAAAGATGGATATCTGTGTCCGTTAGGCCTCCTTGCGCTCTCCGCTGGAGCATGGCTTGGAAGTAGTCATACAGCAAGGGCGGAAAGCTGTGAAGGAAGTGCCACCTATATTGACGCAGCCAAGTCTCAGCTTCAGGATTCCTCTCCTTATGCTGGAGCATTCCCACATGAGGGTCACTGAGAGGGATTGACCAGAAGGGAAATGCGGGCCTTGGTTCGGGGGATGCTGATTGATGAGGACAAGGATCGTCTAAATCCATGCTATCGTCATCTTCCTCATCATCGTCCATAAATGAGTCTTCGTCATCACTAGGGTCCATTTCCATCGCAGGCAGGGGAACATCTAGGATATTAGATGACTCTCTGGCGCACAAACGCCCCAGCATGAAGAAGCCGGAGAGAGGATAATGACCTCGTTTCGATGCGTTTTCAAACCCGGGAGGTAGGGTGTAGAGCTCTTGCCACCAGTCAGGAGACCGTGGCTGGTAAGGCTGCAACAAATCTGGCGGTGGTGCTGGTGGGCAGGGAAACCATGACGAACTGGCTGACGCCCTATAATACCGTTCGTCCCGAGCGAAGCGGGAAAGAGGCGAAGGGCCATGACAGAAGCGATGAGGTGCACGAAGTGGAAATGGAGTTAAAGGAAAATCTGTTTCATCAGGATCAGTTTGCTGGGAATCGTTACTCGGAGCGGAGAGATGTGTCGGATTCATCCCCAGTGGAGCAACAGCGACCGAACTGAAGAGAGGAAGCGCGGGTTCAGGAGAGGTGCGCACGGGTGAAGTTTATTCATTCGAGCGCCGGCGCTCCTGCGAGACGGAGGCAAATGGAAACAAAGGCGAAGCTAAAAAGCCTTTGTGTGTGTTGGCTGAAACAAAGTCCTGGCCATTGCCTAGCTGAAAGCGTTCCTCGGCAGCCACCAAGAGGACCACAATAACTTGAACAAGCGGCCTCAGTTCATGAAGACAAGGCCCCAGCTGATACACCAGGAAACTCCCTGGGCGTGAGAACATTGCATTACGGGCGCCTCCGTCACGGAAAGGGATTGTCAGACAGGCTGTTTGTAACCCAAGAGTAGTACAAAGATACATGTAAAAATGAAGTACAGGAAATGTTCCCAAAAAAAGCAAGCAACCCTGGAAATAGGAAAAGTCCGGACCAATGACAAAAAGGACTCGCTCCATTTCATACTATGGAGGTAAGGGGAGAAAGATGCTGGTGTGGCATCCATGAAGTCACCAACTTCGCGCTCTGCATTTGAGGTCCAATGCACCATGCTCGGGAGTAACAACACGTCGTGGGCCCCCTAATGCTTTTAACTTGCCGTCAAGCAACCTGTTGATTGACAAGCGTCAAGCCCTAGGCCTTTGCATTCCAGCGAATGTTTACGGATTGTTACGCACCCCAGGGACGAACGGTCCTTTGACCTGGCACGATGGAACGCTGAGCGCAGCGAGGCGCATAAGACAATCTTCCGCAGATCAACGGGCGGATTCCGATGCATCATGCTATCCGCCCAGGAGCGCTCCAAAATTCCTTCCTCGTCCAAATATAATGTGGCGTAAAGGTGCGGTCGCCCGGCCGAGGTGTAGACGACTTTCTCAATTGTTTGTGGCACAACGGATGCGGGCCGGGATGACCTGGCGAGGGTGGCCCGGAATTTCTTTTTCGCCCGGTCCTCGTTCCTACCGCAGCACATGGGTCCCGACGCATACGCCCGCTTCACGCCTCGCGTTGCGGTAATGTACTCCCCACTGCTCACCGTCGTCGATAGCGATGCGGAACGTTCCTTTGAAACTGCCGACGGGAAACGGTCGTTGGAGAGAAGTGCTATTTCCTCCCGCTCCATCGCGGCGCGGATCTCTTTGTAGAGGAGCAATTGCATTTCGCCTGCGAGCTGAGGGAACAGAGACCGCGCCGATGTGATGCGGAGTTGCCGAAGGCGAAGCCCTGCTTCTGGGTTGAGAACGGGTTTGGGAAGGGACGATCGTGTGGAGTTTGAGGGCATTTCCCGAGTCCCATGCCAATTCGGGTATGTGGAACCACAAGGGGCTCGCTCACCATCGATATCCATGTCCACTTGGTTGGTAACAGGTGTGGCAATACCTAGATTGGGAAGGGACTTCATTGTCGGTGATGCGAGATACGCAGCGTATGGGGGGTGTCTTCCATGCCAAAATGCTTCTCGTTCACGGTGATCGGCCACCCAAAATGAGAGATATGGAGGACAAGGAGTGTCGGCGTCCTTTAGCAGAGAGGGACCTTCGACTTCCCTCTTAGATCCCTTCCATAGGATATCAGATCTCACAGGAGAAGGCGTATGAGAGGCAGTCGTGACCACCAAGTCGCCCACAAGGTCCACGGAGATACATTGTCGAAGTGGAGATGGTCCGTGCAAGATGCTCCTTGGACAACGCAAGACACATTCAGAATAACCATGTTGCGGAATTTGAAGACGATCATGATAAATGGGTCTGGTCATGAATCGTTTCGCTAGGGGCGAAGGAGAGATGGAGTAGGGAGCATTGCACATTGGACGGGCTGTTCGAGATAGCTTTAACCACCACCAAGTGATGCGAATGATGGAACGTGTTGTCCGCTAAACCCGCTCCCAGCTAGTACGACACATGGAAGATCCAAAGCAGCGGGGGGACGAAGTGTGCTCATATGAGGGGCCTGGTGCTTTTGGATGTCTCGTTATTATATTGTCTAGATTGAAGAACTGAATTACCTGAGGTACCCAATTGAAAATCTGGATCCGAAGCTAGGGCGCAACCATCTCCAGCTCAGTTTATCGCACAAACGTTGCTTGCCACGATGGCTGATATCTACCGGTATACATCTCTCCTGGCTGTTTGTCCTGGTTCCAGCAACCCATCAAAGGGTTGTCCCACGCCTCAATGTTAGGTCCGAGGGAGCCTAGAAATGAAGTTTAATCTAATGTTTCGTCACCGCCATACGAAACGAAATGACGCTCTCAATCTTGTTCACAGACGAGATTAGCTTTTTTGCAACTAGCATTACATAGTTTCATCAGCCACCGTTACAGTTGACGGAGCTTCAATGGTACAAGCATCGCTGCATGGACCGCGCGTCGCACTCTTAATTAGCAGGTCTGATGTCTACGATAATCTGAGCTCATGTGCTGGGCTTCAGCGTAAATATGCTCCGACACCACTCTCTACGAACGATCCCAGTCCAGGGATTGGTTCCAGAGTGGTTCGAAGGTAGCAGTTGCAGCCCCACGGCCGAAGCCGGGAATCGCGCAAGCATGATGCTAGGAACTGTGGCTTGTGACCGAGATCATTGTCGTGGGTATCAATGGCTCACGATGCAGTGTAGTGAATTCAGCTGAGATCTTTTCCAAGACCCGCGTCACTATTCAAAAAGTTCGCATTGCAAGCCTGCATGGAGTAAAGTCGAATAACACTTGAAGCTGACGCCCCGATCAATGGTCATCCCGCCTCGGTTCTGTCGTCAATGCGAGCTCATCGTCTTTCACACAGTGAAGAGCTTAATGCATCCCTGTAGTGGCTGTTGTCGATATCAAAGTGGTTCCGTGAGAGCTAGTTTGCCACGCCACTTGAATCGATGGGCGTCACCCTGAAGGAGGGTCAAATGCTGAGGTCACAGTACAACAATACCAGAGCGGCAAAAAGGTTTCTCCCGTCTGTTTATGTCGTTTTAGATCCTCCCTTAGATCGTGGACGTTGAATGCCAGGATATACTGGTTGACATCGAGGGAGGGAAGATACAATGAGTCTAGATACAGTTGACGGTTGGTGTGAAGTTATGGGTGACATTGATTAGGACTGAACATTTAGACATACACCCACAGCGAGCCGCCGCCCGAGGACCAGGGACGCGAGGCACGTTGAGGTCACGAAGAATGATACTAATCTAGTAATTCAGCGATAATTCAAAAAAAAAAAACAATCCGGCCCAGGGGGGGCGAATTCCAACTCCAATATTGACCCCATCTTTCCAACTTCGGGTCCTGGTTGAACCATCAAGCCAATATCGATTGGGGCACAACCGCTGTTGAAGATTTGTACCGCTGAACGGGAGAAGCATGCATTCGTCACTGAACTCAGAATGGAATAACAAAGGGGAATGGACTAGCAAGCTATACCGTTCCACTACGCTGCTATATAGCGTGCTTCTAGAACGCGCACTTCGAAAAAAAAAACGGAAATGATACTGAGATATCACTCGGCGACCAGCGAGTTATACGTCTGAATTACTTGAAACCAAGAGTAATCTTCTCCTTCCCAGGCGATCCACCAATAAGCTCAACGATTCCTTTCTTTTCTGCTAAAGCTGAATATTCTTTAAACGTCTTGACTCCAGCCTTCTCATACACTTTAGGATCAAGTTGGCGCAACTCACTACCCACCGCAGAGCGGAGGGGCATTAGGGTACCCATCGCACGGAACCGTTCAAGAACGCGGATAAGGGTCTGAAAGGAGGCCCTATCCTCAGGAGTGGGCCCGTGTCGGGAAAAATGATTTCCACCGGGTGTCGACGTTAAAGGCAATGTAGGGACAAATGATGATGCGGAAGGCGGTGGCGCATGAAAATTCCTAAATGGTGAGAGAACAGAGGCAGGTGTACTAAATGCAGGGAGGTTGGTCCTAGGTGGGGGTGGAGGGGGTTGGAACGCTGGTTGACGCAACATGATGGAGGTTCCAGGGGTATCAAGCGGCCGAATAGTTTGTGCGGAGTCACTAGGCGTACTAGTGCCGCCGGTCCCACGAGAGGGTGGGTGTAGCAAAGCGGAAAGCCTTAACTAGGTGGTAAGCGGTCAGCATCATGTAAGTCGTAATGAACTTGATTTCGAAAATTCACCTCGGAAGCAGTTGCGGAGGGCGCACCTCTAGAAATGCTCTTGCTTAGCCCTCCTAAAAGGTTGCTAAGCTGGTCAGCGTGGAGTTGTTCAGCCGTTGTATCACCAAACAAGGATGGGTTGATGATAGATGGACGCATTGTCCGAGGGGAAGATGGCCCGGCGCTTCCAGGATCCGAACCAAAGGATGGGAACTCTACTCGATCGGGAAAGCCTTCCCCAGACACGGAGGAACCTCGTGGACTATCGGTGATGTGGGATAGGACACCAGTAGGCGAATCTCCCAGACTGGTCACCGGATACAGAGGTGCGCCAGGGAGTGGCCACATAGATGGAGTCGTGGTCAGAGTAGCCAGCGTCGTAGGGGGCGAATGTACTGCCGCAGGCTGAGCGGCCATCCTCGGTAACTCAAATGATTGGTTATCGAGGGAGGGGACGTGTCTGACAGTACGGTAGAAAAAGACCAGGGCGAAGCGGGGGCTGGCTGTGTCTCCCGCGCACTCATGACACGCTCGAAGGAACTAGGGGGCCTACCGCCGCCAGGGGTGATATCGAATGAACGCTGAGTGCCAGAGGCACCAGAAACGACTGACTCTACCTGGGGATCAGCGTAATGCACAGGATCTCCCACGGGAATATCCTGGCTGCGCGGCCTTCGCTCGTTTGGTGGTAGTGGACGCGGCCCAGTAGTAGTTGAAGCGGTAGAGACAGTGCCTGCTGTCTCTGATGGAGGAGCTATCGGGGCTACTTGAGGATGTGAACGCTGCGACTGCGGCCGGGGGGCTGGCGGCTGCACTTGTGCTTGAGGGCTAGGGCCATGGGCCTGAGGCTGAGGCTGAGGCTGAGGTGGAGGTTGAGGTTGGGGCGGCTGGGTAAGCTGGAGTTGGGAGGCCGGATGTTGAGCCTGGGCTTGAGAGGTCGGGCGCTGTACTTGTGCTGCCGCTGTGATTGAGCTTGCGAAACTGGACTTTGAATCTGGCTTCGTGAAATGGGCCGCTCAATCTGAGCTTGGTGGAATGGCTGCTGAAGCTGCGAACTCGGTCGCCTCTGCGCCTGGGAGGCCGGTCGTCCTACCGCAAACGAGGATGTTGGTCTGCTCGGAACCGGTGTCACCGCCCCATCGTCCCGTGCTTCCCAAACAGCATCGAGGCTGCGCATGTGTATTGGTGTGTAGTGGTCAAATTCACCAGGACAAAGGACTATCACTTCAAATAGCCGATTCCGCAGCAACGATATTGGGTATCCTAGGCTGTGGTCATTGGACACTAGGATAACTGTTGCCAAAGGCCCATGGTCCAACACGAAAACCATCATGTCTGAGATTTGTATGTATTCCTTGCGCCCTCCAGCTCCAGAGATCCCAGGCTTGTGGAGGCTGAGAGTTACGCCATACTGCTGAAGATCGCTTGCTAGCCGTATCGTTGCCTGGCTGAGCTCGGATTCTGAAGCTGGTGATATGTAAGCCTTAAACTCGCATAGCTCCCCATGTTTGACACCAAAAGTGCGCAAAGCCTCAACCGCCTGTCCAATAGACATCCCGGCCGGCGGAATCGCGGTCCCCTAATGTCAAAACATCACATCTCAGAGAAGACCACGGCATCGTGTTTTGATAACGCACGTCCAAGTCCCAAAAAATCGCACATTTACCACCAGTTGTGGGATGTCTAGTTCTCACGGACATAGCACGGAGCGCAGGTCCCCCAGATAGCGGTTCTATACGGGCTATCTGTGCGACAGAGACGAAAAGAGGCGGGTTAGCGATGAGTAAGACCGTAAGATGAGCGTGTTTTGCATGAGGCTCAAATATGGGGGGGTTGCAGCGACTGAATTAGTTCGAGCCAAATCGGGGGGGGATCGAGGTCAGGTGACTTCACCTCGTTTGCTTGAGGTCTCTACTTATTGTGCGGAAATGGCCCCAAAGGGTTCGCCTGATAAAGCGCTCGCCGCGATCCTTCCCCTCATTTCCAGTGGACAGGCATACGAGGCGCACCAGAAAGCTAGGACGTTCGCGTCTCGCTATGTGAAAGCGCGAGCATTTGACACTGCTGCACAAGTCTTATTTCAAGCAGCTAAGGAGCTCCTGAAAGCCGGACACGCTGGGAGCGGCTCGGACCTTGGTGTTTATATGATTGATGTGTATCATGAAATGGAACAAGAAGTGAACGACGCGTCAAGAGGTATGGCTGAATATCGGTTGCCATCATCCTGCCTCTCTCACATAATTAGGAAACGTGACACAGCTCATTGCTCTGGTTGGAAGACAAGGAACTTGGAGAAAAGTGCTGATAGAAAAAGCAGTCGCGTAAGCGAATTGATCTGCCTAAACTCGTGGGCCGATCCTGATTTGTCTTGCTAGGTGGTCATCAGACTTTACAGGGGACCCGGCTGGGGATCCTGTGCTTCATTATCATATTGGGGAACTTTTAGTGAAAGGCAAAGCAGTGCCCCCAAAGATTGAGGAAGTTTGAACTGAATTCTTAACTTGTTTAGAGGGTTCATTCGAGCTAGCGGAGCGCCACTTCATTGCTGGTGGCACGCGCGACTGCGCCCGACTACACGCCACAATGATGGCCAAATGGGTACAATCTGACCCAGAGCCAGCGCGATTTGCAATAAGAGGCGTGCTGCCGTAAGTGAAAATTTTCATCCCTTATTTGTACTAAGTCCATCTATTCCAGGTACCTATTGTTGCAAAACATATTGTGCTCTCGGATCATCCTCTCCAAATTCATCGGTCTCTTATCTCAATCTCGACCAACTCTCCTCCTTCACCCACCTCTCCCTCTCCCTCTAGATGATGAGGTCTTGGTTACATCTGACCCTGCCCTGAATTTTCTCCAGCTTCTAATCCGGGTCTGCCAGCGAGGAGAACAATCTCCACCATCAAGTTCGCAGCCATTACCCGCTCGAACTGCGTGGTTAAAGCTGGTGGCGCAATACAAATCATCAAGTCCGGTCATCTCCGAAGTCTTCTCAAACCAAGTAACTTGGTTTCTAATGTAGCTTGCACGTTTCATTATTGACAACTATTCATCAGGTCAATACTCAGATTGGGCAAATATACTTCGGCTTTTCGGTGCGGAAGCTTACGACTCCATGGGATATGATTAGTGGGTTACTCGGAGGCGGAGACTCGGGCTCACCATCATCACCGCGAGGTGGTCGTGGGCAGGCTAGAGGTAGCCTACGTAGAACATCAACGGGACCCGAATTGGATTAAAGAGCCTTGCCTGGACGAGACTGAGTATGTTTGGTAACGATGTTGCAAATAGCAAAAGCTTTTTTTCAAAACAACGAGCATCATGCATGTAGTATACAACGTCCCTGCCAAAGGCGAATCTCGCATCAAAACTCGTACACAGCCTTCACCAAGTTTCATGTGCGGGTCGAAGATCTGTGCGGAGCAATCTAAACAGAGGCACCATCAATCAGCAGCTGGGAATGACGTACCAATCTCCCATGTCCATGCTGAGCGAGGCTGATGGGCAAGATACCAATACGCCTACAATAAGACCGTGAGCTGTCACAGCATGCTGTCTCAAAAGGTCGACGCACTGTGGCGATATCTGCTGGATTCAAAACGATATCCGGGTTGGTATCCCACTCCGGAGTACCAAAAGTCTTCCGCGTCTACAATAGCAGTTAAGGGAGCCGAGTTTTGTCTTGAAATGTCAAATATAGACTCACAATCTTCGTTATAATGGGGCCATCAATAATCGCATGAGCCACATGAATGTTCTGTTTCCCGAATTCTTTATTCAGACTCTGTGACAGCGCACGAACACCATGTTTCCCCGCAGCGAATGCAGCCATCGTCGGATTCCCCCTCCATGCGGATGTAGCGGAACTGTGGATCGAAACGTCGAGTCTGAAAGACTGTCGGAGTGCAGGAAGAGCATAGTGACTCACGTAAATATCAGTACGCCTCGGTTTCCTAGCTCGTTGATGGCGTACTCGCGGAACGATAGAATTGCCTCCTGGGAAAATGCAAAGCCACCCAGAATGTTTGTTTGAACCGATTCATCTGTTGATTTTTCAGATGCCCGATCGGCCAAAAAATTGGCCCAACAGGACAGGTCACTTAACAAGGAAGTAGCGGCAGCAGCAGCGGGACACTTGCCTATATCGTGCTGGGTCAGTTCCAGGAAAGGTTTCGCGACTCGGTGTCCGGTATTGTAGATGGCAACGCGGATCTCAGCCCCTGGCCACTTTGCCTTAATTTCCTTGAAAACGCGGGAGACTTCTGCTTTGTTGTATTGTGTAATCGGGAATGCGGCTGCTTCACCGCCTTCATAACCATTAATCTCGGTCACGGCTGCCTGCAAGGATTCTATATATCGAGCTATAAGAGCAACCCTATAGCCCCGCTTTCCAAAAAGACGGCTGGAGCAATAGGGGGAGTAGAGTGGGTTTAGAGATTGCGGCGGTGTCTTGACTTTGCTTACGCGCATGCATTTCCAGTGCCTGCAAGACAATGACCTCGTTAGTGAAGCACAATAAGAGCACAGCCGGTCATCATAGCTCACCGGTGCCGGAACCAACGCCGCTGACGACACAGATTGGCTACAATGACTATGAGGCTCTGTGGTGTCGATCGCGGAGAGTTCATGGCCAAACCTTTTGGGAGTACTTGGGAATAGTTGTGGTCATTGTGGAAGGGGATATTAAGATTGACGGATCAAGTGGGGGAGCTTATACTTATACCGATTTCCCCATGGGTTCGCAGGAGCAATCACATAGCCGGAAGTTCCGACGGTTGCGGCCTCCAATCACTGACACGTGACACACCTACATAGACGCCATCGCACGCCTTAGGAACAACTGTTGTCATGTCAAAACCTCTGAATGTGTCAACTCCAACTTCTAACTCCAAAACCACTATCAACTCCCGTTCCATCAACGCGCCAACGACGCCAACAGAACCCCCAACAAACAACGCAGAATTAACCAGCGCTCCAACACCCTTGACGCGTCCGGAAGATGCGACAAGCCCACATGAGCTCACCGCTTTTGTAAGTGTTCACCTTAATGATTGGCGAAACCAGTCATTGAATCACCTTCGGCTTTCATTTATTCACTTGGCTCTCTTCAGGTGGAATCGATGCTGACACAGCTGGAAAGCCGGTTTGACGAGATGTCAGGTCAAATCATAGATCGGAGTATGTAATCCCCGCTTGGATACTAACAATTGAGCTGACCCTCGAATGGTCACCCTGAGTGAGCCAAATGTCCTCACGGGTGGACGCCCTTGAGAACGCCATCCATGACCTCATTAATGGGGACCTTGCGGTTCCGCCAACGCCGGGGGCCCCAGTAGCAGTAAACGGTGGGCCAACGGCAAGACAGATCAGTTCGGACAGCATAGATAAAACCTAGTCTCAATTGAGCAGGGCGCGCACGATGCAGCAACAATTGGCAGACATTTAAAGACGTTTTGGATGAAGGGTTGTCGCGAATCGGTTCAGAAAATGAATGGGAACATTGCCTTCCGCCCTTTCGGGTAGTTCGAACCGAATTCCTTCTTGTAGCCCCTGTGTTTCTTTGCAGCCCAGATAGCCATCTGACCGGTTGAGACGACCAAAAAGAGGACAGCTTCATTGATCCGAGCGGCAATGTGAGAGACCGGATTCATATGACAATGTATGACTAATCTTACCGAAAGGGCTTTGCGTCATGACCGTGATTGCGGTCCAAGCAACCACCTCTGTGAAGTAATTCGGGACTGAAACAAGCTCGAAAAGCCCTCCCCTCGGAATTCCTCTGGTCTTTGTTCCAGCCGGACGAAGATTCCGGACTGTCAGATGGGCATGGAAATTGAGTGCTTCTGCAACCTAGGATGAAACATACTCTCAGGATTGGCTGTCAAACTTCTGACAATACAGAACATACTAGCCAGACCCCAGTGCATGCTGCAAGGAAGGTCGGGTTAGCCCGCAAAGAGCCCGCAAGGGCTTTCCTTGAATACCAAGGGCCATATACACCGCCAGCAAGGAGGATCCCACTGAGGATATGGTAGTGGGCCGAGCTAGAAGGACAAGTGAGCAGACACTCGAATTCGACCGAATTCAGTTAAATCACTTTTTGAAGATGTTACGGAGCGGCATTGTCGCATGAGAGAAGCGATGGACACTACGCAAACCCGGAGTGTGCGATGAGCGGATTGGAACGCTTGGTTGACGGGGTGGCATACAATAACGTTTCAAGCTCCCTTTTGAGGAAGTGCAACAGCACAAGAACATATGTTAAAGTTTGCAGTTGTGAATGCTCAAAGGTAGTGCGATAAAAAACTTGAGGGAAGAGGTAGATCAATGGGTGAATAATCAGGGGTCCAGCCTTTGAAGTGGGGAATATTAGAATGCAAGAGTTAAGGAAGGCGACAGCGCACATATTCGACCAAGAACACCGTCCTCCAGCTAACTTGAGGCCCTAGGTCCTTCACGGTGAGGGTGAAAGAGCCAGAAGCAGCACTTTTATTCTCCGACGATGTTTCGATCAGAGTTTTCTCATCATCAAGAGCGTTTTTGGACCCCTCTAGTGAAAATTTCTGACGAAACACGCTAAACTGAACATCACAGGCGCGCGGAGCAAGCATATTAGGTTCTGTACTCTCACGCAGGAAGCTGCACTTACGCGTGGAAACTTGGCCTGAAGCGCCGACTTGACATCCCCAATGGTAACTTGTTCAGCCGTTTTCTCGTCAAAAGTGAGTATAACGGGAAGACCCTTGGCAAGTGCAAGCGCGCGTCCTGCGGGTTTGATCGTAACGTTGACTGGCATTCTGACCAAAAGTGCGTCGTACTCGAGTCCCACGGGCCAAAATATTTGTATGACGCTTGGGGATGTAAATGTAATTGCGCATTCATCTAACATGGAACTGTAGATAAGCCTGATGCGAGACACAATACAACTGGAAAACATTTTGGCTATAGGGGAATTCACGACCATTACAACGGGATGTAAGGTACCGTGGAGTTTGCGGAACGGGGTGACCGGATAAAGTCTTAGATGGAAGCAATCTATAGGCTAAGGACAACGATTTGGTGAGACCGTGTAAGGCCACGAGATATTGTTCGTGGTACCTTCATTAATGCTCCGTGGAGCGGAACCCCACATATGTCAACGTGTGAGCTCCTCAGATACTGACTTGTGTTGACGGCGAGGTGACTAGAACCTTGTACAAGACGTGGGTTTCAACCATGGTGATAAAGACACTTTCATTCCATCGAGATGTGAGGGACCTCGAATGAGATTCTTGTGGCTGGAAATTCTGGAGACAAGTCGTTGCTCAGGATCCTTCCAGCCAACGGTGACGTACCCGTCCTCCAACACCGCAGATTGGCCCTGTCCTCTTTACCACAACCCGAGCCATGCTGGCCTCTAACCATATCCTTCGAATCCTTTGGGATCCATGTACTATAGTGTAGAGTGAGTTAGCGTGGCCGAGCAAGGGCACTCCGCTCTTCCCAGTCGAGCAAATGCTCATTCCCAAAGTCGTCAATGGCGCCTCTTGCAACTATGCTCTATACCAGCACTGCCGGCCATGAATGGCCCTCACTGAAATTTCGGCCAACTCCGCTGAGTTTCATCGTACCGATCTCGCGCGATTGCTGTCGAGTTTCCGAATTTGTTTCGCACCTAGTAATCCTTATTTCTCTCGAAAGGATGCCAAATGATCGTTTAATCTCCCAGCGTCTCCAATATAATCCCAATATCCCGAGTTTCTTGCTTGCATTGCAAGGAAAGGTCTCCGGAAAAGCTCCGGACGAGGAGGGAGATGACTATGGAGATGAACCTGAAATGGAACAACTCGATGTAAATCGCCCCGCAATCCCTAGGAGACCTCGCGAACGGGCAAGCGAGGATCGAAATCGGGCCGATGAGGACGACGGCGCCGAAACTGGCGACGAGAAACCTACTGTCGTTGTTCTCAAAGAAGGAAAGCATCTCACAGAGCGCGAGGCCGAAAATGAGCGACGGAAAGGTCCGTGAGCACATTTCTGTTCCCTATTTCTACAGCTGAATAAAATCATAGCGCAAGGATTGCCACCACTTCCCGAACCAGAGAGTAAAATTGAAGATAAGAAATTACCCGGGTCCCCAGAAGACACAAGACCACATCAAGGATCATCTCTGAAAGCCGACTCGCTATCCATCTCCTCATCCTCAAAGGTAACCATATCAACTGGCCAACAAAATTTGGGTGTGCTTGGGGCGAAACGCAAGACTCCAGCATCACGGGATGAGAAACCCAGCAAAGACTCTGCGAAGACGAAGAAGAAAAAGAAGGAATCTAAAAGTCTTATCTCTTTTGGGAATGAGTAGGAATACAACATTGCACAAGGCAGAGCTCAATCGTCGAACCGAACTCTACTTCTCAAACTTTTCACGTTTCCCCGTCTCTCCTTCTCGATTCGCATCTTAGCCTTCCCCTTCTTCTCCAGATTTCGGACATGTTGTCGTTGTTCCTCCGTTGGCTCGTTCACAATAAAGCCCCTAATGCAAGACAAAATGGTGTCGTGCAGCTATCAAGGAACGGTCAGTAGGGTTTCATGCCATGCGACAAGCACTCCAACCTTTCGAAGCCCATCTTCGACGTTCTGCGCTTGCGATCGAAAGCGAGTTGATGTCACCATGATGGACCGCGATGAAGGAACGTATGCAGGCTAATTATCGTCGTGATTTGGATTCCAGCTCCGGCATTCGCTTGACTAACTTACGAGCGTCCGAAGATTCTCACGGCACCAAACCGGTATCCATGGCGTTGAATCGAGGGGACACCGTATCACAACTTTTGTATTAACCTTGTTAACATTTTGCCTGATTTCGATGAGCAATTGGCTCACAGCACCGGAGTGAAATGGACTCACCCTCCAGGACCAGAGCTGCGCGTGAATTCTAGATGCACATCCTCCCTCCCGAGCTTTCGTGACTCGAACTTACGAACCCAATCCAGTGCAATTCCCGCTTCTTCTCCTGCGTACCTGCGGCCTGAAAATGCACGCGTACACCCGTTGGCTATAAGCGAGAGGAATGGACTGCGAACTTTGAAGTAGGTGTTTTTTGCCCGCGAGGATACTCGGGACAGTTGACTAATGCACATTTAAGAGGTATTCGAATGGGCATGCATAGTGTGGTTTGTGTTCTTGGAGACCATCGGCAATTCCCGGTTTTGCGCTCACACCCGGTACGGACTGAGATTATACGAGCGAGGAGGCTCCGGCAAGCACGATTGTACAAGCAAGATACGCGGAGGCGCCTGCCCTCCTTCATGCATAAGTAGCTCCTGGATGGCAGCTTAGAGAATTGCTATTTGCAGAATAGTTGTTATTTTGGCGAAACTGGGGGAATGTAGACTCGGTGGAATATATCAATATAACATTAGCCACAGAATTCATACATTTTTTCTCCGATAACAAGCAACAAATTTGTTTCCTCCGTTGCGTTCAACCTTCTTCCCTTCTTCGGTGGCTGTCCTAGTTTGCTCCAATACAGGATCTCCTGTGAGCTCCTCATCGGGTATGCGTTCGAAAGCGGGAAATGAGGATAAATGATGGACCATCCAATCATGCAATGCCTTCACGTCCGTGATGGTGTAAACGATACCAGAAGGTCTGAGCACGTACGCGTACTCAGCCAGAAGCGTTGGACTGATAAGGTTTACTCAGTATCGGGGGATAGGCAAGGTAATTAAGACTAACGAGATTATTCGCGCTTTGTGTTTGCGGGCTTTGAAGTGCGGGTCAGGGAAAAGGAAAAATATCTTGCTCAGCTGAGGCCTTGTTTCAGTTCCATGTATTGCGGAATTGAACGAATGCGAATGACACCTGGCCTTTCTCAAAGAAGTTGGGTAGGAACTTCATAGCATTTGCCCGAACAACTGATATGTTTTGGTAACCTCCAGGCACAATGGGGGATTTGGCACCCTCCTCGCTCCCAGCTGCCTGCGCACTCTTTAGACGCAGTGCTGCAATGCGATCCGCCACATATTGTGTCACATTGATCCGGATTTCCATTCCTGAGGGGGTTCCGATGTCACTATTTCCGAGCAATTCGGGCACAAAAATTCACACCTAGCATCAACGTTTGCGGAAAAAGGGGCGCCAGACCGACGAGGAGACCACCAAAGCCGCATCCTATGTCAGCGAACTCAACCTTCTTGGTTGGATGAGCGGGGTAATGTTTCGACCAGTCCATTTCGCCAGGGGAAGGAGGGCTAAGGACATAGTATTGATTTGACTTGCTTGTTGGTGTATCTTAACTTACTATTCCAATGAGTGGTCGGAGAATGGGTTTGCATGGGCTCGTTGACGATAGAAACGTTTCTAATTGTCAGGTGTTAGTTGCAGTCCTACACATGAAGCATAGCCTTCGAACCTGAGGAAATAGGTGAGCCAGCGGGTCTTCCTCCAACTCTTGCTCAAGTCCCTTTCGCTTTTTGCCCATCTCGAAAACGATCGAACGGACTTGGACCCGATTGAGAGATTTATGTAAGGCACGTGCACCCACCACCCACTAAGTCTGTGTGTAACAATAATTTTTTTTTGTCGTTGAGATCTCCAATGGTGAGTAACAACTAACGCCTTGCCGACGCCTCATCACGCTTATCTCACTCAAGGGGAGGTAGTCTCGCCCAGAAATTTTATCTGACCATGGTTTTCGCTCTGATGGGCGCAAGTCGACTGAACTTCGATCCCTGAACCTTGAATTAGCATCTCACACTCAGGCGGATGGTAGCGCCACCGTCTCCCATGGATTAACATCAGTTCTTGTAACCATCCACGGCCCTAAAGAACCTCGATTAAGGAGTTCTTCGGTACACGACCGAGCTACAATTAATGTTTCTGTGGATGCACCATCTTTCAGTGGACAGAGTTCACTCGGAAACAGAAGAGGTCGAGGGGACAAGTTAGCACATTCATCATTTCTACTCTGTATTTCCTGATTTATCCTCCAGACGCATGCTTGAATTCGCAGCCAATATCAGATCGACGTTCGAACCTGTGATCCAAACAGCTTTGTATCCTCGCTCCAACATCGACATCAACGTCCAGGTCTTGCAATCTGACGGCTCGCTACTACAGACGGCCATAAATGCCACAACTCTCGCTCTTGTCGATGCTGGCATTGCGATGACGGACTTGGTCTGCGCAATCACTTGTGGCCTTTACGATGCCACGCCCCTCCTTGATCTCACCTCGATCGAGGAAGCTGACATACCCCATCTCACTGTTGGTGTTCTACCCAGATCTGGAAAGGCGAGTCTTGTGACGTTAGAGACCCATGTGGTTGTGGACAGATTCATGGAGATGCTGAGGTTGACTGGGGAAGCCGCGAACGCTATACACGCAGAAATGACAGGCGTGGTTCTTTTAAGAACAGATAGACTTGCGTCCGCGATGAGCAGTGGGGGGCAGCCTGTTGTTACCGGCGTTTCTAAAGTACCTATGGATGTAGATTACGAGATGAACGAACGCTAAAGCTATCGCCTCAGCCCTTACATGCATCCGCAACCATTGTCTACCGAATACACCTACCGCCACAGTACTTAGTGGCTCGATGTTCCTTAACTGTCGATTTGATACAACTGTAATTCAATTCAATCCGTCTCCTGACCACCTGTCCTCGTTCGTCCACGCATCAAGAGCTGAAGCTTTTGTCTTCGGCGACAAATACCCTACCGTGACGGGGAATCGTGGCAGTTGCCGCTGCAAACCAACCCAAATACGCCTTGATGTCACATTCGGCGCCAATAAGTGCTGTCGCCGAGCAACCCCAACCTGTCTCCGAGTTACAGCAGTTAGGGAAGTCGGTACCCAAGGCAGACGTTGTAATCTTGTTAGATGGCAGCCCTCAATCTTCAGAATGGCAAAAGAACTTGCATACTTACTTCGCCCGGATGATCACGGATATCAGGGCGGCCAACCCTCATCATCGAGTACGCCGAACATTTTAGGATGTACGATGGGACCTCTAAGTACGAGCCCTAAATGATCACAGATACGAGTTGGTGTCGTTTGCTACTCTCGCGCGGCGTCCGAATACTCCATCCACAGATCACCGATTCTGGGAACTATTCCACTTTGCCCACCGGAACATGCGTTCATGTACCTAAAAACGCACCGTGCGGAGGTCGGAATAGGTCGGGCCGCATGCTCAGGTGGGATGGCAGTACTTGATGCAATCGTAGCAGCATTAGAGGTTTGTGACATTGAAGCTCATCCCGAAACACAGTAACGTGCGCCTTACGACTCTTGGTCAGATGTTTGATGATCAGATAGAGGCGCATAATGCTCGAAAGTGGCTGAGAGCCCATGAAAACAAATACCTCTTCCCAACGAATAAGTCGGAGGAGAATCCCGACTTTGTAGACCCGCCCCTGCCTAAGTTTTACTTACTTCTATTCGCTCATAGCCCCACGAATACATCTGTTCCCTCCTCCCACAATACATCGAAGTCTCTGGATGGCTTAACATGGGATGGCTTACCAAATGAGATAAGGAAGCGGGGTATCCACTTCAATCTTGTCACGATGACACATCTTCCGGAGCTTAGGGAGTTACACAAAAAAACTGTTGATAAACCTGGGCAATCATGGTTTCAGCTTCCTCCTGGTCATAGCATGATGACTTCTGGGCTGCAAAACAGGCTTCCATTTCAGCCTGACGGCATGAAACGCTCTCTTGCCTTAGACCAACCCACGGCGACGCATGGGACGTCATCTGCTCCGGCCCCCTTACCCGATAATCCACAACCGCCTAGTAAAAGAGCGAAGCTGAACTCCCCACGACCTGTGGCCCGTGCTCCCCCTGGGAATCTGGGTATTCCCCCTCCCCCCTCACCTCTGCCGTATCTTCAAATTCCAATACAGGGCCTAATACCAATGCTACACCTACAAATGGACACTCTCAGGGTATTCCACCCCGCCTGCAAGCGGACGAGTACAGAGCTGCACTCCAACGACACCACCAGACTCATATTGGCCCCCAGGTGAGTCCAGCGGTGGCCTCGAAAGACTCCGGACCTCCGGCTCCGAGCAGCAATGGAACTACCAACCCCTCGACCCAACTCTCCGCCACAAGCCCGACAACAGCGCAAGCTGTCCGACTGCCTCCACCGCCACCACAAATCCCCGGCTCCCGCAATCCACCTCTTCCTGTTTCTAATCCGAACAATCTCAGTCCCACACAACCTGTATCAGCTACTCAATCCCAGAAAGCAGCTGCAATCCAAGCACATGTGCTGCAGCAACACATTTCTCGGCAAGCTACCCAGCCAGCGCAGGCAACATCTGGAATGCCGTCAGCACGTTCCCTTGCGCCCGCCAGCGGCCCTCTGCGTGCTCAACCAGGTGCAACTCAGGGAAACACTGTGCAACTACATCCTTCGACCCTCAACGGACAGGCTCCGAGTCAAAACACCATGAGTAACTCCATTCCCCAACCACACTCCACTCAACAGTTACATCCACAGATCCCCCCCGGTCAGGCCAGTAATCCAATGCCTATTTTCAACAGCATGACCCAATTCCACCAGTTGCAAGCAATGCAGCAGCAAAGATCAGCAAGCGGTGGTGCCTCATTACCCGCGGTACAGAACCCAGTTTTGGATCCACGGATGATTGTAACTCATGGTGTAGCCGCGGGACAAAGCGCAGCTAAGAATCCTGCCCAATCGCAACAAGCTGTTCAGCAAGTTCAATCAACTAACCAAGCTTTGCAACAAACGGTGCTTTCAAAGTCTCAGTCTGGCGCTCCCACAGAGACCGGCAGTCAAGCAGTCTCGCAAAAGAGATGGAAAGGCATAATCCACTTCCAAGCGTTGGATAACAATAAAGGTGGAATGAGGGATTTCCGGGTGATTGCCTTCGCACAGCCATTCCGGAGAACGGCGGAGTACGACTGTCTTCCTACTCGCTTTATGTCGAAACTGAACTTTTTTTTAAGGGACGCAGGGGTTGATTCTTGGCCCCAGACCTTGAAGTTCCCGATTGCGTCTTTCACTTCCGGCTCCCTCGAAGAGATCATGGCGATAATCAGGGCGAGGGACGTACCGTTGGTTGGGTTCTATCCGGCGAAGCAACGAAGTCCCGGAGTGGATATAGGGATTAACGAGAAGGTTTATCAAGCCCTATACATCATTATGCATAGGAGCGGGCTCGTTTGTACCGTGAACATACAATTCCCGGGGCAGGGGCCGAATCGCGGCATCATGCTTTTCCCCTTTCCCGCATCCAACCCCACGGAGGAGCCAAAAGTTTATGGCGCGGTTTTCGTGACGGATGAATTACCTCGTCTCACGACTTCGGTGTCGAGTTCGGTCCATCGGCCGCTTCAGCCTTCACAACCTGAGTCAGTGGTTGCTCAGCCTAATATTTTGACGGCTGCGGCACAGCAGAAACAGCTTCAGCAACTGGCGACAATCTCTAGAGCACGTGTGAGGCAGCAGACCCAGCAGCAGCAACAGCAACAGCAACAGCAACAGCAGCAACAGCAACAGCAACAGCAACAGCAACAGCAACAGCAACAGCAACAGCAACAGCAACAGCAGCAGCAGCAGCAGCAGCAGCAGCAGCCACAACAACAACCACAGCAGCCTACTACTGGTGTCAACTCTGCGGCTCAGCAAGGCAATCCGATTGGTCTTGGACTGCCGCCGCCTGCCTCAGGGGTTGCCAATGCCCTTGGTTTCAGCCCGGGCCCTGTGCACAACGCCGTCTCGAGTTTCGGTGCTCCAGGGAGTAGTATGGCTCAGATCCAAACTTGGTTGCGTCAACAGCAGCAGCAGCAGCAGCAAATAGGAAGTCAATCGCAGCAGGTACAGCAGCAACAATCATTGGGCGGATATGCTGGTCGCCCTCCACGGGCCGGGTTCTTACCAATGCAAGCACAACAAGGCAACTCACTTGGTACGCGACCCACGGGGCACGTCAGACAAACGTCGGGGTCCGGCGCTCCTATGCCTCCGAACAATACTTCGCACTCAGGGATTCCCGCGGAGATTCTTCGCCTTATAGCCTCAAGCAAAGCCGGACCTGGAACAGGCACGGGACGCCAATAGTCTTTTCCATTATTTTAATTCTTGATTCCATGGTCATATCTTGGCCTAGTCCGGTCGTCCCTTCAATGTCGCACTTCGCATTTTCCATCATTTACTAGAGAGAGTGTGTAAACCTTTTTAGCTTGGTATGGATATTGCAAATGGCGTTCCAGGCCAATTTATAAACATATGGGCCGATCCAAGAGAAGACATTTGATGCGAAGGATATATTGGGAAAAACAACAATTCCTATCTTTCCCATTCAACGAACATTCGAAATAAACACGCGGAATGGGACAAGAAGGTAATTAAAAGCCGACAAATAACGATGGATCGTGCGTACGCGTTCACCGATCGATTGTCGCGCTCAAGGCCAAACCATTGAATATCTATGGGTGGACATTGGAACGCCTCTGGGGGAAGCCTCACGCCATTCAATGCGTATGTGACATTGGAACGCACACGAGGACGAAATCAGTTCGGGACTTGAAAATTTCTCTTTTCACAACTGTGTACCCCTTGCGAAGTGCTGGAAAAAGAAGTTGAACGAAAGGAGAATGGAAAACTCAAATGGGAATGCAGAGAAAGCAGATGCTGGAAACTGCCTATCATGGCAAGTGTTGGCCCGATAAGCTCGATTTTTGGATAGCTGGGCCCCTTTTAAGTGACCCCAGCTATCCAATATTTTGGAATTGTATGACTCCAATAAAGTGAAGAATAAGTGGCTGTCCCAATACGGCTGCGCAGACATAAAGCCCTGGAATACTTGGATCGTATACATATCGTGTAATATTCGAACGTTTACGGAGTTTGCATGGCTGCAACTGCAACTGTACATTAATATCGCGATATTCCTGGGTCAATACAAAAATGATCGAACCCAATTTGGCTCCACATCAATTTTGAGATACCGCCTGCCATTCTAGGTCAACGAGTCCGCGCGGGTGCAAACTTTTGTGAACGTTCATTTTGTGTCTTACACCAGACATCCCACTCGTCAACGCTCGAGCAAGCGCCGCTGAAGCGACTAAAAGCCCCGCCGAGGTTGTTACGAACGGCCACGCCCCGTGAGCCGCAGCTTGTCGATCCAGTCCGGCTGTTTCGCTTCTATAACTTATGACGAATGTCCGAGTGGTCCTCCTTATTGACGCATCTATGGAGACTGCAGCTGCTCTGAGTAGCCTCGCATGTGATGCAATGGTGAAGCCAATTCTGACCCGACTTGAAGCTCTCCACAACGGCAGCGATCTTCAAATGGCTTTTGTCACTTATTCGTTCCCTTCGAGCCCCAGCGGTTCCAATGGATATGGATCCATTGCTTGTGATAAATTTAGACCCTTTTCAGAGTCTTACAATATCCTTCGCAACCAGCCACTGCTGATCGGCCTCGCCCGCATCTCGAACGTCGAGGGAGATTCCATGGCGCTCATTGACGCGTTTATTCAAGCTTTAAAGGTCTGCAGAGTGGTAATTTGGTGCCATCCGGAAACGACTGAGTGTGACGTCCAGTTCTGTGATGCAGAGTCTCCCCCTTATAGCTCAAGCTACCCGACCTTCCACTTTATCATCATCACTTCACATCCTCCTCAGATCACTCGCCGTCCGCCGCCCCGGGCCCAGAAGGGGTTGGATTGTCTCGTATGGGAGCAAGTGCCCATTGCTCTACAACAAGTAGGTGATGCAAAGTCCCTGAGACACATATTGACACATGGCTTAGAGAAGCGTGAATCTCAGCCTTATTCAGACAAATTCGCACCCCATATTACCTCAACTATTGAGCCAGGTACGATCAATAATGTATTGTTTGTAATCACGGGAACTGACGTGGATTTCAGACAATGGATTCATCGCGCTTCACGAGACCATGGTTCCCAACTGGGCCATATCTCGTGAAGCTTGCAGGGATGGATATCTCTGATGACCGTGAAGGACGGGGAAGTACGACGATAACCACTGTTCAAAGCGCATCCAGTCCTAGGGGTATGTCGGGCTTGCGTGCACCAGTTTACAACGCTAGTATTGAGCTCCGACTCTATGACGCAGGGACAAAGAGAAGGCATGTAGAGGAAGATGGATCAACGAGCATGTATAGTTTTTCCGATGATCAGAATAAACGTCCTCGTCAAGCAAGCCCATCCAAACTACCCCCGAACCCACCCACAATGCCCCAAGGTACCATTGCTAATTCGAGGGCTATTGGTCCCGTCCATCTGCAGCGCCACCTCCTGGGTTTGGTGCATTTATTTCGACTTCCCATCCGACCTTCTTCTCGGGGAACCCCTATACTCGTTCTGATATCCTTGGTCAGCCCATGGGACTGCTTCCTACCTCGCGTCTCCCGGATAATATCGGGGCTTCGACCAGCCAGTATCAACCCCTCGCAATCTCTTTTTCGAATCCTTCCTCTCCTGCATCTGCCATACAAGACCAGTGGTTTGACTCATTCTGCCGGCAGAGCAGTGCGGAGTCTGCTCCAAGTGGGGGAATCCAGGGACCATTTCCACCGGAAGATGCCGTTGCCCACGGAGCCCCAATCAATCTGCTTGACATTAATCATCCCGCCAGCGCTGGCATCCATCCGATGAGTGTGGTAACAAACAATGTCCAAGCCTGGGCCGCTTTCCGGATGCTGGATCATATTTCGACTCCGATAAATGATCCAGGGTCAGGGTCGTCGATCACCCCTCAGCCAGGCACTGGTCATCCTTCCTATCAACTTGCTCATAGCTTGTTACAATCCCCTGGCAGTCACCATCACCGCCCAATCATCTCACGTCAGCCCGAGAACCGAACAGCCTCATCTGAACAGAATAGGGTCTATTCACCTTCTGAAAGCCATCATGGAACTCACTCTCCGGATTACTCAGATATGTCATCTGTTGTTCAACAGCCTCCAGATAAAACTCGGGATGCTTCTAGCACCCCCAACTCGCATCTCCCTCCCCCCGCTGATATGTCTCCAGTGCGAGAGAATAGTCTAGACACTTTCCTGCGCAGCCTGACAACACCCATCGTCCCAGAGCCATCACCAATGACAAACACCTCTCAGTTATCCGAATCCCTTTCGCCCGCATGCCTTGTGAACTCCCACGAGTCACAAGTATCCTCTGCAAGTGATGTCAATGATACTGAAAGCGAGGTCACCACCGGATGTGTCGGAAGCGATGAGGAATTTGATCCATTTAAATCCATGAAGATCTTGGAGTTCATCATGAAGCATGCTGCTGATTCGAAAGGCAAAAAGCGTCGGAACCGGATCAACAATGTTAGGAAGAAAAACGTGGGCCCAGTGCACGTGGGGGTTGCATCAAACCCGGGGCCCAACTCCCCACCCACCCCGCCAGCCCAGTCGACGATGGCCCAGCAGCCCCTGGGGTCATCACCAGCGCCACCCATACCTATAACGGTTACGAGACCGGATGGTATCTCGAGCGAGTGGTATGGTCATCTAGTCTTCGATGGCTCTCTGGGCGGTACACTATCTAGTTTCGAGCCCACTCCTGTCGCAATTTCGTTATCTTCCTACCCATTGATGAAGTAAGTGAACGTTGCCGTGTCCGTGAGGATCCTAGTGCCTCATGCTATGCTCGATTAGCCCACAAGAACTTCTCCCAGAGACTGTCATCATCCGCGAGTCTGATCTTCGGCGACTAGGGGATTGGAACTCCTTCCTTAATTTATTAGGCGCCCACAATATCCCCTGCCCCCCCTCCGGCACCACATTATAAATGGTCAAAAACCGTCTCCAGGCTCAGGTACAGGGTACGACCGGTTTTCGAACATGTTATACGAGAACAAGCTGGTTTGTATGCGAGGAACCGACGTACGACATCAGTGCTGATTTTTTTTACTCTAGTTTGCGAGCATTGAGATTCCTGGCTCAGCCGCTGGCACGGGGATTGTTCTCTTTCCATTGATGGGGGTGTCGAACCGCAAGCTGCAGGTTGCGCTCTTTACTGATCCGTCACGTCCCCTCCCAACGGTGGATGAGTTTGCTTCTTACGTGGTCAATATGGGTCCTCCGATGAATACTCACGCACTAGCTCTGGCGATCCCGGAAGGTAATACCAATAACCCGCACGATCATAATGTATCCAGAACTGCGCAGTTTGCTCGGGCTGTACAGGAGGAACAAGAAAAGCAGCAGCAGTTTCTAATCACCCCAAGCCCTTCGCACTCCTCCACTGACCTAAATCCCTCACCGGAATCCTACATCCCTCCCTTCGAGCAAAATCAATCCTACGATCCGGCAATGTACGGTTATGCCGGCCTTCATTCTTCCGTTTCTCAACCTCCAGTCTCTGACGCAGCATCGGCATTGCTGTTCCAACCGGCTGGACCATTCGACCAATACAATGTCAATCCTCCTTCTAATGGTTATGACCTGTCGGCTGCCAACTACATGAGCGAGACACATTCAATCTCCCCATCTCCTGGATACCTCGATACGCAGTTCTCAATACATTCTCAAGGGATCTATATGCCACCTGAATATAGTCAAATGGCGAACGTGGACCCTTCCTCCTATGGCGCGCTTATGGAGAACTCTTTGGCAACGCAAGACTACGGTTATACGCCCCAGTCTATTTCGGCAGATATGTACTACGGGTTGGAGTCAGGGCATGGACAGCCGTCAGGCACCTACCTCCCGAACCTATGAGGTGCCTGCGTTCTTTCGATGTTGATAGGTTGGTAGTTGTCGGGGACTTTGAAAATCTCGGTGCCACTATTTTGTTGCAATGATTTATCTCGTGCTGGTCTTATTGTATTAATTTCCCTCGCTTGCTTGTTGTATGAATCAACCTCCCACACTTCGGGTTTCTCTAGCTCTGTATATGCAATCGCAATAATATCCCCATAATTTTTCGTAACATCGCCGTGCTCATGAGCTTTGCTCCGGGCAGCTGTCGTGATTTCTCCTGCAGGCCCATGTGAAATGCGGCTATTATTCATTCCGTTATCAGCCGTGACGGGAACAACCTGCCGACGAAAAAGATTCCTTCCAATTCCTTCAACTTTTTTTTCTTCACTGCCATCCTCGTCGACAATGGCCACCGCTCCTGTACGGAATGCTTTAAGGTTTCAGGTAGATAACCATTTGTACAGGGTATCGTAAAGCCCAACTCTTATTCCATCTTCTCTTCCACATTCTATTTTAGGCTCGCTCTTCGCTCGGGCTTTCGAGGACTTCATTCTTCTCTCACGGCCGTGCCTACGCCACCAAGCCTCAGACATTGAAAGAACGCTTTTCTGAGCTTATCCCAGTTGAGCTGGAGAAGGTAATACTTTTCGGAGCTTGCGCGTTATGCACTTGACGTGACAAACCCATCACTTTCAGGTCAAGGCGATAAGAAAGGCACATGGACACAAGGCGTTCGGGCCTGTTACTGTTGATCAGGTATATGGGTGAGTGCTATTGGATGTTTCTAGTCTGCATGATGCGGCTGACACGACTGCAGTGGCATGCGTGGATTGCCGGCTCTGCTCTGGGATGGCTCGGTTCTTGACGCTGGTGGGTTTATCCCTCATAGTATCGTTCTAGGTGGCTCTAAGTAGTTCTTCATTAGAGGAGGGTATCAGATTTCGTGGCAAGACTATCCTAGAGTGCCAGGAACTTCTCCCCAAAGCTCCTGGTGGCTCCGAGCCTTTGCCGGAAGGTCTTTTCTGGCTCCTGTTAACTGGGAAGCCCCTACTCAGGCTCAGGTTCAGGCGCTTAGTGCTGACTGGGCCGCTCGCGCCGCTATTCCCAAATTTATCGAGGAGCTCATCGACTCATGCCCCAGCACTCTGCACCCCATGACTCAATTCTCTATTGCTGTTACCGCCCTTAACCATGATTCTGCTTTTGCCAAGGCTTACCAGGATGGTGTCCACAAGAAGGACTACTGGGGACCGATTTTCGAGGATAGCATGGATTTGTGCGTAAGAAGTTTCTTCCCACGTGCTGCTGCTTCTGATGTCATTTACCGGTGATAGGATTGCCAAGCTTCCCAGCATTGCTGGTCGCATCTATCATAACTTGTATGGGAAGGGTAAACTGCCCGCTATCGATCCCACCAAGGATTATTCGTACAACTTGGCTCATCTCCTTGGATTTGGCGACAACGAAGCGTTCGTTGAGCTCATGCGTCTCTACATCACCATCCACAGGTAAGGCTTCTCCGTACACAGAAGGAACTGAGTTCAGCATGGGTTCTACACCAGCGACCATGAAGGTGGCAACGTTTCTGCCCACACGGGCAAGCTTGTCGGTTCAGCGCTCTCGGATCCGTTCTTGGCATTTGGTGCTTCGTTGAACGGTCTCGCTGGCCCTCTTCACGGGTTAGTCACTGTGTCTCAACACCCTGCCATTGAACAATTAATGGTTCATGAACTTTAGGTTGGCTAATCAGGAAGTGCTCATCTGGTTGCAAAGAATGGTCAGCAACATTGGCAAGGAGCCAACCGATGAAGCCGTTAAGGAGTACATTTGGTCTACTTTAAATCCGGCCAGGTCGTTCCTGGTTATGGCCACGCCGTACTTCGTAAAACCGTGAGTCTTACGTATATGGTAACCCATCATCGACACTTACAAGAGCTATGATCATGTCCAGGATCCTCGTTATGCTGCTCAGCGCGAATTTGCATTGAAGCATCTTCCAATGATCCTCTGTTCAAGCTCGTCGGACAAATTTACAAGCTTGTTCCTGACATCCTCCTTGCTGCGGCAAGGCCAAGAATCCATGGCCCAACGTCGACGCTCACTCTGGTGTCCTTCTCACTCACTACGGGTGCGCATTTTTCTCAACGTCATTGTTGACGCTCACTCTTCTTTACATCGTTCAGTCTTGATCAAATGAGGTTTTACACTGTTCTTTTCGGTGTCTCCCGTGCCTTCGGTGTGTGCGCTCAGCTCATTTGGGATCGTGCCCTTGGAGCTCCTCTCGAACGTCCCAAATCGTATTCGAGTGAACACATTCAGAAGCTGTTCGCCCACAGGGAATGAAGATCCATTGGAATGTTAAGCATGATGTTTGACGGTTTGTTCTCAAAAGTCCCTCCGGATAGATTTTATTCTCTCCAAAATATAGTAATTTACTAATATGCATACACTTCCCGCTCTCATTCTCCGATATTTGCAATATACATGGCGAATGAACACTATACACGAAACGGAAAGTGACGTTCAACGTTGTGAAAATGTCCTGCCCCTGTGTAAACGTCAGCAAGCTATGGTTCATCCATTCACGGCAATCGGGTGCATACGTGATAGTCTTCCTTTCCTTCTCTCCGATCGGTGCTGGCCTGGCACGATTAAGGATCTTCAGGAATTCACTGACACGATGACGCATACGACTGTGCATGTAAGCCTTGGAGCATTTGATGTGATAATGGAGGTAGTCTCTGAACAGTTGGATACGGGATATGGTCTCCTCTCGCATTTGGGGGAGAAGTGGCGAGGGAAAAGTACTTGCGGGGTTGTTCGATGGTCAATTCCACAAAGACAGGCGAAGAAGACCTCCATCTTACCGAAAGTCACGTAGCCAACATCCTCTGAGCGCTTGAGACCAGGAACGTTCCTGATTTCAAGTGGAGGCTCACGGCTCGAATACAACACTTGCGGAGCTGTTTGCAAGCTTGCAAGACGCCTCGCGTCGACGAACTCTTGCAAAAAAACCTTGCCAAAGATACGATCCGTCTCGTCTTCGAAAATTGTAGAGAAGAAAACGGTAACACGATCGTGAGAAGCTTGAACGTAGATGGCTTCTTCGTCGCGGTAGTGAATTGCCATCAGTGGACCTTCAGGACGAGGAGAGCCGTCGGTTGGCGCTGGGATCGCTTCGAGTTGCTTTTGCTCTGAGAAGGCCTTTTCGAAAGGCGCAGCTAATGCGTTACGCTTCAAGAGCGCCACAGATCGGATGAGAGCTGCTTGTTCCTCTGTGGGATCGGGGGAAACGGTTCGATTCGTTCGATTTGAGCACATTGGTCCATTCAAGACGAGTGGGAAAGAACACACCTCCTTGAGGAAGATTTTCAGTATCGAATGCAAGCGTAACGTCGTATCCGGGATCAGTGGGGACAACGTAGGGTCCGTATTCGCGCTGAATGATATCGAGTGCACCGTACTCAACGAGCTCGTGCCAACACCGAATGCTCATTGAAAGATGAATCTTTGTCTTCTTTTCTGGAGTAACCAGGTGAAATCTGATGCTGTCATAGTCCACGAACTGAATGTCGAGGACGCTCGGACTGTTGCAACCACAAGCTCAGAAGCATGATTCATCATCGTTGGATAAATTATTACTCACGATACAAATTTCTCCGTAAGAGTATTTGAGATAATGGTACTATGTGACTACCCAGGCATCCCAGTCAATAGACATTCACGATCGGTGCGTATATATAGGACAAACCTCTAATAGGATCATTGCAAGTCAAACTATGGAGAGAACGAAGCCCGTGACCTTGTCTCAGCTTTCCCACGACGTTCAATGAGACTTCTCACTTCTAGAAAGTCATATGTCTTCGCATGCCCACATCCTCTCATTGCGTCACTCTCCAGACGTTATTCCGTAGTGTCGGGTCTGTGGACCTTGCGTTTGAGAAAGCCGAACCACCAAACGGCATGAATGGCTCACGTCCGGTTGTCGTTCTTCATGGACTCTTGTGCGCATTTTCACCTGCCATCCCCTTTTCAGCTAAAGTATCTGAAGTGGGCAGAAGCAAAACTGGCGATCATTGTCGCGAGCCATGGCTAAGGAATTGAACACGAACGTTTACGCTCTTGTGAGCAAATATCTACTCCGTTGGGGGAAGATGGCCTATCTCAACGAACCAGAAAGGATCTTCGTAACCATGGGACATCTCCCCACAATCAAGATATGCAATATAAAACTCTTGCATCTGACGTGCTGCACTTCTTCAACACGCATTCGCTGTCGAACGTCACCCTGATAGGTCATTCTATGTGAGTGAGCTGGCAAGATACGTATTGACCCCGTTATCATCGCGTATTGCGCTTCACAGGGGTGGAAAGGCCGCTTCTGCGGTAGCGCTCAAGCCAGACCTGCCTCCGAATACTTTATCATCCCTGATCGTTGTCGACGTCACTCCTAAGAAAGTGGCTCTTAGCTCTGAGTTCTCTCATTATGCAAAAGCCATGAAAGCCATAGATGATGTGGAAGTCAGGGATTCGAAAGCAGCACATAGGATTCTCGAGGAATATTCTGATTATAAAATTGTGAGTATCACGTCGAAGCTCGAGGCATTCAGTCTATGGATAAACCATGCTCTAGGAACTTCCTGTACGGCAATTCCTCCTCACTAATCTTGGCGTAGTGGATGGTGTCCGCAAGTTCAGAATTCCTCTTGATATCATAACATCGCAATTGCACGAGGTGGCGAATTTCCCGTATAAGCCTGAGAGGTCTCTTGGGATGGTCCAACATTAGCTATAAGTGGATTGAGGAGCAAGTGCGTTGACCCAGTTTGTTTCAAATCGATCTCCACTGATATTCCTGGCCGATACAGCTATATTAGGGACAAGGATATACCTATCATCAAAATGCTGTTCCCCCGCGCTGAATTCGCTTCGCTTGATGCTTCCCATTGGGTTCATGCAGACAGGTATGTGATGGGGACGACCGCGTTCCAATATTGTAATTGTCGAACTGATTTCAATGTTGATGCTGCTCAATAGGCCCATCGAATTTCTGCAATTGGTCAGAGGCTTCCTTAAAAAGCATCAGTAATGCCTGCATGCTCAGTGCCCCTCACCCCTTCAGAGTGCTGCATCTGTCGGAAGCAGTCGGCGTGGTTGGGCAGCGCGAAGTTTCTGGCATCATTGACATACAGTGAAGCGAAAACAATACATAATCCTTTCATCTCCTGCGTAGCACATAAAATAGTGGTCTAAAAACCTCCAAGCATTAATCGATGCGTCATATTCAGTAGCGAAGATAAGGAACCTAACCCACATTCTACCGTGAGCCAAAGGAAGCGCCATTCAATTAGTAGTAACATTAGGGGGCTTCTGCCCGCGCGATTTGGCATAACGATGTACCTATCCCTCCTATCTAATATGACGATGGGACCCGAGCACAGGCCCGCGGCCCGCCCAGGACATGCTCTACGTTCTCATGAATGTGTTTTCATATGTTTTACTATGAGTTGTCCGAACGTGACAGACTAGTCCCACCAACAATACATAAAGAGAGGGGCTGGATACGAGTCTGCGAATGTGATTGTGATGATTGTTAGCTTTGTTTAGTTATCGAAGGTTTCTTGGGAATTGGACCCGGTTCTAGACTGCATGAATACCGCGAACGAGACTCCGGCCTGATAAACGCAATTTGCAACAATCCGTTGGTCCCGATTACATAGTATCGTTACACGATCATATGCAGTCGACAGGGGATCGAGATTAGCCCATGACCGCTCGGCTAACGGTCTTCACTGCCAGTGACTCCCCTCACTCATTGAAGTCTAGCTGGCTCCACGGAGATAGGATTGCTGCGCAGGGGGATGGAGCATTGCTTGGATTTTCGGTAGTGGGTCCACTCCCTACTTGGCCAAGTGAATAGGTACACCGTGACAGCTTACGTAACCTTTGTGGAGCCACCACCGAAATAACGTATTCGATTCTCTCAACGCTGGCGTGTACCTTTCCCTTTCTCTGTGGTTATTCCATATGTAGTTACCAGTGTGGCTTTGGCCGTGATATCTTAGTCGACTTTTTCTGCCCTCCGGCAAGGTGACTCTCTGTTGTCAATGCTGCCGAAGCACCCTGACCTTCAGCTAGTACGTTGACGTCTCCCTAACGAACGCTGAATTGCATCGCAGGATCGAGGGACTTGTCATGGTATCTAAGCGCATGTCGTTCCGAAAATCCTTCGAGTGCGATAATCACATGGGCACGGCGTCCCATCAGATATTAACATACCACTTACACGTGGGTCATTGATATGATGTATCAGCGGTATTGCAAAAATGAAAGTGCTTTGATACATACTGATGAGAATGCCCCGATTCAGCTTCAGGGATGTCGAAAGTCCCGATAAGATGTGAGCACAAAAATGCAGAAACTTCAACTTAATTCGCAGTGGTCAAATCTTGTGCCTGGTCGAGTGGGCGCAAGACGGTGGTTGTTGCCCATACCATCTCCATGATGGCCCACTAATTGGGGCCCCACCTCGTTTCGACCAACAAAGTTAGGAGCCAGGAAGAGAGTGGGATTGTTTGAACATCACGCCGTTGGTGGAGGGCCAAGTCCAAAACCATTCAAAGCGCAATCTGGAAAAGGGGGGGGGATATATCCCCACAAAGAGAGGCTGGTCACCTGCCTAAAACATGTAGGCATCAGCCAGAACGAGAGATGCGTGTCTATAGCGAAATTTGATTTTACAAGCCGAGCGAGTGGTAAACCTTTATCTATCCTACCTAATGAGAGTGGTGCGTACGCGTACACGGCCGGCGTCGGCGAGGGCCACCGAAAAGAAGGTTTGCCTGCGGCACAATGTGCGTATTCTGCGCACTGTTATTACATACTAAGATAACCACCATAATCCTAAATGTCTTCAAGGCACGTTCCTGGAAGCAAGGTGGGAAGATCAGCACACCAGAAGGTATAAAGAAAGAGGCCAGTCGAACCTTTCCCCTAAGGCGGCTTCTAACGTCTCTGCTCACCAGCGCTAACATCCTATCGAACGTTGATCCATGGTCCAACTCGTCTGGCTCATCACTGGAACGACGTCAGTCATCTAACCTCCCTTCATTCACGCTTATGGTAAACATAGCCCATATATCTCTTGCATTTCCTAGATCTGGCCTCGGCCGCGATATCACTCTTGCCGCTCTCAAGAGGGGGGACAAGGTCATAGCAACTGCACGCCGACCTTCCACCATTGAAGATCTCAAGGCTGCCGGGGCATCTATCCTCGAACTGGATGTCACCAGTCCCCTTGAAAAGTTGAAGAAAGTCGCGGAGGAGGCACACAGCATTTATGGAAGGATCGATGTGGTTTTGAACAATGCTGGGTATTTTGAGATTGGTTCTTTGGAAGAAAACACGTAAGTTTACTACATGGAACACTTTTCGGAACCCTAAGTTGTTGATCGTGGATGCTTTGTCCAGTCCAGAAGAAACCTTCAAACAGTTTGAGTAAGGACCACTTCTTCATTACCTACTGAGAGAACTAAAATATTGGGCCCGGCGGGGTCTCAGCACGAACGTCTTTGGGGGTCTTAATGTTGCCCGTGCGTTCTTACCATACCAGCGAAAAGCCAAGTCAGGTACCATCGTCTGGATCGGTTCCCTCGGCGGATGGGGGGGAGGAAGCGGTAAGCAATACAATGCTTGGCATCCCCGCCCGGGGAAAAAACAGTTGCTGACATCCAGTGTCACCGTTAGGATACGGTCTTTACTCTGCGACCAAGCATGCCGTACGCGCCATCTCGGAATCTCTCCATGAGGAAATTTCTCCTCTCGGTCTTCGCTCGATCTACCTCGAACCAGGCTACTTCCGCACGTCATTCCTCAAACCAGGAAAACGATCCGAGTACGTCAATCGTATCGAAGATTACAAGTCTGAGATCACTGCTCGAATTGAGGTGTTCGTGCAGTATGATGGCAAACAACCAGGGGATCCAAAGAAATTTTCACAGTTGTTGATCGATTTTGTGAAGCTGGAGGGACCGTTCTCGGAGGAGCAGAGAGGTGGAAAGAAGGTTCCAATTGGATTACCTGTTGGAAGCGATGCATATGACTTTATCAAAGCGAGGGTGGACGAGGAGTTGAAGATCATCGAGGATTGGAAGGAGGTGATTTCTAACACTGATATCTAATGCGATGCGTTCCCATCATCCTTTTCCTGTGTATAGTAAAACCTCATGTGTTTGCGAAGAAATGAATAAGATGGGCATCGATTCCTTGTAATGCTGTCATGCTAAGTGGCTCAAACAAGTAAGTTGTGCGCTTTGGTGGGGGAGTTTGACGAATTCGTCGCCGTCGTGGCTCAAACAGTTCTCCTGAGAACTGAAGGGGAAGCAGCAGCTGTGCACTCATATTTCAACGTCCACATCGTTACAGCATGACCAGAAATGTGGGTCACAGAGAACGAGTGGATTCCACAGTAATTCTGAAGGATTGCCGAAGCGAAGGAGTGAAGAGTGCAAAGACACAAGGTTCATGATTTTTTTTTTCACGCACAGTGACAAGCGCGGGTACTTCCGGCTCTAGTATAGTGCGCCCACCGCGTGAAGCCTATATTGGCCGACCCGCTACCCTAATAGCCGTTGAATTCTGACATCAAGCCACAGACAACGTGGAAAAAACCCTGAGTCTTCGGCGACGGCCCAGAAATGCTATACATCTCATAGAGTCGTCTGACAACGAGGGATCACAGTTGAGGAATGATCAAGTTAGCGTCTGAACTGGTCCGGAATTTGAAATGCCAGGTGATTCGTTTCAAGGCGGACTACATCCACTTGCTCATATCTCCCTGCCCAATCATGGCCTCCAGTCAAAACCCTCAACGAGTGCTTGGAGATCCTTCTGCGTCCTATCCATCCGAGCCGCCAAGTACTGTCACGTCACAGACGATCCTGGAGCAGGCCATTGACAGTGCTTGTGAACATATTCAGCGAGAATTTCGACCCGATGATAGCATCGATCGGATGCGGCACAGCCTGGGCCGTACTTGGATCACCGTCTACCGCGTCCTCCACGAGGTCGGGGATCCGAACCTAAGGAACCGTCTTAGAAACTGGACTGAATTCGATGCTTATGTCGAGCCTGGGAGCAATGCAGAGCGGGAATTTATTGAGTTGCTGAGAAGTATGGCAAGCAACCAGGTGCCCTGGAGTGATTTATTCAAAAATGGTACTTTCTGCCTTTTAACCCCAAGCACTTGATTATCATGTTCTGTCTCTAGGAGCGTTTCTAAAACCTGAGCCAAAGACAACTGTCGAGTTGGACATCGATTTCGGTGCGCAGGGAATTCAATCCATCTCCACTTTTTGCTGATCTCCTCTGACTCGGATCATAGCCACTACACTGGCATGGCGTGGTACATTTAAAGGCGACCTCGCAAATGTGCTTTTGGAGACTATTGCGGATTGCCTTTCTAAGGACAAGGTCAGAACTCCATATGGGGGGCTAAGCTGCATCGTAAATTCATCCGGAACCGGCAAGTCTCGTATGGTGGACCAGCTTGGCACGGAAGTTATAACGGTGCCTATGTGTTTACGTCCGGGAATCAGAGGTTTTCCGTTTTGCTTTTGCTTTATAAATATGGCTTGTTTACAATCCGACCCCCCATAGGAATGCCTCCTCCTGATAGGAAACTGCGTGGCTGGCTTGTTTCTCCGATAGACGATAGGACTACTGTCCAGAACATGCTATATGGATTCGCATGTTCTCTCTTAGTGGTCACTCTCAGGAAACTGAAGACCATTGTGTCAGAGAAACAAGGTGATTATCTTCTGACTGTTGACCGGATTACTTACCAATGGTGTTGCAGATATAGCCCAGTTACCAAGTCTTGATTCGACATCTGCTCAACAATCGTCAAAGGAAAAGCCGAAGGACTACGTGTCATTGGTCATGGATCGCCATAGGAGGTTGGCAGCTGCCTTCCGCGAGTGTATGACTGCAGGACAATCATTTCATGCATCGAATTCCTATCGAGAAACTTTCTATGATGAAGTAGTTAAGCTGGCCGAGAAGGTGAGTTTCCTGTCCTTCACCGTTTTGGTGAAAATGACGGTTTCCTCGAGTTTGCGGAAAACAGCGCACAGGTTAGGAGCGAAAATGAACTTGAATATGACCAGTATGTTTCGGGAGGGGAGGGCCTACACCAGGCAGGCGAAAGCCTCTGTCGCTTCATAGATGAACACAAGGTTCTGGAACCGGATGAAGGCCCCCGACGGCCTCTGGTTGTCCTTGCTTTCGACGAGGCACATATCCTCACTAGTAATCCACCAGACCAAAATGACTGGAACTTGTTCTCGGAGTTGGGTCGAATTCTAGGACAAATCCAAGATCTCCCAATATTTTCACTCTTTCTTTCAACAGCCGGGTGCTTCAAGATTCTTTCTGATTCTTCGGCTTGGGCCAGAGAGCCTGACAACTGTTCCCTGAACCTGATTTCTGAAATCAGTTTTGACGACATTGCGTACCCGGCATTGGAGGGTACGGTCAAGATAGACAGAGTGGTAGGAATTGATTGGATTTCCCATCTTGGTCGCCCATTGTATGTCCACCCCCAGTCATCCCTTTAGAGAGCCACTTGCTTACCACTGTGAGTAGATTCGGGTCTTACTGGGACAAGCTGCCACGGCAACTTAAACATGGGTCATTGATTATGGATTACGCAATGCAGAAACTGCTGAACGGTCCAAATGAGCTGAGAGATAGCAACCCGGCCGGTACCTTGGCCTGCCTCTCTGTACGTTTTGCACTGGAGTTCAACATGGATGGTTCGGCTCGCGATGTCAGCTATGTTCAGGTTGAAAAGCATATGCGACTCTGCATCGCGGCGACTGCTGGATTTGAGAAATTGATCACCATTCCTGGGTCTGAACCACTGCTGGCTGAGGCTGCCTATCTACTCCTGAAGGACACGCGGAGGAATGCGGTGCGCCATCTGGCAAACCATTTGGATTTGAACTGCATTGACCGTGGGCGGCGTGGTGAACTGGTTGCAACCCTGTTGATCATGCAAACATATGATGCAGCACGCGCAATTAGTGGTAGAAGATGGGTGTCTGTGGTCAACTTCATGGAGGCCTTACTTCCGGCATCAAACTATGAAATGCTTCTCCAATCTGGGCCCACATCTTGGCCGATGGAGGGTGGGTCCATGAAACAGGACAGCACATTCCGGGCAATATTTGAGGACTATGGCATGTGGTTTAACCATGTCATCAAGATTGAGAGAAAGGAGCTGATCTCAATCGACCATCTGTGGAAATATGTTATGCGTGGGGCGATGATATTGTGTGCGACTAATCAAGAAGGCATTGATATTGTTTTGCCCATTTGTCACACAACGCAAAATCTGGGCCCTGATTCTGTGACAGCTGTAGTCATCCAGGTAAAGAATGCATGGGATTACAAGGCAACCCTCAAACCATCATCATTTGATGCAATGGATTTTATGGTCAAATCGGCCATATTCTCCAAGCTTCGACTCTCTGACTCTGACTCCGAGTCAACTCTGGAGCTGAAGACCACAGAGCCAGCAGAGCCCAAGAAGAAGAAAAGGAAGGTGGACCTGAGACCGAGGGAAGTGGTTCCAGACCTGGAGGTGGTTCCAAAGCCGGTTATCCGAGTGGTATTTGCCTTGGCTTCTCCAGAGCCTGCTGTAATCTTCAAGGAACAACCTGAGGCCAAGCATCCTTTTGATGGGTTTACTACCTTTGATATCTGGCTTGCAGGCCTCTCACATGAAACCTTCAGGCAGATTCAAGAAGTAGATTTAGAATCATACAAAATACTTCTAGAACGCTCACTCATGCCTCATGATGCATTCAAATTGAAGGATGAGCCAAATGTAGGTGAGAAGGCAAGGAAAGGCAAAGGGGCCTGCAGGCAGAGGATGGTGCCACTAGCCCACTTAGGATGTAGTCATCATGCCATCCACCTCCCAGGCCCAAAGAACCAGGAGAGGGGTCTGGAATACATCTAGCATCCCCAGTTGATTGATTTTTCAATGGTAACTATTTCATGAATCCGAGTTTTTTAGCAATTTGATTGTAAGGTTGGTGTAGGTGTTGGAATATCAACAATCGGTTCCAATGATGGAGTGGTGAGGACAGGGTTGATTGTTGGTGGCGGAAGTGAGGTTTGGGGGTTGAACTTTACACCCCCATTTTTCTTCTTTATGCAATGGGCTTGCCACTGGCATAGTTTGCATATAAGAAGGGAGTTTTTTGGACTCCCTCTCCCTCAGATCTCTAACACAAGTCTGAGGTGAGATAGATTTTATTGTTCTTTACAAACATGTCTAACTGTTGGTGCAGATACTTATGTGCCATAGGTACATATGAATTCAGATCTCTAACATGAGTCTGAGATACTTATGCACCATAGCTGTTAGACACTGGTCGGGGTCGGCACCGAAGGTCACTGATGCGGGCCGCTATTGGCTGCGATGGCTGCGATGCCTCAAACAAGGCCCAAGGGTAGGGCATTTGGCCTCAGCGACTCTAAAGGAGTGCTGTGCCCCCTAGCTGTCTCTTGGCCCTCATTTCAGACTCACTGGGGTTGCCTTGCTAGAGGTCGTGGTCAAATCGATATTAGAGCGAAGGTACAATAAAGTATCATACAGGATATATATAGGAGGAAAGAATGAATGGAAGGGACCCGGGCCGAAGGCCGAAGGGTCCGGAAGCAAACAAGAATAAGGAGCGGGGTTGGCCGCATAGCGGCTGGCAATGACCGAGGGTCAAAACAAACAATAACAGATAAATAAAGGAAGGAGCATAGGGCCGCGATAGTGGCAATGGTATCATAGCGGCGCTGGACTTGGAGTTGGGCTGGAGTCAGGCGCAGGAATGGTAGTGGCCCTGTAGGGGCCAAGTGGGTGGGGTAGAGGAGTCGGTGATGGGCACAGTGCTGGAGGCGGACTCAGGGCAGGAAGGTTGGTGTGGCTGTGGGGGAGTCAGCCAGGTGCAGGGGAGCCTAGGGGAAAGGGGGGAGTGAGCAGGGAGTCATGGAGGATAGGGCTGAGGTCAGGGCTTGCGCTTGTGCTCGCATAGCGGGAATGGGCTTGGGTGGCATCGGGTCGGGCGGCTATCGGGCCGGAATGCACGGCCATGACAATAGCCTTATATTTACTTCAGTCCTCAGGTCAGTCAATATCTAGGTTATTGTCAGGAATGCATATCTGGAAGGTCCACAAGGGCATGTGAAGTCACCTGGGCTCATAAGGTTGGAGGGGTGGGACTTTAGCTTCAGTGACTCAGTGTCAGGGGACGATCCCTGGGTCCCCATGACCCCTCTCTATGGCCCACAGCCTAGCCTGTAACACAGCCCATCTCAGGGCATAACACTACTGTGGGTAAGAAAGTGGATAGTGTCAGGGGATGACTCCTGGGTCCCCATGACCCTCCCCTATGGTCCACAACCTCTGGTGTAACCAGCCCTATCCAGGGCACAACCTACTGTGGGTAAGGAGATGAGCAGGAAGCTAACTTCTCATCTTCCCACAGTGGCCACCATATCAGGAAAACTTCCGGGGATACCTGGAAGTCACATGAGGGCAGGATCCAGGGCCGGATCATGCGGCATGCAGCACAGGAAGTGCACACGGGAAGTGTAGCGGGTCCAGATGTGGTGTAAGGGATTAACCTTACTTCACTATAATTCCCATTATAGTGATGCTGTTCTTTCTTTATTTATTTGTGCTGAGATATGTAAATTACATATATATACCTCAGAGTAGTTGTAAAGGCCTGGTAGCCTTTTACCTCTACTCCATTGAATATACAGCACATTAAAGCTTATGTTTAGATGGACCTACTGAGGCCTGAGGCAAACGGGGGAATGGAACGTTACCGTCCCCAAAATAGTAAGATAACCTTTCACTTTTTTAAGCTCGTTTCCTTTTACAATCTCAGCACCGCAATTGGTGACAGAACCCTACTGTATCCCACATGCGTTGTCTACCCTGACAATGCACATCATTGATCATGCACGTGTTGTCTAGCCTGACAACGCGCATTTGTGCCTAGTTCTCATGCACAAATTGTGCATGCACCATTCCTAGATGCACACTCAACTATGCCTCAGAGTAGAGGCAAACCCTCCCAATCTCAGGATCTGGGAAGCCACCACGACACCGGTGCCAGAACTCCATTTGGCAACCGACACGTCATTGTCCCTGACGATGCACACATTCAATCAAGGTTCACACCGGAACCTTTGATCTTACTTCCTGATGCTCACAACCAGGAAGCTCCAGACTCGCACCCACATGGCTGGCCCTTCCTCCAGTCCCATGGTGGGAATTGACACCACTCCATCTGGAAGTGGTGATTTGGGCCCGCAAGGGCCCAGCAACGCATCATATGTGTTGTACCATCTCAGGAGATGCTGAACCTGTTGCAGCATCTTGGTGTCTGTCCTACTGCCACCCTCGCATTCACCATCACAGGCCCGCTCTCCCTATTTCAAGAGTGCATGAGTATTATGTGAATGCATCAACAAAGTTAGAACTGCGGACAAAAATGCGAGTTGACCCACCCATGGCCACTCAGGCCCGACTTCCCTCCCCACTCACTTGCACACTGGAGAGGCATGCTGAGACTTCCCTTCTGCCCAGTTTGGGATGGAATAACCCTTCCTCTAACACTGTAGAGTTGAACACACCGAGTTGCCTGGCGCTTCGCTGTGTAAAGTCCTCAGCAATTCTCCTCCCCCAGTGGGAGCCAAATGTTGATCTAGCGTCGTACTGGAGGCCCAAACAACTGGTTTACCATTGGTTTTAGATGGAATTGGCAGCGCTTCAGCTGCTGCCAAGTGCCAGCTCATAGAGCTGCCCAGCGCTTCGGCAATTCCTGGGTTTGACAACCCAGCAGCACCTACTCCTTCCACTCTGCAGGAAGTCGAATCCAAACCACCTCCTTGGCCCTCTGCAGGCCAAGAGGGATGCTTTCCTGGCGCTGTTAAATGCCAGGTCACCAAGATGCGCGCGATATTAGAACACCAACTTTGTTTACATCGGGAAGTTGTGTGGCAGTTATTCGTAGCGGTTATTCTGGGGCGCTATGAGGCATTGGGGGCGTTTTGCCCTTCTTATTCAACTTAAAACTCCCTTTGTATGATGATGTTGCCACTCAGGAATGTCACGTATATAAGGGAGGAATTTCTTAGACTTTCTCCCTCAGAACTCTTATTCGAGTCTGAGGTGAGAACTATTTTATCTTATGACTCATGTATAATCCTTGTCGCAGTTTAACACGACATAGGTACTTACAATATAGAACTCTTATTCGAGTCTGAGTCTAACGCGACATAGTCACTATTCTAATGCGATGCTGTTCTACATCGCGATTTTGGTGATTCATTATACTCTCCCCCTACTCATGAGAGGGAGCATGGATTTGAAGGGCCTCAGAGGCCCTCTTCACACCAAGAGGAGCGTTTTCCTGGCGCTTTTGAGTGCCAGGTCACCAGGATGCTCCGGACCATGGACCTGGTGATTCATTGTTTTCTACCCCTTTGTCAGGGCACACACCCTGACTAGCCCGGACCCGGACCCGCGTCCGGACCCGCTTCCACCCGCTGTGCTTCCTGCATGCCTGCACGCTCCGCACGCCGCATGCTCCGGGCCCGGTTCCTACTCCTTCATGTGACTTCCGGGTATCCCCGGAAGTTTTCCTGATATGGTGGCCACTGTGGGAAGATGAGAAGTTAGCTTCCTTCTCATCTTCTTACCCACAGTAGGCAAGTGTACCTTACCTACTGTTTATCTATTCATCTTCTTACCCACAGTAGATTGTGCCCTGGATAGGGCTGGCCAGACCTGAGGCTGTGGGCCATAGGGGAGGGTCATGGGGACCCGGGAGTCGTCCCCTGACACCCTTCCATGGAAGGGAGGCCAACCCTTTCCAAGGAAAGGGTTCTCATCTATCGTTCACTACATAGTGAACGATCTGTTCTACTCACAGACACTCCACTTCTAGGAAAGTCTGTGTGTTCCTGGCATTATTGGGTGCCGGGTCCCCAAGATGCGCAGTGCTTCATTGTACCGTGCTCATTTCCTTATTGCCTTTCTGTCAGGGACAGCTCCAAAAGCGGCGAGGTCCTGGCGTGCAGGACTCGGTGGGATGAGTAGCAGCTGTGCGTAGCGGCGATCTCGTCGTGGGGTGAGCGTCCCCGACCACTTAGTCTGAAGTGGGAATGTGAGTTATTATTAAAAGGGAAGGCTACACTACTTGCCTGAAGTGGGAATGTGAGAAGAAGGCTACTTCTTTGGTTCCCACTCCAGCTGTTATTATATACATGCGGGATCGGTCATGTGGGGCACGCCACGTCACCCTTGCACACAGCCACAGCTCTCCGGGTGGCTCCGCGGGAGATCCCGAGAGGGCCCGCTGTGGGTGTGGGGTAAGTGCGGCGGCGATGACGGCGATATAGGAACAGTGAGATACAAGAGGGGAAATGGGCGTGCGCACCGGTGATACATTGAGCAGCAGGAAAGGTGGTCCATGTGAGAAAGAAAGAAAGAAAGAAAGAAAGAAAGAAAGAAAGGGGAAAGGAGAAAGGAAGAGGGAGAAGCGGTGCGGAGTGGGGGAGCGGAGCGAGGGTCGGGCGGGGCGTGCCCTGACACTTTCCATCTGGAAGGCTGGCCCTTTCTGAGGAAAGGGCTGCTCTCTATTGTTCACTTCATAGTGAACAAGCTGTCCCACCGACGGACAGGCCGCCCCCAGTGAAAATCTGTGTCTGAATGATCAGACACACTCATTCCTGCCCAGTTCATGGGCAGCACTTCCATTCTGTCACTCATATGGACAGAATGACCTCTCTACTCCCCTAGATGACTACAGTGCCCCAAAAAACCGTTGCAATGTTTTGCACTTTTCACTTCACAAGCTTATTGCACCCTGGGAAGGGATCCTAAAATTGCATAAAAATATGAAAATAATGCGCTAGTAGCTCATTAATAGCTCCACCAATTCTCTAATAAATGT